CTAGAGTATGGTAAAACAACTTGCAAATAATCTTGCTACTAAGCCTTTTGTTTACACTTAAACTATATTTGACCCCCTTCATCCCACGAGGAGATCACATTGCGAATACATCCAAATGACTGGCTTAATCAGATTGTTTATCCATTGTAAATCCCCAACAAATGTGGATAAAAATGCCCTTTTAAGACGTCTGGCCTGGGACTATGCACATATTACGACGTAAGCAGACCCTCCGACATTACACTGAAAGACATCAAATCAGGGGAAAAGACCTGCATTGCTAAAGACCAAAATGTGTGATTGTTTTATTTACAGATAAAAACATAATTTCACACCTTATCTTACAAAGGATGAACAAGGTTAAAACCCAATTTAATGACAAATGGAGCGGCCCAAGAACACTGTAAATTGCAAAAGACAATAGCCACGACAGTGTGTTGCGAAACAAAGAATTTCTCGGATTAAGCAGTACTTTTACAGAAGATGGCGAAAGATTAACGCAACACAAAAGATGCCGAGATTAAGAAAATGAACTCTCTCGTTTATTTAAATCAAACTTCAAGGATTTGGAATACGCTTACAACTGCAAGCAAATTAAATTAACTGTTTTATTTGTGGTGAAATTGATTCCCAGAAAATTAAAATAATCTTAAAATAATCTAGATATGCAAAAAACAAAATAAAGTATGACCATACACGGTTACACGGACGAGTAATTTGTGTGGACAGAGAAACAATGTGCAAAAAGAGTAATAAAAAACGTGATTTCCAAATACATTTCACGCTTAGAATATCATCCAGAGAGAAAATAAATCGACTCATTCCTGCACTCAAATCAACCCTCAGGGGATAAAGGGACAATGTAATTCAATAAAATACATTTTCACAACCAAGAACCAGTCCAAACCCTCAGGGTTCACTTAGTTTTGATTATTTACACTCATAAACATGCCGCTTCGATGACATCAACAACATCCCGAAGGGATTCCTGGAATTTAACCAATATAGAGAGTAATGCAACAAGTAATGAGGACATGGTTGTGGAGAGCAAAAAACAGTCAATCTACATCCACCTGACATCGCTATCTTGTCGTTTACACCTTGAGGGGATACAAACAAATGAAAGGGATTAAGACCGGATAAACAGATTTAATCCAGCAAAATGTGAATCACCAGGTTTGTTTACTGTGAGAGAATACTGTAATTACAAATTGCAAAAGATGTTATCAGATGACTGTATATATAAAGATAATCATTGATCAGAAAAGATGTAATCCCGAGCAATTACATCACAAAACAGAATAAAAGTACGGTCTGCCACATTTCCCTTACATCCCCAGCGCCCTTTACGTGTTCGACATGGGAAATAAGTGTAAAAAAGAATAAGATTTCAGACATTTCAAAGTTTACTCTTTTATAGCCTGCGGCTGAGTAATTCTCACAACCGTAAAAAAAGATGTAAAAATAGACGAAGATCTATGAATAGTAAGTCTCAAATGCATGTGAGGGACATGTGGAATCATCCAAGTGTTTGGATACACTCGTTTATGCAAAAGACCCTTTTTGCATAAGAAATGAATGATCTTACGCAAGATTGTGTAATCGGCTACAGTAAAAAAAAAATATACACATAATAGTATAATAATAAAAACATCATCTTGAGAATAACTGATAAACGCTCTCACATATACAATTAAGTAATTACCGTATCCCAGCGACCACCTACACTTGATTTTAAAGTGTAAGGGCTAATGAAGCCGGATGTAAAAGTACAACTACAAGGGTGAATGTATGAGTTGTGAAACTTTTATGATTCGTCTGGAATAGATTTAAAAGTGCAGACACCGCAGGATATCGACTTCGTTTCGAATGGAGGCCAGACAAATTACCTTAAAAGGGCATATAAATTGAATAAAATTAGGAAATCTATTCATTAAAGCTATTCAATGTCGTATTTTAGAGAAAATAAAGAAATTTGAGTGTTGAAAGGTTACGGGTGTAGAGACCCAGTCTGGAGAATGATTTTATTTATTCTCACAGTAATTCCCCCCGACAAGGTGCGACTCGAAGCTTCCTTTCCGTTTCTTTGAATTATTTCTCCGCCGAGCCTCCGCCGATTTTCCTAAAATTTAGATTTTTCTGGAGCTGAGATTTACCATTTTCAATCAATTGAATTTCGAAAAAAATATTCCGAACTGACGTTTCAACACTTCCCCAAAGTTTAAAAAATTATTTTCGAGCCGAAACCGCTGCAACATAGAAATTTTTTGGATTGATTTTCAGGGTCAGCGCCCGGGTTGCGACAGGTCGGGTCAACGACACTTTGGGTCAACGATACCGTTTAATATTTTCGTTTCGGGACTTGGGAAGAGGAATTTTTTGAAGAATTTGAAGAAATTTTTGAAATGTTTTCGCTTCGGGATTTGGGAAAAAGGATTTTTTGGAAGATTTCAAAAATCATTTTCAAAATTTTTGCACGGGAATTGTCTCGCAAAAATGTGAGTGAGGGGCACGGTCGGGTGCGAATGCAAGCGAGTGCTGCAGGGTGTGGTACTCTTGCATATTTTGGGTTGAGTACTGATTGTGAGATAAAACGAAGCAGATTTCTACATCGAAAAATATTCAACCTTTCAAAATTCCAAAGAAATTTCCAAGTTTGAGCGTTTTTAGCTCGAAAAAAATCTTTCATAAATTTGAGAAGGTATAATAATTGACCTTTGTATTATAAAGGTAAACTTAAATTATGTTTTTCATAACGAAATCGGTTGAAAATGACGATTTTCAGCTTTAGAAAAGTCTAAATTAAAAAAAATCGGCAAAGTCTCGACCGAGAAAAAGGAAGCTTCTAATGGCCGCCCTGTACACTTAAGAGTGTAAAGCTCTGGGATTTGACCCAGAAAAGTTTCTCATCAGACATTAATACTACTTTTATATGTGCTGAGAGTAAGATGATATGTTGTAAAGCGAAAAAACAGCTTGTGCACTTTTAGAGCGGCCATAAATTATTAAGCACAGAATGCGGGATGCCTTTATTTTGGGTGTAGTGACATGCGCCGGTATTTGAAATACGTAGAAATACTTAATGTAACCGCGTGTTTACTCACCGACGGTAAGGCAAGTGCAATTTAGATGACATTGGGAAACAATTTGAATAACACGCAGCCTAATTACCGGCCATTGTTGTATGTATAATTATGCACTATCCTCCAGATTAAATAGATACACAAAATAAGAGAACTTTGTCGATTGTGGAAAACGGCAGTTGTCGAAAATAAACTGATTTTTTCGCTAGCCAAATTCATAATTGGCTAGCGAATCCTCCAAAAGCTCCATTTGTAGTCGCTTTCAACTTCTCATGCCTTTAATTGGCCCTGAGATCCTAACCTCTGCCCGAAGGCCCAGTATTTTTTTTATAAAACTGCGTCTAACATGTGTTTCAGACCTTAGGTGTATCAACAGCGCATGTCAAGTTGAAAGAGACTATGAATGAAATTTCTGTGAGGATGGACTAGCGAAGTATGGTGTTGGCCAGTCAGAAAAGCAACAAAACTTATTTTACTTTCTCCCGTCGTCGAGGTCCGAAAATAAGTTAGACAAAACAACAATCCAGTGTTTTCGGGGAAGATACGAAGCCAAAGGCGTATTATTCAAAAGATTCCGCACTTTTCACACGAGATTAGAGACCCAATATTAACATTTGGGTCTCTAATCTCGAAAAAAATCTTTTTTCAAAAAAATATCTGAAATGATAAGAAATATCATAGACAAACAAACATTCCCTTTCCGAATTCAAATCAACTGACTCAGCATTTATAGGACCTCGCAGAAAAAGTTCTAGATATATTATACTTCAGAAATAATGATACGAAGAGTACCCAAGATAGGACGATATACAAGACGTACATCCCACAGTAAGAGGTATCCGGTGTGCCCTTGCATTACCTATACTCATAAAAAACGATAACCCCATCATCCGACCGTCCTCCCCGCAGGCAATTACGTCATCCAAGTGGACATGATCAATATCATTAGAGGCGAATGCTGTTGGTTGTTTATTCGCGACGTAACCAGCAGCGAAAAAGAGTGTCAGAGTCGCGCAAAAAGTCCCGTCTCTCCACCACTTTAACTTCATACTACGTTGTTCGGATGAGTCATCCCCGCCACGCTCTTTTTTCCCTTCCAATTTTTCGAAAAGAGACAACAGAAGAAGAAGGAGAAGATGGGGAGGCGAAAGATCTGATTCTCTAACATTCTCCGGTCTTATCTTCCACAAACATTTAAATAATCCATCGTTTAATTTCTGACGTCGCGTTTTCCGCAGCCATTTTCTTTGTTGGAACGAAGTGTCACAAATATTATCGTCTTAAAAAAGGTTGCAAGAAAATTATAAAAGTGCAGATTGACCATGAGATTAGACCCAGAAGGACGTCTGAGAGAGTAAGGAGTGTAATAGTGTGGTCATGTGATGGTAGAAAGGGGCTCTGACATTGTTGATATGAGTAATATAATTTGAATAGACTCCCCCGTCCTTTCCATGTAAATACGTCTTTTGATTACAGTATTTATTTCCTCAATCCCACCCGTTTTAACCTTTCTCGGTCTTTATCGTCGTGTGTTGCGACATCCCCTTTCTCCCTTCCCAATACAACTGTGCTTAATTATGCAAAGGAAGGCGTTAAAGGACAACTTTATGTCTTACTATTTAGATTACCCCCCTTTTCGTCGAACCAACCACATTATCTTGCCATTCCTTCCGTTTTTGTACTCTGGTTGCCTCAGGAAATGTGTCAAGAATATATTAAAGCGAACATATATAATTAATTGACAATAATGGGCAGTTATCGGTTTATGAACCTTAATTAAACGAAAATTTAAAAGAAATCTCAGCAAAAAGTGCAAACCCAAAAAATTAAATAATCAAAATAATACAGTAATGAGACCCGAAAGGAAAATAAAGTACAAAGTCGGTAAAGTAAAGTGCCTTCTGGTAAAAGAGAGCCTCAGTAATCCAGGACGGCCGGCTCTAGGGCCCAATAATTCCGACATTTGGGACAAGATGGGAGATAATCGTTGCTTTTCTTGTGCTCATTCCATTGGTCGACGCATTCCTTACATCCAATCACACTCAAACAGTACATACAAATCTTGGGTTCGGTGGGAGTGGAGGTCAAGCAAATGCTACAGCCGTCTACTTTCACTGTGTAAGGGTGTTCTTCATGGCTAAAAACAGATAAAGACAAGAGAAAAACTTACTATCTGGCAGTTGTAAACCATTCCACAAGCTCTTGTTGGGTAACCAACCTCTTCTCGAGCTTCGAATGGACATCCGCTTTGATATCTGCCAACCAAATTTTCTTTTCCTCATCGAATTCGTAGACTTTTTCTGCTTGAGTTAACAACTTCAGATACTCTTTGAGGGTCTTGAGGCTCTGTTGTAACTCGTTTCTTCGCTCTTCCATCAATTTTGTCTTCAGTTCTTCCGCTTTTTTAATCTGAGCTCGAAGATCGTCAATCGATGTGGACATCTTTCTTAGAGATGAACTAAAAATTCAAAAAGGTTCAGGTAAAAGTCTTCGACGCACACACATCAATAACAAACGTAATGTCATTACAAAAGAAAGAAACCCTATCAATTTATCTTATTTTATGAGTTTTGGAATGTTTTCTTTAAGATGGTTATCAGAAAGCGTGATATCTGGGTGATCGACAATTCAGAATGAATGCAGGGGCATAAATTACAATTACATTGTATTGTAATTATTGATAAGGAAAGAAAACGTCGGATCCCTCGTGACCTGGAGGCAAGTTTAAGACCTCTGGGGAAAAGAGAAAAGACAGGTGGCCGGTCGGAAAAAGATTTTCTAAATCGCGTTTTTTCTTATGTTTTCAAGAAAATAATCTAAATCACGCAGCCAGTCAACAAAACAGGCTTAGAGTTACTTTTTATCAAAGAACTGCTATACTTTTATGAAAATTAAGTTGTAAATTTTAATATTCACACATAGAAAACCATAAAGCGATTTCAAAGTTAACGGAGTAGCCTTCAAAGGACAATCCAACTTCTTCATTCGCTGGAGGAATCTCTCCCAGATAATTCTTTGCTCAACGCACCGATCCTCTCAGATTCCGAACCTACTCCTTTATCAGTATTACAAAAAATTTCCAAAGCAGTTCAATTTGAAAAATGAAACGAAAAACTCATTTGACGTAACGAAAATTACGCTAATTTGACGATGTGACGGACGCGCCAAATTAACGGCCAATTTTATTCAAATTATCAGTTAACGTGATACATTTTAATGTTGCATTACGTATAATTAATGCCTTCCGTAAGCCTCGAGCCTTTACAAATTTTCAAAAAAAAAAAAAAAACTCAATGTTCCGGCAATAGGGTGCCCAAAGAGACCGGCTAATTTCTGGTTATTAATTTTTGCAAAAGGAATGAGAAAAACGGTCAAAAACGGCGCAAAACATTTATTTATATCGATGTCGGCCGTCTATTGTTGCTCTTGATCCACTGGGGAAGTGTAACTGGAGGTGCGGTAGAAGCAGCACCATAGGGAGTGGAGCACTGCTGGCAACCTTTACAATGGCAATCAGTAACAATAAATAGTCTTTACTTACCAGAAAATGAAAAGAAGGAGAATGCTGATAAACACATGGACGTTCAACTCATCATTCCGGATGAAAACAGCGAGTGGCTGTAATAGTATAACAGTATTATGTTAAATAAATTGAAAACTTACCGGCAAAATAAAGGATAAGATCAACCAGATGATTTCACGTGCTCCACATCCGTCAGACATCTTTGTTAATATATTCTGAAGAGTTAGACAACAAGATATACAGGATTACAGAGAGGTATTCAAAACGGTTCACAAAAATAGAGAGGGGAATCTCCTTTCGAAAATATTTCGGAATGCTCTTTTTGAATATGAATGACTCACCATTTCGGTGACCTTCCTGCGCCTCTTTTAGATTACCGGAGAAAAAGACCCATTTTATAAAATTTAACTACACATTAACTACACATACATATAATGGTGAATGAGGTCAAAAAATTGTTTCGTGGTTCTAAAATTATAATATTTTTTGGTGTAGGATGTTGGTAAAATCGTATTTGGCACATGTGAAAAAATTTTCCTTCCAGATCATATCCGTAGGTTGATGCGTCAGTAAGGAGCTGCGATAAGGGTTCCAAGCAGAAGATATGCTTTTGAGAACTCTGAGGTATGATTCTTTTTAAATTGAACTACTAATAGGTTGATTCAAAAGTTTTCCGCCATTTTTTCATGACACTTCAAAACAAAATTTCCAAGGCCTGATTGAATGTATGATAAAAATGAAATCATAGATGTATGGGGCAGCCCTTCGCAAAATTTTTGATTGGTAGTATCTTATCTTCTTCAAGTTTCCTTTCAGAATATTTCAAAAATATGAAAAAATTCTCCGTTTGTGTCAAGGTAAATATCCCGGGGCTAGTAATCTTATTAATCTTTCGAATTTTTGCCACGAACACTCGATTTCGGTGTTTTCTGATTTCAAAAATGACCGTCATGTTTTCTGATCGTTACTGTTTTCCTAAACAGTACTGCAAAGTAGAAATTTTTTAAACTTTTTTAAGTACTCCTAGTGCCGATTCCGAAAATATAGTTTTAAAAATGATTGATTTACAGTACTGTTTAAGAAAAAATAATGATCAGAAAAATGAATATTATTTTTAAAATCACGCCGTCAATTATCCTATAATTTCGACACTTACATGCAAGAAAAATAATTTTTTCAGTTTCCACAATTGTCTTTTTCGCCAATTGACGGTGTTCCAATGCATGGATAACCATCATTGGTTCCACTTGTAATGCAACACTAACAATATTGGGATGGTTACAACTTCGTGCTGATGGAGGCCTCTTTCATAAATTGACGTGCCCCAGGGCTTTAGCCTACTCGAACCCTCTTCGGCACAGCGGAAACCACGATTTAAAGAGCATCTCCACTATGCCCTGCCCATTTGCGACTTGAACCTCGTGAGGGTTGTCAAAGAGGATTCCACATTTTTTTACTTGCTTGGGATGACTTTTAACTCCAATTGTACATCTGCCTTGCGTTGAACTCCAAGTTACTTGTGCCTCGCAGTATTTGGAACTTTCGTCTTGCTTGATCGATTCTTTTTCGCATCTTATTCACAATAGTTTATTCCGAAAAGAATTCGCCTAAACCGATAAGTTTGAGTTAAGAATGTTGCAAGTGATGACATTTTTCTTCTCAAATATACGATAAGAAAAATCATTCTTCTCCCAATACTTCACTTGTGTTAATTTTTGTTCACATTACTCTTCCCGAAACATTTTCTTTTTTTTGATAAATATGAAATCAAAAGTTTTGTTTATATGAGATTTGTTTAGAATTCAACATTTATAATGCTCCTAAAATCAGATCATCTATCAGTCATGTTGCCTGTGACCTTTATCGTTCTTCTAGCCCTGAGCGGAGTTCATGCTCTGGGGCGCATGCAGAGTACTGCCGTCAGGGCCTCTCTGAGTTGTGATGGAAATCCAGCTTCTGGAGTGGTAGGTCTTTTCGGAGCTGATTTTTGATCCTTGTAGATGGTAAGACTCTATGATGAAGACAGAACTGATATGGATGATCTTATGAAAGAGGGATTAACTGACGCCCATGGCAAGTTCCAATTGATCGGACATGAGACCGAGATCACCAAGATTGATCCCAAAGTGAACATGTAAGTTTAACTCTGAATACAATATAGATTTGTAGTTACCACACTTGTGGACACACGGGTCCCTGCAAAAGAAAGCTGACCATCTACATTCCCGACAATTACATCAGCGAGGGTGAGACCCCTGGGAAGATGTTTGACATTGGCCACATCAATTTAAACGCCCGATTTGCCGGCGAATCTACAGATTGTATCCATTAGATACGAAACCTTTATTCGTAGTAAAATCTAAATGGTTTGAGAATTGTTTAGAGTATCTCTATTCCTTTTTCTCCCAATCATAAGGAAATTCGCTGATTCCCATTCCGACGAAGGTCTTCCTGAGGATTTTATAATAATTCTCATAATCTGGGGGATCGTAGTATTTGAGGGAATGAACATGGTTGGCAATGTCGATGTAACCCTTAGGGCACCCTTGATAGACCTCCAGAATGTAAGGCATTGCTTTGCATCGACGTTTGTAATCTCCAACCTGAAATGTAGACACTGTACATAGCGAATTACTTACCTCATTCAAGTCCTGAATAGTTTTCCAAGGCAAATTGCCATGAGTAAGTTCAGCAGCCATATACAGCCAAGTCTCCACATCATCCTTTCGTCCCAACTCTCTTTGCATATGACAAGCAATCGAGGCATATCTTACAGTACCCCTGAAGGCAGCCAGTTTCCTCGGTTTCTTGATGACTCCATTCTCATCGATATACTTCCGGCACATTCCAAAGTCGAGGATGTAAACCTTTCTGATTTCATTGGCCTCAGCTCTGCCGATAGTGTAATTTCCAGGTTTGATATCTCTATGGAGATAACCGACTCCATGTAGATCTTCCAAGGCTTCAAGGCACTGGATTGCCACACTGACAGCACATCCAGTTGTTAAGTACCCGTTCTCATTATCCTGGAATAAATGTTTTAAAGATTGCATAATATCAAATCGTTTGTCCTTTCGCAACGGAATCCCCTGGCTGCATCACTTACTTTTCGAAGTTCCTGCAGGGATTTCCCAACCAAAGACATGACGAGATAATTGAAGGTCCCAACGCGACCTTTACCTTCCAGGCGACAATGATGACGACCTCCACGCTCATTCAGCTCCTAAACTGGCATTTCTCATTCCCTTCGACATCACTTACTTGAAGGACATTAACTTCAATTTTGAGGACTTGAATCGGCTCGTTGATACCTTCCACTTTGAGGGCATAAAAGTCATTCGCGTCCTTTACTTTGTAGACAGCGCCTAAAGTATTTGAATAATGACTTAGAAAGTGGGAATGATACTATTTACCGAAGCCTCCTTCCCCAAGTTTCTTGACGACCTCCCACTTGTCAATCACCTTGCCAGGCTCCAGCTGAACTATTTCCAAGGCTGCCATCGAATCTTTGTATACAACCGCCTTTGATGAACCACTTTTTTGAAACTGTCACTCAATTGTTTATGCAAATTTAACCGAATGTAACAGAGGAAGTATTTCAAGTCGGACGCTCAGATTTTTCTTTGACGAGTCACAGACCCCACATCAATTCCCGAAAAATGTAGCTTGCGTCCCGAAGAGTTCGACAATGACCGTGCATCCAAAATGACCGCACGTCGATAATGACCGCCGAAAAAAATCCTGGAACAGGAAGGGGGCGTGAGGTAATCGATGGCATGGATTTCGAAAAAAATGTACAATTTTTCTTTGACTGTAGACGGTGGTCATTATCGATGGCGTTCTAATTTGCCAGTTTTATTGAGTTTTATTTATTATTTTTTATTGAAACTCTTTTGTGCAAATATTGCCCTCTAGGGTAGAAATACTACGCATTTTCAATAGGGTTCGGACGAGGTATATACCATCGGTATATTCCCGGGTATATACCCAGATTTCCGCGACGGGCGAATTTTTTGGGTATTTATGGGAATTGGCTGAAGAAAAAACAAACAGAAAGGCCAACTCATTACTCGGAGCATCCACGGAACGTGAAAGAAATTCGAATATTTATGTAAATTTTTCATTGTTAAAGCACCTTTTGCTTTTTTTGCACTCGGCGTGTTAGTTATAAAACTTTTAATGCCAAAATGCTCAAAAAGTGTTAATTTTTTTCCAACTTTCGGCCTAAAAATCTCGGTCGTTTCTGCAAAGCGCGATTACTTGCGGTTTTGCCAAGGGCTGGCATGTCGTAGAAAAAAAATATTCTATATTTCTCCAAAGTGTCATCAAAATTTGAGCGTCGCACTTGGGTCCCGTAATAAGTTTGATGTTTTGAGCAAATGTTTAATCTTGAAACCAGACTAGTCGTGACATAAAGTCCTGACACATTTGCACAGTGCATTTTGTTTTTCTTTCGGACCCGTCGCGGCAATTCCCCGTTTTTGCACTAGCGACATGCACTTTCGCGCGAACTTGCCACTTTTCTCGCGCGACACCCGCGACAAAATGTGTCAGGACTTTATGTCGCGACTAGTATGAGTATGAAACTGTAACGTCAAATGTAATTGATGAATTCAATAAATTTGGCTGACTTTGCACTTTTATTCGTTTCTTTCAAGATTGCTGAACAGCATTTGACAACTGATAAGGGACTCAATTTGCCTAAAACTTCATGTTCACGAGAACCGTCCAGATGGGATTTTCATTACAAGTCTGATCGTAATCCATAATTTTAATGTTCTGTATCTAACAGTCAGTCAAGGCTCAAATAACTCATATGGTGATCGATCGTCCCTTCATCATCGTATTTATATGATCCAGAGTCCAACCTTTTTTGGTGACAAGGCATTGGCTTCTGATAGTTTTCGAACAATTGCTTTTCAAACCAGAAAGCTTGTCGTATGATAAACCTCTCCCTAAAACAGTTTTCGGTTTGATTCTGCACAATGAGTACTTCTTATCAAACAAAAAAGGGGAACGAATTTAGGGTCCAGCCAGCATAACCAAAGGGAAATCAGCAACAGGTCTCAGTCTCAGGATGCCCTTTGACTGCAGCCACGAGTATACTTTACATGCCTGTCCCATGTGTTATTATACTGCACGTCAAAAGTTTGGAACAGGCCAGATCTTCTTTGCGGCTTGAGGTGGGAGTTTCATTTCTTTTTTATTAGATGCTCCATGTATTAAGAACCTCAATGAATACATAGCCATGGAAATCAGAAAGCTTGTTGGAATCTAAAAAAAAATTTTAAAAAATAAGTGCGTCAAAAGTTTGGAACAGCTTTTGGAAGGTGATTATAAACTTCGGGATGGAGGCAGGTATCCTCGCATTTAGTGTTTCTGGATGATGTATGGAACCGGCATGCCAATGGCATACTGATTTTCATCGATAAACCCAAAATGAAAAAAATGCTTATTGAGCCAAAAACTACGGTCAAATTTGCGAAAAAATAATTTTTTTGGTGTGGGTTCTCTATGTTATCGGTGTGTAAGCGTTCTAAGATATTTAATGTGGTCGCAAAATTGTACAAGGGCACTCAGATCTTCGCATAGGAACTATATCCGCACAGTATAATTTATGAAAATTTTGAGTTTTGCTATGAATCTTTATTTAATGTATTTTATATTTTTTATAGAGCGGCTTGGAGGCTAATTGGCTTTAACACCGTTATCGTTGAATAAAAAGGTGTCTTTAAGAAGCAGAACCTGGCCACGATTTGCAACATCAAGGCCACATCTTTAAAAATAGCGGGTATATGAAATGTTAATATTCCCATATTTTTTACCTTGGATTTGAAGCCGCTGCATGGCTCAAAACTAAGTGCCTTTATCGTTATCACACCGATACAGTTTTATAAACCAACTCTCCGAATTATCACGCCATAAATCCGGGTCAGATATGAATATTGACTTTGGGGACAAAAATTTTTTTTAATATCTGAGAGATGTGGCCTTGGATGTTGCAAGTAGCGTGGGTTTTTGTTTCTTGAAGACACCTTTTTATTCCACGATAACGGTGTTAAAGCCAATTAGCCTCCAAGCCGCTCTATAAAAAATATAAAATACATTAAATAAAGATTCATAGCAAAACTCAAAATTTTCATAAATTATACTGTGCGGATATAGTTCCTATGCGAAGATCTGAGTGCCCTTGTACAATTTTGCGACCACATTAAATATCTTAGAACGCTTACACACCGATAACATAGAGAACCCACACCAAAAAAATTATTTTTTCGCAAATTTGACCGTAGTTTTTGGCTCAATAAGCATTTTTTTCATTTTGGGTTTATCGATGAAAATCAGTATGCCATTGGCATGCCGGTTCCATACATCATCCAGAAACACTAAATGCGAGGATACCTGCCTCCATCCCGAAGTTTATAATCACCTTCCAAAAGCTGTTCCAAACTTTTGACGCACTTATTTTTTAAAATTTTTTTTTAGATTCCAACAAGCTTTCTGATTTCCATGGCTATGTATTCATTGAGGTTCTTAATACATGGAGCATCTAATAAAAAAGAAATGAAACTCCCACCTCAAGCCGCAAAGAAGATCTGGCCTGTTCCAAACTTTTGACGTGCAGTATACTTACAGCAGATACACGTGGCTTTTTAGTTCGTTGTTAGTAATTTCTTCTCTTTATACTCGCGAATATTCGCATTCTACTCGAAAAAGAAAAGATTTTTTCTTCTAAAGAAATCCAATGATGTATTCTATACGCACCGATCAGTCCGAGCTGCTTGAAGGTCGAGGATAACTTTTTGAACCGTTTTTTATATTTATTTTTCTCTCACTTCTGTTTACACTGTTTGCCCTCCTTCTGGAGTGACTTCCGATTGAAAACCGGAATCACTCGCTGCTCTGTCTCTTTTTTGTTGTTTTATTGTTAGGAGAGATTACACAACAGTTTATTCTAAAAAGAATATGTTCGTATTTCGGCCTGAAAGCGATATTCAGAACGGGGAGTCGTATGTATTAATAATATTATGTTTTTGGAAAATCATTTGTATAGTTAACGTAATTGAAGCAACACACCCTTTCCCCTTCCTCTTTACGAAATCGTATAAACGAAGACTTTGACTCCTTAATTAAATGGAGATTCTCGGGTCACATTATTGAATGTCTACGTCGTAAGCCGACTTGTTGAGCTTTCTCTTTTTTGGGGAACGATCGGCTTACGGGTCGGGAGTTTAAAGAATTTAAATCCGTCAACGCGTTACACGGACCGAACGCTTTTCCATATTCCACTTGTTTTATTTGATGATGACTATTGAGTTTGCATTTTTGTGAGCTAATTTTTGATGACTGAAAATCAAATCCCAGATTGATGACTAATGACAATTCACGCCTACATTCGTCGTCATTAAATTTGCTTATCACTTATGACTTTAAAGACTTTTTCGAAACCAAAGGAACCCTTGCCCTAGGCAGTCTTCTTCTTAAATTTTAGACGTTTTTCCGCGACAAAAAAGGATAATTTTATGGGTTGACGTCTTTTTTGCAAAGCTTTATCGGTCCAGAATCAATTCGTTTGTTTAAAAAAGGTTAGTTTTTCTTGGACTTGTGTTATATTTCTCCAATTTTAACATAAGGTTGTAAAGTTGCAGAGTATGAAAATTATAAGAACTAAATTTACACTTTCAAGAAATTTTACATTACACAGCATGCCGAATGATTTTTGCTGCTACCTTAGCGCTTATACTCAATCATTTCTTGTCGTTTTGTTAATTTTTTTTAAATTGATTGTATTTTTTTCAGGTTGATACCTATATGGTACTGCACTGTGATCTTCCTTTGCCGGTTTAATTGGCCCCACTTGACCTTTTTTCTCGTTTTCAAACCCTCTTTGTCCTCAATTCTTTTTGTTTCGACTTCCGTTAAACTGAGGTCATCAAAAAAATGGAGGTCTCCACCGCTCCCAAATATTAAAAGCATTTTCTGAGATTCCCACTTCAATTGAAGTCCCACTATTTCAAGGTTACCGGCTTGGGATAACCGCCTTTTTGCTGATTCTACACGCGTTTTTTAACCTTATTTTACCCGGCCCTACCTCTTTCCCTCACCCTCGACCCAGTTATTTTGAATGGTTCTCGAAAGGTGTGAAGAAGGGATGGGCGCTGATCCACTTGACGAAAACAAACAGATTGAGCGAAGAGAATGACCGTTACACAATCCCCCGCTCCACTGAAACCACCACACTGAAATTGAGCTCTGCGATGACCTTGTCCGTCTTGTTTCGCCTCTCGAATCCCCTCTATTTACCTGCGTTTCTCACATTTTCCGACTTTTGGCGTGACTCTTGTAATTCTTTTTCCTTGCATCGTTTAAGGGTCTTTTCCTGAATTTTATTTTGAATATACAAACACAATTTTTAGTTCTACCTTGGACCTTAATTATGGAGTGCAATGCCGTCTCCATCTACAAATTACTTCTGCTCACATTGGTGTCAGATTACGACGCGCTCATATATGTATAAATAATTATACCTGCTTTGCGCAACCTCAAACTAAGCCTACCGTTATTTAATCTGGTCGAATTCTGACGCAGATTGATTTAATGGTACTACGGTAAAAAAAATATAACTAATATAGATTTATTGATCTCATAAATCACGTCTTATGGAGTCTCTCTGTTCCTTGTGTGATTTATTCCCCATCAACACTAATTACACCTGACTTTTCAAGTATTTCGGTTATTACTCTTAAGAGTTTTTTATACCAAGAGTCGGGGGTTATTGCTCTTTAATTTTTCGACTTCTTAAGGGTGTTTTCATGATGAATTTCTGTAAGGAGACTTTGAAAACTCATGAATAACCTTGGGCTGAATGATTCGATTCATAGAAATACGATTCCTTAATATTCTCTCCGTTACCACCCACCCCTTTCTGAGAATCCCCATCGCCGACTTCAATCTTCCTTATTAAATCTGGGTTTGCAACCTTTTTACGTACCATTGCAATAAATCCCTTTGCTCGAGAATTTCGAGGGGATACCGGATCAAAAAGGATTTTATTTTATACCCACAATTTTTTGACCACATTACTATGCACTTTTCGACCCAATTCGACCAGATTCGATGATTGTCAGGTGGTAGGGTACTTTTTGCGTTTTCAGATGAAATGCACTTTGGTTTAGGAAAATCCGGCGGATAATCTCCCTGTCTTTTAAAGTTTGGCGCTCTCGTCAGTTTCAATCAGAGCTGTAGCGTTACAAAACTCCTCCAAAAACAGTTTGATGTTCGAGGAAAACGGAAATAGACGCCGCTTTCGAGGTTTTATTGCATTTCTAGGTGTTCGCGAGGTTAATTAGTAAGGGGAATTCTTCCTACCATCATGCTGACTTTACTTTTTGTTCTGTAAATAATTTTTTCCGCATTTGTCCAAATTATTCCTTTTTAATTATAATACAACCCCTAAGAGTCTTTAAGTTCTAGATTAATTCCGTAACCTTATTTTACTTGAAGAAAAGCTCTTCCTCTTTTAAAACAATAACTCATTTTGAACATTCCACTTATCATATCTGAACAATGCCTGTCATCTCGCTTCCGTCCACTGTCACGTGATCGATCGACGTCTTCACCTTTTGCTTTTTTTGGATTCCAGAATCCCCGTGGAGTTATCTTCAGCTTCTCTTACAATCATGGGTCGCGCAGGGAGACGAGGTTTCTGATGAGAAACAGGTTCGCTGATACCGCCGTCTCTTATTTGTCCGTTGCTTACATTCCTCCTTCACGAGAACCGTGAAATCAAGGGATGTTTTCTGTCAAGATTGAACCACCCACATCTTTAACTTTTGTTTTTTTGTCACCAATATTGCACTCTAAAGGTCATTTATCCTTTCCTTCGTAAAAGTTTCATCTGATAGTAAGTAACTTCGGACTGGTGACCTTGTCCATACTTTTGTTTTTACTGTGTTGAACTCGTTTATTTTGAGTTCATACACAGATCAAGACGTTAAAATAAAAGTACATGCAGACGAATAGTTTCAACTTGATAAGTAATGTTCTCTAATAACTCCGATAACTCTGTGAATGTTCGGAGGTAGGCATGTTTGTTCATAGTGTCATCTTGTAAGGCGTTTTGTTATCAATTTCTTCTCGAGCCTATTTAAATTGACTTATTCAGTTTAGTTTAAGAGTAAAGAATTAGTTTGACTACTCTCATTTCCCAATTGTAATTGATTGTTCGCCCCTATTCGCGACTCTTTGAAGGAGAATTTCGTGGACTAACTTTTGTACATTCAAGTCCGTCGAATTGGATTGGAAAGCGCCGCCCTGCCCGTGCCGGCTTCCTCCACTGAGTTAATCGACCATGCATTGATCGAGTTCTGGACGGCATTAGAAATAGAAAGAATCAACCTCAGAGGGGTCCAGTTCATTTTCTCATTCACTGATCGTCTTCTTTATCTACTAATTTTACTTTCCGACCCAACTATTGCAAAATTTTGGCATTCGCGATGCCTGCTTGTGCTCCCGCTTTCAATCGTATATTGGATGATCTGGCTAAGCGCCAATTAAAGCTCGATTTTGAGTTTGGCGGGGAACGGGTGCATTACGAAGCCCTAAGGAGCATTGGAAGCGGAGCCTTTGGAATCGTATGCGAAGCTAAAGACAGACAAAACGACAAAAGAGTAAGCGCAGGTGTTCGAAAAAATATCTTTTGTCATAACTTTTATATGTTTTATGTCATATCTCCTTTACGAATTTCTAATACGATTTTCTTCAGGTTGCAGTAAAGAAGATTGGTCACGCCTCGGCGACACCAACCTTGGCTCGTCGGACCATCCGGGAGATCCGAGTTCTCCGGTATATCAAGCATCCAAATATTGTTGCTCTTCGAGATGTCTTCAGGACAAATGGAAGCCTCGGAATGAATGTATTCTTAATAATGGATCTCATGGAATGGAGTCTTCACCATGTCATTCATGGAAGCGCTGAACCTCTTGATTTCGACCTCATTGCCCATCTTTTAATGCAAATCCTTCGGGGTCTCAGAGTAAGCAAAAACAAAGGTTGAGAGTGTTGTAAAGCTAGCGCCCATTCTTCCTTATCATTTTTGAGTGTAACTGAACCTTTGCCTTGACGTTAGAGGCGATAAGGTTATTAATTGATAAGGCTTCATTTACTGTTGGCAATTTTATGATTTCCGTTTCAGTATCTTCATGCCGCTGGAATTGCGCACCGTGACTTGAAGCCATCTAATCTGTTGGTTAACAGTGACTGCCATCTTAGAATTGCGGACTTTGGCATGGCCAAGTTGGCCATTAAAAGTCCCATGGACGAGACGGATGAACATTGTTTCTACATGACACAACACATCGCGACTCTTCCTTACCGCGCCCCGGAACTTCTCTTCGTAATGTCAGAGCATTCAACGGCCGTGGATCTGTGGGCGCTTGGCTGTATATTTGCTGAAATGATTTTACGGAGAGAACTTTTCCCAGGTCGAAGCGTCGGCGGACAGATTAAACTCGTCATTAATCAGCTGGGAACCCCGCCAAAAGAGGTGAGTAACATTTGCTTTGAGCCAGGCTGAATAATGAGTACACAATCACCTGCTTCTTCCGTTTCACGTCACTAATTAAACCGCTTTAGATGATCGATGAAATCTGTTGTGAAAAGACAAGGAATTATCTGACTAGTTTTGGGCAATTAACGCCCAGGTCATGGGAAGAGATTTTGATCTCTAAAGATCACGAAACAAACCCCGCGGCCATCGACCTCATCTCGAAACTCACCAGGATGTCTCCCCATGATCGCACGGATGTCTATGGAGCAATGCAACATCGATTCTTCCGACCCTTCGTACAGACAATTCCGAATGAACCAACTTGTCCGTTCAAGGTGAGAACTTTAACAGAGATCACAAATTCTGTCGTAGTGATAAATACCACAAATCTCTTTTAAGGTGAAAATGGATATGGCTGCAGTCGAATCCCTTTCACATAGTGAACTCATCTCCATGTTAGAAGAAGATGTTAGATCTGCTGAACCATCAGATCCAACCGAACCACGACAAACTCGGCTTCGTTCAGATCAAATGGCGTCATCTTCCGGGGCCTCATCCAATGGATTCTCTCTCAGTGATTCCTCAGGAGATCAAGTCGACGAAAAGGAACATAGTCGACGATCGTTGTCCTCAGCGTTTTATTCCGAGGACGAAGAAGCCCAGCGACGAAGAGAACGGTCGGTTGAGATCACTGCATTGTAATCTCGTTTTAAAATTAAGTATCATAACATTACGGGTCGCAGTCTTGTTTTTAAAGGCTTTCTGTTGTTCATTCCGCTTTCCTTTGTAGAAAATACTGCCTAAACATAAGTGAATGGTATATCCGTCTTATTGTTGATAATTATTTCAATCAAATATGCTCAAAAACTGATGTTAACTTCTTTTTTTTGTACACACTTTCACACAACCTTCATGAAGATTTCTTCGGATTTGAAGTAAACCTTATGACGCAAGATGTTAAAATAAAAAGGACCTTCACCTACGAGAAAACCAATCGAAACGTATGTATATAACAACAAAATAACAACAAGTGAGTATAAAACTACAGTAACACTAAACAATAAGGCGCTATAAAGAAAAATGTACCTCAGTCCAGAACGATTATTTGCGGTTTTGCCATATCCCGATTATCCAAAATCAAATTCTCAACTCTCTGTATAATGGCATTCACGGATTCCACAAGACGAACAGAAAACTGATGGGCTTCCAGGTCTGCCTTCGATCTTTCATCCTCTGCTGATTTCAACTGTCTGGTAGCTCGCTTCAATTCATGCTAAAAATTACCAATGATTTTAATCTCCCTCTCCTTACTTCAAACTCGTAGATCCGAGATTCAGTTTTTTTCCAGTCTCGCACTTCATCTTGGATTTTCAAATACAAGTCCACAATTTTGGCTTTTTTATCTTTGAACGACTTTCGAACATTACGGAAGAAATTGTTGGCCTTGAATAATACCTAAAAGAATATAACTTTGATAATACTTAAAGATATACCTCTGATGGATCGGTGAATCTCTCAACTCTTGGCTTTTTCACCGTCAACTTTACATTGGTTGCAAATCTTTTAAGAGACCGACTCGGGGATTTTGGTGATTGTTTGATCGGTTTCAGGGACTTTGAAGGAGATTGTGCAGCTCTGGGTGATGGATTCGGCAGGGCACGCCGAGGAGTAACTTCCTAACAAAATTTTACGTCATAGATTTAAACTTACTCGACTACTACTGTTTGAAGAGGCTTCTTTCCACGTTACATGCTAAACAATCGAAATTGCATTACAAAAAAATTACCTTATTTGACTTCTTTTCTGGAGTTTTCAGGTTGGATCTAGGACTTTTTGGAAGCATTGTGTAAAATTGCATAAAACTCAAAATTACTTTCTAAAAATAATTGAATAAATACTGTACGCCATGTAAGTCTTCGCCGTGGGACCAAAAATACATTTTTGCTGTACGCACGCCAATTTTTCTTTTTCTATACACGCGCGCGCGTGTACGCCGCACGGCATTCTGTACTTTTGGGACACAACCGGTCTCCATGATTTTTTTCTATTTTTTCAAAGTAGACCTCCTTCTTTAATACATTGCTCGCTAGCCGTTGAAGCTAGAGACTTGCAAATTGGCATGGGTATAGAGTAAATGTTCCGCTTCCAGAATATATAAATATTGTAATGAACCCCGCGCTGTAAGCTCCACAATAAGATGCGAAAATATTTCATTCTTAAAACTTCTTGCACCTAAAAGGTCATTATGCAAGATCGAAATGACAAATTTTAAAATGCTGATGTGTGCAGAATTTTTTTCTCTATCAGATACTTAAATTTCGTGGAGATGTATACGAAAATGGCTGTGCAAGGTACGAAAAACTGAGTTTCATAGTGTGTTTTTTTGAAATTTTTGGAATATCTCTGCCCTCAGGGCACAGATAAATGAAGTTCCGACTCACGTTTGTTGCCGATGATGACATATGTAGGCTTGCCAAATTACAATGTTATATCTTCAAAATCAAGGGAGCTATTTGCTTTTCAACTTTTTTTCTCACTGATGTACAACAACGATGTCAAGAATGTCCAACTATGGATTGTAGGCCTCGAAGAGCTCTACAAATTACCCGCTTACATCTTCTTCGTATCTTTAAAATTACGGCCGCCAGGGCGGCCGGAAATTTCGGTCGATTTTTGGTGCACCGTGCGAAAAAAATCGCCCTCAGGGCAACAAGCGGAACCGAGCAAATTGATCATACGGGTGCTATTGGGAACAAAATAAGCTACCATAGTGCCAAGTTTCAGGTCCGCTACCTTCACTATCCCCCCACAAAGATGGGCTGAAGCCCATTTTTGATAAAAAAGTTGAAAAGCAAATAGCTCCCTTGATTTTGAAGATATAACATTGTAATTTGGCAAGCCTACATATGTCATCATCGGCAACAAACGTGAGTCGGAACTTCATTTATCTGTGCCCTGAGGGCAGAGATATTCCAAAAATTTCAAAAAAACACACTATGAAACTCAGTTTTTCGTACCTTGCACAGCCATTTTCGTATACATCTCCACGAAATTTAAGTATCTGATAGAGAAAAAAATTCGGCACACATCAGCATTTTAAAATTTGTCATTTCGATCTTGCATAATGACCTTTTAGGTGCAAGAAGTTTTGAGAATGAAATATTTTCGCATCTTATTGTGGAGCTTACAGCGCGGGGTTCATTACAATATTTATATATTCTGGAAGCGGAACATTTACTCTATACCCATGCCAATTTGCAAGTCTCTAGCTTCAACGGCTAGCGAGCAATGTATTAAAGAAGGAGGTCTACTTTGAAAAAATAGAAAAAAATCATGAAGACCGGTTGTGTCCCAAAAGTACAGAATGCCGTGCGCCGCGGCGCGCCCGCTTCAAAGCTCGTTATTCGAAATCATCCGCTAAAAAAGGTTCTGTCCGTAAAGGAGAAGTTCCTTATTGTGGTCAACGTATAACTTCGCGCAAAATAGCCAGTATTGGCCGAAGATTTTTTCCTCGTGGAATACATTTATTGATAAAACTTGTTGATCAACAAGTCTATCGATAGACCGGAATTGGTTAGCTAATTTCTACATATTCTCAATCAGAAAAATTTTGCGATTTTTTTTTTGATATTTGGGTCGAGCTGTAACCCCATAGAAGTACTTTCCTTGTAAAATATGTTCGAAATTCCGTGCCCCAACCTCCATAGTATAGTGGCAGCGCCAGAACTACCGATACGGCGACCCAGGATCGATTCCCACTGCGTGCAAATGGCGGAAAATGGACTTACAATTTGTTAAAAAGGTCGAAAGTTGAAAAACAAGGAAAATAAATTACGGAAAATTAATTTTATGCCATTGAGGCCCCGTTTGAAAGCTTTCGTCCGCATAAAATACGTTTTTTCTGAAAAGCTAGCCGGAAAGTGAGGCAATCTGGTTAAAATTTACATCAAAGGTTACGTGGCCTCCGGTATATTTCATTAATTTTTTTGACTGGATCACATAGTCGGAAAACTTGAACTGCCTTGCGCATCTAGCAAAGAAACGGAACACTTTGACGCTCTAATGATAACTTTACATGCTGTGAGCGTTTTTCAGAAAAACTATTTTGTGCGAATTCAGCGGGAACGAGTGAGATTTTTAGGTCAAAAGTTGGCAAAAATGACACCCTTTTGCCAATTTTGGCACGAGAGTTTCATACGAGAGTATGATGTTACCACAAAAAATCAATCTTTCCCGTACGAAACTGGCTAAGGTAATAATATTATTATTTTATTATGGCTCAAAAGTGTTTTTCTCTGTGACCGCTCTCCGCGTTTCATGTACTCCCTCGACTGCGCCTTCATTCGTAGTCACGATGACGAATTTTCTGGAAGTTTCCGGAATGTTCACATTTCGTAATTTCCGTGATCAAATGTCGAAATTCAGCTTATTGTATATCCCACTTACTACTCTAATTCCCGCCCATTTGCATCTCTGATTGTTAGAGTTGGTCTACGTCGATCTTGGCCCGGGACGGGTATAAATACGGAAAGTTTGGCGTGAGGAGTTCCTTTCTCGTCGTCTGGTGAGGGTTTGTTTTGTGTTTCAGAGGTTTGTTGTGTGAATTGTTTTTATTCAGAAGCAGGGATAAGTGAAAAATTTCTTTCCGAAGGTTAGTTACTGTTAATTTATACATTTATGTCTCTGTAAGTCGTTTTTGGTGTTTGTTTTTCATAGATTACCCTTAGTGTGTACCTAAAAATAGTAGGGGTAAATTGTTTGACGTAAGTGGACAATAATCTTAATGGGTTCTCTGTAGATGCGGCCAACCTTTGCGTGTTTTAAAGTTTGCACGTACGGGTTTATCGCGCCTTTCGCAAATCTCTTTCTCTATGTGTCTCTATTTCTCTGGCGCTTTCTCCTAGTTTCCCTCCCTTTCGAAAGCGAAATTTCGGGAAGCTTTTTCTTTTCTCTCCGAAAGCGACCTTCCTCCTGCCATAACGTTGTGCTGCAATATTATTTGAAGAATCGCCAAGTTTTATTCGACTTTATCAACAAGGTACGTTTCGCTTTAAGTTTTGTTTCAGATAATGGGCAACAATCAGAAACAGTTTCCAGGTAATCTGGAACCGCGTCATGATCAAGACCGCTTGGGCAATAGCCCTCCTGTCCATGGAGATGTGCAGAATCGAAAAATGACGGAGAAAGAAGGGTCTGGATCCAGCCTCGAAAGTGCGGTGTCCTCCAATAACAGTCAGAAGTCGGAATCCAGTGGAGATGGAAAGTCGAAACACCGGAAATCTCCTCAATCAAAGACTGGAAGCAATCGGATGGTGGTGAGAAGTCTTATTCTGTCCGAATATTTGGCTGGTCGTCGTCCATCGGAAGCCGTTGAGAACGTTCGTGCCAGAAGTACGAGAAAAAATTTGGGATACGACACTGTTCGTGCATGGTATAAGAAGTTCGATGAAGGTGACACCAATTTGTCCGACGAACCACGGTCTGGCAGGCCTGTTCAGATTGATATTCAGAAGGTGGGGATTCCATTTTTTTTGTTAAGCTTGAGTTAGCCTGGTGTTTTTTGTTAGTAAATTAGGTTTTTTTGAATTTGACTGTTAGTTTTACACTCGTTCTAATTTAGCTATGATGAAGAAGACGCACCAACAAAGCCAGGCCAGATGTTTGTTTTAGACAGGTAATTTTTATAGAACCTAATCTTACGGAAGGTTCTTTAGGTCAAGAGCTACATTACGGAAGATCCACAGCGCTCTACTCGGGAGCTGGCTGAGTACATGAATTGCCATCACAACACGATCGAGCGGATTCTTCATTCTCAGCTCAATTTGGAGTACAAAAATGGTCAATGGCTTCCCAAGCCTCCCAAAGCAGATAAACCTGGTCCTAGCGGGCTGAATGAGACCAACCGTCAACTTCTGAATGGCCTTGAGCAAGAAATTCAACACGTCGCGGGTCCATCCAACGCTCACTTGGGTCAAGACCGTTGTAATGACTATGGCAAGGAAGGCGGCCAGTGTGGCCCTCCATAGTCCAAAGATTGCTTCTACGATCAATGGATCATTTTGTTGTTATTATTTTGACCCTTAAAGGCAAAATAAATTTATTTGTTTCTCAAATTTGACATTGTCTTTTTTTTGTGGAGTTGAATATCCTGAGTTACTTTTATATGTTAATTAAGAGTTGGGAAACGGGATGGGACGAGGGGAATCTAGGAAATAAATTTTTTGACGTTTAGTTCTCCTTGTGAATAGAAGACAAGTCAGGGTTAGAAATAGAATTGTTGGCATTCCTGGTAGTTTAAAAAAATCTTGTTAAAAGACGTTTATTAGATCGAATGCGATCCCTTCTCGTTTATCCAGCTTCCTGCCTATCGCGTGGGAACAAAAAAAATGCAATATACGTGGCAATATAGCCTGTTTTTTGGCGGTTGTTTGTTTTTTGGCTTTAGAAATGATGTTTTATCTTATGTGAAGGCCTAATTCTTTTAATGGGTAACCTGGTGAAGGGTGTTTCTGAGCACATTTTAAAGTGGGATTGCGAGTTATGTTTGTTGTTTGTGTTTACTTGTGGAACTCTCTTCTATCATCCGCCTAATACACCGTACGGGGGTATTTATTTTGATAAAACGCTTTCGAAAGGGGTCTGACTTTGGTGTCTGTGAATAAAGTTATGTTCTGCCCAAGGTTATCAGTCACTTTCACTGCCCTGTTTGGATTTTGAAAGACTAACTCTTATCACGTTATTGGGTTTGTTTACACTGTTGGAAGCTTAAGTACCCGTTCGAAATTACTCGCGCTCTTTTTGAAAAAGCACGTACTCTGTGCGTGTTCCTTGGCCCCGGCCTTCCTTGTTTTTTGGATTTTCTTTTCCTCGGTCCCTCTTGGCATTTTCCAAAAAAATGTAAATTTTTTTAGGCTTATCAATAAAGGATGGCCCAGACCCAGGTCGGTATTAAAGTAGTGAAAACGAAACCCTTTGCGGGACAAAAACCTGGTACAAGTGGTCTTCGGAAAAGAGTAGGTTAATTTGAATTAGTCATTAATGGTCGCAAATATTACAGGTTCCCGAATTTCAACAAGAACACTACACAGAAAATTTTATTCAATGCGTTTTGGACGGTGGGCTAGGGGATGAAAAGGTTGGAGCTTGTCTGGTTGTCGGCGGGGATGGAAGGTACCTATGCCCGCAGGCCATCAGCGTTATAATTAAAATGAGCGCGGCTAATGGAGTAAGAATGATATTTCTGTGCATATATTTTTAGATTGACAAATTGATCATTGCAAAAGACGGCATCCTTTCCACGCCATCTCTTTCTCATGTTATCCGAGCCCGAAAGTACAATAATGGAAAAAAGATTCATGGTGGAATCATTCTAACAGCTTCACATAACCCTGGAGGACCAAAGAATGATTTCGGAATAAAATTCAATGGCGAAAATGGTGGGCCAGCTCCAGAAAAGGTTACCGACAAGATCTTTGAGTTGACTAAAACGATTAGTCAATACAAGATTTGCCCTGATCTTAACATTGATTTTGGCCAAGTTGGGGAGGCTGAAGTTGTGAGAGAAGGCTATTCGAGTATGACGATTCAAGTCATCGATGGGATTGACGATTACGTTACTTATATGGAAGAGATCTTCGACTTTTCGGAGGTATGCTGAATTTTTATTTGTAGAAGGGTTTATAACATTTTGTTAGTTGAGCCGTTAATTAGCAAAGGTGGGCGGCAACACAGGCTCTTTCCGGGTCGATTTTGCCATTTTCTTCATCGATCCAGTCGGCCAGCTTGTCGAGGGCTCGTTCGGAAAGGGTATGGCAGAGTTGCTCTAGTTTCTCAATCTTTCCGTAGTAGGTGTGGCAATATTCCTGTAATGTACTTATTTTCTTAAATCATGCTTTACCTTCACTAATGGCTTCAATGTCTCACGGTCATATTTGCCCAGTTCCTCTAACTTATCCTTGACACTTGTGAAAAGCTGCTTGCACGGAGTGCAAAGTCTTTCATCCGTGATGCTTGCAGTTTGGAAGTCCGAACTTTGATATTGGGCGATGTCGAGGGGGTTACGTGGATAATCGGCTAAAGTCTTGGACAAAGCCAGGCCAATTATAACTGACAGAATGAGAACAGTTCTCATGATTTCTGGAATTGTTATACCATTGAGGTTCTTGTCTTTTATACCTTAAATTCAAGATGGCGAGACGCGGAATATCAGGCTTAATGAAGTTTAAATCGGTTTAACTGGCATTAGTTTTTGCGATAAGTGGAGAAAGGGCAGAGTATAGAAAGTTACAATTAAAGATGCTTAAAAATTGATTGATACAAGGAAAAATTATTTGAATATATTTTTAAATTTCAGATCCGCCGGTTTGTCTCAGGGGAGTTGACTGGAAAACCGTTCAAGATCTTGGCCGACTCCATGAGTGGGGTTACCGGTCCATATGTGTCCACCATCCTTGTCGATAAGCTTGGCGCTGCGCCGGACTCTTGCCTCAGAACGAAACCTTTACCAGATTTTGGAGGAGGACATCCTGATCCCAACTTGACCTACGCAAAGGATTTGGTGACTCGTATGGAAAGAGGGGAGCATGATCTAGGTGTTGCTTTTGATGGAGATGGAGACCGGAACATGATTCTTGGAAAAAACGGATTCTTTGTTACTCCAAGTGATTCTTTGGCAGTAATTGGCGCCAATATTCAATGCATCCCATATTTTCTGAAACATGGCGTGAACGGTAATTTATTAAAAGGGGAAGGATTGGAGTGTGGCAAACAGAAGTGGAAAAATTGGTTAAAATTTAGAACGTAATTTTTTAAAACGGGGTAGGGCACTCGGAACTTCCAACATTATTTCATGCATTTTTTCCGTCAATAATGCACCAATTTCTATAAAATTTATATCAAATTTAACGCGCCATTTTCTGTCTACCAAGTATTATGCGTCTACGTTCACAGAGGAACCCGTACTGACCTTTGGAATTTTCATTCTAAATTTTAAAGCCCATAATCGGTGAAGCTAGAAAAAAATTTCGATGTTCAAGGAATGATATATGGTTAGCTCGAAACTCGCATGCGAAATTATAAGAAAATCTCTGTGCCCCACCTGAAAAGACTTACCTTGTTAGATACTGTAATTCGATGTTTCAGGTTTTGCCCGTTCCATGCCAACGGCTTGTGCTATTGATATTGTTGCGAAGGCAAAGAACCTCCCGTGTTATGAAGTGCCCACTGGTTGGAAGTACTTTGGAAATCTGATGGATGCCAAGAAATTATCTTTGTGCGGTGAAGAGTCTTTCGGAACTGGATCTGACCATATTCGTGAAAAGGACGGAATTTGGGCCTTCCTGGCTTGGCTTCAGATCTTGGCCAGAACCAGATCCAGTGTCCCCGAACTTATTAAGAACCATTGGAAAACTTATGGGAGAAATGTGTTTACGAGATATGATTACGAGAATGTCGATGCTTCTGGCGCTAACCTTATGATGACTTATCTAACTCCAATGTTGGGTGGTTTTGCTGGGATGGAATACAAGGCCAATGGCCAAACGTTTAAGGTTCTAAAAGCTGACAACTTCTCGTATACCGACCCTGTCGACGGATCAGTTGCTAAAGAGCAAGGAATCAGAATCTTCTTCGAAGGAGGAGCTAGGGTTATCTATAGATTAAGTGGAACTGGATCGGCTGGAGCCACAATCAGAGTTTATGTGGAAAAGTATCTTCAGAATGACGACCCTCAACTGGAGGCTCCGTCTGAGGTTCGTTCCACTTCTTAATATAACTTCTGATTTTATTTTAGGAGTTACTGAAACCAGCCATTTTGGTTGCTCTTCAAATATGCAAAATGGAACAATTTACCGGTCGAACGGCCCCAACAGTCATCACCTAAATCTTGCTCCTTAAGTGTTATAACAGGGGAAGGAAAGTTTAAAGAAAATCCGGGCGTCGCACTTGTAAGCCTTCCCCTGTAAGTAGTTTTTACAGTTTTGCAGCCTTGTAGTTTTTCTAGGAGTGCCTTATGGTTAGCTAAAAATGATTGTGATATCGAATAAATAAATAAAGACTTCTAAAGAACAATCACCGGGATTTTTTTTGTTGTTTTCTGTCTTCCCTGCAAATAAGAACGGTTTCCATACTTTGTGTGTTCTCTAGAGTTGGTGCGGATGTTATGGCGGGATCCGTGAACCGTTCTTTGACTTTGCTCGCCAGGCTTATTGCGAACCTTTGTACAGCTGATAAAAGAACAATATTTTCCCTTTGAGCAAAGTACGGGACGATGTTAATGTGTCTTATAAAAGAAGTTCGGTCGACTGATGGCGATCTCCTTCCTATTTACCTTTTCTTGTTTGATAAACCCCTTCTTTCTCTCATAATTGGAGTATAAACAAGTGGAATTATGTGTATTTGTGACAGTAAAGGGCCTTCTCCTTGGGTTTCTTATTCTATTTTTCACAACATAGTTCCTCCTAATTTCGTTTATTTTGAATTGCTTTCTCTCCCAATCGGTCTGTTTTCAGAAGATCTCCTATACGTGTGACCTCAGGGATGTCTGCCGATACCTTTGTGGAAGTTGGAGGGACCGGGAAGAAACTGTCCGAGAAGAATGTCGCTGTTAAATTTGCCGTTGATTTCTTAGCTGGAGGCGCTTCGGCCGCCTTGGCAAGAACACTCGTCGCCCCCATCGATCGTGTCAAGTTATTATTGCAACTACAGGTGAGAATTTACATTAATTATTCATCTGGTATTCTGTGATTTCATAGGTCTTATTTTAAGCATGCCCAACAAACAATTGCTGAAGACAAGAGATACAAAGGGATCATTGACTGCTTCGGAAGAGTGTTCAGAGAGCAAGGCCCTCTCACATTTTGGCGTGGAAACGGTGTAAATGTGGTCAGGATCTTTCCCCAACAGGCTCTCAACTTTGCTTTCAAAGATGCTTACAAATTAGGATTCAACAAAGTGGGATAAATTATTTTTATTTTGATGATGACAGTGCAATTATTACACAGATTTGTTCAGGATGTTGATAAGAAGACCCATTTCTGGCGATTCTTCGCAGGAAATCTCTTATCTGGAGGTTTTGCTGGAGCGACTTCATTGTGTTTCATCTATCCTCTGGACTTTGCTCGTACTCGTTTGGCTACAGATATTGGAAAAGGAGAGGCCCGGGAATTCCGAGGATTCTCTCATTGTGTATCATCAATTGTAAAGACGGATGGGATCAAGGGATTGTATCGAGGCTTCAGCTCTTCTGTTCAAGGAATCTTTATTTACCGGTAAGTTACAATCGCTGTACTAGAACTATTCTGATCATATGTTTTGAAACCTTATGTAGAGATTCATAATGCCGACATTTCTTTGAGCGAGGGTTTGCTGTTCCCACTTCCAAAACGACTTGCTTCTGTTAGGGCTTCATCCAAAGAAGTAAAAACTTGGTGACTATCGATTTGCATGTCTAACTTTTTTAGTCCCCTGAGTATAAAATCTGCAATTTTTTATGCAATCATTATAGCATTTTTACCGTGGACGTCGACAAAATAAACCAAACAGCCATCTTTTCGCAGCTCTAGGATAACGTCATTAAACTGCTTAAGACCGACGTAATCAATGTCACACATCGCAGCGCAATCAAAAATGAATATCTTAGGTTTCGGGGCGTGTGTTGGTTTGGGCCATCTTAGATATGTCTGTCTGACTTTCTTCTTGAAGATAGTAGCGTTTGTAAAGAGTAGCATTGACTCCAATCTAAAGACGGCGATGTGTTCTGATTCCGTATTTTTATTGAATTTGGCAGTCCAATATGGCCTAAATCAATTTGAACTCATTTTAATTATATTACCATTGCGTTCGAGCGGAGACAGCGAAAAGTTCAAATAGTACACCAATAGCCAGTCCGTAGATGACATCAGATAATAAGGAAGCACAGAATGTGACCACCCAAATCGAAAAATCCCATTTGCATAAACGCCAGAGTTTAGGAAGCTCGAAAAAACCCATGAATAAAGACCTTAGAGCGATAACCACGATGGCTGCTAGGGCCGACTAAATCATGGTTTTTATATAAAACTGCATCCCTTACCAAAGGCAAATAGTACATTAAAGGTCCAAACACTAACAGTACTGTTAATACCAGTAGACCACTTACAATATTGCACAGCTGAACAATCAATTTTAGTTTATAGAATAATAGTTTTCTTACCGGGGAACTACCTCCGCATTCATCGATAATAAAAGGTCGGCCAAGGCCGGTGGATGGAGGGAAAACTGGGGCGAATCCAACCAGGGATAAGGTGATCCCATACGCATATAATTCCTGGTTGTCATCTATCTCATACTTCTTTTTGACACAGAAAATTCGAGATAAACTTAAATGAACAGCGATGATGACTATAGACAAGGCGATTGCGTCGAAGATTAGGTCTTGGAAAAGCGCCAAGCGCGGTAACCTTGGTGTAGGGAGGCCTGTGGGGACCGTTCCAACCACTCGAACGTTGTGATTGACATCTATTTGTAGTATGTAAGCAGTTGAAATCATCGTTACTACCTAAGATTTCGTGATATTCGTAAAGTAACTCACCAATATTAGTTCATAGGGTATTACAAATTTCTGAGAAGGCCAAATCTTGGCTAAGATTAGGGTTAGGAGGAATTTGCAGAAGCACAAGTATAGGATTGAAACAACGAAGATACCAAATGTAACGATATTTGTATTGGGCACTTCCATTGCAACTTGGTAAATATTCTTAAGGAATATAGACAAAATATTGTTAGATTACTTTAAACATGTAACCAAAGCCATGAGAATGTGGTTTGGCAACTCCAAGAATTGTATCTAATTGAGTAACCAACACTTGGATCGCAGCTGCCGTAATAAATCCACTGACCAGAGCTTCGGAAAAGTATTCAGCGAAGAATTCCAGTTTCAAAACAGCGAATACAAGCTGAATTGCAAACATTTAAATGTGAATTACTAATTGCGATTACATACACAACATAGACCGACAAGAAAAGTGAGTGTAGAAACAATAACTGAGGGGTCCAGATCTTCTACATTGGCCATAGGTAGAAGAGATCCATTCGGGAATTCGTATTTACTCATAGTTTGTTCTTGGGAAGCCTTACACATGACAGATACGATGGCAAAGGGACCGAGAGATCCATGCATCCAAGAAGTAAAGAAGGGAAAGATAACAGCTCCCAGGAAGGTTGAATAGAGTCCATTCACAGGGGGGAGGCCTGCTAGGATTGCATAGGCCATGCCTGGAAGCGTCAATATTCGATTTCTTAAAATGGAATTACCTTGCGTGATATTAAAAAAAGCGATCATTATTCCAGCCATCAGATCCCCAAATAACTGCTGTTTTAAATTGTATTTTGGTATCCATGATAGAAAAGGAAATAAGCTTGCCAGGGAATGAAGGAAATAATCCAAAGAACTGAACGGCTTCACGTAAGATTTTGCGACTTTTCTGGAAAAGTTTGTTAGGTATATCCAGAAAAATCTGTTACCTCCAGGCCGGAGAATTGTCTGACCCAATAAGGCCAAATTCCTCTGAATCGATTGGCTTTCCATTAACGGAAACTCGTCGCATCCTTATTGAAGATACGACGTCGTTTGGAGTAGTTTGACGTTAAAGTGAAACCAAATTTGCAAGGTCTCGTGTGTGAGTTTTAGCCGATAAATATTCAAATCCTTTGCGTCAGAATTTGATTGCAGTTCTTTCAACCCGTCATTTGATAACGTACAGATCATACCTTAAAAGAGTGACTTTTAAAATTTAGTCATATTTGTTGGCTGGAGTAAGACTATCTTTGATTTTGATGATTATTAATAATTTATCAGCGTGTGACCGATAAAACTGTTTTTCACTTTCAGGGCAGCCTACTTTGGTCTTTTTGACACGGTAGTGGGAACGGTGGTCGAGGACAAGCGGAATCTTCCCTTCCTGGGCGCCTGGGTGATCGGTCAGTTCAGTGTGGTCAGCGCCGGCCTTGTTTCATATCCATGGGACACTGTCAGGCGCCGGATGATGATGCAGAGCGGCCGAACCGACGTCCTCTACAATTCCACCTTGCATTGCTGGGCGAAGGTATGGAAAGATGAAGGAGGATTTAGAGCCTTCTACAAGGGTGCCTACTCCAATGTACTCAGAGGAATGGGGTCAGCGTTGGTGCTCGCCTTTTACTCGGAGATCACAAAGTATGCCTAGAATTACAACATACGGGAATGTACATGATATCATGGGAATCGATGCCATTACTGAACAAATCGTTTTTCTAATTTTATTGAATAAAACATTTTACTGTCCCAGACTTTGGAGTAGAAAACTTTTTATAAAGAGCACTCAGAACTCAAAGTGTATACGTGATTTTTTTACAATTTATGGACTCCCATCCTCGAGTGAAAAACAAGCCCAACAAAAATAAATCGTCAGTTAATACATCTAAGACGAACGTCATCGGGACTAAAATAGGACAAACCAGTGGTTTGGACAGGGTTACCATTATATCGTGAAAGTTAGTTGTAAATGTTGTAGTACTGTACTACATTTAAACCAATGACCCATTAATCCTAACCTATTTTTAATGCTCAGACATTACACTAACAAGGGAAGTCACTTAAATCACGGATCGATTTTGTAAAACTACTGGTACAGCGATGGGGAGGGTAGGACGGAGATACCAAACCTGAAAACCGCTACACCGGCCTCTGGGAGCCGAGATAATCGACCAAAAAGTTTGACCAAATTCGTCCGAACATTTCTTCCTTCCGAAAGAACAAAAGCCAGCGAACCGAATGGTCCGGTGGTCTGGAAGCGCGCTTCCGGGCCTTCACCTTTTCAGGTTCGAATCCGCGCGGGTCTCGAACTTGTGAAAAATTTATAAAACAGTTGATGTAATCCAGTAAATTTACTAGCAATTTATTTTTAGATTTTATGCCTATTTTGCGGTAAATTTTCAACCTGGAAAATTCAAATAGTTTGGAACTCGCATTCAAATTATTACTCTGAAATTTCGTAAAATATGTAAAAAATCAAGAATTTTGTCTTACCGGTAAATTTACTGGATTACAAGAAAAGTTTAAAAAATTACTTGACCCATGCGGATTCGAACCTGAAAAGGCCAAGGCCCGGAAGCGCGCTTCCAGACCACCGGACCATTCGGTTCTCTTCCCTCTTCCGTTCGGAACAGAGGACTATTCCGAGCAACTTTTTATGGTCAAACCTTTTTGGTCGATTATCTCGGCTCCCAGAGGCCGGTGGAGGTAGCGGTTTTCAGATTTGATATCTCCGTCCTACCTTCCCCATCGCAGTAACAGTCGTTTTTAAAAATCGATCCGTGACTTAAGTGACTTCCCTTGTAAGATGTACGGCGGAGACACGAAGTGCAACTCTCAATTTTCGTGTGAACTTGACCCTCATTAACCTTTAGCCGGAACGTCTCCTTTATCTGATGCCGAATCTCGTCGCTTTATAAAAAAAAAAGAAAATCGAGTTTTCGGGGATTTGAATGAGTTCGCATGTCTGATTTGGTGTTTTTACAAGAAAGTGTACTGTTTTATAATTTCGGGTTTTATCAGTTTTTTGTGATTGTAATTCAGAACTTATTTAAAACATGGAGAAACTGTAATAATAATTTACACACATGTCTGAAAGTAACACTTTAATGTTATTTATTAGCTTGTTTAGGAGAAGGAAACAATGTGGGCCTGCCTTTACTCCTATTCCCAGCCGCTCGTCCCCGGTTTCTAGTGGAGTCTTCTTTAAAGCAATCCCCGCTTTGCTTTCATCGGTTTGGAGGCGCGCTTTTCGAATGACCAAATGCGTCTTCCTGTGGATTGTTTTCCTCGGATTCCCCAGCGAGATGTTATCAGCGGGAATCCTCCCTTTTATCTTTTTTTTGTTGTTTCAGCTATTTGTCAACCGGATATAACAACATTATGAGCTTGTGAAAGGGAAAACGGAGGGATTCGGATCGTTTTTACGATTTCGGAGTAGGAAGTTTCCCGCCCTACTTTAATGGTTTCTGAAATCTGGCCGCTCCTTGTGGTATTATGATTCATTTCGTACTCAAATAAAAACATTTGAGAGTTTCTTTGGTTAGGTCTGCTTTGAAGGCTTATATTCAACGATAAGCGAAAATTATTGTCATAAAAAGGTGATTTTTCGGGGGTATTAATTTTTTTAGTTGTTAGTCATTATCTTCAATAAGTATCTACAAGTTTCTTAGTGTTAAAAATAGATTTAAATTAGTACATGTTCTCCGTTCATTTTTTACGTACCTTTAAACTGATCCGGAAGAGTTTTACTCAGGTGAAAACCTTTGAAGCGGGTTAAGTGCACCTTCAGAAAAGAATTTGATGCGCGCGAAATGTCCTTAAGATGATCGTGCACTCTCTCCGACTTTGGTCGCTCCAACAGCGAGCTCCGGTTCAATCGAGGAAGATGTTTTTTTGATGGGAGAGAGCGAGTTTGGAGCGTTTTTTGTTTGCTCTATTTAAATTTCCGAAGCCGGTTATGACGGTGGATTCCACGGGAGATTGACTCGTTTTGGAATCGCTTTAATGGTTTGATCTTGTATAAAGTAATATTTTTATGGAGTTTTCTTATCTGTTTTTTCATGCGCCCCTTGTTTATGACGTTCTTTTTGCCGTTCTTGAATATTTTGAATGTTGTCTTGCATTAGAACTTGACCTGCACCGTTTTACGACCGTTGAAATCGAGTTTTAATCCAAATGTATGGTTGTAGTGTGCAGCCATCTTTCACACCATTCTTGATCGATGAGATTACTTTTTATAAGAATGGTGATATTGCAGCGTTCATTCCCCTTTAGATGCTAATGCACACATGGTTGGGGGCCGGGCTTTGGTAGGGATGTGCCCAATTTTTCGGGCCCCGCGGGGCCGGGGCCGAAAGCCTCCTTCAGAAAAAAAAATTTTCTTGATTTGGAATGAAGAAATTCTTGAAAAAATGGTAATTGAAGGTGGTAGATGGAGACTTGGATATTTCTTACAAAGAACGGAGCATGACAAACATTTCGGAGTAAATTCAGGCAAATGAAAAAAAGTAAAAATAAAAAATCGGGGCCGTGCCTTTAAAAATTTTGGAAAGGGCCGGCCCCACCAGCCATGTCTATTAATGTAATTCTCATCGTCAGATTCATGAGTTAAAAGTATTTTTCGGGTAATCGTTTGGGGGTATCGACTGTCCTAATGCTTTGCATGTGATAAGGGACTCCGAAGTATAATAAAACAAACAGTTTTACGGCGATGGTATAAATATCTCTTCGAATTTTACGGGTTTCATCTCTGTTTTTGTGGTCTTCTTGATCATTTGCGCCTCTGCAAAAGATCCGCTCAAATTAATTATATTTGTTTTCGAAGCCGACCGAAGCAAACGGCGAATTTGAATAATTTTGTCGGCAGCTTGAAGCGGAAACCCTCCGTTTCTGTTTGATTTTCGCTCGATTTGCGTTGGTTTTGAGTTCGCTGAACTCGTTATGATAATTCGGAGAGACCGGGGAAGAGTTCAGTATTAGGGCGTCATCCTAATATCAACCATTATGTTAATTTTGATCGGAAGTAAATGGTTATGCATTCAAGAACGGATGAACGCCGCGTGTCTGACCTCTGTTAATTGTGTAATGTAAAGACATTAGTGGGGTGTGGGCAGCGGTCGGCGTTGTTTCTCCTTGGTGTTGTTGGATATAATACCTCCTCTGAGCATTGAAGTCCTTACTGTTCTCCTTGCCTTGCTTAACATGATTAATTTGTTTCGAGATGAGCCCAAACATGTTGCTGATAAGGTTCTGTTGAGGTAATTCGATTAGAAATTTCCTGGGTTCTTTTTGAGGGAAATTCTCTGGATGGGCTGTTTCCTCTCATTTAATCCAATCACCCCGGTTTGATGCTAACATCCATGTTATCTGGCTCAAACTCTGCATTCTCGGGGGGATTTCTCCCCGCTCCGTCGATTCTCACCTCTAATCGTCTCGCAATTCACTCTAATCGGGACTCGGCGGAGCTCCAAAATCTCCCTCCGGTCTTTCCCAAACTTTTTTGTTCACGGCTTCCCCGTCGAGGCTATGAAAATCTATTTCACGGCCTTATCGGCTGATAGGCGTTTCCGTTTCGAAGGTTATTTCCCCCCAGAGTTTCATGCTTTTCAGACCTTCCCAACATTGTCGAACGTGAGGTGAGCGAACGAGCATGCTTTAATTACTGTTTTTTACGTTATTCGCCCTTGTTGAATTGAATGGTCATTCCTAACTTTATTTTGAGCAGGGAACAATGCTTTTGTTATATCATATACTTGTCACATCTATGTTTTTGTGTTAGTTCGTGATAATTTTCTGTGAATCACGTTATATTATAATTTACTGTGAATCACGCAAAAAGAATAAAAAAAATCTTTATTGGATTACGTAACAGCATGCGTTTCTGTTTTTTGGTATTTTTTATAACGACAAACATTATTGTTTGGTCCGCGCTCGTTTTCGTATCTTTAATGTCCTCCATTTTATTATTCTGGAAACATTTCAGACATATGTTGACCAGTGAATAACCAATACCTTGTAAATACATCTAACTCAAAAAATATTTTTTATAATGGAGGACTTGTTCAATATTTTCTTGCGGGAATGGAGTCTGAGGTCGATTCAGCAGGCTTTCTATCAACTCTGCGTAAACAGAGGTGCCGATCCAACGGATTATACGAATATTTATGAGAAGTAGGCCAGGTTTATTCAGTTTATGCGATCAGTTACTATGATTTATTACCTAATTTTGATATTTTTAGATTGAAACAAGCGGATCGTTTCCTAGAACCTTCGTCAAAACAGCGAACTCTTTGGACATTGCTGGATAAACGTCGAGCACAAAAAGAATATCAGAATCAGCAAGTATGTCGAGGAATGAATGTTTTGGTGATTGGCGCTGGACCTTGTGGGTTGAGAGCAGCCATTGAAGCAGCTCTCCTTGGCTGTCATGTTGTAGTAATAGAATCTAGAGACAAATTTACCAGAAATAATGTTCTACATCTCTGGCAGTTTGTTATCCATGACTTAAAAGCCCTCGGAGCCAAAGTTTTCATGCCTAAATTCTGCACAGGAAGCATTGAGCATATTTGTGAGCAGTTAAATTATTTATCTATCTGGAAACGCCTGGTTCTAAATATTTTATCAAATCTGTTTTCAGCCATTCGAAAGTTACAGTTCATCTTGTTGAAGATAGCTCTCGTTCTCGGAGTCCAATTCTACGATTCTGTAAAGTTTGAAGATCTCGTTGAACCAAGAGACGGCAAGGGATGGAGGGCTCAATTCAACCCTCGGGATCATCTTCTAGCCGATTATGAATTCGATTTTGTTATTGCGGCTTCAGGAAAAAATATGTGTCTTCCTGGTAGGTTGGTTTTAATTAGACATTATCTCCTTATTCTAGCTTTTCAACAGGTCGTTGTAAGAGGGAAACTTGCTATTGGAATCACGGCCAACTTTGTGAATCGTCGTACAAAAGAAGAAGATGCTGTTCCGGAGATCCAAGGGGTCGCTTACATCTATCGACAACAATTCTTCGATCAATTACAAGCGAAAACGGGAGTAAAATTAGAGAACATCGTCTACTACAAAGGAGATACCCATTATTTTGTTATGTGTGGGGATAAGAATAACTTGGTGAAGAAAGGAGTCATTAAACAAGACAATGATGACATTAAACAAATGCTGAGCAAAGACAATATCGATAATGTTAGTGCATTAATTGTTTTCGGAATGCCCATTTCAGGAATTGTTGTGTAAATATGTAATGCAAGTGGTAGATTATGTGACGGACGGGAAGTTGTCAGGAGTCCAGTTCTCCCTGAATGCCCGGCGTCAGCCGGATGTCGCTCTGTTCGACTTTACCGAGTTATGCTCTGCTGATCACTCAACTCGCTTTGTCAAATACATGCAACATCCCCTGGTTCTGACAGTAGTGGGCGATCTTCTCCATGAACCTTTTTGGCCGACTGGATCGGGTTGTGCCAGAGGGTTTTTGGGAGTTTTGGACACGGCTTGGTTGATTCATGAGATTGGTAAGGCCAAGGAACCCGTCTCCAAGTTACTCGCAGAGCGAGAAGGAGTCTATAAACTGTTAGGGCAGACTCAGCCAAGCAATCTCTCTTCTTCGTTTCACAAGGTATGTTTCGATTGCCTAAAAGATATTTTTATAGTATACGATTGATCCCAGGGAGAGGTATCTTTGCTTTCAACGGACACAGGCTGATGTTGCTCATCTGATGGGAACCGGTGATGCCGATGAGGAAAAATTGGACAACCTCGTGATGAGTGTGAATCGGAACAAAAGTGGGCATGTCGAGTTTCAAAGAAAGGCTTCTTTATTCCGTTTCTGTTATATGGGAGCATTGTCACAGAAAGTAAGATTGGCGGCTCTTTATAGTAATTCGATTTAGCTCAAAATTACCAACTTCCGTGCTGGAAGCTGGGCTGACGGAAAATCCCTGGCTGCTTTAATTTCAAAATACAATCAAGAGTTTGAGACCGCTCGAAGTGTCGAGCCTGAGGGCTCAATTAACCCGGCCTCTTTATTCAACGAAACCATGACGTTTGTTCAAGACAGACTAGGGATTCCAAAACCTTGCAAGACTCAGGCAGAATGGTCCAGTCTGACTGAAAAAAGGAGGATCGAATTCTTGGAAATTCTTGTTGATGTCCTCAAGTAAGTGAATATTCTTTTGTTTTTTACCGTATTTCACTCTAGAGCAGATCCGTTCCATAGTAAATTATGTATGTCTCCGACATTATGTCAGAATTATGCTGATGATAAGGCCACACAATCTGCGAAACAAGCCAAGGTTCTAAGGGCAAGGCAATTACCGCCGATTGATCCCCGGGATACTGTACTGAACTCTGATCTGCTCACCCCAATTAATGATTCCAATATTACAGTTAGGAAGAGGTCTTCTGGAACTAAACCGAAACGCCCAAGCGTTGAACCGTTGAATCCTGAGCTCCTGTTTAAGGTACGAAGTGACAGAATATCTTTTATAAAATTTCCATTATTTTTTGTTTTCAGGTGGATCGCGTCGTCTCAGGAGCTCCGATTCGGCCACCTCGGCCTTCAATGGATGGGCCCAGTTGTCTGGAGCGTCGGAGAATGCTGATCGAGGAAAGGCAAAAGGTGAGTATAAAAATATTCCCAGAGCTCCGATCGTTTTTGAATATTTACGCGCCAAAAACATTCCTGGGCGATTCAGATGTCCCTCTGATTTGCATTTTTGAGGAAATACGGGTATTGAGTGTGCTTTTATTGCTCTTGAACGTTCAGTTTTATTATTTCCTCTTTATTTTTAGAAACTTTTACCCGAAAAAGATACTCTGAACGAATCTTTGACATCCGGGACTCTGGCTGGTGTTAAATCAGTATCCAAATTCAGAGCCAAATTCGACAGTGTTCCTGAAGATAAGAACGAGCCTAGGCCTTTAAAGGAGAGAAAGAAGGCTGCCCCTTCGCCAACGTCATCTTCTTCTAGTTCTCTCGAAGATCATCCAGCCGATCCAATGAATGTTAGGGTTACTGTAAGAGAAACCTTAATTGAAGCGCCTGATGTTGGTAGCTACAGAACACGCGATGAACAGAAAGAAGTTACCTTTAGGGTAAGATTATATTTTAATAATTAAAATCTTGCAGGAAACTCCATCAGTGATCAGTAGACCAGCCTCGGTACCCATCAGAAATCCATCTTGCAACTCTCATTCGAAGACGGTCTCGCCTCCATCACTGGCACATCAGAATTCATTGAATGCCGTCTACAACACAGTCTCTCAACGGAGAATGCGACTTTGTTCATTGTGTCAGGCCGAGGTTTATCTTGCCGAACAATTATTGGTAGACCGTGTTTCCGTCCATAAGCAATGTTTTCGTTGCGCCTATTGTGAGCGGGCGTTGACAGTAAGAAATGCCGTTATCGATAAGTCGTTCCAAAACGAGTATGGCCCGAGGTGGTATTGCGCTCAACATCAGGCACTAAACCCATCGGACAAGTTGGCCAGATTAAAAAGAACAGCCACAAAGCAACGTAAGTACAAAAAGAGTTAACACTTACGACGTTTTAGAATCATGGTCACAATCTGTCGCTGTAGTACAACCACAATCATCCGGGAATCATGAACGGCCAAGCTTCCCAACCAGAGCCTTTTTATCTTCGGATTCGACAGATTCTTCAATTTCCGAGAAGTCAGAAGTTGTTGTGGAAGAGAAGAACTCGTCTTCGCATTCTACTCAGACACGCCCTGAAATACAAATGGCGACGCAAACCACACCGAAAGCTGAGAATATGCCTAGGGCAAGATTAAGATCGCCCTCACCAATGAATAGATCCAAATATCAGTTCCGCGGAAAGGAGAAGTCCAAGGCGGAGCAACCCGGGTTCTTGGGCCAGTCCGAACCTCATCGTCAGCTCACTCACGTTTCTCGCGAGCCTTATCAAAGAAGATTAAGTGATTTTGATTCGCCGACTCAACTTATCAATGCTTGTAAAGAGAGAACGGCAAGACGATTGGCCGCGATCAGTCTGAAGAATGACGAGAATAAAAAGGGAACTAAATTGTCGTCTACTTCTTCTGAAGATGAAGATATCTCCAACCACAATGTATATTGCGATCAGACAACAGTTAAATGTTCTGATGATGACGATGAAGAAGAATTTGAAGAAGAATTCATTGATGCAATAGACGAAGAATTAGCAGTGCAAGCGGGGACGGATGAAGAAGAATCCTGGATTGAATTTGTGGATTATTTGGACAGAACTTTGTGTTCAGAGCCCGGATCTCAGAGTTCCTTGACTACGGAAGTTCAGGCCAAAGAAATGGTGGAGTCGTTTAACCGGAGATCTCTCTTGAATCATTTTGTTGTTGAAAATCAGAAAACTCCGATTTCTAGAAGATCTCCGGCTGTCCCTGGTACTCCTTTTTATACCCCAAGACAGCATCGCGCAGAAACAGTCGATTTTGTAACACCGCCTTCTCAAGATGAAAGCCTCGTTTTCCAAACTCCGATGACTTCGTTCCCAAAAAGACGTCAGGATTCTGAGGACAATGATTTGAGCTACCTGAAAGATGTTCGTTTAAACTTATTTGAAGAATACGGTTCTGTTATTGAAATTTAACAAGAAGTATGTTTCAGAGAGTGAAGCAAAATGGTACGGGATTTGTTGATACCAAGATGAACAACAATGGCACTCCTCAAAGACCCACCAGAATTCGAAGGGGTCCTCGGCGAGCTACTGTAGCTGTCGATTTAAAAAGAGAAAGTCTGACTCCGGATGCAATTGTGAATGAATTAAGGGATGGTGAAGATGGTGACTCGGGCCGTATTTCTCAGATATCGCAAAAACAAAATGCTAAAAATGAGGGACAACTGAAGAGCCGAGCAGTTCACATAAAACCGACAAATGAGAATCTGGAGAGAGTTAAAAAGGAAATAGAACTCGTAAAAGAGAGACGACAGAGAGAACGGCAGAGACAATTACAGGTAAAGGATTACTGAACAGTTTTCATATCAGTTATTTGTCGTCAATTGATAAGCTTTGATATCTTAGGGTCTTCAAAGAAGAATGCACGAAGTTGAAGTTAGAATGGGGGATGTGAAGTCAGTTGGTGCATATCTAGAAAGAAGCTTGGCAACAGATCCTAAGAATAAATGGGAACTCGAGCAATGGCTCATCTATGTGCAACAATATCAGACATTACGGAACGAAGAGAGGGAACTCTACCTCAAATTGAAAGCACTCAGACTACAAGAAGACTACAATCTTTTAAAAAACAAACTTCATGACATCCAGAGCGGCGAAGTAAAGCACGTTAAATATGGGGTAAGACAATATACTAGTCGCGGAAAAAAGTCCTTAGAATTTTCTGCGACTCCGCACTGTGCATGAACCCGAAAAGTGCATTTGCACAGTGCAATTTTCTTGTTTTTCCCTTATTGTCGCGCGCGATTCCCGCGACAAATCCACATTTCGAGGTGCGACGAGATTTGGGGGCCGCGAAGAATTCTAAGGACTTTTTTCCGCGACTAGTATAACAAGTCCGGGATTAGGAGAAATAATTTTAATGTTTTAGACGGAAAAGGAGCTAATGGAACGTTTGCTGGATATACTAAATGAGAAGGACATTGTGAAAGCCGAACTCGCCGACATTTCCAGGAATAATTGCAATCATCAGAAATCTCCGGCCGAATTAATCGAAGAATCCCCGGACTACAAACTGTTTGAACCCGTCTTTCTCCATGACATTAGTGTAAAGACCATTCAGGTGTAAATAGAGTAGCCTCCTGTAAATATAGACTAATATTGTTATTTATATTAACTTATACATTCATAATTTCGTGGCGAGATTCAACTATCCTTTCTCTTTACGTGTTTTACAATCTTTTCTGTTATCACGTTTTCTTTGTTTGAATAAATTGATCTTTCAGAATTTTGCGAGTTTATAAAAGTGCCAGTTCCTGTTGCGCAATAACTAATCAAGCATTTCTGTTTTGATCAGCAATTTCTCTGTCAACGCCTCAGGTAATACTGGCACAGGTATAAAAGGAATATCCGGTCAGATTTCAGTCATTCATTGGCAATTTCACTTGCTCAGCTACTTGCCTCTATTTCCTATCTGTGTAATCATGTTCATCGAATGGAAAAGCTTGGTCCGCTCCCTCAGAAAACGTCGTCAAGTTTTGTTGGAATTGAATACGACTGAAACGGCAAAGGAGTTGAGAAAGAAGTCAACAATGAGACGACGCCCAGCCTCCTTCAGGAAGTTCTTTGACTCCCAACCAAACGAACTCAGTTTTCATCAGAGTGTGACTAAAACGAAGAAACCCATCGACCAGACTGTCTACGTGAACGTACCGCAAAGATGTGACTCTGAAAATAGTTGCTCTACTTCTATGGCATGCTCCCAATTCTCTGAGAGTAATGGGAATACTCTTTTCGACGATGATCTTAAGCCAGCTATCTACAACAAGAAAAGGGACTTGTCGCTCTCTGATGGCAGTGAAATTGATGCTGGAACATGTGTGGATGTTGGGCATACAACATTCAAGAGTTTCGCCATTGATCCGAGTGAAATATTCGAAGACGAACCCAGTCTTATTCCCCTCGAATCCGAGAAAATGGTTTCACAATTCTTTGGAAGTACTCTCGAGTCAATTGAGACCTCAGTTCAGTCCAGCTTAGAGGCCTATAATGAATACATCAGATTGAAACACACAATGTAAGTCAGCACCCCTTATGAGCTACATTTAACTTCTAAATAATCTAATAACAGATTTTTATTTTCAGAAGAATCTTGCAAAAGATTGTTGCACAAAAGGACGCATTCTTTATCGAGGGACCGACTGGAATGTTGAGATCATACATGAACGGGCTTATAAACTCGTTGGAAAATACGATGGATAAGTTGGAAGAACAATATCCTCGACTTCATGAATATGCCCACAAGAAGGGAGCCAAGAAGATGACGTTGCGAAGAATCGATGAAAATGATGAAGGAGAAGATCTGGTCGAGTTCCAAGTTTTGTAATATGCTAATAATATTGCTTACTCCATAACTTAATATGTAAAATAAACAATTAAAGCGCTACTTTCGAATTTCGTTGTTACGACATGAGAAACGAAAAAGAGTAAAGGCGTGAATGAAAGCGGTTATGACCCTAACAGAAATTTGCCAACACCATGGCTGGCAGCCACTTTAACGTTTACACAAAATACTGTACTTTTCTGAAACAACCGGACGACGTTTTCATTTTTTTCTCGGAATACGCTTGGTTTCTCTCTATACATGAGGGGTTCCGGGCAAATTCAAATTTTTTTCGGTCACGGTGCTCAGACACGCATTTCGACCGTATCGAATTTTTTATCCCGCAATGTGCAGAGGCCAAGACAGAATAAAACTTGTTCTGAACAAGGCAGGACTTGTACAGTGTGGAAGAAAAAATTTCTATGGCCGAAACGCGTGTCTGATCATCATGGCCGAAAAAATTTGAATTCACCCGGAACCCCTCTTAGATTTCGCTTGTGCTATAGAAGGCCCAACCCACGTCAATCTAGCGCATTCCGTGAACCGTGATAGACGTTTCGTCCACATACTATCCGATTGATAAAAAGATTCTAGGTATCAAAATTCCTTCTGACGAATTTTTGGGTGACAAGATTGGCCCAAAAAATCAAGATGTGACGAAACTCCACATTGATTAAATCTTGGTTAGAAAATAGCTTTATTGACGTGCAAATCTACACGAATATCCAAGCTACAAGAACGAGCCGTTAGTAATTCGTGCGACCAATCGCAAAAACGCGCCGAATCCTGAATGTTAGCCGTTATTGTGCAATATATGTAGTAGCGCGCAATTTCTTTTTCTCTAATTTCTGCCTTTCCCTATCACTTCCTCTCTTTGTTATCTTTTCTTATAGTAAGGATTAGACGCTTTTTAACGATTGGTCGCGGGACTACCAACGCACAAGCCTTACGTTAGATTATATAATGAAACTTGGCTAACGCAACGGATCCGTTTTGACACACATGGGCAAAAAATGTTTACATATACGATGATGCAACCTGCACTTTTGGGTTGCAGAAATCACTTTTTCCATTTTCATTGCGAATTTTATACTGCCTGCGGGGCTCCTTACAATTTTCATATTTTGTGAAAGCTGGATTTTTATTCAACTGCCATGCCAAATTTTTACCTTCTTGTACAAACGGCTAGCGAGGTATGGAGAAAAAAGCAAGCCGTTAAAATTGAAAAAGTCGGGTAGATCACAGAATGCCGGGTATCGAATTTATTCAAAAATCTTTAAAATTATAAATAAAATATGTATTTACTGATTAAATAAAAAGTGTCAGATCTAGAATTCAACCGCATCTTCACCAATTTTCTGCATGCCTTTCTTGTGGAATTTCATCCCCTTCTGTCGAGCATAAGTGTGTAAACGAGGGTAATCCTTCTCCAGGTTCTTCATTGCACTTTCCAGCGATGAAATTAAACCGTTCAGGCATAATTTTAACATTTCGGAAGAGCCTTCAGCCAAGAATTCATCTTTGCTCTGGGCCATCTTTTGTATGATCAATCTAAAAACAAAAGTTTATCAATAATTTTAAAACAGTAAAGTGCTTACATTGTGTGTTTGAGTCTGATATATTCATTGTATGCTTCCAGGCTGGACTGGACTGATGTTTCAAGGAATTCGGTGGTACTTCCAAAGAATTCAGATACCATTTTCTCCGCCCTTTCCCACGATTCTAATACGATTGCACTCGGTTTATTGTCCTCCAATGTCTTTGGATCGATGGCGAAACTGTGAACTGAATCCTGTTCATTGATTTTGGAGCTGGTTTCATGATTGTCGAGAGTTACCGTCATCTTTCCAGATTCGTGATAATCATCCTTCGTGATGCTGTAGATGGCCGGCCTCAGATCATCCCCAAAGATCTCTCCGCCGTTACTTACGGAGAATCGGGAACAAGCAGCTGATGTAGACGAACTGACTTGATGCGCATCCTCATTTTCATAAACCGTCTTTTCCAAGGGCTTCCTTCTTCTGTAGATATCTTGTTTTAGATTCATCTCCTTCCGTTTTGAATCACCAAAAAAATATCGTAAAGAGGACGAACGACGTTTGATGCCGACCTTCTTCTTCAACTGATTCTCCATCAATTCCACCGCTGTGTTCGTATTGTTCAGTTCTAAAACAATCTCTCGACGATTCTTTAGAGCTCGGACCATCTTCTTGAGTTGAATCATGACGGAAGATGGAATAAATAATAAGTAGACACAACAGGTTCGACAGTAGCTGGTCTTAAAAATCCAAATGAAAAGACCGGATCTGCTTTTTAAACCCAGTGCAGAGATATTACCCGGAGTGTTGGCAGAGGAAGCCTTGCTTGTTGATTTAACAGAAATTTGAGGGATCTTGATTAATTATTGCGCAATTGCGACAAGCAGAAATTAAATCTTTATTTCCAATATTATTCTAAATTGAGTGAGGTAATTTGAATAGAATTAATATAACACAACGAACTCTAAAAAAACGGTGTGCATTTCCCAGTACGAATATGGTATACGGTTCGTTAATGACCGCAACGTCGTCCATTCGAGATTGTTTTTGTTTTCCTTCGTACCAGTTGGAATTTTAAATAACATCTGGTTCAAAATTTTGCATAATCCGCAGACAATGCCTGAGGGTGTTTGTCGTCATTGTTCTATTTTTATTTGCAAACCAAAATGACCTACTCAATCCCCAGATAATAATAATGTTCAGAGATGGGCTTAGTCTCTTTGCTTCTCTTCTTTCTGTATTTCTGGAGGTTTTCAGAGTGTATTATGTAGTAGGATGAGTGACTCTACTTAATCTTTCATCGAGGAAAAAGTCATGAGTCATGTTGGGAATAAAAAAATCACATCCACGGTTCGAATGATGGCAAAATAATAATTTTTTGGCTTGCATTGTGACGACAAAATGCAGCTCAATGTGTTTTTGCCTCATTTAAAAAAAACTTTTTGACGCACGTTTCCTCCATTTTTGCATCTAAATTTCCCATTTTCTTTTGCATCTTATTACGAAACATTGCACGGTAATTAAAAGTAGCGGAATTGGACGAGCTTAAAGGAAATGAGGTCAAAGACGAGTTGATTCGATTAAAGAATGCTCCAGTTTACTGTAAGTTGACTTTGAAATAAGAATAAGTGTTGTTTTAATCTGGGTCTAAAACAATCATGTCCATGAAACCTTATTCCAAAGTTATCTCTGTACTCGGAGGCAACAATAAGATAAAAGTTCAGAGTTTTCTCTGGGGATCTCAAAGTGAGTTCATAAAAGATTAATTTAAATTATTTTTTTTTTGGTTGAGTAATAAAACTTTGTTCAAAAAGTGTTGTCGTACTCTCTTTTTGCAAAAATTTTACCGGGGATCCATCGATATTTCCGCACTTCTATAATATGAACTTCCCATTCCACGCCCATTATGAGCTTGTACTTCTAATTACTTTGTCTAAAAATGGGTTTTTCAACTTACAACTTGTCCTCTAACAGCCTGTAATTAACCCGTTTAATTAACTTTTCCAGCCACTTTTGACCGTCACGATATCGAAAGATACCTCTGTTCCATTTTTTTACAGTATTCAAGTTTTTTTCGACATATCTAAACATTTACCTATACCGTTACATGTTTTAATTTATTACTTTTTCCTTTCCTCATGGCTCACAGTTAATTAATCCAATAAAGATTAATTCTGAATTAGAAGAGAGAATTTGGAGAGATGATAGAGGCTAGAGAAACAAAGAAATAATGTCGGAGGAGGGTCCGGTAGTCTTTTTCTTTGGTAATTAGGACCTTAATGTATCGCTTGTGATGGCTCTCAGAATAAGGCGCAATGATATGCCCGACCAAAGATACGAGTTTGTTGCGCAAGATGACATTACTGTACTCTTTTTGCAGCAATTTTTATTTCAATGCCAAATTTATTTTATGATGCCTGAGGCTGTTCTCTGGCCGTATGAATCCCCATTTCCTTAATTTCTTTTCTTTTGCATACCAAAAATTATGAAAAATGCAGAAATGTAATCTTTCCAAAACAAACTCAAATATCTTTACACTCTTCTTTCATGGGCTGTAAATTGTTGGGAAAAGGCTCTCTACCCATAGTGATGTTTGTTTTCCCAACTAGATTCACTGTTATGGATGTACATGTGTAATAATATTGCTTATAATTTTTACGGTTTATTTGATGACTTAAATTATGTCGAATGTAATGACTGCCTGAAGAAAAGGTCTTTGAGTGAGAGAAATGACGTGTCGCCTTAAAAAGTGTTGCTATTCTTGACACTCCAAAAAAAGGGCGGGGTTTTAATGCATATCCAAAAAAAAGTTACAGAGGAATTCAGATTACTTGAACAAGTTCTTGGATCAATGTAAAATTTAGTACTTCTAATTATGTTCTTACAGGCATGAGCTTAATTCTGGTAATTCCATTAGTATAGTATTCCTCCCACTCCGTGTTTGCAAAGTTTGTTTTTGTTATAATTACTTTTCGCCATTTAGAAAATAGCGGAAATTACCGTTCTTTTTGGGGGTTCTGATCTTTTGGCAGTTAAGCCTGCAAACAGCGGATGTTACGTAGCAATGGGAGTGTTACTTCCCAGTTTCTTTAATGGTTGATGCCTTCGTCTGGAATAGTGAATACAGTCATTGTTGAGTACCTTGAAATATCCATAGTTTAAGGCTCTATTTCATGTCTAGGATAATTTAAAGTGAGTAATTTCTATCTGTAATACCTCACAAGATTGATGTTTACATTAAAGACGTGTCTATCTTTATTTCCTTCTTTTTTTTTTACTTGCACTTTCCTCTATATCATTCAAATCGCCGGTTGTGTTTAACCTTTACCATTCGAACCAAGAAGAGAAGACGTCAACGACCGTACACAGCGGATTTGAGACGGATCTGGGGGTGATGTTAAATCTGGCGGCTCAAAAATCTCTTACACTTTGGAGATTTGGGAGATCCCAGCTTGTAATACGCAGATAAATCCAGAAAAGGGGCGTCTTTTCTCTTAAACGGAGATTCACTGTAAAAATACTGGTCCGGCAGATACAACGCCTCAGGCAATTGTTGTCTCTTTGGATGACATTTGGAGATTTCTTTGTCCCCTTTCAGATTAAATGTTTTCCAGAACTCTAGGCTATAATCCCCAATGTTTTTAGTCGACATTTATTGTATTTACAGGGCCATTCTTCTTGTTTTATTACCTATTCCGTTCCCAAAACTTCGTCTTTTGCAAATCCAAATTTAATATTTGTAATAAATTATTTAATAAATCTACGACATTCGTTGAATTATGTAGCAAATTGTACGACTTTTTGATTAAGCTGACTTAATTTAGGTTCAGAATGCAGTCACCCCTTCAATTGGTCTTATTAATATTCATCTTAACCATCACTATCACCACAGTCCGACCTGAAAGAGCCTTCAGAAGAATCCGAGAGCTTCTTGGAGCTGATGAATCCCCATCTCAAGAAGAACTTCTGCGGATTTGTGCCAACATATTATCATCTAGGAACGGTGAGTGCATCAACCAGAGTCTAAATCTTCGATTTAGCTCAATTTTTCGAAGAGAATGTAGTCCTCAGTCCAGATGGCGATGAAATTCCGTTGAGTTTGGTTCAGAAAGAGATCCCAGAAGTCAAATACGAGGTGAGTTTACAGACCTACTTAACCGTACTTTACCATCATTCTAATTATATTACTTTAGATTGTTGATCCCACAGACAGACTTGAGAGGATTGCCCGGACTCTCAGGTCGAGTGTCTATGCCCCCAAACTCTGTGAACCCGAGAATTTTTTCCCCAAAGTCCTCGACCACCAACTAAGTTGTAAACAAGTGAGTCTTGAACACGTCCCTCTTGTCTCTAAATGCAGTGCTTATCTGTATTTAGGTGAGGCCTATGGCACCCGAATCAATTTTAGTTGCCATTTTCACACATTTTCTCGTTCATACCTGTGAAAACGGCGGTTAATCGATCTTACCACACACTGAATCAAAATGAAAATTCGTATTTTCGGAGGAAAATTTTCATAATTTGTAGATGGCAATAGTGAATTGGCCCTGCATTATCAGTCACTTTCTAACCTTCCTGCTGTCCCCCCTTTTTGAAGTGATCCACATCAAAAATGTGTAATCCCACAAAAAAAAGATCCTGTTTTTTTGAAAACAGGACATGACTTTGGTAGTAGAGCAAATGTTTTCACTTAATCTTGGAATTATGCACTTCGATGACGCCAAATCCTTTCGAATCCATCCGGCAATGTGTTTCTCCACCATTCTTTTTACAAACATCACCGAATTTTGTAAAGTTTACGTTTAATCCCGACTTTGGAAGTATTAAGAGGTTTCAGTGATATCAAGGTGACATTATTCTGAATATCAGGATAGGTATTTTTCAGTCATGATATGACTGTAGTCCTCTTTTCAAGGATTAACTGTTTTAGGATTACCTGTCCAGGGCAAAGCGAATCACATTAATCCGTTAAAAAAAGTTACGTGAAGAGATTCCCAGTCGAGTAACGAGCTCTGGTTGGGAACTAATTCCATTGTCCTTTGCGTTCCCGTAACTCCTCGATGTTTTCTTATAACAATTCCTTCAGATCTGCCAATCTTGTGTCCCAGGCTCGGCCGCAGTCTGCCATCAGAAGAACCATCGGTTCCCAGGTGTTGCCCAAACTTGTTTCTGCACTTATGACACGGACAGACCTCTTCACAATGCAGTCCTTGTGCTCAAGAACGGCGTCTCCCAGATATAAATCTTACTGTAATTACACGAGAATTAAAGAGTTGAACAGAAAAAAACAACAACATTGGGTTGATCTCATTCCTCCTGAGGAAGATTTGTTGCCAAATATGTAATACATAAACCAATTGAAAAGTGTTGGAGAAGTTAAAACCGGAATTGTTGTGTGTTGTGATCGCCGGGGTTATTAATAAATACTGAATGAGTAATGGTCTGATCTCTCGTCATTGCATTTCGGGTAATCATAGCTGGCCGGATCAACAGTTTTCGCGAAAAAAGAGCTTTTTAGAAAACATTGGATCATAATGATGGGGATAGACGTACAAAAAAGGATTTGAAAACAGGATCAAGCCCCAGCTATATTAACTTAATCCCCGTTTCAATAATGAAACTGTTCATCTACTCTCTGCTATAAAAGCCCGGGGATTTGCAAAGATTTCATCAGTTGTTCAATTGTCTCAAAATGAGATCTGTTCTGGTTCTGTTGGCTGTTTCAGCCCTAGGTAAGCCCTTTCCAGTCTACAGTATCCCTCACAAACTTCCCTTCTAATATACTACTTTAGGTTACTGTCAACTCCCTGATGTTTCCCTGCCCCCACTCGGATTGTCTTTGCCCCCAGGTATCAGTCTGCCCCCAGGGGTTAGTCTTCCGGCCGGTCTCCCAGGAGCTCCAGAATCCCGAAGAAAACGTGGTCTCTTCGGGGGAGCTGAAGGCGTTTCCGAAGGCCCAGTGAGTGGACCACCAGGCCCACCTGGAATCAGCGGACCCCCTGAGGGCGTGAGCGGACCCCCATTGAGAGCCCGACGAGGCTTGTTCGGAGGAGAAGCTGAAGTTACCCCAGGAATTCCCTCCCTCGGAGGTTTGCCCAGTGATCTCCCGGAAGGAGTCAGCCCTCCAGCCGGTCTTCCAGCAGCCCCAGAAAACCGTAGAAAACGAGGTCTTTTCGGAGAATCAGGTGTACCTACTGGTCTTCCTCCAGTCAGCGGAGTCCCCGGATTCAGCGGTCTTCCCGAGGTCAGCGCTCCTCCCTCTCTTCCAGGAGTCAGCGGACCAGTCCCAGGCGAATCTCCAGTTGCCAAGAGACAAGTCCTTCCAGCCGGGGCTTCGGTACCACCCAGTTCATCCTCCGAGAGCAAAGAAAGCGGGTAAGTTACAGTATCCCAATGCAGGACACTCTCTTGTAGTTCCCATGAACATGGCTCCAGCGACCATCAACATCACCACTCAACACCCTCCGCTTGAATACATCACCCTACGACCATCAGCTCATTCCAGCTCCCATCCAATATTATACTACTGTAAATATTTTACAGTGTTATAATGCGTATTCGTTTCTATCGTAATAAAGTCGGACATGAATTGATCACGGCCCTTTTTATAAAATAAACCAAATTGCATCATATAAACTGCACATCAGTAAGCCCTACAAATTACAGTAATCGCATGAAAGATATAAGGATGGTGACATACAAATCAAATCGGGTTTCGTGGCCAGAAACCGCCATTTCTTGTCTGTTAGGCTTCTAGACAAGAAATGCGGAATTCTTGTCTGAAATTGCGTAACATTGCGCAATATTGCGCAAATTTCTGCTCTCTCCTCGTGAAGATTTTTTTCTTTTTTCTCTGCAAGAGAATTGCGCATTTCTTGTCTAGAGGCCTAACAGACAAGAAATGGCGGTTTCTGGCAACGAAACCCGATTTGATTTGTATGTCACCATCCTTATATAATAGGCGAATACTTTTGGATGGCAAGACACTTTGGCCAGCCAAAAAGAATTTTTTTGGCCGTCATGTCCACTCATTGGCTAGCTAGTAAAACAATTTTGCAATATGGATTATAAATATTGGGCCCATTCCCGATCTGCCCCATTGAAAGGTTGCGCAAAACTGATCGTGAGTGAACAGCCTTGAATCAATATTGATACTTCGTCACGAACGAAATGTCACAAAAAAATTTTGGAAATTTTTATTTTTACACAAATATTGGAAATAATGAAAATGTGAGGGAATAATAAATATAGCAGACTGATGATACGTTCTTCTATATATGTCATAGTTAGGTCTTCACCTTTGTAATCACATAAACGCTGTTGCGAAGCGTTTTAATGTATATTCCCGGGCTTTACGTGTTTTACTGGTTGTCATGAAATTACCGAGTTGATTTCAGTTTAATAATTTGTAATGTTTTCAGTGGTCCCATTGGGAATTATTGGTGAAACCAGTAGAACACAGTGCCGGGAAGGAAGAGCGATGAATGTAAGTGATTTTTAGGGTTGTTTATTTGACGAATTTTTCAAAATGGCGTCGAATTGCCGTCGTTTTAGTCGTTTTGGTTAATAACTTTATTAAACGTTTGGTTAACTGTAAATTGAAAATTCAGATGTACGAAGCTTCCACGCGCGGGACTGACCTAGGCTATGGTGAATAACGTGAATATTAGTCGAACTAGTTTTACTGTCTTATTCTTCGGTCGCTTTGACAGGAAGGAGCAATTTAGTTCCTAGAAATTTTTAATTCTTTCGATTTTTTAGCAAAAATATACAAACATTTTCCAACAAAGATCAATTTGACAACGTGACTGACGCGTCAAGTTGACAACCCTAGTTAAAACTTTTTTGATTTTTTAGGTATTATTTTTACATAATGTTAACTAAATTATATTAGGATACACCTGCTCTCTCCTGTATAGAAGTAAATTGCACATATAAAACTGATGCCCAAAGAAAGCTAAAACAACATGTAAAACGAGCCCACACTGGAGATGTCGTCATTTGCTCTGTTGACGGGTGCGGGTTTTCGGCCAAGTACTGGTGTTTGCAAAAACATGTGAGGGAATTCCATGGCCATGGAGCTTCGGGATCGGAAGTAAGAGGATTTTATTACTACACCAACAGAAAGCGATTTTGAGTAACAGTTTATTTTTATAGGTAAACAGTGTGTCTGTGAGTGATCTAGCGAGTTCAGTGGGGTGTGGATCATGCAGCAAGTCATTCAGCACTCAAATCCAACTAAAGAGACATGTGGCTCGAGTTCATGATAAGAGATATACCGAGAAGCCTCGAGATAAACAGCACAAATGTAATGTCGACGGGTGCAGCAAAAGTTTTAGGACTCCCGGAGCATTGGACGACCATATGAACACGCATTCAGGTTGGTTTTTATTTTATTTTAACTTTAATATTGTAGATGATCGACCCTTTGAATGCCAGCGTTGCGATAAAGCTTTTCACGGCCGCGCTAGTTTGGCGGTCCATCTTCGTCGATATCACTTAGTCAGCATTAAGGACTTTGCTAAGACCATCAAATTTCTTCGGTCTGAGTCGGAGAGTAACGAATTAAGAGTGATGCCTTGAGTTGTTTTAGATGTAGGGAGTTTTTTCGTTGGTTGAATAATCTGTACATTAAGGAAAGTGATGGGATGATTGTTGTCTGTTCCCCGAGATCTTGCTTTGTTAAGTTTTTGACTCCGGTTTTTGCTAATTGATAATACCTCCAAATGTTTTGTTTTTATTACATGGATAAACAAAATAAAAATTTGGAAGGAAGTGGATGACCGACCATAAGATCAGACATTACCTTGAGCCCATTTCATTCTCCCGACATCATTTCCATGAATTCTGAACAAGTTTTCTGTCGTTAATGATTCATAAGACACCTTACCATCAAAATCGACAGTCCCAGATCCATCTGTATCGATTTCAGCGATCATTTCGTCCAGTTCTTCCTCGGAAACATTGTCATCCAAGGCTCTCAAGATCTCTCTGAGGTCGGAAACGTTGATGTAGCCATTGCCTTCTTTATCGTATAATCTAAACGCCTCTCTCAGTTCCTCTTCAAGGCCATCATTGTCCTCAGCGGACACCACAAAGTTGGCCACCATGGCCGCGAACTCTTCAAATTCAATTTCTCCGGAACCTGAAATTGGTTTTTTATTAATGGATATGAGTTGGCATTACCATCAGAATCAAACTCCTTGATGAGTTGTTTCAGATCTCTGTCTTCGAAGGCTTGACCCATGGTTCTGAGGATCTGGCCGACTTGATTTGCCCGGATAAATCCCTTCTGTTCTTTATCGAACATGTTGAAATATTTTCTGAATTCTGCAAACGGATATCTTTATGGAGATTATAGGAGGGCTTACGTTCGATTTGATCAGCTGTAAGCTGTTCCAGGGCTTCTGTAACTGCATCCGCCTAGAAAAACCCCAAATTAGTACTACATTTTCAAATAATCAATATTTTTATTCATAATGGGAACTCACCATGGTTGCTGATGTTGCGGTACACGCGAGAGGAAGGGGTTTCCAGTGAGGTTGAGGGCCACGAGAGGGCGTGGGCGCCGTGGATCTCCGGGATCCGAGATCAACCCCCGTGGTCTCAAGCTTCTTCTTTTCGCGCGCTCTCCACGCTCGCAGTAATCTCTGCTGATCGCTCAACCAGTCGGCTGAACTTTGTTCTTGCCTCGGGGCAGTCAAGGCTGTGCTCGAGGGCCATCCTCCACTCATCGGAGGCGGATGCGCAGCCTCGACTATGGCCAGAGAGGTGGGTTCAGCCCCGCCCAATCCACACATCCAGAATCTGGATCCATCCCAGAGAGCGGCTAGCCATCCGGATCCCATTTTCTCGCTGGAATCGGCTGAACCGGGTCCCATCTCTTGTTTGAATCGCCTTTTCTTGGCCTCATCCAACATTCGTTGTGCCTCTTCCAGGTCGAGGAAGTCATCCTCGTCCGTGGAAAGATCGGTTATACTCGAATTGGTGGGGGAATCCATGGAACTGGTAGAGCTCGCCCCACTCACTCCGACCAGTCCATCCAAAAACGACGACTTTTCCCGAGTCATTTGCAAATTAATGGCATGTTCAGCTAAAACAAACACATTATTCGGTTACAGTAAGAAGGGCTTTGTTGATCTTGCGGGTCCGGATTTCTGAGACCAAGGTCTTGTGTTTCTCGCAAATAAAAAACTGAGATTTCAAGTGGGTTAACATTAATGGTAGACGAATTATGTTGAAATCAAAAATTTATGTTTAAAACAATTAAATCTCCCGTTTGATAGGCATTATACTACACAAACAGACCAAATTACGAGAGGTTTTGACGTGAAATCTGATATTTTTAGAGGTAAAAAAGACCGAAAAGGGCCGAAATGGACAAAAAAAGTGGTTTAATCAAAAGTTGGGGTCAATCCCCGAAGGACTCAATTAAATTTTACTTTGCTTATTCAAACCCAATCTCGTTTTAGAAGCTTTCGTTATGTCGTCGACGAGAGAATGATGCGGTATGATGGAGACAAACTCATCTTAGGCCGGAGAACATCCGATTATTTCATTTTGAACATTAAAAAAGAAAAAAAATTCAGATTTTATTGGTCAGAGATCCCGAAACCCTGAGGGCATCGGGCTGGCAAAACATGTAAAGATACTCCAAAACAAACTTTGTGGCTTCTGGGTTTCCCTTTCGGACGGTGGGAATCTCGAGACTCTCGAGGAAAAAGTTTTTTCGGGATTTGGGAATGGGGTAAGTGTTAATTTTGCTGACAATCGCATGGGTTAAATGGCGTGTGTAAGACTGGAACAATTACACACTACAACTTTACACTTTCTTCCAAGTTATTAGGGATCCACTAAAATAAAAGCAGAGACATAAATGTATCCGAAAATACATCCATCCCAAATACATGTTCCCTTTTATTAATGCCAACCAATCCGGTATGGAGGACTCTGTTTGGCGGACAGGAAATCCGGACTCTCTCAGTCAGCTCTAATCACAAGAATTAAAACATCGAACGACGGAAGAAGGCTCGTCTATTTCAACCAGGAAGCATAAAACAAGAAGATGACATGGCCAGGATGTGTAACGATGCCCTTTTCTGGAGAGGCCCTCAAGCGAAACAGGAGGTAAACGGGTTTTAAAATAACGAATTTAAGTTTCATGATCAAACAGATACAATGGAAAATCATGCCAGTTTTAGGTTTCTAAAAACTATTAAATAGTATGACATCAAAAACATTGCATTATATTCGACAAAAAACGTCAAGGGACAACTATTAACCCTCCGAAACACATACTTCTATTTGTAAAGTCATCATAGAAATCCATCAACCATCTCCCCCGAGGCTATACCCACAAATTTCTAAGCTCTCCCAGAAGGTTTACTTCCCCGTCAGAATCAAGCTTCCCGGTTTAAGAATCCAGTCAAAAAGATGCCCCAGCAGAAATCATCTGACATTCTGAAAACCAAATAAATCTTATGGACGGCGGTCTGGTCGGAGGGACTGGTTCCTCTTAAACAGATTCAATTTTCGCGGCCCAAAAACATTCTCCGGCAATTTTCATAAATGCCTGAAGGTAAATTGAATCAATCTAGAGAAGAAGAAAAACTCCTGAGGGGATCTCATCAATTCCATTTTATTTATTTATTGTGGCGATTTGTAATAACTTTCAAACCCAGAGAAGGAGTAATGGGGTCATGTCACGGAAACTGAGATGGCATTTCCTGAATCAAAAGATACGACAATAATAACCCCCTGTAATTGATTGAAAAGTTATTTGTAAACAAATATGTGGTACTAAATAGCTGTGACACGGTCAAGAAGAGATGGCTGGGACAACATGAAGGCGTAATCGAGAAGATACAACCATGCTCTTGCCGGCTCTACTCCATTTTCATGGTCGACTGGATGGTTCGAAACTATATTACGTAACATCGGAGCATAGGGTGATGATATTACGGGGGAGAGGCCGAAAATTGGAAATATATTGATCATAACAAGATACCAAACAAGTCATGGGAGATGCATTATATTCGATTACATCTAGCTGTCCCATTTATGTTTGCAAAAAATAGCCGCAACAATTATCCGATGGAAATTCTCTATTCGAAATGTGTTTATACACAAATTGTAAAGTGAAATAAATGCACATGGCTCCAGAAATTGTAAGCTTTCTAATTCTAATTACGCTCCCCTGCAGATATTACTTTTTTTTGATCGAATTCTAAACTTGATTACATTAGAAGTAATTCGAGTAAAAGTCGAAAAGTATTCGTGTAGGACCTGATCCAGTGGCAAAATTCTCTTTTGTGAGGGAGAGCCCTTCAAAACGAAGTTTTTTCACTTGTAAGCATCTTGCCACATTTTTGATTCTTCCCGGATGCAAAATGGTACGTCGTTTCTCACTGGATCAGATCCGTCACCGTAAATAATTGGGCACAATCTACTAGCGAAGTGTATTATAACGAAACGTCTTTTAATTACATAAGATCGAGATTTCTGGCAGGTTTAATCGGACAAATATAAATTAAGCCATCCCCTTAACTTTGTTTCGATAATCTCCATTTGGCAGCATCCAATTCGAGGGAAGCTAGTCGATGGGCAGGCAAATGTTGTTGCAATGGATCTCTTAATCTCCGGAGATCTTCTTTAATCTCATGCTCCAGACTCTTCAGTTGATTGTATTCTTTAATATCAAACTTGGCCTTCTTTGCTCGTTTATGAAATTGCTGAGTGAATACTCTTTGTTGGGCGCTGTCATATTCGAAACTCTAAAACATAAATCTCAGATTAATCAAAAATATAATATAATTACCTGTTTAGTGTAAATATAATATCCGAATGTGGCAATTACAGTCGAAAAGGTGGCGAAATAAGTACAAGGTTCCACGATATCCCAACTGTAATCAATCCAGGTGAGTCGAGCGAAAATCCCAGTCTGGATTCCCATCGTGATCAGCCCACCCCATAACACCTGGTTACTGTAATGTTCACATTCTTGCTCGAGTTGTATTCTGATCTAAACAACCATTTGATGTAAGTATAAAGTACTTCAACAAACCTTTTCCAGGGGTTCTAGTTTGAGTTGAATCTCTTCCAAAGCAACCATCAACTTCTTTTCCCTTTCCAATTTAAATCCATCAATGTTGAGGACAGTGTAAAGCGCAGCTACCGTTGCTTTTACATCATCCATTCCTTTCAGAGTATCCGAACTTTTTAACAATTCCATATCTGAACTTGTGGCCGAGGATTGAGTCTCAACATCAAAGATCTGATCGTTAATTCGAATTCTAAATATCGGAAATATCATCAAACTCTCAATTGGGACACTTTTGGAGACGCGAGTCCCATCTGAAATAAAAGTCTATTAGTTACTGTGTAAATGGTGAGATTTGTATCGTAACCGAAATTTTAAGGACTTGCCCATCTTGTAGATAGCGGCGATCTCGATTCCCTTGTCTTCATCTCTCAATTTCTGACAAAATGATCCGACCGTATCACTGATAGGTCTGAGAATAAAAAGACATTTCTCGGCTCGAGAAGGCAACGGAACCTTCAACATTGGGAGTCCGTTCCTCACCTTCACCTTGATAATCTTCTCCGGATCTGATCGAAAAGAAGTCAACTTTTGAGTGAGATCGTTCGCCGATGTAGAGGGAACATCTTCGATCGAGCTATTCCGTGTTGAATACTAAAAAAATGTGTTAACCGAATTAATTTGAATCTCCTTACATTCCTGCAGAGTAATCGAGGTTGCCGGACTAGCCGATGGCAGAGAAATAACCCGACGAATGGCCGGTCCAACTTCATTTAGTGAGGTATTTACATCGACCCGTAATAACCGACCGGTACAATCTCCAATCCGTGTTTTAAAATAACAATTTAATTCGCGAAGATTACACAATAATTGAGTTCATAGTTACAAATAACAATCTGAATAAAGTCCAAGTTAAACAGGACAACGGAAGGGGATTTGTGGCCGCGCAGTGAGAAATTACACAAACAAAAACAAGGTAAATATTGCTTGGGCGGTGAAACGTTAAGAATTCGAACAACTCAAACGAAATTGTTGTTTCATGGCCTTCAAACAACCACGGAAATTACGATTTTAATTAAAGTTACAACGTTCGGTAGCGTTAGAAGGGTCAAAAGTGAAAAAAAAAATCTTGGAGAAGAAACCTTTTGTTAAAAACTGTTAAAACCTTGAACTTTTAACGTCATTCTACCTAGAATCGGGGGTTTGGGGGCGTCATTGACGCATTTAAAACATTTCTTTCAGCAGATTCCCTTCAGTAATATCAAACTGAATGATAAAAGTAAGTAAAACCTGAGGTTGAAGCCGGTCAGTCTGGGGAAAGCAGCTGTCTCTTATGAGGAACATATTCTACTTCTATAATTCTCTTACTTTTTATAACAGTGCATAAAAAGCGGGGCTCTTTTAGGGGATTTTATGTCAGAAAAGTTTATCCGTATTTGAACCGCAAATAGAGTTTATTGGATGCGTATTTTATGCATTAAACATGGCCAAACCCTACTAAAATTTCGTTTCCTGTGCCCCACCCTTTTTCCCCGAGAATAGGTCCGAAAAGAGCAAAATTCGCTCTATTTTTGAGACAATTCTTCCAAAACTAATTAGGGTTTTACAAAGACCAAAACAGAAGGTAGATTAGTCGTTTTCTCGAAAACAATGCATTCGGGTTGAGCTAAAAAAGATCATGCAGAAGAAAAAATAACGAGTCATTCTTTCAATCTAAAACTTATTTAAATAAACCCCTTCAAAAATGTTAAAATTCTTTTTCCGACCTCCAGATTCAGGCGCCGAACTTTCCGGGGACAAAAGAAAAGCCGGGAGTATTATTCTCCATGAGCTTCTCTTGTTTGTTGTTATCCTCCCGGCCCTTTTTCTCCTAGGAAGCGCTGGAAAAGCGGCCTTTAAACAAAAATAAAAAGTAAATTATTCTATCGCTAGTCATTAATCCGCAAACCAGTAAAGTTGTATTAGGCGGCGTTATTTGAAACCGAATTAAATAGGACTTGCTGGTTTTGGCCATTCTGAGGTCGGGGAGAACAGATTAGAACCTCCAGATTTACGAGGCCGTTTCGAATACCCGTTTAATGTAATTTATAAGTCGAAATAAATGCGTGTTTTCAGAATGCACGAAAGTGCAAAAAACATTTGGGGCATAAGATCACTCCTCAAAAGTCCATAAAACCCTCAAAAAAGCTTACAAGCGAATGGTCCGGACATTCCGTGGAATCTGCAAATGTTGAATATGAGCTGACTTATATGAAAACCGGGTTTCTCTTACTTTTACTACCTAGGTTCCTTTAGGGACTTTTTTTGAAATTTTTTCGACTTATAACACTTTTAGACGTTAATGGTGTTGTTCTGGTGCCTAGTACTGCTTAAAAAACACGTTTTTAACACTTGGTACTAAATAATACCAGGCGATACCATTCTTGCTGATTTTACTACTACGTAATCATCTATTCCGCGGAAAAATTTTGATTTTCAGCTCATTTTCCTGTTATGCAACACATTTCTGCGTAATATTTCTTGATTTTGTATAGTAAAATGTTATGTAATCTTATACACTCTTATTTTTCCAAATTTCATTGAAATAGACCAAAATTTTTCAAATTTCATATTCAGTCAGGCACCCCAAAAATACACAAGACTTATGGGACACCCTAATACTAGAAGAGATTACTCATACTATATGAAATTAATTATTAAAACAGGGTTCGCGAGAGACTCGAGCAACCGCAAAACAGGTGTGGCACATTTTTACCAAGTTGGTCCTACAGGGCCGAAATTCAACCCAGTTAGTACACTTACAAAACAAAAAATTTTGGCACTTCTATTTTTTTGAGATTGGGCTTACTGTAGGGTACTGTACTTTTACCGCAAATTTTGTATCACAAAAACTGGACATGCCAGAGAGTCGGGGGTGGTTCGGATGGATTGGTATCATTATTCGGAGCTAGTTACCTGTTGACAACATTTTTCTAAAGTTTTGCCTAAGGCAAGAAAAAGTTGATTCTTTGGATCAAAAGTTACAGTAACCTAGATTTCTCAAAATTTTTTCATAGTGCGGCAAATTTTGAAGCTTTTATTTAGAAGTGCCTTCCATTGCCGTTCGAATGAGCCTATGAACACGCCTGTAGAGTGTCTCCTGGGGCAGAACCAGCCGTTTAAAGTTTGCATTTACAGAAAATGTGTCATCATGACATAGTGTACATTTTGTCAAACCGAATGTATTATTGCATAAAATGGAGGCTGATGGTCCTCTAGACGTAATCAGGCCGTCCTTCGCATCGATTTACCTATCCGACTGCCATAATACGTCGGGATGACATATTTTCTGGACGCCGTGAAACCTAACAAAGGCGAGAAAGCCGAGCAACCGCAGGATAAGGGAAACACATTTTTACCAAGTTGCTCCTACAGGGCTCAAATTTCGCATACTGGGTATACTAGCAAAATAAAAATTTTTGGCGCTTTTATTTTTTCGAAATCTGGCTTACTGTAGTCGTACTGTAATGTTACCGCAAATTCTGTAAAGCAGTTGTAAGTATGTTTTGAGACTTGGGACTGCTTTTATTAGATTCTAGAAATCATATTGAGCACATCTGATGCAAAAAGAAACTTAAAAATCCCTTTGGGTTTGAAAACGCATAGCTTTAGGAAAATATTGTTACAGTAACTTAGTTTTTCCAAAACTTTACATATCAAAAAAAGTTCTTAACTGATACAAGAAAAAACTGCTGTTTATTGCGGTTGTAACACGCCTATAACCATGTCTCTGTAGGGTCTCCCGCTCAAGATACGAAGATTTAAAGCTTGCCACCACGGTGGATTCCAGGAAATATGTCATCCCGACGAATTATGGCAGTCATATAGGTAAATCGGCACGAAAGACTGTCGGACTACGTCTAGAGGACCATCAGCCTCCATTTTATGCAATAATACATTCGGTTTGACAAAATGTACACTATGTCATGATGACACATTTTCTGTAAATGCAAACTTTAAACGGCTGATTCTGCCCCAGGAGACACTCTACAGATGTGTTCGTAGGCTCGTTGGAACGGCAATAAAAAGCACTTCTAAACAAAGGCTTCAAAATTTGCCGCACTATGGAAAAATTTTGAGAAATCTGGGTTACTGTAACTTTTGATCCAAAGAATCAACTTTTTCTTGCCTTAGGCAAAACTTTAGAAAAATGTTGTCAACAGGTAACTAGCTCAGAATAATTATACCAATCCACCCGAACCACTCCCGACTCTCTGGGATGTCTAGTTTTTGTGATACAAAATTTGCGGTAAAAGTACAGTACGCCTACAGTAAGCCGAATCTCGAAAAAATAGAAATGCCAAAAAATTTTGTTTTGCTAGTGTACTTACTGAGTTGAATTTCAGCCTTGTAGGACCAACTTGGTAAAAATGTGCCAAGGGGTTCTCGAGTCTCTCGCGAACCCTGTTTTAAATGGAAGTTATAATACATGGAAATGACCGGTAGAGGAATGAAAGGATAATCGATCTAAAGGCCGCTTGAAGGAATCAATTGATTTCTATTATTCGATCGACGAACTGATTCTCTTTATCTCTGCAAGAAACATTTAGGCTAAATTGAACACAAAAAAAATTCTACAATCATTCCAAACACTTACTCATCCGAATCCAGTGTGCGGTCGTAAGGCTTGCTAACTATGCCCGCTGACGTCTTTTCTTCTCCTTTTGGAGTCTCGTCCAGGTAGACTACCTCGAATGTCTTATTCGGAGACGCAATAGGACTGCACAAACTGATGGCCCGCTCATTCTCAATATTTTGCATTGCAACAACTCTTCTGTTTTTGTATTTTGCAGGGAACTCCTTCAACTCGGCATCCAGTAATGGCATTCCATAACCATTTCTTTCATAAAACTCATCCTAAATAAAAATAAAAGAAAAGTGATAAAATGATTACTTCCTTGAGTACGGGGCACTCTTCAGTTAATTTGTCAATGTACTTCTTTACTTCAGATTTCACGGGCGTTCGGCTAAAGGTCTGTAAACCAATTCAAGTAAACTTACAACGGATTGTTATCATGGAGAAAGAAAACAATAGCCTCCAAGATGTATGTGTAGTCTTGTGGCAAAACATTATTCCCTTCAATCCGTCCAAGAATCCCTTCATAATCATTCCTCTTTATAAGTTTGTCGATGCCGATGAAGGGAATATGTCGTAAGACATCAGAAGGGTTAAAATCATCAGGAACCTATGAATGAATTCTCTCCCCTAAGGCACTTACACAACAGCCTTTGACCTGCACAAAAATATTATCATCTCCTAAGGCTGTATCAATGCCCTTCTTCTCCTTTCCATCACTTGTCCCGCACCAAATAAATTCTCTTTCCGTGATACCTTTCCTCGAATAGACTTCTTTCAAGAGATCATCCACTCTTTTGCCTTTGAAAGTTATGAAATTATCGATCCATTTCAACTTCTCATCAATTACATAACAACACTGCAAACAAACCACTACCAAAGTAAAACGAAAATACTTTCTCTGAAAGGACTTACAACAACTTCCTCGGTCTTTGATTGCTTCTCGATTGTAGGCCCCCAATGGGAACCAAAATAAACTTTTACTGGATCGAATTCCGGAATATCAATCTTATTGGTACTCAATTCGTTGATCTTCTTCAGCCTCTTCAAATAAGAATCTCTGTAAACGATATTCCAGGCAAAAGTAAAGTAATCAGCCTTGATTCCATTGATCACGAACTGCGGAGTTGTTGATAGACGATTCTAAAATCGTATTAATTTTTTCAAACACCGTGCAAACCTACAAATAAAGGCTCGGAGAACTTGAAATTATATTTGTAGACAGATTCCCATTCAGAATCAAACACATCTCTCCTGCAGGAATCGAATGTTTTCTGACAAACATGCATGGCTATGTTCAGGAGATCATTTTCATCGACTTCTTTGTTTTTTGAGATACGGTTCATGAATGTTTTGGGATCTTTGACAACGGATAATATCTCCGTTTTAGTCATCTTCAGTTGCGCGGGCATAACGGACCATTCTCTTTTGGGACGTCCATCCTAAATTTCAATAATTTTTACTTCCTCCGCACGGCATTCTGTACGTTCTGTCCGTTACAAGACTCTTAAAACTATCTTACCGATCCGGTATGGACGTGAGCAAATATCTCCGTGAGTGTCTCCACTGAATCCAATGGTTCCAATTTGGTAAACTGTCCATTCTGAACGTAGAAAAGGCCATGAATATCCTTCCAACTCAATTCGTATTCTTTTTCAAGGATCTTCGTGATTCTTCCGGCATTAGAATCAGTATCATCGAAGTTGAATTCAGACAAATATTCGCAATTCTCATCAATCAAAATGCATTTACTGCCAGTTTTCTACAAAATCCAATTTCTTCAGAACACGCTTACCTTTAAACTCATGAAGTATTGTAGTTCAGGATGCACAAGACTGTCAACATCATCTATCGCAACCAAATTATCTCCATCAAAGTAACAAAAATCCGTCATATGTTCGATATCATACGCTTCTTTTTTGAGAACAATTTGAATTAAATCCCCGACATCCACGACTTCCACAACCGGAACCATCACCATTCGTTCGACATAATTGGGTAGTCGGAGGTGAACAATACAATCAACAGTTTGTATCGCCTTGGCCAAATGTTTTAACATGTACTTGGGGAAAGATAAATGGTAATATTCTATCAGCTTAGCACGACGTTTTTGGTCTTCCTTCTTCTTCATCTGGGCCACCTTTTCTACAATATAATCTAGTTTGTCATCCTCCAAGTGCAAAGTCCATTCCGCCTAAAATAATAAGTCAAAAATAGGACGTATATTTAAAAACTCTGGAAGTTCATGTAGATATAAAATCAAACACATTTGTCTCCGGAAAATTAGCTAATAGCCAGAAAACATACATTACATGTTCTTGTAAGCCAATCCAAATAATTTATTATTTGTCCTCGTGTCAAGCAATCCCTTAAATAATACGCAAAGTTAAGTAAAAATTGACTTACTTTGGTTTAAACAATGAAAAAGGCGCAAAGAATGTGGTAAAAAAAGATTCGGAGTCCTCCTCGGGTAACTGATCGATACTATTCAAATTCTTAATTAAAGTAGCCTTGCCTGGCACCTGTTCCGGAATCCGATGATCTCTTAGAGCCTCCAAAGGAATATTATCACTCTTATATAACGACAACTCTATCTGAAAATAATAGATATCAGTGTAAATTTAAGGAATAAAACCTGCATCAGGTGCAACCACACATAAAACGGTCGTGTCTTCCAATTCGTTGCAGTCTTCCCAATCCAGGTCTCTCATCTCGTCTGAATCCACCCTCACAAACTCCAATATCATTTCCGGGCTGATGTTAGATGAAATAAATTTTTTGATCAAATCTTTTGGAGATTTTGACTTGTAAGTAAAACGGCGATGCACGTCAAAACTTGGTGTGAGAAGTAAGACCTTCACCTCCTAAACTATGCAATAATCGCCCTTAACAAAAAAATTTCAAAACATACTTCTTTCCGTTCGATTAAAACTTCGATGGCGTAGATGTTCTGCACCGCCAAGTACAAAATTTGGTCCGACGGGTTGATCCTTACAAGTTTATCCTCGCTCCAACACCTGATCTCGAGAATATCATCCGGTTTCAATGATTTGAAAACCCGTGAAGCTGCATCAACGATAACATCGGCTACAAGGGGACCTTTGTAAGAAGTAGTCTGGTTCAATATGTAACCATTATGGGTGGAGAAGAAGACAGTCATACCCATCTTCTAAAAAAGAGACATCAGATTTTAAAAGGAACTAACTTTCTCCTCGGGGATTTTTTTGAAATAAAAAATGGCGCCAAAAATAAGCGGAAGGAGGCTAACAAAAGTCAGCTCCCTTCGGGAACCAATTACAATGTCTAAATGAGGCATAAATCGGATATTCTAAATAAAAACAATGCCACACTTGGCTGCAAAAAATAAACAGAAAACAACAGGTCCAAATGGCTGGCCAAACCGTTTACGCGTTTACTAATGCAACTTTTTTGTTATTTTCTTTGACCAGCCAATGAGTTGAAATCACAACCAGATTTTTCAATTGCTAGCCAAAAGCCTGGATCGCTAGCCAAAGTGTCAGAGGACTTTGAAATCTCGAAATAAGCTAGCCGAAAAGGATTTTGACGCTTTGGCTAGCCGATCCTGGTTTTTGGCTAGCCATTAAAAAATTTAGTTAGTTGTGACTTCAACTCTTTGGTTGGCTGGTCAAAGAATTTTGTTACAATGGCTATACATAATATTATTGGAACAGTGCCCGATCTGCCCCAAATGAAATCTGCCCCGAAGTAGTCAATTTACAGGGTGCGGCAATTTTTCGGCCGGATTTTAATTGGCCATAACTTTTTTAGTTTCTGGGCAAATGTTAAAATTCTTTTTTTTCCCTGAATCCATAGACAACCCCATTTTGTTTAATACCAAATATGTCACACTCGTTCATTAGACCACAGTAAAAATTCGAGACAAAGAAAAAGCTCTAATTTTTATAGCTGACAATGGAATTACCCCTAGTGCGACTCTCAGATTTTCTTTAAATTTGCACATGGGCCGCACATAGGCCACACATCAATTCCTGAAAGTTTCAGCCCGCACCTTTCAGGGGCGACCAAGATATTCAACGATTCTTTGCGGTCAGGAGGGCACATGAGTGGATCACACAGAAAAACTTTTTGGCTATATCTTCGCTAGTTTTGTGCGGAGATAGCTGATTTTTTGTGGAAACGGTATTCTCCATGGCATGAAGAGGCATGAAACTTTTTACGACAAAGTTCGTAAAAAAAGTCATTTTTTCTGGCGATTTTCAGACACGCCGAAAAAGCAGAGAAAACGACCGAAATGCCAATAACTATGAACTAGGTCCCTGTATATATAACATATTTGGTATTAAACAAAATGGGGTTGTCTGAGGATTCAGGGAAAAAAAGAATTTTAACATTCGGATAAAAACTAAAAAAGTTATAGCCAATTCAAATCCGGCCGAAAAATTGCCGCACCCTGTATCATCGAAGGGATTCAAAATTTACATTTTCTCAATTCATGCTTCGCAAAAAAAATTTGGACGGAATGTCACTTCGACGATATTTCCAATGACTATTGACTAATAATTGATAAATAAATGTCCAAAAAAATGTTGAAAATTTTTCTTATGAGAACAGATCTAGAAGTTTAGAATTTCTGATATTTATGTATATTTTTTGATTTTTTTGTTTTCGGTGTTTGGAAATGTTATAGGTAGATTGTCACCTCGGAAGGCAAAAATTAATCAAGAAGACAAACATTTACTTGTTTAGGATCAAGGCCATCCATTCCTGATGCTGCTTTCGTTTTCCGGAAATATTTGGACAAATATTATATGCCGTTCCGTGAGGTAGGAGGGACCGGCGAGGACGTCTGACGAATAATTTTATTCATGGATTTTTGTAATCCTCACTTCGAACACCTGGTGAACACATGGGTGGGGAGAGCGGGAAGGAGGAGCAATCTGATGGAAGGTAGAAATTTGAATAATCGCTTCGACCACCCGATCTACATGTGTTCATACACTGGGTCACTCTCCTTGGATTTGAGATCATTATGAGGTTTTATGAAGGGCTCTCTCCGGGAGTCCAGTTTATGTTGTTATAGGTGGTCGTATTAAAGCAGTGTTTTAAGCATCGGATTTAGAGAGGATCTCAGGTCTTCGATATCGCCAAACTACTCTTGATCAAAGGTAATTCTTTCGTCAGAATCTTCTCCGACCTCGACCACCTTTGGGCCAATGTTCCGTGACCCATTGTTTTTGAGTATTTCGGAATTGGCTGACCCTGAACTCAATCGAAGCGCCCACAAGGATTGGTTAATTCCGAAATGGGATCTGGTCTCGATTCGCTGATTTTATGACTCAGCTTCTTTGGTTTTCGAATAAGCTGAGGCCGGTTATGGATTGTTCTCTTTGATTTTATGTGTTGAAAGGTTGTTTACATCCATATAGAACGACTTCTTTTGTTGAGATTGCAATTAGTAATCAGATTGGATTAGATTCTTGTTTACGTAATCGCGTAACTTCTTTCTTCCGTCTGTTTAGATCCGGTCTGAACGTCCGGATCTACAGTAACGGAGGGTCAGACCTAATGAATGAGGTAAACTCTTCCAGAACGACCTTCTGGACCGTTTTCTTTTGGTTGATCCGCGGGAAACATCCGGTTCGCTCTCCTTAAAGATGCCGACTCACAGGACACGCTGATTGTTTTTAATGAATGGAGATCCAGTGATCGTTGTAGAGCTTCCATCTTATCAACTTTCTTTTCTTATTTACCCGAATTGGGATCGGTTCTTTCTTTTGCTTTGTTCTCTTCGGGTAATCGTAATAGAATGTGATTTCTGTGGCCCCAAATGGTCAAAATTTTTGATTTTTTAAAATTATTTGCAATTTATTGCCTAAAATCTTTAATTTTATTTTTGGGGTTTGTAGTGCAACTCTTGGCAACATTAACATAAAGTTATTTTTAGAATCATCCCAAAAGGTAATTGTTGTTTTTTTCGTTTAGTTCCCGCATTTTTAAAAATTTTGTTACCTAAAATCTTTTGTTTTTGCCGTTACTTTCCTCAAACATTTTGCCTCTAATTGTTATATTTTCCTCGAATTTGATATGCTAATATCCCTCATTGACTTGGTGTCTTATTAATTCGTTTATCTTTTAACTATTTTCTCCACGTAAATTTTTTATAAATATGTCTGTCATTTACATGTTGCATGTGGTTGGATACGAAATCCCAGACAGTGTTAATGGCCCGCCTACCTTCTTGTCTTTTTATCTGATAGGAAAGATGGTTTCCAAACTGATCCCATCCCAGAGTCGGCGCGACCGCAAAAAGTCATTAAGGATCTGGGGACAAAACAAACTCGGACCGTCTTGAGCGGCCCGTTTCCTTCTTTCTGGCCACAAAAACTTTTGTTGCAACTTTTGTGCCCCTTCTGTAGATTCTTGGGATCTGCTTTTGAGGATTTCCGGATATCCTTTTTTGAATAAAACCTTTTTTATTTTTATTTGGATGTTCTGAATGAGCGGGAGTCTTTCGATGGGTCGTTAGATCGTGTGGTTACTGTAATTCCCAATTCCGTTTATATTTCTTTAGATGGGAACGGAGGATTCAGAAGGCTTGCTAGAACGAATACGGAAGTTGATTCAGACTCAACGTCCGAGAGATGGTGAGGAGGAGAAGGCAATCACAAGGACAGGTAAGGGAAAACTCAGCTTTTAATTCCTAAATTATCTTAGGACCTCTTCACAGTCGAATCACACCCTACAGCAGGAAGCCCAAGCAGAAAAGTGATTATTCTGTCCATGATTCGGAACTTCCGAGTACATCGGTCCAGCTTCCTAACACATCCAGGACTCCGATCCTAACGACAAAAGCAGATGGGGATTTACCTCCGTATCTAATGCAATGTCCTGAGCCCTACAATCTACACTACTGTTACAATGACGGGGATTGTGTCACGTATCGGTGAGTTGTTTTACGTACTTGATGATTGGGTAGGAATTTTCTCTAGATTACGCAATTTAATGGGTTGTTTTGGGAAGATTCGGATAGGCTTCTACTCATCGGAATTAGTGTTTTCGACAGTAAGGTCGCTTTGTCAGTGTTTGACCCTTAAAAAGTTACTTTTTTCAGCTCCACCAACCACATAAATGATATGTTCTGTCGCTGTGAACTCGGCTTTCATGGAGAACGATGTGAGTATTCGTTTAACGGGGAGTTGTATGGTCATGATCTTTTCGTCGCGAATCCAGAAAGTATGGATCATGAGATGGAAGTGGAGATGGACGTGGAGATCGGCGAGAACCGCGTGAATGCCCCTGTCTCCTTGATATCCGGTGCAGCAGCGTCTTCATTGGTGATGTTGTCGGTGTTATTGGTGGTGCTGGGCATTCTGGCTCTCCTTCTTCTTTGTTTTTTCTGTTTCCGACGGTATGTTTTGTATATCTTTGGATTGTTTTGTTTCCCGTGTCATCTCATGACCTCATGAGATGTCGAGACATTCCATTTACAACCCTCCGAACCCTTTTTTATGCAAATTATGAATGACGTTGAGTCCAACGCAATTCCGCGCAAGCCGCAGATTTGAATTAACGGCGTTTTGTTTTGGAAAACATGTCAGTGGTCTTTTTATAGCCCATCTGCGCTCTTCGGATACAAAAGAATATGATTTTTTGACTTCAGGAGAACTGAAAATCAACATTCCGAGATATTTTCAAGCGAGGGCGAAGAAACTACTACAGTATCCAGTCTGCCATCTACAGTACTCTCAACCATCGCCTACAGTAACCCGCCTTTTCTACAACCGATAGACGACTGCCGAATATATCGAAGTACTGTGGACGCGGATACTCTAACATCCGACAGTGACTCGACACCCGGCAACTCTCCCATCAAACCGTTGGTTCGGTAGCACTGAAGATACGACGGTCTTCCCACTAATCTCACATAAATGTAATCTCACACCTTAGGGCATTATTTCCTGTGTCTAATGTTTCTAATCTATTTTGTTGATCTAACTGTTGTTAATGTTAATGTAGGATTCCGTTTGTTGTCATAATGACAGATGGCACAGCTTTCCTCTTTCTGTAGGATATATTTTATAACAACTCCTAGTACTAGATTATTATTTCATACCGTATTTGGACATTTTATATTGATTATCATGGTATATCATCTCATATTATTTTATAGCCTTTCATTTTTATATTTTCTCAATTTTAATGAAATCCAGGTCTATGAAACGAGTATTTTGTAGAATTAATTGAATAAATGAGCAATAAAAAGGGGATTTCTTTCGTGTTTGAGATCAAAATGTAACTTGTAAGAAAGGATTATAATTGAATGGAATAGTACAAAGGAGTCATTAATTATGTCCAAATCGATTATTCAAATCTCGGAAAGACACGGAAGGTCTGGATTTAGCGCCCAGATAAAGGGATAAAATATTTTGGAAACCTTGGTATTAATTCGAGACCCCTCGAGCCATTTGTTTCTTCAGGTTTCACGACTTTATCTAACAAGGATAACTTTAACTGTCCATGAGTAATCTCTTTATCGAGTAGTCGCTAGTTTTATTTACTAGATCCATCGTTAAACTACAGTAATCTCAGCTTGATTCTATAAGGGATTAGTCATGGTAAGGGTGAAGGATACGGTCGTTAAATATATTTTAGTTTGGAGTTATCCATGAGTGCATAAAACAACTGTTTATTTCGTTACGGAACGAGGATGCGTACAAAGAAGTACTGTAAGTCTGTTATTGCCTTCTCTTACAAGGGAAGTCACTTTTTTCGCAGATCGATCCATACTGGTGACCTAGTGGACTGTGAAGGCCTCAGGCTGTGTAAGAAGAATCTGGCGTCCAAAAGTGTTTACGGGCCCTGAGGGCAGAGTTATGGCTCATAAAAGTTCGCGCAAAAAAGGTTCCGAAAAGACCCTCCAAAAAAACGGGATTGGAGAAGTGAGCTTCGGTAGCAGAGTGGTTCGCAGATTTTTCTTTTGTCTGGAAGGGCTAGGGTTCGATTCCTCTTCCCGGCAATAACTAAAAATAATATTGTAAGAGTAGCGTAAGTTACAAAAAAAATTGTTTTGAAACATTTTTTGAAAAATTTTATTATCCTGTCGTTAAAATTTGGGGAAGTCGTTGTGAGCTTGGACACAGTGAGGGATGCGAGGGCATTTTTCCGCCGAGGATCGCATTCAATTTCTGGAATAATGCGGCGATTACGGTGGATGAAGACGCCGTATCATTGGAGAAAACTGCGGGAACTTTGGCGTAAAGGTAGGACTGGGATTCTCAATATGTATCTCTCTGATGTTTTAGAAGACGCCCTTGGTGATCATGATATCATGCTGAAGCGTTTGAGTCAAACGCTTGCTGTCTGGACAGATGATAAATTTAGCGACGATATGAACAAAATCGTCATTTTTTTAACGACTTAATAATAATTTTAAAAAAAATTTTTTAAATATTTTTTTTGTTACTTACGCTACTCTTACAATATTATTTTTATTTATTGCCGGGAAGAGGAATCGAACCCTGACCCTTCCAGACAAAAGAAAAATCTGCGAACCACTCTGCTACCGAAGCTCACTTCTCCAATCCCGTTTTTTTGGAGGGTCTTTTCGGAACCTTTTTTGCGCGAACTTTTATGAGCCATAACTCTGCCCTCAGGGCCCGTAAACACTTTTGGACGCCAGATTCTTCTTACACAGCCTGAGGCCTTCACTGTCCACTAGGTCACCAGTATGGATCGATCTGCGAAAAAAGTGACTTCCCTTGTTAGCAAAATTTAGAGCCCAAGCAGGCTTCGAAATGGGCAAAGAGAACATGTTTTTCCATTATTACGAAGACTCTGACAGTATGGCCATTGTGGACAACATTTGTTTGTATACAAGTAAGACGACTTGTGTTTGATAATTTGATTAAAGAATTGACTCGAGAAGAAGTCTGGGAATCTTTTGGAGTTTTCTTTGTGGGATGGATAATGGATCAAGGATGGGATGGGCTTTTGAGGACTCTCAGTCCAGATCTCAAGGGATTTGTGAATAATCTGGACTCCTTGCATTACTTTATAGACCACGTTGTCTATAAGGCGAGTCTTAAAGGGCCCTCATTCAGATGTGAGGTCAACAAAGACGATTCCATCACTCTGCATTACTTTTCTGAGAGATCCGGCCTTTATCCGATTGTGAAAGGTACTTGTTATTACATTTGGGCCTTGGATATTCGGGGCCCATCAGAGCAAGCATTTAGTATCAAGTAATACTGGCTACATGCTGATGTAGGAAAATCACTTTTAGTAATATCTAAGCCAAGATCACTCGAAGAGCGAGCATATGGTAAATTATGCCATTACAGTCACTTTTTCATCCCGAGAGGCAGCAGATAGAAAAATCCTTATAACGGCAAAACAAGTGTCGATCATTTTGTCTGAAACTTTAAAAACAGATTTTTGGAAGTATTACATGTATGCACAACCGCCCACATTGCTCTCGTACTGTTACAGCCCGCAGGGCAAGCAAATATATTTGTCCAGATTTTACTGGAGCACCCTGTACATATTGGGCCAATACCCGGTCTGCTCCTGACGTAAGATAAATTTTATAGTTTATCTCAATCTTATAGGATTTACACTTTACAATTATGTACAATTTACAATTTTAACATCAGTTATTATACATACTATTACAAGCTGATGGGCGCTGAATGTCCAGGGCCCGACTGTCTGTGTGCATGCACTGTGTAATCAGTTGGTATTTAATTTATGATTTAGGAATCATAAAAGAAATCGGGAAGAAGTTGTATAAACTAGATGTGAGCATCACTGTTCTCGGAAGGACTCAACGGAGCGTTCAAGTTGGACAGAAGGAACGACTAGAAGAACATGTCATCTTCTTGATCAGAGTAGATTTTTAATTCCAAGGAATGTTCACTTTTTACAAATATTTTTTAGAGCAATTCCGTGGCTTCATTAGATTCTCGAGCCAGTTCTGCCTTAAGTAATCATGGGCTGATCGATGTGGAGGAGATTATGAATCTGTGGACGATGAGGATCAGTCAAAAGGACTTCTGCGCTTTACAGCCCTATCATTTTGTAATGGACAGAGACTGTAGATTAGTCCAAATCGGGAATGAATTGCTCCGTTTTTATCCTCCAGAGACTATCCAATTGGGAATGCCGATTCTGAAGTTGGTCGAGATTCAAAGACCTCAGATTCCTCTTGATTATGACAATATCCTCAATTTTATCAATGCCGTTTTTGTTCTCCAGATACGACCCCAAAGAGGAAATGAATCTGATATATCCCATAGCAGATCCCAGTAAGCTTTAAAGCATCTTCTATCGTTTCTGTCCCATTTAACCTACTTTTTTAGAACCGACTCCAGATCTGCGGACTACGATTACTTTCGTTACGGAACCGTCATCAAATTGAAGGGTCAGATGATGCTTTTGAGCAATGGAGAACACATGATCTATCTAGGCTCTCCCTATGTCACAACCATCCCTGAATTGCTTACAAATTCCCTTCGTTTGAGCTCGTTTCCTTTGCATGATGCAACCAGAGATCTTATTCTTCTAAATCAACAACGATTAAACGATGTCGACGACAAGTTTGTTTTCTTTTATCTAAAGTAGCGCATTGCAGTATCCAATTGGAAGCTAACAACGAACGTCTTGAAGACATGGCCGCGGAGATTGAGTTGGAAAAGAAGAGGAATGAGACACTTTTGAAGGAGGTTCTCCCCGTTTCGGTAGCCGATCAGCTGTTGCAGGGAGCTTCCGTAGATGCAAGTATGTTAAATACGCCTTCGTTTGCACAACATTTTCATAGGAGAGTATCCTCTGGCCACCGTCATGTTTGTGGATTGTCCCAGATTCCAATCAATAGTCCCTTTATGTCAACCAAGACAACTGGTATCCCTACTTAACGATCTCTTCACAAAGTTTGATCGACTGGTTTCAATGCATGGGGTACTCTCTAACATTATTACTCGTAATTCCAGACCTTTAGGTGTATAAAGTGGAGACTGTCGGAGATTCTTATATGACTTGTGGCGGTCTTCCTGATGAGAATCGTATCCATTGTGAACAAGTCTGTCATCTTGCCTTAGGCATGTTATGGGAAGCGAGACAAACGCAAGATCCGGTGGAAAAGAAATCCCTCTCCGTCAGGTGTGGAGTCCATTCGGGAGCAGTAGTTGCTGGTGTAATTGGGGTCAAAATGCCCAGGTACTGTCTCTTTGGGGATACTGTAAATACAGCCGCCAGGATGGAGAGTCATTCGTTGGTAGGGAGAGTCCACTGCAGTTCGGCAGCTAAAAAGTATGTCGTAAACAGCTTAATATATTGAAATTTAACTTTAGATGTGCAGAAGACAGTGGAAGATTTGAATTTTTTTTCCGGGGATCCATTCCCATCAAAGGAAAGGGACGAATGGAGACTTATTTCTTAGCCAAGAGTCTCAAGAAATCGGTTTGGGAGCTAATTGGCCGTGCTCGCGGTAAGGGTGTTTATTGGATAATAATGATTAAAACCTTTGTTTACTTTGCACTTTATATCAGACCCCAATGTCCAAAGCATCGATGGTTACGATGAGTTGATGGAAGGCATCGATGACGATCTTCAAGTGGTTCTTGATGACACTAAGACGTCAAGAAGTTGCACTTTGCTCTGAATAAATATAAAAACGATTACAAGTGTATCCATTTTAACACGTTGCAATATTTCATTAGTAAACATTATAATCCTTGAATATTATACTTTTTCATCGGCGTCATTCAAATTATTATTTAATTGACCTTAGGCGGTGTCCACCCGCCAAATTTCTTTTCCATTTCCATGGCCAAATTGATCAACATCCAATAATTATTCTTTGTGGCCACCAATTGGACACTTTTTGGGTATCCCTCTTTATCTAATCCCATTGGAATGGACACGACCGACGCTCCCAGCAGATTGAAAACGCCACAGTTAAGAGAATCCAGAATTGCCGGGATCGGTTCTTTGTGGAAGTAATGGGTAAGAGGAAGGCCGGGAAATAAATATATGGTGGAATCATCAACTAGCTGAAAATATTTACATGTCAGTCATTGGGAAAAAGAACTCACACTCCAGAAGGCTTTTACGAACTCCTTCTTCTCTTTTCTCAGTACTTCAATGTCACGTTTGGGAGGCTGGCTTAAAACAAATGCCGAGATTACGGCCCCAAGATGAAGATCTGACTTCCCAACCACAGCTTTCATCAGTTCTTTGTCAATCCTTTTCTCTCCTTTATCATCCTAAAGAATAATCATCATTAAATACACTTACATTAAGCAGAACAGTACTGTAAACTTGAGGTCCAGAAGTTTTGTAGAGGCTGCAGTGATACCATTCCATGTGTATGTTGTGAACACATGGCATGTAATATCGGGTCGGATCTAAATTATATTGATATTTCACGAACTCAAAAGCCTCGTTAAAGGCATCCATCTGGGCTTCCGAGAGAGGGAAAGAATCGCTGAATCCAGGGGTAAATACCATCTTTTTGGGGATGTGATTGTGAAGATCGGAAGGAATTTTTTGCCCTGACAATACCTACAATTAGTAGAATGTAAAATAAAGTCGTAGAATCTACCGAGAACACAACGGGTAAATCCCGGGCATATCTACAAATCGGGCCGAAGCCGAGCATATCGAATACATCTGGAAGTTCATTTCGATCTGGATCTGGTGGAAAATGCCCAGTTCCATCAATTGTATCATAGTGGGGCTTGAGACCGAAGAGGCCATTCAGCATGGAGGGCATTCGAATAGATCCCCCGATATCCGAACCCAATCCGAAGATTGACCCTTGACTCGAAATTAATGCTCCTTCGCCTCCAGAAGATCCTCCACAAGTGCATCTGGAGTCATACGGAGTGGAAGATCTCCCTACGATCTTATTATCTGATTCCCAGGCAATACAGGCGGATGGAATGTTGGTATGGGCCAAGGGAATAGCGCCCACATCTCGTAGTCTTAAGGAATGTTCGGCCAATTAAAAGTTTGCTTACTTTTTGACAACTACTGCGTCTTCTTGTTGAGGCGGTTCTTTCCATTTGTAAGGTAATCCACAATGAAGTTTCTTGCCTGGAAAGCAATCGTTTAATTTTTTTACTTCGACTCTTACCTTTCACTGTAAAGGATCCTTTAACGGAAAAGGGAACTCCCAATAATGGTTTTGTGACATTCAGCTGAGTGAATTCGTCGGAATTTTTATCCAAATTGGCCAAGTATTCATCGACCTCCTTGGCCTCTTTCAAAGCATCGGCCTCGAAGATATCGTATGCAGAGTTTATATGATTGTGGGTGTCTTTAATCCTTTGGATCAACGTCTTTACCAGTTCCGATGATGTGAGCTAGAAATGGTCATCATACAAGCAAGTATTTCTACTTTATGGGCATCCATCCTCTTACCTTCCCTTCTCGAATTCTTCGGGCGGCCTCAACAGCACTGATATTCAGAAGATCATGGGGATCTCCAGACTGTATTAATCTTCTGTTTCTTTTCCCCAGCTTCCTCACAACAGCGCGCGAAGACTTGGAAGTCAGAATTTTATCCATGAAGGAAACAAGAATAACAAAAACGCTCAAAGCAAGCGGTCATATTAAAGGTTTTTATGTGAATACAAAAGGTGATCGGAGAAGAGGCGGTATATTTTCTCCCTTTAGGGAGTGATTGATGCTTTCACTCTTCAAAATGAGATTTCAAGCCTCCAAGAAACGACTAATAAACTTGTTATATGCAGTGTTTAGCGTGTTTATCTAAGAAAGCTTGGTCTATAGCCAAGTACAATGTAAAATGTTATTTTACGGACATGTGTGGTCTTTCGGACGGTTAAATAAACTTTGAATTTCTTTGCAAAACACAATTTGGCCAATTTTAGACTAAAAACATGGCCAATCACACGGAAGAAGCGAGAGATCAGCCAAATGCCCTGAGGCCATAAAAGAATTGACGTCATAATCGGCCCCATAAATGATCCAATGGGCCAATTTCCATTGGATTGGCGGAGATTTCTTTGTTTACATTACTGATTTCGGGATTAAGGATGGCTTTACTGGGGATGTCACAATGACATTATACTATAACACTGTTATCGAATCTAGTGGAGTGCTCATCTTTGACGAGCTCCGCATTTATTTTTTGTAATTTCTCGGGTCTAGACCTCGGAAGCATTAATAAAGAGGAAGATGGAGTGGGAGAAGTCACGCAATCCTGTAACCAGAGATGCGACGATCAAGTTCTATTTACATTGGTTGTCTTATGAAGCGCCGTTTACATTGTTTGTTGAATCAAAAGCCAAGTACTGTAATTTACATGTCTGAATTATGAATAACTTTCTTCTGCATGTAGTCCTTTACTCTCCATTCATCCAGTATCTAAATTTACGTGGTTTTGGCATTCAATTCCAATTGAAATTGGGTGCAGATTCCGAGATAATGTGACCATTTCCGGCTCCAATTGCAGACTTATAATTGAAGTCAGCACATAGAGATAAGATGGATTTATCTGATACTTGGCTTCTAGATTGTGGAATAATCAAGTGTAATATAATATAACTGCTTTGCAAGGCCCGTCAGCGCTTTATTCTCAAGTGTAACATCCAGGTGTAGGTGGCTTAGCTTCGGACTTTTGAGCAAAATATTCACTAATCCAATACCTTTTGCTTTACAAATTCATGGATATCCAGGGAAGAACCCCCACTTCCTGGGATTTGGTAATGTCAAAACGGCCAAATAAAAGGATTAGCCTCAGGTCATGTTTGTCAACTCTTGCGTGGTATTTAATTACCGTTTAAGTGGTGGGATCTCAATAACCTGGCCTTTTGGCTTAGTTAATTAATGTTTATTCACACGTAAAATCAAATTGATTAATCATTTTCTGAGAGCAAAAACTATTTTTTAGAGTACGAATAAAGTCATTCCGAGTCGGATTCAGTCAATAACAATATTGCGAAGCCGGATTCACGGTAGAAGGAAAGGATCCGATTTATTTTTGGCCGGGATCCGGCTAATCCGCCGTTCTGCAGCCATTCCAGGGTATTCTCGGACTCTTTGTGTCAAATCCTGAATTTCTTAATCCGCCGGTCATCCCTCGAGGGTTTGACTTGTTTTTCTGATTCAGAATTTCCCATCTTTAACATTAAACCGATCTCAAATTTGAGAAATGACCATCCCCTTTTGATTTTTTTATCTCTCATCTTTTACAACATTACTTCCGGAATCTATTTCTTTGAAGCCAAAATATTGCAAAACTGAAAAGTTCTTTTTGCTTCGAAATAATTATTGTTTTAGTGATCATAAAAAATCGTATATGTGATTAATGTCAAAAGTTTTATTGATTTATTGCAAATATTAGACTGTCGGGAAAGTAATATGCGTGCAACGTCGCATCAAAAAGCGCATCGCCAAAATGAGTTGTGTTCGCGACGTGATCGACATAGCGCTCATTATTTTCCCGACAGACTGGTGAACTCTTTTTTTTTGCATTGCGTTTTAACTTTTCGTAAAGCAGCCTGTCGAGATTCGGGTCATAGCATTAAGATTCTTGTCTTTTCTATATTTTATTTTGCAATATAAATATTCATGGAATTTTTGCGTTTTATTGTAAATGTCGCGAGTTTTCCAGGACGTTCAAATCCAGGATTTGTCGGGGATTTAGCGAAAGTATTGTAGCTTTCATTTTCATATTGTAATACAAGGAAATAGAGATGGGGATTAACCCCGAGTCTGGCCTGAATCCGCTTATAAAACATGAAACTATTCGAAAACAAGACTTGATGTAATGTGCACTTACATTTGTGCGTTTCACAATAACACTTTCCTGTTATCATTATTCAATGTCATCTTGTGTTATGTTATTGAATCCTACTTGCACATGTTATATTTTAATTGTGATCTCATCATATTTTTGGCCTTTTTTAAATGTCACTGATCTGTTATTTATTTATCCTTTTCTTGGATTAATTGTCACAAATCTATGAATTTAATTACTCACTAATTGAAAAGCCTTGATTTGTTTACAACTTGTGATCATTACATAGTAATTATTATCAATTATTTCGACGTTCCAAATCCAATTAGGGCCCCGGATTAAAGGGGATTTCCCCTTGTTCTGACTCCCGTGACATTTATCTGACGTTAATTGTCATCCCGAGATTCGATGTAATGTAATGTTATGTTTATCATATGATATTTCTGTAGTTGGATAAGTTCTTCTGATTGGAATGATTGACGACATTTGTTTATGGGCTAATTAATTGGTTAATCGGTCTTAATTTCGCCTGGATTTTGTCTTATCGCTAGATCCACCACTAAATGTTCTTTGGTGTGAGTGCAGAGAAAGTATATTCCCCTCATTTTTTCTAAGAATGTTACGATTAAAGTCGTAAATCCAATTTCCTTATTGTCCGTATACTATGGCGATCTTATGAAGGTCCAGTAGTTGTCTGCTGTATCTTATTAGATTAAAAATAATTTCTAAACCAACGGGTTCTATTGCTGTTTGAATCCTCTAATTCCAAAGCAGAGACATAAATTCTGTGTGTCTTTCTTACTGTAGAAAAGTGATTACTGACATAGATGTCCCGACTTCCTTTTTTGTATCACTCCCCCTCTTTCCAGGGGTTTTCCAATGTTCGGCTTTTCTTTGTAATATACACATGTATGTAAAAGTATGCGCAGTCTAGACTCGGCATGGATTCTGTGGAGGGATTAAAGCGATCTCTATTCGTGTATGATGCAGGGATGTAGAAGAAGATGGAGATCCCCGAATGAGTCAATCGTATCTTTTTTTAGTGTCGTCTGATGCTAGCCATAATCCTCGTGGATTAGATTGCAGTTCGTTTTAGAGCGTTAGGACATCGGTATTAGTGCCGTAGCTGTGCATCTTTAATCCGATAAATTTTGTCTCTGGCGTTTCTTTGATCCCCACTCTCTCTTTTCTTATTAACATTGGGCGGGTCTTTTTTGGTGTCTTTGGCGGTGTAAGTGTGGAGTGGGGATGTAATGGGCTCTTTCCCAGATGAATCCGTAGATGAATAATGTTGCCCAAGGCAATGTTTAATCATGCTTCTGATGGTTATTATAATATATATAGAGCGTGTTATTGTTCGTGTGATTATCGAGTGTGATTCCTTGTTTGTTCAAGTTTTATGTTTTATTATTTTGCAGTCTCTTCCAAAATTTATCAGAACGGTGCTTGGCTGGCGGTGGGCCGCTCGTCTGATAACGCGGCCGAACAGAAAATGGAACCGCCGGATCTGCTGACCACTTGCGTGGTCGCGTCCATCTATGCCTTGACAGTAAAAGTGGGCCTTCTGGGGAACTGCTGGGTGGTCAGTTCGGTGATGAGAAGTCGTCGACCAAGGACGATGATGGGCTCTTTGAGTCCCTCAGACCGGCTTCGAACCTATATTGGCCTTCTGGCGATCCTCGATCTACTGGTGATCGCCTCTCTGGTCATCCGAGTTATGTATATTCTCTTGCCATATGCATCTACAGGTAAGTATTTTTAGAATTTAATCTCTTCCACGTTGTTTTAAATATAGCCGTGACGTGTTGAGTTCATCTTGCTTTTCTTGTAATGATCCTTCCTAAATCCATTTACTTTTAGAAGAAATGAGCTGCAGAGTTGTCTTTGTGATCGACCATTTGGTTAAGCTGGCCTCCTTAACTTGCCTCTCCTGCATTTCCATGGAAAGATATATCACAATCAGGAAGCCATTCAGCTCTAGAATCCGCAAAAGATTCATCCAGTTTACCCCGATAGTGGCACTGACAATCTTAGTCATCGTATTGGCAGCAATTGCAGTAATGGCCTCGAATGTTGGTCTAAATGAGAATGGGACTGATTGCCAGCAAAAAGGATACGGAGGAATCTTGGTGAAGGGTGCCAGACTGGTCATCTCCTTCTCTTTCTTCGGCCAATTGCTTATTGTTTCGGCCAATTATGGCCAGATTGTTAGACATGTTCGACGAAAATTCTGGCAACGAAAAGCCCGAGTTGTGGCCAATGCGAAGAATCAAAGCAAACAACCACTGGTCTCCCAGCCAAGATATATGAGAGATATGACTGCTGCAATTGTCAGAATCGCCTGTTTTCATGTCGTCTGCTGGCTGCCTTACTGTGTCATGCAGATGGTCTCTGAATTCTACGGAAATGAACTTGGATCTACCATGCCTACCAATCTGAAATCTTTGGAAGATAAGCAAATTAACTCATGGATTTGGACGGTATTCATCGCAGACTGGCTGACTTATGTCAACTCTGCTGGGAATTGGATTTTATACGCAGCTATGAACAAAGATCTCAGGTCCATAATCAGGTAATATTATCTTATTCAATCATAATATTATAATTAATCCATTTGTTTTGAAGAATTATATAATTATTGTTTGACCTTTAGAGCTACTACCGAGCGTCGAAAGAGGTCTACAATGTCCCAGAGCTCTCCCCCATCCAACATTCATCGCAGCCTCAGACGGCATATGGCCCAATCCCTTCGTTTCTTCTACTCCATCAACTCTTACAGATCCAATAACAATAGCTTTGATGATTCCTTGACTACTTGTCACATCAATGGATCCATTGATTCCTCTCCGATGGCTGTGGCTCGGTCTGTTTCCAATGCTGGAGCCCACCAAGGAGCTGAAGTTGGGCTGTTTGGGATGAGGAATGGCCGAGCCCACACTTATTGTAGTCCCCGTTCTTCGAATGGATTGTCCACTGCCAATAGCCTCACCGGATCCAATCACACGCCCGCCAATCTCCACAAATATGTGATTGCCTCGAGGAATTCCCCGTGTTCTTCGCCGAAGCCAATTCTCAGTGTAATTATGGGAAATTCGAACGAAAAATTGGATCAAGAGCGATTCTTGTGATCGCCATTACGTGTTTATTCGTGTACCCTCATGTTTACGACCCGACCTCTTCTAACTCTCATTCAATTACGTGTAAATCCCTTCTTTTGCTCAAACTCTTCATGTACATACTTATAATACTATATATTGTATACATGATTGATTCTCTGCCATTTCAATTTTTGACATATCTGATCTCATTTCGTATGTTCCCGGGTGCTTATATAAGTTTGAGTATAAATAAAATACGAATGAAAGAGATTTGACTATGTAATGTGGCCTAATCCGAACACGTTTGTTAATCGGGGCTTTCGGGGATTTGAAGAGAACGATGACGGAACGGGGAAGAAGGACATGTTTGGTGATGCAAGAAGCGGATTACAACGACAGCCATGATGCTGTCCCCATTATGAACGTGTACAATTAGGATAATCCAGCCATTATATGACTCTAATGTCATCCACGTTCTGGCGATCTGAATCCTGCTTACGTATATACACGATTGAGTAGGAAGATAAGCAGATTCAGGTGTTAATAAGACCGGATTAACGTTTATTAGCTGTGTTATGTTTTTAGAACATTCCTAATGCTTAACTTGCTCATCGATTCTGAATGTGAGGCCGAATGAAGCCAATCGATCGTAGATTGACGTCTTGGCAAATGCAGAGGTCGTTGTGTAACATCCGCCGCTAAAACAATATGATATTAATTCAAGTATTTAACAAACTTCAAAAAAAATTTAATGATTTACTTGTCAGGTAAGGCCTCTTTGTCCTTGAGAACAGTAAACGCGGCCGAAAGAATGCAACCGGCGGTCCCGATATATCCAGAATCCGGCCCGTCACATCTGGCCAAAACTTTTTTGGAAGGTTTCTCATCAAGTGGTGTTGTTGATGACCATCCATTTCCGATAAACCAGTAGGTAAACGTCGCCTAAAACAGACCGTTTACAAAGAATAAGAACATTAGAAGGTGATTATCCCGCACAGAATAGATAAATAGACTCTGCAGCCGGGAATACTTAAAAAAAGTAAATCCAAAAAATTTGTCGGCTTTAGGGTAGGAGCCTGCATTTTGTTTTTAGATAAATATGGCCTAAAACGTGTCCTCATATTTTTGTGCCCCTTAAAAAACCAACGTTGTTCCTGAAACAACTCAAAATTTGTAATCAGTGAATAATTTGAAAGTCTGACCTACTTGTTTGCATTGTTCTCTGGTTGGACCCTGAGGGCTAAAGAGTCCACAACTGAAGATGTAAGGATATTTCTGAGCCAGTTTGCGAGTAAATTCAAATTTAACGACATAACTGAAGAGAGTCATCCAAAGGATTCCCAGGTATGCCCAGAAGGTGTTGGAGGCAGCATAATATGTCTCTATTGGGACTGGATGACGGCCATTGACTGTGGCGTCATAGTATTGAGATCTCTGAACTACCGACTTGTCTGCTCCAAGAAAGGGAACCGCGGCAGAATCAATTTCCGGAACCGTCCACACTGTTGGTCTAAAATACATTATTCAAACCGCAGTTTCGCATAGTTAGCTTAAAAGAAGATTTCTGAATAAATCTTCAACATTCACGCGCTCAAACCCCGTTAATTTTCTCTTATGGCTTAGAGGACTTACCGCTTGGGTGGTCGGTACTTTGGACGTTCCAGCTTCTGGGGCATTAACTGTCTCCTGATTCCCCCGAGATTATCATTTTTTGCATTTTCCAATCCCAAAATTAAAGTTTGATAAGTGCCATCGTTGAAGATGTACCCCTGAAAACAAACAAAAACCCTATTGTGGCTCACGAGAGCCTTACCGCTTCTCCTCGTTTAATTTGAGCGAAGGTTTCCGCATATGCCAAGGTTCCACCAAAATTATTTTTCAAAAAAGAAACCCCCAAATCACAAGGAATTGAGTCCCATCCACAAGCTCCGATTACATAAGCCCCATTCGCCTTGGCCTTTTCGTGATATGTTAATTGCATTTTCTCCAGGAAAGCCGGTTCTCCACTGATATCAACATGGGAAGTTCCATTCTCAACTGCCGCTTTGACAACAGCCTCTCCATGCAGTCTATAAGGTCCCACTACATTGATAATCACCTTGGTCTGTTTGGCCATTAAATCCAGGGTTTCTGGACTCGATGAATCGGCGATGATAATCTCCAGGGAGTTTAAATCCTTTCCTAAAATATAAGCCATGTGCAATTAATGCATGCAAATTGAGGCAAGCCTTGGCACAAGAGCCGTATTAGCAATTGAGTACTAATATAAAAAGTAGTTACAATATAGCGTTTACATCATACCAGAGTAATCCGGGCTTACCAGTTAATTCTGCTGCTCTTTTAATCACCTTGTTCAATTTCTGCTCATTCCTTCCGGCGACGGCAAATTTAATTTTTCCAAACTCATCAGATTTCACAAATTCTTCGAGAACATAAGCCCCAGTGAAGCCACTGGCACCATATAGAACAATATCAAACCGACGTTCGCCCATCTTGAGAGAGATGTAAAATGAGGGAGAGCAGTGTTCGGATGGAGAAGATAAGGGGCTGATAAGAAGTGGACAGAAACTCGGCCCATCTCCGAACAACAACACCTCACGCCATTCGCATACTTTGAATCGGAATAATAACTGTAATCAGAACATTGTCGGGACAGTCTCTAAAATATAAAATACTACAGGCTAGACCATTCGAACCTTCCTTCCTCTTTCCTTCGATTTCTCCGCGGAGGCCCCGCCAGAAATATCAAAAATTTGATAACATTTTGGAGGGTCAGCACCCTTCTATACCTAGGGCTAGAGGAAGCTACAAAGCCATCGGTTACTCAGAAAAAAGCACGTGATTTTTTTTCAAACAAAACAGGCCCAGACAACCGGGTGGCCACCTGCTTATAAGGGAATGGTGCGAACTGTCCGTGAGCTTTCAACATGAGTAATATACTTATATATAATATATGTTACAGTAATCCTAGAAATGGTTTTTCAAAAAATTTAATGCCCAATCGCCAAGACCGTGATTTCGGGACATTATCTTTTCTTATGATGCCGTGAAACATAAAATTCAAAAAACAGGAAAATTTATGCAAATTTTTACCTTCAGGTCAGTACTTGTGGAAAATATTTTGGGAATTTGTTAAACACATGTCTACAGTAACTGAGAGCTTTCGAATCTCAAGGACGTCAAAAATTAAACGGAGTTTTCAGATTCACTGAATGCTTCGCGGCTAGCGAGATATTGGCATAAATGTAAGCGGCGAGATTCATTATTTTATGCCGGCCGACGGCATAAAATAATGAATGTTGTGCCACCCTGTATTTTTTTAACTGGACTCATTCCTTTCTGATTGGAAGTCTTGGTGTCGTGTCTCAATAAACGTGAAATGGTATAATAGTATCTCGGCCTCTGCTTTTTTTTGTGAGACTTCAAAGCCATTCTGTTATCCAATCCAGGGTTTTGGCCGTTCATTTGAATCGTTTTGCTTTTATTCCGACTGCTTGACGTCTACTATTCCAACATTTTGGCGAGCTTTGAAAAGGAAGTGTTCAAGGGGCGCGAGCAGGTTTTATTCAAAATGTGCACACATATTCATATTCTTTGGCTTGCCGATCAAGGTAGTATTTTGAAAATTCCCGTAAATACCCGAATATACCCCGCTTCGCGGGTGCCCATACCCGGGCTGCCCAAAATGAAAGATTACGATTCTGGCTTTCATGCACTTTCTCATTGCCAAGAACTGAAGGCTTGGTCTCGCCACGAAATCCCGAGATTTTATTGGCATTCGCCTTAACGACTAGGTTGATTGCGGTGGACTTTCTAACCTTTGCCTCTCCTTAATGGGATGCAATGCAGACAAAGACGGTTTATATGTTTGATTCAAATGGCTACAGGCGAAGTCGGCTCTCAATTAAAACAAGATCCAATGTTTCCGAACTCATGACCGAAGTTTGTATGCTTACCCGCTGGCACTTTACAGCTGACACTATCAAACAGATCAGAGTTCCTCATCCAAATTATCCAGGTTACCGTCAGCTTGAGTACAAGGACAAGATCAACAGCACCATGGATAACTTCGAATTGGTCATGGACTTTGGAAATGCAAGTTTAATCTTAATTTATTCGACGAGTTTTCCAGAATATTCAAGTGTTTGTTTATGATGACAGCTATCGTTTGTTGTTCCATGAATTCGTGGCTCTTTATCATCAGAGTTCCTCTCAATTAATCCGCATTCTTTGTGACCTTCATCCTGAGAGATTGAGACCTGAACAGCTTCTCTTTATGGACATGTTTTGTGATGGAGACTTTGAGGAGGTTAATGTACCTAATGGCACAGTCAAGTTGAATTCTATAGTCTCTGTAGCATTTCTCTCAGAAGAAGTGAGTTTGGCCGTTTAACTTCAAATATTGTTGATGATCGATTTTACGATTTTTTCTTAATTGCAGGTTTCGAATAGCACAATCTCCTTGACGCCTTGTGTGGATTTGCCTGATTTTTTTTATTCCGTTTCTTTGACCAACCTCTTGAGAGGGTCTAAAACTTCACGAGTTATTGAGAAAATGGAGGCTGGCTGTAATCTGGCAGACCAAGAAATTAAAGAGTTAGCCGAGCGCGTATCTAAAATACTTTCAGACTATTATTCCCGGTAAGAAGTCATCGTATGGAGACAGGGTGGTTCAGCAGGGGTTTCCAACATTATTTCAAGTATTTCTCTGCCAATAATGCATTCGAAAATATTCGAGTCTGTGGCTAAATTTAACTTTTATAAATAACTGAAAAGGTTGATGACAGTCATCTGGTGAATGTGGGCCTTCATATTTGGTGGGCAAAAAATGGGGTGCCTCGGCTTTAATTTGATATAAATTTTATAGAAATTGGTGTGCATTATTGCCGGAGAAATAATTGAAATAAAGTTGGAAGCTCCGGCTGAAACCCCCCTGTATAAAAGGAATTCAGACGGGTCCCATTCAAGGCCGAGATTGAAATGTTCCTTCGTCATCTATTTGTTGGTCTTCCACAGAAGAGTGCCGTATGTCTTCTAGAAAGGTTTTAGTGTTAATTTAGGCATCCATCTCTGCTAAAATTGTTCCATTACTTATCAACTTATGCAGTAACCGTTTCTCAATCCGCAGGGGTCGTTTTACTCGATTGATCAATCACCAGGTCAGACTTATGAATCAACCAATCAACGATGGTCCCCGAATAGTGTTCAGAATTATTGATTGTGATGGAACGTCAGATAGAGTGGTTTCCTTCCACCGTCCTCTTCATTACAATCTCTTCAGATGCTTGACTGTTGTTTGTACTGAGATGGCCAGTTCATTCGAAGCTAGTGATATTCATCGGTTGGGCATTTATGATAATCATCAGATGATTGATCAACTCCCGGATGCCCAAATCCAACCACAACAAAATGAATTCTTTGTTCAATTCAAACACGTAAGGGAATTGTGGACAATTAACGTTTTGTAGCCTCTTATTCGGTGCGTTGTCTACGATGAGAACTATCATGTGATGGTGTCGACCTTCTTTCCATTCACTGACCCTTCTGTGGAGGAATTGTTGTTTCTGGTTCAGCTTAAATCTGAAGGAAAATTAGATTTTGGAGAAATGGTCAGAATGGATGCAGTCAAGGATAACGACAGTGTTGAGGTGCTGGGAAGAAACGAATTACCTAAGGGCTTCGATTATATCTTCATCCAAATGAAGAGCAAATCTCAGAATAAGCGCGACAGTCAAGCGTCTTCTAGGAAAGGCGATAGAATTGAAGAAGAGGAAAAAAGACGGAAGTTCATAAAGAACTTTTGGAATGACCGTGTGGTTATCAGCACTGTAGCCGATCCATATATGCACAAAGAAAAGGCGATCACAGAAATCATCACTAAACCTGAGCCCGCTACTAAACCAAAGGGATGGAAGAATGTGGGTTATGTGCCTTATTTTCATATTATTATAGGTATCATCTGACAAAAAATCAGCTATGGTTAATGCAGACCCTGAGAATAATATCACCGTTTTCTGCATCTCTCACGACCTGATTCTTCTTGAGAAGTGTTTTTTTCCTGAGGCTAAGCGCGTGCAAGAACTGAAGAGGGAGTTATGTTCAAAATCGGGGTGTCCGGAGTCTAAAGTGATTGAGGTTCGGTTGGCGGAAGAGCAGAACACAAAGGTGAATCTTAGTCTGGTCTCGGATGACACTTTGGTGGGTGTTGGAGAAGTTGTTGTTATGCAGGTATACGTTGGGGATGTAAGTGATCTGTAGGATTGATTAAATGTCTGTTTAGTCGCAATTCATCGCTCATTCGGATGATCTCTTACACGAGTTGCCACCACATCTGAAAAACTCAAAGTTTCGTGAGGTTCTGGGTTCAAGGATTACAGAAACGGATTCCGAGGAAATCATAAAGGCATTAGAAAGAGGACAGAGTTTAGATAAGAAGATGAAAACACAGATGGTAAAGACAATTGTGACCGAGATTTCTAATATTGTCTTTGGGTATGATTTACATCTCAATAACTTTTCTTTTAGTCGGCGTCCAAGAACCAAGGAATATGAATTACTTTTGGCTGCCATTGCCAGAGAATATCCAAAATTTGATAAGGTAGCGATGGCGAAAAAAATTTTTTTATGACGTAATGTTTAGCAACAATTGTTCGAATACGAAGGTGCTGGATGGGGTCATCCCTTCCTCCACACTGGTAATTCCAACTTCCAAAGTCGCCAGAAGTCGTATTGCCGGATAGTTCAATTGCTCATGAATACGAAGAAGGCCGTCACTACACCTAATGTCAGACGAAGCCGAGTTTACACTCCGAGAAAGCGGAAACCGCAACCAGAACGTAAGAGTTGGAAATTGTCTGTTCAACGTTATGTTAATTGTTGTACCGGGTGATCCAAGGAGTCCTTCCTAGTTTGTACTTATATGGAATAATTATGGGTACCTTGATAGATTGGGTTAAACAACAGTCTTGTAATCTTGAGCCCAATTTTTCGGGGTTACAAAATTATTCTTTTTGCAAATTTTTCGGACCGTTTGCTACACAAACGATGTAAATAGGACTTTATGGACTTTTTTTCAGCTGATATGGCATCTTTTTGTTTCTACGAAGCCGCTCAAGCACTCCTTAACATTGTTGATCGTGTCGTTCAAGATGAAGAAAACGCTTTGCCGGCAGACTCGCTACCTCAAAAGAAAGCCGGGAAAGAAAGTTTGGGATCCCAAGGTACCTCGAAAGAGCTTTACAAGTTCAACTATTCTAATCCATCGCTACGTTGATTTCGACGGCTTCGAATGTATGTTTTAGCTAAATTGTCGTTATGTTGTTTCCACATCCGCTAAAATTTTATAAAGTGGCTGTTTTTCAAAAAATATATGTACATTAATAAATGTTATTTTACAACTCAGAAAAATTCCAGTTCAGTAAAATCAATTCATTTGAAGCTTTCAACCAGTGTGAAATAAATCAGTGCTTTCTGAAGAGCAACTTCTCTTCCAACCAGACCTCTTCCAACGTGATCTTCGCGTTTCTTTTTCCACTCACCAAAACATCAACGGCGTGTTCCACAAGCTCTCCATCGACCCAGAACTTCAGTAGCATACTTCTGAAGTGTTCTCCGGGCTTCGGCTTCTGACCTTCCGCAAAGCGCAGCTCCATTTTGACTTCATCTTCTGGGCCAGAGCGCTTGAAGGAGGCGCGCTTTTTCAGGGAGGGGTAAGAAGACTTCTCCTGCCTTTGGGCAGCCTTTACATGCGTACGATTTACTGGATCTTCTCCTAAAAACAAAACTCTTAAAACTGAAGTCCATGTCCAAAAAGCTGGGTTGACGGCTTTACTTTTACGACGCCTGAACGATCGATTGCCAGGGCCGGCGCTCTCTTCAGAATCACTCTCATATTTGAAAGATCTTTTGTTGAGGGGATTCTTCCGGGATGAAAGCCGGGAGTTGTCGCTGCTGAACTCGGAGTTACTTATGCGAGAATCTGCAACACAGTTTTTGGAATGCTTACTATGTATTGAGTCAACTTACCTGTATGAGACGAAGTATCCCTAGATTGAGACGAAGAAAATTCCGGATCACAAGCGCTGATATTGCGGTCAAGCTCATTGCTGATTTCTGGATTTGAAAAACTTAATGTTTCTCTCGAACGAAACATACCAGTCGAATTCAAGAAGGATCCATTATTGAAGGGATTAGAATCCGTGTCCAAAATGGACCGGATCGTCTCTTCTACAGCCGTGACGAGATCAAAGGATGGGGTTGGAAGAGATTGGCCAAGGGTCTCACGGGACGAGAAATACCTTGTCTCATTCTCTCCGCGACTCTGTCTACTGTCATCAACTCTTGTTGGAGTAGATTCCATTGGGTCGTTCTCGATAATCTGAGGGGCAGCACTGAGATCGCTTCTTCCTTGAGCAGTATTGGCCCACTGCAAATAACATTTTGAAAGTAGAGTCAGTTTGAACTTACTCTCTGACTTCTGAAACCGGCTGGATTACTGATGCCGACGCTTCTATTGGTTCTTCCATCCGGTCGGATGTACCCAGGGAATCTGGCAGATTCAGAGTGGCGTCTACTCTGAGGATGAGTGGGAAGTACGTTGACGGGACCTTGACCAACCGTAAATCCACTGTCTGAAGAGTTCACTTGTTCAATTTCAGAAGTCGGTAATGCTCTGGCGACTGAACTGCTTCGAGGCAATGGAACAGGACAGTTTGTCTTAAAGATTATGAGAATTTAAATGACATTGATGATACCCACCAAAGCGTTTCTTGCGAGGTGTTGGTTGGTTCGAGTAGTTGGCTTCTTTCTGGAGTGGGAAGTCATGGCCACAACTCACTTCTTGCGACCGAACTCGGGCAAATGACCCAATCTCAATTGAAAGAATTTTAGAAATTACTATTATAATTTAATTTATGTAAATTTTAAAACAGAAATGAGTCTAAGATACTAGTTCATTCGGTAGAGAAGATCATTTCCAAGACGGTCAGATTCCGAGAATGAAGCGAGATTTGTCAATTTCATCTGGATCATCGACTAAAGTGGGTTAGATTGACATAAACCAAATGCCCTTCACTCTTTTAGACTTCAGAATTTTCTTCCACCAAAGCATCGCGACGTCTGGTGACAAATGCTTTGGTAGGTGTGTGTTTATTGGCACATTGCTTTAGACAAATTCTATTGCCCCTCTTCCAAACGGGCCGCATCGATTGAAGGGAAGTGGTCCGTCAGATTCTCAGTCAAAGGAATTGTCGAGTATTCACAGTGAAGAGGAAGTAGATCAAGAAAATTATGGTCAAACGTCATTTCTGAGTTTGAAAAGTCGAAGCAAATTGAGTGTGAAAGTGAGGGCTAGTAGAGTAATGCAATTTTTAGGAGGGAGTTCCGATTCGCAGAACTGGTTCTACCTACGAAAGTTCTTGTGTCGATCAATCAGACTCTAAATCCAGCATCGATGTCCCTCAAATTCCACCCCAAATTGCTGAGAATGCCCTTGGAAAGACCTTGATTTGTCATCTGATCAAACCGATTACCGTAAGAACGGGCCTTCAGCACTATGATAAAAGTTTAGATTTTGAGTCATCAAAAGATTAGATTGAAACCCCATAAGAGGCTTCTGACCATGTCCAACCACTTCTTTATCACTTCTACGGCCTCTAATGTCCCTCCAAAGTTCGACGATAGAGTTATTCGTATGAAAAATTCGAGGAAGTTGATGCGGAATTCGTTTGTTCCTTTGGATAACCATATTCCGATTGGTCGAGTGTCTCAGAAGATCTTCGCCGATTCTCAAATGACTTATATGGAAGTAAAGGTGGGAGTGAATATGGATGAATCGGCCAACGAATATGAGTTCAAGGACGCTAGGAGCTTCAAGAATCTCTTCCACGCCACATTCAAGGATTCGTAAGTGCTTGATAATAAAGCGGAGAGGGCAGAAGAAACTTGCGCAATCTTGTGTTAGATTACGCAAGAACAGTAACCTGTCAAAAATAGCCTCATTTTGTCTGACAAAGACATGAAAAAAGAAAAAAGGCCGAGCCGAGTTTTTGGATGGCGCCTTTTCGGTCTTTTGCTTTCGGGTGGGCGACTTTTCGGGTGATGAGTAAAGAATGATGACTGATGACGCAACATTACGAATTTCTTTTATCCGTCTTTGGGGCCTTCGATTAAAAAAAAAGAACTTTTTGATTATCATCCGAGGAGAATCCTCGATCGATAATCAAAGTTTGTTTTGTATCTTGAAAAAATTAATTATTATAATTAACCAATTGTGAAAGAAGAAACGGGAAACTAAGTCTAGGATTTTCCACCTTTCGATGAACGAAAAAAAGCCGGAAAACGCCTCTAGGCCGACCCGAGATCCATGTCTATAGACTAGACTAGCCTGCCCTCGGAATTCTACAAATTATATCATTCCATAATATCATCATTTTCAGGGAACGTGGGGTAAAATATCAACCGGTGGATCTGCTGGTAGCATTGAGTTTAACAAGAAGAGGCGATGGATTGGTGACAATCAAAGAGAAAATCACTTTTAAGTTCAATTTCAGCGCGGGAAAGTAAGTTGAAATGAATTGACTACATATCAAATTTTTCCTGTTTAGTAAACCGTATTTACAAGTCTTGGAGCCTTATATTCAAGCGATGTTTCATCCACAGGAGGATAACATCTCGTCTCCCTACTTCTACGATGAGTTTGTAACTGTGGGTCATGATGTAATTGAGATCTCCAGGAAGACCGAGGTCCCTGGAGTGGGAAAGATAAAAGATTTTGAGAAAGTATTGGACTTGGGAGAGAGTTTTGAGCTGCAAGAAGACAGGATCTACTCACAGAACAGCAGAGACATGTCCAAGGTTTTAAATTGTAGGTTACTGTAATATAACATAATCTTTTTTTAGCAATTCATTTCAAGAATCTGAGTGTGCGGAATAAAAGGGCTCTGAAGCATGGAGCCTCCGTTACCAATGTTCGAACCGACCGTTCTGAAGCTCAGTTTCTGAAAAGTGAAAAATCTAAAAGCACGGTGAATGTGTTCAGTCCGAAGCTGCGTACTGTCCATGCCAACCATCCAAAGCCATCAAAAAGTGCTGCAAATATTGGGGACATTCATGCAATTAATGTGAGGAAATTGAAGAAAAAATCTCCCATGGTGAAGAAAAACATTGAGAAGATTGAGGCAAGAGGGTTTGCTATTGCTGATATTCTGAAAGAAGTCTCCTCTGAATCGTCCGGATTTGATATCATCAAGCCGAAAGAAACTTTTACGGATAGAATGGAGGAATGCATAAAGAATGATTACGGAATCAGGGAGACCGGCAAGGCGATGACCGATAACACCATGGAAGAAGTCTCCAGTCTCCAGGAAGACAAGACTTTATCTCCTTTGGTGTCTCAGGAAGATATTAAGGTGGGTAGAGATAAATTTGTTATGTAGATATAGGAGAAGAAGAAGGGAAGGAAAATGAAAAAGAAAAATAAATCTGGAATGGAGGAGAACGGCGGGGTCTCCGTTGATGAAATGGCTTATTTCAAGGCCTTGGGACAAGCTGTTGCTATTCCTTCCGGCGCTCCAGCTGATGCCAGAAAGAAGAAAAGAAAAAGTCGAAGCAAGGCAGCCACTTCTGGAACTAGAAGCAATGACGGTCTGGGTAAGGCTTTATATTGTAATACTTTACCTATTTTTTTTATCCACCACTTCTGGCTGTCGCTTCGTCGAAAGCAGAAGTAGAAAATCTACCTTCAAGACCAGTAGAAACACCGAATCTGAAGTTACCCATACTGCGAAAGAGAGAACAGTTAAGAAGAAAAGGAATAAGAAAGAAGTCTCCCTGAACGCTGATGTCCAACGTGTACCGGTTAAATTAAACATGTCTGTGGAAGTTAATCAGAAGGGAAAGACGGCCAACATCAAGGATGTGGAGTTGTGGATGGGCGAGAAATGTGTCTTCGATAGTGACAAAAACATGTGAGATAAAATCAATCTATTATACTTGGGTTTTAATATTTTATTTTTGAAAAGAGTATACAATGATGGCTCGCAAACACTCTGAGACGTTGTAAAAGGTTGAAATACTCATCGCGTAGAAGGTCGTATGTCATTTGTTCTCTCACGTCTCTCCAGCTTTGGACTTTTGACATTAAAAGCGATCAAAATAATCAGCAAGATTATTAGAACCGTTGCAGATACTGTAATACGATGAACATATACATAAGAAGTAATTTATAAATGTAACTTACTGAAAGCAATAATAAAAACGGCTTTGGCTTTCGTCAGACTTGACTTTGGAGTTTCAGTTGTCGTTCCATTCACGAAGCTCTCATCTCTAAATCTTGTTTCACCTACTACAATATTCTTACTCTGTTGTTGATAATATTATTGTTGTTGGACGTACTGTAGTTTTTGATGGGTTCGAAAGGCTGAATGTGCTTTTTTGAGTAGCTGAATGACAAAAATTAAGTTTTTAATTTTACGACTCACCTTTTGTGTCGACCGAAGTCGATAAAGCGATTATTAATACTATTACAAACTCTGAATGCATTTTGCAGACTACGCTCCTTCCCAATTTTGCTTTTGTTTCTTCTCGGATGTCAAACCTTTTTAGATACCGTATCCTGGCAACTTTTTGAAATCCTTGCGAAATGGGAATCCTCTTGACAACGGAGGGTGTTCAGCAATTCTTTTTCCTCATTATTTTTTTAAAATTTGTCCGTGTTTTGCGTGAAAAAGGCCGATTATGACCCAGGGACGTTCATGACTCAAAAGGCTCGATTATGACCTAAAGTCGCAAGAAGTCGTCCTTTTCAACAGAAAAGCTAGCTAAGCATCAGAGCTATAGCTAACTGACCCAAGTGGCTAGCCAAGAACCTCGGTGACAGTTATAATTTTTTCTTAAGTGGCACGTTAAAGTAGTAATTTGTACTTTTAAAGTAGTAATACAAAAAAATTTAAATTTTTCAGTTTCTTTCACGTTCTGCAGTGGGTTCGGGTGACAATTGGCAACTTTATATATGGCTCGGGACTTCTAAATCTCTTTGCAAAAGTCCATCCGAACCTGCTAATTTAGTCCAAAGCTAAAAGTTGACAAAAAAGGAGGGGGCGACAGAGAAAGGCAGAAATTCTTACAAAGAGAGAAATTGCGCAATGTTATGTCAGATTGCGCAACTTTTAACCTTGTACTAAATTTGTATGGTTCGGATGGACTCTTTCGGAGAGATTTAGAAGTCCCGGGCCATATATGTAGACGTTGGACAAGGGAAGTGCGCAGCCGGGTCCAGCCACACAGGTGTTACCTTTGCCAAGTTTCGCGGCGCATTACGCCTTGAAATTTTTTACCTTGCCCCGCCTCCTTACCGTCCGTTTTTTTGTTCGGTCAACCCCTCCTTTTTACAAGGTAAGTACTTCTATGGGGTGTGGAATTACCGGTCGAGATATACATCAAAAAATTCGCAAAAATTTTCTGATTCAGAATATATATAAATTAGCTGCCTAATTTTGGTCTAATGACATGTTTTTGTCCTCAGAAGTTTTCTCGTGACACCATGCAAGTGTCTTTTTGACCGTGTTTTTACCAATAAAAAAATTTTGTTTTATGCTAAACTAAATTCTAAGGCCATGACAAGCCTTAAAATATCAAATTGGATTACAACTACACCTTAAAAGTAGTTCCAATGTAAAAAATGGGTTCTAGTGTGGCAAAAAGAATCGAACCCGTTTCCCTCGGATTTCCAACCCAGCGCTCTAACCACTCGGCCACACCGCTCTCTTCCGAAGGAAGAGACCGAGCGCGCTTTTGTTGCCGCAGATTTTTTCCTCGAGAAAAACATTTATTGAAAAAACTCGCTGATAGACCAAAATTAGGCAGCTAATTTATATATATTCTGAATCAGAAAATTTTTGCGAATTTTTTGATATATATCTCGACCGGTAATTCCACACCCCATAGAAGTACTTTCCTTGTTAAAATTCCCAAAAAATTTCGGCCGGTGGGAGTTAGGGAATATACCCGGGACATACCTCGTCCAAACCCTACTTAACGACCTGTACCATCTTATTTCTTCACCCTTAAATAAACATTTATTTACAATGTAAAAATGAACTTAATGGAGATGGAGAGGACGCTTGTCTATTGCTCATATTGTATTGCACTACCTGATCGGTGGTGAACATGTAATATCGAGGGCTCTCGGTGTGTCTGCCCTCCATTATTCCAGCTCTCATATCCTCAGGCAAATGCGGGAAGACGGCGTTTTTGTCACCCAACAAAGAAGGGCGATTCGTCTTCAGATTGTAGGTCGCATAGACGTTGCCCTAACGAAAGAAAGATCAATTAGAAATTATAATACTTACATCCAGAAGAATCACACTGTCATTTGCCATAGGAAAAGCCGCACTTGGGAAGAATAACACACGACTGTGGAGTCTGAAGGGGCTCCCTTCCACAGCTTTGAATCCCTCTCTGCCTTCTTCATACTGGTAAACATCCCGGTCTTCGATCAATGCCAATCTTTGTCCATCCGAAACAGCTACCGTAATCCTGGATGGAGCCCCAGGAAATACTTTATTCAGTCTCTGAGGGCCCTTTAAATACTCGTGCTTATCATTGAAAGTCCACACTGAATTGTCAGCAAAGACAAACAAATGCCCTGAGGGGGAGGTGGTGATTGTCCATAGACCGGTTGGGCATTTGGAATCCTGATCATCTTCATGACTGGCAGCATTTAGAGTTTGAGGAATCGAAGACTCGGTCTTGGGATCGTAGATTCCCCTCAGGCGTTCAACGTCATCGGCGTTTATCACCGGTAATTCTTCACCATTTTGGCGTTGAAAAATTGGGAACATGACCGAATTTGGGTCGCTGGTATGGTCTAGACCAAGGACATGGCCAATCTCGTGTACAAGGACCAGAAAGAGATCAATCTTGCCGGGTTCCTGCTTCTGGAAAACTCCCCATTTCTCGTTTTCTCTCAACCAAATCGTCGATTTAACTGGGTCGGAAGCCGTTCCAACAGAGAACGATGACTTGTCGGTGTTATTTACGGGATTTCCATTGTCAAACCGAATAATAATATCAGCATTTTGGGCGGTTCTGACCTCCACAAATTCAATGGCAATCACAATTTCCCAGGCCGAAAATGCTTGTTTGATCAATTCTCTGTAATTACACTTAGATAGCTGTATGTTTAAGCATACCTAACGTCAGTTGGCCGAATTCTGCGTGGGAAAGAAGCAATTCCATAATTGATGCTCACCTTTTCCCAGATTTTGTTCCGTTTATTCAGTCGGATATCTTTATTCCCACATCTTTTACGAGTAATTGCAGATTTTGTAGCCAAATCGACATTGCCTGAGGGGTTTAAACCCATGAATTTTTGGAAAAGCCTGTAGAAAATTATAATTTGGTTAAAAATATTACCTTATTCCGTCTTCGAATTTTTGCTTGGGCTTCAAATATCCAAAAGAATTTAAATATTCCTGCAAGGAAGTTAGATAAGTGTAAAAAACGTTAATTGTGTTACGTAAACTTACATTTATTGTAACCCGATCGACCTCTGTTTCCTCGATTTTCGCGCTTTGTTCATCTACAGCCGCATTTATTCGATCTTGTTGTTCAGAATCCACATGATCTGATTTCTGATCGTGCAAAACGGAGATACAAGCAGAAGAAAAAGAGAATAGAAATAAGGAAAGAGTTACAGAAAGGAGTTTCATGCTGAAAATACTGTCGAATAAATGGGGGAAACAAGTAAAACCACGAGGGAAAACAAAAACATTTCAGGATTACTGTAAAAAACAAAGAAAAATGGAAAACATCTTGAAAAGTCATGTCCCATAAAGTAAAATTCCATTAAAAAGTTTTGTTTTTCTCAGAAAAAGAGACGAAACGATCGGGTTACCTCCGGGTAATTGTCGGAAACATGTTCTGGAGTCCCTTCTTGGGTAATTTGAAAACTGAATCCCAGGGTTTCGATAATCTGCAGTGAACGGGGAGAAGGAAAAGGCCTCCAAAACAGACCGTTTTCAGCAAAGTTCAAGGGTACTCATTAATCAAAACAACTAATTACTCGCTTACAGGCCCGTTTCTTCATTCTCTTCATCTTGACTTTTATAATTACAACTTTTATGGTAAATTTTAATTATTTTGAAGTTTGAACGTTACAAATTGCGATTTTACATAATCTTATTTAATCATGAGTATTAACCGAATAAAAATTATAACATTCAATGTAACTTCATTGACAGTGCGTTACACAACGAGTGACGGAGCTGCCCAACTTTAGTTACTAATTCTGCCTGATCGAAGTCATTATCAGCATTCTTCTTCGGATTGATGATATCATTTTGCACAAGAAAGATGTTAACTGCCCGCATTAGGTCCATAATTGATTCTTGATTGAGTTGTGGGAGCTGAAGAGCAAGACTTTATGTTGACCAATGCAAAAAATAGAATAAAAAAATAGCTTACATCAAGGAATTCGTTGGCTGCCGGATCCAGAAGTTTGCTCATCTGATCGAATAAAATAAGTTGGAAATGGATGGGAGCCGTTCCAAACCTGACCAATTCATAAAGCCGGGTCGCCGCTTCTTTTGCCTGGCCATCCAATAAGCATCTTCTGAATTGGTAAAACCTCTGAAGGAGCATTAGAGTTGGATACTGGTAGAAGGCGTCAGGAGGGGCGTCAAAGATCCTAAGATTGGTCACTGAATCGGCGGTCACATTCTCCAAGAGAAGGTTAGACACTTCTTCAATCAACTCATTTTGCTGAGATTTTAGAGCCCAACAGAGAGCTTCATTAAAACTTTTCTTGGACGAATATCTAAATGCAAAAGTATTTTAATTATCGTTAACTGAACTCACGTTTGGATCATTTCTCTGCTGATGCTGACCTTGGTCTTCGGCAGATCCAATCTCAAAGCCAAATTCCAGAACCAATCAGCCTTCTTGAACGATGTAAATGTCAACTTCTCAACCTTGTCATCCAAAAAATCCTTCGGAAATTCGGTTCCGCAGTAAAACAGATAATCTGGGGCCAGATTCCAGTAATCCGAATACAAAAGAGAGTCTCCATAATCAATCAGCAACTTGGATCTTACACTCAACTCAGTCTGTTGCCTTTGGCCATTCTCGTCGAACTGATTACACAAAGGATCTACTAATTCGGCCAGCGCATTCATTGTGTATGGATCATGTTTTTGGAAGATGTCGCAAAGATGAACTGGAAACCACCAGAAACCGCTGGATCGACAAATCTCCAAGAGCATTTCTTGGCATCGTTTTGAGAGGACAGAGAATATTAACTTGTCCAATGGAGTTGAAAGTTGCTCGACTTGTGAAAGCGATGGATTTGAAAGTGCTTCGTAAATGGTCTATAAAAATATGTAAATATTAATAATCACAATAAACTTACTTTAGCAACATTGGCTACGTTATCCAAATCACAAGCAGGAGTTGAGAAGAGAACATACGCTGGCAATAACTCGTACCAGGAGTCAAAACAGTGCTGGGTTACTTGAACATAACTTTCCGCCTTCCCTAACAACACGCCTGATATGGTTTGGAACAAATCTGAATCAGCAAACGAATTCGCTCTTACTGCCTCACGAACTTTCTAGATGACATAGTCATTTGATGTAAGATAACATACCCTCTGTGCTTCAACGAATTCCTCAGGGCTAAAATCGGGATTTTCAAAGACCAAAGAAAAAGCTTCCATGAAATAAGTCATCTGTTGGAGTTTCAGGTCAGTGCTATACCGCGAATTATTCCTCAGCAACGTCTGCGCAGTTGTAAAGTCAGCTTGGAATACCGAATAAAACAACTAAAAGATTGGAAAAATAACCTGTATCGACTTACAGCATTAACATAAGATGGATGGAGATCAGGCCTCTCAACTGATTCCAAAACTTCTGATACCCTTGATTTGGCTGACTCTCCCATTAAATATGAAGCCCATTCCATAAGATCTTTTACAATGAGACTGTCTTTCGGTCTAAAGTAAACGAATTCAACCAGTGACCACAAAACATCTGCACTTTCCAACTCCATCCTCAGACGTTTTTCCTCAAACGGAAGATCTGATTTTGCTTTCAAACGAGCAACCACATCTCTTATTGAATCTCGATAACGAGCACTTAATTCCACGGTTCTAAAATGATCAAATCATACGTTGTAACCCTAATTTACCAAACCAAGGTAAAACATCTTACAGTTCAAGCGGCAGAATTTCTCCATGTTCAGATGATATTTCTTGTGTTTCGCAGAAGATACCTAAAAATACAAATCTCTAAGAAAGGAAACTTACGGTGAAACTGATAGATCAGTTTTCTGGTCAAGAGAGAATCAAGGAATGTAGAATTGGAAGCATTGGCCTTCAAAAAAGCTTGAGATCGCTGAGGTACATTGTATTTAAACGTTTCCGGACCTTCGATGTGGATGTCCATCCTGATTTACAAGATCTGAAAACGAAAGTCGGACTTTTTACAAAATAATTATTTTGGCGCGTTCATTCTTCCATTTTTCTAGAAAAGGAATCGCAATGATGAAAGAAAATGGGATGTGCAGGAAAAGCTCAGGTAAACCTAATGAAGTAATATAAGCCTTGGATGGAGCATCTTTTAACATTAACCGAATTTTGCAGTAGCTCAACCCATAGTAAAATTTAAAACCCAGAAAATTTTGTCACCATGACCCCTTTTCTAGATAACAAAAAATTTTCAGCAGAAAATTAGACAAAAAGCATATATCGCGCATTGATGGCTTCCTGCTATCAGTCTGCATCTACCGACGAGGATGCGGCTGCAACCTGAAACGTTTTCGGTTTTTTGTGCCCTATACGTCAAATTATCAAGTGAATTGAAACATCTACAGAGACTTCGGGTAATTATTTCTCACTCATTAGAAATTGTGTTCAGTTATGTACCCTTTAGGTACTTTCTCTACGTGGTCGAACGTTTATATTTAAATCAATAACTCGTATCTATGTATATGTTCATGAATGGAATGTTTCCATTCGCAGTGATCCGAATGCCCGTCTTCAGTATGGACAGAAAACGGGTACTTTCGAGGAATTTACCGACTTTTTCTTTCACGTCCAGCCAACGATAACTGGACTGATCACATCTGGCTATGGGCAATACCCTGATTATTTAAACATCAACTGGTTTATTTGGGATTATCCGTGTATAGCATGTAAGTTTATTTATGCGAAAAAAATTCTTTCAGCTATTAGAAACTACAATTTGAACAATGTATGTATCACAGCCATGATTTTGTACTATTTTGGGAGTGAGTTGAACCCAATTCATGTGTTCCCGGGGATCCTTGCCAGATATAATGTAAAAAATTGTCCCAGTATATTACCACCGATGAAACTCAAAGAAATTACGCTCGACTTATGTCAGCAGTAAGGCCATACCGGTATAAACACAAGTTGTTTAGAGAAACAATAACAGGAACGATATCTCATCATAATATCCACACAATCTACTTCGATCTCTCTCCTTATTTTAGTTCACCCTATTCATTTGCTTCCGGATTAGAACCGTACGTTTTACTGATTAATCTAACACTTTTATCAACAGAAACTCTAGATTAGTGTCATCCCTCAAAAATGTGAATGTAATTATGAAGATGAAGTCAGGTTACTATGTTTACAATAAAAACAGGTCAATGTTGGCTATGGTGGACTCCCTGTTTGTATGTGGTGTCCGATTAGATTCTTTCAAAGTGTCATTGATCGAGTTGGCAAGACTAATCTCTTTTTATTCATTTCATGTTTAGGGATGCGTCCCCATTCGTCGGAATTACGTGGATTGGATGTATCAGGACCTTGTAGATGAGTTACAAAGAATTGCATTTTCTGGAATTACAACCACTTTCGAAGTTAAACTGCGGGTTAAACTTCATCAAGCATGGACCTTAAAACAAGTAGCTCAAGCCCATTTAAGTTGTCTGGATCCAGGGAATACGGTCGACCGGATTCAGGCACTGGTCGAGAAGACGGAAATTAAGTTCACTCACCGGATCGGTCGGCTGACTGTAAAGTTCAAGATTGAGCATGACATGAACGCACCGAGATACAAACCTTACTAAATTCATAGTGCCTTTATTTGTTTACAGTACTGTTATCGTTTATACTAATTTACATAAAATGAGGTCAGTTGTACGTCGAGAACGGGACATTCTCCTTGCTCTTAACTTTTAAAAGCATGGGTTTAACATAACGTCGTCGAAGAGAGCATAACGTAGAGTAGAAGGGCGTTTCCTAATACAATAAGTCATGAATTTAATGACTCACAATGTTTATCTGAAGTTTATCGCTAAGAATGAAGGTCATGTCAGCAATGATCATGGTCTCGAGGATATCTCTGGTATCTATCCCGGTTTGTTCCTTCATTTCTCGAAGATTAAGAGTTTCTGTGTCATACAATTTAGCTCTGAGATAACTCATCAAGACAGAAAACCAGTATTGTCTATAAGTTTTGAGACCGGCATCACTCAGGGGATGTTCAGGAGACCCGACTTTTCGTTCGCGTATTGAAAGCTGGTAACCTGCAAATTTCGAACCATTAGTTTTGCGACGTAGTTATAAGTCACTCACTGAGATCTATCAAGAAAAGACCATACTGTTTTCTCTGCATCCACGGCAGAACCAAGAGACAACTTAAATTATTGTTTGCCACAGGTTTGATCTCCTGAAAAAAATAATGCAATCGATTACAACTACCTTTGAAAAGTAGCCAGCCACTGTGTACTCAGAACCTGACGTTTCTATCAGGACGTAGAATTTGAAGCCATCAGTCTCGAAATGAACGGCTTTTGATCCAATAAATGTTTTCGCAAACAAGGATAATCGACGGCAGAATATCTGAAAAGAAAATACGGTTCTTCTCGAGAAACTTACCGTTTCTTTCTGACCATGGATTTCATAAACATTAAGTTTACCTTCGGAATATATCAATTCTCCCGGAGGTTGTTTCAATTCGCACATTCCAATATGTTGAATTAATTGAGTTAAGGAAGGAAGGGTTGCTAAACATTTCGGGCAGAAGCCAACACGATCAGTTTGTGGAAGAATGGTACTCAAGAAGTTGTAAAACTTGGGGCGATAGGCGACGTTACCATAGAAGAAAACGGGCCTAAAATAATTAAAATGACATGACTTTTTGAAAAAACAAAGCGAAGTCACTTAATTCATGGATCGACTTTTATAAACAAGTATTACGGCGATGGGGAGGGTGGAATGGGGATATCGAATCTGAAAACCGCTACCTCCGCCGGGGAGCCGAGATAATCGACCAACAAATTTGACCAACAAAGTTACCCCGAATAGTTTTCTTTCACAAAGACCGCGGAAGCGAACCAAATGGCAACCGTTTATAATTTTTTTGCAAGCTCGGATCCATGTGGACTCGAACCAGAAAAGTTAAAGACGCGCGCTTCCAGACCACCGGACTATTCAGGTTGCTCTTCCTCTGCTTTGGGAAGGGAGAACCATGAAATTCGGTCAAACTTGTTGGTCGATTATCTCGGCTCCAAGAGGCCGGTGGAAGTAGCGATTTTCAGATTCGATATCGCTGTCCCACTCTTTCCATCGCTGTAGCACCGTTTACAAAATCGACCCGTGATTTAAGTGACTTCCCTTGTTAGTTATTGTAGCAACTAACCGCTTATCCTTGGAGGTTTTCTTTCTGTCATTGTCCACATTTCCTACCGTAACGTAAGGAACATAAGCCATTTCATCGTCATCGTTTTTCCGATTTTCAAATTCATCCATCTGCTCTTCTGTAAAATGTGAAAAAGCCGAATCGGAAGATCCAATGCAGTTAAACTGAGATGAATTCGGTTTCAATGATTCTGCTATCTGCGAGATCAAACGTAATCTTTTAGATTCGAATTCAACGTCAGATGGTTCTTTCGTGGATTTCTGTTTGATCTTAACTGGAGACATTTTAGGCGACCTCGTATCTAGAAAACAGGTTACTTTTAATAGAGCATTGACAACCTTTAGGTCTAACGAGGGTATCTTCCTTTGAAGATCCAGGTCTTTCTTCCTTCACCTTCTTATGAGATATCGACTTGACGGCCTTATGCTTTCTTTTAGGATCAACTTTTTCGTTATGCTTGTCACATGCCGGACATAACCATTTCCGGGCACAATTATCATCCTGTTCTTTGTTAAGAGGTCTACAAGCCTCATGATAGGCGTTCCCACATTGAAGGCACTGAACATTTCCGGGATCAAAGATTGGATTTGAGCACTTCTTGCATCGTATGCATTCTTGGCAAACAAATTTGTTGCGATGACTTAGAGCCCAATCATGAAGTTCAAGTTCATCAAAGGTGCAAACCAGGTGAAAATACTTCAAACAAACGGTGCAACTCAAAGCCGGATCTTCTTCGAATGTAAGCCCAGATTCTTCCGTCTCTGTCTGAATTATTGTTTTATGCATTTTATAAAACCGCAAGCCCCACCTTAACTTTCTGATCTCTCTCCTCGGATTCTTGAGTTCGTATTAATGTCGGGCATTTACAAACTACGCAAATATGATAATCCAATTGATTTCTGACAGTAGATTCCGGATGAACAGGCAACCGGCGAATACTTGAAGGTGTCACAATGCTTTTGTCATCAATATGTAATGTCTTGAAAGAGCCTGGAGGCCGACCCACGGGTCTTGGTGTCTTTGTCTCTTTTTTATCCAATATTTTTCTTCCTAAATAATAGAAATCATAACTTGCACTACTATACCTGTACCACTCTTGTCCGTTTTTTCGCCTCTTTCTCCTTTCTGATGGATGACTTTGGCAATGGGACTTTTGTTTTTGTTTTCTGATATTGTACTTGGTAGAGGAGGAGGAGATGTAAACTTGACATCTCTTCGCCGTAATGTATTCCGTCCTGTATTTTCGATTTCATCCTTGACTCCCTTTCTGGTCACACGTTTGCCTTGGCGGTTATTTTCTCCTTCGCTCCTCTTAACAATCTTCTGTGTCTTCTTAGTGGGATCTGATTTATTTTCGTGTTTCTCTGGAGATGCTGAAGCTTTCCGCTTTACTCCAGATGTCCGACTTCTTTCATTTTTCCGGTTGGTCTTAGACCGCGTCTGTCTGTCCATCTTAAGGTAAACGTTATAAACCGAGGCGTTTTCACAGATAATTTTCGGAACTTTCAACCCTTGAAAGTAAAATGTAGTTGTCATGTAGAACTCTTTATTTTTACATTAACAGCATATAATTAAATCTTTGATGACCATAATGATAATATAAGTTACAAAATTCGACAGCTTATAAATCAGACACCCTTTCTTTTGGTGGCAGTAAACCTCCCCTGATATTCCTCATAACCACTTAAGTGCTGGAATTCCGTATCATTTAGGAGATTTCCACTATAAGCTATCAAAGATATTCGTGAATCTTTCAATATTGCCACGGTAAACGCAGATTTGTCCAAACAATTTTCTTCCACACGCAGAACTTTTAAACGTTGGCACTTGGCTAAGTTATCATTCAACGAACTCAACCGGTTTCGACTCAAATTCAACTCAGAAGACTTTAAATCGGCCACCTAAACGACTTAAAAAAATAAAACTAAACTTACGTTATCCGGCACTCTCTCAATCAAGTTTCCCGAAAGATCCAAAAACTCCAGATTGGGTAAAACACAAGTACCCACTGGGAAAATTGTAATCTCATTGTCAGAAACATTCAGAGTTTTCAAGCTAATACAGGCACCAATCGAATCGGGAAGCTCTACAAGTTGATTTGCAGATAAATCTAAGGTCTCCAATGCCTTTAATGACCCTATTGTGTCTGGAATCTCTTTTATTTTGTTTCCATGAAGATTAAGGTGTTTTAAAACTGCAAACTTTTGAAAGTCAAACGAAATCTCGGCAATTCTATTGTTTGCCAAATCCAAATTCCTCAATATTGAAGCGACCTAAATAAAAAAAATATAATAATAAAGACATGAATATAAATACCTCATCGATAGCTCCAGGCACGTTTTTGATATTACAATCTTTTAATTGGAGGATCCGGCTCTTCTTGGCGTTTTCCAAATGACTCTGGACTCTTGAATTCGACGGCCCTCCTTTTAAAGCTGACAATCCCTTAGACAGTGGTGTTTTTGCGTTTGAGTGATCATTACCCATCTCCTATGTATAAAACAAAATTTTTCCGACGCCAAAAAATATAATTTTATTTTAAACGAAATGCAACTAAAACATCGAAGTTTTGTTTGTCACGAAGTGTCAAAAATCTCTCCAGCAGCAAGGGTGGCCACCCGGGCCCGTTTCGGCCCGTCTTACTTTTCCCGCAATTGCGAAATGGGCCGGGTGGCCACCCCTGTCCAGTAGCAAAAACCACAAACGCGGAGAATCTGTTGCTGTTTTCAAAACTTTCAAGAAACTGTCATTTTTAAATGCCAACATAATTTATATTGCAATCATATGTATTCTCATAAATAATTTTTTAAAATAATTTAGCAACAAACAAAATAATTATATGTCTAGATAGGAAAATATGCTACAATGACAATACAGTACCCTTATTCGACATAACAAAATAACCGAAATATCCTCAATGGGATGCCATTATAACAAAATTTTCCGTGAAACAATATTGTTCGGAAATTAGAATTCTTGACCGGTGAAGTCTCCATAGCGCCATATGTTTTGACGTTCGCGACGAGCAGCAGCTTCAGCTTGTTGATATTCGGTCACCTGAAAAAAACGCTAGAATAAAGAAACAATTCAAAGAAGAAACAGAGGCAACATATAAATTGCTTACCAGCTTCTGGAATCTTGGTTCACGACGTCCTTCAGCCAAAGCAAGACCTTGTTCAATGAGATATCTACCCAAATCCACAGGCTTTCCATCTTTTCCAGGGAAATAGAGGGTCACAGCCTCAAGAGTTCCAAGTTTGTATTCGGGATTCAACTCAATGTAAGGAACGCTTTGAGTAATCTCGTTGAAGGCGGCGTCAGTCTCGCTTGCAAAGTCTGGATCGTTGGGAGGCTGGACCAGAGCCAATTTGTATTCCTTGGCCAGCGGTTGCTGAGAAATAAAGGATGGAGGAAGCGGGGCCAAAAGTGATGTGGGAACAGTCTCTCTCTGTAAATACATGAATCTACAAAAACAGAAAATGGCGTACATTTCCGAAGTCAATGTAAACAACGTCAGCATTTCCGCCGCGGACACTCTCGACTTTCACTCTGTGCCATAGGTTTACTTCCTTAAAGAAACCTGCACAAAGTTCGTTCTTCCTTGGAGTATGGGACGTTGTTGGAGATCCAATTTCCCTTTGAAGATCACCCATTAATTTCTCAATCGCAGGTCCTAAAATACAGTAAATAGAAAGTTCTGCAGTCCAGCAAGAAAAACGCAAAATTCTCCTTACCGTCTTCGAACTTTTGAACGTAGAAGTGCAGATTGCCCTTACAAACCTCACTGATAACCACTTTCTTCAAGTTCAACTTTCTCTCACTGGGATCGTTCGCTTCGGCCTGAGAAGTAGATACGTTCTCAGCTTCTTCAACGTAATTTTTCCACAAACGGAGCTTGCTATCGCGCGCCTTCTTCTCAGCATTCAACAGCTGATTGTAATATTTCGTCTTTTCGGCAGTGAAGTGGACAGTTGCCAAACCTCGCTCCACCAATTGTTCAGCCACATTAAATTGTCCCTTTTCTCCTTGAGCAAAAACAAATCCAATGAACCCTCCAGTTCTATCCAAGGAGTCGATATCCAATTGGACCTCTCTTTGAAGAATACTATGACGAGTAAAATCGTATGCCTCCTCTCCATATGGTTCACTCTCTCCTTGAACCTTTCCTCCAACAATCCTAGCGGTCTTGGGGCAGCTAATTCCACTTAGGACCACTGTGATTATAACATTTTCTTTGGGAACATAAACCCTCAATCTGGAACCACTCGAGACAAATTCAACAATTCCAGAAGGCCTGGATCCACGCTGGAAAGTTGAAAGGTAGGTCTTCGCTCTGGCGAGGTCGTTTTGAATCTCGTTTACACGAATGAGCCCGGTTTCCTTTTCATTCCAGACTCCCTTCTTATCCTTCTGGGCAGCTGATTCGGCAGCAAGAAGGTCATCATAACGTGAAGATCTGTTTTCATCATCTTGTTTGTGTCTTACAACTTTGGCGAGTCCATTAGCAATCAGTTGCTCGCCAACATTTTGCCCATTCAAGGTTACTGTGTAACAGAATTTCTCGGGGTACTTCTCTTGTTTTGGTTGGATGTAATCAAGAGTTAATTGAACTTTCTTTCCAATCAACAACTTTCTCAAGAATTCTCTAGCTTCAAACAACCACGGGCTTTCATACATTGGCTTCTTGGATCCTGGGGCCTTAGGTAGGGCTTTCACTGATGAGAAATACACCTTCTCTTCCTCGCCAGAATCTCTCAAAATGGTGATGTTATCTCCCAAACCAACTTCAATCACTTTAGCGTTGGAAGTCTTTCTTTCACTGGCTGATAATGCCGTACTCACATAATCCCTCCAAATTCTCAGTTTAGCGGTCTTCGCTTTCCTTAAAAAAGAAAATGAATACATTAACAAGGAATCGGCAAATACTTGTCACGACGTCTCTAACCTAGGCCCCGTTGCGCCGGAAGTGGGATCATGACCAGGCAAACACATCTTCGGTGACAATGTGAGCGTTAATCTTTTACATATTTTTTCTCTTCGGTCCTTTTTTTGAAACATCAAGAATTTAGGCACCAAAATCCACTAGTCATTTTTATGAAAAATCCAAAAAAATAAGCCAAAAACTTAAACCGACCATAATTATACCAGTACAAACTGACCCTCACCAAATGACGCACATCATTGAAGAGCCCTTGAAAAGTGGCGGAAGACAACATTTTCATTTTTTTCAAAATAACTTTCCGTCACGACATACGCCATATTCGATATAACATGTACCATTTTGCGTTTTAAAAAAACATGTATCTTACCACATAGCAGATAATTCAACCGCTAAGGGACAAATGAACCGTTTGTAATTTTTTGCCCTTAGGCATTCTGAAAAAATCGAAAGTGGTTTCTAGTTACTACTTTTCAAGAGCATCCCAACGGTATATAATGCCATTTGGTGAGGGTCAATTTGCGCATTCTTTCTCTGTAAAATATTTTTTCACGATATTTCAAATGATGGTTTCGTTAAGAAGCTCATAAAAAGTATTTCCGACCCGTTGTAATATCGAACTTGATCAACCAACTAAAAATATCTTACTTCTCAGCCTCCCTGTATTTCTGTGGACCTTCGGTGACTAAACTCAACGTCCATTCAACGCACTTCGCAAACCCATCTTCCAAAAGAAATTGCGCAATGTTACCACGCGGATGGATGACACTTCCAACGAAATTTTGATTGGAAACTCCCTCAAGGTATACCTTCACATCTCGCTGGAGAAGTCTTGACTCCACGAAGAACTTGGCTTCTTCTCCATAAGGTTCGCTTCGACCATTCTGTCCTACTTTAGCAGCTGGACATTTGATTCCACTAACCATAAGCGTGACATATTGGAATCCCGGGAGGAGGAACAGTCTCAACGTACTTCCGTCTCTAACTTGCTCGACAATCGCATCGATAGCTTTTCCCTTGAATTCGTCAACTAAAGTTCGTGCATCCTCGATTTGCCAAGTGATGTTACGGACATGAGCCTGGGCATTACCGTCTTCAGCCCAACGGCCCACTCGGGCAGCTTTAGCCTTTTCTTGCGCATCAATGAGCTTCTGTGTATGATCACTAAAAATAAAAAATAAAGTAAATGTGAAACTTACTCAATTTGTTTTCCTACTTTCACTTCAACCCATCCCGCGCTGACGGCACTCTCAGATACATTCTCGGCATCTTCAGGGGAAGATCCGCCCAAGTAAATACGGCCGTGTTCACGCCCAGACGTCGCAATGAAGTCCCGGATGAAAACAACTGTCTTTCCAACAATCTTCTTGCGTAAAAATTCTCGGGCTTCCCATGCATATGGCTGAAAGCAGAATGGAGTTATGCAACATAGAATAAAACTAAAAATGATCGGATGAGTTTTTCTTACTTCGTCATTGCTTCCATCATTTCCGCCATCAACAGGTCTCTTAGCAAGTCTGGGAGCTGAGATGTTGCTCAAATAAACGGTAATCTCTTTTGGTGGACCATTGGCAGCAGGGCCTTGAAGAACGACAGAATCTCCGCTCAAAACTTGCTTAACCAATCCTCTTTTGACAGTATGATCTTCACTCATCTTTAGCCTGGTAAACCTATAAATACGTCAGGAATAGGCAACAATGAACGAGCGAGCGGTGTCAAAAGGACTCTCAGTCAAGAAAAAATTGTACCGATAATGTAATCAACGTAAACAAAGGCATGACCCATGAGTGACCAGTAGAAATGATTTCGAACTGGTCAGTCCTTCCCCCAAAGCATAAGAAAAGACAGAAAACAAGAAACCAAAACCAGTGGCAGTGAATTAAAAATTGCATAAACAGATCAGACAAAATCTCTGTTCAATGGCACTGTGCACACTGACTATTGTGGAAACAGAACCACGTCGGAATTTCGGTCCGCCCCTACGAACTGCAAAGTTGGTTTCCAAGTTGTCTCCCGAAACGAAGTTGGCATTCCGAAACAGTAAAAATATTTTTTTTGCTGTTTACGAGACTTTTAAAAATTTTATTTGGCAGCGAGTCGAGAGGCTCTCCCGCAAACAATAGTAACTTTGTTGTTATCGACTTTACGTGTTTTTCGTTATGTGGTTTAATTAAAACGTTGGTTATAGAGTGCTTGTAGTTGCAATGTCTGGACGTAAATTCTTCGTCGGCGGAAACTGGAAAATGAATGGTGACACCAAGTCAATTGACGGCATCGTTGACTTCTTGAACGAAGGAGTAAATGATGATAAGGTTGAAGTTGTTGTAGCCCCACCTGCCCCTTATCTTGCTTATGTAAAAAGTAAGCTCAACCCCAACGTCCATGTTGCTGCCCAAAACGCATACAAGGAACCTAAAGGTGCCTTTACCGGAGAGATCAGTCCGGCCATGATTAAGGATCTTGGTTTGAATTACGTTATTCTTGGGCACTCCGAACGTCGTCATGTTTTTGGCGAATCTGATGCGCTCATCGCTGACAAGACCGTTCATGCTTTGGAAAATGGACTTGTTGTCATTTTTTGCATTGGTGAGAAGTTGGAGGAACGTGAGGCCGGAAAGACAAAGGAGGTAAATCATTTCTTACGGGTCTTATTCTTCAGGAGTTCAGTTATGACCGTTTGTTTAGGTTAATTTCCGTCAACTGCAAGCTATTGTTGACAAGAAGGTTGATTGGAACAAGATCGTGATTGCATATGAGCCAGTTTGGGCCATTGGAACGGGTAAAACGGCTACTCCCGAACAGGCCCAAGAGGTTCATGATTGGATCCGTAATTTCTTGAAGGAGAAGGTCTCCGAAGATGTCTCCAAAAGCACTAGAATCATCTACGGAGGATCTGTCACAGCGGCTAATGCTGCAGAGCTTGGTCAGAAGCCCGACATTGATGGATTTCTGGTCGGTGGTGCATCCTTGAAGCCTGATTTCATCAAGATTGTGAAGGCTCGTGCTTAGGTGGATACTTTCGCTTACACAGTAGTAGTCAGTCAGTCAATATTTGAATTGAACTTTTCAACTGTAGATATGTTTTATTATATCTAATAAACTATATAGGTCAAAACGGTGTTGTTTTTCTTGAAATTTTTTGGTTTTATTTTCCTTCATTTAAATACTTGAAAAAAATATGAGAAGATGTATTAACGGGTTTAGATGTCTACTCAATACATAACAGAACCAGCTACAGAAGGGAAGGTGTGTCTGGAAACGTCCCTGGGAGATGTTGACATCGAATTGTGGAGCAAAGAAGCTCCAAAAGCTTGTCGAAATTTCGTCCAGTTATGTCTGGAAGGATACTATGATAAATGCAAGTTTCATACAGTTATAAAGGATTGCATTGCCCAAACTGGTGACCCAACTAATACTGGGGAAGGCGGAGAGTCCATATACGCTGACGATTTCAAAGTAAAGTTTGCATTTCAGAATTGTATTTTGGTTTAGGTCGAGACGCATCAAAGGATAAAATTTAACAGAAGAGGTCTTGTTGCAATGGCAGCCAATGAAGACGGGTTTCTGGCCTCTCAGTTTTTTATTACTCTTGGATCAACACCGGAACTAAACGGAAAACATACATTATTTGGAAAGGTAAGCAAGCACATTGAAATTAGTTTTCTGTTTAAGATTACAAACAACACCATCTTCAACATCTTTAAGCTAAATGACTACGCAGTTGATTCAGAAAATCGACCTATAAGATCAGAGAGAATAAACAAGGTTGAGGTTCTGTCCAATCCATTTAAAGATATAGTCCCCAGAAGTGTCAAAAACAAAGAAAAGAAGTCTAAGAAGCATAAGAAGGAGAAGGCTGTTATACAGAACAAGGGATTATTATCATTTGGTGACGAATGTAATGACGAAGAACTGGTTTTATTTAACAAAGTGAGTAGGATGTTCCTCTATAGTACGTCCTTTTAGAAACTGAAAGGGAAGAGCGCTCACGATGTCCTTAAAGACGATAAACTCAGCAAAGATTTGGCTGTGAAGCCCGAAGAATTAGGAGGGAATGGAGTAAGTTTAAGCTTCGTTTATTTATTTTACGTTTTCAGAATGATAAAGGTGGTGACGATAATCAAGAAAGTCTCAGCAGAATACGAGAACGACTGAAGAAGAAGAAACGAAAAAATGATGATTCAGATGCTGATAAAGAGGATGTGGATTTTGGGGATGTTCTGGATGAGGTCCAGAAGGCCGAGAAAACAGCAGAGAAGTTAGAAAATTTTTGTTTAATGATACTCAACTCGTTTTTTAGGGAACAATTGGAAGCAGAACGGAAGAAACTTCAAAAAGAATATGCAAAAAGTTTGAGGGGACCTAAAGTTGCGAAGGCCGAGGAAGATAAAACAACTGACACGATAAAGGATTACAAAAAGATGAAATTGAAATACAAAACAAAGAGTGATAATGTGGTCAAAGATCTTGACAAACAGAGAGAACGTCAGACAATGAAGCTACTGGATCGATTTGTTAGTACTGTAAAGAAGGAAACTTCAACTACAATTCTGAATAATAAGAAGGTGGATTTATCTGGAGAAAAGAGCCAGGAGGAATTACTCAGAGAGGGCGCTGAAACCAGACCCAAGAAGCATTTCGAAGAACGGATGGAAGAAGATAATGACCTAGATGCCAGTACTACTGTTAAGATTGATGAAAATGCAACAGACGAGGTTGAACCGGATTGGATGGATCATGCATTTGTGGCTCCTGAAGACCGAAGTGGAGTCACCAAAGCTCGGGATGCTAATCTGAGGGAAGAAGATGAGGATTGGTACGACATTTCTGACCCTCGGAATAAAATGAACCAGAGAAAAAGAGAAGAAAACAAGTAACCTTGTAATGGCATCGTTCTTATTTATTAAATTTATTCTATCTCTGCACTTGAATAACTCTATACACGTTAATATCAAGATCAATATATTAAGGATTTTCTGGAAATCATTTTTTTTCATGCGGACGGGTCATTGTAGGTCTTTAAAGGCAAGGCAGCAAGGGAAAATTAGTCCACTCGGGAGTTGATGAGGTATTTGCAACAATGTGTTAGAAGTTGTTTGCCGTTTACAAGAGGCTGATGGGCATCTCGAGTGTAGATGTCAAGGCCGTATTGGCCTTCATCCGGGAACTCCAAATTGATGATTACATTGTCCCCTTGGACTTCAGTGTGTACACATCCATGGAGATGACGGTCATCTGTTCCGTTCCGATGCAACGTGGCTACGAACTCAACGAGAGGCTTCAACATTCTGAAAGGAATGTAGTTAGCTTTTGAGAGTAATTACTTACCTGAATCGAACTTGGCAATACTGTCCACAATTGATTATGGCTTCCTCGTGTGACAAAGGGATGAGGCCAAATAATCTGTAAGCCTTGGCCGGCCCCCATTCTCCACTGGCACACTCAGGAAGTGGTACCATTATCACGTCGAGGCGATCACAAACAATCTAGGAAACGTTGAATCAGTTTTGTTGAACCAACCCTTACCTTGAATTTGCAAACACTCTTGAATTTGATTGGCTGACCAGTCAAATAATGATCGGCTGAGACCGCATTGGAAAAAACATCCAACAACAAAGGTCTGGTCGTTGGAACATGGATTCTGAAGACAACTGACTCGCTGGTTGAACTTTGCATAACGAATCTTTTGAGGTTGTTGCCATTTATCTCTGATTGGTCACTGTCATAGAACCTCAGATTGTAATGGAAGATGAGGGTGTTAGCAGACTCCTTATCCATGTCAATGGTGATAGTTGCAGCTCCACTTTCGTCTGCCTGAACGGTCGATGAGAGCCTTTGATCATTAAATCTGAGGCCATAACGGAAGAAGAGCGATCGAACGAAAGGCAGTTGTTCAAATTGCTGAAGACTCAGAGGGCGTGGTAGAAGTTGCCAGGCAGGGTCGTTCGGGAAAAACTCGTAGATAAACTCCTGGAAATGAAACAAATTAGTGATGACATTACTTACCTCTGGATCAGTCATGAAGTAATGGTCATCGTATTCGTAGCGGAGACTGTTGTCTCCATTTTGTGCGGGTCGCTGTCCTTCTTTGGCATTCACAAGATGTCTGGCTCCCCAATTACATTGCACAAATCTCCATGATCCATCTAAATACACTGCATTCCATGTGTTTCTGAATCGATTGTCTTCAAAACGTAACCCAGGTTGATAGCCGGCAGATTTTGAATAGCCTTTTATGACGACACAGTGGAGTCCGGCATAACTAGAATTCAGTGTTATGAATTGCAAGCTCCCCTTTACCTGCAAAGTCGTTTAAAAAGAACATGGTAGCTCTCCGTGCCGTATTTTATACCTCTCAATAATCCCATAGGTGTATCTTTATCCACGTCATTATCAAATACCATGACATTTAGATTTTTCACGGTTATCCATCGATATATTGCCCTTAATTGGATGTCTTGTTTAATGGATAAGTTTACTACCTGGCTTTGTCTACATCTGATCTTGCTCCCACTGTCAATGTTCTGATGAGGTCGGTGAATGTGGCCACTTCGGATTGCGCGACACTTATGGCAATCTGATCGATCTGTTCGAATACATTTACGTCCGTATAGATATGTCTTTTACTGCAAGATGGCGGCATTGGAGGGGGAGGAGTTGATGGATAAGAAGATACCGAGCTTGTGGTACTGGCCCCTTCATAATACTGGTCATGTGGAACGTCCCGGTTCTGTTTGTTCTGTTGTCTGGCCTGTCTGAAGAGATCCAACATCTCGCTGGCCTGTTTTTCGAACAGTTCAGTTGTTTTCATCCGTTCTCTTTCTTTCCGTCGGTGGGTAATCGTCTCCAATTTCTTGTCTCTTTTGATGGTCAACTGCCTGATAAGATCTTCTTTTTGATTTTTATCGGCTTGTCCATTTTCAAACCGGCGAGCGAATTCGGATAGGGCCTTTTCCCATTCCTCCTGAAATTTAGATTTTTGCTGATGAAATCATCTTAATTATAAACCTATTAATTTAGACTAACCTGTGTTTCTTCTTGGAACTCCTCGAGCTCCCTTTTCCTGACTTCGCTGAATTCCTCGTACATCTCATCCTCGACCTTCCTGTGAACCAATTCTAATCTGGTTTGGTCATCATAATCAACCACATATTTAGCGCCTTCGTGTTTTATCTTTGGATATGGTTTAGCCACCTGAGTTGCTTTCATTGCATGGGCTATCTTCATATCAGCCAATCCTGCATCCACCCACTGCTTGTCATTGTTATTGTTGTTGATATTATTCCTCAAGGTCTTTCCATTTGTTGTTGGTAAAGGGTCATGAGGATTAGCATTGGGAACGTGATTGTTACAGTACACCTCCCTGTCATCAATGTCATTCCGGTTGTTACAGTAGGTCTTCAACGCTAGCCTTGTCCCACAAATATAGCACTTGAAGCATCCGTGGTGGAAGAAAGTCCCATCTTTGAGGGGTCCCACCTTATCTGTTGGATATACTGGCTTTGTGCATCGGTGACAGACTTCTTTTACCATCTGAAAGAGGATTCCCATCGTATAATGTGGAGTGGATATACAACCAGAGGAATATAAAATTACGATTGCAACTTGTAGATGGTTTTCGAAATAAAAGTAAAGTAACGCTCGTGATAGTAATACAATCAGTAGTAGTCGAGATTTTGTATACAGCTGGTTTGGAAAACAGACAAACGGTCACTTTCTCTTTTTTTTGTTGAATCAGCGGCCAAAAAAGGCGTGAGGGATCGAACTTTTGAAATACGATTTAATCGGACGAAAGCACAAAATGGTAAAAAAATAAAAACCATAAAAAGACGGGAACGTTGACCAATGACGGAAACAAAAACAAAAAAACTTGTTGTTGTCAACAACAAATTGACACTCTTCGTAACTGGATGAATTTAGGAAAAAGGTGCAATTTCAAAAACTAACAATAAGCAAATATCTGAAGATCTAACAGCTTTGCAAAATAAATTATACCACTTGCGGTAGAACTGTAACTTGAGAATTGTAAAAGGAAAGAAAGATTATCACTTTCCGAGCTCTCAGTTCTCCAGAGACGGATCCCTTAACAGAAAAGAGAGTAGCCGTCGACTGCATTAACTTTTGGATGAAATCCAGGTCACCCAAGTGAGTCAGCCGGAGGGAAGAAAGCAAACTGCAGGAAAACGGCTTTCATAGTGCCTGCTCTTGCTGTTGAGAGCATCATATAACTGCTTCAACAGGTGAATTACCTGACCGCAAATGGCTTCTATTGGAACGGAGATCCGCTCAATTACGCATCTAACACAATATTAAGCCGGTAAACGATCTAAAGAAGTTGTGAAGAGGAGGAAGGAAAGGAAGGGGGCAGTTCCCTCACCCCTCAAAAACTCCGAAAATGGCGCGACGATCAAGCTCTCGGTTAATGACCGTCGAGATCTCCCATCTCTCTCCATTGTATCCGAGTGAGGGTCGAAACCTGTTGAAAGTCGAGAACATCACTTTGACATGTTTATTCACAAACTTTTCAACCGGTCAACTCTGCTTCGTCAAGATGAAGGTCGTCAGGAGATTCATGGGAAAGGAAACATTTTAGTAATAAGAAATGCTACAGACAAGTGTGAAATCAAGAATAATATAAGAAATGTGTTGCGTAATCAACCCCATATATCGATTACCATCCTTAGAGCTCTATAATCATGACTCAATCGTCACCAATCGAAAACAAAAAGAAAATCGAGATGACCAAACAAGTTTACTTTACTCAATCTGAACTACCGAACACATAATCCCCCCTCACCAAGATTAACTTCAACTTTCGCTGACTTTTGATTTTGCTGTAATTAAACGGGAAGCAATACTATTACAGATCCGAGGGGGATCTGTCTGCAGTATTAAATATAAAGTAGCAGTAAAAGAGAGTTACTCATGCAACGGGCAATCAGAGCGCAGAGGAAGCGCGTCATAATTACTTTTTAATAAAGCAGGAAATCTTTGGGCGGACGGTATGACTGACTACCAGTAATCCCATGTACAATATACATCGACATGAAGGGTCAGTTAATCTGTCGGACAATCAAAAGAAGAGACGTCCGACTCCGAAGCACGTGTATGGGGGATGAGAGTACAAGCAGGTCACATATTATGTAACAAAGCGCCGCATAGTAATTGCTGCAACTCGTAAAAAAGTAATGTTCTTACTACCTTAATTCGAGGGTCGGGGTTCGGCGCCTGGACTTGATTTATTGTGCAGTTTTGGCGGTAAAAACTAAACATAAGAAAATACATGGCTAGCCGATCGGTCTCGAGACTGAAACTATTTTTAAATAAGGTTTTATAAGGGTCAAGTAGGAAAGGCGAAACGACATGTAAATACGTGTGCAACAATGTGAAATTCAAGTTATTTAATTCCTAATTTTAATTCCTCAAAGAGTCTCAGCATTGAATGATTTGAACCCGTTACTCGATACAATTAAATCATTTCGCTCTGATGGTTTGAAGCAATGTAAAAATAAGTAAATTCTTCCTTAAGGAGAACAAAAGATCTGAACACGGAAAGAGAAATGAAGCGGTTCCAGTGTTCTCAGAGGCCAACACAATAAGAGAACTGGTCAAGAACTCTCGGGCGATGGATACTCGAGTGGGTCCCCTGAATTTTACATGAAAAGATCGCTTTTCGAAAGAGAGGACAACATCATTTGGTCATAATTAAGTCCAGAGTAATTAATCACTCGCTCAAGTAAATATTTCGAAGATTACACCTAGTTTTAAAAAGAGGAAAAGATCATATTCCGAATTTAATTGCCCTGTTAGATGACATCGGAAGAGGTAATTATGAATCAGAAGACGTTCAGGAATAAAAAAGGAGTTAAAGAGCATACGTGAGTCATCCAAAAGACAAACACATTAAATAACAATATGCAAATAGCTACGCAACATTCAAATCCTTGGCCGGAAGACTCACCGTTTGAAATGAAGGCGCCATTTGCGAACGTCAGCCTACTTTACTTTGAAATGGGTTGTCGTTTTAATATCAGCTTCTCTTGGAATCCGTTCGAAAACCCATGAAATTCTGAAACGGATCGATTAGCAAACTTAATTGTCTTAATTAAATCAGCTCAACTATCCTGTTAAGAGAAGTTAAAGAGCAAAGAAACCTATCACGACTCGCAAAAGCCTCGAGGAATTTGAGGAACGAGGCTCTCGAAGAAGCGAAAGCTGGAAGAACGCCATGAAAGGAGAGAGAGCGCGGGGACACAATGACCCCATAGCAACCAGCCAAAGACGCGCGGGCCCATTAAGCCGATGAGCAGAGCATGAATCATCCAGAATTGGTGATAAACAAACACTTGCAGGGTGATAAGCAACAACGATGGGGTGATGACAACAAATGGCTGGCTTGTAAGACATTTTTGGAGTCTCAATAGGCTAGGTCGAGGCTTGGAAAATGATACGGAATATAAAAATAAAACAACAAAGATGGGGAATAATCCTCACTCAAGAACGACGAGGCTCGGGAATCTCGCTATAATGCGTCTTTATTATGAGGAACATAAAGTTATCAATATCAGTAACAACACTTTCAGATAACAGAAAAATAAAGAAAGGAGAAATAACAAGTAAAGACCTTACAAAAGTCTGATTAATTGCGTTAATCGGAGATGAATAAGAGTAATTTCAATCCAAACCAAATAAAATTGTAACAACAAATGCTCTCGTTTCTTGTCCAATCCCATTCCCGAACCAAACAACGCCCATCTAGCACCTTCAACACCCCTATAACCACCTTTAATGGCCAATAACCGGGACTCAGACACTTGCATATATCAAGGTTATGCCCCATTACCAAGAGTCTCGAATGTCATAACCCTTATTTAAAGTAAACACAATCCCTTTGTTTATGATTGACTGTACGGAGAGAAGGTTCGGTTCCGTCTTCAGAAGAGATACTTTCCCACGTGTGACGAAGATTCCAATTTACTATCGAAAATAAATAAATATATACATTCTGAGTCATTAACGGCGACTTGATGAGGATTCGATTAGAGCTTGATTCAGCTCGGTCTTCAGAGCCAATGCCTGTAATTAGAATAAAATACGAGGTCACAGTGTGGGAAATCAAGTCCAAAAAATCCAAAGAGATACGGTAATCTGCTGCTTTAAGCATTCAAATAACATAAAAAAATAATGAAAAGTAAGAATTGACGGGTTTACCTCAACTTTGAGTGTTTGGTAGTCATACTCGGCCTGTTTAGCCTTTAACTCGACCTCCAATCTACTCCTTTCATCTTCTGTGACGGCCAGTCCGTGTTTTAGATCAATGAACTAAAATCAATTAGATAATTATAGAAGACAAAAATTTACAAACCTTTGAATAGAGAGCACTCGCTTTAGCCGAAGCATCTAGTCCATTAAACTCTTGTTGCAATTCATTCAGCTCTCCATCCAGTTGATTTTTCTTATTTTTGATGACATTACATTCCGATTCTAATTCCTATAACAATTAATTATCGTGTCCGTCCATAATGGGCAGATTTCGAGAGCCCGTTCGAATGTCATAGACACCCTTACATCTTTGTAAAAAAGTGTAAAACGAAAACAAATAAATAAGTGTAAATTTTTCAAAAAAGTGCAATTTGAAAGAAGTCATAATTTTTGATGCAACAAATTTAGAAACGATGCTATAATGGCAAATTTGTAGTAAGTGTAAAAATTTAAGTGTAAGATTACTTTTTTTAAACTGTAATTTTAAAAACGAGTAAATTCTGATCTAAGATTGTTGGAAGTTCACCCTTCAAAACTATTTTTTCAACATTACACTAAAAAATTACACATGCAGTTACGTTTTTACACTTACAACACATTTGCGTAACGTCATTTCTAAATGTGTTGCATCAAAATTAAGACTTTGCAAAGTTGAACTTTTTTGAAAAATTTACACTTACGATTAATGCTTTTTTTCGATTTACACTTTTTTACAAAGATGTAAGGCTATCTATGACATTAGAACATGCTCTCGAAATCTGCCCATTATGGAATCTGCCCATGCTGGTTTCTGCCCATTATGAACCGTTGCCTTAATTATAAATTAACTAAACTACTTACATGTACATCTTTCTTCAATTGGGTTTTTAAGTTTTCAAAGTTTTTCCATTCATTTTCAGTAAGTTCGTTGAGTTCCTTCTGTTTTTTTAAGCTGTCCAATTCCGTAAAATAATGTTTTTCCTTCTCGTCCAATCTGTTTAATTCTTCTTGTAACCGTAGATGCACTAAAAAATAAATAATATTTGCTTACTTTGACTCACAATCTTGTAATTCCCCTGGATTTACCGATGAACCCATCGTTGCCATTATTGCAGACTCATCGAGCCCGGTTACGGTAGCGGCCAATTCATCGCGCTGACAGTTGATAGAGATCAATTTGAGGAGGGAGACCACTCTGCTCTGATTCTTGCTCAAAGCTGCCACCAATTCCACTTTATGGGAATCGAAAGAACTCAGGAATTCATCTAGCTGACGCTCTTTTAATTTCAACTCTCTATAACGCTCGTTCTTTTCTCCAGCGATTATTTCGTATTCATTTTCAAATTCTCGGAGCTCTTCTTGAGACAGTTGGATTTGGGCTTCCAATTCTTCGATCCTGCAAAATTATGGTACGATTACAGTAATGGCTGTGATTGATAAGTACCGAAAGTCCGAAAAATAATCAACGGAACACGCGTGATTACATTGCGTCTCTGTGTTGTCAATTTTTTTCTTCCGCTTCTAAGTATTGTAGCCCAGGTTATTTTTTACTTTGAAGTCGTTGCAAAAAAAAGCTAATCATGAGAGCAAAGAACGCTTTAAAAGGAAAGAACCACCCACTGTTCTCTCATGTTGTTGATCTCTTCGTTGTTCTTTTTGATCTGTTCCATGAGTTCGTTCTTCTGATCTTCCGGACTCTGGCCTGACTGCATTTCATTCATTAATTGATTTTTCTTTTCTTTTAATCCGTCGATTTGTTCTTGCAGATTCACTGAAATTTGTGGATCTCACAAAAACGTGACTAATATCAACATATGGACAAGAAAATAAAAAAAGAAGTCCTACGTATTTACGATTCAAAGTACGGATCAAAGAACTGATCAATAATCTCTGCGAAACACAAAGAACACCCCATCTGGTGTGTTTCGAAATATACATTACACTTACTGGAGTGTTGTTTTAGAGGAGACTTGGCCAAGGCCAAGTCCAATTTATCCTTTTTCTTGACCAGTTCTTGTACTTCATTCTGGGATTCCTCCAATTTCCTTCTGTATTCTTCCATCTCTTCTTTCAGGTTTTCAAATTCTTCCTTTTTGGCAGTCCCAATCTCATCCATAAAGTCCATGTTACTCTTTTTGATGGCCTCGATCTCCTCTTCCAATTCTTGACAAGCTTCTTCCTTCTGTTGTCTTTCATGATAAAGATCTTCCACTACTTTGATTAACTCTTCGTTATTTCTTTCCTGATTTTGAATATCGATTTCCAATTCGGAGACATCAATATTTGTGTTCTGCCGATCAATTATAAGATTATAGTCAGCAAATTCTCCTTGTAATCGTTTTAGTTCGTTCGCTTGTTCCTCTGCCCTGTAAATACGAATGTATAAAAGTACTGTATGATAATCGATGTTTTTGTTTTTTTCCATCCAAAAACAGCCCTCTCCAGCTGATGATCATGCTCACTTTTGCTCGTAAATCAGGAGATTGCGCTGTTCTCGTTCGGCTTTTTGTAATTCATTTTCAAGGGAGTTAATTTCGTCTTGCAAGGAGGTTAGCTGAGTGTTCAACAGTCCAATGAAGTACGTTTTGTCAGCAATCTGTCTTCCACTAACGCCGGCTAAAATCGGGGAGAACGTAGATAGTATTGTAATAACGAGATAGGGTCAAAATGTGACTGCAAAATCTCTAACAAACACGTTTCTCTTATCATAAATCTTCCTTGTTTGTGAAGAGATGTAAATAGGAGTAAAATTAATATAATTATCTTTAACTTACTTCTGAGGCGGCTGGCTGGACGTTGTGCCACAAATCCTTGTTGCGTGGTTGGTCTCAGAGCTCCTTCCGGGATCTGACCAGTGGATATCCTCCCTTCCATTCCAGTAACCCCAGCCCGAGATCCGGGGAAGGCCGAGCCAATGCGACTAGCCGATCGAATCACCTATTATAAATCTTATTTTTTCGCAAGAAAAACAAACAAACCATGGCCGTATTCACTTCTGAAAACACCTTTTATTACTCTTTACATCTGCATTAGACTTAACGACTATGATAGCGTAAGAGACCCACCAGATTGCGTGCCATCAGGAACTATGGAACGACGACTGGACGGCCGGCCCAATGAAGATATTGGCCTTCCCGAGGACGACGGAGGCCTGGCTACAGCCGAGGGGGGTCGGGAAACGGAGGATGGAGGTCGTCCAATAGAGGTGGGGGCACGACCTGGAAGAGCATAAGGAGTTGCGTTACCAACATTCCCGGTTATGTAACCATTACAACCGCAGTCGTCCTACCTTGACTGGCCGTTTTGGGCCGCGAGCTGGTTGTGCGGACTCTAGAAGTCGGAGGTCGTTCGTCCATAATATAAAAACAATTTATGTCGGCGGTTTCCGAATGTTTTAACCGATATTTTTTATCTAGATTTGCAATAACTGAGGAACATTTCTTCCGGTTGTCATGACGATAGAATTCTTAGCGTAGCAACACCTCTGAAGGAATACATACGCTCCAATCGAATGCAGCATATCCCTTTGCAGAGCATACGGCGTTCATGTGATTCCCATCAGTCGGCGATGTAATTTTTTGTTTTGATTCCGTGCTTGGCGTCTGCAAATACAAAGCGGACCAAAAGTCGGGCTTATCTTCTCTCCCGTTCATTATATTTTTGGAACGGGAGATGTCTCTGTGTTCGCATGATAATAAAGAACTCGAGAATGATTAAACAACTGCCGGCCAGTGTCCACGTGATCCACAAAAGCCTTTCACAAATTGTAAAAAGGGCCTGTCTTTCGATAAAAATGATTCGAAAGATGGGGAGGAAAAGAGCAAAAGTCAGCGAAGTGCAGGGTTTCAACGTGGATGTATAAAAAGAGCTTCCCTATCACAAATGGAATGTCATGCCAGCAAAAAACATTCAGTTAAAAAAACAAAAGGCTTGCTTAATTTGCAAGGTATAATAAGGGGACCGTCCCCGGCAACTTTCCCGCCCCTACTTGCAGTATTTAAAGGTCGCTCCCTCAGCAATTTCGCCTTTTACAACAACACCATGATAAGCCAGAAACACGTTCCTTTGACCATCACCAAGGTTACTGTAAGAGAGCGGCCCCAGACGTCGACACAGGTAGGTCTGGAGAGAACGTGAGTAAGATAAATTGATCTTAATTCCCCCGAAATGCATGTGAAGTGATTGTGAGCGTCGGAATTGCGGTGCGTTAGTAGTTGGGAACGCACGGAGCTTTTGTAATGTCACATAGACGACTTTTTCAAATTTTCATGTTTGCAGGATTCATGTTTAAAGCTTTTATCAGTTCTGCAAATTTAGTTTTTATCAAAAACTCCCCTAAACGCTTTGATTTCCTCCCAAAGTGTGACTTTACCCGTCACACCGACAGACCGCTTCCCAAAAATCCATCGAAATTTGATGTCTGTCCCAGCATCATCCATTATTCTAAGGGCATTGTCATCTTACGGTATTTATTTTGCAAAGCGCAGAATCTTCACGTGCGTTCCATATGTCTTTCAAAAAGGGGGGCGGGATGGGTTGACTCCGCCCATTAAATGCACTCTGCCGCTTCTTTAAAAGTGATCTCCTGCCCAAATCAGACCAGATTCTTCAGAGTCCGTACAATTCTCAACTAGAAGCCAACATGCTTGCCTCGGCTGCCGCTCTCTTCGAATGTTCCATGCTATTCGTTGCTACCCTCACCGCCCTACTCAGCATCCTGAGTCCAAATCTCCGCTCAGGCCTCTATTCCGTCCTGGTTCTCCTTCCCATCAGTCTGATGATCAGCCGAACTGAAGCCGCTTCTGATGACTTGGACGATTAAAGTGGCACCTTAAATGGAAGAGGAGTTTGGCCTCGTCCAGCACAACTCAATTTCCCACCTAATTGGAGTGCATTCTTCACTCATGGATATGTAATCAAAGGATATCGTGGCGCGGGCGCAATCATATCAACCAAAAATGAAATCGGTTCTACTTGCATTGTTATAATTATTTGAATTTGATGATATAAAAGCATGATGAAAAAATAAAATAATTTAAAATCGTATGCTCTTGCCTGCAATCGTTAATAAGAACTTTTTGAAGAGCATTTTGCAATCGAATTCCTCAGATATCAATTTCGTCAGCGATTATCAGACCACTTTTACAATTCGGCAGCACGTGGAGGTCAAGACCGCGAGTTTATTAGATAATAATCCCTCCGGCAACAGTGGAAATAGTTAGAAACGAGATTTTTTGAGAACGTCGGGTCTCCAGACAATGGGATGAGTTTCTTCGGTCTGAAAACATTAAGGAGAGTATAACGGTAAACACTTTAAAGGGAAGTTATAATCAGGGAAAACAGAGTCACATGGCGGTGACTATCTCCGTCCCTTGCTATCTACACCTTCATCAATCACCCGCCAAAATGTAACAAACAAATTTTAATCGGTTTAATTTTATTCTACTGTAGCTTGGCTGAACTAAAGATCAAAGCAAGTGACCTTGAAAGCGTTCTGCAGTAACGGCTTCAAGGGCAAAACTGAGAATTTAGGATAGAATTGTTGTAAGAACTCTAAGCCCACGTGAGCCTTGTGCTGGTTTTTAACTACCACATTAATTTTGGCTACGCCCGTGGTGTCTCCCCACTTTCATTTCTAATTAACTTACAGCATCAGGATCTTCTTTCCACATCTTAATGGACTTATCAGCTTCGGCTGTGATCAATCTTCTGCCAGATTTGTCATACGTCAAGGCATAAATTCCACTCTCAGAATCGATTGACCCGGGTTGTGGAGGTGGATGTTCTCGTTGGAAACAGAATCCTGAATCCCAATCCCAGAAGTGCATCGTTCCATTATCACCTAAATTACGAAATAAATTTCATTAAATTTTCAAAAAGTTATTACTACATGGTTATCAGAAATACCCTCCAAAACTTTTTAAATTCTAGTCTAGCCAACAATAAAAATACTTTTTAAGATATTCATAAAAAAAACAACGCTCCATTTACCTCCAGACACAAGAACCCCATCCTCGTTAACAGCCAATGTGTTTATCATTGTATTGTGTCCACTCAGATTCTGGAAGAAGGTTCCATTCACACTTTTCCATTGCTTAATGTTATCTGTCGACCCTGAGGCAAACATGGCTAATGTGGGATGAAGAACCAGAGATCTCACACTTTTCTGAAATGGAAGATTTCTGTTAAAATAGATTGATACTCAAAAAGTACACGAAATAAACCCACCTTGTGGTTGGTCAATGTACACACACTTTTTCCAGCAGCCAAGTCCCACAATCTAATAGTAGAATCATGACTTCCAGTAATAACCTGTGGATTCATCTCCTGACATACCACCGAAGCCACCGTATCTGTATGTCCACTCAAACAAAATACTTGCGCTTTCGTTCGAATATCCCATACCCGGGCAGTGGAATCCCGGGCCGTTGAGATCAGCAGATCTAACATGGGATGCAGAGCAAGATCTTGGACCGCGCTCAGGTGACCATGATAATGCCTCACAACTTTATTGTATTCCAAATCCCAGCATTTCACCTGAATCCAGCGTGATCAAAAAATTTTTTTACATACCTGTTTATCTTCCCCACCACTGAAAAGATAGGGGTGGCGATGGGAAATTTTAACAGCCCGAACTGCACTTATGTGACCAGTCAAGGAAAGCTTCAGTTGCCCCGTCGCTAGATCCCATATCTAAAAGCACATATAAATATCCGATCCACGTGGAAAGCTTGCCTCCCCTGACCTCAACTTACTTTAATAATTCTATCGTTACCCCCAGTTGCAAACCATTCGTTGTTAGGCTCGACATCAACACAACGCACCCATCCAGTGTGCCCTGAGATAACCCGATACAATTTCCATGGGGGATGCCACTTTGGTTTCACTATAAGTGACGCTTTCGAAGGTAACAATGCCCTAATGGAGTTCTCCTGAGGTCCCTTCTTTGAAATAGTGTTCAATGCTCCAACTGATGCTCCCCCTGGTCCGGTAATAGCCAACTGTTGGTCTCGTGTAATAACTGTGTCGTCTACACCTGAACCTTCATTCTGGGGAAGATTGAGAAGTTCTTGGACCTTCGCTCTTTTAGCGTCTTTCTCGGCCGTAAGGACAGCCCTATATTCAACTTTCTCCTTCACCGACTTCCACAATTTATCTCTAAATACAGGTTGAATTAAAAAGAAGCGCTTACGTTGATTCCGGCCCGTCAAAAAACTTGTCCTTAGAATGTGCAAACATGTCGTGAGATCGTTTCATAGAGCGGAATACGCAGTTATACAATTTTCTGGTCTCATCGGACGCCGTCCCCATCGTTGTTGATCAATTCGACTATCGTAAAATACAAGATCTACGCCCTTACGAAACACCGAGTACAAAAAAAAGCGACAAAAAAATATATTTTTCCCATTGTCGAGCTGCGCCCAATTTTAGCACACCTGCAGCAGCGTTTTAAAAATTGTGTCATCGTGACTTGATTTTTACAATTTTGATTTGAGGACTTGGCGTTGCATTCGCATCAATAGAGTACTGAAATTTTATTATATTCTAATTTTCCGTAATTTGCGCTGCCTTTAAGAGTAATAATGACCTATTTTCTAGATTTTCCGTCGAGAAAAAGAATTGCGCTATCCTCGGCCTAGGGCAATTGCCGCCATACCGGGAGTTTGAAGTGATGATGAATGAAAGATTTATCGATTTTTTCTCTACTCTGAGCTTTTCCACTGAAAACTCAAGATGCCAGAATCGGTCTATGATAACCTGAAACCGGCTTTTGATCCTCTTTCTCCTTTGTTACAACTTTACAAGAACAGAAATAGTATCAACGACGCGATTCCCTTCCACGTGACTGGTGTTCTAGAAAATTGTGAAACGAGTGGGTTGTTGACCTTCTCCTTGCTGCAACCGCGGTTTAACATCGTTGATTTGTGTGAGGAACTTAAAGAGCACTATGGAGACGCTTATGACAGTGGAGACCTTAAATCAGTCGGCTGTTCGAAGGTGAGTACTATTGTTTGTTTTAAAAGTTTTTAGCTTATCCTTGGTAACAATTACTTGACCAGATTCACGGATGGAAACTTCTACAGATGTCGTCTAATTCATTTCAAGAACGGGTTTGCTCTAGTCCGATTTTTGGACATGGACTACGAGGTGAAAATCCATACTGATCGAATTTATGAGTTGGATTTCCAATTCACGACAGACAAATACAACTATTCCTTGGTCGTCCCGGCGTACACATTGAGTAGGTATTGTTTGTTCTTTACATTTGGGTTATGTATTTTTTACTACGTGATTTTGTAGGTCCAGCAGCACTGGGATCGATTGGTTTGCCGAATGTTCACAGTGTGAAAGCCGGGAGTATCATGGACTTCCTAATTCTGCATATTGGCTTCAGATGTCTGGTATTGGCAGCTCCACATAATTTTGGCCTTTTCCGTTTTTCTGGTCAACGTCTGTTGTACAATTCACCGATTGACGAGGAATGGTTTAATCTTTTGTCAGAGAAAGTCCCTGAGAAGAGATTTGAAGGACAATGTTACCCATCGATCAAGCCAAAGTTTGGACCTCATTGGAACTTCGGCCAGGTGATGGGAGTTGACGGCCTTCATAGTGTGTTTATCAGGGATCTTCGTAAGTCCTGATTTTACGAGTATTCATTTTATAGAATCGTCTATCCGGGCTTTCTACATTCACCAGAGACTGCAACAATTGTTCAATAAAGTCGAATTCAAGTCCAAATTCCAGGCTAAAGAGGGTGACGAATTTGTTCTTGATCAACCTTGCGTTTTCTACGATTCCACATCAAAGGTAAGTCGGGAGAGCCTCCTAATACGTATTCTTAGATGTATTATCGAGGAAAGGTCACAAATCTGACCGACGTTTTCATTGATGCCAGTGGAGTAGATTTTCCATCGAGGAAAATTATCGGAGCCGCACTCTCATCCGGCGTGTTTTATTATCTTCCTTGTGGGTTTGGCTTCCCTTCAACGGTAGTGTCGGCTTTTCCTTACTGATTTTGTTTTAGGTGTATCCGGTTAAATTAGTACAACAATCCACCTCATACGATCAACGATACGACGAGTTACTGCAAGGCCTTTTGTTTGATAACACCCCGGTTTGTTTTCAATTGAGTGCGTTCAGCAGAACGGTAGAGATGAGGCTTCTGGATGGAGCCAGTGTCCTGGCAGAGATAAAATTCGATGGAGTAAGTGTTTTTGCAAGAGTTGTATGGTTTTAGGACAAAGGTTTGGGGCCTTTTGGCGCGTCGATGACCAACAGATCATTTGTCAAGTCGAGTCAGTTCATATCTTCCATGCCAAAATGGGAGGCAATGGGTATGGGAGAATCAGGTGAGAAGAAGTCTGAACCGAAGAGGAGGACTATCGCCTCGATATTCGAGACCTCATTGCCGCCTCGTAAACCAGAAAAGAAGGGACCTCCGACAGGTTGTGATGAAGCCGGATATGTTTTTTCTGATGGGTATAATTATATTTGCTACCGAACCCAAGAAAATGATAACAAATTCAGGACGCTGCAAAGCGCCCTCAACACGGTATGTCTTTTATTGTTCAGTATGTATTGCTATTTTTAGGTGAGGCTAACTGGTATGAATGCACTTGATTATCCGACCGCGGGCGAATATTATCTGGTCAGAGCTCCCTCCGATAACTGCATCTACCGGGCTACGATAGAAAAGGTCGAGGAGGATATGGTTACCGTTTTCCATATTGACACTGGGATGAAATTCAAGCAGCATATTAATACTTTCCGAGGTTCTGCTATGCCTCTTTCATCGGCATCAACAGAGGTAAGTCTTTCATATTTGTTGTCTTTATGTTTAGTTTTCATTGGAAGCAGTCCAACCTCTTGCTGAAGGTCCCTTCAAAATGGCCGGAGACATTCCTGAAGATGAAAAGATCTTATATAAGCATCTTAAGTTGAAGGTGGCGTTGAGGTGTGTGCTGTCCGACATGGGAACTGCCTACATCAAGCAGGGGGACAAGGGAATCTACCTCTACAACAGAGAAGGAGAGAGCATCAATGATTACTATGTTAAGACCATGAGAAATAACGAGTCATAGGATGTTTGAAATACTAACTTGTAAATATTATCATGTGAAGTAAATACGAATTTAGTCAAAGCGGAGTTTGTTAAGTGGTGGAAGGGTTTCGTTTCCAATGGAATATCTTTGCAACTATGATTTAATGCGCTTGAAAAGCCATTAAGTAAATGCTTTGTGTGTAAGAGAGGTTCCGAGCAGGTTCAAATCTTTTTTCAAGTGGGATCCGACACTCAACCAGGATTTTCAGACATGCCAAAAAAATTTTGCACGGCGCGAAAAATTTCCGACACTGCCCCGTGTAGACCAAATTTTAACCTATGTTTGGCCATGCACAGTGAAGAACAAAAAAATTAGTCATCGCTGAAAATCGTGGTCGAGTGTCTTGGCTGAAAAAAATGAATCTAGACGGAACCTCTCTTATTTGTTATAGATGAGTCTTCTTAACTGCATCAGACCCGGTACAATCCAGTGCCGGTTTGTCTCGTCCAAATATCTGAAGCCACATCCTCGTCCTTATAAAAGACGTTTGTTCGAAGCTGTAATTAAGCCTGAAATGCCAGAGGAAATCACTCCCAAATGCATTCCTTATTTTGAATTCAAAAGACGTTACGATGAAGAAGAGGGAAGGGTAGGTCTGATCTAATTCCTTCAAGACTTGTTACAGTACACGGCCATTGAATTAGCTCTTGCGGACAAAGTGAGAAAATGGATAATTGAAGAAAAATTTCGTGTGTTTTCCATTTGCCAGTTCTTGTCAATCAAAGCAAGGCCTCTTCATTATATTAAGAATCAGTAAGTGTTTGTTTTGTTTGATAACATTTTTAGATTGAGGGTAAAAGGACTTGAGTTCAAGACATATGAACCGAGAATCATGAATAAAGTGTTTGAGGGAACAGCTTTCGACGTACTCTCACCTCTGTACTTGGAGATGAATTACTGTCTTCTTTTTGGTAGGGACATTACTGCCGTCAAAACGATTGTGACCGAAACCAATAGGATACCTTATATCTTTCCTTTGGGTAAGTTTGTAGCTTTGTTTCATTTTCTTTACTTTTAATTTTCAGCAATCACATATGATGACAAGATTCTTTCATTACGCCAGATTAACGAATTGTGTGAACTCACAGATCCAGAACATATTCGTGCCCAGACAGTGCAGCTGCTGCAAACTGTTCCATCCCAACTCACCTCTACTTTGGATCACCCATCTCAGAACCTCACATTTCTTCTGAGTAATATTCCAAACTGATACCCAAAAAGTTGTTATGTTGTTGAATGAACCTAGGTAGCAAAACATAATGAAAGGCGACGTACCCGTAGATTTTTTTTTTTGGCAGGAAAGCGCGGCTATATATAATATAATTCGTTTTTGGGTGTTTCCGATTATTTTCTTAGCTACTTTCTGAAGACAAAAGTGTCAGATTCGTGTAGAAAAATTTTATTTTTCGACGTAAAAATATCGGTCATTTCTGCAAAGCGCGAACAAGGAATCTCGCATGTTTATTTTTTGAGTTGTGTCAAAAATCAGAGCGATGTGCGATGACACTTGGGGTACTTCTCTCTGTTAGCCGCGTTTCCAGCCAGTGGCTGACGAAAGATGACTTTACAAGTACCGACTTTTCTAGCTATAAGGAAACATATCTCAAGGATTATTTGTTATTGCCATTGCGCTTTCTATATACGGAGAATGTCATTCTCCACATGATATGCAATGACTTTGTTTTCTAAAAAAATAGCAATGTTTTCAACTTACTGCACTGGATCAAATAAGCTTTTATTTCAACCCGAAGATGAGTCTAGTCTGATCTCATGACAAAAACAACATGGACACCAAGCTAGACCCATAGTCGAGGAGAACAGGTCGGTAAGTAGGATAGAAGAAGCAGCAGTCTTGCCTGTAGACTGTGTTTGTATCAAGACTGAGCGGAGATAGCTGGTCGAAGCGATGGTCAGTGGTGCCCTTGACATGATTGACAAGGTCGGGCATAGGGAAGAGGCCGCGACTGCCGCGTCGCCATCCCAAGCTTAATAATACAACAATTCGTGGGGCTTATCAAACTGATAATATCGGTGGCTGCAAGCACCGGACGTCACCGGGAATCGAATGAAACAGAAAATGGGAATTGGACTGCCCCTGATCAAAAAAAAACACACACCAGGGCTTGATTCATTGGGCGACCGACTAAAGGAATGAGAGCGAGGCCAACTGGCGGCGAGAGGAGGGGGGAAAGGCTGCATCGCTGCCCCGGTTCGAGACCCCAAACCCACCCGATCCCGCTCTGAATCAGTTTTTCCTCTGTTTCTCTCCTCGTCGATCTCTGTCCGTTATGCAGTGACCCTTGTTTGTCGTCGTTTGTTGCGTCGCCCTCTTTGGTGATGTCCGATGAAGGCTGAACGGGTTTGAAGGTGCGCCCTTCCAACGTTCTCTCAGGGTTCTTATAATACTTTACCCAAAGTCATTAAAACAATGCCGTCATTTCCGGTTACCCTCACATTCTTCACAACCCACTCGTTTATGGTTCGCAATAATTCTGATTACAAAACTTTTCCTTGTAAAAGACAATTTTCATCGGAGTATTTATTAGATTGTCTTGTCCCGATTACTTCCTCATTCGTCGCGCCCTTTGTGGAAACGTCCTTTCGACAACAGTAACACTCCGATCGCAATCTGCGCAAAACTGAACCAATTCCTGAGTAGACCAAGGGTAATAAGAATGCATGTACTTCTCGCCGGCTACAATATATTTCTATTTAAGAGATTCAATCAAAAGCTTTAAAAAAGTTTTAATCCTTACTCTTGAGATCAGCAGCTCCCTGAGCGAATATAAGAACCCATTCTCCTTCCCTGATATCCTTAACCGTCTCTCTTTCTCCTTCCTGGACTTTCCTCAAGTTACCGTAATCCAAGATGACCTGACACATCATGCGTTCATCATGCCGGGCACCCGACACTAACTCAAGGAGGTTGGTTGAGGCCTAAATTGCAAAATTAACTTTGTCAGATTTCCTTTGTTTTTCCTAACAATAATCTTACATCATACAGTTGAACATTGTCATGATGATCATTATAAGAGATAAATGTGTCCACCGTCTTTCCGCCTTTGAAAATACATTCAATTACAGTATCATTGTCCTGAAAATATTCTGCTTTTAACAATGTTGCCGCTTCCATTATTTTTGTGGATTCCGTAACCGACCATGATGGCATCTTCACTTATTCCAACAGAAATATATCGTCCAACATCTACCGAATTGTCAAGATCTTTGGCCTAAACTCGAATAATGGTAAGATGAGATTCAGACCTGCAAATCGAGGTGAATCTTGTCCCCTTCCACTCTCCATCTGACTATTCCGTGACATTCTTCTGGTTTACAGTTAGTTGGAAATGTCCAGCAACCGAGAGATTGACCACAAGAGTCCGTATTAAAGAAGTCTTGAGCCAAACTACTCTAAAAATAAGATGAAATAAAACGTTACGGTATATTTTACCGAAGAGACCAAAATCAGGAGAGCAGCAAGACCTTGCTGTAACATTTCGCCAAACTGAACACCTTTTTAAAAGTTCTTAACTACTTTATACAACGTCTCCCCTCTGTGGTTCGTTAAAGTAAATATCATCATCATAACACCGACCTTGAAGAGTAAAAGTAAAAAAAACAAGCAATTTATTCTCAAGAATAAATACAAAAAAAATTTTTTACTTTTGGTCCTCAGAAACAGGTTCTTTACACTGTTGTTGAAGAAGCTCCCGGACTTTTGGAGTAATCGCCCCTGAGGCGGTAGGGAATTTGGCATAGATCTCGAGATTGGGCTTCCCCTTCCAGATGAGACCACATCGGAAATCGGAATCGTTTGTGATCAGGAATTTTCGGATCTTGTTCAGACAATCGTGCACCTGAAATATCACTTATTTTATACACAACCAGCACTTTCCAGGAGACCTTGCTTGTAGGCGTGACAATGGAAATAAGACTTACCTTGCTCAAGACAACATAAGGAAGGGGCTTCATTAACTTGGACACTTCAGTCAAAGGGTAGATGGCCGGTTTGCCGAAATCCCCATTCCCTTTGAAGAATCCAACAATCTCCTGATCAGCGGCAGTGAAGAATAACTGAGCCCATGTGAAGAAAGGGAATCCGGCACCCTGAGGGTAAGTTGTCAGAAGTTGCAAAGGAATTCCCCGTAGCGTCTCTCCGAACTCGATGTACTTAATGTTTTCATTCTCTGCGAATTTTTTGGATTCTGGTACTGTTTCCGGGTCTTTGGATGGATCGCTTAAACATTAAACCATATAAATGATTAGTAATATTATTTTTTCATAAGGAAACATCAAAAGACGACTTACGGATCGGCGGCTTTAATGGCTGCGTAATCTGCAGAGTCTACTTCATATCTGACAAGAATCTTAAAATCCCCGAATTTATAGCTGACTAATTGGAAGAAGGGCCCGGTGGTGTGCTTGGAACGTGGTTTGTTTATCTTAGCTTTCAAGTTTTGGTCAAATGTCACATGCCCAATCTCCATCAGATCCGAGGCTTCCATTCTGAATTATTTTACATTTTGCATATTATAATTTGAATGTCTTACCGGGTGAGTAGTACGGTCTTTCCGACCCTCTCACAGTCAATCCGGAAGAGCCCTTCACCAGCCTCTTGGGCAAACGCAAAGATCTTTTGGAGATTAACAGCATCAGTGATGAAGTCGTATTCATCGAAGTTGATGGGTTTCTTCTTTTTCTCTGCTAATAATTTGGCTGCCAGAATGGCCGTATCCAGGGGTCCGTCTTTCACCTAAAGTGTAAAAACAGCAACTTCTGGACATACTTTCAAGTGATTGACGTCATAAATTAAAACTCCTCGATCTTGAACCAATTTTCCGCCAGGCCAATAAGATGATTGCGGAGGTAGACCTGGGATCTAAAAGTCATCATTATTTTAGTGTAAGTTTCATAAATCCGACCCAAAACGAGTCAGCTGATGAGTGATGTCACTTAAGCATACCAAAATAACTGGATCATCCTCCTCCAATCTCCATTGATAAGACCCGATTCTTTCGACCGTTTTTGTGGACGTCGCAGTCCCTTTGGCATTCAGATTCACCAAGGGCAGAAGACCGTAAGGGGTATCTTCGAGCCCATCGAAGAGCCAAAATCCTTCGGCACTCATAGTAAATGGAGAAGGTCAGGTCCGCACGGAGTGATCGGAGCTGATCTGGCCTCTGGACAGAGGCTGGTGTGGGCGTCTTTGACAGCTGCCCGACTTTTTTTGTCTCTAATTCTTCTCAGACATGAAACAAACTCTTGAAATTTTATTTCAAGCAGTGCCATTGGTCAGCACCTTGGGCTCTGCGGGTGTTTAATTAATGGGCTTAATGAAGAGATGAGGTGGTGAGGTCAAGCAGATAACTCGATCATGACTTTAAAAGAACCCTGCTAATTGTTGCATAGTGTAATTGCATTGATTTTTCATTTTTGCATTCAGTCTTCGTTGAAAGTTGCAAAAGATTATTGGCGATCCAGTTTGATGGAAAACAATTGATTCGATTCCTGGCAAAGTTACACCGAATAAAACACTTTACACTAACACACATCCACATTTTCTAACCATGAAGTTTACCGCGCCAAGCGAAGATGAAGTTGTTCGTTTACTCAATTCTCTAAGACGCAGGACTTAATATGACCCCGTTTATAACGTCCCAGGTCTCTTTGCTCCGAGGAGAGCAAATGACGAACGCCTTTTCGAATATTGTGGCCGTCTAAAGAGCGGCTTTCGGTCCCACCGCGAAACGGAAAAGATCTTGTTTTCGTTTGGCTAAGGGCCAAATAAAACCAACTTCCAAGTCTTTAAAAGGTTTATGTCACAAGTCCCCATGGGTAGACATATTTGATAGAGCTCGCGGATCTTCTAATCAATATCAGATCGCTTCTGATTCCTGCTTCTCTCGGAGATCACTTTTAAATTAAAAATTAAAGTTCCAGCTTATCCATCCAAAGGGCCAAGACTGCCATGACTGCGGGGTTCGACGGGTTCTGGCGCAGCGGGATTGGAGTGAATTAGACACTTCTTTAAATGGCGGCACCTTTGGACGACGACAGCAAATGTCTGCTGACTCCGTCGTCCGCCAAACTTTTCTTCCTTCAGGTAATAATATTCCTTGAGCTCTTAGATCTTTAGAATGAAAGCAATCATGATGACCAGTTGAGCCGTTTCTATCTTGGTCAAGGACTCATGAACAGTGAGCCGGTTCTCGCAAACAACTATGCCGTTCAAGAGGTCCGATCCAGCGAGAGTGGGGCTTATACGAACATTAATTATCCATACTTTTCCGAGACTGCATTACAACAAGTAAGAGAGGTTGCAATTCGCTAATGTGTTTAGTTGCTGAGCAATGAAGAACAGACAGAATACGTCGAACCCGAATTTGAATGCAGTTCTGCTTGTGTTGCGCCGAACGCGACTGACAGAAGTTCCAGATTCTCCTTCTACCGAGGTCATACCCCCAGATCATCATGCTTCTTTTATTCCGAGAGCCAGCCTTCCGTGGTTACCAATACGGGCTCTGTTGTTGGATATACCGGAGGCCATAAACAGTCATTCAGCACCCGGGAAGTCCGCGAGCAGCACATGCAGATACAAAAGAAGTACCGTCCAAATCGACGTCGGCATTTTACTGATCCAGTCGATTTCGAAGGTAAGATAGCATGACATACGCCTATTATTGAGTGTAGGCATACTCAATATTATCGGTGGTTGCTCGTGGTGGCAGATCTGGGTATATTTATTAATCAGTCTTCAACAAATACCTCATGCAATGTTCAACTTATCGGTTGTTTATATGATGTATCAACCAGATCATTGGTGTCAAGTCCCCGCTTTTAACGAGTCTGATCCCGGTTATCTATGGTCTTTGAATGACGTCATTCATAACTATTCAATTGTATATCCAAATACGGGTAATAAACAGAGGAATACAATTGATTTTCATGATCAGGTAGGTGATAATAAAGACTTTTCATCTGTTCAGTGCCATTACTATGATCGAGGGTTCGAAAGATACGATCAGTTGAGAAGGATGTCTCTGGCAGAAGCCCAGAGAATTATTCAGAATGAGAAAGCGACCATTGTAAAATGCAATAAATGGCATTATGCAAATGATGTAATGGACGCAACGATAGTGACGGAATGGAATCTCGTATGTGACGACAACTTCAAGAGGGCCCATTCGCATCTGTTTTATTCGTTCGGCTTTCTTTTTGGATGCCTTCTGGGTGGATTCGCTTCGGATCGCTTTGGTCGGAAACCCACTGTGATTGGCTTCGGTATTCTATCGTCCATGTTTGGTCTTATCTTACCCTACTCAACGTATTTCCCCATGTTTCTCTTTGTTCGGTTTTGTGGGGCCGTGTGCAATGAGGCCGCCGATCTGGCTGCCTATGTTCTATGCATGGAAATTACGGGTAATCGAATCGATTTCTCTTGCGATGACAAATAACTACTGTATACAAAATATATACATATTCCTTCTTTAGGTACAAAATTTCGTGCAATGGTGGGCAGTATGCTGCAGGCGCCTTGGGCAGTCGGCTACGCATTCCTTGCCCTTATCGCTTACACTTGTAAATCATGGCAGGTTATTCAGTTACTGACCGCGGCCCTCCACACCATCTCCATTTGCTTGATCTGCGCTCTTCCAGAGAGTCCACGCTGGCTGATTGTGAATAACCGAGTGGAGGAGGCGGAGAGATACATCCGCAGAGCTTGCCGAGATCCCCCATTCCCATTCAGTCTTTGTAAATTCAACAAATCTTCGTTACCTTGTGATCTGGAGCTGGTTAAGCATGCCGAGCAACGGAAATGGGTTCGCCAAGATCAACGGGCTAATATTGTACATATTCTGAAGTCGCGGATTCTGTGTGTGAGGACGTTGATCATTAACTTTGTTTGGATTTCAACTGCGCTTGTGTATTACGGCTTAGTCATAGGTAACTTCAGTCATTTAGCTTATGATGCACGTCGTTCCTTACATTTTTTCAGCATTATCCGACCAATCTGCTCCAGGCCGAGTATTATTTAGTGGTAATTTTTTTGTTAACAACGCGATCGCTGGTGCTATTGAACTTCCTACCTTAATCTTTTGTGTATTTTTAATGAAATTTGGAAGAAAGCGTTCTCAAATGGTGACTTTGATAGCCGCGGCGTTGTTCATCTTCGCAGCAATGGCAGCCATCAGCAAAAAGAATCAAATGGTGGGTAACATAAGTATTTTTTAAGCATCATTCGGTAGTCTAATTATGTCTTTCTTTCAGGTTGCCCTAGGGTTTTTATTAGTTGGAAAGATCTTCATTCAAGGAGCTTTTAATATCTTGTACATTTTCACTTCCGAACTCTATCCTACAGTAATCCGGAATAGTGCAGTGGGCTTCAATTCAATGGTAAGGCTAATTTCCTGAGGGCATAGATGCTAATTACGCTTCAGATAGCGCGGGTTGGCTCGGGCGTAGCTTCTTACATCGCCATCTTATCCGACGTGACGTTGGCCATCGTTCCCATGATGATTTTCTCGACTTTCTCTTTAGTGGCAGGCTTTGTTGTTCTTTTTCTGCCCGAAACTCGAGACCGCCCATTGCCAGATACCCTCCAAGATGCTGTTACATTCCTCGAAAGTGACGCCAATTATCATTGTTACACTTTTGGCGGAACAAAGTTGAGTATTTCATTATTGGGGAAGGACTCAAATGCTTCTGTCGCCGCCCCACAAACTTCTGCATCGAAAGAAGAACCGCTGACAAGTACATCGACAGTCACAACGAAGATCAAGGACGACGACCTCCTAGTGCCATCCAACGTGATCAGCAAGAGATCCGAGACTTTCAACGAACTCCCGGCAATCCCCGAGGTCCCTGACCATCATGAATTGGAGGGGCCCAGTCCCTCAACCTCGATCGTCAAGCCCGAGGAAAAAGCCCGACCTCGAGTCGGACTGTCCACAAACAATAGACCGGTTAGTTGTTATTCATATTCCAAAAGTAGTATAACTTCAGGGTGAAAGCGAGTCCATCTTCAGTGATCAGGACAAATTGCCCGAGGCATTTGAGTAACCGTGACATCATCATTCAGACCGTCCGTTTCGTAATCATCAATTTAGAATAAACGATTATACAGTCAGTAGCCGTCGTATCTTTTGTTTGTCTAGTGGCTCAACGATTCAATGTCTCGGGGTCTAATCAAATCATGACCGGTTTTGTGTGACCTATTATTTGTACTCGATTTGTTTCCGTTCCTTGGCCATTCAAAGGACTGACCTAGCCCCCAAAATGTCCTCGGTTTTTATTTCTTCTGTTACAGTAGTCCTTTTCGGCGCTTTTGTCACGGCACAATACTACAATGCTGGGAATATGGCAGGGATTGGTTGCGTGATTACGGTATGGAACTGCAGAAGAGTTTACATAATTTAGGGGGACAAATTGTTTTCTCATGGGAATTATATCCGAGATCTGAAGGCAGAAGAAGTCGAGGAGCTCCAGAAATATAAAACTGATATTGCAGCCTTCCAAAAGGTGAGTTATACACATTGAGTAACATTGCGCAACATAGGCGATTGGAGAAGTTTATGCCCAAGCTGAGGTGTATAACGGAACAGCCGTGACTCTCCCATCATTACCACCAAGACCCACGATCCCTGCCTTCTGCACTGGCAATGAAACCACACTATATGTATTAGGTATGCTCAAATTATTTACTTTTTAAAATCGTATTAATTTTAGGCTCTTGCACTGTGCAAAACCACAAGGTTTACGTTAGCGGAAAGTTTGCGCGAGAATTAAACGAAGACGAAAAAAATAAATTGGAGGAATTTAATCAGAAATTAGCCAAAAATCAGGCATTAATTACGGAAACGGAGACCGATTCCAACTCGACAATGACAGAAAGTTCAGCCACATCACAAGTCCCAACTCTCGATTTCTGTACTGAGTTTTAATCCAAATCGAATAAATCCTGGTCCGACTCAAATTGAGCTTCCTCCGCGTAATAATTAACCTGAAATAAAATGATGACTAAACTTTAATCGAAGGTTATATATATAGTATCTACCTCTTTCCTGTAAAACATACCAAATCCGTCAGAGATAAAAACATTTTCTGTTCCACATAATATTCGCAGAGGTCATTTAACTTCACATTAATGTTATAGCATTCCCCATTGAGTGCCCTGTAGATAAACATCAAAGGAAGTTGATCTTGGTCACTCTAAAATATTATAAAATTTATATTTGAACCAACCTCGGGATCCCAAGAATGATATAGGAAGAACGATCGTCTTCTGGTCAGAAATCTGAAGGCTTCAGTGTCCGTCATTACCCCGATATAATAATTGGCAGCATCCTCGTCGAGGATTGGAAGGGTAACTTCAGGACGACCTCCATAATCACTGGGAACAAACTCTGCCGAATAGATGGAACTGTCAAACAGATCAGAACTTTCAATGAATGACTCGTTAAAAACTGATGAGGCCGACTTGACTTGGACTTCTGACTCTTCTGAAGTCGCACTGGAGAGATCAGAAAGAGTTTTATCATCGAAACTTGAACTGAAAAAAGCCGACATCTCCGATTCTGAGGGTTCTGAGAGTTCAGAATCCATTGGAAAGGTTGACCCTAACACATTTTAATATATTTTGTTGCAGAGGACACCCTACCTTTCGAAGTCTGGTCCTCGGCGCAAGTCATTCGAAAAATTTGTCGCAAAAAAACTAACCGAAATGACTGTTCCACTCCTATTTCATGTAAATACACATAAAATTTCATAAATCTTTGATTTTTCAAATTTTTCAAGTTGCCATAATTAATTTTTGCTTTGTCTTAAGAAACGTCCGGTTGTTTCCCCAAGTCGAGATGGCTTCGCTTGCCGTCGATCCTCCCACTTGTCAAGTTCCGGCTGCCGGAGGCACTTCCATTCATCAGTTGGTCAACTCTGGCGCTTGTCGAGTCGCTTTCAAGGTCCGTTCGTCCAACAACAACGACTATCGATTAAAGCCGGTCTTCGGCTTCATCGAGCCGTCTTCTTCGGCCAAATTCGATATTACCCGAAAGGTAAGATAACGCCGCTATTAGAAAAAATAAGTTGTTTCTATTATACATTTCACAAATTTCAGCCAGGCCCTCCGAAAGAAGACAAAATGGTCATCCAGTTTGTTGAAGCCCCCGCCGACGCCACTGACGCTCAAGGCGCGTTCAAGGATGGCAAGAATGTGGGCAGTGTCACTCTCCCTTGTTCTGCTACTTAACTCGTTTACCGTGCGAATAAATTACTGAAACTGTAGGAATAATAACAAACAATGCTAATAGAATATATCTGAAGTGTCAATAGTTAAAGTGGGGCATTTTGCCGAGATTCTGTTAGTCAATTCGATGTGCGCCTTCCTTTTCATGTGGTCCAGGTCAACCACCGTGCATGATCCGGCCATCTCCAACTTCCGGAGGAACGAGGACTTTGCTCGTTTTGCCTTGGGCTGTTTTTCATCATTTTTGGTCCTTTTTTCAGAATTACTTCTAATCAGAGTTGACTTGACTGGTCGTTTTTCTTCGTCTTGTAGACATGACCTTTTCTTTTTCTGACTCCAAGTAATGTAAATGGCTTCCACCAATTCATCGGACCTGTATACAGTGCAGGAATTGAAACTCAATTTTCTCAATGGCTTCTTGCTGATCGGAGTTTTGTCATCAAATGTAATATACCACTCTCTAAATGTAATTATACAACAGAAAATTGACTTTGAATACCTGAACGAAATATTTTTAAATGAGATTTTTGCTTTTTGTAGCGATTCGGATATCAGAGGGACTGAGAGAATGGCACAATTGAGGGCCGAGCATACCAGTTTCAGTTTATTCACCCTAATCTCGGGCAAGTTGTTGATTTGTTGAGCTATCTAAAGGACAGGTGAACCAGTCTTAGTCATTAAATTATACGTTCTTACTTTAGATCCTGAAGAGGCATGGATTTCAAGATTGAGAATTAAATTGGGACGTCGATTCGTAAAGATTTGGATTAGATCAGCTATCAAATCCATGTTGTATTCGTTGACATGTACTTGTAAAGTGAGTGTATTCAATCCCTGAATATTCTTAATTAATTTTAATAAAACTTACAGTAAAAAGATCTCTCTCTGTCCTTCGGAGTTTCTCCAACATTTTTTCATTGCATTTGGCAACCACTAGCCACAACGATTCGACTATATTGAAATACTTTCGATCAGAAAAGCACATCTAGTATTCAGATATAGTGTAAATAAGATGACGTCATCATTATATAATATTAAATATTATATTTACCTTTGATGTCATGCAAAGTAAAGAGAGATCACAAGTGAGACGTTCCAATTGGGAAGAGCATCTTCTTAGAATACCAGATAAAGACTCTACGCATTGTCGGGGAGCGCTGATTGAGAGTCGTTGAAACGCGAGTTGTTGCAACGCTTGTATCGTTGAACCCGTCTGCCCGATTATGTATTGTATTTAGAATGAGCTTACCATTTCGATGACCAACTCTTTGATCTCTCTGGTCTGCTTGTGCAGTACTACTCTTTGCCATTTCTTGGAGACTCTCTCCAGTCGACATTGTTCTTTGTAATCCAGATTGTCCAGAATCTTCTTCAAGACCTTCTCCGGTATCTCTGAAATCACATTCGAAACGATCGCCTTCGCTTTGGGGAAGACGATCTTCTTCTTTGGCCTGATCCGGGCAATTGACCGGGCCTTAGCCTGTTTTTCCTTTTCAATTAAATCCTCGAAAAACTTCCGTCGTTGGGCCAACATGGCCTTAGGAACAGACGAGACGGTAATTAAATACAAAAGATCAAAACCGAGGAAATGGATAAGTTTTTTTTTGTCTTTTACCCTGCTCTTCTCAAGTCTTTTTGTTTGTCAAGTTTGTGGGTTTTTGAGTGGATTTATCGCCTGAGTTTGACTCCCGCTTTGTTTTGCTTTTTTACACTTTATTCTCGATCATAGAATCCTAGAAACTCAGCGAAAATTGGAGAACTTTCGGACTGCGGGGCCAATGTTCAACTTCATGGAAGTCTTCCGATTTTGGGAACTGGGCATGGAGTTCCGACTGAAAAGAAATAATTTCATGTTATGTCAATACTAGTCCGTTCGCAAAGTCGCTGGAGTGGTTTTGGCGACAAAAGAAACAAAAGTGCACCTTGCACTTTGCAATTTTTTTGCACAGTGCAGTAGGCTTTTTTCGGCTGTCGCCCGCACGACTTTTCTTGCACAGTGCCGAAGTCACTCCAGCGACTTTACGAACGGACTAGTAATAAAATTGTATTGCGTAATATGACATAATATTGCTTACCGATTATCGATTCCTGGCTGGAAAGCTGAGACTTTTCGTCGTTGTAATCTCAATTCACTCTCGAAACCATCTCGAATATAATCGATGACTTTGGAAATTAACAATCTCCAAACTTTCCTGCAATTAAAGGTAAGAATTATATTAAAGATTCAATGCACTCACGTTGCTTCTTTGCTTTGTCTGATCCCATCCAATTTTAACAGGACTTCGGCTACCAGTTCTCCCAATCGTTCCAATTCGGGGACACCAAGGCCGCATTCTTCGTACAAGAAAGCATGTTTTGCTCCAATTTGGCGAAGATAAGCATCCAAGTCCTGGAATGAACGTAGATGATGACCCAAGGCCCATTATGACCCAAAGTCGCACAAAGTCGTCCTTTTCAACAGAAAATCGTTAGCTAAGCACCAGGGCTATAGCTCACTGGTCCAAATTGCTGCATAAGATCTCGGTGACTGTTACTTTTTTTATTAGCCAAAAAAGACTCGGCACTATATAACTGAGTACAATTTAGTGCTATATATGCCTTTAAACGTGTTTTTGAGCAGCACTAGGCACCAAAACAACACCATTGGCACCTAAAGGCGAAATTTTCACCTCGTACTATATATTAATAGTAACAGCAGTACTACATAGTGCTAATATAAGGAAAAATGAACATAACTTTCGAAACCAGTACCTTCGAAAGCCTCAAATCGAGTATTTTTTTTTTTAAATTCCAAAAAATGACTTTTTAACAGTACTATTTAAGAAAAACGTAACAGCGTGCTTGGCTATCCATTTGGACCAGTTAGATATTAGCCCTGGTGCTTGGCTAGCGATTTTCTGTTAGAAAGGACGACTTTTTGCGACTTTGGGTCATGATCGGCCTTTTCGGGTCATAATGGGCCTTAGGTCATGATCGATATGTTTCTCCTGGAATATCAGTCTGTCGGGAAAATAACGGCGGGTCGTCGCAGTAAAATGTTTCGCTTCGCCGAAAAAAGGGTGCCGTCGCGCACCAAATCTCCAGCTTCGGCAGCCGTCGCAAAGCGATGATGGGCGATTCCGAGGCGCGACGATCCGCCGTTATTTTCCCAACAGACTGATAGTAAAAAAATATTAAATATCCTCATACCTCTTCGCTCTCCACAATGATGCGATGAAAAAGAAGAGTCAGAAACTTGGAATGCTCGATAAGTGTCTGTGTCGAAGATGTCGAGCCGGGCCGTTCTGTTCTGAATCCGCCGGAAACTGATGGGTTCGCACTTTCGAGCTAAAAGCAGAAATGTTATGTGACTTTTAGTAATGTCGAATTTTTCTTGTTAGGGCGGTAAAAGTTTTGCAAGAAAATGCAATTTTCGTCAGAATAAGGAGATAAAATGGCGAATGATGACAAAGTGACGGGTTGAAAAGTAGTGTCTTAAATATTCATGGAATCCAAAATGATGACAAAACTCACCCTCTGAAAGCATCTCCGGAAGACACCGTTCAATCCTTTCGTGTTTATATGCCTCCAGGACTTCCTCAATGCCTGGATTTGAGCAGCGGACAATATTGGCAAAAGAGGTATTGACGAACGATTATTAGTCAGGGAATTTGATCTCTCGAGTTTCCTTGAACGACCTGCAAAAGGGGTGGAATCAACCGAATCATGTTCGGGGACAGCTTCCATTGCTCTCAACGAAAACGGGCCCGACACGTATGGTTATCGTAATATATATATAGATACATACATATACATCGCAAACAGAATCTAATAACGACGTCATCACTTACTCTCCCGATCGCCCGAACATCTTGGAGAAGGAGAATGTCGACCATCCGCGCTTAGAGAACGAGATGCCCTTGGGGCATTTAAATGGAGAGACGACTTGGCCACTTCCTTCATCTGAAACCATCTAAGTTGGAGGCCGAGAACATTAAACTTGAGTGTACTTGACGACGCTTCTTCACCGAGAATGTGAATAATATCCGAGGTCAGCGCCAAAACAAGAATTTAGGGTCAGTTTTCTTAATTTGTAATTTTTTTCGCAAACAGCTCAGCTTTTCCAGTTATCATCCGAAATCCAATTATATTTCGATAGACCAGCCGTGATTAGAGATCCCGGGAGAATATAACTTACAACAACCAAAATCTGCACTGTCGGAGGGTATTCTCGTTTCTCCATAGCGCATATACACAAAGCAAAGAACTTCATGCGAAGGATGGATGAGTCCCCATTTACCGTTATTCAATTGTTTGAAGGAAGTCGAGAACAAATAGAGTTTTCAAAGGTTTATTAAAATCCCGTTACATCCGTAACAAGCAACAAAAAAGTCGGAGAAAATAAAAAAAAATCAAACAACCCAGGTCACAATCAGTTTAGTTCCCCTTGTTGGTCATGTTCTTCCATCCAAGAACGGCCTCTTCTCCGCAAGCGCTTACAACTGTGACCAAAATTCCGTTCTCGTCCTTCTCAAAGGCGTCCTTGATTTGCTGGCCGAGTTCACCCTCCGGAAGACGAAGGTCATCCTTGGTCTCGCAGTTCTCGTCCAAAAGGGAGATGAAGTTATCATCGTTGATAGAAAGGAGCTGAAATTGTAAAAAGATAAGATAACAGCTTCAGAGCAGAACAATAATTCTGTAAGCAATAAATTAAGCTCAGTAAATCGTAACATCAATGGTCTTCAGACGAAAATTACCCATAAATCAATAACATCATCGCCAATTTTTACACAAGAAATATCACGTGGTGGAAGGTGTAAATCGCATACTCTGGATTTAGTGAGGAAAAGGAAAGAACCTTAACCTGCAGGAAAAAAATAAACGCCGTCCACCATATGATTTAAAAGAGAATAAACCCAACTTACTTGATATTCATTCTTCTTTACAACTGGAACATCCATGTTGTGGGTACTTGGGCAAATATCTTCCAGCTTCTTGTTAGTGAAAATATCAATGGCGACTAAATGGACCTTGGCGTGACCGTGCTTTCCAGTCTTGGAGGTGCTCATTTCGACGACCTAAAAAATCAGATTCAAAAACGAATGGTTCAATTACCTTGCATGGCCGGCCCTTGATCATGACGTGCTCGTTCTTGCGGATGGCAGAGCATTGCTTGGGGAAGGTAGCGGCGGCTCCACTCTCTCCGGTGGCGAAGTCGTGATCATCATGGTCAGAGTCAGCCATATTAGGTACCCTGAAAGCTTCGTTAATGAATGAAAAGAACGAATCAATAAAAATGTATATATATATTTATACGCAAACGCTCAAAAATATGCAAAATTAAAAAAAAGAGCTGCAAGAACATAGCACTTTTTAATTTGTATCGAACAAACACTTTCGCGTATAAGAAGCAATAATGTAACCAGACGGCTTCCCAATCAATGAAAGTTTTCAAGAAAACACTGGCGACTCGAAAAATCGCCGATACCGAAAAAAGAAATAATAGGCCCACGGAACGCAAAAAGACACCGTTTTGAAACGATTTTCCCTGATTGCAGTCGGAAAAAAACCGCGAATTCAAGCTCTGTTTCCGATGACACTATTGATTCCGCCTTCGAAATATCACAAAGTTATCGGAAAATGAGTAAATCGCTTGATGGGCGCGACATAACGCTATTTTTATTCGATACGGCCACAATACGGTATGAAACAAAATCGAGTTGAGTCAAATTTATTGAGAACAATAAAGAACAAATTTAACAATTATGAGGTCATTTGGAAGTTTACAATTTCTTGTATTTTTCTTTGAGTTGTTCATATTTTACACGGTCAGCTTTTGACACTGATGGAGTAATCCTTTGACTAGCTTCAATGAAATGTGCAAAAGTTATAGCTTCTACAGGATTATTGTTTAATCTTTCCCTTAACGCCTGGACACCGGCTTGGTGCACAAGAGCGGAGAGATCGGCGCCACTGAAATTGTAATGTGTAGTTGATGACAATGCCTTTACTCCAAGACTTGCAAAAAACCTACGTGTAACCTTGCAAGGCAGGCAGAGCAGCGACTTCTTCAAAGCGGACATCTGGAGAGATCTTCGGATGGGTTCCATTCTTGGTGGACTTCCGAAGGATATCAACACGATCTTCCATGTTAGGAAAGTCAACAAAGACGACCTTGTCCAAACGACCTGGCCTCATAATAGCGCCATCTACCATATCTGGTCTATTGGTGGCTGCCATCAAAAAGACTTCCTTCCTGGCGTGGATTCCATCCATTTCAGTCAACATCTGGTTTACTAGACGTGCCGATCCCGAGGTCTCGTTACTGCTACGCTTGGGACAGAGAGCATCAACTTCGTCAAAGAAAATGACACATGGCGCTGAGTCTCGAGCACGTTGAAATACTGTTCTGACAGCCTTTTCGCTTTCTCCAACGTACTAAAGGACGCAATTTATCACACAGTTACCGTACTCACCATATTCAGGAGCTCGGGGCCTTTGACACTGATGAAGTTAAACCCGGATTCATTAGCTACCGCCTTGGCGAGCAAAGTCTTTCCACACCCAGGTGGGCCGCATAACAACACGCCCTGTGGCTGGTTCCCAATACCGAGGGCTTCATAGGATTCTCGATATTTGACCTGGTTGAGTATAGACCATTCCAGTTCTGACCGTACATCCTTCAGGGCCCCAATATCGTCCCAGGTGACATCTGGTACCGTCGCAAAGCCTTCTCGAATCGCAGATGGACTGACTACATTTAACGCGCGTTCGAAATCTTTAAATTCCACCTCGACAGTTTCCAACTTTTCTGATTCATCGTCTCCAATATTGCCAAAGGATATTACAACTAAAAACAGAATCCTTAGCGTGCTTCGGTTACTGATATCAATGTTTGTAACGACAACTTACGCCTTTCTATTTCTCTTTTCTTCTCTTTAGAATCCATTTTTTTCCTTTCAATGAAGGTTCCAAGGACCCGATCAGTAGCTGAAACCAATGCTTCTCGAGCTAACGCCACTAAATCAGCTCCAACATATCCCGGAGTCAGCCTGGCAATTTGTTTAAGTGAAACGTCCTCAGCAAACTGTATTTTACTGCAAACAACGGATAAGATCTCTCTCCTTGCGTTCTCGTCAGGGATTCCAATCGAGAGTTCTTTGTCGAATCGACCAGGCCTCCTTAGGGCCAAATCGATTGATTCGAGTCTGCTGGTTGTGGCCAAGACAAACACTTGGCCTTTACTTGTCGATTGATTCTCCACGGAGATGTTTCCGCCATTGTCGAACTGCACTCTTAGTGGTTGCTCAGTGCTACTGCTCGCTTGATTTTCATTGTGGGCCAAGTCTGAATCAAAGACATATCATGTATGATTACATTAATTACATCACTATCTCTTAAAGTAACTAACCATCAAAGCAAGCGATCAGTTGAGTGACAATCCTCTTTTCCATCTCCCTTTGAGCGGTATCCCTCCTTGATGAGATTATATCCACATCATCTAGTAGCAACAAACAAGGCCCATTCTCCCGTGCCTGCTGGAACAATTGCCTGATCTTGTTTTCACTTTCTCCACTAACTCCTGAGATCAATTCTGTACATGCAACTTGAATCATCGGCATTTCTAGTTCTCCTGCCAAGCTCTGTGCAAACCGCGTCTTCCCACATCCAGGCGGTCCATGGATTAGAAGTCCGACGGGGCCTTGGACCCCCTGCTTCTCGTAGATTTTCCGTCGTTTCATATGCAACAGGAATCTAAGGCCTTCGATTGTTTGACTGTCTACTCCTCCCATATCAACAGTCCTCACTGATGGAACTTCCGATTTAAACATGCTCCTTTCCGTCGTTGCACTTGATTTCCGCGTATTCCGCTTCTTTACAACAGGTTCTTGTGTATCACGAACAGTTTCTTTGGGAATCGATACCCCATTCGTTTGTGCAGGCAGAGCAGGCATGGTAATACAATTGTTGTTTATGGGCTTAGTAGAGATGGTTGGGGAAACGGTAGCCAGAGCAGGAATCGGTTTGTTATGGGCGTATAACGCTTGAAGGGTGCTATTCCCAAAATTCGTATCCTAAAATACAAGAAATTATTGCTGATGTAAACAGTAAAATTCAAGCAAAGGGGCTGTACTACCTTAGCCCCCAAAAATAATTATCAAAAATTGATATCGAGAAACTTACAGGGTATTCTTTTGCGTCCTGATCGCCATGGTCGGAATCTGACAGCGTGATTGGATCCTTACTGAAAGAATGCTCGGGTGCAAACATAGGGAAACTAGAACAGTTCTCAATAAAGCCCTGTAACAACGCAGCAACGTCCACCCCGTTTTGATCTTCTTTATTACTATATGTACAACTACTGCTTTCGCTCCCACTCATTTTCCGCTTTCTTCGAGGAAACTTTTGCGTTTGGTTCTCTTCATCTTGCCGTCTCACTATCTCATATAAATCGGGATGCTTTGCCTTCAGATGTTTCTTGGAGTTGGTGGTATTTGGTGGAGCGTTTAACTTCTGACCACAACTTGCACACGTCTGAGACAAATTCTCTTCATCAATTCTGAAGAACTGCCATACGGGATTTCCATATCGGCGTTGGATCGTAGGCGAATTTAAGTTTACATAAGCCGTCATGGCTTAAGAACCTAGAGACAAGAAGAATCACTAATTTTTATCGCGGCACAAGGTATTTTTGCGGTAAATCTCAAAAAGAAAATTTTTGGGTGATAAAAAATAAACAGAAACTAAAGCACGGAACGACAGACGCTCAACAATGGCTCTCGTAATACATACGAGTGATACAAATAATCAGAAACTCACTAAAAACTTTTTTCTGTCCTAAATTATCACATCAGATGCTCTCCGTGATTGCGCAACAAATACCGAACTATTTTGTCTGTGCTCGCGCCGTTCTTTCGATACTTTCGGAACTCAGAACCCCACGAAGCCTTGACCGAAATCTTATTCAAATTATAAAGAAACGAACGATAAACACTATCGAGAGAATGACCACTGTCCATTGAATGGACAGTGGCCATTCTCGAGGCAAAGGAACGGGAACAGAGAGCGAGCAACACAAAGGAAGGAAGAGAGGGCGGAGAGAGAGCTTGGCCCACTTTGGAGGCGGCGGTTTGCATGAAATGAGAGAGACGAAACGGGGAATTGGGTGGACATCGTCGTTCCGCTCCGTTCCCAACAACTTTACTTTTTGTATGATCGGGGAGCGGAGGTATTATGTTCCGAGAGTGACGCGCAAATCTCTAATTACTGCCCTACACTCCAGTCCAAAAGTGCATTTTTAAAAGTACTGAAAGCCAGGAACATCGATCGAGTACGTTTAAATGGACAGTACTGTAAAGTAATTACAACGGATAGAAAACACAAAAATGGACGTTTGAAGCACAGTGAAAGACAAACTCTTACATCCACTCATAGACTTCGAAGTCATATTATGTAGAAAAGCATCAAAATATGACGTTTTCCGAGTTTAAAATGACCCAACCGAAACCACTAAACCCACACGACGAATGGATGTATAATTCGGAATAATACGACCAGCGCACGGGATCCGAAGAGAAGAAAGGGCAAGAGAGCAACGCCGAACAGCGCGTGTCCACAACGGACTCTGAACGTCGCGTCCGACTGACCCGATGACCTCTGAGAACGGGGAACGCGCGAACGAGCCACAGCGCTCGTTTGGTCGGTCGAGGGGAGGGCGGAGGCAAAGGACTGAGTGGTCAGGTGTCGAGAGAGGAAAAGGGAATGCGGCGAAGATAGCGACGGAACGGAGTGGACATCGTACAGCCCCACTGACCCCCTTTTAGTGGACCCTAGCCGAGCTGTTCTCTTCTCCCCCGCCGCTTTCGGGTGTCCAAGACATTCGGCGTGACCTTTTCGGGCGTCTGACCGCATCATCCTCACCGAGGGAACCATTATGACTGTGATTGCGTTTGTAGTTATACATGAGTAATTTTGAGATGGACGCTGTGCTTGACACAAAACTTTTTGAGAACAGTCTCTCTGAATACTGTTTTCTTAGACAACTCAAGCTCATGCCGTAACAGGGCTAACATTTAACGCTAACTTACACAACTTGTTTCTTCGGAAGTTGGCGCTTCCGTTTATTTGGAGTCATGCCTGAGGGAATGATCTCAACTTGAAGGCCTTGAAGGGCCGAAGTGATCATGCTGATAAAGAGAGGCTCTTTGTAACGAGTGTATTCACTGAAAAACGCCAAAATAGGGGTTTTCGTAAATCAAAAATGATGGGCGAGAAAGAGAATCACTAACCTGTATACATTCTTAAGTTCTGTGCTGATCATGGACACCTCTGGGAGGGTGCCACCCTCCAGACACTCTTTGATCCTCTTCTTCAACAAAATTTCAGCAACTCGAGGTGCCATAACAAAGGGTTAGCAGAATTAGAGGCTTAGCAGTTACCAATCTAAATCAAATTCGCATTAATACTGGTTCTTCCAGAACAGCAACACTTTTCAATGATCATTATTAACCTTTAATTGTTTAAAAAAGTCGAACGGCAACAAAACCGGAGTGTTGGAAACAATTGAAACAGTAATAATTTGATATTTAATTCATTTCAACGTTATCAATTGTATAATATCAGGGCACAATAATGTAGGGATATATCCGTTAGACGGCGAGGGAAGCAGAAATGAAGCCGGACGCACTTCAACAAGACAACAACGGAGGAGTAAGTATGTAAGGATGAACTGTAAGTGAACAGCTGCAATATTTACAAGAAAAAAACCAAATTGGGAAGATCAGGAGATCAGAGAGTCGCCCAGACAGCGGACAACAGTCTCCGGAGAAATCAGTTACGATGTAAAAGACAATGCTGTGCAACAAAATAATTATGCGTAACTTGGCAAAGAAATTAGGATTTAATTCGGTAATCTACTCGTTTACCATCTGACTCCCACAAAAACTCTAAAGAAGACAAAACGTTTTCTGGATTGGACGCCAAAGCAAATAAATATTAGGTTAGAATTAGAAGACACCAAAATACAGACCAAATAGAAAATGATTCACAATTGATCAATCCAAGTATTCTCTTGAAATTCTTAATAATAAAGTATTAAAGATCAGATTAGCTTCAAAAAAGACTACAGGTCTTGACCAACACAATTAAAAAATTAGAATTTCTGTCATTGCTGTAATTTGAAATCCTCGATCAGACTGGCTTTGATCTTGGATATCATCTCTTTTTCACTTCCATCAGTCTTCTCCGAATGGAAGTTTCCACTTGACCCAAAGTCCATCATGTTGGGATTATCGCCTCCAGAAGTAGGAGTCATTTGCGCATTTTGTGGGTTGCTTTGGGGACCCATAAGACCACAATTCACGTTTGAATTAGGCGCTCCAGGTTGTGATTGCACTGAATTTGGTCCATGCAAGGCGGCTGCCGACGGTGGTCCGTTGTTGTGATGAGATCCAGGTCCTCCATGTTGAGGAGTTCCTCCATTTACCACACCCACCATGTTAGAAGGAGACTGTTTGATCTCCATTTTAATGTCCATTTCATTATTCCCATTCAACATGTTACTTAACGAGCTTCCTGGATGAGTGTTAGGCTGATTTTCATTCGGGCCTCCGACTGAACTTGGCATCTGTCCATGTCCAGAGCCCACACTTGGGGGTCCGCCCATGTTGGGAACACTGGCAGGAGCTCCATTCATAGCGGGGACACTAGTTGGACCGGCGGAAGAGCTAGTTGGAGTGCCGGCAGAATTGTGATCCATTATTGCGAACTAAAACAGGTAAAATAGTCTCAAAAAATTATACTTACTTGACCGGGATGCATATTCTGGCTCATCATCATGTTGTAATGTTGGGCAGACATATTAGGATCGGTAGGCATAGGCCCACTAGGACCTGGGCTAGGCATCATCGAGGGAGTTGAGCTGATCGGTGTTCCATTCATCATACCGTTCTAAAACCGTATGGAGTTTAAAAATTATTTTCACATATATTGTAAAACTATCAAAAAAACTTGCTCCAAAAGTTGGTGTTCCAGGGGAATCCATATACTGCCGGTAAGGAGGGCCTCCCATCCTAACATTCATTCTTCCTCCGTTGGCGGCATTTGGATGCATGGGCATCATCCGATCAAAACCTGGCCGGGGAACAAATTGACCTGGTACCTGGCCTCGTGGCCCCATAAATCGTGGAGGGAATCCCTGTTGATAACCTTAAACATCAAGGTCAAAAAATATCCAAAAATCAATAAAAGATTAAGAGGATTAACATACCTGGGACACCTCCGGGCACCGGCGACGCTTGATTAGATGCATTCATGGCACTTTGTCGGTAGTATTCCGACATGTTAGGTGCCATGCCCACATTCATCTGGTTTGCAAACTAAACAATATTGTTATGCCTTTCATCAAGAATATTCCAACATTAAAAACACTATATATACTCACCGGCGGAACTCCATTGCCCTGAAAAGTGTAATCCATAAAGGCCTTCGCTTCTACGGTTGCAGCGTCCTTGTCTTTTCTATCAGGTGTTGCTGTGTACAGGTCCCAGAATACCCTAACAAGAAAATACTTAAATTAATGTTAAACTTACAGCCACCAATTCATCAAAAATCCAGGGCCTTCTGATGGGGCTGGGGCTGCCCCGTTCAATGCCTCTGCGACAAAAGATTCAGCCGCTTTTGGAGCATTATAACACAAGTATTGATACACATAGTTATTCAATCTAAACATAAAAAACATTCAGAAGGCTATCAAACTCACTTATTCCTTGCCTCGTTCTCATTAACCGATGCTGGAGGCATAGGGAATGGTTTTCCGGGGTTTCGATGCATCAAGTCCCTCCGCGGCTGTCTTCCGGATCAAAACATGCGCCTAAAATACAGAACACATTAATTACAACTGCAATCAAAGCATCGCGCCATTCGTGGATAACCACCACAGTCCTAACCGAAAAGGACGGCGAATAAGGGGACAAAACAGACGCCTCTACTCATCACGTCGACTCTGCCAACGCGGAAAAGAGAGGCAAAACAAGAGAATGGGCCAGGCAACGATCCATTAGAGAGATATCAGACAAAAAGAGAAGGCAGAGAGACGCGCCCTCCGCTCTCGCCGGGTTCCAGTGGAGTTCGAGGACGGGCAACAGCCCAAAGAAATCGTCTTTCTTCTGCAGGATAAAGGTTTACCACCAAAACAAAAAAGAAAGGAATGAACATCTATCTTATTCTTGTCCCTCACCTCCCTCCCCCTCCATCATCTTTCAGTCGTCTGCACTTCTCTGTCGCTCGCGAAAATATCGGGAGCGAGTCCGAACCATCTTCTTTCCAAACGGACGAAGTGCCACGGAATCGATACAAGGGAATCCAAACGCCATGATTGATTTTAAAGCGCAAATTGCAATAGGCAGGGCGCTGCTTGCCAAAATATTTTCACAAAAATTAAACTGAAATCGAGATTACTCCACAAAATGTTTGGATAGAGGTGCACAAATCCGCTGTGATGTCACGTCACAACTATTATGTGAAAGTGCTGATTGCAGTTGGCTTGTTTTTGGCAGGTCAAACTCTGATGTCATGGAGAAGTTTAATGCAGTTGGGCGAGGACAAGATGAGTTTAGAAGCGGAAACCCAGATGTTAGAAAGGAAACGAGATAACCTGATCGCAAAGATCCATGAATTAGAACGGAGCAAGCACAGGTTGGCTCTGCAGGAAGACAAATTGGATTTACAGTAAGGATTATATTGTTGATTATTTCTTTACGTTTAGGGTTCGTGACTTGCTACCATTAAATAAGGAAAGGCTACACCTTCCTTTCATCTTCTTCATTACACCAACGAAGAAAAGACCTGCACAAAAAGCAGATCTTGTCAGACTTCTGCAGACCCTATCTTACGTCCCAAATCTAATATGGATAATTGTCGAAGACTCGGAAAGTCAATCGGCCTCTTTAGACGACTTGGTTAAAACAAGTAAAGTCAAAGTTATCCATTTGAATGCTGAAACTCCTGAAAATATGCGAATGACGGATAAAGATCCTAATTGGAAGAAACCTCGAGGCGTAATCCAAAGAAATACTGCTTTGGAATGGATAAGGTGAGTGTGCTTTAGTATATCATCGTCGTTTAGAACCAACTATATGAGTTTGAAAAAGGGAATAGTTTATTTCGGTGACGATGACAACGTTTACAGCTGGGAGTTATTTGATGAGATGAGAAAGATAAAGAAGGTCGGCATTTGGCCAGTAGGCCTTGTTGGTGGACAACTGGTGGAGACGGCGGTTGTACAGGATGGAAAGGTATTGGCCTTCAATGCTAGTTGGAAAAACAGTCGGCCTTTTCCCATCGACATGGCCGGGTTTGCCATAAATATTACTCTTCTTCATGACTTTCCCAAAGCCGAGTTTTCGTTTGAGGTTCCAAGAGGCTATCAGGTAGTAAACGGTTTTGTTCTGTAGCTAATTTTTCAGGAATCCCACTTTCTTAGTGGTCTGAATTTAACTCGGTCCTCACTGGAACCTCTGGCAGATTACTGTACGCGAGTATTGGTGTGGCATACAAGAACCGAGAAAACGAAGCTGCAGAAAACGGATTATATTAGATTTGGAAACAAAAAACTGACTGATCTTGAGAAGTCTGCAGTTATATAATTTTTCACCTTCTGGTTAAAACGGGTACCATCGGTGTTAAACGAACAAGGAAGGTCTTTGATATGCGATGCTCAGATTTTGTTTAAATTTTTCACCCATATCGGAGATAGGGACATATAAATTCCTGAAAGTTTTAACTCGCGCTTTGCAGGCACGGCCGAGGTGTTCAAAGATGACGCCGAGAGAGTGCGCAAAAGGAACATGTACAGTAGCTGCCAAAAAACTGTCAATTTTTTTGTTTTTTGTGTAACTCTGCTCAACGTGGACGGATTTCAACGAAACAAACACCATTCTGTAGAGAGTTACTGCTGTTATCTAATGGTGTAGCGGTTGGAGCGATTTTACATCTTAGTGTGTAACAACTGTCGATGTAAAATTTTTGGAAGGACAAAAAACTGTCAATTTTTCCAAAAAAATTTTACCGCTTGCATACGTCGCGCCAAATCATGGGCTTATACATTCCGATATTTAAATAAAGTCCCACTGCACATAATTAACCATCAAAGGGAGCCAAGAAAGTTAATTTAGTAGACCTTTTGGTGGTCCCAAGTTCGATACCCCAAAACATGACGTTTAAGAAAAAATCGATTTTTTTCTTTGACTTAGCATTAACGCAATGCCTTGCAGTAGACGTTAGACAACCTACAATTAAAATATAATAATGATTGGGAACCTAAATGTAAGTCTACGGACTCCACTTGACATTCAAGTTTCTCCGGTAATCGAGTTTCTGTAGAGACTTGGCCTTGTTGTCCCCGCCTTTGTAACAACTTGCTAATGCTTTATCAATACATGATCACAGATGTTCTAGAAGCATTTTATGGGCATTTGTGGGACGGCGATGCCAGTCGCACAAGAATTACGGAGGGTTATGTTGTCATTAACAAAAAAAATTTTTTGTGGAAACTTGCAAGTCAGCTTAAGACTTTAGAAACACGTTAGAGGGAGTGAAATTACGTTAGAAATGTCAGGAATGGCTGTAAATGTATGGGACAACATCTTGCTTGTCCTTACGCTGGGTTATTTCCATCCTATGGAGAGTGAAAATCGAGACAACAGTTTTTCTTCAAAAATTCCATTTAGGAGCTTTTTATTTTACGCGCAAAGTACGGGCCTGGCGCGGTATCGGTTCTGAACTGTTCACTGTTAACATGGGTGCCTTCTGTCGCTTTGGAACTACGATTAGAGGTGTCTGCGGAAGCACCCGGGCTGAAGTTCCACGGTACATCTACTGCCAGAAAAACTTGAATGTCAAGTGGAGTCCGTAGACTTACATTTAGGCTCCCAATCATTGTTCTATTTTAATTGTAGGTTGTCTAGCTTCTACTGCAAGGCATTGCGTTAATGCTAAGTCAAAGAAAAAAATCGATTTTTTCTTAAACGTCATGTTTTGGGGTATCGAACTTGGGACCACCAAAAGGTCTACTAAATTAACTTTCTTGGCTCCCTTTGATGGTTAATTATGTGCAGTGGGACTTTATTTAAATATCGGAATGTATAAGCCCATGATTTGGCGCGACGTATGCAAGCGGTAAAATTTTTTTGGAAAAATTGACAGTTTTTTGTCCTTCCAAAAATTTTACATCGACAGTTGTTACACACTAAGATGTAAAATCGCTCCAACCGCTACACCATTAGATAACAGCAGTAACTCTCTACAGAATGGTGTTTGTTTCGTTGAAATACGTCCACGTTGAGCAGAGTTACACAAAAAACAAAAAAATTGACAGTTTTTTGGCAGCTACTGTATGATTTTTTTGCCAAAATGCGCGGAAAGTGTCACATCCTTTTGACTTAAAAATCTCGATCGTTTTCGTTTCTGCAAAGCACGACCTCGGAATCCCGCGTAGAAAAAATCAAAATCCAAGTTTCTGCCAAGTTTCATCAAAATCTGAGCGTCGCACTTCAAGTAGTTTCCTTGTAAGTATAATAGTGCTAAGTATTTAAGCATAATAAATTAAAAGGTATTTGATTTGGGGTTTCTCGTGAGGTTGACTAGCCTTTGGATACTGTTTAGAAGGTTATAATCATAGTAACACATGCAGGTAACAATGGGAGAGAGAAAAGGTCAGAATTTCTATTACCCACCGGATTTCAATTACAAGAAACATAAGAATTTGAACCATTATCATGGCACTCATGCTCTTCGTGAAAGGGCATCCAAGATCAAGGAAGGAATATTGGTAATTCGGTTTGAAATGCCGTTCAATGTCTGGTGTCTGGGATGCAATAATCATGTTGGAATGGGCGTACGATACAATGCAGAAAAGAAGAAGATCGGGATGTATTACACGACACCTCTCTATGAATTCCGGATGAAATGTCATCTCTGTGACAATTATTTTGTCATTCGGACAGATCCAAAGGTATTATTAGGTAAAAAAACGTAATAAAATTTTAGAATTTTGATTATGAGATGGTGGAAGGATTACGAAGACAGGACAAACGCTTTGATCCCTCGGACGTCGATAACTTGGGTGCAGTTGATAGAACTTTCCAACAGAAATTGGCCGGAGATGCTATGTTTAAAGCTGAACATCAAAAGGATGACAAAAAGAAGGCGGAGGATAACGAACATCAAATAGAGAAGTTGGAGAGGATCAAACAGAGGGATCGGAATGCTTACGACATGAACTGTGAACTCAGAAGGCAATTTAGGTATCAGAAAAAAATTTTAAACGAACAAAGAGCTGCTGATGACGAATTAAAACAAAGGCTTTCTTTGAATATTGACCTAATGCCTAGCACAAGTGAGGATCAAAAGATGGCCAACAGAATCTTACGTCTCAAGGATGTAAAGTGTAAGTTTCACGTTAAAATGATTATCTGTTTAGCACATGATGAACATCGAGAAGAGGAAAGACAGAAAATCGAAAATGAATCCATCTTCCGGCCATCAGCATCAAGGAAGGATACAATAAAAGGGATCAGGTTAAAGCTTAAGCCGGTCCAGAGAGATGCGGGATCTAAATTGGATTTGAATGGGATCATTATCAAGAAATGTAAACCGTCTCACGGTGAGATAAAAGAAGAAATCGTGTTGGATGATGATGTTAACGGACTGGCGGAAGAGAAAGCTGCACCAGAAACCTCTCGTGCGATCATTGAGAAGACAGATGATACCTCAATATCTGCATTGGTTGATTACGAGGACAGTGATTAACGACATGTATGCATATACTCAAAATATAATAACCATACATACGTCACTCGGTGTTCCTATAAACCATATTTTCATATAATAGCCAAATTCTTTAAATCTTGATATTTACAAGCCAGAAAAACAATTTCATATAGTAAAAAACAAAAAAAATCAACAACGCGTTAACTAAAATGGATCCCGGCCTTATTGAAGGCCAACAACAATGTCAAGAAGTCATCAACACTCATTACTCGTGCTCGTTTTTCGGCATACCCACTTTCTCGTAGAACGTTTTCCACATACTCTTTAGTTTTGAAAATAGGGTCGATCTCCTAAAAGAAAAAAATGCATTTACAAGATACAACACAACGTTTACCTGATTTTTGACACTGCAGAAGGTACGGTAGTTTTTATCAATGAGTTCAATCACTTGCTTTTGATGGAAGATGGCCAATAATGTTTTGTTTTTTCTTAAAAATGCCAAACGTAGCAATCCATCCCACTCCTAGAACATAAAGCATTATGTCGAAAAAAATTAAGAAACCTTGTAATTGATTTGCGGAGGTGGATTGACTGGTTCGATTCTTACAACAGCCGAATCAACCTTTGGTGGAGGTCTGAATTCTGTTCTTTTAACTTTCATCAAATGTTCCACTTTGGCCAAAAGTTGTACAGAAGCGGATAATCTACAGTATAATTTTGACCCGGGTTCGGCTGTAAGTCTGTCTGCAAACTCTTTTTGAAACATCAACACAGCGTAGCGAGGGAGAGGGCGTTGTAGCAGAAGACGAAACACGAACGGAGAAGAGATCTGATACGGTAAGTTGGCCACACAGACGTCGAAGAATGGCCAGTCATCATGACGCAACACATCACCGATTCTCACTTCCAATTTGTGCTGTAAAGGTCTGAAAAAGGAGTGCGTAAAATGATACTCTTACGTTCCCATCACTCTTTTTTTAACTTCTGCTACCATCCGCGGATCAACTTCGAAAGCAATCAACTTTTTGCATTTCTCCAAGATCTTAACTGAGAGGTTACCAGTTCCCGGACCAACCTCCATTACCAGATCAGTCGGCTTCAAAGCCGATTTCTCAACGATTGCATTAACAATTCCGGGGTTCTTCAGGATGTGCTGACCTTTATCCGTGTTAAACGGCAAGGCTAGAAAGAAAATTTTGAGGGTTACGAGCATCTATCTTACCTTGCACTACTGTTGCATCAGAAGATTTGGTTTTCTTTGGTTTAATTTTGCGTGTTCGTGCCATTTTCTAAAAAAGGAAATGAATAACCATAAATAATTCCAGATATTCTATTAAGAAGCAAACCATTCTCGATGTTTTTCCAAAAAAAACGAGCAAACATTTATAACAAATAAAATCAACAATTTCTATCAAATATTTTTCCTTTGGAATAAAACAACAAAAAATCCATTAGTTAGATCAACTTTTGGATCAGCGCGGATGCACAAATTAGAGAAGTCATATCCATCTTTGCCTCGAGTTTTCCACGAAGGCAAGGGGTCTATCAATTCGTAGGTATCCTTCACCCAATCCTCATTCAACACCTCTTGGATGACACCTTCGTTCTCGAGTTCATGTATTGAACAAGTTGAATACACCAACCTTCTCAAATTCGGCATCTTCAATGCATGTTTTAGGAGCATTGACTGTAAGTTGGAAAGTCCTTTTATACGCTTCTCATTATACTCCTCAGCAAGAAATTCTCCACGTCTTACCATTCCACTTCCGGAACAAGGGGGATCCACGATTGCGTATGACACCTAAAAATAAGATAAAAAACATAAGTGACATACCGTTTCCAAATCTTCTAAAGGAACGCGGAGGAAATCTGAATTGGTTGGGATAACAATAGTGGCTCCACATGCTCCGATTCGTTCCTCGAGGGTTCCAAGTCGAGATTTATCTTTGTCGTAGGCCCAAATTTCTCCCTGATTTTCCAGTAATGCAGCCAGATGTGACGTCTTGTTCCCAGGAGCTGCGCATGCATCAACGCAAACAGATCCAACGTCCGGTTTCAAGACAAATGCAGAAAGGCAACTGGCTTTATCTTGCAAAATTAACTTTGATTCCAGGAAGAGTAGACTGTTATGAAGATCAACATATGGGCTAAACACAAGAACTTCTGGAACATGACGATCAACAAAGAATTGATATTTCTGTAAATTATCCACGGCTTTCTTAAATTTTGTCCTGTTTTTGACGTCTGAATTGTCCAGGAACTCGTATCCTTCTTCTTGCAACGCAGATATAACCTCATCCATTCCTGCCTTTAAGGTATTCACCCGCCCATAACGAGGAAGAACAATAGATTCGGTCTTGGCAATGCTTTCTGGGTCTATTCCATCATCCATGAGAGCTTGATGCTAAACAGTTAAATTAAAATGCGAAGTAAACCTACCTCGGTTAGAATATCTTTCTTAGCTCCTAAAACCGCTCTCTTTATCTGCTTGTCGCCTAACGAAACTCCCTTTCCAAACACAAGTTCGTACAGTAGAATTAAGCATAACTCTTTCTGGTTGTTCAGTTTATCGCATTTGATTATGTGCCTCATAACATCTTGACATTCCAAGATCTTTGTTAAATAGGCCCTGTATTTCAACGTTTCACAGCTTAGACGGAGTAGTTGTTTCTTATTCTAGAATCAGAAAATATATTAAAAAGGTAAACCTACTTTAAACTTGTGATTGTACACAGCAGTTCTCAAACTTGATTTTTTTGACACGGTCAACTCAAGAACCTTGGCCACACTGGCGTATAAATTATCCATATCACTGGCGAGCGAACAACTTCCTGTTGCATTCAAAGAACCTGAATCCGCGAGTTCGAAGAATCCCAAAAATAAAATAAATAAATTTTAGGGAAAGAGTTGGCTCAAACGCGTGTCAAGTGTGCCTTTACTTTTCATGTCAAATTTTGCGATTAATGTAAAAGTCTGTAAGTTTTTCTATCGTAGTTCGTGTCTGCTTCAATACGTTTTATGATCTCTATTGTTATGGTGGAGATAATCTCTTTATCCTTCAACTGGCGGCTGTTTAAAAAAGCCCAAAGGGTCAGTTGTTCATGCCAGAGCGGCCATTATCCCCTCGATTCCTACATCTTTAATGGCGACTCGATTTGGAAATTACGACGATGATGCCGTTTGGACCAGGGGTACATACGAAATGAGGCCCAGAAGTCCAGGACCTATTCCGCCAGCTAGTCCAAACAATGGAGTGTATTACAATGCTCCCGGGAATATCCCTCACACAACGATGGTACATTCGAGTATGAAGCCAGTGCCTGATTCTGACATATATAAGTAAGTTGTTTAAAATATGTCTTGTATTTCTTTTCTGTTAATGTACCTGGATATTTCAGAGTTGGAATATACGGCTGGCGAAAGAGATGTCTCTATGGCTTTATAGTACTTTTAACAATTGTTATTGTGGTGAATCTGGCATTAACATTATGGATCATGACTGTGCTGAATTTTACTTCTGATGGAATGGGAGCAATGAAGATTGACGATGAAGGGATCCGAGTTGAAGGGAAAACGGAGTTTGATAGGCCTGTTAAATTCTCCGAACTTTCTACTCCAGAGGTATTAGAGTTTCGTATTACCTATTTTTTCTTTAGGACGAAGCCTTGTTCATTGATTCAGCTTCTGGGGTTTATATCAATGCCCGGAATTTGAGTGGTCAGACAACTGCTGGGTTAAGTCTGAATCCAGATGGAAAGAGTTCTGTCGTCTGTCAACGTTTTGAAGTGCTTAATATGGATCATAAACTTTTGTTCTTTGTTGATTCTGAAGAAATTGGATTAAAGCTGGAGAATCTGAGGATCCTGGATGACGGGGGAAGTGTATTTGAAGGAGCTGTTCAGACCTCTTCGATTCAACCTGAACCGGACACTCCATTGAAGTAGGATATAACCTTTTAAAACATTTTTCTTCATAGGCTGGAATCACCAACCAGAAATTTGGAGATTGATGCAGGCCAGGACATCGAACTTCTGAGTGGAGCCGGGGAGATTCAACTAAATTCTCTGCTTGATATCAATTTGAATTCAAAACATGGAGAGGTCAGAATTGATGCCGGTAACATCTTTATGTCTGGATTAGAAAGAAGCAACGGTGTTGGCCAAGCCCAGCTTCAGTTATGTGTTTGCCAAGACGGGAAGCTCTTTTTGGCGGCCCAAAGAGCTGATTGTCGGGCTGATAGAAGCATTTGCGAATAAATTCTTCAATTATTATTAGATTTTGAAATCAGAGGTTGATGACTTGTTCGTATCTTCCAAAACGCTTATGATTTTTTTTGCGTTTTTTAGTTTATGGATCAGGTGGGTTCTGAATCATGGCCGATTGGAAAACGTTTTATTCCTGCGTTTTTGGGGCGCTTATTCCTAATTGTTTATGCAAAGTTACATGACTATCTTTTTCATGTAAGAAGTTGGAAGCCCATATAATCGTTTTTTAGGTCAGATTTACCGACATTGATTACCTTGTATTTACGGATGCGGCCAGACATGTTTATCACGGGAGGTCTCCATTCGATCGGGCCACTTATCGATATTCGCCTTTCTTAGCATGGATTCTGACACCAAATGTTTTCTTTTGGGACTTTGGTAAGTATTTTATTGCTAATGATTTTAGGAGGAAGTCCGTTAAGTTTGCTTTTATCTTCCAGGGAAAGTACTGTTCTGTTTAACCGATATATTTGTTGGGTGGTTAATTTACGAGATAGGGAAGGAGTCGAGGAATTCTGCTTTAATCGGTGCTCTTACTGCATGCTGGCTGTTCAATCCGTTCACTGCAATTATCTCTGCTCGTGGTAATGCTGATGTTATTGTATGTTCCGCAGTCCTCTTGACATTGTTACTGCTGAAAAGAAACAAGGTATCTCTTATTAAGTTTTTATTGTCATTCTTTTAGTGGTTTTATGCAGCGTTAGTTCATGGATTATTTGCCATTCATCTGAAGATCTACCCAGTAATTTATCTTCCGTCAGTGTTTTTAAATTTGGCTGGAATTACTTTAAATGATTCTTTTAAAACATGGGTTCGAAAATGTTTTACAAACTGGAGAGGTTTTATTTATATACTGGTATGTCTTTTTTAAAGAAGATTATGCTCAATTCAGATAAGTCTGCTCGGATTTCTTGTACTTCTTGGCATTGGGTTCCTCCTTTATGGTGAGAAATTCCTGGAGGAATACTTCTTTTACCATGTACATCGGAAAGACGTAAAGCACAATTTTTCTCCATATTTCCTTCCTTTATACCTTGCGAGGGATGATGAATTTTGGGCGAAAGTAATTGGATTTGGCGCTTTCGTGCCTCAAATCTTTTGCATAGTTATTTTTGCTGTTCGGTAAGTCCGTCAGTCAGCACTGTATCTGTTTAGACATTTTGATGATCTTCCAATGGCATGGTTCTTGACTACTTTTTCCTTCGTTTCCTTTAACAAAGTATGTACTTCCCAATACTTTATATGGTACATTTGTTTGTTACCATTGATTGCTTCCAAAGTTAAGGTAAGTTTATATTCAACCTCTAGTTTATGTTTTAGTTATGTTCATTTCAAGTTTTGACTCTGATTGCATTATGGTTTATTGGTCAAGGGATCTGGCTGTTGCCGGCTTATTTTCTGGAATTTAAGGGTATCCCCTGCTTCGAAATGATCTGGGCCGCTTCACTTCTCTTCGCTTTCATTAATGCCTACATAATCAGAAAGATTTCGCTCAACTATTGCTTCACTCAACGATCTCACTCAAAAAAGGACTAGTCATTTAATTTTACTTTCACTTACTCGTTAGTATTAAATTATTTTAAATTTATAAACCGGCTTTTTTGAACTGGTATATACTAACCGAATACTGTTTATAACGTTGGCTTGATTCGATGAAAAACAGTTTTATGAGATGGTTTTGTATTTGATTGGTCTTGGTCTGGGATCTGTGGAAGACATTACAGTCAAAGGGCTTAAGACTGTAAAATCATGTTCGAAAGTGTACTTGGAGAGCTATACAAGCATCCTTTCTTATGGTTATGGTGTTGACAAAGCTAAGATGGAAGAGTTCTATGGCCGGGAATTGTTGGAAGCCGATCGAGAATTTGTGGAACAAGGGTGCGGTGAGTATAAAAATATTTGGTAGGTATTGCTTGGAAACTTTGCATTTCAGATAATATGATTGCTGAGAGTAAAGGAGAAGATATCGCCCTACTGGTTGTCGGAGATCCCTTCGGTGCCACAACTCATGCCGATCTTGTGATACGGGCCAAAGAACAGGACGTTGAAGTTCAAATTATCCACAATACTTCCATTCTAAACGCTGTTGGATGTTGCGGATTACAGGTCGGTGACTTTATTTTACAGAAGTTGCGTTTTAAAAATGTTTTTATTATATTTTTTTTTGAAATTTGAATATAAAATGAAAAATTTTGCATAGGAGAGTCGAATTTTTAAATATGAGAGTTATAAGTCAAAATTCTCGAGATTTCGTATTTTCTGGTCAAAATTTACATAAGTTGACCTCGGAAATCGAACTTTTCAATTCGATTTGCAAAAGCCTAGTCCCCAAAACGGCCTCCGCCGCACGGCATTCTGTACTTTTGGGACACAACCGGTCTCTGGGACTTTTTCAATTTTTTTCAAAGTGCGCTTGCTTTTTATCTCCATATCTCGCTAGCCGTTGGCGCTAGAAGGCTGAAATTTGGTATGGCAGTAGAGTAAAAAGTTGGCTTTCAGAAAATATAAATATTGTAAGGAACCCCGCAGGATAAACTTCCCGATGACAATTGAAAAAATTTCATTTCTAAAACTTCTGCAACCCAGAAGTGCAGGTTGCATGATCGTATTGACAAATTTCTTTTTGCCGATGTGTTTCAAATTCGATTCTCTACAAGATGGCCAAATTTCATCTTATTCGTTACGCTTCGGGCTGAGTTATGATTACAATCACAGTGCTTTTTTTGGTAATTTAAGGATAATTCGGCCCTTAGGGCATCTACAAACCAAATCCGCCAGCCGAATTATTCAATATGCTCGTAAGTATGATCGTACCAAGTTTCGTTCTTCTATCTCAAAAAATGGCAACGTTATTCGCATAGTTCTTCTTTCAATGGCTACGCCCTGGGTCTTTAAAATTTCTACTTGACAGTAATGCTCAAGGTATGAATACAACTTAGAAACCTGACGCTTGGCGGGAAAACTCGCAATGGAGACTTCCAAGCTTTCTTCCGATCCAGACTCAAGGCTTAGCCATTGGAAGAAGAACTATGCGAATAACTTTGCCATTTTTCGAGCTAGAAGAACGAAACTTGGTAGAATCATACTTACGAGCATATTGAATAATTCGGCTGGCGGATTTGGTTTGTAGATGCCCTAAGGGCCGAATTATCCTTAAATTACCAAAAAAAGCACTGTGATTGTAATCATAACTCAGCCCGAAGCGTAACGAATAAGATGAAATTTGGCCATCTTGTAGAGAATCGAATTTGAAACACATCGGCAAAAAGAAATTTGTCAATACGATCATGCAACCTGCACTTCTGGGTTGCAGAAGTTTTAGAAATGAAATTTTTTCAATTGTCATCGGGAAGTTTATCCTGCGGGGTTCCTTACAATATTTATATTTTCTGAAAGCCAACTTTTTACTCTACTGCCATACCAAATTTCAGCCTTCTAGCGCCAACGGCTAGCGAGATATGGAGATAAAAAGCAAGCGCACTTAGAAAAAAATTGAAAAAGTCGCGGAGACCGGTTGTGTCCCAAAAGTACAGAATGCCGTGCGCCGGTGAAAAAGTCTCCGCCGAGCCGCTCGGTTGAGACTTTTTGTGCGAAACATCCGCCAAGCTACCGAGACCAACAGATTACGCCCTGCCAGATGTGGCAAACTTAATCTCATCGGTAGTAGAAATGTCTGGGCTTTGTAGCCAGGTGTAATTTTCGAAAAAGACATCCAATGTCTCCGCCGAAAAATGATCTCTCCGCCGAGACAAGAAAAAAATTCTTTTGCATATACGAAAAACGCACAACTTCGAATTTTTAAATACGACTTAAACTTCTTGGATGGCTGCAAAGAGCACAAAGATGTCAGCAAAAAATTTGTCCAAAATTTCTTGAAACACCCTGTAGAAAAGCAAAGTCATGATGGATTTAATTTCAGTTGTATTCTTTTGGGGAGGTGGTTTCAATTGTGATGTGGACCGAAACCTGGAAACCGGAAAGTTTTTACGATAAGATTGCCCAAAATAAAGAACGAGGACTTCACACATTGTGTTTGTTGGATATCAAGGTCAAGGAACAGACAGTCGAAAACATGATCAAGTGAGAATATTTTACTTATTTTGGATTCTGTTCCAGGGGAAACAAGAAGTACGAACCCCCAAGATTTCTTACTTGTTCGCAAGCAGCACAACAATTGCTGGAGATTTTAAAGCACCGAAAAGAACATGGGCATACTTTAGGTAGGCTTACTTCAGTCTGTTTAAGGGTTTATATTTGTTTTTCTTCAGCATTTGACGAAGAGTCTACAGTCGTTGGTCTTGCTCGAGTTGGATGGCCGGATCAGTTGATCAAGGCGATGCCATTGAATAAGATGGCTGAGTATGATATGGGATCTCCTCTTCACTCTTTGGTGATCCCCGGTCATCTTCATCCTCTTGAAAGTCGCATGTTGGATTTGTTGTAATCTTGGAAGTTTGAGCGTGTCCTTGATTGTTACTGATAAGCGTCGAAGCCGTCACTTTCCCAATCCCGTTTATGGATTTACAACTTTTATTGTTAAAACATGATATTGTTAAGTTTGTGATTAAATTGTTTTCCCGTTATCGAAGCGGTGATAAGGTTCATGGTAAGAATGCCCCTTGAATGCCTCTGTTTCCTTTTTATCTCTCAACTTGATGAGAATTTAGGTTTTCCGAAGATTGCGTCATTTTTGAAGGGAATCATGACTTCGCGAGCCTATTTTGGAATGCAATGTTTTTGGGGGGAATCAGCTTTTGCCAAACTAGATGGTGTCCTGAAGACTAGAGTTGGATATGCTGGTGGAAAACAGCCTGATCCGACTTATGCCCATATCAAGGATCACACGGGTAAGTTTATCAGTATTGCCAGAGGGTTTAAGACGTTTTTTGTGGTAACAAAGGATTTTTTGGTTCATAATTTTACGGGAATAAACAAAGAGCCTTTGCAGAAGTAACTGAGTTGGTCTTCGACGATAAGGTTGTGACTTACGACAGCTTATTGAAATTCTTCTTCTCACATCACGATCCAAATGTTCATCGAAAAACTCAATACAGAAGTCTGATTCTGTATGTGGATGAGGAACAGAAACAGAAGGCCGATGCTGCCTTGGCCGAGATTCTGGTACGGAAATGAACTGTATGTTTTATTGGTTTTAGAAAATCAATTCCAAAGCGGAGACCAAGGTTGAAAAGCTTGATCGGTTTTATCAAGCTGAAGATTACCATCAGAAATATTGGCTGAGATGTCAGCCGGACATCTTCAGAGCTATAAAATTGAGCGACAAGGAGTTGGTAGACACCGTTCTGGCTGCCAAGATCAATGCCTTTATGGCTGGTTATAACAAATTCGAGGTTCTCCATGACTTGGCTGCCAAACACAGCCTCGATCCCGCTTTGGTCAAGAAGATCGAAGCCATTGCTGCATCTGGAGGAGATCCCCGTGCCTGCCATTAGACTGCCGTATATGAATGAAAATGGTTATGACCTACCAGCGATGATACCCAATTTAAAAAAATTTTAATTCAAGGTCTATATCGCTAGCCAAAGGATCGAATTTTTTTCCGCGTTCTGGCACGAGATTTTGTACAACCCTTTGACTAGCCATTCGGATGATTTTTTACCAATACAATTTTTTGGCTAGCGGTGTACTAACACTTTTTGGACGTTTACACCGTTTAGGTAAGAAAATTATTTAAAGCGATGGGTCACTGGGATTTTTCGTATATACGCTCGCTTCACTTATAACCGATAACATTTACCTTGTACAATAAATATTTATTTATCATTCTTATAGTAAGTCTCTTCTAACTTGTTTTTGACCCCTTGACAGAGTAATGCGAATGGAGCTGACTTTGAAACATTCTCGCTTCTGAGGGCCTCGATCAGCTTCTCCCGACCTTGCTGTTTAAAAATGGCTTTCAGGCCGATGCCTGTGGACGCTAAACTGCTCAAACAGACAACCGCCTTATATCGAACTCGACGGTAATGATCTATTTGTTGAGTAGATGTAATTGTCATCATTTTTAGCAGTAGTGGGATGGCTTGCTGTGCAATTAGGGCCTGATCGTAACCACAATGTGCCAGGCGCGAAAAGATGGCAACAGTCTAAAAAATTGTGTGTGAAGGGGGCATTTTACTTTCCAACTGCCCAAAAAAAGATTTATTATTTGTCTGGCATGTGCTACGTTGTGAAAACCGAGAAAAAATCGCGGTTTTTTTGTCTGGCCGGAAAAAAATTATACAAGGTGTCCGAGGAATTCATCGGAAAGTTTTTGTCGATTTCTTCGCGCTCAAGATATAAGGATGGTGACATACGCATCAAATCGGGTGTCGTGGCCAGAAACCATGATTTCTTGTCCAGACAAGAAATGCGTAATTCTTGTCTCAAATTGCGTAACATTGCCTAAATTTCAGCTCTTTCCCTGTGGAGATTTTTTTCTCTGCTCATACGGCGGAAGTTTGAAATAGCACAGCAAAGAGAAGTTTGAACAAAAAATATTTCTTCGTTTTCTGATGCCCCAAGTGGTTCGCCGATCAATCGCGTAGCTAGGGGGCTTCAGCTTCCAGACCAAGTTCTCAGCTACGCTCCTGTCGCCGATGGCTAAACTTCTATCAAGGCTTGGCGACAAAATTTTGAAAGGTACGGAATCAGCAGGGAATGGAAGCCAAAGCAAAAGAACGGTGTTGGGCATTCCGAGCCTTGTATCGTTATCCGAAGCTGAGTTATGGCCCATATGGTAAGCGCCCGCCATACCTTTGTCGAACGGTTGATTCAAGCAAATATCCTCTTTCAACCATCCAGATCTTAAGTATTAAAGCGTTGCGGTTGTTGTGATGACCAACAAAGCGATCAAAAGTCTTGGCCGAATACACTACCTTCCGTGTTGGCGGAGAGTATTGTTTGGGCAGAAAACCGCCCAGCTTCTTCTTTCTCCTGCAAGAAACTTTTTGGGATCTTGGCTGAGTGCCAAGAAATCGACAAAAACTTTCCCGCGAATTTCTCGGGACGCCTTGTAATGCGCACGCTTTATTCGAGGGTACTTACTTGTTCGTAGACGAAAGCACTGGAGCAATTTGGACGTTTACAGGCCCGGACGAGTCTGATTACAGCATTCTTCTGATATAAAAGTTCCGTAATTTGATCATGAATCGAGAGATTGGCCAAGGCCGCAGTACACAGAAGGACGGATTCAGAAGTGTTACTCTCATCTAGGAGATCTAGTAGCCTATTAACAACATTATTCCCGAGTCCTTGTGGTCGGATGAATGGATGATTGGCATTCGTTAATTGAGTCAGAATACCTGCTGCTTCTACTGCACAGAAAGAAGGGCTGTTGCATAACAAGTTGAGTACTGTATCCAACCCACCCAACTAAAAAGATCAACTTTCATTCTGAAATCTTACCGAAAGTAACTGAACACATCCCTTATTAACTCCACACAAGACAGCCAAAGCCCGTAACAAGAGCCTCAGGGTTTCTGCTGGGGTTGACGTCAATCTACAGAACTCCAGAAGTCTCTCGACGGCCTTATGCTGTAAGTAATTTAATTAATTTGCATGCCTTACATTCCGAATTTAAAATTTATATTTGCTTCTAAAAATAACTAATCACAAATGGACTTACTCGAATTGCCTCCAAAGAAATGTCATCTCCAAACAGAAGCAGATGAATCATATGTTCCAGAGCAATGACTAGAAGCCTGTCCTTGTTCGAGCTATCGTTCAGATAGACGCAGATTACTTTCACGAATACAGACATGCTTTGCTCGATCATCTTTCGGACATAGATGTTGAAATATTCGGGGACTATGTCATAGACTTCCGGGAATCTCTGTTGTTCTAGATCTTGAACTATGGCCAAGACGGGATCGAAGTCATCGTCTTGAAGAAAGGGGCCGCATTGGGATTGTTTCGTGATCTCGATATAAACCTTTGTCTTCTGGATCAGTTCTCTTTTCAACTTCTTGTCCGAGAGATTTGAATCCAATAGAGTTAATACAGTACTCGCTATGCGGAGAACATGATCCATAGAATTTGCGATTCTCGCGTACATAGGCAGCGCCGTCTTTTGCTCTTTTGAGAAAACCGAAGAAGCAGAGGAAACCATTATTCCGTTGGAGTCTCTGGCCAAATGATTTACATTTTCATGAACTCCAGAATTGCCAGAGCATTGGCCAGAGTCGGCTGAGGTACTTGAAATGGAACTTGAGGATGATTTTATGTTTCGGATTGAGGTGAAGATCTTAGGAATTGAAGGGGCAGGTCTAAAATATATGAGGACTTTTCGGCTCTGACCTACCTTGATGTGATTATGGAGATCCTGTTGTCCGGTCCATCATTTACTCTGATCGAATGTCTGTAAACTCCAGGCTTCTTTCGTCTTCTTCTCATCAGCGGAATATTTATACTGTCCTAAAAATAAGAGTCTTGATTACTTTTATTGTACAGGGCGGTTTACTCGGAGCTGCAGCCTTATTTCAGGTATTTCTCTCCCAATTTCTATAAAATTTAAAATTTTAATGAAAGCCGTGATACCCCACTTTTTATACACCAAGTTTGGAGATTGTTGGTTTACAAGGGACCCGCGGACTGTCCTTTTACATATTCCAAATTTTGAAGCCCGAAATCTGTAAATGATTTTCAATTGACAGTGAGACAGGGGAACCTAACTTTTAAGAAATGGGCAACTGGGCGAAGACCGAGCTTGAGGGAAAATGATAATGTAAGGGGGGGGGACCAAGGCGGATTTTTTTGAATAATTTTTTTGTCTTGCCATAAAATGGTATGGTGAGGGGGGGGGGGTCATTTTTGTACGATTGTTTGGTTTGCCGAAAGATGCTCAAAAAATTTTTTTTGACCCCAGGTGAGAACCGAATGAAAGTTGTTTGCTTGGGCAATGTAGGCCTCAAATCTTGTTATGCATCTTCAGGGAGGATGTAGTTGGAAGCTCTGAGTGAACCACCGTGTATTCTTACTCTTGTATTTGACAGAACTTCGCTTGGAAGGGAATTTCCAAATTCAACCTCTTCTTCGGGAGTTTCCTGAACATTCAGACTTTCACAGGATGTGGAAGGGACGGATATCAATGATTTATGATTGGAATCTGGGAGATCTTCGACTGGGTTTGATGGCATCAATCGAGCAATGCAACGAGACTTCCGTCGTTCATTAATGGGATCATGTTGATGGCTGAAAAAGGGGATCTGCTGCTTGAAGGCCACGTCTCGATATTATAAAGACACATTTCGATTCTTATAACGCTTTCTTACCCAATGAACAGTTTAATGTACCCTCGAGATTCGGCTACAGACTTTGCGAATAACACTGACATAGTCTCCAACTCCGCGGCAAACCTTAACTCGTTCAACCATTCCAATTGAGGACTTATACATGATTTGCGTTTATTCGAATACATCATAAACAAACAGACTAATTGACTTCCATTTCTAAAAATTTGAGGGTAATTAAGAGACGAGATAAAAAAGATGATCATGTATAATATAATTGCCCGCGCAACGAGAGCTTGGGAAGTACTTGGGTGGGAGATGATAAAACGCGGGGTGATTGATGAGACCCGACTTCTCTTTTATTAGTAAGTTCGAACCTGTGGGGACGGGAACGCTCTTTGGGGTTTAATATCCGAGCAAGTGACCCCTGGTCAGTTTTACAACCAAAACTCATTTCCGCCGCAAATTTTTGGCACGAAAGAAGAGCTAACAGCAGAGACAGCAATATCAAGATAAGGATTACAAATTTTATTTGTGGCTTTATACAGGAAGATAAGTGAGGAGAAGATTGGCTCTAAGAAAGGGAATGAGGGTCGGAGTGAGGATTATGTTAAAAGAACTTCCGGGAAAGCTGCATATCTGTACCACAGGATTGGGAACGAGGGCGATCAGCTTCGAGTTCTTTTGTCTTTTCCAGTTTGTGGTCCGAGACCAGAGACCAGGTTGAATTTGTGCATTGAGGTGCTGAACGGGGCTTTTTACCTGACAAGGAAATGGTCTGAACTTCCCCCAGCGTTAAGGAAAATGGCTAGTACAGGTGGATAGAGCAGGTCGACTTTGGTGGAAAAAGGCAATTTCCAGCTGCAAAATAAGCACCGCCGACGAGAAAAATCGACCGAAATTTCCGAAAAAATTTCCTCTTTCTCTTCCCTCGGAAAAGAAGAGGAGCATCCAGTGGTTCGGTTGGTCGAGTGGATAGAGCGTCCGCTCGATATCCTTTTGGGGGTTGGTTCGATTCCGGGGCAGCGCGAGTGGCTATGATAAGGCTTCAGCGACCAGGATAAATTCTTGTGAACCAAAAAAAAATATTTTGCAATTTTTCGATTTTCTAGAGATCATAAAACACATAAAAAAAGGATTTCCATGTAAATTCCGCCAATTTTTTTCTAGAAGATTCCAGAACGTTCCCAATCATACTCCAATAAGGAGCAAACTGAAGCACATCTTGATCACATCGGGGTTTTTGACAAAGGTCCACTAGTGTTCGGAAAACAGACAGTCCATGGCTAGATTATTGAATATGACTGGAACCGTTCTGGAATCTTGCAGAAAAAATGGAGGAATTTACATAGAAATCCTTTATTATTATGTGTTTTATGATCACTAGAAAATCGAAAAATTGCAAAATATTTTTTTTTTGGTTCACAAGAATTTATCTTGTTCACTGAAGCCTTATCATAGCCACTCGCGCTGCCCCGAAATCGAACCAACCCCCAAAAGGATATCGAGCGGACGCTCTATCCACTCGACCAACCGAACCACTGGATTCTCCTCTTCTTTTCCGAGGGAAGAGAAAGAGGAAATTTTTTCGGAAATTTCGGTCGATTTTTCTCGTCGGCGGTGCTTATTTTGCAGCTGGAAATTGCCTTTTTCTACCAAAGTCGACCTGCTCTATCCACCTGTACTAGCCATTTTCCTTAACGCTGGGGGAAGTTCAGACCATTCCCTTGTGAGGGACAATCCTCGACTTACTGTCATTGATGAATGGCGATCTCTTTTCTTGAACTGGACTTTGAATCTCATCCTCGATTTTGTGAACAAATGTCCTCACCAGAAGTTTTTCCCACATTTTTGGGGCTGTTTCTTTCTAAGACATAACACTTATTAAAGGCAAAGAAGGATACTGGTTAAAAAGAGTCGGTTGCTTACTTCCACAAGTTCTCCATCTCTGAGTTTACGACCGTCTTTCAGATAGTCCACTTGATGGCTGAGTCTCCGTTTGACAAAAACGGAAATCCTCTTTGATGACTTTCTGGACCAAGTCAATTGTTTTGGGGGAGTTGCTTTCCTGGCATTCAAACAAGTTGATTGGGGATTAGAAGACTTGGGCGCCGAGTAGAACTCGGTCGGGGACTCACAGGGGACATTCATCATTCCGATCATCTTTAATTCAGAAGCCCAAAAATGCAGTCTGAAATCATACAAAAGTGAAAGGGAATTTGTACAATTGGCGGCCGGAGGTTTTATTAACGGCCCTTAATCACACAATAAATCATGGCCTCCCCTCACGCCGGACCGAACGTCGTACAGAACAAGTCGGGAATGTTATGATAATAACCATTAAAAGGTGTCAAGAAAGGGAAAGAGGCTTTGGACAGGGTGTGGCACCGATTAAAGAACGGAAATGGAGAATCTCGGCTTCGACGGCTCCGTCTCGCATTTATATCGAGTATAAATCGAGGAGACTGACGTCACGGGGTTGTGGAAGCGTGATTCAATATTCGAAGTTTGTACAGATTGGCTTTAAAAACAAGAGGGGGTGGGTCAAGGAGCTCTGTCGTGAGCCTATTCGCATCAGTCTAATGCATGATCATGACCTCTTAGTGGGCCTACGTGACTTAACGCGGCAGGATTGCAAGTATTTAGAACGACATTCGCATCCAAAAAATGGGTGGGAGAGATTGGAATTCTTTATCCAAATTCTAAATTGATCCAGTGGAATTCCGGGCCTGAATAAAAAAACCATGACGCACGCTGACTCTCCCACATATGTATTTCATAAGATGTTTATTCAGAGACTTTGCTTTTGTGAAAGATTCTTGTAGATTCCGTTAAGTGCTAACAACTGGTTATGAGTTCCTTGTTCGGCGATTTGCCCGTCTTGGATGACCAGTATATGATCGGCATTTTGAATGGTGGTTAAACGATGGGCAATCACAATAGTCGTTCTGCCTTCCTGCACCCGATCCAAAGCTTCTTGAACTAAAAGTTCGTTGGCCGAATCCAAAGCCGAAGTTGCTTCATCAAGGAGGAGAAGACTGGGGGATCTGATGATAGCTCTGGCTATGGCAATTCGTTGTTTCTGTCCTCCGGACAACTGATTTCCTTTTTCACCAGCTTTAGTTTCATAACCCTGCAAAATTATAACAGAAGCTGCAATTAAATCCTACGTCTGGTAGGTTACTGATGAAATCATCAGCATTCGCAAGCCTTGCGGCATCTTGGATCATATGAAACGGGACACCTTCCATTCCATAGGATATATTTTCTTTTATAGAGTAGTTAAAAAGTATGGGTTCTTGACCAACTACTGCAATGTGATCCCTCAAATACCGCAAGCTGATTTCGTTTATGTTGATTCCATTGACAGTCTTTAAATTGCTGGTTATTATCAGGATTTTTAACTTACAATGCAGCCAGAGTCGGGGTCGTAATATCTTTCCAATAGCTGGACAATCGTTGACTTTCCGCATCCGCTGACTCCCACCAATGCTAAGGTTTTTTTCTTGGGGACCTCAAACCTTATATCTTTTATAATTTTTCTTTTCGGGTTGGTTGGATACGAGAATCCAACTGATTCAAATTTCCAATCGTTAAATCCAATAGTTGGAATGAAATTGGGAGAAGTGTAACTGATCGTAGGCTGATCTTCCAACATTTTGAAAATAATGGCAGCACTCAGCCTGGCTCTTACATATTCTGGGAAATATGTAGCAAAGGCTAGCATAGTCATGGTTGCGCAATTCAATGCTTCGATTACTCTAAAATCATCGTTGCGCAAGTGTTATGCGATAATAATAAGTAAGACTGCTGCGCTCTGGTCCATTTTCAAAATATAATATCTTTCTAACTGCGCCTACGCAATAGAATAATGTAAAACTTACTGGAACACTGTGTAAGGATCAAGGACAGATTTTTCTATAAGAAATACTCCATAACGATAAGCAGCGGCGAAGTTGAAGAAGACATAACTTGCATGCAAGGCGAATGTCAGCGACTGTATAACCCCTCTAAAGAGGGCTCTTTTGTGTGGTTTCTCAATTAATCGTTGGAATTCCTCATCAAAATAATCTTCCCGGGTTAAGGTTTGAACGGTTCTGTGTTTATCAATTGCTTCGGAAGCGAGCTGAAGAAAAGGTTTTTGCCGTTATTTTATCTGCATACCCTTGACGGCGCCTCTGCCAGCAATGCATCCGTGTGGCCGCGTTTTTTCAGATATTGAGACAAGAATGTTTGTATCAAAACTAGACAGCCGGAAGTCAGTATGCCAATCGGCGCCATTGCAGGACCATAGGAGAACGCGATAACAATGCCTGAGACAATTGCCGAAAATGAAGCGACAACGTCAGCCAGTCTTTGATCAATGGCCTAAATCATCATCATTACTGCACATTGGAAAAGAATTCTCACGGCTCTAATATTTGGGGCATCGGTAGCCAATCGACCACTTAATCGACCAGGAGAATGTTTTACGTCATCGAAGTAAGGGCCATCCTAAAATATTCGATGTGATGATGCGCATGATTAAAAGTTCCCTTTTGTTAAGCTCTTACTGTACCTGATAAACAATGTTTTTGAACAGCGCAATCCTCAAGCGCTTTGTCAGACTCTCCCCCGCTTTGCCGAACAGATAACTTCCTAGTCCGATTGTTATGCCCCCAACAACACCCAGAATACAAAAGTAAACACAGTTCCAGACAGCCTGCCTCATTCTTTCGTCCTTGTCCGACGTAGCAAAAGCTTTGAAGGCTTGGCCATAGATGATGGAGAACAGGGGAAACATTACTCCTCTCAATAAAGCCGACGAGATTGCGAAGAAGAGTAAATTCCATTCTGGCCGGGCAAAAAGAACTATGGTTTTGAAATCGGTGGGTTTTATATGAGATTCGGCCAACTCATCCTAAAAAGTTTAGGTTTAGAGTTAGTCAATCTCACCTTGAGTCTGTCAATCTCATCGTCTTTTTCTGGGTTTGTTGAGGTATAAGATAAAGCTCTGCTCATGTGTCTGGTCGATCTTCTAAGTCTGATGCTTCTCTGCAGTTCGTTTCTTTCGAATTCTTCGACTTCTAAAGGGCTTTAAAGTATGTGCAGGATCCTTACTTTCAATATCGTCTTCAGTTCTCAATTTGATTATTTCTTGTGCCTTCACCAATGTCGAATAAACTCCGTTCATGGCCATCAAAGTCTCATGGCTCCCTTCTTCGACGATCTCCCCTTCCCTGAATACCAATATTTTATCGGCATTTCGGATGGTTGACAATCTATGAGCAACAACAATAGTTGTTCTTCCATTCGATGCCTTCTTCAGCGCTTCTTGCACTATCCTTTCTGATTCTGTATCCAATGCTGATGTCGCCTCATCCAAAAGCAGAACTTTTGGATGCCTGACAAGAGCTCTGGCAATGGCGATTCGCTGTTTTTGCCCTCCGGACAACTGAATTCCCCCATCCCCGATCCTTGTCTGGAATTTGTTTTCTAATTTGTTGATGAATTCATAGGCATTTGCTGTTTTCGTGGCTTCAATCAATTCCTTTTCTCCAATCAATGGATTTCCAAGCTTCAAGTTCTCTTCGATCGTTCCCGAAAAGAGAACGGGTTCTTGAGAGACGACAGAAACCATATTTCTGAGAGCTCGGACGTTAATCTCGGAGATTGGGGTGTCATCCAGATGAATAAAACCGGTGTCAACATCATAGAAACGCCTTAAAATTACAATTTAATTTGATAGGACTAACTGTAACAAGGAGATGACAGTAGATTTCCCACTTCCACTGCTTCCAACTAATGCCACAACTTGATTTTTTTCTGCCTTGAAGTTTATTTTCTTCAGCACTTGCACTTCTGGTCTGCTTGGATATCTGAATTCGACGTTCGAAAAGGAAATACTTCCTTTGAAATGAATATCTTTCTCTCCTTGGTCAGATAAACTGTTAATTTCTGGTTCCTGAATTAATTGTTGGGTTTAATTCATTAGTTTTGTTACTCTGTTGATGACATTGAAGACCTCAACGACCGCATTATTTGCAGCCATGATGGCTGGAATTTGTGATGCCATTTGTGCGAGTGATAATACTCCCACCATAAAAGCCCAGAAGACGGCAAAGACGGTTCCTGGGTCCATTCCATCGTTCACGAGCTTAGTTCCGTACCTGAAAAGGTTTGTTGGATTGCAACAATGGCTTACCAAAAAGAAAAGCCCATGGAACCAAAGAGAAGAAAGATGACAAATCCGGTTCCAATCCCAATCATCATTCCTTTCTTGACTCCCACACTGGCCGCAGAGTCGAGAAATCCAGAATATCTGAAATGGCAGCATTTTTGGGTAACTGAATATCGCATTCGGATGATGGAAATTCGTGTGATCCCTTTTGGGTGATTGCTTTTTCGGGGTGGGTAAGTTCTAGGGTGACGCAGTAAAGATTGCACTGATGGCTGTCAAATATGACATGGGTTGTTAAATTGACGGATTCTTTCAGTCTGACGTCAACTTGATGTCAAATTAGCGTCATTTTCGTCATTTTGGCTAAATTGAAAATTCTGATATCCGCAGCTTTCAAACGCGAGTTTAGCATAGACTGTGGTGAATACCGTTAATATTACATAACTGGTCCACTGGTCGTTTTGACAAGAAGGGGTGATTTAGTTCCTAAAAATTTAAAATCCCTATAATCTTTTAGTAAGAATCTACAAAAATTTTCCAAAAAGATTACAATTGGACAATCAAAATGACATAACAATTTGACACGACAAAAGCGACGGCAAGTTGACAACGCGTTGCAACGGGACTGACGCGCAAAGTTGACCCTAATGACACAATAGGAAAAATAATTTTTGAATTTGTTTGCAATTTTATTTATTTTTGAAAGGGTGCAAAATTTTTCAAATTACATTTTAAAAAATTTTTTACACTTACCACAAATTTGCGATTATAACATCATTTCTGTATGTTTTACATCAAAATTAAAACTTTTTCAAAAGTTACACTTTTTTGTAAAATTTACACTTACGATTTACGCTTTTTCTCGAATTGCACTTTTTTTACAAAGATGTAGTAATATAATTCGAACGACCCTTCAAATTTGCACATTATGGTATAAAAAGATAAATTCTTAAAATCTTTTGGCCCGTTCGAATCACAACACCAGCCTCCATGTATGTTTTATTTACCGTGCTATTTCTTTTTCTTGTCCGTTAAATGCCATGACGGTCCGAATTCCATATAAGACCTCTTCAGCCACAGATCCGGCACTTCCATAGAATCCTTGCTCTCCTTTTATGTATTTTTTTGAGAAGAATCCAATCGCCAAAACAGCAATCAGTATTAATGGCAAAAGTCCCAACATGACCAAACTCATCTTCCAACTAAAGTAAAATGTTTTCGTCATCGATTTAATATCTTACCTGTAGGTAAACGAAACAGTCATTCCGCCAATAAATTGGGCGAAGAAAGCGATCACCAGTCCCAGTTTATCTCCGGTTCCGTCTTTTATTCGGTCGATTCCGCTAAATCAGTTTCCTTGGAAGAATTAATCCCTTACTCTGACATCTTTGTTGTCCACACTCCCGCATCATGCTTATCGAACCAGCTTCTGTCTTGTCTCATCAAAGCTCGGAAAAACTTGGCTCTAATTTTAAAAACCTGTCTCTCGGAGCTGATATTCCAGAAACTCATCTAGAAATTATTAAAAAATTATTCAAAATTATCGAATTACACTTACCCCGAGGAATCCGAAAACAAAAACAGCTGATCCAAATATCAGATACTTCCAGATGGCATTCATTGCTTTTTTGGAAAAGTCATCAAAATCAAAAATATTATTATCCCATCTGTAAGCACCTTCTATTAAGGCGTTTGTCAAATCTTTGAAAACGATTGGATTCAGCGAATAGAAGATTCCTTGGGTTAAACTGAGGATGACGGCACAACAAATGACAATCACATCCCATCTGCTCGAGTATCGATACTGAAAGGATTAGATAACTTCACTAACAAGGAAAGGCTTCCAAGTGCAACGCTCACAAAATCAGATTTTCTTTAAATTTTGCACACACTTCGGGAATTGGTGGCATATTAATTAATTCCTGCAAGTTTTAGTTCGCGCTTTTCAGGCGGAGCCGAGATACTAAACGATCTTCGCGGCCGAGAGAGTACGGAAAAGGCGGAGAGAAGGCAGAGAGAAAACACTTTTTGGTCATATTTTTGCCAATTTCGTGCGTAAAACATAATTTTTTGTAGAAGCATTATCCTCTACGATAGAAATAGGCATGAAACTTCAAGTGCCAAGATTCGCAAAAAAAACGGTGCATTTTTATCTAATACCTTTGATCTACAAAATCTCGGTAGTTTCTGCAAAACGCGAGCTAGGAGTCTGGCGCATTTCTTATCGTTAGAAACAATTGATCTAAGTTTTTGTCAAGTTTCATCAGAATCTGACCGTCGCACTTGGAGTACCCATCCCTATAAATTGCATTTTCAAACTTACAATATCAAAGAAGTTGGCGTTCTTTGTCTCCTCTACTAATTTTATTTCTGGAATTGGGCTAAAATGGAATTTATCTTACTATAAATATTTATGCTAAAGGAGATTTATAATCACAAACCTATTGGGCCAACCTACATCGTTTTATCATCCGAGTCCTTAATTCGCACCATTCTTGTCTGCAAATGCTCAAGACTGAGCTATTTGACTCCCCTTATCAGTCGAATTATTTCTGAATTGTTCTTCATTACATTTCTGATGGATGAACAAAGGTTATTCGTATATGCAACGTCTCTCTAAGTTTTCAGAGAATTCTTTCTGGTTTATCCTCTCAGCACCGGGTTGTTATGAGCTTAAAAAAGATGGAAATACGATAGAGACTGATCCAGTGTTATCGATCCAGACATATCACCTGTCAAAAACAATGTTGCTTGCGTCATATCATCCAATTCGAAAACATTTCCTTTATAATCTGAACAAAAAGCATAAAATACAAAAAGAAGAGGGAATTAAAGTTTTTTTGAGATATTAGAAAGAAGATTAAAAACGAAAAAATCACTCTGGAGGTTTGGCTGTGATTGCTTTTGGGACCACCATTACATTGGAATCAACTGAAACATGGATAAGATAGTACATGTCAGAGAAATCTCACCAATCTTCAATCCTAACGTCAGAGCATCCACCATTCCTCTCTGGGCATGATCCGCAACATTGTGGGCCGCGTTCTCAATCCCATGGCCAACAGCTTTTGTCGCATTAACGCCGGCCTTGGCCACAGTGACGGTCGTGTCCTTAACCCCATCAGCCACCGAAACGGCAGCCCCTTTCACTGCCGTGCCTACAATCCAATATTATTGTTTCAAATAGCATTTTAGAACAGCTTTTTATTTAAGTTTAAACCCGTGACTCACCAGCTTTAACTGTCGTGTCAGCAATGAATCCAGCACCGGCTTTGGTTCCATCAACCACAGCACCAGCGGCCTTAGCGGTGCCATGACCAACAGCAACCACACCGGCTTTTGTTCCATCCACAACAGCCTCAGCAACTTTGACCGTTCCATGGCCAATTGTTTCGGCTCCATGTCCAATAGCCAGAGCACCGGCCTTAGTTCCGTCAACCACTGCTCCAGCAACTTTCACGGTGCCATGTCCAACAGCTAATGCTCCAGCCTTCGTGCCATCTACAACAGCTCCAGCTGCCTTTACGGTCCCATGGCCAATCGCTTCTGCACCATGACCAATGGCCAAGGCTCCGGCTTTGGTTCCGTCAACGACAGCCCCGGCGACTTTGGCAGTGCCATGGCCGATGGCTTCAGCTCCGTGGCCAATGGCCTGAGCTCCGACAACGGTTGTGTGGGCGACGGCCGAAGCCCCAGTTACAATCACATTCTTTGTGCCAGTGGCTGAAGGAAGTGTGGAAATAAAAACCAAACTTTTGTAAACCGTTCTTACCAACTGCAGATGTGGCTTGAGCAACGTCTTTTCCAACGGCCACAGTCGTGTATTTAACTCCCGAAGCAACGCTTTGGCCGGCTCTAACAGTTCCTTTGCCTGTTCCATAAACGATATCCTTTGTTCCAATAACTAAAAGATGCAGGTTAAAAAATGAATTACGAGACTTTGAGAAACAAAAGGTATTCGAGAGTCAAGAAACCTGCAGAAAGTTCTTCCTTACCAATTTTGGCACCGCCCGAGGCAATACTTTTGAGTCCTCCAAGGACCCGGCTCTTTTTCTTTTGTTTAATTGAAGAGGTATCGCTGTCGTGGAGGGAGTTGACTTCATCCAAACTAATCTCATCGTAATTTCCTCCAACATAATCCGAATATTGGTCTAAGCAGTCCTCATAATAAGAGATGGAATCTGGAATTATGTCATAGTAAAATAGTTATTAGATCAGCATTAAATCAACCTGACAAGGGAAAGATTTCAATCGCAAAGCTCAGATCTTTTTAAAACTTTACACGCATGTCAAGCATAAGCCCCATTGAACGATCTTGGCAGCCCACAAAATACGCGAAACGCGGAGAGCGGCCAAAGAAATAACACTTTTTGGAGCATATAATTTGTCAGCAATGAAAAAAAAATTTTTTTTGTAAAGACATTACCCTCAGCGGTAGAAAGGCATTACCATTTTCATGCTAACATTCGAAAAAAGTGTCATATTTTTGAGGCTTTTGATCTAAATCTCAATCCTTTCTGCAAACCGCAAGCTGGGAATCTCCTTAGAAAAAAATAATCCAAATTTAGGTCAAGTTTCATCAAAATCTGAGCATCGCACTTGGAGTGATGTAAGTTTACCTCCAGAAACAAAGTCAGCATATTGTTCTGGAAGTTGACCATCTTCGACAACATCCACGGGCGCAGCAACCTCAGGGCCTAATGGAGTCTCGACTACTACCGTAGTGGTCCCAATTGCTGCAGGAATATCCTCCTGACCTTCAGAGGGCTCAGCGACTAGCCCTGCTTCATTTTCTTCAGACACGCCGGGGGCGTTTTTTGTATGCGATTCTTCTGTAGGCTCATCGTTTTCTTCCTTCTTCAATTCTTCAATCTCAGCAGGTTGTTCTGGTTCCTCTGCAGTTACTGTTTTGACGTCTTCAGAGGATTCTTCAGCAGGCTTTTCTTCTGGAACTTCTGTGGATGGCTCTGCAACGCTTTCGGGTTGAGCCGGCTCGTTCTCGTTGACAGCGCTGTCCTGGGGAGTTTCGGGCACAACTTTTGTCTCTATCGCGCTGGCGTCGTCCACTGCTGAATTTTCTTTGCTTATTTCCTCCTTCTTTGCACCTTCCTCTTCCTTTTCTTGATTTTCTTCTTCCTGTTTAGTCCCTTCTTCTATTTGTTTTGCTTCTTTGTTTTCTTCATCTTGTTCTGATTTGTTTTCTTCGTTTTTCTCGTCATTCTTTTTTTCAGTGTTTGCATTTTGCTCAGCGGCTTCGGCAGCTTTGACTAGAGCAGTCTCAGCCGCCAGCTCTAAAACAATTACAATTTGTATTTCATACAGCCATCCAAGTTGTAAATAATTGACTTACTGAGGTCGGCAACAGCCTCCGTAACCATATGGGCGGCTGCGAGGGCATTCACAGAGTTACCTAACAAGAAGTTAAGGACAGTATTTAATTACCTGCGGGTGCATTTTCGGTGATAATCGGAGAGGAAACCTCAGGATCAGCCATATTTTACGTGAACGAGGGATAAGAATGCTGGCACACCTTATGATCCAGATGTTTTGAATGTTTCGGAGAGGTTGAAAAGGTTCGATCCGAGCAGTTGGCCGTTCTCTCCGCCCTTTCTCGTCCATCACGTCATTGTCAGAGCTCCGGATTTCACAATCAAACAAATCAAGCGCCAATGAGTTATTTATATCTGTTTGGCACAAAAGAAAAGTATTTTAGGATAGGATGACACAACTCAGAAAAGAAGAAAAGGCAAGAGATTACAGTTAGGACTGAGAATTAAGTTTCGAAATCTAAGGGCCATCAAAAATCTTATGATGATTATGACGCGAATTTTGTGCCAAATGAAAATAAATCCTTTGGAAAAATAAAAACAACAACGTATTATGCAAAACTTAAGTTATTTTGGTCATCCTTTTGTCAATTATATTTTATTCTTTTCAACGACACAATATTAAAAGGATTTATTTTTAATGACATAACTTACAGTCAGCCGCTCCAACCTTTTTACTCACAACCCGGCAGCATTAATGTGTCGTCGGCTTAATTAAACTATCTGATAATTAGAAACAGGCGGCCTAATTTTTTATCAGAGCCACGAGCTCGGCGAGGGGGAGCGCCTTCATGGAAGAGAGATCCTACATTTGATCTATAGTCCGGCATTGTTCCCCGGATCTCTTCTCCGTTTCTTTGACCAATCTTTGAAATCTTTTCCCAACCCAATTAGAGCCTTCTCCGAGTCCATATGCCCTGAGGCGTCGGATGTATGATGGGTCTGTCAATATATTATCAATCCCGGCTTTATGAGTTTTACGGTTTCCGGGGGTGTTTTCTGTTGAATACAGAATTAGCTTGGGATGCCGTGTAGTAGAGGGTGGGTCTTGATGATGAGATCATCTCTGTCGTCATCTATAAATATGCAGAATTCAGATGACACTTATATAAGGCTGTTGAAAGTTTATCAAGTTTTTACCAGCTTCTTCTATACGAATTGTCATTGCACTTAGTTCGCGATTTTACGAATCTTAAGAAGTTTTTTACTCCAATACCCTTCAGACATAGCTACAATGTGTTTGAAAATAAAATTAGAATATATAACCTCTGCACGCCGTCTCCGATCTCTATTTTGTTCTCACACCTATCAAACCTTCCTCCCATTTTTCGCTGTTTTCATTGCATTCATTATTTTTACATTAGGTGCCTTTCTTAGGTGATAGAACTGAAAGATTCTTATGCTTATTCTCAGACTCTTTTACCGCTTTGTCCAACTCGTTTATTTCTTGTTTAAACGCATAGAATAAACAAAAACAGATGACGGTGTTAAAAGTTTGAGCATTGTCATCTTCTTTGTTTATATTTCAATTGTTTTGTTGCAGTATTTTGTGTATTTTTCAACATTATTTCGATAAAAATCTTAATGGAATGGTATAAAGAGCAAAAAAAACAAATTCCTTGATGTCTATGATTGTTCTTTTTTTACAAAAAACATAGCAAGGATTAGGAAATGGTAAAACAAACATTGAAATCAGTGAATCTGATCCATCTCGGGTTACCGCTTTGTATAATCTCGGAGCTTCTTACTCTTAATTTCAGTTCTCCCCAACTTCCATTTTACATTATATTAATGTGATGGAGAGTTTATCGCCTTCAGAATTTGCTGAAGGCACTCCGATCAGCATGAATGATTGGCCTAGGATAACCAGAACCGACTTTAAGGTAATTTAAGTCATTCCAATATGGCTATTGAAACAAAATCAATAAGATCCTATTCTTTAGAGATCAACCATGCGTCGGTCAGGTGTCCGAAAGAGCCGAACGGCTTCGTTGAAGGGAGACATCCACTCTTCGACCAGAAATGGATCCATCATCACATCTACCAGTGTCCCGCCACCCAATGCAGATCCAAATAAAAAGCAAAACAAAGAAATTACAGTAAGACCTGGTCTGAGAGCAATGTTGTACGGACTTACAATGAAAATGTAAGCAGTTTATAAATGATTTTATTCAAAATTTAGGGAACGAGAAGAGGCCAACATGAGGAAACTCCAGAAGAAAATGCACGGTAAATTTGTTATTTTTTGAAATTACTTTTATGACGAACTTAGATATGGTTGAAATTTTGACGACTAAGTAATAGTAAGTAAAGGATGATGCTGGGAAATTTAGGTTTTAAAAAATAATATTCCTATTTGCAAGCTTTCGTATGTTACACATGACGGGGGTCATTGTTTATGTAGATTTATTCCATTTCTTCCTCACGTTTCCTCCTCTCCGCCAGGTGTGCCGTCGTTCGAGCATAAATTCTGAAGCCTCACAAAGTTGTGTTCCATCGTATGGAGATTCTTGGTTCCTGTTTGCCCTTAATTAGGGGTTCGCCTGTTTCTATCTGCAGAAGTGCTGTTTCGGAGAATCTGGAGCCCTTCGGAAGGGAATTACTATTGTCCATCAAGTGGCCACTCCATCGGAGGGAGACGTTTTTGACGATTGTGTGGGTCTATGACCTCAGGGCACGGACTACCGGTCCCTCTCCCTGGGGGCACATTCCCCGGCATTCCGGAAAAAACTCGCGCGTCTCCATTTTGTGTTGAAAACCACCAAAAAACGTTGTGTCCTCGCAGGGAATCATCGAACTTGGGGATGTTTTTTTGGATGGTTGTCCCTGGAAAGGAACCCAGGGTCCATTGCGCAACATTTGTTGCGTCATGTCTCTTTTGGACTTACGGTACCAAAAAAATGTTTCCTTTTCATTATAGAAACTATGATTTTATTTAAATAATTTCGAAATACCCGGCCTAAGCAATTGAAGAAATGACGGCCCACGAAAATAACATGGAGCATGTTGCTCCTTCGCGAGATACGACCATCCTTTGTTGGGGTTAAAGCACCGGAAGCGGCTGACGCGTTTTTGGTGGCTTCTGCCGCTTTAAGCCTCCGGAGTCATGAATCAACGTGTCCCGGGCCTTATAAGTCGAGAGCTGTCAATCTCGACAAAGGCCAATGAATTACGAAGCCGGGGGCCTGTTCGTGCCGTTTTATTCGACTATTCCCAAACCTGCACAGCCATCTTTCAGCTGTAACGACATGGTATAAGCAGCCGAGATGGTTGATTCAGGCCATGATCGTCGCGCCCTTCTTCAGCCCCCTGACCATGAGAGTAGAGCAGTCAACCGAGCCCGCAAAACTCAAATGCAACGCTCCACCAGTTCGGGAACTCCATCCTTGGCCAGTCTGGCTCAGAATATGAGGAAATCGATTCTGAAAGCGGGACAACGAAGTCTGACTGATGACCATCATCTCAACATTCCTAGTTACAACACCCCGCCGAAGAGTGTTTCTTTTCACGATCTGGTCGACTCTCGATCCGTCATCCAATTTGCTCTACGAAGTCTGAGTCCAAAACGTCAAGCCTCTGCAGATGCTTCAACAGAAACGTTGGTCGATATTCATGGCGATAAATTATCATTCAGAAAGTCGATTAGTTGCTTTATCTTATCACGTAAGTCATGGAACGGTCTGTTTGTCCTCGGGTTTTGTTTGTTTAAACCTACTTCCACACCTTTTTGTGGGTCGATTGGCTTCTGGAGGGGTATAGAATTACATCTGGGAATTGGCGGGGAACGAATCGCTGAGAATTTATAATTTGCGGTCGAATTGATGGTCGAAGACCTCAGGAAATTGTGGAGTCGGGTGCTTTACCCACCCGCTCTCACGCCCGATGGTAGGTAAAGGGGGTTCGGGTAAATATTTGAGATAAGAGGAGGTCTGGAGTACATACTTCATAACTCTTTTGGGATCAGTGGACCTTGAGATCAGGTCAAGAGGCAATGGATCCATTGATCCTCGCAGTTGAGTCAGAATAAAATTTTTTCTTATAGACGAGTGTGATCATAATTACGCAGTTTCTTGCGCATAAATAAGGCCTGGCTAGACTGGTTGTTCCGTTCTCTGATAGCATTCTTGTTTCTCCAACTTATGTGCAGCTGTTCTTTAGATCTTCTTGTCACGACGCGCCTGTCCCCAAACGTAGAAAGAGAAAGAGAGGATCCATGAAGGGATTCGAAGGTATGAATGAGTATGAAATCGGATACTCACTGTTACCGCCGTTTCCCTCGGCATCTGTAGCCGCGGATTGCCGGCTTTCGTTTTGTACAAATGCCCTGTGGGCCTGAGTTCTTCTTTCACGTAAACAGCTATTATCAAACGGCCCTCTGGCAGGATGAGGACAGGTTTATTAAACTTTTGAGTTTTTGCTACGCACCGCCTGCAAAAAGTGACACTTTTGACGTCTTCCCTTAGGCGGCAGCATTCCGTAGTATATTTACTTTGGCTTAGCCAGGGATTCTTTCCGCCAAACTCTCACCAGCTTTATTTTTCTCATTTGGATTTGTTTTGTTTGATAATCCGAGAGTCCGATTCTTGGCCCTAATCATTTCCATCTGGGCCTCCAATTTCCAAAGTTGCGGCTTTGTTGACTTTGGCTTTGCAAGTCTACCGCTTCAATGACGGTCGGGTAATTTTATTCTCTTCTTGATGTGGCATCTGTAGTGGGTTTCTGTTTGATTTCTTCCCTCAGGGCTGCTTTTTTTCATGATCACAGCTTAGTTGTTAGACACGCCGCCAATCGGGGTAGTAATCCATAAACTTTACACGAAATTTAATCACCCAACGGCCTCGATCAGAAAGTTTTAATAGACATCGTCATATTTTTGACCTCTCTCCCGCCACCGCCAGCCATCTCCCGACCCGCCTCAACCTTGGCCCCTTTCATATGGACCGGGGATTTCGAGTTCCCTTCGGCCGCAGCTAGTGGAAACATCACTTGATTGACTGGAATGTCTAGCAAACCTCATCCACTGATTTGAAGGGTCCCGCCGCTTTCGTCCCCCTTCTTCCTCCCTTCCTTTCACCTGCCTCGGCATCGAAAAGACCCCGGTGGCGATCGCTGTCCGACCAACCGACCGGACACTCTCTTCTAGCCGAAATTTGTGCCCTGAGGGGAATTTCTTCTTTCTTTTCACCTTTTATACCAGGTCCTGTTCTCGACTGGACGTTCAGCAACCGATTTACACTCTTTTCTTCAATTACGTCATGAACAGGTGATTGGGGAAAGAGTCGAGCATGTTCTGGTGATCATCAACTTGTCCGTGGTGTACCCGACAGTCTGCCAAGATTCCGACCCCGGCCTTGGTCCCTGTGCCTGGTGCCGGGCATCGGCCTTCGGAGGTTCAACTTCGAACTCCTTGGTGGCGATGTTGTTGTCCAATCAGACGACCAAGAAATGATGATTATTTCTACCATGAGGTTGATCAGGAGAGTCAGCCATCGGTAGATGGAGACCATGGGATCAACTTGTCTGATTTCCCCAATTCAAATCATCTCGCAGTACCATCCACTTCACAAAGACATCTTCTCCATCAACAGAGTAGCAGCTATGCCAGCAGTTCTGTCCTCAACATTCCCCCTTCAACGACATCCAACTCTTCGGGTCTTTCGATTCGCGATATCTCCGGACGATTTCGGAAATTGCGACAAAAAAGTGCTAGTGAACTGAGCCTTGTCTTCGATATTATCAGAAGTGGAAGTGCTTTCGAAACAACTTCAAAGAGTCCAGTACCAAAACCCAATCGCGCATCAGTATCAACGGGTAACCTAAGCAAACGACGAAGTATCAAAGAAAAACACAAGCACTTTGAACATATACGGCCCAACTATATTCACAAACAAATGCGGATAGGTAAGAGGAGTCTGTTATGATCGGGTTATCGGGTTCAGAGGTGCGAGAGGAGAGTGCTTGGTCCTTGACAAAGCGCTCTCAACTCCGGGGAACGTCTTGTAGATTTATGAGTGGTCTTGAGCTATTCTGTCTGATCCGCCTGCAGGCATTTAGGCTTGAATCGAACTCTCGGATATCTATTTTGTGTTATTAACGTGCTGTTATAATGGAGTCGTCCCATTATTCCATGTCGACCTTAACCTTCCCCTCTTTCGATGACAATCTCTCCTATTACAATTCGGTGTTAGACCAAGATAGTCTGGACCGGGAGGAGGCCATGAGTCAGTTAAGCGATATTAAATATAAGCCCCGGCATCGGGCTTCCAAACGGGTCGCCAAGGATATGCAAATTCTCAGAGGCAAGTTCCAAGGTTCCGTAGGTATCTGTGATAAAGGATAGGTTAATTCAAAAGCCCAAAGTCATCCAAAGCTTTCAAAATTATTAAGATGTATTATCATCTAAAGTATTGTTTTAGTCCAAGAAGAGAAGGCCATGCAATCAGCCCCTTCAGCGCCCATAGATGCCACCAAATTTGTCGCTTATGTAACAGAACGGCGGAAGAAGAGAATATTATTCAGAGGAGAGTATTTGGTACGGCCCCCGCATTATTTTTACCCTTCTTTAGATGATACTACGGTCCATTGATCCGACAAAGTGCACGACTGAAATTGGATCTAGAATGGGGGAAAGGAATCAGTACAGTGACACTCTACCGTATGACAATACTCGGGTTGTATTATCTATCATTGACGACGACCCCGATTCGCATTACATTAATGCGAGTTATGTTCATGTGAGTTTATAGTTGTTTTGGGCTTTCTGTTATGTTGCAAAAATTAATTTTTCTTGTTTTGTATTTTAGAGCTGGCTCCGTGAGAAAGCTTATATCGTGACACAAGCTGTAAAAACAAAGAATGCAAGTAATGATTTCTGGAGAATGGTCTGGGAACAACGGTCAATTGGGATCGTTATGTTAACCAAGGTTTTCGATTTCATGAGAGTACGTGGGTTACTGTCATTTCACAGATGATTTTAGGTAATGTGTGTAAAATATTGGCCTCTTAATCGATTTCAATTCCGACATATCGAAGTAGAGATGTTAGAAACCAAGACTTATGCTCATTTTGTAAGTTGCGTTCTAACGTGTTCACAATTAAAGTAATATATATGTCATTGGTCCTATTTTTATTTTACAATTTCAGGTGATTCGAACCTTTCGATTACGGAATCTAGAGGATCCCGATACGAGTAATACAAGGATTGTGAAGCACTTTCACTTTACAGAATGGGAACTCAATTCTTTCCCTTACGTCAGCGCTTTCATCGAGTTAAGAAGACGAGTCCGGCAGTGGATGGATGCCAATCCCACAGATGCCCCTTTAATTGTACATTGCAGGTAACAACAACTGTTTATTGCTTCTGTTTTTACAACACCTTATAATTATGTAAAATAACTAGATCGCGGGTACGTATGTACAATTTTGGGTGTCAAATTGTTCGCAAAAAAGTGTCGAACATGTCCTGGGAATGACCTTAGACACTGGCTGTTGCAGTTGCTGAGCGCTGTCGCGTATCCAAGTGGCTACCTGACAATTAATTTAACCTTTTAAAAATTGAAATAGATCTACCTGAACTCTGGAGTAATCCAAAAGGAATTTGTAAGCCCGAGACCCAGCACTCATACCACAATTGCGTAAGAGGACGTTCTGCATACACGAGAGATCACATAACACACTTCGACATCGCTTCCCAAAACCATTCAGACTCAATTCTAATTCCTCGTATGGCCCGCATCTTCTGGCCCCACAGACTCTCTTCAATTGGGGGGCTGAACGGGCATAGCACGGGAGGTTGTTAACCATCTGAAAGTCATGGCCCAGCTTACTTCCTCTGCCAAGCGTCTTTACTCATAATTAATACCATAACTCTCATACCTCGTCGAAACGGGCTTTGCAAACATAATCCCGCATATTAAATTGGATCTCATACCCACAATCCCTCAAACATCTATCGTTCTCGGCGTCGAATTTACAGAAATAGATGAGATCTTCTTTGTCTGTTACAGATGGCACTCCAACACTACCAAAAGAAGTGTGTGCCTGAATGATTTTACAGGAGTTGAGAGGCCTTTTTTACCTTAACCATGTCTAGGGATGTTCTCAGCTTTTCGTTGCACTCTTTTTGACATTTCTCATCTGCGGTCTCGGGATCATCTGAAGAGAGTGGAAGGGTTTAGATAACTTGTCTGAGACATAAAAAGGCCATTAAGGTCCGATTGATATCGTCTTTCACATCGATCTGTGCCAAGCGTAACCTTACCTATCGAACGGGCATTGAGACGTTGTTTCCGGTTGAATTCCTCTTCAAATCTCCGTTCGATCCGCAGCAAGTCAAAGCCCGAGGGGAGTCCCTGGACTAGAAAACAATGGACTAGCAGGGCGAGGCTGAGACGGACGAACATCCGGAAGAAAAGGGCCTCCGTCTCTTCCACCAACAGACTCCGGAGTTTTGCCTCCCGAAAAGGGCCAAACCCGTTCCCGTGATCTGTCGTCTTGTTTTCTTGTTACCATCACTTCTTTCTCGCTCTCTGACTTTTTCACTTTAAAATCAGAGGTTTGAAGTAAAGGAAAAGGAGTCTCAATTACCACAATTACAAGTTCAAATACAAACTGGCCAGGAAACCGGAAACAGATGACCTTTGTTGAAAGAGGAGGGACCTCTCGAGGGGCCCTTCCCTCCCTTCCTGCGCGAACTTCATGTTCAGACGTCAAAAAACAAAGTAAACAAGTTGTTTGACAAGCGGGACAGGTGAAATGTAAATAAACTGCCGAATGTGCGGATTTCAAAAAGCCAATTCAGTTTATTGCTAGCAAAAAACGTTTGGGTTCGAAAACAAAATGAGTTTGTGTTACGTAACCAACTGCAATTGACACTTTACAGTTCGTCAAAAAAAGTGCGGAAAAAATAAGAATCGTCGTAAAAAAATTGGAGGTCACGTCGCAAAAAAAGCAATGCAATAAATGGGTCATTACCGCATTTTTTACATGAAAACACTATACATATACATATATTGACATTACAGTAATGGCGGAGGCCGGAGCGGAGCATTTTTGGCATTGGACGCGAATCTTGAATTACTCAAAAAGACCGGCCAAGTCGACATCTACGAGTATGCAAAGACCATGGTCAACTGCCGTCAGCACCTGATAGATCATGTGGACCAATATATGTTCATCTACGATGTGTTATGTGAAGCCTTGTTGTGTAATATTGAACCCATTCCAATCTACAAACTCAAACAAAGATCAAGCATGTACAGGTCGAGGAAGGATCGCGAGCTCATGGAGTTGCAGGACAATCATGAAAACAAGGTACGAACAGCATCGGTTTCAAATAATTTAATCCTACTTTAGCTACTGCTCATGTTAACGTCATCTCTCCGTATCGGAGATTGTGCCGGAGGGCATCGTTTGGAGAATCGAGGAAAGAACCGGGATGTGATGGTGGTACCTCGTAAGTATTCTGCCCAAAAATATTATTCTTCTTTAGCTGATCATGCCCGTCCGTATCTGCAAACCCTTCATGGGGAAAGCAAAGATTACACTTACATTAATGCAGTCGAGGTGGATGGGTTTACCCGAAAAAGCGAGTTTATTGTCACTGAGTGGCCGAAACAACAGACAATTGACAGTTTCTGGACATTGATATTCGACCACAGCTGTCATACTGTAGTTAATCTAACTAACCCCTCAAATGACAAGGTACAACTTTTTATAATATTTTACAAACCATCCTTCAGATCTATCCTCATTTCATCCATAATAAAGGCAAAAAGAACTATGGGCCTTTTACAGTAGAGATTCTAAATTATCAGCAATATCCCGGGATGACGTCACACATGGTGAAGATCATGAAGAGGGTAAGTTGGATGACGGGGGTAGCTTTTTAACTCAGTCATCCATAGTACAGGATGGGCCACTCGCAGCTTCCTTTCTTTGGATTTCTCCGCGGAGACTCTGTCGGTTTCGTAAAATTTAGATTTTTCATATTCAATCGATTGAATTCGAAAAAAAAATATTTTGAAACGACGTTCTCATAATTTAAAAAATTATTTTCAAGCTGAAAGTTTTAAAAAACGAAAGGTTGGAATGGATTTTTTAAGTGGCTAGCCAAAAGCCTGTATCGGGCATCCAAATTGTTAGAATGGCTTCACAGGTAATGGTAACAGAAGAAAACACCTTTGACGCCATTCTAACGCTCTGGCTAGCCGACCCAGGTCTTTGGATAGCCATTTCAGAATTCCATGCCATGGTGCCGGTTGAAAAGGGTAAATTTCAGCTCCGGGAAAATCTAATAAGTTTTACGAAAATCGGCGAGGTCTCGGCGGAGAAATTGAAAGAAAAAGGAATGAAGCCTCGAGCGGTCCACCTAGTAAACACTTATATCAAGTCTATTTATGCCATCTTTTATATTGTCTTGTATTGTTCCGTATTTGGCAATGTCGCTTTATTGTGAAAATATGAATTCTTTTTTCGAATTTTGACGAGCAACAGCAACCTCCGCCTTCACAGCTGACGCCATTTTGTTGTCTTCGAAAGAAACAGATTGTTCGGAGACCCACCTTAAAAGAGTTTCTCAAGGATGAAAGTAAAAACAACAATGGCCTGCCAGCGGGCCAAACTTTCAGAATGGATCAGAGATATTGGGGCAAGATCAGATCGGCCAGTGAGACCCCCAAAGTGCACAGTAAAGAGAGTATGAAGCTGAGCCAAGCCCTCAAAGAAGGCGGTCAACGGATTGTCAGATCTGCAAGTAAATTGGCCAAATGGGCCCAAGCCCCGAGAGGACAGCGAGCATTCAGCCAGCCCAACAGTGACACTCTTGCTCAATTCGAAAAGGTTCTTGTTATGCGATAGTTGAACAGTAGTTGACCTGTAATCCCCGACTAATCTTATCCCAGATTTCATTCTTTTTGTTCATTTCCGTTGAGAAGGCGAGTAATCTTTCACAAATTATGTTATCCTTTCTTTGATTACTCGTTTCTTGACTTCATTTTTCGCTTTTTGTTGTGTCCTGATTTGGTATCTTTTGTTGAGACAGCCTTTTAATTAGTGGTGTGCCACATGTGGTCGGCGTTGTATTGTCGTACCGACCGCAGACTCGAGGTGATCTGATCGTAAAGACTACTCCCTTTTAGTTCCCATCTTACTGTCCCTTCCACATGTGGCATAGGCCTATCGAGTTTCTTCAAGTCTGAAGTTCAACTGCTCATAAGTTCAGGAATCTTTGCTCATCTTCCAAATTCATCTTGCTTTTCTCTTCTGATTCATTCGGTCTACTGTAATTTCAGCCCTCAGAACCATTTAAATCAGACCCGGAGAAACAAACTAGGGGCGATGTCAGCAAGCTTGTAAGTGGGCTGGTCTTCTTTCTCGGCTACTAATCCCGTAATATCATTGTAATGTCTCCCACCGTCCATTCATAGTCTAAGGATCATCTCAGTTTGAGTAGAGGGTGGTAATACAATGTCCGATCCATGTGTTATGTCATGTGTCTCAGGTCTTGTCATCAATCCGGTACTTCAGTTTATTTTATGTTCTTTATGTTTACTTTAATTTATGTCCATGAATTGGTTGTCGCTTTATGTTGTTTGTTACAGAGAGGTGGAGATGAGGTCCGTCGATTGCTGGCTTTGACCCGAAAATACAATGTCCAGCCCGACCGCGAAACCGAGCATATCCAGAAATTGGTGTCGTATCTTTTTTTCATTCCCTCTTTTTCTGTCACCCCAAATAACTATCATAACATACTAACAGTTATTTCCACTCACATGTATGTCCAGTATTCCATTACAAGGACTCACCCATTCTTTTCAGACCTTTATGATCTCGGAGATCATGGCCACAGGTGCTACGCAACAACAAATGGAAGCCGAGATTCGGATCTGTTGTGTGATACAGGTGAAGATGTGGCCGTTGGAGAACAAAGTCCCTCTTTCCACGACTTCCATGATCGAACTCATCAAGATGACCCGAGCTTGGCGAAAAAGAGCTCCAGACAGACCGGAGACCAAACCAACAGTCGTGATGTCACAGTAAGTCCTCAAACAATACTATAATCTTTGTAGTAATGGAGTAAGTAGATGTGGAATATTCATTGCGGCCAATGTTTGCATCGACCAAATGGACATGGACAACGAAGTGGATGTCTTCCATGCCGTTAAAATGATCAGGATAAACAGGCCTCAACTTATAGATATGAAAGTAAGTTTAAACACGGAACAAGCCATGGTTACATCGACTTCAGGATGAGTACAAATACTTATATGACCTCATGCTGCATTGGTACATGACCGATCCCGACTACCGAGCGCGAGAACCTCAAGAAACGGAAGAATTGGAGGAGGAGGAAGACCTCGAACAATACACAGATGCCTTGGAAGATACTAATCTGAGTCCAAGGCGTCGATCGACCAGAAGATCATCATCCCGAAGCCGGCCTCGACTTGATACTTCCCAGCAAAATAACAACAAAGACGTGAATAATGAAAACCGAAGATCTCGTTCGGTGATCCGCCGAGATCCCGTGTATCTCAATGATTAGGTGCCTCTCAACATATCAGTCCCCGAGGACAGCCAAAGTAACATTCGGAGCCCACTTTCCTTTTGTAAACTCTCAGATTTCACTTGTGCACCCAACAATGCCATGTGCCTTCACTTTTCTAAAGTATCATGTTCATTTTTGAATAAATCAAATTGTTTTCAGTAATAGAAATTTATAATGATGAATAGTCGTTATCTAATATTATTATAATCAAAATTTACTCAAACTCAACAAGTAACAACAACCGCTCCAATCGTTGAACCCTACCCAACACTTCCAATGGTTGCCAGATGATACAATAAGGGATTCCTTTCCTTTAGGACCACATTATTCTCCAAAGCAGCCTTATAAGACACCATCAGAAGATTGAAAGGGTCAGCCAACGTCTGTTTGAGAAGATTTGTCATATTCTCCATATTAGAGTTGACATATTTCACTAGAAAGGAGGCCTTTTCCATCCCGAGAGTCATTTGACGGACGATTTCTGTGTGCTCTGACCATAAAAGTAATCTGATTGTTAGAGCATCGCTCAGAGATGCGTTCATATAGGCAGGTATCAACAGCATCAACGCAAAGTTGTCATCGGCCAAAGAGAATTCACCATACCTCTTCAACAAATCTTCGTAACTAAAACAATTACACAATAACGTCATCAATTACGAGGTCACGACTTTTCGGGTCTTGGGTTTTTCGACTGAGAGACTTTTCGGGTGATGAATAAAAAATTGTAAAATCAGATACTACTGATGGCGCAACACTGTAAATAATTAAAAAAAAACTTTTTTTATCAGTTTTGGGGTTTTTAACAATGCATTGCAATGGAGAATTCAAATTCGCCAAAAGGTCGGTGTAAATGTTAGCGTTGAACTTAGGGTACTTCCCTTGTCAATTACGGAAATCAGAGCTTTTGGTTTGCAGTTTTTTGATGTAAGCTAATAAATGGGCATAACTTATTTGATATTACACAAGATAGGGACGCCTGAGGATTCACGGAAAAAAAGAATTTTAAGATTTGGCCAAAAACTGAAAAAGTTATAGCCAATTTAAATCAAGCCACAAAGATGCTCCACCCTGTATTTGATTTTTCAATTGCTTACTCACCACCCGAAAAACCCAAGACCCGAAAAAGCGCCACGAGGAAGCCCGAAAAGTCAGTCTTCCATCAATAACAAGCGCCACTTACAAAGGAAAGAAAGCGTCCAGTCCAGATACAGATTTGGTCAATTTCAAAGACAAGAGGCCACTTTCAGCCCTTTTTATCAAGTATTCATCCATTAACCGATTGAAACAATCCAAAATGATGGCATCCTTGAAGACTTCGGGTCCTAATTGCCGATAAAGTAATCAATTATGACAATCTTACCTAACAAAAACATCTCGGCCATGTGGACATATACTTGCCCTGGAGTGTATAATGTGTAAAACAAACTCTTCTGTTCTTTCAATAATAGAACAGAGAACAACAAGGACAGTGTGACAATCTCAATATCATCAGGGGTTACACTCCTATAAAATATACAGGGTGCGGCAATTTTTCGGCCGGATTTGAATTGGCTATAACTTTTTTAGTTTTTATCCGAATGTTAAAATTCTTTTTTTCCCTGAATCCTCAGACAACCCCATTTTGTTTAACACCAAATATGTTATATATACAGGGACCTAGTTCATAGTTATTGGCCTTTCGGTCGTGTTCTCTGCTTTTTCGGCGTGTGTGAAAATCGACAGAGAAAACGACTTTTTTTTACGAATTTTGTCGTAAAAAGTTTCATGCCTGTTCATGCCATGGAGAATACCGTTTCTACAAAAAATCAGCTATCTCCGCACAAAACTAACGAGGATATAGCCAAAAAGTTTTTCTGTGTGACCACTCATGTGCCCTCCTGACCGCAAAGAATCGTTGAATATCTTGGTCGCCCCTGAAAGTTGCGGGCTGAAACTTTCAGGAATTGATGTGTGGCGTCCGGCCCATGTGCAAAATTTAAAGAAAATCTGAGAGTCGCACTAGGGGTAATTCCATTGTCAGCTATGAAAATTAGAGCTTTTTCTTTGTCTCGAATTTTTACTGTACAGGGTGTTCCTAGAATTATGGAAAAAACTATTCATTAATAACTTTGTGCTCGGTGGTCCAATCCGAATTTTTTTTTTTGCATTTTACAGGAAGACCTTTGAGTTTTTACAATCAAAAAAATTTTTTTTGTTTTATCGGCGGAGACTTCCGTAATCCGCCTTGAATTCGGCGGAGTGCTTTTTTCACAAATGAGACTGTAAATTGTTGCATGTGTGAAGAAAATGGGCGGGAATGGATTCGGAAGATACAATATGACATTTATTTCAAATTTTTATCATTCGGCGGAGACATTTTTTAACCTCGGCGGACGATTTTTCTTCGACTTTGGAGAGTCAAAATTTGCTAAAACCAAAACGTATGGTATTCCTGGTGGCATGGCGCCTAAATACGACTTATTACGTTTTCGGCCCACTGGGGGAAGAAAAAAGGCAATTCGGCGGAGAAAAAAATGAACCCATTTTAACAGCCTCGTTTGTGAAAAAAGCATTCCGCCGAATTCAAGGCGGATTACGGAAGTCTCCGCCGATAAAACAAAAAAAAATTTTTTTGATTCTAAAACTCCAAGGTTTTCCAGCAAGATGCAAAAAAAATTTCGGATTGGACCACCGAGCACAAAGTTATTAATGAATAGTTTTTTCCATAATTCTAGGAACACCCTGTAGTCTAACGAACGGGTATAACATATTTGGTATTAAACAAAATGGGGTTGTCTGAGGATTCAGGGAAAATTCAGGTAATTTTAAGATTTGCCCAAAAACTAAACAAATTATGGCCAATTAAAATCCGGCCGAAAAATTGCCGCACCCTGTAGATCACATTAGAAGTCTTACCCTCTTTTCTCAAAAACGTCCACCACTCTTCTGATTGGCATCAGACTCCAGGCTCCGTCCAAGAGAGGATTTACACCATAACCAAATCTCTTTTCTGTTTTGCCTTGATCGGTAACACTGAAAGTATAATATGTATTAAGGTGTCCCAATAATTCTTGCAAATCTTCCTCTCGTCGATTTGTGCAACTAATTAGAGATTGATCTTGTTTGTGCTTATAGCAATTTTTTGGGGTTGAGTAACTTCCGCTCATTTTTTCAGTTTTTCTTGGGTTAGCGGTAATTCAGAATTCGACAGCCAGTGGATCCATACATAAAACGCATAAATTTAATGCTATTTTCATTCTGGTATCGGAGCGAGCTGTGCAACCACAGTCAAAAAATGTTATGCGCAAAAGTATTTACATCATGATAGTCACCATGGCGCCTGATACGAGAAGTCATAAGCACTAATCCAGTGGGAGGCACGGCTTATTTGGAAACAGGGTACTCAGTGTTTTATTAAACATTGCAGTTGCAAAGGTGCAGCCTCGCTTACCAAGGAACGTAATTGTTTTCCTGACCCTGCTGAGAAGTGGATTATACAGGGTGGGCCACTCGAAACGGGTAAGTTTTTTCTTTGGATTTCTCCGCGGAGACTCCGCCGATTTTCCCGAAATTTAGATTTTTGTGTAGCTGAGACCCGCCATTTTTAACCGGTTGAATTTGAAAAAAATATATTTTGAATTGACCTTTCTATGCCTTCCCAAAGTTTTGAAGAATTATTTTCGAGCTGAAACCGCTAAAACTTTGAAAATTTTTGGAATGATTTTGAATTGACTTTCTCGGACTTGGAAAATTTTTGGCTTTTTTTGGGGGAAATCGCGGAGTAAAAAATTGCTAGTGCTCGCCTTAAACTTGTTTAAAAGAAAGTTGAAAGCCACAAGAGGGTTGTTTGTATTACCATTAGGGCACGAACATTCAAAAAAAAAAGATTTCAAAAAGATTGCAGAAGTCCACACAATTGGCAACGAGCCCCAGCTCCAAGTCATTGAAGCTTGGAGCCCAGCCCGATTAAAGATAGACGATGTTCACGATCTGCAATTTGAGCTGTTCACGACTCTCATGACTCTCAAAGCTCCTACAAGTTTGTGCTGCGAGAGGAAATGGGCATTTCGGACTCAGATAGAAATATTAATAATCAGGTCGTTAAATAAAATTGCTTTTACGACAATATTTTATGGTTATCTGAGGTAAAACTTAGAAAATTTCACCCAAAAACTCGAAAAAATGACCAAGTTTTCGAAATCATTCCAAACATTTTCCAAGTTTTAGCGGTTTCGGCCCGAAAATAATTCTTCGAAACTTTGGGAAGGCATAGAAAGGTCAATTCAAAATATATTTTTTTTCAAATTCAACCGGTTAAAAATGGCGGGTCTCAGCTACACAAAAATCTAAATTTCGGGAAAATCGGCGGAGTCTCCGCGGAGAAATCCAAAGAAAAAAGTTACCCGTTTCGAGTGGCCCACCCTGTATTAAAGAATTTCAACTAATTGCCCGGAGGGCATGTAGTCAGTTCAATTTTTTATGCTACTTATAAGTGTAAGAGATGGCGGTTTTAGCAGTACCAAACATTAAAGAGTGTCGCAGAATTTGCTCATCTTCGTCGATGATTTTGATACCTATGCCAAAAAGTTCGAGAGAGAAGAGAAGGAAAGAAAAGAAAAGTGTCCCATTCCTGAGGCTACGGAACCCACCGATGAATTTCAGAATTGACTTTGAAAAATAAATTTTTATTTTCAGGGAAATTTGCGATTTTTTTGTGAAAAATTTCTGGTTTGCATGTTGAGCTTGCACAGTGCAAAGAGCCAAAATCGGCACTGTGCGTCCGTTTTTCGCCATTTTGCACAGTGCAAGAATTTCGTCGCGTTTCGGAAATCGCAGAACAAAAATCGAAATTTCTTGTCGCAATTTTGGGGATGCGGCTTCGAAAAATGTTCGTAAAAAATGTGTTCGAAACTTCAAATTAATTTTTTTAAATTTTTGCGACTTTCGAAAAAAAATTTCAAAAATTTTTATGCAAATTTCCCCAAATTTCCTCACTTCCCCACACCTCCCTTCCCCTCATACCTTCTCGACGCTCACTCGTTGATCGGTTGCTAAGCTTGCACCTCTTTTTTTGTCCCACTTCCACAGTAATCTGCGGGCCGTTGTAATGGAAAAAGAGAAAGACAAAAAGGGCCACGGAGTCGCGCAGGTCGGCGGGTTCTTGCAGCGCCTCAAGAAGAAGGCGCAGAACAAGTTCCGCGGAGGCGACGATGGGAACGGCGGCGTGACAGCTGAGGAGAAATCCGTCAAGGTGAGTTCCAAGCCCAAAAACGTTGGTTTTATGGGGCTTGCGCAAAGTTTTTGAAATTTTCATGTTTTCGTGGTGGGACAAAAAAATGTTTTTTTTTTGAAACTTTGACTAAGCCTGGAAAATACTGAAAATCAGGAATTTCTAAGACATTTTCTGAGACATTTGTGACATTTCTCGCCGGAATCTTGCGTAAGCCACCGATTTTTTCGTCGCAAATTATTGAAAAGTTGCTGAATTTCAATTTTAACGAGTTTTTTTTTAGAAAAAGGATAATCAAAAGCAGACGCAGGCCCGTAGGAAGAAGAATACGGCTACGAATACTCCCAAGGAAAGCAAATCAGATGATACCGCATCCTCTATGGTCATGAAGAAGAAAGACCGAGAACGCGACAAAGATAAAGAAAAAGAGAGCGGATTGGATGCCTCCAGAAGTGTCAAAAAGAAGAAGTGAGTTTGATTACAATACTACGGCAGACGTATTTTGCGTTCAAACCACTTCTGAGGCTTTTGCAACCATTTTGCGCCCTTGAAACAGAATGCCAAAAAATGGCGGGAAATTCGAATTTTGAATTTCACACTATGCCTTTTTTAGTGGGAGATGGAGTGTTGCTATTTTACCTTTTTTTGAATTAATTCGATCCCTTTTGAGCCCTTGAAACACAATGCCAAATTTGGGCGGGAAGTTTAAAATTTGAATTCTTTGGCATAATTAGTACGGTATCGAACTGAGACGGTTGTATTTTACTCCACGCTCATTTCCAAAGCGATTGGATCACCTTTTGAGCCTTGCAACAGAATGCCAGAATCTGTGGGAAAGCCGGAATTCAAAACTAAAGTTTCGATTTCAGCCATAAAAAGAAAGCACCGAACGCCAACGTCACCGTAATGAAGGTGGTTGAGACGGAAACCCAAATAAAGGAGGTCCCCGAGACCGTCACCGACAAATTCAACTTCATTCCGACCATGTTAAACAAGGAGTTGAGCGGGATCCGAAAAGAATTCAACGACATCAAGGCCGAAGACAAGGCAAAGGTCCACATGGCCATGGCGTGTCAAGATCCCGCGAATGCGGACAAGAATCGCTACAAGGTGAGAGAAATCGCGGTGTTTTTGTGTTTAGAGCGCGCTTTGAAATTTGCATGTTTTCGTGGTGGGACTCAAAAAAATTTTTTTTGAAAGTCAAGCCTCTTGATGAAACTTTGGGGAAATTTGTAATACAATTTTCTGAAGTATTTGTCAAGATTTGGGCTCTTACTGTGCAGGAATTATTGAGTTTTCGGCGGAAAATCAAAAAAATAAAAAAAAATTTTGCGATTTTCAGCATGAAAAATTTGCATTCTACCCTAGCACAATCTTTCTAGAAAAAATTGCTTTTTTCTCACGTCAGGATAATTCGAAAAGGTATAGCTGAAAACAATTTTTTTTGACTCTCCTAATTTTCCATAGTCTCTCGTCGGGAAAATTGTTGAATTTCACGACTCTCCGCGAGAACTAGGCGCTCAAACTTTTAGTAATCAGTGGTTGGCCCATTGAGACTTGCTGTGCAAAATTTCAAGTCATTTGAGGCACTTGGGATACTGTAATTTGCACTTTTTTTCAGAACATTCTCTGTCTGGACGCGTCGCGCGTCAGACTGTCGGATGGGGGCTACTATCACGCGAGTGCGGTGGATTCGCGTTTTATTCTGGCCCAGTCGCCCATGTTCAACACTACCGCGCAATTTTGGGATTTAGTTCAGAACGAAGGAGTCGAAATGGTCGGTTTTTATTGTATTAGTCATCAAGTTTGCGATTTGTTTGAAGAATTTGAATATTTTTTAAAATTTTTGCTTATTTCGTTTGGTTTTCAGATTGTGCAGTTGCATCCATGTGATGAAGGAAGAAAGTGCGCTAGATATTACCCAGGAAAAGTAGGCGAAACCAACGACTTTGGAGTGTTCAAGGTCGCGAATTGCAGAGTAAGTAGGCCACAAAAAAGGTACTCCGCGAACTGCGCCCAAGCTTGGGCACTAAAGCTAGGAAAAAACGCTTCGACCTAGCTGGCACTGAATTACTATAATAGCTCTATAGTTCTAAGGGTACCTACGAAGGCTGTGATGACTCATTTAGTTCCATACGGAGGCAATAAGTTTAGTTCCGGACATGTTTCATCGTATAAAGTGTAAAAATCACAGGCTGCGGCCGGTTTTGAAGGGTAAGATGGTACGTAAAAAAGAAGGTACCTCACTAGCTAAATCCACTGCCCGGGCATTGACAACGATGAATTGAACGTGCACGCTAAATTTGGGCTAATACCGACCAGTTACCGTAAAGTTATAAGTTGTGGCCAAAATAAGGAACTTTTACCAGTTGGACCTATTATTATCAACAATTCTTGGTTTTCAGATCGACGCCAGCCCTGTGGAGGAGCCGACCCTCCATTTCAGTCATCTCAAAGTTAGCGGCCCTAAGGGCGAGCAAAAAGTCAAGCATGTTTTCTGGTCCAATTTCCCTCCGGTGGGCTTCCCCGAGCCTTCGAACACGATGCCCTTCCTTTGGAAGCAAATCAAAGGCCACAGGAAAGTGTTGGTCCATTGCAGCTCGGGCGCAGGTCGCAGCGCCGTGCTGGTTTTTACTTGCCAAATTCTGGAAAGAATCCAGCATGGAGAAGAAGCGGATGCACCCAGGATGTTGAGGAACCTCCGGGAGAAGCGACATTGCGCTATCCGCAATGAAATGGTGGGTTGGGAGCGGGCAAATCAGTTCGCGTTTATAAATCATAACAGGTCCCCAATTTTTTACACTCGTTTTATTTTCAGCAGTACGTGTACGTGATGCGCATCATCCTCTTCTACTTTATGAAGTACAATGCTGTGGAGATGTCGCAGAATTTGCTCATCTTCGTCGATGATTTTGATACCTATGCCAAAAAGTTCGAGAGAGAAGAGAAGGAAAGAAAAGAAAAGTGTCCCATTCCTGAGGCTACGGAACCCACCGATGAATTTCAGAATTGACTTTGAAAAATAAATGTTTATCTTCAGGGAAATTTGCGATTTTTTTGTGAAAAAATTCTGGTTTGCATGTTGAGCTTGCACAGTGCAAAGAGCCAAAATCGGCACTGTGCGTCCGTTTTTCGCCATTTTGCACAGTGCAAGAATTTCGTCGCGTTTCGGAAATCGCAGAACAAAAATCGAAATTTCTTGTCCAGTTTAGGCCATCGAAATGAGACCGTAATTCTTAAACCCAAAAATGTGCGAGACTTATAGGCCCTAATATACACAAAGCGTGAATGATAAACTTACAATTCCTCCAAAAAGAGATTACTGATCTCATCCAAATTCTCTCGGGCCTTGTTTACTAATTTATCATTTCCATCGTAATTTCTGGAAAGGATAACAAAAATAGTTACTTCAATTGGATCCTACTTGTTTGGTACTTTCAATTTCTCGAACAAAAGAACCATATTCTGTTCTTGTCTGGGCAACACAGACTTCATGTACTTGGAAGCAAAATCCATATGAATTGGATCCATAGCCAACCTTTCCAAAGATTCCATTGTGTCTGGATTATCTTCCATTTTATCTGATATCACTTCAAGGTTCTTAACAAGATGTTCTTCCAATTTTTTACTGGTTCCAGGTGTTTCCTTTTTTGCCAAGCCTTGCCTTTGTTGTTTAAAAAGTGACACTAAAGTAATTAAAAAAAATTGTACAAATTTCAATTAAAATTATAAAACAGGAAAGGTAATTGAGACATACCTTTATTCAGTTTATTTTCTTTTGCTCGGTTCTTCAAAAAATCTATAGATTCTTTACTCAGCCTTTCATATATCTCTTGCCTAGCTTTTTCAATCTCATAATCATCCATTGCCTTTATTTTCTTCCAATTCTCCGCTTCAATATCATTGTAGTCTTCTTTCTGTTCAGGAATATTCGAATCAATGGCCTCTAAAACATACAAATTCTGCTAAAACACGGCTTACCATCTTTAATCTCCCCGTTCAATCTTTCGTATTCCGTAAGGAAAATACTTTTTCCTGGGAACGGTTTCCGTGGTTCATCACCTCTGAAGTAAGCGCTAAGATCAAGGACTGGAGGGAATCCATCTTCTTGTGATCCAATCTCAAACTCATATTTTTCACACTTTTCAGGGCACTCGAAGAAGCCGGGATACCTTTCCTAAGGACAAGTTGAAATACAGTAGTAATAAAACACTTACTTGGACGAAAGAAACGACATTCTGAAGTGGTTCCTGGATCTCTTCATGTAGATCAACGTTAACTCTTCCTCTGTTAGGTTCATCTAATTTCAGAGTGTTGAAAACTTTGGGCTTTCTTGTTTTACCTGGCATAAATGTTTTTGAGAAAACAAAAAAATATTTTTTTTACCGGTTTACACGCCAATTTATTTTCTTCAAAAACTATTTTTGTGAGCTGCGCCCGAGTTTGTGAGAATGTTGGTTGCCATTTTATACACAGAAGGCAAAAATTCCGGTTTTTGGTGAAAGCAACCGGTGAAAAGAGAAATTAGTGCAGAATTTTATGTGTTTTCAGAAAAAAGGACTGTACCACTGCATCTTGGCAACCGCATCTTGGCAACGCGGTTTACGCCAAAATTTGTGCCAACTGTTGCCCTAGCCTATCGGGTCAACTGTGACCTCGGGAAAGAAACACTACCGTATCTTTACAGAAAATCAGTCTAATTAACAGAACGTTTGCATAAAAGAGAACCGTCTTAGACAGAGGGCATACATATTCATTCTCTCAGGAGCTTGACGGGAACATTTTTCAGACAGTTTTGGCGATTTTACATTTCTATGGTTTGACCGTGGAGAGTTTGATGTTTCATATCTTTTCTTTCTCTTGACCGATTTTTAATTTGATCCGACCGGTTTGTAGAGATTAAAGTTACAAATATCTTAACCAAACTCTGATCTATTTGTCTCGCAGTGATGAGCCCCAGGGTACAAAAGAAAAAAAATGTACCCAACTCCCTTCAATAGTGTTTTCAAGTCGGTAAAAAAGCTCTAAATTGATTATTACACTCTTTACATAAGTTGTCAGCTAAATTGGACTTATTTTTACACGCACCATTCTCGATGTTCATCGTATAACATGGACTTGAATTCTTTTTTATTTTTCTTTTTGGCGTGCTAGGAGAACTTGGGAATGTCGTCGTTTTAATGGTCGATGAAAGATTTTATATTTTTCGTTTCTTTATCTCTGAATGCACACTGTAAATCTTACTTGCTACAATACCCGGGAAACAGAAGTCTTATCAGCACTGACTTCAGCGTTAGATTCTCTTTTTTCCACCTCAAGTCAGATATTCAATAAAGTGGAAGAACGGATCAACGAGTGTCAAACACGACTCAATGGCTATCAACGGAGGTTTCAGGCGATCACTGAAAACATCGAGACACTTCAGGAGGTAATTTTAGAGTAAAGTCTCATTCGATGTTTAGATGGAGAATCCCGTCATTATTTATGTCTCCGAATTCCCAAGAACGCATATAACAGAACGGAAATTGGTCATCACCAAACCATCTCACACAAAATCACCTCTTATAACTGCTCCTTCGAGGATAACCTGTACCCCGGAACAGTTCCTGAAGACTCGGAAAGTCAATTCCGTGGGGAATATCTATAAATTCAATGAAGGTGGGTCAAAAATAAATGAATCACGGATTTGCAGAGAATCACAAAGCAAATATGTTGTTCAATATGGAGATGATCAGGGTTGAGAACATATTATTACGAGCAAAAAATGTTTCAAACTCTGGAAGGGCATTAGAAAAAGTGGAAGATGACATTCTCCGTAGATCTTTGTTAGCAACAGAGCAAGAAGACGTTGCAGGAGACGATGAATTCGAATATAAGCAACCGTCTGAGAGTCCGACAGAGTTTGATCTTCCAGACATCCTTCCAGGTACCTCGATCAGCATGAGACAATTATTTTTTAGGGATTGAGATTCAAAACATTTCGATGTTCGGAAATGATGAGTTCAGTGATGATGATGAGGACATGTTTGGTGCGAGCTCAACGCATAAAACCAGCTCCAATTCTCGAGAACCATCAGCGTTTGACTTAACAGAGTCCCCGCGCAAGATTGATATTGTTTTAGAGGAGAAAAAAGAAACTCCGGACCTTGCTACACATACCCAGCCAAAAGAAGTTGTTTCTCAACCCTCATTGTCTCCAGTCAGTCCTCCCCCTCCTCCTCCACCACCGCCACCTCCAACCCTCTTCGCCAATGTTTCTCCTCCTCCGATCGCTGGAAGATCCAGTCTCATGGAAGCAATAAGAGCTGCCGGAGGAGCAGATAAAGCGAAATTGAAGAAGATAACGGCCGAAAAGGTGGTGGAAGAGAGTCCAAAACCGAGTGTATCTCAAGGGGATGACCTTATGGGTTCTCTTGCAAAAGCCTTGGAGAAAAGAAGGAAGGGTCAGTGTAACATTAGTCGGATTATATTCATCTTACAGGTATCTCTGGTAACACTAAGAAAAAGTTTGATGCGTTGGAAAAGAGGTCTAAGGGACCGGGTCCAAGCCTGTTCAGTTCGATGCGAGAGGTTATAAACACCAAAGTTAACCATGATAATTCTTCTGGTTCGGAGGAAGAGGAAGATTGGAATTAATATCACTTACAAATAATTAGTATTTCGAATAAATTGTGAAAGAAAATATGTGTTAATACTGGTCAAATTAATCTGTCCGTGCAATTTCTTCAAACTTCTTCCGAGTCCCCCGTGTGTATAATAACTTTCGTGCAGGGGTGGTCAGTGGGCCGGGCTCAAAAATGGAAAATTACAAACGGGCCGGGCCCGTCACGGGCCGGGCCTGGGGTTTTTTCCGGCCCGGCCCGTCTAAATTACAATGCCAAACCGTTGGCATTCATTGTTTTCGCGCCGGGAAAATTAATTGATGTTGTTATTGTTGCTGTTTCTAAAGTTCTAAAACGTTTACAAGTCTATAGTTCCATTATAAAACCACAAAACTATCACATTGATCCTTTACTAGCTATATCAACGCCTTTTTTGCCTAACAGGGGAAGTACCCCAAGTGCGACGCTCAGATTTTGATGAAACTTGGCACAAATTTAGAATAATTTTTTCTAAAATATATGTGAGAATCCTAGCTCGCGCTTTGCAGAAATAACCGAGATTTTTAGATCGAAAGTGGGCGAAAATTTGACACTTTTTGGCGAATTTCGGCACGAAAAGTTTCATACCTATTTCTATCATAGAGGGTAATGTTTCCACAAAAAATCAATTTTTTCCTCACGAAACTAGCAAAGTTATGGCCAAAAACCGTTTTTCTCTCTGACCGCTATCCGCGTTTTGTGTACTCTCTCGGCGGCAAAGATGGTTCAATATCTCGGCGGAGCTTGCAAAGCGCGAGCTAAAACTTTCAGGAATTGTCATATAGTTCATGCCCGATGTGTGTTCAAAATTTAAAGAAAATCGGAGCGTCGCACTTGGGGTACTTCCCGTGTAAGTTTAGATCCCAAGCTTGGGCGCAGTTCGCAGAACCCTCTATAAACGGGCCTGCACGGGCCGGGCCTGGAAAAAGACTAGACGGGCCGGGCCGGTGATTAGACGGGCCGGGCCGCGGGCCGAAAATCGGAAAAATAGGGTCCGCCAGGGGTGGTCAGCAGACCCTATTTTTCCGATTTTCGGCCGCGGCCGGCCTGTCTAATCACCGGCCCGGCCCGGCCCGTCTAGTCTTTTTCCATGCCCGGCCCGGCCCGTGACGGGCCTGGCCCGGCCCGGCCCGTGCAGGCCCGTCTATAGAGGGTTCTGCGAACTGCGCCAGGCTCGGGATCTAAACTGAGGCAAAAGGCGTTGATCTAGCTAGTAAAGGATCAATGTGATAGTTTTGTGGTTCTATAATGGAACTATAGACTTGTAAACGTGTTAGAACTTGAGAAACAGCAACTATAACAACATCAATTAATTTTCCCGGCGCGAAAACAATGAATGCCAACGGTTTGGCATTGTATTTTAGACGGGCCGGGCCGGGCCGGAAAAAACCCCAGGCCCGCGGCCCGTGACGGGCCCGGCCCGTTTGTCAATTTCCATTTTTGAGGCCGGCCGGCCCGTTTGGGCCGGGCCGGCCCGGCCCGCCGACCACCCCTGGGGTCCGCTGACCACCCCTGCTTTCGTGACTGGGGGAGACAGTTGATGCCTTGAGTCAAGTCTTTCTTTTCAAAACATTTGCCAGGGGTGGTCGGCGGGCCGGGCCGGCCCGGCCCAAACGGGCCGGCCGGCCTCGAAAATGGAAATTGACAAACGGGCCGGGCCCGTCACGGGCCGGGCCGGGCCGGGCCGCGGGCCTGGGGTTTTTTCCGGCCCGGCCCGGCCCGTCTAAAATACAATGCCAAACCGTTGGCATTCATTGTTTTCGCGCCGGGAAAATTAATTGATGTTGTTATAGTTGCTGTTTCTCAAGTTCTAACACGTTTACAAGTCTATAGTTCCATTATAGAACCACAAAACTATCACATTGATCCTTTACTAGCTAGATCAACGCCTTTTTTGCCTCAGTTTAGATCCCGAGCCTGGGCGCAGTTCGCAGAACCCTCTATAGACGGGCCTGCACGGGCCGGGCCAGGCCCGTCACGGGCCGGGCCGGGCCGGGCCTGGAAAAAGACTAGACGGGCCGGGCCGGGCCGGTGATTAGACGGGCCGGGCCGCGGGCCGAAAATCGGAAAAATAGGGTCCGCTGACCACCCCTGACATTTGCTATAGAAATTTATGCTTTGCAAAGCATCTTTGTCGTTTTTTCTCCTTTTTAAACCATTTCTATAATTTCTTAACGATTTGATATTATTTTTTCAGGGTTATGTTCAACGGACCTATTAAAGAGAAGAGTTCCTATTCTAATATAATCGAGGCCGAACTTCCTAATCCTTATCCCCCAAGAGCAGTTTATGGGTTAGCTTTTTCTTTTGCGACCGTGATTCTCTACTTATTGTTGCTTACTTGGACTTATATTCCTGAGTATATTCTGCATCAAATCGGATTGACTTATTTGCCGGCTAAATATTGGGCGATTGTTATTCCCTTATCCGCATTCTTTCTTATTGTTATATACGCACTCTTCCATTTCTTGTGGACCTTCTATCATTTTATTGGTTTTTTCGACAATACGATTACAGTGGATAACGACTTCCGCGATTAAGAAATGAAGTTAGCCGGAAGATGTCATGTTGTGACAAAGTCTGCGATTCAGAATACGATCGGAGAACGGCTAACTTTACTGAAAAAGAAAAATGCAGCTAAGATTGTAAAGGACCCATCGGAAAACCTGGAATCTATGTTGAGTTCTCTCCATATTCGGTATGTTTTTTATATTTTTATCAGTTTTTTAGATCAGATAAAAAATATGAATCTTACGAGAAGGCGAGGTGCCAGTTACAGAAATACGATGATATTGAGAAAGAAAGGATCGTAACAGGCGATGAAGTTTTGTTTCCGTTCAAGACAGATTTGGTTAAAATTAAAATGACCGATGGCGGAACCGGTTGCGTGTATCATGATGTACCTGCCCACGACCGGGGGTTTTATTGCAAACGTGGACTGTTTTGTGATGAATATGTCGTTGGATCCGCAGCGGACATTCCAGATGAGGAAATGAATGAGTGAGTGTCTATGAAGTTAGTTCACTTTATTTTAGAGCCCCGTATTACTTCTACAATGTTCAAGATTCCGTTGAAAACATGATTTTAGAAGCCCCATCGCAACTCCCATTGCCCAAGGTAACTGTGGATGGATTTGTCAATTTTTTTAGAAGTACCCAAAACGAAATGAACTTGATGAAGACGCGGAGATGGATTCCGAGATGAGTGCCATGTATGGGAATGTGGATCTGGATTACAAACCGGAGATTGAAATGAATTGTGTTGGATGTGGAGCCAAGTTTCATTGTCATGACGTCTCTCTTCCCGGGTTCTTACCAGTGGAATTACTGCATAAATTGGTTCAACGTAAAATTAAAATCCCCAAATTAGAAATCACAGAGAGGTGTCGAAGATGTTACATGCTTAAGAATTACGACTTTCTGGTGAGTTTTTCTTATATTACATTAACTGTTTTTGTGCTTTAGTTGAACGTGAATGTAAGCCCGGTGGATTATAGGGCAGTGATGGGCCATCTCAAATTGCGACAAGATGTTTTAATACTCCTTATCGTCGATATGACTGATATTCGAGGATCGATTCTCTCTCAACTCCCCCAGCTGATTGGCCATGGGAAGAATGTTATGGTAGCTGGTAAGTGGCGGGAATATTTTTAGTTTTCTTGGTGTTTAGGAAATAAAATGGACCTTTTGCCTCCTGATGCTCGCGCTGGGTATCTAAAAAACTTCCGAGATGTTTTGAATTACGAAATTGAGAGAGCTGGGTTGAGGGAACACTTTAGTATATCCAAGACGGCGCTAGTAAGTGCCAAGACTGGATATGGGGTCGAGGATTTGATTACGGTAGGTCAGGTGTCACCCGAATAAATATTTTCAGTCCATTTTCCTAGAATGGGTCAACGTAAAAGGGAATCTCAGAAGCGATATTTACATGGTAGGCGCCACCAATGTTGGGAAATCGTATGTTTTGGCGATTGGATATGACAAATAAAACGTATTGGTTCCAGAACTTTATTCAATAGTTTCATTCAATCGGATTTATGTAAGATCCGTGCTCAGGATCTTGTTGAGAGAGTTACAACATCGATTTGGCCAGGAACAACTCTTTCTTTACTCAAGTTCCCATTAATGAATCCATCAACCAGGAAACTGGAGCTAAGAAGGAGACGATTACTGTCTCAGATGAACTGGAAGAACAAGGAATCAAAGTTTCAACGACAACTCTACTTGGAAACCAGGAATCCTAGGTATCTGAGCTTGTCTGGGATCATCGAATCCACTTTTAAGGTATAGTAACTGTCATGGTAATGGTTATGTGTTGCTGTAGGAAGAAGAAGAAAAGGCCCAGGCACCCTCAGATGAAGATCTCCAGAAGAGATTAGAGAATAATTTTGAAGATATGGACGCAGAAAAAAGGAAACCGAAGATTCTGTTGAACGGAGAGTTATTTAAAAATGGATTCTGGTGTTATGATACCCCCGGGACTGTCAATCCGGATCAAATATTGGATCTCCTGACCTTGGAAGAGCTTGTAAATGTGATCCCAAAGGAACTGATCGTTCCTAGAAGTGTTGTTTTACAGAAAGGATGGTCTCTTTTGGTAGGAGGCCTTGGTCGAATCGATGTTTTGGAAGTTGAAAATAATCAAGAGGCCGTAAATAGACCTGTTTATGTGAGGAATGACGCCATTAGCTGACTCTGATCCGCATAATTTTAGATGACCGTTTACGCCAGTCACTCGGTCAAATTGGAAGCACTGAAGACTGAGGAAATCAACGAGTTTTTGGACAAGAATATTGGAAAAATGGGAGTACCTATTGGCGGAAAGAACAGATTGGAAATGTTGCCTGAGGTAATTTATAAGAAATTTTCTTTACAGTAATTTTAGATGAAGTCAAAGGATTTCTTGGTGAAAACGGTTGACAAACGACATCTCCGAGCATCAGAAGACGTCCTTTTATCTAGTCTGGGATGGGTGTCAATATCATCCATCTATTCTGTCAAGGTCCGAGCATTCACTCCAGGTGGGCGAGGATTAGGTACCCGGCCTTCTCTTCTGAAATTCGCCGTGGACATGAGAGGCTCCAGAATCCCTGGAACCCGATTCTTTACTCCCAAGATTACACCTCCATAAAGGGTTGTTCTAGGATTAACGTTGTTAATTTTTATAAACATTGTTATTTTTTTTGAAGGAAATTTTATTAGTGCTGTAAGACATCAATTAGTTACTTATGAATTGTAAAATTAAAACGTGCATTGTAAGTTCAGCTTATTGATGAATGAAAACTTGCTGAAAGTCCTCATTCCAACTTCTGTCTGTTTATTCGCTCTTTTCTGGAAGTGGTAAGGTGACATTATGCCCAGTCATCTTTCTTTACAGGCCGTTGTTATCTGTAGCATGCTTCTTTACTGCAGCCACTGTATTCTGGCTGGGCTATGACTTCCTGTCAGACGATGGGAAAAGAAATAAATTCGATTTGGCATTATCCAAGTACCTATCTCATCAAGAGCACCCAAAAGATGATAAGGCCGAACAGTTTTTGAAAACAGCTCCATGGTGTGGAATTGAACTCCCAGAGAAATTGAATTCAAAACTAGAAGAACTGATCCTGTTCTTGATATCAGACTACGTTGACAGATGGTATAAAAAGGAAATCAGTGCTGATAACACGTTTTTGGTGGAGATAAAGTAGGACAAGTCGCAGAAAAGGCAACCAAATTCCAGATATCAGATTCGATATGGCGCCGCGGTTGCGTTTCGCGCCCTCCGGGGCTATGACATTGTTATGCTTATCGAGAAGGATGTTCTTCCTATCGTGGCGTTACATTTAGCGAAGAGACTAAAGAATCGCGATGAAAATCATAACACTCATTTAGCTGTTACACACGATAAAAATTTCGAGATTTATCTCAGAGAAGTGGCTGATATCTTGGTGATCAGACTCTTCGATGAAAGCAGGATTGGTGGAGTTGAAATGGATTCAGATGCACCACGGATGAGTGGTCGGGTGGGTGTGATAACGTAATATGCATTGTATCTTTTTATTTGATTTAATGATACGGATCTTTAGGAATGGCCGAGTGAGACTTGTCGTCATTTCCTCAGAGAACTGTTCTTATCGGCCGTTCTGAAGCCATTGATCGAATTCATCTCAGATCCAGACAATATCAATAATATTGTCATCAGCGCATCAAAAGCTGGTACCATTCAGACCTCACTTAAAGATGTGGGTTAGATTAGTATTGTTTTACTTATTTTTAAAGGATCCCCATGTTCCATTCCTCCAAACCTTAACACAGTATTCACTTTATGACACCCCTGATTCTCTCTTAATGCTCAATCTCAAAGACTTGTCCAAGAATCATCACCTTGTTCAAGAATTTTATGCCTATCTCAAAGATGCTCACGGTCCTGTTTACTGGTTGGACTTCTTTTTTGCCATCGAAGAACTTTTGCATGATCTCCATGGACATGATGTAGGTCAACTGAATGTGCAATTGAGTTTTCTAGAGGAGTGAGGATGATCTCATCAAGGGAGCAAACAGTTTGTATAACATTTACATCGATCCGTTGTCGAAGAAATCAGTCCAATTGTTATCTCAACAACTTCGAGATTGTGCAAAACGTGCAATCAATGAGAAGAATGTCAAAGATCTTAACGTTATTTGCGAGCAGATGTACAAGGAGCTCTATCAGGAACTCAATTACAGCTTCGTGGTCCCATTTTGCCAATCAGAATCCTATCTGAGGTCATTATGTGGCACAACTGTTGATGGAATTGATATTCTCAAGGAAAGAGAGAGTACTTCTGGGGAGGATAAGGACACATTTATTAAACCCGTAGTCGAAGAAGAGGCGAAAGCAGTCGATGCAATCGATGCATCCTTCTTGGATGTTGACAATGCTCTTGTGGATGACCCCATTGACATGAAAAATTGGACTGTTACAATCTCCGCCATCGAACCAAAAAAGAAATTTGGAACTGGGAAGGTGTATTATGTATATAGAATTGACGTGAACAGAAACGAAGAGACGGAAGTGGAGGATATAGATCTCGGAATCGATCCTCTGACAATGAATGATCTCGATGACAGTGATGATGACTTTGTGGATTGTGCACGAGAAGAAAAGATGAGTCAGCTGCCGAGCAAGTGGTCGATCACTCGGACATACGATGAATTCTTTGTATTCGAGAGTAAATTACTTCGGTTTTATGGGCCCGAGGCTCTTTCGGTCAAAGCTCCGGATCGCAAAATGTTCTGTCCCAGGTCGAGAATGTTCCTCGAATCCCAGCGAGATTATCTGGAGAGGTATTTGTACCAACTCCTACAGAGGCCGTGGATGAGAAAGAGCATGCTCGTCTATCTCTTCTTGACCAATCCTTCTGATTCTGGATTCGAATCCGGTCTGATCAATGCCAAAAAAATGAATCCGATAAAATCGATGAAGAAGATGGCTGATTCTCTGGAGACAGATCGGAAACAGTATCTGAAACCATTCGTCTTGAGATTATTGGCCCAATGTTTGGCCAATGAGAACGAATATGCGGTGACTGAAACAGCGGCAACTGTAAAATATACTAGGTAAGTTGGGAAAATTTTTTTCTGATCTTTAAATTTAAGTTCAACTGAAACCGATTATTGGAAAGATGAGTTTTCCTCGATTTGCTGCCATAATTTCACAACTCCATTTGAATATTATAATGAGAAATCTCAACGTACGATAAAAGAAGTCGAGGAGTAAGTACTTATGCCCCTAAATTATGCTTTGCGTTTTTTTCCAAATTAATCCTATAAATTTTAGTGGAATTTCTTCTTTCCTCGCCTTAATTCTCACCGACCTGTACTCAAACTCGGCCATTTCTGCTTGTTTTATTAGGGTTATATCGAGGATATTCCCACTAACTGCGAATGTTTTGATTCGCAATGCAATCAAAGGTGTTGTAAATAAGGTTTTGACTCCGGAATCCGCCTACAGTCTGGCTGATTCACTTTACAAGCTGGTCTATCACAAGGAGACCCAGGTGATAACAGAAGAGGTGAGTCAAACCAGTAGACACACCTACACAGAAAATATGTTTGATAGCAATTTTTTCAGGAAAAACGGGACAATTATTCAGCCGCCAAAAAAGTTGTTCTGGGACTTCTAAAACACGCAAAACTCAATAATTTGGAGAGTCTGAATACCGTAATCCTTGATATTTTCAACATTTTGCAATCTCAAACAGACAACAAACAACTTGTTTTGGTGTGTTTGGACCTGTTGGTCACCAAGATAACAGCCAAGTCATCATAAAACTTATTTATTATAATGAAATACCAGAGAGAAAGTGTAATACAAAGCTTCTATGGCAGTATGAATGTAATTTGGGGGGAATAATAAGCAAGGGGCAATGTAACACGGGTACGGAAGACGTCGTTATAATGAATCGAGCTTAATATTGTACTCAAAGAGGCAGTTTTCACTTGGCTAATATCTCCGAAAACACAAACGAGGTCTTGAGTACATTAATCTGACGAAAACGGGATTGATCGGATGAGTAGAGTGATATGTGATCAAGGATCTAAGGGACTTTCTGCTAGACAACGTTAAGTTTTCAATCTTGCCGCCATTAAAAATAAGTAGTTACTCAAAAAAAAACAATAAACATAACTGTAATAATAGAGAATTTTACAACAGAATCTTACAATCGAAGACGAATCCGGTATGATTTTTGTTTTCTTCCTGTGTTTATTGGCCGGTCTGAACGGTTTTCTGGTTGTGAGTGGCTCTTTCCTCTCCTTCCTTGTTGATGAATTGAGTCACCACGTTGGCTCCGATGCCCCAAGTGTTCTCTGAATCCAATACCAGGCTTTCTGGAGGATTGTGGAAGCCACCTTGATTGCGGGCAAAGATCTTGGTGGTGCGGCCTGCCTTCAGGATGACATTAGGGGGGATGGTGTAGGTAATTGTCTGGCGGTTATCCAACTTCCTGATAACTTTGCAACCACTGATATCCTCATCCTAAGAGAGTACATTATTTACCGTGGACGCTGTTGCTTACCTTGCTACGATGAGTGTTCTCCAAAACCAAGAACTTTCCATTGGGGTCGCATTCAGCGATTGTGATATTACCCTTCGCCGAACGTTGGAAGGTGGTTTTAGTCTGAACTTCTCCCCTCACATTGCGAGTGGAGTCAGTATCTTCTTGTTGTTGAAGAGAATGGGTCTTGACGACTTGTTCTACCATTTGTCGAAGTCCCACACGGTGTTCTTCACCTTCCAGCATCTTCCTATAGATCGCAATCTCAGCATCCAGCATTTGTTTGGTGTCCAGAAGACCTTGGAGTTCTTGGACCAAGCTCTGAACTTCGTCTTTCATGCGACGCAGTTGAGCATCACGCTCATTAAGGGCTTGCTCGTATTGTCTTTGGTCATCGGCAAGCTGCAAATGTTAGAAGATCAAATTTTGCTGACAAAAAATTTTATAACAATACTGTTCTTTAGACTTACCTGATACTGCAAGTTTTGGACTTCCTTTTCGAGCTGAGCGTTCTTGTTTTCGAGATCGGCCAATTTTCCACGGAGATCTCCAATATTGTCGCGCATTCTCTTGACCTCTTCTCTTTGGTAGTTTGAGTCCATGGCCGAGCGATTGGCGTTTCCTTGAACCTCGGACACCTTGAGTTTGTACCAGCTCTCCATATCTTGACGACCTTGTTTGGCAATGTAATCGTACTCATCTTTAATATCACGGATGGCCAAAGCGAGTTCATTCTTGAAGAATTCACGAGTGTCAGCGGGGGCTTGGGCCAAAAGAGCCTGCAGTTCCTTGACTTCTTGTTCATGGACTCTTCTCAAGAATTCGAGTTCTTCCATCAGAGTTTGGACTTGGTTTTGGAAGTCAATTCTGCCTAGAGTTTCTTCATCAAGATCCTGCAAAGTTATTTGTAACCCGTTTTACAATGTTTTTGTGTGTCCTCAAATGAATCTTTCTTACATTTCTGGCCTTTTGAAGTTCCTCCCAATAACGGGCATTGTCAGTAATCAGTCTCTTTTCCTCATCAGTCAGCTGCTTCCAGCGAGCTCTAAGCATTTCCAATTCATTCTGTGCATCGGCGATCATGTTAGTGAACTGGGTGATGTGATCGCGGTCGGATTCACGTCGCCGTTGAATCTCATCGTATCTGTTTCTGTATTCTTCGAGGTCTTCCTTCAGTCTGGCTACTTTAACATCGACTTCGGCCTTTTGTCTGGCAGCTCCATCAATATTTTTACGGGCTTCAGAAAGACTGTCAGTGTATCTGATCTAAAGTGAGTTTATTTAGCCGTCAAAATAATTGTAAAAGTAATAATAGTTGTAATCTTACTTTGATTTCGGTCGTATCTTTTCCCCAACGACTTCTCAGATCTTCTAATTCGGCTACCAGTTTTCTATTCTGTTCTTCTAGCTTCTTGACTCTGTCAATGTAGTTTCCCAATCTGTCATTAAGTCCCTGCATTTCCTTTTTATCTTTATCAGCAGCCTCGAGGAAGGATTTGGCAGCATTGGCACTCAAGGCTGGGCTGATTCCGCCAACCGCAGCACTGCCCATTTCGGTTACCATCTTGAGTACACGACCTTAAATAATTCGATAAGCAACATGACATTAGACGATGACATAATACGGCAATACCTTCTCTGTACATCTTGATGAGTTTCCGAAGGAGATAAAGGGCAATAGGTAAGGTTGGGAAGCGCGTTTAGAGGTCTCTAGTCGGGAAGAGCTGAATTTGCGAAATGGAGGTCGAGAGCAAAAGCTTTTGAATCGGTTTGAATGGCCTTGTTCAGCCCGACGTAACGGAGCTCCAGCTTCGGATTCAGTTTTTCGATCGCACCCGGGTCTCCAGGGGCTCTTTTTTAACTTCTGTCCGGTTTTTTGTGAGGCAAAGGGTTTAGTATGTGATATTATACGTTCGGATTTGCCTTTTGGTACGGAATTCTCTCTCATTCATTCGGAGTGCATCGAAAAGTTTTTTTAGGCAAGCGACGGGACCTGCACAAACCGATTCTAATCGGATGCGCGAGCGCTTTAACCGGGCTTACAAAAGAGAGCGAAGAAGGATTCTTTTCGGAAATTCTGTGACGCCAAAAAATCCCCACAAACAACAATAAATATGAGGAGCAATGTATAGTCGCATGCATAAAAAGCGGGGCGGTTTATGGACCAAGGAGTGCCCTTATCGCCGCCAAACAGAGATGATTATTCCAGCCCTGGAATTCGATAAACAAAAACTGTTGCCTTAGGCGCCGCAGATAGGAGAGGAACAGACTTAATGAGGAAGTTGATGGTCTTTAATCAACCAGACCGTGCTATCAAAGAGGTTGTCGAGGAAAGGAGAAAGCATCGATCCTATTCTTCAGATTAGCTCACCTCCTCCTCCACCACTCGAGTTGAAGTTGCCACTGGTCCGGCTGGGGGTGCGGACGGCCGTTCTTGGCTGGATTGTAGACCGGTAGGAGATGTCATGCTCGACGGTACTCTCCTTTGCCATGTTTCGGGGATCTAAAAACGCCAAATTTAGTCTACCGTCTTCACTCGTAAAAAGATGATTCAATGGTGGATTCGAAATGATGAATTACGGTCTTCTTTGTATTCTAAAACACGACTGCACCTACAAACGAGGTTGATAACCCGACGATCGGGTGCAATTAGGAGAAAACGGAAGGGGGAGCGGCGTAAACAAACAGGGCTTGGATCGGGTCAATAATCAAATCATGGAACAGGGAATGCGCAAATTGCCCCAAGCCCCATTTTCCCCAATTTTTTACGCAACTCTTATCAGCCCAAAACGAGGCTAATGCGGCCTTGGAACCGGCTTCGGGTGAGAAGGCAGGCGACACATCGCGCTTCTTCTACCTCAAGAAAGCAATATACAAAGGAAGAAGACGACGGGAGAAAGGCGAGCGATAGATAGGTGCTTCTCTTGTTTGTACAACAGCCACCACAACATTAGATTAGGGGGCCGGGAACAACGACGACGCCCCGGGGCGACCCACGACTTTATGAGATTCAGATAAAACACCGAACGCCGCAGTCATCGTAAAAATTCCGGAGTCTTATCAGAACGGCATCGGATCGACTGGTCCCTTTGTGTTTGGATGGATGCCGACCGCACCCAGCCGCTGACTCAACCACTTGACCACCCCCATCCAATCGACCGGTCTGATAAGGCTTTCTTCCTCTAAAACTACAAACCGAGCCTTCCCGAAATGTGGAGGCTGAAGCTTTCCGAAGGCCATCTTCCACCTCCCTCTCCCACCCAACAACCCCCTCTTTTCCACGAGATTGTCGCGCACCCCGCGAGGCTGAGTGAATGCCACCTGTAGACTTTGTGGCGCTCTACAAACTCCGCCCGATCGGCATCCCCATGCTGATTCATTCCCATCTAATACCCCCTTAATCTGCCTATCGTTAATCTTGTTTTTCGCTTAAAAAACGCCTCGACCGAACGTGTTTTCCCTGCAGGCATAACACAAAACACCGACGATAGTTCGAATACAAAAAGTTGTCGATGAGATCGACGATGAAGTCGGATCGAAGAAGGGATTCCCACTCCTCAAAGGTCACCATGATCTTTTCAGGGGAATTTTTATTAGATTAGACGTTTAAAAAGTCGACGTTATTTGTTCAGAAGTCTGATGAAAGGCTAACAGAAGAGGACGCTGGATCAATAGAACCCCCTTGTTGATCATCCGAAAGTCGTAAAAAAGAATGTTAACTCTTGCCGCCCTTTAGTCAGCAGTAAAAGAATTACAGCAGGTACAGAATTCAATTAACCCTTGGAAAACACGCTTCCAGCCAGGGAATTTAAATTCCAGCGGGTTTAAAACGTTTAATTAACTTTCCCTTTATGATGACTCTGACCGATTACTGAAGGAAGAGGTCTTATCAGTAAAGGTGCAAGAGAAATGTGTTAGCTTTTAGGAATAATAAGGCTATTATACTTATCTCACCAACTCCTTGCCGGCGGGCATTGGAGGGGCAGAAGAGAAATAATACAAGAATCTGCAGTTATTACGAACATTCGGTCTCTTTGGATTCTGACATTGTAAACTGGCATTATAAAAATTATCGTAGTTCTATTTTTGTCATTCAGAGCAAAGGGGGAATAATAAAGAAACAGAGAATATAATATATTTTACATCCCACCCTTCTTCCATTCATCCATTCTACTCGAAATCGGAACAAACAATGACTAACAAACAAATTATTCAGCCCTTCAAAGGTTAAAATTAAATGCTTTTTTAAACCATCACCTCCCGACCAACCCGCTCTGTAGAGATACCCCGGGATGGATGGCGGAAATTTGGGTTACAACAAAATTAAGAGAAACCGGAATGGGCGGGCGGACAGAACTTCCCAACGGCAAGAAATAAAACGTAATGATAAGGGTTTGAAACATTCCAAGCAAACAAATTCGAATGCCGGGGTTGAGTAAGCCGAGAATTTGTTTACAACCACTTCATTCAGACGAGGCCCAAATTAGCGTAAACACATCGGAATTTCTCACTTCAAAGTTGGCGCAAGGGAAGCATCTAAAATTCAAAAAATATTCACTATTACAAAATGTAAGCAAAAAAAGATTCCGAGAGAAATGCGAATGCATTATTTGCAAGTCCACGCCTTGTTAGTTCCTTTGACACTTGGAATTTTTGGGTCAGGGACAGTTCGAGTCAACGATAATATTTAGTTCGTCATTGCATGCATTCGTTTTGTATTACGCATGTCAGCACAAAAATTTTGATATTAGGATACGGCTAATATAAAAAAAATTTTTATTCTTGCAGCAAGAATCAAATATGGCAGGTAGAATTTGAAAACACTTTTTTATTTGAACAAAGCAGGATTCTTGAAGCGTTACTCACTTGTTTGCTTCTTCTTTCAAACCATAAGTCAGCAAAAATAAATAAAAAAATCAATTGTGACATTTTGCTTTTGCAATTCGTTCCATAAAGAAAAACTGAGTTTTAATTTTTTGGTTATGAAAAAATTTTCTTTTATGATCTACACGTTCGGTCCAAGCCGCAGTTGAGATGGGATCCCGAGCTGCGCCCGCGATTTGTAATTCGTAGGGGACATCTTATACGAAGAAAGACCAAATTTTGCAATGATTGCCTCAGGGCTCTAAAAATTCATACACAGAATACTATTTTAACGTAGATCCGATATACCAAGTATCATCTTTCTGTCGCTGTCTATCTTCGACTTTGGATAAATATCAGATTTTGCCTAGTTTTGAGCCTGCTTTTGTACCCATTTTTTGACCACTTTTTGGCTTGTAATGATAAAAGTAAGATAGTGATTCGAAATATCGCTCTTTGATGTTCTAGAGAGCCTTCTTGCGTAACCCTTTTAGGTAAAGCCAGACCTCAGTGGTGTCCCCCCTTTTCAAAACGTTTGCTCCAATGACGTCAATTTTAGGCCAAATTTTGCTGATTTTTCGAAATTTCTGCCTATATTTTTTTTCAGAAGTCCTTTATCGAAAAAATCGCGATTTGAGTGTTTAGAGAAGATCCTTGTCGATGTATAGAAGCTTGCATTTTCATCCAACGACCAATAGTTTTTTCAAAACGTTTGCTCCAATGAGGTACACTTTGGGGAAATTTTGCTGATTTTTCGAAATTTCTGCCTGTATTTTTTTCAGAAGTCCTTTATGGAAAAAATCGCGATTTGACGGATTAGAGAACAGCCTTGTCGATGTGTAGAAACTTGCATTTTCATCCAACGACCAATAGTTTTTTCAAAACGTTTGCTTCAATGAGGTACACTTTGTGGAAAATTTGATGATTTTTGCATATTTCTGTCTGCATCTTTTTTACTGCCGTTTGTCGAGGAAATAATTATCTTTAATTGTAGACAAGCAGCATGATTAGATTTAGTAACCGGCATATACATCAACGACTAAAATATTTTTGAAAAATGGACGTCAACATAGTACATCTATATATAAGAAAATTGCATTCTATTCGAGTAGCCATCCACTATCTCTATGTTTTGCGACTTAATGAAATAAGACTGAAATACCCGTCTGGTTTTAATCATTTAGCTGCTGTTTCAGTTAATTTTTCAACTTAACAAAGTTTCATTAAAATCTGAGCGTCAAATTTTTTATGGATAAACCCTCGTCTTCAAGAACTTTGCCAACGGCAGAAAAAGATGAAGGAGGTGAGTTTTGTCTTCATGTCGTCTACCCTACATCTTCAGAGTCAAAGCGAAAATTAAGAAAAGAACACCATCATCAGAAACAGAATATTTATCTGATATCATGTACAACACCATGGAAAAGCTAGGCGTCTTTCGCCAGGCCTTTCACAAACATTGTCTAAATGGCAATCACACCCGAAAACTCTTGAAAAGAATAGAGGAATTTGATGCCAATGCAAAAACAAAGGCGGGAAAAAGATTGTCAGAAGTGTCAAGAGTTGTCGAAAACTCCATCGAAGTTTTAAAAACACTCCGAAAAGTTCAGGACTACACCCAGGCCAGAAAATTTTCAGCGGTAGGAATCGAAGAGTTCAAAACATTAATTAAAGAACTAACGGAGCAGTTAAATCAGCATTTTTCTCATGAAAAGCCGGGCCACAAGTTCCATCAGACAATCTTGCATATGACTGACTTTATGGACCGGCACAAGACTGTCAATTTCTTTAGCGAACAGGCAATCGAGAGCACCCATGCAATGGTAAATAGAGATATGTTAAGAATAAAGACGAGTGATCAGAGCAGAATTGTAAGTTAGCCCAGCAAAAAGCGTTAAGTATAAACTAAAAACAACACAGGCGTTAATAACGAGAATAAAGAAAAACGGTATTAAAACCCCCTCTTTACAGGCAGACAGCTTACTGCGATGGGCGCACGAACGGACGGTACTATACGACGAGTTTGGGATTGACACAAGCCAAATCGATGAAGATATTGATGAATCAGAGAACACCGAAATTTTTTAAACGTCTAATTGTTTGAACACACCATTTTCCAATCTAATTTTCCTCTAAAATGCATCTTTTCAAACTCGTCTGAGAACTAGACAGAAATATATGGCTCGGGACTTCTAAATCTCTCCGCAAGAGTCCATCCGAACCCTGCAAATTTAGTACAAAGTTAAAAGTTGCGCAATCTGACATAACATTGCGCAATTTCTCTCTTTGTAAGAATTTCTGCCTTTCTCTGTCGTCTCCTCCTTTTTTGTCAACTTTTAACTTTGGACTAAATTTCCAGGGTTCGGATGGACTCTTGCGGAGAGATTTAGAAGTCCCGAGCCATATATGCAAAAATCAGCAAAATTTCCCCAAAGTGTACCTCATTGAAGCAAACGTTTTGAAAAAACTATTGGTCGTTCGATGAAAATGCAAGCTTCTATACATCGACAAGGATCTTCTCTAAACACTCAAATCGCGATTTTTTCGATAAAGGACTTCTGAAAAAAAATATAGGCAGAAATTTCGAAAAATCAGCAAAATTTGGCCTAAAATTGACGTCATTGGAGCAAACGTTTTGAAAAGGGGGGACACCACTGAGGTCTGGCTTTACCTAAAAGGGTTACGCAAGAAGGCTCTCTAGAACATCAAAGAGCGATATTTCGGATAACTATCTTACTTTTATCATTACAAGCCAAAAAGTGGTCAAAAAATGGGTACAAAAACAGGCTCAAAACTAGGCAAAATCTGATATTTATCCAAAGTCGAAGATAGACAGCGACAGAAAGATGATACTTGGTATATCGGATCTACGTTAAAATAATATTTTGTGCATGAATTTTTAGAGCCCTGAGGCAATCATTGCAAAATTTGGTCTTCCTTCGTATAAGATGTCCCCTACGAATTACAAATCGCGGGCGCAGCTCGGGATCCCTTCTCAACTGCGGCTTTTCTTCTATTTGGACCGAACGTGCTAACTATGATATACTGCGTAGTACTAGAGGTTCGAGTCTGTTGCAAAAGTTGTAAAATGTTATCCTAAGGTCTAAGGGCTGAGAAAAGGCTTAAGTTAAACTAACAGGGGGAGTGCTCCAAGTTAGAATAATTTTTTAAAGATTTACAGAAACGACCTACATTTTTAGATCGAAAGTCGGACAGAGGGTAACGTATTCCACAAAAATCGTTTTTTAGTTTCGAAACTGGAAAAGTAAGGTAAGTTTGTTCTCTGTGACCGCTCTCCGAGTTTTGTGGTCCCCTGCAAAGTGTTAACATGTGGCCTATGCCCGAGTTATGTGCAAAATTTTAAGAAAAGCTGAGCGGCACACTTGGGGTACTTCCCTTGTAAGGTGAGGCTAAACTTTAGAGCGCAAATTTAATTTCCAAACTTCCGGGAATATTCTCACATTTAGGGAATGATTCGAAAAATTATGGAATTTTACATCCTTGGATATGGCAAGAATAGATTACCAGTAAATTTGTTTTAGACCCATGCCTTTAATTTGTGAATTATTTTGTTTTGTGTTATTCGCGTGCATTCTTGGTTATTATTTGCACTAATTTAAATTTCAGATATGGATCAAGCCAAGTTCAAAGAGTTTGACCAAATCAGGAAGTCCTATTTGCACTCTGTAAGTGTATGTTATAATACGTGACTTTTATTTGTAGATTCATGAGTTTAATCGAATCCAACGATTGTTAAACGATATAAAAGATTCGAATCTTACGGATGAACTTTTGAGTGAAGTTCCACAAGTTTCTAGTCAAGTGATTGTCAATAGGAAGTTGGAGTACCGAATTGGAATAATGAAAAGGGTAAGAGATTTGTCAATGAAACAAGCTACTTTTATTTTTAGGCTATGGAAGAAGTGAAGGAATTGGCGAAGAAAAGTAAGGTCGATGAAAAGAAGGCTCCTGCTGTAAAATACGTAAAAGTCAACGATTTTAAGGACGCTGTGCTCGAGAAATTGACATCGGTGTTCTCTGAAGTTGTCGGAAACCTTTGGCCCGGAAACAATTTCAACATCACTTTGAGAGAAGCTTCCAATCCGAAGTTTGGAGATTATCAATTCGATTCTGCTCCGATGATCGCCAACACCCTTAAGATAAAGCCTGATGAAGTCACGAGCAAGATCATAGAGCATCTGCCACAAGTCAACCTTATAAAGAGTGTTGAGAAAGCCAAAGTTTTTATCAATATATTTTTGAACAAGGAGACTGTTGGGAAGAAAGTGGCATCCATCTTTACAAATGGAATTTCTCTTCCTGATTTGGAAAAGAAAAGGGTTGTAATCGACTTTTCTTCGCCAAATGTAGCCAAACAAATGCATGTTGGACATTTGAGGTCGACAATTATTGGGGAATCCTTCTCAAGATTACTCGAATATGTTGGATTTGATGTGAGTGTATATATAAGGAGCGTTCTTTCTACTCCATTTCGGTCGCAGAAAACCGCGATTTCATGCTATTTCCATGTACAAAGTTTTTGTTGTTTCTCTAGTTTTAGACAAGAATTTTGCATTTCTTGTCTGGAGAGCCCACAGACAAGAAGTCGCGGGTTTCTGTGATGAGGCCCGGAATGAAGTTATCTTACTTTTATTTTTTAGGTATTGAGACTTAATCATATTGGAGACTGGGGAACTCAGTTTGGAATGTTGATTGCTCATCTTCAGGATAAATTCCCCAATTTCTCGAAAGAAACCCCACCACTTGAGGACCTTCAAGCCTTCTATAAAGTAAGTTGTTATGCCTGCTATAAAATATATTTTTTAGGAGTCAAAGAAACGGTTTGATGAAGATGAAGTGTTCAAGAAGCGTGCCTATGAATGTGTTGTGAAGTTACAAGCCAGGGTACCCGAATTTGAGAGTGCCTGGAAACTGATTTGCGATGTCAGCCGTAAAGGTAACAGCTCGGTTACGATAAAGGGTTTCTTTCAGATTACACCAAGATTTATGAGCGTTTGGACGTTACTTTGCAAGAAAGAGGAGAGTCTTTCTACCAGGATAAGATGGTTTCTCTTGTTGAAGATCTGGAAAAAGACGGCAAACTGAAATTGGAGGATGGAAGGAAACTATTCTATCCAAAAGAGGCCAACATTCCCTTGACCATTGTGAAGAGTGATGGCGGATTTACTTATGATACTTCCGACCTGGCTACGATTAGACAACGATTGTTTGAAGAAAAGGGGCAGTGGCTTCTATATGTGGTTGACAGAGGACAGGCCGAACATTTTGAGGTGGGTTATTCCTGCTGTTTGTTTAATGACGTTAATTCAGTCTGTTTACGCGGCAGCTAGAGATCTTGGATGGTATGATCCGAAAGAAATCCGAGTGGAACACGTCCAATTTGGGGTTGTTCTTGGCGAAGACAAGTAGGTTGGCGCATTTTCTTACTGTTTATTTGTCTAGAAAGAAGTTCAAAACTCGTTCTGGGGATACTGTCAAGTTGTCTGATTTGTTAGATGAGGGCGTAAAAAGAGCCGATGCCAAGCTGAAGGAGTTGAAGAGAGATGCAGTGATGTCTCCTCAAGAATTAGAAGCAGCTCGAGATGCCCTTGCTTATGGATGTATCAGATATGCTGATCTCTCTAATGGCCGAACCAACGATTACGTATTCTCTTTCGATCGGGTATGTTTTGTTTCTTCTTTTAATTGTGCCTTGGTTTACAATTCTTTATTTTATGGAGCATGTTTTAGATGTTGAAAGACAAAGGAAACACCGCCGTTTACTTGCTGTATGCTTATGCCCGGATCAGGTAATATTTAACCTTGTAGTTGTTACTGTGTAAACTTAGGTCGATTGCTCGAGAAGCTAAGATCACGAGAGCGTCTATAACTGAATACGTCAGCAGTCTCCCTGGCCAAGTTCTCCCACTCGAACATGAAAGGGAATTCAAGTTGGCCAAACAGTTGCTCAAATTCTCGGACACTCTCTTACTGGTATTGGAATCTCTCCAACTTCACAAACTCTGTGATTATGTTTATAATCTGGCTACTGTTTTCCACGACTTTTACAAGGATTGTTATGTTATTAACAAGAGTAAGACTGGAGAGGTCACTATCCATTATCATCGTCTGGTGCTTTGTGAAGTGACTGCCGACACCATGGCGGCCTGTTTCAAGATTCTGGGGATCAGACCCATTGAGAGAATGTGAGATTGTTGTTGTTGTGGAAGAGTTGTTGATTTTTATTAATTTAATAAAATTTGTTTTTACTTGTTTACAACTGTGCCGATTTAAAGGTTTAAATCAAATATTTATTTTAATAACTTTTGAATAAAGAAAACTCTAATAAACCGCCTCTCCCGAGGTATACCAAACAATTATTAGATAATTAGACTTGAGGCATAAATTAGAAGTTTGTGATATGATTAATATCGGATATGAGAGAGAATAACAACAAATGTGGCCACGTACATACCCGCGAAGCATTCAGCACATAAAATAAAAACTAATACTTGGCAAATGGCAGGATATACCAACTGAGTTGATGGACATAGTCCAACATGATGGGGACCTCTTGAACTGCATTGTGAGCAGCTCCTTTCAGATATCCGAAGGTATGGTAGACACGGATCAGCAGATCGAACGCCATCTTCTGAGCCGAATGACTCTCCAATTGCGAGAAGCAAGAGGCCAATATGTCATTAGCGACGATTGCTCCTTCTACAGTAACCGGACTGTAGATTCCTTTGGATAAACGACGACCAACCTAAAGATTCATGTTTACTTTTCGTTGTACACGACGCTTTCGAAGGATCTAAGTGTACTTACTTTAGAAATCTTGTCAGCGAAGACGCGACCTTCAGAATCCAGAGTCAGAAGACATTCTCCTTTCTGGGCCTTATAGGAAAACTTGGATTTTCGAATCCATTCCTCTGTTCCCTCTCCTTTTCCAATACTTTCTTCCATTTCCTCGCAGTCTCCGAATGGAAGTAAATGCAATTCTAAATATATTTACATGGAGGTTGTGGCATTTACTTACGAGTTAATGACAAACTCTTCCCAGATTCAGTATTCAGCTGGACGAATTTCACATAGGTTTCAGGTTCACGATGGTAGAACAACTCTACGCGTTCGTATTTCATTGAACTGTCAGTGCTGGGAACGAGAACATAGTCTCCGACTTGTAAATCCTCCATCTTCTTGTCGCCTGAGATGGTTCGAACCATGGTATCCCCACTGAAACAACTCCTCATACTAGCGAGGAAGCTGTCGGGCCCTGGGGAATCTTGCCATTGAAGAACATTGGGGTCGCGTGGAGGGGCGTTAGGAGCTGGTCTTGGTGGACTATGTACTTGCCCGTGTCCGTGTGAGACAGGTTTACTATGACTACGTTGGCCATGGGCCTTTTGATGGCCAGGACCGCTCTCTGTTGCTTTTGCTGTAAAAGTGATGATAATAATGGTTCATCCAGGCAGAGGATCGCAAAGAAATGGTAAGAGGGGAACAAAGCAAGGCACAATTTTTTTCCACTGGTAGTTAGTTCGGGAGGCTTTTTGCCCACATCTTTACCGTAAAAAGCCTCCCCTCCCCAGAAAAATAAAATTCCGCAGATACGCCCCTGATCTTGACAATGATGACTATATATTCCTAGTGACTCACCTGGTCGGTTTCTGCACTTCTGGGTGGTAGTTACAGCGATTTCTTCTCCACTTGCACTGTGAGCTTCTTCTCCACTTGCACTGTGAACATCTTCCCCACTAGATTCGGAAATGATTCCTGTGAATCCAGTTCCCAAAGTTTCTTCTCCACTTGCTTCATGAACACTTTCCCCACTCGATTCAGCTGACACAGCTTTAGTCTTCAGTTCATCACACCATGGAAGCACCTCTTCTCCTCCATGTCCTCCTTCTCCATGATGTTCTTCTTCCCCACTGTGGTCTCCAATCTCATGAGCACCCTCACCTTTATGGTCACCATCCTTCTTGTCCCCTTCTTCTTGACTATCCTCTTCTGATTTGGTGCCAACTCCGGCATTCACTTCAACCACGAATCCACCTTCTGAGGTGGTTTCTTTTTCTTCACCATTGGTGGTGTTTTCAACTTTTTCTGATGACGACCTTTCGACACTTTCATCAGAATCGGTTGGTTCTTTTTCGTTGATAATTCCGGAGAATTTTGATTCATTACCTCCACTTTTCTTTCCATTTCCATTAGTACCTTCAGCCGATTCCTCAGTTTCTCCACTCTTGGCGTCAGCATCAGGACCTTGCTTGTCATTCTCATCTCCTCCTTGTTTGAATCCTCCATCATCTCCAATCTCGTTGGTTCCATCAGAATCCCCGGCATCGTGAATTGTGCCTCGGTTCCTCTTTCCTGCGTTGGCCAATGATTTCTCATCAGTTCTGTCATCCTCTTCGGATTCCTTATTTTTCAAAGCGTTTGCTTCTTCGTTGTTGTGACCATCTGCTTTTCCTCCCTTATTTCCATCGCCTTCCTTTCCACTATCGGCCTTTCCGTCACCGTTTCCTCCATCGGCCTTTCCTTCTCTATCTTTCTTCCCCTCCCCGTCTCCAGCTTCTTCAGAGTCTCCACCAGATTTCTGACCCTTGTCTTTTCTTCCCTTGCCAGATCCTGCATCTCCATTATCTCCTTCAGTTTCTCCGGACTTGTTATTATTTTCATCTCCTTCTTTACTGGCCTTATCGACTTTTTCTGAACTTGCCCATTTTATGTTCTCACTGTCATCTCCATTATCATCGCCGTCTTCTGGGAGGGTTTCTCCTTCATCGTGAGTGGAGAGACGTCCGTTTTTCCTTCTCAGGAGTTTAGGTGATTTCTTTTCTGTTTCTCCATCCTTTGCGACATCATTGCCATTTCCTTTAATTTTTTCATTTTCTTTGCCAGACTTATGCTGACCGTTGTTTTCCGAGTTGGGTTTCTTTTTTCCGTCCTTTTCAGCGTCTCCGGAAGCCTTTTTCTTGCCTCCGTCTACAGTCTTGCTGCCTTTCTTTCCTCCATTTCCCAAAGAGGACTTATCGGTCTTGTCGGGATTCTTGTCGTTATCTTTCCCGGAGTCTGAGCTAGTCTTGTTTTTGTTTGCATCTTCATCTTTTTTGCCGTCCTTATTCTTGGGTTTCTCGTCCCCACTGTTGTTTTTCTTCCCTTGATTTCTTCTCTTTCCTCCATTCTTCGCCTTTTCGTCGTTGTCACCTTTTCCTCCCTTTCCTTTCCCGGCATTATCCTTTTGGTTTTCGCCTTCATACTTGTCCCCATCGTTTCTGACGTCTTCTCCATTTCCCTCCTTATCAGAATCATCTTTTCCTTTATGGTTTTGCTTTCCTTTTCCTTTTCCTTTCTTTCTTGCATCATCAGGACTGGCGCCGTCATTCGCCTTCTTCTTTCCGTTTCTATCTTTGTCATCTGGAGTATTTTGTCCATTCTTATCTGCAGAATTGTCATCAGAGTCGGCCTTGTCTTTGCCGCTTCCCCTCAAACCATCTTTATCACCTCCTTCTTTGTCTTTTTTTCCTTTCTTAGCCTGTTTAGATGGGCTGTTTCCCTTGTTTCCTTTGCCCTTTCCAATTTTGTTCTTAGGTTTCCCTTCGGCATCACCATTGTCATCGTTAGGTCCATTTTTCTGATCAGCATCAGTTGTTCCGTCTTCATCATCTCCTTTAGCTGGCCCCTTTCCAGGTTTTCCCTTTCCTTTCTTTCCAGTCTTACCAGTCTTGTCAGCATTTCCGCCATCGGCATTTGATTTAAGAGCCTTCGACTGATCCTTCCGGACTCCTCCATCTTCGTCAGTTCCGCCATCAACGGCGTCCTTTCCTGGATCTTCCTTGTCGCCCTTATCAGTGTCATTGTCTCCATTTTTGGATTTCCCGTCTTTTCCTTTTCCGCCGATTAATTTCTTTCCCTTTTTCTCTGCACTCTCTTCTCTCTCCTCGTCAGAATCAGCCGTTTCGTCTTCCTCTTCTTCCTCTTCCTCCTCTTCATCCCACTTGGCCTTCTTTGCATTCTTCAACTTCTTATTCTTTCTTTGTCCATGGTTCTTCTCATCAGGAATAAAATTCCATCCATCTCCAGCTAGATCACTGTCGCTGTGAGCAGGTCCTAATCTTCCGTCTCCTCGTCCTCCACTTAAGTCACCAGCAGCACTCTTTTCATTATCTTTGGGTTGTTTTTCGTCGGGAAGTTGAATGTGGGCCTGCCCTCCTTCTCCTCCTTTCCCACCTTCAGCATGAACATGGACATTATTATTGATGATTGGGGTTGCTCCTCCATTGCCAGATGAACCGCTCTTGGCGTCTTGGCCATTCTCGGCCTTAGCACTGGAAATGGCGGTAGCCAGAGGTCCAGTTCCCTTGGAATCATGGCCTAAACGATGAGCACGAGACCTGACTCCAGCTGAATTCTCGGCCGAGGCTTCTTCCCAGGCGCTCCAAGTGGTCTTACTCCAAGTGCTCCATCTAAAATACAATCTTAAATCAAGTTTCGTCATCTTACGTGGATGTCTGCCATGAACTCCAAGCAGCAGCCGCCCATTCATCGCCTTCCGGGATCTTAGTTTCCTGTTCTTTTGTTACAGTAACCTGTTCCCCGACTCCTTCGTTTGCGAACTTTCCACAACGAGGACGGCAGATAGTAACGCGATAGCCAGCACTGTAAACAACCTATCCTATAATGAACTTACAACTTACGGGACTCTCTCAATAGCCTTTACAATCAAAGTGGGGGGAGATTTGTTGCGTAACATGAAGAGTCGCATACGGTAGCCAACGTAGCCATCAAATTGTTCTGGAATTTGGTTGGCATTCTTGAGAACGGTGATTCCATCATCGCTCTTGGAGGTCCCATTGGTTTTGGCTTCGTCAGAATGAGAGCCATCGGGTAATTCGTATACGAAACAATCGTTGTCGTAACTCAGATGCTCTTCTTTCTGCTTCAGCAAACAACAAGTGTGTTCAACTCTGCAAATAATCCAGTTCAAGAGTGCGAAAACAATTAAAAGGTAGAGAAACGGCGATAAAACATACGGTCCTGTAGCAGTTTGTTGATTCACATGAGCAACAAAGTTGTATTTGCCGCCACAAGTGTGCTGTTGATGTTCATATTCGCAATCCTAGAATCGGAATTCCAATAAACGTTGCAAAAAAGGGATTGTTTCTTCTTGAAAAGAAAAGCATGGGAGAAACAAGAGGTAATGAGGCGGATAATTACGGGGTTTAAATTTAAATCCGGGCTTAAAAAAGCATACCAAATTGTCGAATCCACAAATGTTGAGACGCTGACAATGCATCCGAATGGTGTCATTTCCAAAGTTCTGAACTATGAGGACCTGATTATTGTCACATCGGTAAGAGATGGCATCAACGCCGAGGAGCAGTAGAAGCCCCCAGAGGACGTGACCCCTCATTTCCACCTGAAACGGCGTGAAACTTGAACGGGAAATACAGGGCGGCGGTAATGACCCCGATCCACGAAATTATTACGGATTCTGAGAGTCTGGAGAACGTTTGGAAATTAGGAATCAAGGATCAAGAGCTGGGAATATTGGAAAGCAAGGGCAAGAATGAATAATGACAATGTCAAAAAAGCAGGGGATTTCTGAGAAAGGCTTCGTTAAAATGATTAAATGAATAAATGATTGTTTCACGAGCTTAAAAATAAATTAGAAAGCCAAGAGTGGCACTTGAAAATCCCAAAAGGACGTTATGAACAAACTCGGTCTATCCAGAAGCTCCCTCGGGCGATTGGGGCGGACTTGAACGGCTTGTTTGTGTTCAACTCCTCTTCACTCTCCAGAATGTTTGTCTTCATCAGAAGTTGGTTGTTCATCGACGCCGTGCTTGGTGGATTCATCGTCGTTCTTGTTCGGACGCACTTTCCGTTGCTCCCGCCCTCCCGACTTTTTGACCCGGATTTATTTTCACTCCATAGTTTTTTACTTTTTTCGTTCGTATAATTAAGACGGAATTCAGATGCCCTACGGGCAATTCTCGCGGGAACCGTTCCGGATTGGATGAACTGGTTTGAAAGGATTAATGTTGATGGGTGTAAAACAAAACGCAAGAAAGGAAAGCCAGCCGAGGGAGTAGAGTAATGAACTGCGATCTCAAGGTAACGACCCTCATGCTCCAGTTATGTAGCCTCCAGAATCCCCTGAATAACTTCCCCTTCCCTTCCCTCCCATAAATAATCCCTCGCTCTTATTATGCCATTTAATTGTCCTTCCCAACGCCCTTAGGAGGTCAAACACAATAGACAAACGAAAGTCCACCGAAATGTCCAAAAAAGGTCACAAGTGTCTCAGAAGTCAAACGTCATGTTACGCAAAGAAGTGTTGCCACCAGAAAGGGATCCCCCGCAACCGCCCTTCATCTTGAAGTTACCAATGGTCCCTCGAGCACCCGATCAGTTGGCGTTGACCATAGATCCCCCGAGGGCCTGGTTTACTACTTTGGGAGGAATTTCCAAGTAAGTATGGGAATGTTTTGAAAATTCAGAGTCAGATGAAATGTTTTCATAATTCTACATGATAAAATACGAACAGAGAAGGCAAAGCTTATATAGCGGCGGAGCTTAACCAATCACCCAAAACACGCAGGGCTTGTTCCCGGAAGGATAGGAAGATCCACGATAAGGTTCCCTCCTTTTCTGGCAAAACAGTAAAGGAAAGATAGAATTTTTTTGACAAAGGTTCTTTTTCATTTTCGTTTCAAAAAGCGCGCAAGAAACCAGCGCGCCCTTCCCGCTACCAAATCTGCTTATTTTTGGCAACTGGATTAGGTTCGCAACTGAAAATAATACCTTCAGTTGCGAACTGAACTTGAGTCACAATAAGTTGGATAGTCACTTTTCTCCTCCGAATAACCATTAAAAGTAAAGATTTGAGGTTTTACAACTCCCCGTCTATACGATCCTTCTTTTCAGACATCTCCTCTGCAATCACGGACCGGACCGACTGGCGATGAAGGTGCGGTGCAGTAACAATCATGCCTTCCGGGTTAATCCCGTTTTCTCTTTCCTCAGTGAAGGGCAGACTCAAGAATTCGAAGTAAGTCCATTATTTCCTGCGCTAATCTGCTTAATTTGCAGTTAATCCGCCTTCAAGGTGGCGAACCGCGAAAAGACAAGGTCCAGTTGTTGTTTACCATCGCCCGGGACAGTGATAATGATCCAGTTCAGCTTTTTGGGAACAATTCCAAAGTCCGATCAGTGGTTCTTCACATAACAACAATCTGATATCTTATGAGGATATATGGCGCGCGCGTTCTCTTCGTTTTGGGCCTTGTCGCAAAAACCCGCGATTCCTTGTCTGTGGACTCACCAGACAAGAAAGGCTAAATTCTGGTCTAAAAGATCAGTCTGTCGGTGCACATTACCTCTCATTTGGGGCAGAGTTTATTTGGGACAGATCGGCTGTCGGCCTTCTATGTATAGCCAATATTGCGAATTTGTTTGACTAGCTATCCAAATTACAACCAAAATTTTTTCTCGTTTGGCTAGCCAAAGTTTCCGAATGACACTGAAGCCCCGAAAATATTAGTTAGCCGAAAGGTTGGAATGGGTATTAAAGAGTAGGAGTGACTGAGAGCAGGAACCCATAAATGGCCAAAAACCTGCATTGGCTAGCGAAGTTAGCCAAACTGTTAGAATCCCTCACACATAATTTTTTTGTCACGTTGCCCCGTTTTGCGATTTTTTCGAGGAGCGAGAAGACCTAGTTTCCTGTCTTCAGACAAGAAATCGCGGTTTTCTGCGATGAGGCCGGAAATGAATTAGGCTAGCCTTATAAATGTTATGACTGATCGCGTCATGAGTTCGTAATAAAAATTGACAACATCAACCAATAATCGGGCCTTTGTTCGAACTTATTTGAGTTAATTACCATCAGCAACATCATTATGTCCCGTAATGTGCCGAAAGAGTCGAAATAAGATTAACATTCAGACCCATAGTAAACAAGAGATAAAAACATGTATGCATTCTCCTCACGACATACGTGCTCCCCACCCCGGATCATCGTATCTTGTGAATTTATAACACATAAGCGGATTAAGTATACTCCCAACATAAAGATTGCGTCAATTAGAATAATCCCCCATATCTTTATTTAAGGCCCCGAGAGCTCCGAAAATGGCCTTAAAGACTTGTTGAAAGAGATCCGCTGGGAAATCTGGTCTTATCTCTCGCTGTTTGCCTCAGGCCCTAATTGTTGCTGGACACGAATCGACCCGAGTAATGGGTTTTGGGGTTCCACTCCTTATCCTTGATGTTCTTGGTTACATAACGTAGTTTGTGTAGTAATGTGAGTGAAAAAAGATTGGGAAGGAGTGCTGAATATGCCCCTGGAACCCCCATCAGATTAAGGTTTCCGGCCCTCTAATTGCCGGAGATTAACGGTAAAGAGAGTAGCTGTAGTTGGGTGACCTTCTATGGCCCAATCTTTGGGAATAAACCGCCCTAACCAAAGACGGCCAACTTCTCGGGACCGCCAAATGTCCAACCAATTGCATAATTGAAGGCCGGTGATGACGGTGCTTATTTTGGGGCAGGTTTTCGTGTTATCTTCTGCTCCCCTCATTAATGCATGGGGATAAAAAGACGTGCCATATGACTGCTTCCGAATTCTAGATGACTGCTCGCCATTAAAATATAGATAATTCCATCCTCTTGTCTCGACGGATAAATGACCGAAGTCCGGGCCCTCAGGCAATCAACGTGAATTCAATCCTGGTCCTTCTGATTGGGGTCGGCGGCGGGTTTCTCTTTGTGGTCACGGGTATCTACATCTACTTCTGCCTTCTCAAACATGTCAAAAAGTAAGTGGCTTTGCATCTTCCTACTTTTCGTTAAATTACTTTTCATCAAATTCCCATTTTTTATTTAGAATTCAGAAGCCCAATGAGGCGCACCAAAGCCGACCAGCCAAGAATTCGACGGACTCTGTCCCCGAACAGACCCTGCTCCAATCAACGCGTGATTTGGAGGCCAGTACTGTCTTCAGTCACACCGAACAGGATATATTATCCTTGGATTTTCCCTTGGTCAAAAATAAAACTACCAAAATCGAGGATTCTGAAGGGAATCTGACCGATTCTAGCTCCCTACGTCGTAACACTATCGCTCAAACAACGTCCAATCCATTGCAGAAGACGGACACCAGCAGAAGAGACACGCTGCCACCCAAGATGACAAAACCTCTGTTTATCCACCCCCAACCATCATATCAACGACTTCAGAGCAACAAGCCGACGGTCCTCAGAAGTTCCGAGCTCTTGAATGAAACTTGGGAAGAAGAGATAAAAAGGCGATCCTATGATAACCTCCATTTAAAGAGGCCTGGGACTGGCCGCAAGCTGCCCAGCGTTGAATTCGCGGAATCTCAACAAATAAAGGTGAGTGGAGAGATAGGCGAAGTATATCAATATACCAGAATAGAGTGAAACGGGGTCAAATTAGGCAAATAAATTTGGAAACGATCCATAATGGTTAGATTTCGAAATCTTTGCAAATATCATCAATAAAAAATAATTATTTGATGATTCATAGTGACATTTCGTACGATTGCAGCGAAAAAATCTGTCCAATTTCACCCTTTCCAATTTCCGCGCTCTGTCCAAATTATTTCTGTCCAATTTCACTCTGTCCAATTTCCACGAAGCCCTGCAGCCTACGCACGGTACCGTGCCGCGGTACGAAAAAATTATGATTCGAGCCAGCACAACTTTTAGATTTGACGATTTGCCACGAATTTTATTGGAATCTCGAAAAAACTTTTTTTTTGGCATTCGCAACGTCAAATCATTGTCAATCAAACGGGCGCTCTCGATCTGACGGCTGACAGGATTGACGTGATCTCTTGTCAGTTCTGCAGAAAATATCAAACAACAAAGAGATTGCGTAACTTCCTGATGACATTAATTGTGATAACCACAATCTATGACATCTTTTATGACATATTTTCTGGATAATTTTAAAAAAGAAGCAATCACTGGGAATACCGGTTCACTTCAATATGCTTTCGTTTGTTTTTGATGACACCGCCTTTCTTAATGATGGCCGATAAATGTTGTTGGTTCGATTTCTGGGAACAAAGCAGGCCTTCGATTGAGAAGTTGGGATGGTTCGCTGAAATTACTTTTGTTAGAAATTAAAGACACTAAAATACTCGAAACACTTAGTATTAGGAGTGATTATGATTACTTACCTTTCTCTGCTTCCTTCTCTTCTTTTTTCGACTTCTGTTCCGGATTTACCATGTCATATAAACTCATCAAGGGATCAGCCCTGGGGTCAGACGTTGTATTCTGAAATTCATTGATTATGTAAATTTTAAATCCGTATATTTATACAGCGAAAATTGAATCAACTTACAGTCGGGATTGAAGGGTTGCCCACAGTTTTGACATTTCGATTACTCATGGCCGTCATAGCCATTAAATCTGCATAAAACTTTTGCTGCATTAACTGCTGGAAATAGAAAATTTGCAGAAGGTCGGGTTGAGGTGTCTGGGGGAAGAAAGTGTTCACAGTGGGCCTGGTATTTGCGTTGGCGAAAGTATTGGAAGTGGAATTCCTTGTCGTAGAAGGTCGCTGGACCGGCGAGGGAGTAGATTGGACTGGGGTGGAGTGGCTGGTCGAGGGAGTGGGCTCACAGCCACCAACCATCTTTATCAACTGGGCTAGGGCACCGTCTTCCATGCTGAAAAGGAGTAATTGGAATGAGGGAACCGCGCAAAAAATGGGTTAGCATCAAAAAAAGCGGAGTTATGTTAGATCTGGATAGATAAAATCATGATTAATGCACTCCGCGAACATAAAACTCGAAGATTTGAGAATTTAGGGATCCTCGAATATTATTGTTTAAAAATGTAAATGTTCAGACATCAAGGAAATGAGTATTATACAAGATGGCATAACTTATAATGGAGAAAAATATAGAAGGATTCTTATCGGCATAAACATTATAGAAAATATTGTAATTGAGATCTTAGGGCGTGAATTAGAGGACAGCGGAAGTGAGTGTGCAAACAGGGTTGCGAGGTCGGTCGTTGACGTTGCTGTGGACAATGAGATGGAAGAGAGAGCATGACAGACATGTCATTTGTCAAACGGTGTTGATTGATCGACGCCCGGGAGAGGAAAAAGGGGGGGAGGGGCTGAAGAGACTGATGAGCTTTTTTCGAACTCTGACAGTGTTATGTTATCTCCGCAGCCGAGAGAGAGACATCGCCGCACTTGTCGGATCATAAAATGTCATAAATCTTGGAGTAAATCAATCATTGGCCTGTTGCCCTGCGCCCCGCCGCCTATTTGTAGAATCTAAAAGTTTCCACCAGTTGCGTAACAATGAAACTAACATCGCCTTGGGCGCATATTTAGTAGAATTTTTATTTAAAAAAACTACGCTAATGTCATAGATACGGGAAGTTTTGCAAATAATGCAGTAAGCAATATTTAATACACATTAAAGACATAAATCATTGTGGGAACTCGGCATACTGTAATAGACAACCTAAGACCTGTTTTCTAAACAAGTAGACTGATAATCAGCGAATGATTAATGATTCCTGGAGCGAATACCTGCGGAAACAACATTTGGTATGAGTGATTTCAACATCTACGGTTGTTATGACGAAGGTAGTTAGTTTTATCATGATAAGCTAATTTTGAAGCAAAAAAATGGCATTTTATGATCGTAAAAACAATATCAAAACAGTAAAACACACTCGGTCCTGCTAGCCAATTAAATGGACGGACGGATGAGGCCCACAACTCTGACAGATGTCTGACATAAACAAAACGACTGATAATGGGCGGAGGGCCGGGGGAATCGGTCGACTTTTGACAGATGAGTCGTTTGAAGGGAAGAAGAAGACCGATGTCGATCACTTTCCCGCGGCACACACCAAAAAGTTGATTGACGATGGCAATATTCATTTGTCACAAGTGCGGCAAACCCCATAACTTGGCTGCTGTCTCGCGAAGGGGCGTGGTCTTCCTCTGGCCTCTCTCTGATCTCCGTTCTCTCTCCTCAGTCGTTCTCTTCAATCCCAATTATATTTTCTTTTTCATCTATTCTTCTATTCTCTCTCATTCCCAAATTATCTCTCCATTCTACCCCACTTTAACTGACAATGCCATAACTTCCTAGCTCGTAAATTAAGGGCCATAAATTAAGACCAGTGCTTTCTGGGCGGTGTTTCCTTTGGTCATCTAATCTCGAGCCATCTTCCCCAATTCATTAAGGCGCGACGTTATTTATGAAGCCGGGTGATGGATGAACTGCCCGCCACTTCCAACATCCCGGTCTTCTGTAGCTAATTTATGGCTTCGGGGCGAGATTCAAGAGCTGCCATAACGCGGGCGAAGACAAATTAAAGGACGGGATGATTAACTGCTTCAAATGGGCGAATAATTAATTACCCGATAAATCAGCCCCAAACGGTCGATAATAAATGAATCTTGAGGGGCTTGTTTATCGCTGTCAGTGCCCTCCGGGTTATTACTCATACCGTGCCCTGGGGGCGAAATTGCGAAAGTTCTGGAGTTAGAATTTGTGAACAAAGAGAGCAACACAAAATAAAAACTCATTGTCATAAAAAATCGTAAAAAGTAAGAATCAATGACATTAATAAGAACATTTCAGCAACATAACTCATTCGAACGGTCAGTCAGCTATGGAAGCAACGTGTTATCCCCCAACAAACGAGGCCATCTGCTCTGCCGCCTGGCGGCTTTCGACATTCCCACAGTGCCGAAACAGGTAGGTCGTAAATCAACCGTCCGTCATCGTCGTTAAGGCCTCCTCGCCCCTACCACACGAAACCCATCGCATATACGATCATCACCATCTCAACTCACGATCCTGGAACGACGATTATCAGCCGGAGGAGCTGGAGAAACCGGCCTATGGGGGAGTCCAGGTGACGGCCGTAGTGCGAGGAACCTCCTCCATCTTGTTCTCGAGGGTAAGTCTTATCGAGGATGATGATTAATTGACTCGACTTGGAGTTTGATTAGCCGAAAACGATTGATAACGAGATTGATGGCTGTAATGTCAACTCGAATTGAATGCTGACAAGATTGATAGCCATTCACAAGATCGATATGATCATCAAACAATAAACAGGCCTTAGGCGTTAATGTCATCTGAACGTCTAACACTCGGATTTCAAACTTGAAATCAGCATTTCAAATAATTTACATAACTGCGACAAATAATTTCAAGTTAATTCTATTTGTTTAATATTGCAAGCAATTGAGTAACGTGTTAATATCTACATATGATGTTCAGAGTGATCATTCCTCCTCATCCACTTCACCACAGCGAATCACAGCTCTGAGTCCAGCGTCGCCTTACCAACCCTCTCCTTTATCAACATATTCCACTGATACATTCAAAGCGGAACCCTCCAGGCCAGACAAATTGGCCAGAGAATGTCAAGATCTCTGGAAGACCCGCAGATCCTTGGCCCATGACTTTGAACGACCCAGAACAACGTCTCTGCTGATGATGAACAACACTTCCACTGACATTGCCTCAGACGATCCTTCAACCAGTTTCGAATCAAACACAATTGCAGTAGATGCATCTTTCAATGAAGCCAAACATCAGAATATCTCGGCCGAGGTCAGAAGACAAAAGTATCGCTCACTGCTCTTAAATCGAAGAGCGAGTTCGAGGAGAAAAAGAAGAGGAAATTCCATTAATCTGCATCTCCGTGACGATATTCTCAACGAACTCACAGAAAGATCTTCAAGCTTTAGGTAAGCAGGTGATATCACAATTTATGCATCACAAAGACAAGGTATTTTATTGCAATAATTGCAGAGATAGTGACAGCTCTATGTCCCTTAGACCTCGTCGATTATCGAACAAACATAAGGAAAATCGAATAGTCAGAGCAACTTCATTGGCCCTCAAAAATATAAATAAACAGAGAAGAACGTTGGAGCACGGTAAGTTGGTCTGGCCAATTTTTTATTAATTTAAAAAATCAATTTATAAAAATTTCTTATAGCTACAAGATCTTATGATATGGCAGGAAGAGACTACAGTGTAGATCGAACTTCAGACTCCATTTTCAAGAACTTTATCCGAGTCGACCCCCAATTCGAGGAATATCGACCGCGAACTCCGACCTTGCCCAGTCGATTACGACCGGTCGATCATGAATATCAGAGTCGACCCTTCAGTCATTCCATCGATTACTATTCTTCATTTCGATAATAAAACAGTTCATATAATAATTTAGGTTTAATAAAGCTTCAAGACTCTAACTTTTACAGGTGCGCAATTTTTTTGGCCCGACTTAATTTGGCTATAACATTTTTATTTTCCGCCAGATGTAAGATTTTTTGTTTCGATGAATGACTCCCGACGAAATGAAAAATTCAAAAATGGAAAAATCTCGAAAGGCTTTCAATTTGAACATCTGCAGCCATACAGTCCGAATTTTCAGTAAGTATATTAACATTTGGTTCGAAAATATAGAGGTTATAGGGCCAAAAATTCATGTACTTTATTAAGTCATCATTAAGAAATTTTTGAAAGATTATCTCCAGAAAACAGGGAGCAAGATGTAATGGCCTCAGAGCAACAGTATTTGGCTTGTTTCCAAAGTTGAGGTATGATTTTTTTGTAGTACCATTGTTATTGAGATGGGCGAATATGCAAGAGAACGTTGTTGTTTTACCCGATATTGTTGAAAATATAATCCTCAAGCACTTCTAGTGGATTCTCCAGATTCCAAAGGGAATCCCAGCTTTGCTAAAAGAATGTTTTTCCGAAGTCCGAGAAGATGAAAATAGATCCGGCTGAGGTCACTCTGCACCAAACCCTGACTCAGATATCGAATATAAGTGTAGAAGTCACAAACAGATGCAATCTGAAAACATTCCTCTTCATCACTTGTCATCAGTTACGTAAAAAATGATGACTAATTCTTTGATTTCTCAAAAACAAAAAAAACTACGCTTAACACAGCCGTCGATCGGTGCCAGAAAACTGAAAAAAATAAATGCTTTCAATTCGTCGTGCATTTGGTTAGCCACAACAGATTACTAAAGTTTTTTTAATTTTTTCCATTTTCTGGGCACCGATCGACGGCGGAAATTTTCCGAAAGGCTATGCACTTACTCGGTTCCTGGCCAGGATTGAAATGGATTTCCAATCGGAATTTGGTCTCACTTTCATTTTGTATGGGCATGGCTTCCATGTTTCTGTCAATGCACAGGTTCTGGAAAGCAAATTTTATATTATTTTAGACGAGAGAATCCAACATAAATATCCACATAATAACTAAAAAATGCTTACGTTTCATTCTCATTGAACCTGACTTTCTCAATCTCCAGCTCGTTGGATTGAATGCTTTGGAACACATCCTTTGCCAACTGAAACAACAACCATTATACTGCATAGCAACACGAGGTACTTAAAAGTTCTATTTGCTTACCTCTCTATTTCTGAACAGCAAACACGGCTTGATATCTTCTTCCACCACTCGTAGAAGAAATTCCGAGTTGCTTTTTAAATTGAATTTTTCCTCCCGCCAATGAATAAACTGGTCGAATAACTGCGGATCCTGTTGAATTACATCCACAGGCTCACTGAACGAAACCATAGATCTCGAGGCTGATAACGATCGGTTCTTCCTCGAGAATGGATTCCTCGATTTCTCTGGAGATGAGGGGCCTGGACTCAAGAATCTCTGGGCGATTGATCTTTTCCCCTTGACCACACTTTTCAGTCCTTCCACCTCTCCTTCGAGTACATCCACCTTCAATTTACATTCTGCATACCTTTTTTCGGCTAATCTTCGTTGGGCTTTCTCCTCATCTACTAATTTGTAGGCCTCCTAAATGAGATTCGGAATGAGGTCCAATTGGGTTGGGTCTTACTGTGAAGAGTTGTTCGGTAAGATTGTGCAAGTCGGAGTCCGTGGACTGCTGTAATCTCATTAATTCTTGGCATTTCTCTTCTTTCTGCGCCAATAATTCTAATGCTTTCTCAAGATCTTTACGTAGTCTGCTGACTTCTGATGGATCCAATCTATAAATACAGTAAATTTTTCCGTACTCAACAAACTTTTTTTTGTGTAAATTATAAATCGGTTTTGATTTACTTTGGAAATCAGAACACTGTATAAAACATGCAAAATAAGCTATAAATGGCGGCGTTCCTTTCCAGTAATCGGGATTTCGTATTTTCAACAAATACTTTAACTCCATTTTAATTCCTTACCCATCATGAATCAGTTGGGAAGACTCCAGGTACAGACTGGAAGAATCTACACATATCGAAGCCGAATCCGACGAAGAATCGGGCATCAGATGCTCGTGATCTGCAATGTCTTCCGACCTCATCTCACGTCGAACATGGGTTCTACAAAGCTTTAAGTAAGGTCACAAAGAAAACGCTGGGACACAGCTGTTCCCTGGCAAGTGGGGGAAGGGGACCAGGGCTTTGGACCCCAACTTTATCAGGAAAGGAATCAAAAATATTAGGCAAAAAAGAACTGGCCAAACTTTGCGGGAATGCCCAACTCGTCGTGTAGCAAAGCGGGGAGGACCTGGCCAAATGCAAAGCAAGTGAGACGGGAATTAAATTGGAAAAAAAGTCGACGGCCAAAAAGACAGAGTAACAAGTCTTTGTGGGAACGGCGCGGGCTTATAGATTTCCATTGTTCCTGACCCCGATGTCAAGAACACGAACATTTGCAGATTCCTCATACTTTCAGCCCGAAAGGCGAGGAATGAGGAGAGGATTGGGAAGAGCCAGATGGCGCGCCGTTCTGAAGAGGTTTCGGCCGCCGACGGAAACATTTCCTCATTTTCGGGCCTGCGGAAGAGCGGTCGGGCTTAAGGCGCGGAATTAGGGACAAGGCGACTTGCCCGAACATCTTCAGGGGACCCTAGACTTCTTTCTTTGAAGGGCAATCCATTCGGCCCCGTCACAAAATTGTTTATTTTTTAATCCAACGAGAAACTGTTAAGGAAATCGAAATGTGATCAAGGTTTGAAGTATTAAGTTATATAAGCATACGAAAAAATACTACTTCTTTCGATATGCAAATAATTAAATTACATGACTATTTGGCTGTCAGCTGGATTCTTTATCCAAGAACGATCGATAATCATTTACACTTCGCCAATGTGCTGACCTTAATATGACTTGGGGTCTATGGTGCTGCAGATGGTCAAAGGCTTCTTTTGGTTGCATGTTCCTCTTAAACATCAAATAACAGACAGCCACAGTGGCGCTTCTTGTTCTACCAGCTTTGCAATGGACGTACACACAACTCCCGTCTCCAGTTATCGAGTCGATGAATTTGACAGCGGAATGGAGGGAGCTGGTGGAAGCACTTCCTGATTATATATTAGTTAATGTAGGTGGGTGGCCTCACCAGTAAAGTCATGCATGGGTACATGATGGAACTGGATTCCATGTTCTTTCCACTCCTCCTCGCTCATCCCGTTATAGGCCGCTTTGGTCTCAAATTCCTCAGTGCAACAGACCACACCCGCCACTTTTTCGTCCTTCAATTACATTATAAGCCACGCATAGTAGTAATAAATGGGGCATAAAATACATAACACGATCATAGACCAACGATAACAACCCCACCTTCAAAGCATCGACCATCGATCGGAAAGGAAGCGCGCCCAGAAGAAGATGATCATCCACCCGAGAATACCATTGCCATCTTTGAGGCTGAACATAATTCCTAATGAGGTTGTAGGCAAGCGTTGGGTAGAAAGCAATATGACCCATCATCTTGAAATTGTTTCAATCAACTAACATCTTTACAAATATTATATGATACAAAACATATCAGTGTTAGCAATTAGTGGAGCCATAGAACAATTTATCCACTAGCAATCTCACCTAAGAACTGGTGGAAAAACTTTCCCATAATAGATAAATTAATAGGTTTAAGGTATAATATTAACATTAGAGATCATTAAATATATCATTGGAATGTGGGTGAGTTGGAGGGCGTTCTGAAGACAAATCGAACAGATTCACTGGTTCGTACGGCTGGTCGAACATATCTTCATTGCCACTCTCAACCAATGGCACTCGGTCCTCGTCATCATTCTCTGCAATACCAATTTAATTCATAATACAAAAATATAAATAACAATGATATAGACGTTCTTCTGGGAAGTAAAACTACATTGACGGAAATTACAGTTTACAAAATGCCAAAAAATTTTTGAGATTCGTCCACATTTTTCGAAAACGGTGATAATTATGTCGGTATAAATAAAAATTGATTTGCTAGAACACCACTTTAAACATAAAAGTACCAATTCGTATCCTACGAGTTAATTAATAATAAAAAAAAAAATACCTGAAATAACAATGACTTACTGAAGGCCTTATTCCTGAAAGTCCTTTCCTCCCGTTGTCCCTCCATTCTCGCGGGTTCTTTAAAAGCTCCATTACTTCTTCGTTCCAATGAAACCAATGCTTTTCCACTCTGTATCATATCGGCGGTCATCTCATCCTCGTCCATAAATTGATCGATTCCAATGGCATGCATGGCCCTTGTCCCTAACTTCAGCCATGTACTCAAACATAAAATTACAATCAGCATTGGCAAATAAATGTTGATTCCAGAAGCTAAGACCGGGATGACATCCAGATGTCCCATTAACTAAACAACATCAATATTAGAAGGCTCGCAAAGGAAGTACCGCAAGCGCGCCGCTCAGGTTTTACTTAAAATTTGCAGATAGGTTGGGCATAGCCCATATTAATTCCTGAAGGCTCGCGATTTGCAGGCGCAGCCGAGATATTCAGCGGCCTTGAGAGTGCGCGAAACGCGGAGTGCGGTCAAAGATGAAAACATATTTTGGCCGTATCTTTGCTAGTTTAGCATGAAAAGAATTGACTTTTGCGGAAACATGATCTTTTACAGTTAAAGTTTTCATGAAAAAGCTCGCCAAAAAGTGTCGATTTTTTCATCAAAACCATGCACGTCGCACTTGGGGTACGTCCCCTGAAAGCAGACAAAGATACCCGAGTAAACTGTGTTTCCACACCAAAGTCAGTTCTGGCCGTGATGTGTGTATCCAGATGTACCATTCCCAAAAAGTTGAGACAAAGTGGAGGCGTGAGACGACACAATAGCCTGAAATTTTGTACGTCTTCAATCTAAATCTCAACTTACATTGCACTGAACACCATACTATTTGGATCTGTCATTTGATGGGGATCCAAATGATAATACTTGTAAATTTTCAAGTGGAACACTGTATAATACGCACATAGACTCAAGTACAAGATCAATCCAACCGCCGTCACCTACAAATTTGATCTAAATATTAGGCTTACAGTACCTGGATGTATTTATAATGGTATCCTAAGGCCATTGAATGCAGAATTCGGGCAGCAAGTGAGAGTTGCGGCTTCACAATAAAGAATGTGCATTCACTCCACAAGATCAATATAGTCATAGCCAAACAGATCACAGCTAGAACTCTAATCATCACCTCTTTTCCCCTTGTATGCCAATTAAATAATACTCTTTCATTCAGGTATCTCTTTATCCATTTATCTCTGTTCCAATCAGGCAATTTTCGTTTTTCTTGAGCAACGATCACATCTTCCAGGTAGCAGGCCTCTTCTAAGAGTGCTTTCCATTGGGCGTGGGTTCTTCTATAGTTCTGGACAGCCAAATTAGTCCTTCGATTTAATCTGACCTGAAATCAGCGGACCTTGAGACAACTGAAAAGGACTTTTGATTTGTTGATAAGGTCGAGCAAAGTGAGATGACAGCCTCATTGCTCATAGTGAAACGTTTCTCTTCCAAATAAACGCTCCTCATGTCTGTTCCCTATTCTTTAAATAAACATGGTAAACGTAAGAGCAAGATCGTCCTAACTGGAGGACCATGCGCCGGTATGTTAACACTTAAAAATTTAAAATTTATTTTAGGAAAGACTACCGCAATGAAGGAAATTGCGGACAAGATCAAGACTCATTACAATGATGAATGGCAGGTAAAAATATTATCTTATAATAAACTCTTTAGGTGTTCACTGTGAGCGAAGCATCCAGTTTTTTGTATACTGGTAGAGTAGAAAGGCATACATTGAATGATGAACAAATATATCAGTGGCAAAAGGATGTATTAAAGACCATTAAACAGTTAGAAAGTGTCTATGATAACATCGCAGATCACGAAGTAAGACGAACTTCAATCTATACATCCTTCAGACTGATCGACATACGGTAATTATCTGCGACCGAGGAGGAATGGACCCAAAGGCATATACCCCGGGGGAAAATACGTGGAAAGAGATTCTAAACGAACTGGAGACAGAAGAGGAAGCACTGCTGGAGAGATACCATATGGTCATACAGATGCACACGGCACCAAAGTACAGGGTGTTTCCGGAGATATTCCGGAGAGTTTTTGGAAATATAGCTGTGCTCTTTGCAGTTATCTAGGTAGTTTAAATTGTTTCTAAAATTCGAAGTCATGTGTTTTTAGAATATGCAAAAGAATTTCTTTGAAAGGTTGCGGTTACGATAATCTGTTATTCTCGGCGGCTGGCGGATTTTCACAACATTGGCGAAGACTCGGCGGAGGTATTTTTCAAGTTCTTACATTGGAAGAGTCAAAAATGCGGGAATGCGAATTTTTTGCAAATTGAAAAAAGTACAAACGTGAAAATCAAAAAAGGGGGAGAGTTCGGGGTTTTTGGGGGAGAGTTCAGAAAAGAGGGAGGGTTTGCCTCCAACGTTCTTACCCTTGCCGAAGCGAAAAAACCTTTTGCATTATTCTTAAAACCCACGACTTTGAATTTTAAAAATAATTAAAATTTTTCTTGGATAGCTGCAAAGAGCACAAGGATATTCGCAAAAACTTTCGGAATATTTCTCGAAACACCCTGTAAACTTTCTCAATATCAAAACATCGTTTTAGAGAATTCTACTCGACAGTAAATAATCCTTATCGTCGCGAAAACTACGATGAGGCAACTGAGATCAACCTAAAATACGAAAAGCTATGGAAACATCATCCAAGGTTCCATTCTGTCGATAATTTCGACGCCCGAGACCAGAAAGACGGATGGGAAAAGAAAGAAAACCAAGTATACGAATTAATCAAAACTGTCATTGAGCACATTTAAATAAACCCTTACCAGAAACGACTCTTCACTAGCTGTTTTCGCGTCCATGTTCTTGAGATGAGGTGACGAGAAGGCGACTTGTCTTGAATTAGCAACTTTGTTTGCAATTTCATCAGGAAACTGTTTGATTACTTCTTGGATTTGCTCTCGAGATTGTCCTCTTTCATTTTTTAAAAGATTCAAAACTTCACGGCATTCGCTAAAAAAGGTAAAATAACTTTACATTGATATACTCACTGATATAATTGGTGGACGGTTTCTTCGGCCTCACTCTTCTCTGAAGCCAGCTTCTCCACTTCAAAGTAAGTCCGTTGAAGTCGTCTCTCTTTAAGAAAACCATCTAAACTCAAATAGTAAGCTTACCCTTTAGGCCAGCTTCCCAGAGCTTCCTTGGCACTTCCACCAAACCATATCCAAGGAGAACAACCAAGAAAAGGAATCCCCACGTATTCGACGCCGAGATTATTAACACTTTCAAGTGATCCAAATTCATTGAGACTCCCTTAGAAATGGCGTAGATGAGAAGGAACACAAAGAGAACTAGGTACATGGTGTAATATATAATATTGTTGTATAAAGCAAACTTTAGTCTTCCCATAGCCGTAAAGCTGCCGCCTTTGGTATAACTCTGCATAATGGGTAACAAAATCCTAAAAACGAAGCAATGAAAATCCGAATACTCTCCAAACATACCATGTAAGCAATTGAGAACTCCAATAAACAATTCTCCACACGTGAAGGAGAAAATCCTCTTTCAGGTAACCTTTTGGCTCTTCACAATTAAGATCACTTGCTTCATTATGAGTCATGTTCATGATGCGTTTCTCATCGACCAAACATTTATGATAGAACGTCTGAAGGAACTCGTTAGGTTGTAAATGATTACGACATTAGAGAAATTACAAAATCTTACAATTGAAATATCCAGAGGCAACATCAAAATGATAAGAAAAGAGAAGTACCACCCAATGAAAGTCGATACTGACACGAGCAGATGTTGTTTCTTGAAGTTGGCATACTTATTCCATATATACAAGGTGAGGATAGCAACAAGTACTAATTGAAAGATGAACCACACCACCCCCATCAAGACATGCTACCAATCCACGTTCCCTTGCTCCTTATTTATTCTCGAGAGATCTCATATCTCTTTTCCAAAATTTCGTCGAAAAAAAACAAAACGCCAAGGATTTCTTGACATTGAAGGGAATCCACTCGAAACAAGCTAGGTCTCGACGCGAACAGCGACAACAGTACCCCCGAACTATGCGAAATTGCCAGCAAGTCCGATCGGCGGCGCACTCTGATCGCCGATATCAACCGGCAGAAAAAACAGGGGGAGCGTAACTATTACGGGGAAAGGCATGAATAATATCGGGCTGACGTGGAGAAGCGCGTTTCAGTCTTCCCAGTTTACCTGATTGACATTTATTTGAGGGCAATTGTTTTAATAGTTTTGAGGTTTATTAATAAGGTTTCGTTGAATTTTCCTTAATCGGGGTTATTGAATATGATCGTTTCTTTGCTTCTGTCCAAATTATTTTTGAATAATGATGGCGTTTCATCTGATCATGCCTGTTTACAGATTCATCGTCTTTGGAAACGTCTTGCTGACGGTCAAGTCGTTTCTTTGGTTAGTATCTGGATCGTCTGAGCCTCGGAATCCCTTTCGTCAAGATGAATACCGCAGATGTCTTTGTTAATGGTGGTTCGTCCGCCGACCCGGCTAGCTATGGATTTGGAGCGCCGTCTAACGGTGTTGTGGAGAAGAAGCCTGAACAACCCTCTTCGTCTGGCCTGCCCAAGGAGAAGGTCGTGATGGATTATTCAACTGATTTCCCCAAGTTGCCCGAGACCAAGCAAAATGCTGCTCCAGCTGGAGCATGGGGTCGCAAGACCTTGACAAAGGCTGTTGTTACTGAAACCTTCAAGCTTCCCGCTTCCGATCGTGCCTCCATGAACCTTGGTAACAAGGGCTTTGGACTGGCTGAACAAACTAAATGTAGTCAAGTTGCTGCCGAAACCAACACTAAGATCGAGTTGTCTGAAGCCTCCGACAAGTCTTTGACTATACTCATTTCTGGAAAGAAGTCCGATGTTGATGTCGCCCATGGGCGTCTTGTTCGTGAACTCCAAACTCAATCCCAGATTGAAGTGAGTGTGGATCGCGAATTCTATGGGGCTATTATTGGTAAGTAATGTCTATATTATTATCAATTCGGTTTTTAGGAAAGCAAGGAGATCGTCGGAAACAGATGGAGAATGAATACAATTGCCGAATCTTCTTGCCTGGTAAAGATGAACAAAGCAGTGTTATTCGAATTGTTGGACCTATTGACCAGATCAGGGCTTGTGGACTAAAACTGAAATCCATTGTGACCGAGTTGGCTAAGCAAGCTACTGAGAGTTTGGATGTCCCACGTGAATTTTATCCATGGATCCGTGGTCCCGCTAACAAAACTTTGGAGTCGATTCAAGCCGAGACTGGGGCCAAGGTTAACATTCCGACCTCTAAATCCAAGAATGACACTATTGTTATTGCCGGTGAACGCGAAGGAGTTTACAAAGCACTGGCCCTTGTCAAAAAAATTTACGAAAGTGCCAAGGTAAGATTATTAGGATATTATTTCTTTTTCCTCTCCATGTGTAAATGTAAATTTTTTAGAAGAACAACAAAAGTGTGACATGTAAAGTGAACAGGTCTCAACATCGCTTTATTATTGGAAACCAAAGATCTGGCATTGATGAAATCCTTGAGAAGACGGGTGTTTTGGTTGAAGTCCCTTCGGAGGAGGAAAATTCTGATACTATTACTCTTCGTGGACCCCAAGCAGCTCTAGGCGATGCTTTGGCTTTAGTGTTCGCTCGTGCTACCTCAATTATCTCTTTGGAAATCGAATATCCAGAATGGCAGAGGCGTTTCTTGATCGGCCCAAAGGGGCAAACCCTTCAACAATTGGTTCCCAAGCAAGACCGGTTGAATGTTGAGTTTGAGAACGGAGGCAAAATTTATCTGGAGGGACCTCCAGAGGCTGTGAAGAATGCCCATGTAGCCTTGAGCACAGAAATAAACAGGCTCACCAAGGAAATGGCATCCGAAACTGTAAAAATCCCAGCATATCTCCATCGTCATATCATTGGAAGAAGCGGTGCTCTGAGTATGTTTTCCGATTGCTGTACTAGTTATTTTAGTTAACAAAATCAAGGAAGATAACGAAGTCCAAATCACGATCCCAGACGAGAGACAAGGATCTGACGAGATCAGAATTGAAGGAAAGAAAGAAGGAGTTAAGAATGCCGTGAATGTGCTCAAGGAAAGGGGAGCAGAGTTGGTAAGTAAATGAATAAAATGTTAATCTTTGTAGGAGAAGAAAATGCCCGCCGATAAACAACCCCCGCAACTGCCGTTGGAAGAAACTTTTAAAACTTCAGTTGATGTTGAACCAAAATGGCATAAGCATTTTGTTCTCCGAGGAGCCGAGGTGATTCGGGAGATTCAAGATCAATTTGGCGGTGTTGTTATTTCCTTTCCAAGGCAAGATTCGGGAGAATCCAAAGTGCATATCAAAGGTCCAAAGGCTTCCATTGATCAGGCCAGGAAAAAGATCGAAGAGATTGTCGCCGATCTCGAAGCCCAGATCACTGTTAATCTAGAAATTTCTGAAGAACATCATCGTTCATTGGTCCCTCATGCTAATGCCATTCGTCAAAAACACAACGTTCGGCTCAACTTCCCACCACGCGGAACTTCCAACGAGGGAGCTGAGCCCGTCGATGGTATCTTACCTGCCAACCTGGTCACTCTTTCTGGTCTTCCATCCAACATCGAGGCTGCCAAGGCTGAATTGGTTGAACTTATCCCTGTTACTGAAGTGGTAAGTAAGAACTATTGTCGCTGATTTCTTTGTAGTTGACTGTCCCCACGGAGTATCACAGCACTTTGATTGGAAAGAAAGGAGAATCTATTAGAGCTTTCATGCAAACACACAATGTCCGTGTTACTGTTCCATCTGCAGAAGACAATTCTGACAAGGTTACGGTCACTGGTCCACCTAAGAATGTCGCTGCCGCCGTTGCTGATTTGAAGAACAAGGTCGAAGAATTGGACAAACAGTCTGAAGATCGTCGCCTCCGTTCTTACAAGACTGTTGTTGAGATTCCTTTGGAGTACCATCAACGATTGATTGGACAAGGAGGTCAGACTATTCGCGAGTTCTCCAAGAAGTATGATGTTCATGTTGCATTCCCAAGAGACAACACTGAGACCATCACCATCTCAGGATATGAAGACAAGGCAAACGAGGCCAAGGACGAAATTGTTAGGCTTGTGGAGGAATACAAAAACATGATCACTCACACCGTTCAACTTGACCCCCGCTTCCATCCTCGTCTTATCGGGCCAAGAGGGAAGAACCTTAAAAAAGTAGGCTGATAATATTCTGACGACGGTGACTTGTTTTCAGTATCAAGAAGATTTCAACGTCGAGATCAATTTCGCTACAAGGAATGATCCCGATCCATCGCTGGTTACCGTGTCTGGGAAGAATGAGGAAAACATCTTGGATTGCATCGACAAGCTTCGTTTGCTTGAAGAAGACTTTATGCAAGATGTTGTCGAGAGATATCAATACACTTATCAGCGTAGAGCAGAGCCAGTTCATCAACCAAAGCCGCAGGCTGTTGAGATTACTGGAGCTCCATGGCAATTGGACAACTTGGATCAGTTCCCAACCATGGGTCAACAACAACAACAAGCGGCTGTTGCTTCTCATCAGCCAACCGGCTATTGGGGACGTCGTAATTAAAAAATAATTCGATCCTGAATATAGTCACGCCCCTTTAAACTGTGATTTTTTACAACTATTTCGTTTGACCGACGCCGATTCATTTACTAACCCAACACAATATTCCAAATAGTGCCTTCAGATAATTATTTTTAAGTTATTTTGTTTGATAAAATATTTATAGCTAATAAAGTTGCTATTTTTAATTATTAAAGAGTAAAAAATTTAAACGAAAGTTGATTTTATTGAGGAAAGAACATGGTTCAGTTCGTCATCGGTCCATCCGGCATTGCATGTCAGTTTGATTCTGAGAAGACAATGAGGGTTCCGAGAAAATTTTAAAAATTTCGTCCATGCTGCTCCAACCAGTTTCTCGCATACCGAACTTTTTGTCCTGCAATGTGCGGAGCCGAACATAGAACAAGGATACAACTTGTTCTGAACGGCGCAGTAGAAAGAATTATTCGCACCTCGCAAAGTTTTTGCCTATTTTGGTGGGCCTTGTACAGTGCAGAAGAAAAAGTTGTTATGGGCAAAACTCGTGTTGAGCGTCATGGGCAAAAGTATTTTAATTTACTCGGAACCCCCTTATGGATTGTTAGCGACAAATCAAACTTACCCTTTAGGGACTGCAAATGTTTCCGACTGATCCAGAAACCTTGAGCGGGTCACAACGATTCCGTTTCCCATAAACTTAAATATTAGGTTGTTTTGAGTACTCTATGTATGCCCACCTTCTCAACAAGTTGATTAAGCCTCTTTTCGCTGTCTTCTTCCTTGCAGTGAATTAACTTCAACGGGGAATGAGGAGCGCCTTGGAGAACAAACTCGGTGTGTTGAAGCGATGCTTCGATAGTGTCATGAATTCGTTTTGAGATTTGGCCCAAACGACCAACAAGATTTTTATTATCGTCAATTAGATGCAACGCCTCAATGGCAGCTGCAGCCAAAAGAGGCGGAAGGGACGCAGAAAAGCAATAACCCAATCCTAAAGCAATCAATGAATGCTGAAACTGGTCCCAACCCACCTGAGAGACGCTGGTGACCCATAACAAAGGCCCGGCCACAGGTGAAGCCGCCCGTTGTTCCGATACCGTTCTCTAACGAAACCATGATCATGTCGACGTCGTTAGTGGGGACATCATAATAGTCGGTGACACCTAAAGGAATTTATTTTTAAAAGCGCTTTATGTGCGTCTTCAGTCCCGCTCCAATCAAGAACTCTCGGCTAGCCGACCAAAAAAAAGTTTCGTCAATTGAAATTGGATATAAAAGGTCGTGGAGCAAGCGAACTCTAATGCGGCGAGGAAAATAAAAATACTTTTATTTTACTGATTACTTACTACACGCTACTTTTATTAATTATGACGTTTATTGCCTACAGCCATTCTTTCTTTTCCTTCTTTTATTAGTCTAGCACCTGGAAAAGTGGTATTTTTATTGTACGCACTTCTCTGTGGCTCACCGACGTCCAGAGGTCATACAATAACCCTTTTATAATTACCATCTATCTAAAGTTCGACTCTTACCATAAGATACAATTCTTTTGCAAAAGGATTAAAATTTCATGACCCCATCTACCGTCCACATTCTCTTGACAAAAACGATCACAAGACGTTCACTCCTTGCTGAACGAAAGATCATTTCCGGCTTTTTGATGTTCCTGTACATTTCATAATAGACCGAGAGGAAGCGAGACAGAGAGGACTCGGATCAGTCGCCCCAAATCCCCCTTTTGGCTATGATCAAAAGTCATGACGCTTTCGTTTTTCGACTTGGTTCTCACGTGGCGTGACAAGCTTAAAAGTGTTTTAAACGGGTTCTTTGAATGCCAGACTAACAATAAGTCCGTATCTTATACACTATGGTTCGTATAAAACAGCTGAACCCATAAGCCAGGTTCATTCAGTCATGCACGTCAGAATAGAGACGTCAGTATTTTACGTGATTCGATCCATTTTCAAAAACGCTGAGTCCTCCAGATCGTTTTGGACAAGCAAATCACCTTCTCGTATGACATGATATCCTATTCGCTTTGACGGCTCAATTTGAAACATGTCTGGCGTTCGTTCGGAATTCGTTTAAACCGCTTGGGACGTTCTTTTCGCATTGAGATAATGACTACTTGCAGACTTATGAAGCCTAATGTAATTTTCTTGGCCTGTTGTCTCAGCTGGGTCAGTTGCCAAGTGCCCGACAACTTTTTGATGGATAACATCACTAATCTAATTCCTGTGTGCAATCGAGAGAATGCTCCGAACCATCAGATATACTGTAATGGACCCATCTTGGAGGCTGTAATGGCGTTTGAATTATACCACGATTCGAAAACATTTGTCGATAAACCACTCAAATACCCGCCACAAGTCGTGTTGGACAAGTACAAGGGGTTATTTCCGACACAAGATGACGTCAACAAATACGATCTTCAGAAGTTCATCGATGAAAATTTCTACGAAGCAGGAACAGAAATGCAAAGGTGAGGGAATAAATCCTCAGACAATACAAACATTATTTTAGTTGCCAATTAGACGACTGGAATGAAAAGCCTTTGAAGTTGATGTCAATTGCTGATCCTAATCTCAGATCTTGGGCTTTCGAATTAAATCTAATATGGAAAAGTTTGTGTCGCGAAGTCGACCCAATCGTCCGAAACGAAAGCGAACGGTTCTCTTTGCTTTATGTTCCCAACAGATTCATCGTTCCTGGAGGCAGATTTCGCGAATTCTACTATTGGGATTCTTATTGGACCATCAAGGGATTACTAGCCTCAGGTAAAAAAGTGGAATGATCGGGAACCTTGAACATTAACGCTTCAGGAATGTACGATACAGTCAAAAGTATGCTGCTTAACTTCATCTATATCGTCGAAAAGTACGGATTCATTCCAAACGGAGGCAGAGTGTATTATCTGACACGATCACAGCCGCCACTATTGACAGGAATGGTCTACGAATACTATGAAGCCACTCATGACATTAACTTTCTGATTGAAAATGTTGGGACTTTAGAAAAGGTAAGCCAATCCTACGGTAAAATACGAAAATAATTAGGAACTTTACTTCTGGGACACCCACAGGATGGTGGACATCGATATTGACGGCAGGAAATACCAAATGTACCAATATCGTGCAGACAGTAACAGTCCCAGGCCGGAATCGTTCAAGGAAGACGTCGAACTCACAAAGCACTTTACGAAGACTGAAAGGAAACAAAAGACTTGGCAAGATTTGGCTAGCGCAGCCGAATCTGGATGGGATTTTAGCAGTCGATGGTTCCGAAATTCGGTGGACATGAAGACAATTGAGACGACCAACATAGTCCCAGTAGACTTGAACTCTTTTCTTTGTTGGAATATGAATATCCTCAGCTATTTCTTCGACGAGATCAACGAATTGGAGAAGGCGGAAGAATTCAGAAACAGACTCGGGAAGTTCAGATCACATTTCCAGAAGGTGTTCTATTTGAAGAACGAGAGCGGATGGTTTGATTTCAATCTTCGAACAGGCGTTCACAATATCAAATTCTATCCAAGCATGGCTTCTCCACTTTTCACTCGATGCTATCACTCGCTCAATCATCGACAAGCCGAGAAAATCTTTGATAAAATGGAGGAAAAAGGAGCCTTTAAATTCGTCGGAGGAATCCCAACCAGGCAAGTTGTAAAACCTGATACTAGTGTAATTATTCCAGCTTACAAGAAGATACAAATCAACAGTGGGACTTCCCGAACGGATGGAGTCCGCTCAATCATATCATAATTGAAGGATTGCGGCAATCCGAGAGTCCTAGGTAATAACTGCGACTAATAAAATCACTACCGTTATTTCAAAGGTGTAGTAATCACGATTTTCAGAATGCAATACAAGGCATTTTTGCTTGCACAGAAATGGATTCTAAGTAACTACCGAGTGTTCAAAAAGACCGGCGTCATGTGGGAAAAATATGATGTGATAGGGTCTAATCCAAACGTGGGATCGGGAGGAGAATATACAGTTCAAGTAAGAAGCCTGACATAAAAACTCCCATTGATGTGACTTTAGGCCGGATTTGGCTGGACTAATGGAGTCGTCTTAGACCTGCTAATGACATACGCAGAGCAATTCAACTTCCCTCTACTGGGTGATGAGAATAAAGAGCAAAACATTCCATCACCTGACACCAAACCGCATAATCAGACGTTAATAAGAACGCCAAAAGCGCTAAATTTGAAACGAACTGACGTTAACACAGCCAGAGGCAGTTATCCGTCCTTACTTTTGTTTGTTACTATTTTGTATTTTTTGTTTTAGATCTCTTATCAGGTGCTTTGTGAAACGGGTCCCTTTCAAACTGTAAAAATAAACTAAACTCACCTCTGCCGCGTTTTCCGACGACTCCAAAGGACAAACTCTCGTCCATGAAAACACGAACCTTGTACTTCCACTTCAACTCCATAATTCGGGGTAATGGACAGAGATCGGCGGTCTTGGCATAAAGGCCTTCAATTATTATGAATTTGCGGACCTCTTGGGCTTTCTTCGGATTCTGAAAAATCAATGTTGAACAGGTTCAAAACATGCTGTAAAGCTAAGATTGAATACTTTTTTGTCTTTCTCCTGCTGTTCTTTCAATAATCTCTCCAAATCAGACATATCGTTGTGTTCAAACCATTCAATTCTACTTCTAGATGCCTGTAAAGCTTTTTGAATAGCGAAATTGCAGGCTTTATCAGCATAAATGATGTCGCCTCTTTTGGAATATGCTGGTATGGAACTGGCTATCGTAGCGAATCCAAAACTGTAGAGGACGGCTTCTTCGACTCCCATAAATTGAGCAATTTTCTTCTCGGCTTCCAAGTGAATGTCGACAGTGCCGTAGAAACTTCGAGGTCCGCATGATCCAACTCCATATTGCTTGATCGCTTTTTTGGCCGCAGCCTTAATATAAACAGTAAAACATTATATCCGTAGCATACCTCAATCTTCTCATTCCCAACGAAGTTGAGGAAGTTATTTGTGGCCATATTAAAGTACTCCTTTCCTTCTATTAGAACTTTTTTTGCTATTTTCCTGAAAATTTACAAAAAGAAAGTAACCGCTTTACCCTTCAATTTTGTCTGACAAGTTCCTTTCGTTGCAAATCATATGCTCGGGTACCAATGGCTGGGGGTTCCATTCCGAGATTATCTTGTCCTTCTCTTCTTCAGACAATTCTAAATCATCGTCCTTTGACTTTTTCTTTCGGAACACGATCATATACACGAACAATGCCACAAACGCCGACTCCAACGCCATGTGCACCGGCGAACCCTTAAAAATTCAGACCATTATTAATTGAATAAAAATCTTACAGTAACGGAATCGTAGACGGTTCCCAGCAACCCTTCCATTCTAAAATAATACGCTTAATAAAAATATTTGACAATTGTGAAAAGTAATCATGGAACAGCCAAATTAAGCAAAAACTAAGAGTAAGGTCAAGTTTTATTCCGTTTCCGTTTTCTTGTCCGTGATTTATCAATAATCCTGTAGAAACCCGACTGTTCTTCATTGTTTTTGGTGCCTTCCGCGTTCTCATTTGTCAATAAAATCATTTCTTTCTCAATTTTTTCTTTGAGATCATTCAGGGAAATCTCCAAACTTCTATAAATATCAATCATAGATTCGCCAAACAAACTTTCTAACAGCTTAAAAAAACTTGCGATTCCTGAGAAGCACTATTCCCGGGGACTTTATGATCAACAATATCGCAAAGACATTTGACGTTTTCAGGGGTCAATTCTGAGATGATCAACTGGCCACAAGAATTGACTTTCACCGAGTCTAATGGAAAGCACTCACACGAAACAGGGAATCTAAACAAACAGTTCCATATATTATTCTAAACCCTTTGACCTACTTGTCTGATGCCGAACAAAAACATTCGGCAGTCTCGTTATAGACCTTCAACAATAACTCCAGGTGTCTCAACGCATTTTCGGCCAATTCAGAAGCCAATGAGATCAGAAGCATGTTGAATTTAACCTAAAGTGTTTCATTTCTAAAACTTGAAGTCTTACCAAATGCCCCAACTGCACATAACCAAGATCAAAGTCCACATTCCTGGCAGCCAACCATCTCAAACGGTCTAGTAATGCTATTCTGCGGCACAACAAGGCTCCCAGGTAAATAATAAATTCTTGGGTTGGTAAATATGCGCAACCAGCTTCATTTAAACCCTATACGAAGGAGTTCAGAGAAATGTGCGGGAAAGTTTTTGTCGATTTCTTGGCGCTCAGTCAAGATATCCAAAAATGAAAAAAAAACTTTTTGCAGGAGAAAGAAGACTATGCGGTTTTTAAAATTCTACGCCAAAGCGGAAGGTCGGCAGAAACGTTTGTGGTAATCTTAAACGCTTTGTTATCATTTCTGATGGTGGCAAAGCAGATATTTGCTCATTTTTATGTTTAACGGCGAAGTTACGACGGACGCTTGCCATATCGGCGGAAGGCATAGACACGGTGCGCACAAACTTTATCGGTGCCCAGAGACAAACTGCACCGTGCAATCGCACTACTTTCCGCGTCAGCGGAGATTTTTTTGGCAAAAAAAACCGTGAAAATTTGCGGAACATTTTTTCTGAACACCCTGTATAATGACGAAAATTTGAGAAACAACTTACCTTGAACAACCTTTCCAGTTGCTTTAAAAAACTTCCGTCCCTTAGGCGCTTCAGAAACGACAATAATTGCTTCGCTGATCGATAAAAGTTGTGATGCCGATAAGCTCTGCCATACTTGTAAACAACAGCCTCGTATATCTTGATGATTTTGTCATTCTGAGGGAATTCAGCCACCTTGTTCTGCTTTAGAAGAGCTAAATTTCCTGAAAGCTTCATTCGACGAAGTTCCCATATTCGCTTCTTATCAGAATCTCGCTCTCTTTCCGATTGAAAGAACTTTTTAGGTAGGTCGAGGGCGCTTTTGTCCAGGAAATCTAGAAATGAATACCATGACAACAAAAAACTTACGGAAAAATGCTTGTCTATCCATTTAAAACCCAAAGACAAGAAAGTCGAAACTAGAAAAAGAAAATTATTTATCAATCGGCAAGATCAATCGGTCTCGTTATCAACGACGCCCTGGAATCGAATATAAAATATATATTTAAAGTCCTGTATGAAAATAATTTAAACAAACACTATAAACTGTCGATAAAACTCGTAAAACGTATCTTATGGTTAAACATAATAACTTTATAAACGTTTATACGTTTGCAAGAATTAAAATTATTATCTATCACAAAGAATAGAGTTGACACATTTCAAAGTATGTCCAGGGGTGGTCAGTGGGCCGGGCCGGCCCGTGACGGGCCGGCCCGGCCCGGCCCAAACGGGCCGGCCGGGCTCAAAAATGGAAAATTACAAACGGGCCGGGCCCGTCACGGGCCGGGCCGGGCCGCGGGCCTGGGGTTTTTTCCGGCCCGGCCCGTCTAAATTACAATGCCAAACCGTTGGCATTCATTGTTTTCGCGCCGGGAAAATTAATTGATGTTGTTATAGTCGCTGTTTCTCAAGTTCTAAAACGTTTACAAGTCTATAGCTCCATTATAGAGCCACAAAACTATCACATTGATCCTTTACTAGCTAGATCAACGCCTTTTTTGCCTCGGTTTAGATCCCGAGCCTGGGCGCAGTTCGCAGAGCCCTCTATAGACGGGCCTGCACGGGCCGGGCCGGGCCGGGCCAGGCCCGTCACGGGCCGGGCCGGGCCGGGCCTGGAAAAGACTAGACGGGCCGGGCCGGGCCGGTCAATTAGACGGGCCGGGCCGCGGGCCGAAAATCGGAAAAATAGGGTCTGCTGACCACCCCTGAGTATGTCAAGCAGGGGTGGTCAGCAGACCCTATTTTTCCGATTTTCGGCCCGCGGCCCGGCCCGTCTAATCACCGGCCCGGCCCGGCCCGTCTAGTCTTTTTCCAGGCCCGGCCCGGCCCGGCCCGTGCAGGCCCGTCTATAGAGGGTTCTGCGAACTGCGCCCAGGCTCGGGATCTAAACTGAGGCAAAAAAGGCGTTGATCTAGCTAGTAAAGGATCAATGTGATAGTTTTGTGGTTCTATAATGGAACTATAGACTTGTAAACGTGTTAGAACTTGAGAAACAGCAACTATAACAACATCAATTAATTTTCCCGGCGCGAAAACAATGAATGCCAACGGTTTGGCATTGTATTTTAGACGGGCCGGGCCGGGCCGGAAAAACCCCAGGCCCGCGGCCCGGCCCGGCCCGGCCCGTGACGGGCCCGGCCCGTTTGTCAATTTCCATTTTTGAGGCCGGCCGGCCCGTTTGGGCCGGGCCGGCCCGGCCCGCCGACCACCCCTGATGTCAAGTTGTAGCAGTCAACATGACCCGGGAAAAAAACTTGACCCACGGAAAAAATTTTCTTACACGTGTGAAAATCGTTGATATCAGTCGGCATAAATCGCCAAGTTTCATAAGAAAAGATTGTTATTATAATCCCGGATGGCTAAGGTCACTTTCAAGATCACTCTTACTAGTGATCCTAAGCTCCCATTTAAAGTGTAAGTCAATTCATTAACTTCTTATGTTTTTAGATTGAGTGTGCCAGAAAACACTCCTTTTACTGCCGTCCTTAAATACGCAGCAGAGGAATTCAGAGTGAATCCTGAGACCAGTGCCATAATCACTAACGATGGAGTCGGGGTAAATCCTTCCCAGACGGCGTCCAATATCTTCATGAAACATGGAAGTGAACTACGATTAATACCGCGGGACAGAGTTGGTTCGTTTTAAATTTATTCAGTCAATAAATTATTTTGAATACAAGCCTGGGGCAAAAATTATTATGGTACAAACAGAAATCAGAAGGACATAGGCGACCAGGCAGACCCACCAAGCGTAGACTTCCCACTTCCTGAGCTTTAAATTTCTTAAAAGGACAATCCCGAGTAGAAGTCCACCAATGAAACCCCCAATATGAGATACATAAGACACCTAAAATACTTAATTACTCCAAATATTCGTATTTATTAACAAAAATGCAAAAGCTTCCGTGTTCTGGCCGCTCTAATTTTTTGATGTTTTCGCAGGTTGGGAACAAACCAAAAAGGGGTGACGTCTAAAAATATCAAAAAGAGCATTTAAGGTACCCTTGGTGGTCTACCTCTCATCGTCATTAAGGTCTACTTCACGTAAAACCGCCGTCAACATCAATAAAAAAATTCACTTCAAAGCTGGGCCCAGCTCGGAAAAATTCTTTTTTGAGAGTGGGCCAGAACGCGGAAGTTTTACCACAAAGCTATTAGTTCTTGTTTGAAATAACTTACACGACTCACTGCAGCCACAAAATATCTTTGATATAACGCGCTTCCAAAATCGACAGTCACCAAAACCATGATTATGATCGCTCTAATCCAATTGAATTCCATCTCATCCCAATTGATGATAACATTGGATAAATGGGCTGATAATAAAGCATAAACACCACCAGATGCTCCTCCCAGATAGACAGTAGGATCGATGGCCGTTACGAGTAGAGACCCCGTAATTACTCCGAGTAGATAAACCCCAGCTATCCTCCAGAGTTTGTGGACAAGTTCGAGAGGAATCCCCAGTAATATCTGGACCGCAACGTTACTAAGGATGTGCGTATATCTGAACGAAGATTTTGCGGGTACATTCGTTCTTACCCAATATGAATGAACATGTAGGTCAAGAACCTCCAGACCTGTTCCTTGTGATTTGGATCTAGGATTAATGGAGATGATACAGGGACAGGGCCAACTGTCGATATTCCAACTTTAGAATCCAAAGCATAGTAAAGATAGACGGCTATTTGGGTAATCGAGATCAGCAGCATGAAGAGGGGAGGAGGAAAACAGTTATATTGCGAAAGGTATCTGACAACACTTGATTGTTGTGATTTGGCGAGGACAGAACGAGCAGCATAAATGGTGAGCCTCTTGATGTACAGACTTTTGGCTTTGGCCATCTATAAATTGTTCGACTGAAATCCGAAACATACCATCGCTGAGAACTCGCTGAAGTCGACGTAATTGTCCATGTTAGTATCGACATCTCTTAACAGGATCTCAGCCTCGTGTTTCTGGAGTCCTAACAGAGATGAGTTCTCCATAACTGCAACTCGTAGGACACCCACAGGGATGAGGCCATCATTATCGTGGTCTAACTAAATGGTGTCGTCAGTTATGGGTTACAGTGCAGAATTAATAACAGAAAGCTAGGCTTACTCTGCAGAAGATGGAATACCAATCCTGAGGGTCATAACTCAGAGGATTTATAAACTCTGACATTCAGATAAATTTGAAAGACCCTTAAATTACAATAATGGCGTCGAAATGAAAAAAGGAACTTCTCGCTTTCTTTTTTTTATCTATCTTCGCCCGATCTACGTTACCACGGCGACTTTCTACGTTTGCATTTCGCGAAAAAACATGAATCAGCAGCGAGAAAGTGGAGAATTAACCTTCATTGACCTTGGTATCCTTCTTGGGGTTTATATTTCCATTGTCTCATTATAAAAACAATACGCCAAATAAATTAAGGAAACAATTTAGCTCTCTTTGGACGTTTTGGAGGAGTCCTGCCAGGGTTTTTTCGTTTCTTCGCCGCATCCATTCGTAAGTTTTTGAGTAACATTGGAGTTCGAGCCGGGACAAACGCCGGGGTCGATGTCAGGGGAAGACTCGACGACGTCACTACGCTCATCTCATCTTCCTCTACCTCTCTTATGATTGGAGAACAGTCGACCAGAGGGAGAGACCTCACTCGATCGAACGAAGAACTCGCTTTGGGAGTATCTACAATTGTTGAATCTAGAACAATAGTATTTGGCCATCGCTTTAATGCAGTAGACGTTGTTGGCCCTGACACATCGCTCTAAAACTATGAATTGGGAAAAAAAACGTTATACTTACTCGTAAATCTTCATTCTCCTTCTCTACATCCGATAAACCATGAAACGATTCATTTTCTTCAACTAAAAATCATACATTAAAACGTTAAACAAAAAAATGACCTACCAACAGGTTGATTGGCTGAACATGTTGGACGAAGAGCAGCTTCATCCGTTTTACGAGATTTTTGGCGGCGGCGTTCATAATATTGTAGCGTACGAGCCTCATACTCTGCCCATGCATCCACACAAAGAACTAGATTCCTTCTCAAGAAAGGAAATATGTATTCTTTCTTGCCCGACCTTGTCTTTCTTGTCTTCTTTGCCTTTACCTGACTTTCAAAGATCTTAGAGGCATTAAGGGCTTTCAAAGTGCGGACAGCACTTTCTAGAGAAATTGCACATGGTCGATGAACCTTCCATGGCCGAGGCTTCCAGTAAATACTTTTGAGAATTGCATAGTCTCGCTTTTCCGAATCCTCCATAAGAAAAGATAAAGATTATAAAAAGTTGGTCAAAATATTTTGACCAACTTTTTTTACGAAAAATATTTCTTTTTGCAAAATGTTTGCGCGCTCTTTTTGGCATTGTGTGGCTGTAGCAAAAATAAAATTCAAATTAGTATTCAAAGACCAGAAAAATTTGTTACCTTCGTCAACCTGATGAATTAATTATTTTATTCTCCTAAAAATTCTCTTCAGGAAGTTGTGCGTACGGATGGGAATGTATAAATATGGCATCATATGAAATCAACTTCGGTTGAACTGTAGTTTTTTATGTGATACAACTACAGTTTTCTGATGGTTTTTATAAACCCGACTAACAAGACAAACTAGTAGTTTTTTTTAATGACCAACACTTAGAGATCATTTCGAAGGGAAATTTTTCAAAGAGGTGCGCGCTAAGCTAGAGATCGACTGAGCAGCTCGAGGGAGGAAGTATTTTTGTTTGAGACCTTGGCCACCACTCTGTGGAGCAATTATGTACGCTTCCAGAGTTTTCTGTAAAGGTAACCATTAATTTTAATAATAATTTGTTGCAGAGTCATATCGTCTTGTCGTTGTTGGTGCTGGGACCGGTGGAACTGCAATTGCTGCTCAGTTTTCTAATTCATTGCCCAAGGGCCAAATTGCAATTATTGATAGCTCACCGGTAATTGATAATTCAAAACATACACAGACTTAGGTCCATTATTATCAACCAGGCTTCACTTTGCTTGGTGGGGGCTTGGCGCCTCCGGCTACTCTCCGAAAAGAGCGTCAAAGTACCTTAGCCAAGAATGTGAAATGGATCAAGGACGATGTCAGGGAGTTCAACGCTAAAGACAACTCGATAACATTAGGGTTGGTCTCTTAATTTCGCCAACCCTTTCTAGTTACTGGGCAACTTCTTTATCAATTGTCATTATTTTCACGTAAAGAAATTAATAATGTCATTCTAGGAACGGAACTGACGTTGGTTATGATTACTTGGTGATAGCCACAGGTCTGGATACAAGATACGATCTAATAGAAGGATGTGAGAACGCCTTGGAGGATGAAACATCTGGAGTTTGCAGTATATACAGATTTGATCTGGCTCAGAAAACTTACTTACAATTGCAAAAGTTTACTGGAGGCACAGCTGTTTTTACATTTCCAAATACACCAATCAAGTGCCCTGGGGCACCACAAAAAATATGTTACATGGCTGACGAAATATTCAAAAAGGTGACTAAAGACAATATATACCCAGTACCCGCATATTTGCAGAATCAAGTTCGAGATAAGACCAAGATCATCTTCAACAACACTTTGGGAGTCATCTTCGAGGTCAAGAAATACGAAGAGGCCTTGTTGAAGGTGTTGAAGGAAAAGGATATTTTCTTTAATTCCAGAAAAAACCTGATTAAAGTGGACGCTCAGAATAAAATAGCCACATTCCAGATTGTTGATGAACAAAGAAAACCCACGGAAAAGTTTGAGGAAGTAAAAGTAGGTTTAATAGAACATAAATACGGGCAAGATATCAATCACAAGGTTGTCAATTCGTATGTTTCCAGTATGATCTGCTCCATGTGGGACCTCCTTGCACTCCAGTTAAGGCTCTACGTGATGCTGCCGCCTCAGGGAATCCCTTGACTGACGCTGTTGGTTGGGTTAAGGTCAACGAGAAGTCCCTGCAGTCTACTGAATTCAAAAATGTATTTGCCTTTGGCGACTGTGCTGGTACAACCAACAAGAAGACTGCTGCTGCTGTCGGTATGCACTAACAAATGACTAAAAGACCATTTCTGAGTCAGTGCATTAAGTGCACATAAAAAAGTGATTTCGAGTTTTTCATAAAAATGCCCGTCGTCAGATCCGAATTAAAAACGAACAGTTTTACTGTTTTAAAAGTAATCTTCTCTAGCTGTCGTATTTAATTTTTGACGGCTACTGAATTTTTTGACGCTTGCGATGCTGATGAAAGCATTATTTTTTTGCTTTTACTACTGTAACATGACGTAATACCGTATTGTCCGCTAAGAACGGCCGTGAAGATCAACTTTGGCTAGCTAGTTAAACAATTTTGCAATATTTTTATAAGCATTGGCCCGATCTGCACCAAATAAAATCTGCCCTAAACAGAAGGTTGCGATTTACACGGTTGATGCACAGACTTAGAAATCGTCCTTTAACTGGGCCTATTGATCACCTCCTTGCTTTTAGCCCATCAACTTCGAACTGTAAATCAAAATCTGCAAGCTGTGATGAAGAAGGGTGAGATCAAGGAAGAATACGATGGTTATGCTTCTTGTCCTTTGGTCATCGACTCCAAGCATGTTATTCTATCCGAATTCAATCATCAAGGACCGATCGAAACCTTGCCCATTAACCAGGCTATCCCGTCTTACACCAATTACTGGATTACTCGTTACTTTCTTCCCTGGTTGTATTGGTCTCTTCATTTGAAGGGTCAATGGATGGGACCAAGAAAGATTCGGAAGATTTTGAGATTGGGAAGGGATTAGAGCAAGATCGCTGTTCTGTATGATCAGCTTCCACTTCTTTGAAACCGTAATTGAAACGTGATTACAATTCATTTATTTTAGGCTTTTTGTACAACAGTATAAGTTATGTAAATATAATACATTTTATTAGGCTCTTTCGGACTTGATTTTATCCTGATTTAGTCGGTCCGTTCAGGACATCTGGCCATGCATTCTTGGTTACATTGTTTGTAACATTGGAGAACGCCAGAGTCTTGTTTTAGACATTCTCGTTTACAAACTCTAGTGCATTCGGGGACACAATTAGTCATAGGGCTCTGAAATGAGCACATTCTATATTTTTGATTACGAATTAGATATTTGATAGGGGATTAAATAGGGAAACCTTACATGAGGCGCATCATTCTGAGGGTCCAAAATAAACTTCATATCGTCCGGATCTACTGCTTTGGGATTGGTAAACATAATCTGGTTGCTTTTTACTTGTCGATTAATCCCTTGTTTTGAAAATCTCCGTTGGAAAAACGATCTGGCTTCCGTGGCTGTTACCGTAATCCCATCCATACCTCTTTCAATGCATTGCACCGTGCATTGAGGCTGACAGCCTGGGGCGCATCCTTTAGTCGGCGTTGGAAATTGTATATTTAAGGCCAATGTGGGGCCAAATTGAGGGTCAGTATAAAGCTGCTGGTATATTTTGGGCTCAATTCTGGAGCGGTTATTCGGTTGGTAATAGGTCGGAGCAAGCATAGGTCGCCGGATAGGATGTGATAGGAGTGGTTGATGTGGAGGAAACGAAAAGGTCTTTTGATAAGCTTGAATCGGGTATCTTGAATCCTGATTTCCTTGGGGACGAAACTGTCGATAATAACCTTGACGGTTGGGATCATATTCCTCGTGATTTTGAGGTCTTGGAGGCACATTTTGAACTACGGTGGATTCCTGTGGTCTGAAGTGCACTTGGTGAAACAATGGCGCGATCGGGCTGGGTTCGGGTTCATCCATTAATGGGGCCAACAGGTTCTCCAGCCTTGGTTCGAGAGTCCTTCCAGTCGCCGTTAGCTCTGTTGGGGACGCTCTGCTGGCCGTTGTGACTGTAGTTGTCATTACCTGATCTCGTTTCTCGTTTCTGTTGATCTTTTCGTCACTTGAAGGATCGCCATTCTTCCTCCATCTAGGTGGATTCAAAGGAATCGGTTCAGAGAATTGCTCCATAAATCTAGACAAACATCCAGCATCACAAATAGGCATACAACTTGGAGCACAGACTGGTGAAGTAGAGGACGCTGGGCTCCGCATCGGTTCGTTCTTCATGATATTATTGTAAGAAGACAGTTGGCAATTAGCTTGGCACATTCCAACGCAAGCATCTTGACAGGCCACTCCATTCGGGGCACTCTCCTGAGGTCGAACGCATGCCTTCCGGCAAGACGGAACACATTTTGTGGAGCAATCAGAATAGAGAATGGGCTGATCAACGGTGTGATGTTTGAGGCAAGCACTCTCACAAGAAGATGAACACGTTTGGGAACATTGGAGCTGACCTGCTGGACAGTTCCGGACACATTGTTCGGTACAATGAGGGACATTGGGCTGATCAGGAGCACAATGACAAGTGGGAGGGGTAGAAAGTAGAATTGGCTGAGGCAGGGGCATGGGCGGGACTGTATATTGGGGAACTTGAACTCCTGGAGGGACGGAATAGACTACAGAAGAACTGAAACCAGGAGAGGGAGGCTGCAGTTGTTGGCAAGCATGGGAACAAGTGGATTGACAAGTGTTCTGACAACCATCGAGGGATTGTTGCTGAGCCAAACAAGCTTGCACGCATTGTTGTTGACAAACTGGAGAGCAAATCGTCGATGCGGAGGGGGCACAGCTACATTGTGGGGCTAACTGAGCTTTTTCGCAACTGTAAATTTTTAGAATAAAAAATTATTTGACTGATCTTTGGTGACGTCACGCCATGGAACATCGGCTTTGGCCAATGTAAAAAGCGACCTACCGACATAACAATTCCGTGGTATTTGATGACTGATGACACTTGCAATTGACCGGGGTGTACTGTGAGACACAAGCACACGATCTTTTGTGCCTCTCTAACTCAGGTTCGGTAAAATTTATATTCTAAATGTAATAATTAATGCATCTTGTACATAATTGTGCTTACATGGCAATTAACAATGGGGAAAAGGAAAACAAAAATTAGAAGGGAAAACATGGACAAAGTGACCGGAAACCCCACACCCAATCCCGGCTTTATATTCCACAAACCGGTACAGTCGTTTCTTGAAACCCAAAACTTGTCAAGTGGTTACTGCGCGGTAAATCCGACTCCCATCGAACACATGGATCGTTGTTCTTGATCGTTTTTGCTGCTTTTTCGATACAAGTATTGTAGACAAAAAAATTGCTCGATAGGACGGGTAAATTGGATAAAAAGATAAAGATTTTGAATGAATGGGGACGTAAAAATATACAACGTAGTGTCGCCACGAAAGTTGTTTCAAAATTTAGGATGACAAATACCAAAAATGGCGGTAAAAAATTACATATTTATATTAAATTGGTCCTTGAGTCAATATTTATTACAACGTTCGCCAGCTGTAAACATATATCTATACTATCTTTCGTTTATTATAAATTAATAAAATTATTAAATATACAATTAGCATTTTCCTTGCGGCCGTAAAAGGAATGCAGATAGAATCATGGCTAATGTAATCGTGGCGATGAATGTCATTGAGGCGATCAGAAAGCCGAATCCTTTGATGGACAAGCAAAACTCGGACAATTCAAATGTTTGAGGAAGGGAAAGTTCACGTGATTCAAGAAACGTTGACCATTCTAAAGCAAAATAAATTGGATAAATGAAGGACTTGCCATCGGAACTTGTTATATTGGTGTCTGGATCCAGCACTGTCAGTTGGGGACTGCTCAGAACCCACCCATCCTCCAAATCAGCCTTTCTTTTCACTCGACGCAACTCCTTGCCACATTTTGGCGGCTAAATTAACTTTAAATCAAATAAAAGTCCACTTACAGTAACCTCGTCACATTTCCCCAACTCTTTCATGCAAACACTGATGGCGCATTGAATTGTCATCAATTCTTTGTCCGGAAACTTGACGACCATTGCCGAGACAGATGCTGCCAATTTAGTCTGATCGTATTTCGGTGTTGGCAGTATATACGTATCCACGGAACAGCCATGAGAATCAACGGCCAGTGCTTTCTGCCCTTGTCCATCTTCAATATAACAGTCATGGACCAACATTCCGAACATCTTCCCCATTTCTTGTTGGTTGATTGCACCAGTCGAAGAGAGGCATGACCATTCGTGATCAAGGATATCACCAACTTGCACAGAACTAGCAGTGTTCTTGTTACGCGATTTAATTACATATTCGCATTTCGGAGCGCTCATTTCATTTGACAGTTCAACAGTCTGGGGCATGCTAAAAATGATGACTAAATATTTATATGGCATTTCGGAATAGGGTGATCTCAATCCAACTACCTGACATCCAATTTAGTGGTCACTGTACGATCGGATTCTTCGTAAGCACATTGGATTCGATAGGCACGATCTAATTTAGTAACAAAGCTGTTGTGAAAACTGACAACGACAACAAAGGAGATGTGAACACCGGGCGGATTTACCTGGAAAATATGTTTTTGTAAGTCGCTGTGTTTTTAAACGTGTTAGATGTCTCACCACTCGATCTCTGATTGTATTACACGAGTCCAATTGGACATCCAGTTCAGCCCGATATGAGAGATCCCTCCGTTTTCTGGAGCAATCTACTGGTGGAGGACAGACCAGTGGACAATCAGATGAACTTCTCTGTCGATCCTGAGCTGCCCTTCTGGGTGAATCCAATGCGGGTTTCCCTCCCTTCAAGAAATGGTGCCACTGGTTCTCTTCGAGCTCCGGTAATCCCCCATTCTTCTCGCTGAAATCATTCCTCAAATTGTTTGATCGCTCTTCTTCGGAATGCCTCCGGGTGTCTCCATCCTGTCCTTCTTCTGCTCCATAGATTTTGACACAGTGCGGATTCTGATTCTCGCCTTTCACATAAACTCTGCCATTAAATGGCTTTTTGGTGGGAACGGAGAAATGGATATACTCCTTCTCACAACGCACGATCGGAGAGCCTAAACATTGCGCATGCAGTTTATGATGTGTGAGACAATTAAAGGTTTCAAATAGGTCACACAAACCTACCGATGACCGAGTTATCCAGATTATTGTAGGCTCCTTGACATCGGAATATCTGGAATAATTAAACCAAGCGTTATAAATAACACCCCAAGTCTCGTCAAGGTTATCTATTCTTTCCATTGTTTCCCCAAGAATAACTCGGGCTTTCACAAAAGAATGGGGTCAAAGGGTCAAGGTTCGATTAATAAAAGTACCCACCTGTAATGTTAAGAACACCAACGCTAATGGCCTTTCCATCCAATCCCAGGCTGATCACCCAATCTTGACTTTTTTTGGCTGAGAAAAAAGTTTTGGGAATGAAATTGGAAAAGTCGCGCAGAAATTATAATGAAAAAAAATAAATTTCTATAGAAGATGTCCGAGGTTAGACAATGTCATCAAGGAAAGTGGAGAATCAAATAAAATCAAATTGCAGCTTTGAATTACAGTGAAAGCGTAATCGTTTCAAAGAACAAGTTGTAAAATTTAATAATTTATTTTCGAGAATTATCTTCCAATGGTAAGTTGTGACAAGTCATACCAAGATTGAAGTACAGGGTGCGGCAATTTTTCGGCCGGATTTGAATTGGCTATAACTTTTTTAGTTTTTATCCGAATGTTAAAATTCTTTTTTTCCCTGAATCCTCAGACAACCCCATTTTGTTTAATACCAAATATGTTATATATACAGGGATCTAGTTCATAGTTATTGGCCTTTCGGTCGTTTTCTCTGCTTTTTGGGCGTGTGTGAAAATCGCCAGAAAAAATGACTTTTTTTACGAATTTTGTCGTAAAAAGTTTCATGCTTGTTCATGCCATGGAGAATACCGTTTCCACAAAAAATCAGCTTCCGCACAAAACTAGCGATGATATAGCCAAAAAGTTTTTCTGTGTGACCACTCATGTGCCCTCCTGACCGCAAAGAATCGTTGAATATCTTGGTCGCCCCTGAAAGGTGCGGGCTGAAACTTTCAGGAATTGATGTGTGGCCTATGTTCGGCCCATGTGCAAAATTTAAAGAAAATCTGAGAGTCGCACTAGGGGTAATTCCATTGTCAGCTGTGAAAATTAGAGCTTTTTCTTTGTCTTGAGTTTTTACTGTATTATAATGAACGGGTATAACATATTTGGTATTAAACAAAATGGGGTTGTCTATGGATTCAGGGAAAAAAAGAATTTTAACATTTGCCCAAAAACTAAACAAGTTATGGCCAATTAAAATCCGGCCGAAAAATTGCCGCACCCTGTACATTGCTTGCGAAACTGTGTTTGTTAGTTAAAATTATACAATAAAATTGAATAAAAAAGGCGCCGTATTACTGACACAACAAGCGAACACACAAGTAAATGTATGCCTTGATTACTTGAGTCACAGTTATGTAATCATCGATAAGTAACTGAATCCAAAGCGCAAAGCATGATCTGAGAACGGAAAACAAATATTGAAGACTGGAACGGACGGACCGTTTATCCCCGCGATGATCTTGACAATACAAATATCGACAGTACCGGCAAGGGGGGGCGCAAAGAAGGCGCCTTCAAACCTCAATAAAAAAGGGGGGGGGATTTGTACGGTATGAAGGGTCTTTATAGGACATCCCCAAAATTTTTTTAATGAGGCCGGGAATGAAAGACGACGCCGAGCCGGCGCAGAACGAGTTCAAGACATCCGCAAGGTCAATAGCATCCTATAAAAAAGGGCACTAAGTCAAATAAAATTATTTTTGTATCCCCCTTTCTTAATTGCGTCACTCAGTTGCACGCTCATTGACCTTACTCCAGAAGATGATGGCTCCCCCCAAGACGACGCTCATTTCGATTACGATTTAAAAACGGGATTTAAGCCAGCATAAAAAACAATCGCAGCAAGGTAATTTTAACAAAGGCATTTGACAGAGCAAACATAATTTATTAATGACAAAAATATTTATTTCATTGAGGAAGGAGCCAGTAGAAGTTTCCGTCAGTCCGTGGCACGCTCGTTGACCTTACTCCGGTTGCGACTCTGTAATGAGCGTCGTCATGTCATGGGCACAGTAATAGCAAACAAATAATTTTCGCCTAAATTAACTTACAGCTCGATAAGTCCGAACACAACGTTTTGAGAGGAACGATTCGAAATCACGATCCATGTTCACTTTACTGGCATTTCCTTGAAGATCGTGATATCTGAGCAACGCAATTCCCAGATTTCTCCCCAAGAGTTCATCTGAAACAGCAATTTTTTTTTTTTTTTTGATTTTCGGAATTTTTTATTTTACTTTTACTTACAGCCTGATTTTAGATACGGGACTGCTTGTTCCTCTTGATTATCCTTTGGTTTGTATGAGAAGAATGACACTTCCATAGTATAACACAAACAATTGTCATCCAGCAATTCCCCCATCGTTCTAAAAAGTCTCAGTTATGCTTAACTCGCATACCTTCTGTTGGTCCCCGCTTTCTCCACATCTGTATTGAATTGGGTATATCGAAGGCTGTAGTCGTCAGTTAATTCTGAGAGAGCGTACGGCAACAGAAGTTGTTGATCGCACTTTCTAGGTGACATTGAAGCCAGATTTCCGTATAAAAAAGAGTTGGTCCGCTGAGAATGGGCATGGAGATCCAAACATAGCACCACTTCTGATCTCTGGAAATAAAAAAGCAACGATAAAGAGATGGAGATTGACTCACAGAATTGGTGTTGTAGTGTAATAGCAAAGCCTTAGTAGCCGCAATTGTGGGATGGGCCCAAACCGAGGGATGCTGCCATTGCCGATTAAGATCAAACCCCATCAGAGAGCATCTAAAACATAAGTATTATAGAGTAGACGGCTGTCATTTGCGGTAATTACCTGTAATTTCCAAGAAAAACCCCATCTGGGTTCAACATGGGGACAATCTTGAAAACGTATAAATTCCGTAAACGCTTCGCTCTTTTGTCATCGCTCAATAAATAATCCAGAAAGCCCTGAATCACGTGACTGGAAGGACTTTCTCCTGGATGAACCCTAGCCGTGATGAAGACAATTTTTTCCTTTTTTGTTTCGTTTAGCATGTTCTCGCGAGAAGTGATTGTGAGAAGATCTACCCGTCTTTTTTGCTATAAAAGCATTTTCTGTATTCTGGTCCTATCTTACCACAGTAAGACATAACACTTCCCGTTTGAAATAATCCATCTGCCGTTGATCTAGAATTGTCAAGTAGTCTTGTAATTGTGTGTAAGTGTATGGAATACAGTACGCAAATTCGCAGGAAAACACGTTTTTAAAGACATGCACAAACGAAAGGATGAAGCGATCCCCATGAACCTGGCTTCGGTAGTAATAAATATTCTTTGGAGCAATACGACTCCTAAATAGGCTTGCTTTATTCAACTGTTTCTCACCACTCTCCCACAGTATCCCCACATTCTCTGTAAACAGGAGAGGCCTGCCCAGTGTCAAAGAGATTGCGGAGTTTCGAGAAATTGACCACGTTGAACATGATTCGTTGGTTTTGTTGGATATTCTTGACAGAAAAATAGAACCAAACTCGATATTTGGGATTACAGGTATCGGGGCGGATAAACAGATCGTATTCAAACATACTCAGCTCGTCCACTCTTCCAAGATTTCCTGAAATAAAAGTTTAAGAAATCCTAAAATGCTTCAAAGAATTCGTAACTGATGTAACTTTTTTAATCGTCTCACCGCATTCGAAATTAGCGTCGAAGATGAGATGCCCCCGAGGCATTTCTTCCTCAGATGACGTGACATTCCCCACAATAGGTGGAGGCAAAGCCATTCGATCTCTGTTCCCGGCTTAAGCAGTAAAACTGCCTTCGATAACATTTTCTCTTATTTGCCCGGAGGCCGGAAACTTGGTGGAGGCTCGGTGATGCAGAATTCCTCTGGAATAAATACCTGTCTGCACTGATTTGCTTTTGAAATCCCTTGAAGTCATTCCCCAATTTCCGTAAAAGGTCACAATAACATTCTACATATTTACATCGTATTTTATTCGAATTCGAGGGATTTAAATTTGGAATCCATGAAGTTTGGCAAACATTTGGACAAAAGAAAAGTGAGAAGCGTACAGATCAAGGTTCGGTTCGACGGTGACAAACTCGACATGAGCAGCGTCTGAACCTGCCTGAAGTTTAATTAAATTAATTTCATTTAATAGTCCTTTCTCAGACCTTAAAGTTGACATTGTTCAAAACATCCTTGTCATCATGAAAGTTCATGACCACAGTTTCCATCCAGGCATTGTCCGTGTTCCTATGATCATCTACATAACCTTTGTAGACCTCGATTCCTTTCGAAAAGAGCTCATCTAACGATTTATTCTCAACATTGTCCAAGGCTTCTTCCGTAAATTCTCGCTTAATCGTTGCGGTCACCGTCTCTCCTGGATCCACCATGCCTCCAGGCAATGCCCATTCTCCTGAAAACAGTGTCAAATGATGACCCAAGGTTCTCACCAGTATCTGCTCTTCTGATACCAACAAATTGTAATGCCCCATTTTTAATTCTGGAGACGATGGGATCTCCAGCATGATTTGGACCCCATCTTCCAAGAATCCCGCGTCCTTTTAGCCCTGTTCGGCCTATTGGATTCAAAGGACGTCCTTCCGAATCGAAGTTGTACCTTCTGAAGTCGACAGAATCATCAATAATTAAACCAGATTGTCGTTTTTCGACATACATACCCAGTATAGGAACGACGGTCAATATCTCCATCAATTTGATTAAATTTTATTGTTGCTTTCAATGGTCCGTCAGAAAACGGTTTTCCTTCGAGTTCAGGATCAGTGTAATCCGGTGGATTGTACTCCTTAAACTCGACATCCCATTTTATCTTATCAATGGGCACTTTGAACCGGAAAACATCGGCACTTCGCAAATATGGTCTGTCTGGAATAACTTGTAAGTTTTGCTTCCGGGAGTTTACCTGTAGCCAGACATTTCTTATGGATGGACATGGCGGACCTTAAAAGAGGCTGACTTCGCATAAAGCTCCAGTTTTTATCAAGTTCCAGGGTTAAAGCTTAGACCGGAAAGCCGTCCAATGAAGTCAATCGTATGTAAAGCAAGGCCCTGTGCAGGCTTCTTAAAGTATTGCGATACAAAATCGCAAAATTACGGTTAAAATATGCCGCTTATTCGCTTTTATGTCATAATGATCTTTTGCAGAAAAGATGAAGAATTCTAGCTGCGCCCGGTAAATTCATAAAAAACGGTGAAAAACAGCTGAGAATGATATTCGCCCCTAGGGGTGCACGTCGTTCCCCTTCGATATTTCAGGTTAGTCCCACCGCGGTGCACCGAATCTTTCCCGCACATTGTTTTTCTGCAAATTATTGTTTGTTCCACACGCAATTTTTTTTGTTCGCTAGCTTTCACGAGTTGCGCCCGACCTTTGGCTAATTTGTCGTACGATTTTATACGCAGGGGCCAGACATACCCCACTTTTACGTAGCAATAGTAGGCAAAAAGTACTAGTCATTCATCTCTGGAACCTTAGCTTGTAATATAATTTAAAAAGCAAACACAAATTACTTGGAAAAATGGCTTTAACAATTTTACCAACAATCCAAGAATTAACAGCCAAATAACAAGTAACGATTTCAAACTCATCATGGACGAAGCGTAAAAAATGTAAAATTGCCAAATCTGACTGAAAAATGTTTGCCGTCAGGCCCCTGAGAGAATATGAGTACGACCTCTGTCTAAATATGTTCTCTTTTATACAAATTAAATGTTTTCTGTCAAGATACCGTATTTTGATCTCGGGGAGACAGTTGACGCGATGAGCTAGAGCAACAGTTGGCCCGACCTTTTTTTAACTTTTTGTAAGCGAAAAAATTAGCGTAGTGGTGTCCGGCCAATCTGCGGAAGTTTTTCCAATCTTTTTCGATCACCTATTTTATCTTTGGCTTGCCTGCCCGTGTATGCGTTGAGTGTTTACTAAATTTTTGCTTTAGGTATATTTTAACACGTTTGTTGATTTCAGGATGGTAGTTGATGCATCAGCCATCGTTCCAAATGAGGAATACGATGAAGTCGACGATTTTTTGTCAAAACAAGATGGAAAGATTGTAAGAACCGGTACGGGGCAAATGTGCAGACATCGCCCTCAACAGAAGTGCTCGCATTGCCTTCCAATTGACGTATGTTTTATCATGGTTAAAAATTTTTAATCTAAGAAATTTTAGCCTTATGATGAAGCTTATCTGAAGGATAAGGAGATCAAACACATGTCCTTCCATGCTTACGTCCGAAAACTCACAGATGTACATGGTCGAGGTACTCACTTAAAACAGCCATTGGAGAATATTGACTGTAAATTGGACCTTACTTGTACTAATCATCGGCCCTATCCTCATGGAATATGCACGAAGTGCAGACCTTCAACTGTATCCTTGAACAGACAGGTTTGAATATCCTTTCATATGTGATTGCGGATTTAGGTATATCGGCATGTGGATAACATTACTATTGAAAACGAAGATGTTGTAAACAAATTTCTAGACTTCTGGAGAGCTTCTAATCATCAGCGTGTTGGATACCTGATTGGAAGGTATGAGCCATTTGCAGATGTTCCCTTAGGTATCAAGGCAGTAGTAACAGCCATCTATGAGCCCCCTCAATCTTCTTCGGATTCTTTTGTGAAGTTTGAAGAGTCGGATCCCAATGAATCTGTGGTGGATAAACTCTGTTCCTTCCTCGGAATGAAGAGACTCGGCTGGATTTTCACGGATTTATGGTCATCTGATCCAACTGCGGGCACTGTTCATTGCACCAGACACAAGGAGTCTTTTCTCTTGACTGCCAAAGAATGTATAACTGCCGGTGCTTTCCAATCAAAGTACAAAAACAAAACTCCTTACTGCTCTGATGGGACCTTTGGCTCAAAATTTGTAACATTGGTGGCATCTGGAGACGAAAGCAAACATATAAACTTCAGTGGATATCAAGTCTCAAATCAATGTTCAGCACTTGTAGAAGCCGATATTTTATGTCCAACTTCCCATCCCGAGCTGGCTTGGGTTAGAGAGAAGCCTCTGCATGAGAAACATTACATTACGGATGTTCAGTATACTGTAAGTAGCGTTTTTTTTTCTTAATCTGTCTATTCCATTTCCAGGAGAAGAATGAATTTGGTGCTGAAGTGTTGAAGAACGGACGTCCGATGCCTGTTGAGTATCTACTGGTTGACGTTCCAGCTGGTATGCCAAAGGATCCGTGCACTTCCTTCCATGTCACCAATCCCGCCAAAGCTTTTCCGATAGAGAACCGGGAGTTGATTGGGAAGGCCCAAGACATTCGATCAGTTGCCAATTATGTGCTCGATTTCTCCAACAACCAGTTCCTCGAACTGATATCTAACTTCCATTTCCTCCTTTATCTTCTTACCAATGAAATGCTCAAATTTTCGGAGGAAGAGGTCAAGGAGCTTGCTCGGTTTGTAACTGAACACAGCAGAGAAGGTGCGGCTGACTGGGCCGAGAAAAGTCCAAATTGGGCCACCTTCATTGAGCTGATGAAATCACATGGTAAGTTTTAGATGGATAAGATATAATCGTTTTAGAAGGTCAATCAGCTGACCTGTCAGCTCCCTCTCAAGCCTGGTCATGCAAGCATTGTACGTTCGAGAACACGGAGCCTCGTGAAGAATGTGCCGTCTGTGGTCTTCCGAACGCATAACCTATGTCCTAGTTATATTGTTGGGTTAACGTATTTTTGAAAAATAAACGGATATTTTTAAACAGGTTGAGTGGTTCTTTTCGAAGTCCACTCAATTCCTTTTTCGTCTTGCGACTACATTCGTGAGCTGAAATCGGGGAGCGAAGTTTAAATCACTCATCTTTTAATTTTTATTTTTTCTGTCTTGTTTGGGTTTATGTACCGCCAATTCCCTTCGGATTGAACGCCTATATTTATTGGAGGTTAGTAATGTATATGTAGCCATACAAGCTCCCGTATCAACAGTTAGCCACGTTAGTGCGCTGTCACTAAGATTTATCAGCCTCGCGGATAGGGTCCATTTTTCAATCATCTACAGGTTGGGTCACTCGAAGCTGACAACCTCTTTTGGATTTCTCCGCGTAGACTCCGCCGATTTTCGTAAATTTCCGGAGCTGGGGAGATTCGCTATTTTCGACCGGTTGAATTTCAAAAAACATTAATTGACCTTTCTATTCCTTTGAAGTTTTGCAAAATTACTTTCAAACCGCATTTCGCAGACGGGACGAAGTCTCGCCGAGGTGCTACAAAGCACACCGAAGCAAGATGACCTCCAGAATGTCGGTCGTAGACTTCATGGTCGGTTTTTATGCAACAAGAATGTTGACCCTATTACAAAAAAAATCAAGAAAGTCCACCACAATGGAAACCTTACAAAATGTTACAGTACCCTCGAATAATGCAAATTTGGCGAAAACCTTGGGGGCATTTCGTACTCTGACAGAAATATTAATAATCAGATTGCTAATTAATTTTTTTACAACAATGTTTGATAATAATTTTAAAAATAATTTTTAAACTTGGGAAGGCATAAAAACGTCAATTCAAAACGTTTTTTGAAATTCAATCGGTTGAGAATGATGGAACTCAGCTCCGGAAAAATGTAAATTTTTGGAAAATCGGCGGAGTCTCCGTGGAGATATCCAAAGAAAGGGGTTCTCAGCTTTGATCAGAATTGGATTTAAAAAAAAGACAATTTTATTCACTACAGTAACCATTTGAGTTCGAAAATCTGCATTCGACTCCTCAAAAAACCCTCTCTTCGCGAAGCTTCGTTTCTCTTTTTGTTGCGCTTTGTTTGTCCGCAATCTCTCTTCACACACTTTTGGAGAGACGGTAGAGAGCAAAATAATTGAGAACATAGTGTGAGGCTTTTATTCTTTCCCTCAGAAACGTACCCACTTCTTTTCAGAAACTTATTTCTTTCACTTTGTTCCTCTCTACCACTTCTTCAGCTTTGCGCAGAGGCGATAACGTGACCAATGAGGCCTAGCCGAGGTGCGTTTATTGCTGGTTGAAAACTTCTACCAATTGCCCGCCGCGCTACCTGCTTCAAGCGGTATGCGTAGGCAATTTTTGGACGGCCATAGGGCCTGATATGATAGAAAGATAATTGAAACGGCACTTCGAATTGCAGGCTCATCATGGGGATGATTTTGCAATTGACGTTGTTCTTGTTAACATACATGGTACATTCGCTTACCGATTATACATTATCATGCCAAAGAGGATATCGAATATCCGGAATAAAGCGACTCAACAGTCCTAGGCAACGAGATCAAGCAGGGTCCTTGAGTATAGAATGTCAATCCATTGTCGAAACAGACCTGGACTCAGTAAGTTCTGAAGAATTCTACAAAAATTGAACAGATCACATGTCAAACATTAACCAGCACCCCTCAATGCAACGGGCAATTGGAAGGTTGTACTGGTTCACAATGGCTTGCAGGTTTCCACGCGTACGCCATCGAAAACAATACAAATGCCGTTTTGTAAGACTAAAGAAGACGCATAGCAAATTTGATTTAGACTGGATCCAGTCTGCTGTTCGTCATCGAAAATCAATGTCGATTCTTTAACTTGTGCTACTGAGCGTCTGAATTCCCCTGTAAAACCGTTTGAGCACACAATTCTAGGGCAGGACTTAGTGTATCGGTATGTTATGTTCACTGAAATCTGTATTTGTAGCGGAATGCAATGCTGGCATCAGTATAATGTCAACAATACATTGGTGGACCTAATCTGGAAAGTGGAGATTTGTCAGGCACAACCAACACATTCTCTTTCATTGGATTCAAACCCATGTAAGTTCTTGTACTCCTATTACACGGATTACAGTAACTGGTAGCTGCCCACCATGCGAATGCCACTGTGGGATAGACACATGTGGGAATGGAAATGAGCCCATCAGAGTGACACATAAGCATATGAATACAGAAAACTGTGGCTGTGATTGTTTGTGCAGATACGAATGTATATAGCGTTGCCCGTTTATTTTAATGAAGCCTCACAAACGCAAGTAATATAATAATAAATTAAGAAAGTTCTAAGTGATTTTATCACGGCCATTGACCTCGGCTACCTTTTCCCATGGGCCTTGCAGGTCTTCCTGGCAGGGGATATAATCCCGGAGGCGGGGCCGCCCCCCTGATGAATTGCTGTCCGGGTGGAGTCGCAGATCCATGTCCGCCGTGTCCAGCTGACCAATACACCTTCCATTGGGCATTCATTGCATCCGCGTTCATATTGTTCAGATTCAGAGTTTCCAGTCCAGTAGCCAAAGAGTTGCTGCCTGAGGGTAAAGGAGAGTGTGCGTCGAATACTTCGGGGCGATAGTGTCTCCTCGGAATCTCTTGATGTTCCCAAACTTGTCTAATTGGACCTTCCACGTATCCTGCCCGGCCGTACAATTGCGGAGGAACAACATTTGCTGGAACTTTAGGGGCTGCTGGAGAGATGCATACGGAGACGTCGTCGATTATGAAGTCCTCTTTCCTGAATTTTTGAAACGTCAAATCATGAATAACTGCACATCAATATGGAAAACTTACTTACTTCAATAAAACTTTTGCGACATAAGCGTTCGATAAAGTGACAAAACCAAAACTTCTGAAGGGATTTGGAATGAAGACATCGTTGATTTTGCAAGTAGGGTCGATCTTTTTAGCTTCTGTCAAGAAGAACTCACGAAGTCTGCTGGATGATATCCTTGAGGTTAGTCTTCCCACAAATATCTTCAAATCTTCCGGTTTTACATCACCCTGAAAAGAAAACAGTTGTTTTAAAAATACCGATTGTAACCAACTTTAAGTTCTTCCTCACCTTTGTGCCTGGCAATTTCACCTGGCATTTCCTTGATCCAATCGTATGTTCCGCATTAAGGACAGCACTCTGTTGCTCAATATTATCCATTTGAATAAAGCCGAATCCCCGGGACTCTCCCTTCTGGTCCTTTTTTATCTTTAACGAAATAATAAGTTAGATTGTCAACCGAGTGCTCTTTCAAACATACCTCGCACAACACAACCTTTCCGAACCTCTCAAAGTACTCTCTCAACTCTTTCTCAGTGCACTTGTACGGTAAACCTAACACGATCAGATCCGAACACGGGAGCTTTGGCTCCTTACTGCCCCCCGTCTTGTCGGAATCACCTGATTCATCCGACTTGTTAAAAACCTCCTTGTTTTGCTTGTTCCGGGGATCGTCTTCCTCATTCAGTCTCTTCAGCTTGGCATTCACCTGACCTCCGTGATGGAGTCCACTCTCACCGTCACTATCACTCGTTATAGAATCGTCCATCATTTTCTTTCGTTTTGGATTCTGATCCCCTGCAAACGGTTTCACACATACACATTCGTCACTCTCCTATAGCCCCCATTCTCTAATCACCTCTCTCCTCTCTTTCTCGGCAATCATATATCCTTTTACAAATACAAAAACCTCCAACCAATCGTTTTCCCGCACCTCTCAAAATTCCCTTATTACTACTCAGCTGGAAGGCAACTACTGAAAACCACAAACAGTGCATGAAGCAGTGTACGAATCTGAGCGAAGTTGCCTTCCGGATAAACTGATAAACATAAATAACCACAAGCCAATCGAAACGATAGACATACCTGGAAGTAACCTCTTTGCCGGCTCATTTTGGTAAATCACAATAAACAGTTTATCCGCCCATCCTCCGCTCGGTGCAAAGAACTTTGTTCCGCTCGGGTCAGTCCTAAAGAAATTAATTAAAGTAAAAAGGACCACTTACAACAATGCCCGTGTGGCCCCATTCGCCGGGTTTTTGTACTTCAGCCCATGAGCGCCGGGAAAAGCATGAGTTAAGGTGGCGAGTCCTAGTGAATTATCACCGGGGTTGGCAGGCAGTTCGATTGGATCCCCAGTGGGCGATTCGCTGACTACGATATACTCCGGCTGAAAAAAAGTTATGTTTCCAGAAAAGTTCTTACCTCTTTCGGAATTTCTGCGGCCTCCGTAGGCTCCATTTCGTCTGACATAAATTATGAGGAATTAAGAGCTTCCAAGAACAGATAATTATAATTAGACGGTCCTAAACCGTTTGCAAGCATAATCAACATCATCCCATAAATTTTATTCCTATGCTGTAATCTGACCAGGATACGCATCAACACGGTTTTTTCTCATTAAAAATTTCATTTTTCGATTCAAATCCTCCCTAACAATGGCTTGGGACGCTTCAATGGACAATTGCTTCCGTTGTTGGCAAGGTTTGATGTAGTATTGAGTGTTTCTGATGATCTTCATTAAGCCTTCTTTATCCATCAATCTAAAAAATCCATAAAGATGTACCATTTCTTACTTATTCAGCAAAGTAAAGGCCCCGTCGACGTCGTTGTTTTCGACCAGAACGGTCCTGTTTGTAAATTTTGGATGGGCATTCCATAAACCACCAAGTTTCACTCCGAAAGGCTGCCTAAGGGCTGCATTCCAGAGCCTTACCATGTCTGAAAGAAATCTATCCAATGTCCAATTATCTCATTTAAAATATTTCGTGGACAATGACACCCAAAGCTATGTTTTCCAGAGTAAACCACAAATATATTTATCAATATAACTTTCTACAACTTCGCAGCGGCTTTCAAAAGTTTTGGAATCTGTTCGAAGCGAGAGACATCTGAATTGATACCAAAAGTTCCAATTCTCCAGATTTTTCCGGCTGTAGCTCCAAGTCCGCCTGCAATTTCCCAGCCCTGGGACATCAAGTTGTCCTGAACGGCCTTCCAATCGACTCCTGGGGGAACTTTGACAGTAGTTAGGCAGGGCAAACGATTCTCCTAGACACGTAATTGTAAAAAAATCTGGACTTACTGGTTTCTCTACAAACAAATCGAACCCATTCTCATTGAGAAGACGATATAAGATTTTTACGTTCTTCTGATGTCTTTCAATAGACTGATCAAGTCCTTCAACAGCCACGGCAGCAAGTGCCTCCCTCAGAGAATAAACGAGTGACACCATGCCTGTATGGTGGTATCTTCTTGGCTCATTGAAACATCCCCAATAGTTTCCAATCTCCAGAGCATCTAGATAAAAGGATGCCACCTGGGTCTTTCTACTCTTCAGTTTCTCGCTAAAAAAATCTTAGCTTAATACCTAAAAAACTTCAAATGAAAGATTAAGGCAAGGGGTTAATTATAAATTAACCCCACTCGCCCTAAAGAATAGAATTAACTTACACGGCCCTGTCCGAAAAGGAAATTGGGGATAGTCCAGGAGGGGCGTTCAGCACTTTCTGAGTAGCTGAATAAACACAATCAACCTCTAGTAAATCAGCATCAAATGGAGTAGCACCTAAAGAGGCAACGGTGTCTACAATCAAAAGAGCTCCATTCTCATGACACACCGGACCAAAGCCCTCAAGAGGATGAAGGACACCAGTGCTGCTCTCACCCTGGCAGATAAACACCGCATGAGGCTTGAAGTCTTGCACAGCCTAAGAAAATTGTACCAAATAAAAAAAAAACTTACTTTTCTGAATTCGTTCAGACTAGCAACTTCTCCATCCGCAACATTTAAAACGGAGACATTCAGATTGAGCCGTTTACCAAGGTTGGCCGCCCTTTCTCCCCAAAGACCATTTCGTACGACTAGCAATCGCTCTCCTGCTTCCAAACAATTCAAGATGGCGCATTCCATTCCAGCATGACCAGTACCACTGACCACAAAAGTTAGGGCATTTCTGGTCTGGAAGACATACTTCACACCTTCTCTGACATCGTCCATAACCTTCAAGAATTCAGTGTGGAGATGACCAAGCATTGGCTGAGTTTGGGCATCACCGACTTGTTTTCTAACGTTGCTGGGACCCGGGCCAAACAGTTTCTTCAATGGAATGTTCGGAGGTTGAGTAAGCTGAGCAGGTGGAAGAATCTTCGAATCTTTGGATGCCATCTGAAACCAACACAAAACTAGTAAAGTCACACCAATTAGTCTTTGCGGTGCTGCAGCTAACAAATAAGACCTTATCATACAAATAATTGATAAAAGCAGAAAGAACAACACTTTTTATAACATGAAGAAACTCCATTCCGAAAAAAAAACTCACGTTAGCTGTTGCAGCCCACCTCTTTGTAGTTGAAACCAGCGTTCGGCGGACAAACATTTTTTCTCTTCACCGTTTGCTGATCCGTGACTTATGAAGACACTATACTTCACCACGAGGAAACGAAAAAACGAGAACTCGATAGGGAAACTTCAAAACGGGCCGGTCAGACCTCCTTCCCCTTCCCTTTACAACTGATAAAGTGACCATCCATTAAAAGACCAATTTATCCGATCAGACAAGCCAAGGAATAAAGACTTGGCCTTCTGTCTCCATTATCCTACACATCGAATTGGCCCACAGAGCTTTCCATGATGATTGTGGCCGCATTTAAGTTAGCTACAAGTTGACGAGATACGACAAATACTTATCGCCTTGGAAACTACAAAAAACGAGTCCACAAAAAACGTTCCTCTAACAGGGGTGGTCAGCAGACCCTATTTTTCCGATTTTCGGCCCGCGGCCCGGCCCGTCTAATCACCGGCCCGGCCCGGCCCGTCTAGTCTTTTTCCAGGCCCGGCCCGGCCCGGCCCGTGACGGGCCTGGCCCGGCCCGGCCCGGCCCGTGCAGGCCCGTCTATAGAGGGTTCTGCGAACTGCGCCCAGGCTCGGGATCTAAACTGAGGCAAAAAAGGCGTTGATCTAGCTAGTAAAGGATCAATGTGATAGTTTTGTGGTTCTATAATGGAACTATAGACTTGTAAACGTGTTAGAACTTGAGAAACAGCAACTATAACAACATCAATTAATTTTCCCGGCGCGAAAACAATGAATGCCAACGGTTTGGCATTGTATTTTAGACGGGCCGGGCCGGGCCGGAAAAAACCCCAGGCCCGCGGCCCGGCCCGGCCCGGCCCGTGACGGGCCCGGCCCGTTTGTCAATTTCCATTTTTGAGGCCGGCCGGCCCGTTTGGGCCGGGCCGGCCCGGCCCGCCGACCACCCCTGTCCTCTAACGGAATTTTAAAAAACCGCAGCTCGGGCGCGAAGTGCGGCGCTGAGAGTTTCTCTGTAGTTTACGTTGAATGCTTTCATAAAAATTTTGTATTTTATTGTGTTGGGCAGTTTAATGGTGGGAATACGTATTTGTTATGGATCCGATGTAGATAAGGGGTGTATTTTGTGTTGCATTTGTACTTTTTGGTTGTAAACATCAACAATATTCGCCTGTTCTTCGCTTCACAAATGTGTATCAGGTGATAAAACATTTAAGTCCTTGACCGAATTGAGAAACTGTTTCAATACCAAACGTGAATTTTAAAATGCTGAAAGACTCATTTTATACCTTTCAGATGAGTTCCAAAGATCATGTCATCAAGACGAGTCTGAAGCTCAAGAAGGGGAACGTGTTCAAGAAGAAAAAGAAAGTTGATCTACGAGAGATTGATTTGACCATAAAAAAAGAAGATGAAGGTCCCAAGAAAACTGCGGCCGAGTTGGCGTTTGAGAAGCGACAAAAGGACACAGCCTTTGAGAGATTGTCAAAGAAGGCAGCCATCAGCCATCGAGAGAAAGTCGAGAAGTTCAATAAACAGATGGAAGAGCTGACCGAGTTCAATGACATTCCCAAGGTATCTTGGACGAAGTAATCATATTATCTTCGCCGTATGTACAAATAAAACTCAAAGTTCCAAACATTTAATTTATCAAAACAACAACAATATCGTGTCTTAATCATCGGCATCCTTAATTTCGGTTTTCTCAGTGTTAACAACCACGGTGACTTCTTCCTCGATAGTGTCGGTGGGCGGTAGATCGGCGTCGAATCCTCGTCGGAGCTTGATTCTCTCCGCTTTTTCTTTCTCATAAGCTTCCCGGTGCTTCGCACGTCTAGCCTCGAACTCTTGTGTGATAATTATCCTTTTTTCGACCAATTCCTTCGACAGTTTTTGCTGCTCTCTCCGATCTTCCTCCTCGAATTTCTGGGAGATCGTTTTGAGGTTCCTCTTGATTTCCTTTTGCTTCTGTTCTGAAAGATGGACAGGAGGCCGTGGTCGCCATCGGAATCGAACAATCGTTTCAATACTCTTCTTGTACAATTCACGGCCTTGGAAGGAATGGATTCGGTAACTTGAATCATGGCGCGTGTTTTGGACGGAAGCACTCACGAAGTATCTACCAGTCGGATCCCAAGCACACTAAAAGTAGGATCGAAACAGCATAGGAACTTACATAATTCAAGTTAGGATGTTCTACTGTTCTCGTCTTCGTGACTTCAGGTCCGTTGCAATCAATAAAGATCACATTTCCTGCCGTTGACCCGTTACCATAAACAGTCAGGTATCCACCCTGTGGGGCCCAAGAGACGGTGTTTAATTGAATTCCAGCATCCAATTTAGCAACCAGTTGAGGGGTTGGTTTGTCCTTTTCGATCTTGTAAATGCAAGGGATTGCCTTGTTCGAAGATCCCTGCAGAGCGCAGAATCGATCACCTATGAAAGTTTTCTTGACTTGTATTTGCACTTACCCTTAGGTTCCCATCCGAAGCTGATGAAAGGTTCAGCCAATTGCATGGTCTGAACGGCGATCAGCTTAGACGAGAAGTCAAAGATTTCAAGATGAGACGCAACCCCAGTCAACTTCATGGTGCCTTCCTTTGTCTTTCTCATTGAATTGTACCTCTCGGTATGCGCGGCCAGGTAATTTCCAGATTTTTGCCAGAATAGATTCGCACAAGAAACGGAGAAGATTCTTTGGGCTCTCAGCTTTTCCCGTGATGGGAATTCCACAATTCCAATTTCGGCTGGAGCATTGGCGGCGGGCTAAAAGTTCCGATTTTAGGTTTGAATTAAACAAATAGAGATATAAAGAAGCAAATTCTTAATCTTAAATCTTACTCTTTCTTCACAATAATAAGCAAACATATTCTTTGCCGGATTCCATTCGAAAGAAACAAGTCCATCCAGTTCAATAGACTTATTTTGATTTAAGGTGAAGGTTTCAGTGTCGTAGATAAAGATATTGTTTCCTTTGGGGCGACAGAATCCAAAATATTTTTCGTCATGAGACCACTTGAAGAAAGGCCAAGAATTAACAGCACCCTGTCCTTGGCTTGATGGTGAGAAGGTCTTCTTGCATTCTCCAGTAAACACATCAAAGATACGCAGCGAGTTAGTCATGTCAGTACCTCCCCGGCGATCGTTGCATGAGTACGTTACCAAATACCTAAAATTAAAACTGACAAAAAAATAATGAGCAGACTCACGATTCACATGGGGAAAACTCGATGTATTCGACATTCTCGTGAGTAAACTTCTGAACTCTAGTGAACTTTTCTCCTCCCCATAAAGCAACCCCCATTCGATGGAAAGAAGCCAAATAGGTACCATAAGGGGACCATTTGAAGATACTCTCCGACCAATTCTGCAATGACGTGGTATATCCAGGTGAACGGGAAATCATACCTCTTTTGCTCCTTCCTCGCACAGTGCTACTTCAGTTCCATTCTGATTCCAATAATTGGCCAAAGTAACTGCTCCAGTGTTGGGATTGTGGACTTGAATAGCAAATTGGTCATAACATTTGTTGTTTTGCACCCACCACCAGAGATCGCCCTAAACCACAATTAATTACGAACGTTTTCCGAAAACTTACAACATTGGTAAAGGTTCTTCTCTCAGGAACTTTCCAATTGGGATCAGGTTCGGCAAGGTTTCGCAAAGTGCTAAAAGAGTACGCACTGAAGGTATGGTTTTTGTCCAAATTAAAGTTGTCAATCAAGATTCTCGCGGATTCGGCAGCATCCTTAGTTGGGTACTCAATAAAACAATATCCCTGAGAAATAATACAACTCATTCTTAAGACTTACCTTAGTTTTGCCCTCCGCATCAAGCGGATATTCATCAACATACGACGTTTTCTGGAGACCGAACACTTTGGCCAAAACACCTTTCAGTTTCGGTAACCTTTCAGCAGCAATGATAGGGATTCCCCATACCATGACGCATCTTTCTTCGTAGATTTCTGTGGAAGGCTCCTTCTCATAAAGATCAGCCAAAAGTTCTAAAAGCACAATGACGAAACTGAATACTTCTTACCTTCATCCTTGATGTCGTCGATGAAATCCTCTGGGTCAGAATAGTCATCCGCTTCAAGCAGACTATTTAGTTCTGCAACAGCCATCTATCTAATTGTAGTCGTATTCCCCAGATTATTTTTGGACACGTAAAACGCTTTTAATTCAAAAGTAAAAAATTATTTATTTTTTTGCTTTTTACAGTACTTTTCTGGGCCTTGGCACGAAAACGAAGCATGCAACGTAATGCCACATGTACGCGGTTTCAAAGGAAAAGGCGGTGATGTATGGCCCATTGGTTGCGTAACGATGATTTATACGAATAAAAATTAACGACCCACAGTGTAAACATGCAGTTTAATTGATAATCGATATAAATGGTTCTATAAATGTATTGAAACAGGATCGTTTGAGCGCGTCGGGATTGAAGAATGTCATGTTTGGTGCCTAACAATGAAAATCGTGGATGCGATTTCGAATTGATCACTCGCAAATAAAAAAGGTCGTTCTTGCATATCTCTTCAACAAATAGTATGTCAGCCAGTTGTTTTTTTGGAGGATTAAGTCAAGTGTTTTGGTACTTGCAAGCTGTCCTTTTGCAGGGTCCATTTTGGATTATTTTTGCTTTGTATTGTATTGGGGATCAGTTTTGTTTTGACGGGTTTTCTTTTTCAATCGTATGATTCGGTAATTGAGTGGCAGCAAAGAGACAATTGAAATATGTCATTTCTGATCAGATCACGGTCTTTTCAGATGAATGAAAACGTCGAAAAAGAGGCGAACACGATAAAAACGACAATGGAGAGGCTACCCTGCGTTACAGTCTGAATGAGACAAGCACTTTTGAGGTTGGGTGACTGTTAAGGGACTCCGATCTGTTCCAACTGCGAGCGATGGGTGACTGGAAAAGCCCGGGTTGCCTGGACGAATTAGCCGCAGACCATGTTTTCCTAATTTAAAGAGCCGTGCCGATAATCAGAGCCTAATTGATGGGCCTTTTGCTGTTCGGCCGCTTTACCTGCGGGCCTTCAGGAAACGCCCAAAAAACTCCTTCCGCTTTTTTACACGGTTGGGAGCGGTGGATTGGATATTGGGAGGACAGACTGTTTGACAAAACCCACTTATCCAGGCGGTCGTTCGTAGTGCTCCTCTGTTACAAATACTTCCCGCTACTTTTTTAACGCCTTCGTTGCAGCCGTTTTTGCCCAGCTCCCTTTCATTCCAATGGAAGCTTAATGACTTTGTGACACCCGAGAAGACCGTCAATTGGGGACGTGAATGGGCTCAGTTTTTTAAGACACATAAGTTGCTAGCCGTGTTTCAGACTATTTGTGTTTCAGTTTTCTTACAATTAGCTATGGAGGCAGCTTAAGTTGTTATAATGTTGTCACATTTCCTGAGATTGTCATAGCTTTATTTCTTCCGGCCCCTACTTTTCGGGACTTCTGTCGCGAACGCAACAACCTTTTCATCAAGTCTTTTAGAGGCTCCAAATCCATGGAAGAGACGACGGTCACATAGCCAGATAGATATCCGAGTCTTCTCCTCCAACATCCGCTCTTCTGCATCTGACAGCCCAAGATTTATTTAAACACGAAGGTCTTGAGAGCACCACCGATTCCGTTGCAACTGTCCTCAGCACGATGGCGAAGGTAAGGTCGTCCAAGTTTTTTTTGCTTTCGTTAAAAGTTATTCGGCCTTTGGCCTTGCTCCTTGAAGAGATTTTTCCGGCCTAGGCTTTGGAACGTAACCTAATCGGGCGGTTCAGGCTAAGTTTAATCGACAGAGGAACACTTTCTGATTATAATCATTTATCGTGTATCCTTTTACATTATAAAATTATTGTAGGATCAGTCATCATTTGTTGTTGCCGTTCAGGTGTAATAATTAAACATGATTTTTTTGTAAAATTGGGGATGACCTTTTGTTATGATTTTAACAAGCTCTGCTAGTCTCTTACCCTGTCTTTTAAAAAAATTTTGATGATCCATCGATTTTGTTCTTTGACGATCAGGCTGTCTTTTTTGATCTTATCAGTCGCCGTTTTCTTCTCCAGAAGACAATAACATAAACAAGGAGGGCATCACACTTCCGTGATAAGGCCAATTTTGACTTTTTATTTCATTTTTTCGACAATCGCCATATAAGGACACAAGGATGAAGTGGTTTCGGAAACAGGTGACGGATGAGTTTATTGTCATGTAATCTTTATATTTACTCCTTCGAATGTCTCGTTTTTATTGTGGTTCTGACTCTGAGGTCGGCGGGGCGGAAAAGTTCATGGAGGGGAGCTTTTAATGGCCCTGGTCCTTCCTTCACATGGTTTGGGCCAATTGACAAAAGATTTAATCGCTTTTTCAATAATCTACTCTTCAACAAGTTTCGGGGCATGGCTGGCCTCCAACTTCCAATTATCACTTTACAGGGGAAGGGGAGTCCTATAAATCACTGGGTTTATTAGTGCTTGTTACTTTCTATAGACCACATCTCTTTATGACCTTTCTTCTTTCGATTTTAGTTTGTAAGGATCAAGTTTCAGATGTCATGGCTACGAAAAAATATCTTACTCGTGGCCACGATCGGATCGGTCGTCTTAGGCGCCGTCCTCGGATTTGTGATCCGAATACAGCAACCATCTCCTTTTACCATAATGTTGTTAAGTTTCCCTGGAGAGGTGTTAATGCACATGCTGAAAATGATGATTCTGCCGTTGATCATCAGCTCACTTATCTCAGGTTTGATCGAGTGATTAATGGTAGAGCATAGCATTTTAGGCCTTTCACAATTGGATGCGAAACAGTCCGGTCGACTAGGGTCACTCGCAGTCATCTATTACATGGCCACGACCTTATTGGCCGTTATCGTAAGCAGGTCTTAGTTACGAAGATTGCTTGCAGACTGGGATCATTCTTGTGCTCTCAATTCATCCAGGAGATCCGACCATCAAAAAGGATCTTGGGACTGGAGTGGAGGGAAAGAAGGTCAGCACGGTGGATACTTTTCTCGACCTCATCAGGAATATGTTCCCCGAGAATCTGGTCCAGGCCACTTTCCAACAAGTTCAAACCAAATATGTCAAGGTCAGACCCAAGATTCTAAAGAAGAATGACTCCGAAACCCTGGCCAAGTTAGCATCCGGTGCTATGGACTACTTGGTCCCTTCAGTCGAATACACGTCTGGAATGAATGTCCTTGGTATGATCTTATACAGGAAGATGAACGATTATGGGAATAACTTTAATCACTTACATTTCAGGTGTTATCATTTTCTGCATTGGTTTTGGCATTGTGGTCAGCCAGCTGGGTGACGAAGCACGCGTTATGGTTGACTTCTTTTCCGTAATGGATAAAGTCATCATGCAATTGGTCAGCTATGTTATGATGTAAGTTATACACAATTATGCGCATGACTGTGGCAATTATATTATAATTTTGTAGCTATTCGCCTTTTGGAATTATGTGCCTTATTACGGGTAAGATCCTCGAAATCCACGACCTGGGGGAGACTGCTCGCATGTTGGCCATGTACATGGTGACTGTTCTTCTGGGCCTAGCAGTCCATTCTCTTATTACACTGCCCCTTATCTACTTCTTGTGTACAAAGAAGAACCCGTATGTATTTATGAGAGGACTGCTGCAGGCCTGGATTACTGCTTTGGGGACTGCCTCCAGTTCGGCCACGTTACCCTTGACATTCAGATGTTTGGAAGAGAATTTGGGCGTGGATAGGAGGGTTACCCGGTTCGTGCTGCCAGTCGGGGCAACTATTAATATGGTGAGTATGAATTTACGTGAAAACGAAATGCATATTCAGGATGGAACGGCTTTATACGAAGCGGTGGCAGCCATCTTTATCGCCCAGATGAACGGAGTCCATCTAAGCATGGGTCAAGTGGTCACTGTCAGGTAAATTCAATTCTATAAATGATTACTTTTTCCAGTGTGACAGCAACTTTGGCCTCTATCGGAGCCGCATCAGTCCCCTCAGCTGGTCTAGTGACCATGTTGTTAGTACTTACAGCCGTCGGATTGCCAGTTAAGGACGTCTCGCTGATTGTGGCTGTCGACTGGTTACTGTAAGTAGTTTTTTTAATCTCTTTTTAAGTTTTAAAAAACACGGTTTTTGTAAGGGCGTGACGACCTGATCAAAAGAAAGTGTCTTGGCCATCATAGTTAAGCATTAAGACCGTTTTCGGGTATTTGTGGGCAACCACCTTAACCTTGTTCACAAACTAGGTCGTAAGCTTGGTAATCAGCTACCTACGGTGTGAATCAACACAGATTAACCTCCTTGGCTAGCTAGTCAGCAGTTTTGCAAAATTGGATATATTATAAATATTGGCCCGATACCCGATCTGCAACAAATGAAATCTGCCCCAGTTGAAAGGGTGCGGCCCTAGATGATACACAGAGTACACGGATATATCGCTTATATGAACATTCCCGTTATGCTCTCAGCACCAACTTGTTTTTTTAATAATGGTGTAAATTGGTCTACTGTGCCAAAAGTTGTGGCCCGCACAAACACTTGGGCGTGAAGGTTTTGTTTATAAGTTTTATCGGAGCGAACCAATTTGTAAATTCAAAAAATGAAGCTTGGACCACGCTGCGTATGACGGTGTCAAAATTTGTTCCATATCTTGTGTTTTCCATACCAAGAATTCACATGGAAATTCTGCAAATTTATATCCATGTATTCTTAAATTGGTCCACTGTGTCAAAAGTTCTGACTCAAAATGTTCGGCAAAAGTCCATGGGAAAAGGGGTCACTCAAGTTACCACTTCTCTTTTTCTCACGCTCTCTCCGCTTTTGTGTGATGTTGCTAACTCAAGTTAGTGCCCCTTTTGTACGTGAAACATCCCCGAGATAAAAAATCACTAGAAATGTATTCAACATTTCTGACAAATTTGACAAAATCTTGATGATAAAAATCATGAATATTCAAAACTTTCCCGTCGTGCTTGGCTTAGTTTGCAAAAAATGATTTCAATAATTTCAGTGATAGAATCCGAACGTCAATTAATGTCATCGGAGATGCTTTTGGAGCTGGAATTGTGCATCACTTCGTTAAAGATGAGCTTGCTTTGGCCGATGAACAACATCGACGACACTCGCACATTGAAAGGGGAGGATCTCCAACGAGGAGTAAGCTGATAATTGATCCTTGATCTATGTATAAATTGTAATTTCAGCGGCTTTGTTGAACGATGAGAAGCATAATTCGAACTACCGACACTCAAAGGACCGAGGCTATGACCCTGTCCCTCAGGATGACCACTAGATTATAGATAGAGCCTATTTCTGGAAGGGAGGACATCCCTTATCCAGTGTAACATATTGTTGGTCATGTCCTCCCTGCCGCCCAAGCCCAGTGTTTTCTTTTCTATCGGTGTTTTGAACCAGTGGTGGGCAAAATCGATTAAAATATTTACTTTTTTTCTAATCGTAAGCTTGGAGAGCCCCGGCTACACGAAAATTCGAACTGGTTCAATTCTCTTTGAACTTGACAAACTGTAGCAACTACATACCATTCTTAGAAAATTTACCGTTATTTTTTTAAAAGTCTTACTGTATGTTGGATTACTGTAATATGAATCGTTTTTCATAACTCGAGAACCAGCTGTCGTAGCGAGACCCCGTTTGAACACACTGATAAAGACTTTTATTTAGGAGCTGTTTTCTTCGCCTTGGTCTTAGACTATCAAAACAACATGATTCCGGGTATATGTTGGTTCTATTTGCTTAAGCAGCTCTTGAGCTTTCTATTGATATCAATATCTTGTGATTTACTATTCATCTTTAAGACATAATTCTCAAAATATTGCAAACCGTTTTGTTTTTTTAGCCGATATCGATAGTTAACCGTGATCGAATCTTTGCCCACCACTGTTTTGAACCCTTAAACAATCTCTTTTATTGTAGTATGTATATGTTTGTCTTCCCTCTGTTCTATGAACTCATCCCAAATACCTGTAATCACGCAGTTTCTTCTTTTCATGAATTCTGACTTTGAAATAAAACTCTTTAATTAATGCTTAGTTTAATATCAGATGATGGCAGAAGATTTTACCGGGTTATAGTTGAGGATTGAGATCTTTTGAGGTTTCTCGTTGGACCAGATCAAGTCAAGATGAGCAAGAATTGATAGAACGACAAGGAAGGCAGTCATCTGGAGCAGAAGTGTAATTAAAAATTATTTGGTTCCCAAAAGTTTCTAACAGTAAATAAAAGAAAAGGTAAACTTTGATGAGATTACATAACAAAAAATCGGAAATAATGACTCACTATAAACAAAGAGCCGAAAACAACAATCGTCCATGTCTGCGGAGCTGCACAACACTGCGTCATCGAAGGCCCACAACAGTAATACCAATGGAAAGGAGAGCCTTGAGGGCATTGGAAATGCCTGAAAAGGAAAAGGTTATTTAAAGAGAGAGTTGCAGGTGACATTGCGTCACTGAAAGGGCTAAGAAGGTCCTAAATGTGTCATCAATGAATAAATCCACGAAATCTCTCTGCATGGGGATCCCCATCTTGGATTAGTAAGGCAGACTCTGCGAATTATCGAATTAAGGAGATTTCCTTACAGTTCATGGAAAGATATAATTGCAGTTCGTTAAAAGTCATGTGGAGGGCTAAGACTTATCCAATTATAAATAAATATGGACAATTGTGTTGCATTAAAAGTAATTCAATTAATCCAACTTCTGTAATAAAATTATCCCAGGAAATGCTTAGAATTCAAAAAAAAACCGCCCACGAATATATAATAACAATAATGGAGTGTAATAAACAGATTCCACATCAAGGTTTGGTTTCAAAAAGTACTTACTCCTCCGAAGTAAAGTTTCGGCACCATTGTCCAAAGCTTTTATCGCTCCAAGTCAAAGGCTTAGGCGAATCGGGAGCTGGAACTGGATCTTCCCATACAGTGAGAGGTCGCGGCTCTTCAAAAAGCGCGTCGATGGATTGGCATAGTAGAAAGACCGCCCCGAGCCATATCACCCGGCCAGATCGGTATCGAGGTCTGCCCAACATGGCTCTGCAAACACGTAATAAAGTCGAAAATGGTTTTAAGCGGTCGGGTTGACGATTTTCTTTCTCTATTCCCGGTTCAAGGCCAGAATCACGAAAAAACCGCCAAAACCCGACGACCGACTCTTGAAGTGGTGACGACGAAACGGCGCGCAGGAAAACATTAAACCGGCGAAAGTTGGGGGCGGTCAGTCAACCAGGAATTGAGGTATTCGCCGAGTTCAACTGCGTCTTATGACATGACAGAACGTCGAAATTCGAATAGGAAACGGAAAGTCATTTTGCAGGGTAATTGATCAACTGTTGTTTTGAAATGCAACCCGAGAGCGCCAAAAAAATCTTGGAGAAAGGAAAGAGGCGACAACGCGCATCCGGATTGTCGAGAAAAAAGAAGTAAAGCCTCTAGAATCACCGAACGTAAGCCGATTCAGCGACGAAACTCCGGCTTCAGATTGAATCGGGGCGGCTTCCAACTGCGGAAATGAAGGGAATCTGCAGAAAGAAACGCGAAATCCGAGTATAAGAAAAAACGCCTTCAGGAGCCAAAATAACAACGGCATTGCACAAATTAGGATCAGGGCGCAAATCGGGAATTCGGCGGAATCGGAAGGAAGAGACAAGATGGGATGAAATGTTATTACGTACTGAAACTTGCTTACGTCCCCTAAGGCGCCGTTTATAAAAAACTTGCTATAGAATAAATCTCAAAAAACTGCAAAACACAACCCTATAAACCCTGGTCAGATTAATGAGATGGGGTAAACATGAGTGCTGATCATTAAAATCCTTTTCCTTGTTTATCGATTTGTACAAAAAAAAAAGTATTTGTTTGAGTTGATTAACTGTTATCGTATTCCTCCAAAAGGCCGTCCAAATGAGTGTTTTGGACCTTGGTGTTGGTCCTTCTCTTGGCCTGCTTTCTTTTGGGAATGTTAGTCACCCTGGTGGGGGCGAGGTCTTTTATTGTGCTTATTCCGTGCTTCTGGAGGTACTCTTCGATCTTCTTTTCGTCCAAATGATCTACGCTGAAGTGTCTCCAGAGTTGTACAAACTCATCATCAATATTAACATCGAGTTCGGTGTCGTTGTAGTAGTACGCATGATCCTTTCTTTTATTTACCTAAAATTCTCTAAATTAACTTTACAATCAACTGTTCTAATTCAGCGAATTCACTATCCATCGCCTAGCACTGACCTCCATGGAAAAGCATTAACTAAGATACAAGATTTTTTTTGAAAATAGGCGAAAACAATACACCGGTAATCCATAACCACAAAAATTTCCGAAAAACAATTTGAAAGAAGAAGAGCGAAAAACTCTTCACGTCACACAAGTTCAGATATTTTGCAGTTTACCAAAACATTTACAGCGTAATGATAAACTACAGGAAGAAACTTGATGATTAATTTCAAATTTATCACGGAAGTAACCCACTCCCAAACTACAACACCGGGAACATATTCTCCATCACTAACCTGGGTAGGTATGTCGATTACATTGGGAGCTAAACTTGCGACAACTTTGGTGGCATCTGGGATACATTCATTAAGCAACGTCAGCAACAATCCCCCCTTCGCATCTTGATGATACTTCTTCAAAAGTTGTAACAATGTCTTGGAGTTCTTTACTTTCAATGGAGGTTTGAAAATGTATTTTACGGTATCTCCCTCCGTAGAAACTTGTAAACGAGTGTTTTCAGGCAGTGCGCCCTCCAACCAGGTGAGTGTTTTCTTTGTCAAGTCGAATATAGCCATCTCATCGAGGATCTCTTGAAGTGACAAGCCCCACTGCGACCCGTTCAGATGCCGTTTCTTCATATAATCCACAATTCTCGCCATCACCGCAAAATTGACAGAATTACTTTGCTTGTCATCTTTTGGCTTCGTCTCTCTCTTCCTTTTCGTCGCTCTATTCTCGACAGGAACATAAGTAGAATGAGACCCAGAAGCTTTTGGAGCTGTGTCGATGGCTCTAATGGCACTCTGTCTGAATTTCTCCTGCTGTTTTAGTAATTCGTTCATCTAGAAAAACTTTATGTCACACAGAATAAGGACCAGACACAATGCTGATGACGTTAATCACACGGCTTAACTCAATTACTTATTACGCAGGCCTCATAAATAGTAAAATCCTTGCGTGTTCCACGCAAATTCTGGAGACAAAGGTGAAATAGCAAAACTTGTTCGGACTTCTTTGACGGAAAACACAACTGCAATCCAATAATTCAAAGTATTCACAGCAAAATACTGTTGTCATCAACGATTCCACAAAATATAACGATAAAACCTGTTTATTTCGACCTATATCATCTACGCCTACTCCTCATATCGCTTGTTCCATAATGGGATGTACTGGCCAACCTAAAATCAAATAGTCAAAAATTTAAGAAAAAGAATATTCTCTCTATCAGTCTGTCGGAAAAATAACGGCGGATCGTCGCGCCTCGGAATCGCCCATCATCGCTTTGCGACTGCAAGCAGCGGCTTGGGATTTGGCGCGCGATAGCGGCGAGGCGAGACATTTTGCTGCGACGATCCGCCGTTATTTTCCCGACAGACTGATAATACCTAGTACTCACCGTCTTCCACTCGCAGAAATACAACGCCAAGAGGAACCCAGATCCGCCGAAAGCAGTATAAGATGGATAGCTAAACCAAGAAAATCATAACCAAAAAGAAAACTTACTAAGTGCTGTTGGTAAACGCTCTTTTGACTAATCCCAAAGGCTTAATGTAAGAGACCATTTTAGTTGTCGATGTCTAAAAAGATTAAAACAAAACTTATAGATAATTTTTCTCAAAAAAACTGGGATAACAACAACGTATGCGGGCGGATACATGAAAAATATATTAGTAAAAAGAAACGAACCTATTCTTTGTGACGAAAAATCACAATGAAAAAAAAGAAAATTCGTAATAAGGGTGCAGCTCGGAAAATGAGATCCGCAGACTGCAGAGGCCAAAGCGTTATCTGAAATGAGATGTGCGGCCGCTGCACTGTGCTGATTTAAGCTGCACAGTTCGTGGTGCTAAGTTCCTTCCGCATACTGTTTTTTTGAACTAGTACTACGGTTTCTCTTTACTTTTTTACTGCTTCATTTGTTAAGTATAAGGTTAAAAGAAATATGTTTAATTCTATTTGCAGTCGGTTCAAAGGGTATAGCAACAAATAATCATTTGGAGGTGCCTTAAAAACCACAGCGTTATTATAGTAATCCAGTACCAGCTGGATCGAAGCCTTTTTTGCCTAGCTTTAGTTTCCAAGCAAAGTACCTTTTAACAAGAATATTTTGCAAGAAAATTCGGCACCTCGCGCCCAAATCGGGCTGGGCCAGAAAAAAACGTGTCGCTGACCACCCCCCAAAAAGATAAAGGACAGGATTGTCAGATTAATGAATGCATGAGGGAGCGAGGGATTATAGAAAGTGCACAAAGGCCAACATAATGAGCATTGTACAGTACTGGTAAAGATCGGACTTACAACCTTTTTATGGCAGGGATTTCAGGCAGTCCAAACAATTCCCTTGTCGAGTCGAGTCTGTAAGCCGTAATTACAATTTAACTACATTATACATGCAGACAAAAGTCTTCACAGGACATGCATAATGGAAAGTTTGATTAGCATTCGATTAATATTGCTTTAATTTAATTTTTTCGGACACTTAAACTTTGCTTAGGTGCACGTTATTCACGTTTCTATGGCAAAACGAGACGTGTGTGTGTAATTTGAAAATGAGGAGTTGCAAACCACATGACAAAGGTCTGAAAAGTCCGTATGAAAGTCTGGGTCCGTTGGTGTCAAGCAAAGTGCAATTGCACTCTGCGCGAGAGTGGACGGAATGGGGGCAGCACTTTTGGGGTATTGGGGAAGCAGCAGGAGGCTGAATATTCTAGCGGTGTGCTTTCTGATTACCGTACGATGTTTAATCGTTAAGGCCGGAAGCCATGATGAATGAGTGATATGTGCGAGCAGATTTGTACTTCTCCAAACTTATGAAATCGGTTTTCTGTCTTTGATTTCAAGATGTCTGCAGAGGGAATATTGCGCAAGCACACCTACATCAGAATAAATTATAGTGTGGAGTGTTTCGTCGAATGTTTTCGTGTGATTTATAAATGTTGTTCTCCTTTCTTTTCCTTTCGTAATTCCGGGGGTCGATCTTCTGTTACATTCACAACATTAATAATAATTAGTTGATTGTAATCCGTATTCCAAATCTCTTTTCTGTTAATGTTTTCAAAACCGAATTGTAATCCCGAGAAACCAAAGAAGGACAGGACAGCCTGAGGGGAGTGCGTGGAAACGGCAGGTCAATCGTACAAAAGAAATGCAGTTCGAGGCGGTTAGAATGGGGAGTTCCAATGAATTCTGTTTTTGTATGCCAAGACATTATAGTACTCCCGCGTCATCACTGGACGCGGTTTCGTTTTATAAAGACAGACTAGATAGTTCGTAGTCTGAGTATCAGATTGTCCTTCTATTATATTATGTGAGTTTGTACAAATGATATGTTCACGGCGTATCTCCGGTAGCGGAATTTGGCTGTGTGTAGTTGTAAAGGGATAAGGCCTGCAGATTATCCCTTTATCCCTTTTGCTTAATCTCTGGACTTCCTCGGAATGCCCCCAGACGATTACGTCCACTTGATCCCGCCCCAGGGTATAAAAGCTAGGTGCTCACAGCGTAGCAGCACAGTCAGCAGGAACACTAGATGCGATGTATTTTGCACCTTGTACAGGTGCTTCTGTCTTTTGTGTATCGTTTGTGAAGGGAACTGATGCAGGTTCTTCAGTTTCCTGCCGAGTGTGTTGACGTACTTTGTAAAATGGTATCGTTTTGCCAATCACCGAAAACGCTCTCGATTTTATCTGTCTATTGGGTCGGCGCTCGCGCATCGGGGGGTAATTACCTTAAGGACTGTAATGCGCATACTGTAATAAGGAAACGTGAGAAAAGTGCCAAACCGAGGTTGGCGCGCTCCGCACACCAAAGTGGGGGTGGCATTGGGCCCTTGCCGCAGCTCCCAACCCCGAACACCCCGGCTCCCCCCTTTTTACTTTCTGCCATCTGCGCGTCCATTCCGCCCCATCCCCTTCGCCGATCGAGCTGGTCTTCAAAGTCCACTTCCAGCCAGAAATGGTTACATTCTTTGAACTCTAATGTCTCAGATCGGTCCCGTTCTCGCTGCGGTGTAAAATTTGTGATATCTCTCGCCCTGTTCTGTGTCACGTTCACGTGGCTTTTCCCCAATCTCGAACCGACTTTCCGCCCGTTTCTTTTTTCTCTTCTTGGAATACCTCCTCTTTAATGGTTTTGTCTATCAGTCCCCCTCAAGGTCATCCGTTTTCATTTTTTCTTGCTTGTCTGAGTATGGCCTCAACTACAATCCCCTTAGGCTACAAATACATGGGCTACATTTCCGTCGCCACCCCCATTGACCATAGTAGATTCAGTTCCGGCGGCCAGATGACTCGAACCTCAGGGTAGAATATTGCGGGTGCGGGGCGGGGGGCGACGGCCTTGAGGTCGTCCTTATCAGTCCGAGATTATCAGACGAGGACGGTCGTTTTTTGGGAGCCTATTGCGTGGAATCTCCGCTCATGACGTCCCTGAATTTGGTCAGTGGAGTATTTTTGGGGGGAGAGTTTAAAAAACTTTCGCCTTTCTGTTTGCTCGATCACGTTCAGAAAATTCCGTGTCCCGGGATCTCGCTTTTTTCCAACACAACCCTTTCCTCCGACCTACGGGTTGGATGGGCATTTTGAGACGGCATGGTTCACTTGAATAATAATATGTATTGCGAGCAACAGAATGCGCGCTGTCTGATCTGAGCTGCTTAAAATAGATTAGTGTTGTAATGTGAAGGGTCAGGGGACTAAACGGGACGTTCAGAGTTGTTCAAAGGCATTGCTTAACACCCGGTAACCGAGGGCTTAACGTTTTACTAGAGCTCTTGAATAATTCTTTCACGTTCCCCGCCCTCTTCCCGCCTGCAGGCTCCCTTTTTGTAATTCCACCTGCCCCATGCCAATTAGAAGTGGGAAGGAGAAAGGTCTCGTTGTCTGGGCCATTTCCGGTATGCAGGGGTTGAATTAATGCCGTGGTCAGTTCGTGGAAGGGGGCCAAGAATTAAAGGGAACATTGGGCTGGCCCCGCCTCCTTTTTTATATTCTCGGGCTCCATGTCGGCCGAAAGCCCGAAGGGACTGGGACTCTGCGTTGGCTGGTTTTCCAGGCCGAGAGCCGGACGTCGGTGATAAGAAAAAGCAAAAGTTTTTCTGTTTTTCCTTTTATCAGATTCAAGTGGGGGATCGAGATAAATGACCCGAATTCCTTTAATTGTTTCCACCCCGAGGTTATACGTTACGTCTCGCAGATCCCTCCACACGTAAAGGACGTTCTTTCTTCGCTATTTCCATTTTTACACATTTACATTCTCTCCCGTTCGGGTCTGTGTTGACCCGGGTCGAAGCCCCCCTTTTTTACTTTGCCTTTAATCTTCGACGTCATAAGGTGCGTCGTTACGCGTCATTGAAAGGATAAAGCGAGAAAACGCTTATCTGCACGGCGTTTTTGTCCATTCTAGGTAGTCCGCAAGGGTCGGGTTGGAGGTTTGTGCAGGTGTCCTGAGGCCAGGGTTACCCAGCTTTGGTTCTGTTGGTCTAATCTCTAATCAATTCGCGAGGCCGTGTGGAGGTGGAAGGGGAGATTGTTTGCTTATAAAGACTCAGTAATTACTTTACAGGCTCAGTGCAGAGTTATGGAGCGAGGCAAGAGATTCTGGGAGGAATCGGAGATGACCGACCGCTACAGTCCGGCACCCAATTCGGTGGATTCGGGCTTCGAGTCGGGACCTTGCTCGCCTGACTCTAGCTCTTGCAGCAGCTCGGTTGTTGATTCATCAGCAGTCCAACTGTCGCGAAATGAGCCTCCGACCAAGATACGTAGATACGGCGCGAAGATAGGAACGGAAAAGTTATCCGAAAACAAACCGGAAAGAGAATCGTTTGTTGATGAGGAAGCGAAAGACGACGTCTCCAGCACTGCGGAATCAGGTTCTGCACGTTCCGTTCCATCCAGTTCGCCCGAACCTCAACCCGAACAAGCTCATCAACCGGAAGAACCGTCCACATCCGCCGACGAATATGAACCCCGCACTTCGGCTGGCTTCAATTGTCTATGGGCCGGCTGTCAACAAAGTTATGGCGACGTCAACGACTTGTATGACCATGCGGTTCAAGAGCACCTTTCTATTATTCCCCTCCAAAACATTTCAAACGGCACTAAACGACGTAATTCTGAAGCTTCTGAGAAACGTTTCCAATGCCAATGGCGTGGCTGTGAGATGACGTTAAAGCGGGGCTCAGCAGACAAAAAGGTATGTTCGAATTGGGGTTTTATGCGTCCCTGTCCACGCACTGAATTATTCTCACGTTTGACGTTGTTTGTTTACAGTTGGAATGGCTCAGTTCCCATTTCCGCGCCCGGCACGCCCCCAGGGCTCAGCCATTCAAATGTTTGCTAGAGGATTGTACTATCAGGTTCCAGACACAGAAGGCGCTTCACGCTCATCTCAGAAACTCGCATGATGATAAGCCTGGTAAGAGATTTACATGTATTCATATAGTTTAGAGATTAGTACTCCAATAGCCATTAATCAGATAAGATTTAAATTACACTTAATGAATTCGAAAATCTTTCAGTCTAATTAGTTGCAATTAACCGACAATTGTCAAAATTACTGGCTTTGCATAACAGAAGGGTTTCTTGTAATCTCGTGAAGATTAGTCGCATACCACTATCTCTCTTTAGCTGGAAATCCAACTAATCTGATCTTCTTTACAGGTAAAAAGTGTCAAAACATCCGAATCGAAAAGTCTTCATGCTTCACATATAAGCCACCAACGAGGTCAACTGATTGTAAGTTATTCTAATTACATTTCCGCGAGATTTGCATGTCCACAGAAGACTCAGTGGACTCATGCCACAGCACGAAATCATAAATTCTTTTCTTTAAGACGGTCTCCTGGACTTTATGGATGATAGAACCTACCAACACATTGCAAACAGACTGGAGGACATGTTTGGGGCGTTGGAAAAGAGTTCTCCTGCACTGGTCGGAACTCCTTGTATCCCAAAACACAAGACGATTTCCCTGCTCAGCCAGATTTTCCCTCACAAATTCTAATTGATCGCTTCCTATGGGTTCAGAACGGGTTCGAATGGTCTCATCATTTAATTACGCTGGTTGTCCTCAAGTTTGTATTATCTATCTCAGGATATCATCTGTATCCATGGTCGTTCTTGCTCATGAAACGAAATCATGTCAATCTCTATATTTGAATATCTCTTTCAACGTCAATATCCATGTACAATATCGCTAAATTATGTGTATTTGTGTCTACGAAATAAATAAACATAATACGCTATAGTAGAATGATTGAAGGCTTTATCAACAGCAATACCGTAAAGTTACAAAAGACCGACGCCTTAGACACCCGCTGTAACCTCGAGACGACGATCATTTGGAGAATGGGGCCATTTGAGGGGCACCTGGAGCTGCCGATCCGGATGGAGGAGGATTCGAATTGACTCCCAACAAACTGGCTGAAGAACCCTGACCTTGAGGCTTAGGCTCTAACATCTTGTACTCTAACGTCATTTCCCTTGGAATCTAAAGAGATAAAGTGAATAAGATAAAGACTCACCTTTCGCCATTGAACTGGGTCAAACACATTGAACTGGCCCTTCTCATATTCAGTAGTCTGTTCTCGAACTCCTAGATAGGCCGCTCGTGTCAACCACACCTTCTCCTCCTTGTGGAATCGCCAATCCCTACTAAACCTAAAGAATACGTATAATTAATTGCATCAATACTCAAACATACAGTTCACAAGCAGCTGCCAATTGATATACTTGACCTGGACAGTTGTAGAACATGTAAAAAAGAACATCTTCCGACAATTTGTTCATTTTAATTTGAGGAAGCTTATCCCGGATGATTCCATTTGTCAAGTATTCATCTGGTACTTTGACATCCAAATCTTGAATCCGGCAAGGAGCTTCTGCCCAGGGACCACCGAATGTCAAGTACAAATTACGCCTAAACAAGAAAATATATAACAGTGAAGTTCCCCTGGTCGTTCAGAAGCAAAACACTAAAAACGCTCTTCTCAATTTCTTTGAACAAATATAATTAAAATGAGGATGACCTGAGAAAAATGCACGGGAAAACAATTTTAGCTTTCTTTTCAAAACCCCAAAATCCGTCTTACTTCTTCAGTACTGCCCTTAGAACTTACTCTGTCGAGTTCAGATTCAGCCCTAGATTGTTGAGATCGTAGCCTAATGCCATTGATGTAATCGCCGGATCCTTGTCAATCGCTCTCAGAAAGGATAACATCCCCGCGATTCCATATTGATCCGTCAACATCCCAGGGGGTATATTCGTCACATACCCTGGAAACAAATAGATTATTCCAAATCTATGCCAATCTAATATTACCATTGGGGTCGGTCTGAATTCCGTGAGAAATTCGGCCGTTCTCCGTCGTTCCATTCAATAGACTATCCGCTTCCAGGTTTGAGTTCTAAACCAAAAAAGATAAAAAAAAAAATAAAAAAACCCTCACCTGAGAAGTAGAATTTTGAAGATTAACGACAGAATCTGGCATTTGTTGGCTTCGACCATTGCTTCCGTTTTGGGCTGAGGCACCAGGTAATGCAGGGAAATCCTCGGATTGAAAAACTGGCTGTTGACCATAACTTGCCGTTTCCACAGTCCGCATTAGACTCGCTAGAAACATTTCGTGAAATAATTCAACGAAATTTTTTTTGACGTTTCGTGATATTCCATAAACTCTGTCATCATGATCGATTTTATAGAACTCCAAGATTTTTTCTTGAAATCGAATCAAACGGAAAAAAGAAAAGTATGAATTATCTTAGGTGTCGGTGTCCTAAAATTCAGAAAAAAATCATACCATAGTTTATCCGGATATCCTTGGCGTTGAACAAGTTCTGGCTCATCATTGTAGATCCAAACTGACTCGCGAAAGCTGCATGTTGATGCGAAGCTGGGGATTGCCGAACATTCGCTAAGGATGGGAACTCGGAATCATTGAGCGGCAAACTGTCGAAGCCACCGTTCTGATTGGGATACCTGGGTGCTGTCGACTGAGGTCGGGGTGCCATCTGGAATGAGTTGAACGCGGTTTGTGGGGTCTGTGCCGGCATGGCTGGTGGAGTGCCTCGATGGCTGTTGTACACGGTGTTTGGGGACATGGACAATGGCTTCTGGGCATTCCCACCCTTCAGGATCTGTTGGGACGACAAGTTGGCTGTTCCACCCAAACCAGCAGGCAGTTGGCCGATCAGAGCTGAAGGGATAGAATGGTTTAGAGAAGATGATTAAGCAAAAATATATGCAAGCCATGTAGGTTAATGTAGTGAGATATTAAATTAGAAAAAAAATCAAACCTGAATTTGATTGAGAGGTTGGATTGGTACTGGTGTTATTCTGAGGAGGACCTCGGGACGCAAGTAGTGTTCCGCTGCTCATAGAGCCTGTTCGCATACTTTACTTCGCCTTGGCCTTAACAGCATGTTCTGAATTGAGCGGCCAGATGAATATTAGAGCCCGGCACAGAAGCTCAAATCGAACTGTTTTGCTCTCGAGAGTTGTTTTCTTCTGATTGATATTCGCGTCTTCTTTTCGAATACCACTAAAATAAATAGAATAAATATTGATAAAGCTCGCATCACGTGGTCGGAAAACGGCCAATTCGAATGAATACGGATACTATGTGAAAAATTAATATTAATGCGCGGCCATAAAGGAGCCGGGCATATCCAGAGACACCTTCAGAGTGCTGTCAGTTTTCTCGCATCCAGTCCCCACCCAGCCTTAATAGAGCCAGTCACCGGGTCGAGGTGCGTCCCCCCAAGTAAGCGATAGAAAAAGACTGAGTGCGTATACCTCGCAGGCCCCAACTAGACCCTCTTACCCCGCTTTTTCCGAAAACAACAACTGTGTGTGCATCTCAAAGGTCCTCTTTCACCTACACCATGCCAATGCCTAGTCTTCGTGGGGAGACCGCTAATAATTTTATTAAAATGGATGAAGATTTACAATCGACATCTAATGTAATGGCGATTTGAAAAGGTGCTACACTTACAAAATGTATTAAAACACTGGTAATTGGAAGATTCTACATTAGACTTCAGAATGGGCTTCCATTCATTCGGATGGAAGAGGGTTCTTGTCATTCTAAGTATCTTTTTCTTGGTGCTGCTGGTCATCATTACGCGACAGAATTGTTACACAAAGATTAATCAAGTACAAAATAAACTCTCAGTTTGTCTACATCATTCAGAAGCACTTTCCTCTCAACTAGACGGTAAGCTCAATATTTTTTTATTAACTTTTTAGTCATTAACAAGTACAAAGAGACAGTGGAAAGTGTATTGGGGAGCGTAAGAGCTGAGAATGATAAAACAATTAATGGTAAGGCAACAGAAGTAATTAAGAAAATTCTAGAATGCAAAAAACGGGTTTCTACATTGGAAATGGTCAGTAAGAATTGTGGAAATGGAGATGAGATAAAGAAGTTGAAGGTGGGTGAGATTGCGGTTTGCAAAAATTGATAATCGAATCGATATGTTTGTTACTGTGCAAATTACTTTAAGGAGGAAAATGAAGAACTTAAATTAAAGATTGAACAATTGGACAGTAAGCATAAACAGGTATGATAATTGTGACATTTGTAACTATTTTAAAAAATACAATTAAATAAAGATTATGTTTATTAAGGATCAGGTTCATGCCGTCCAGAATGCCATCAGTGAAGTAAAAGAAGAGAAGAAGGTCGAAGATAGAAAGGTAAGTTATGATTGACCATTAAAAATGTTGAATTTGTTCTCTTCATTTGTATAATTCGAAGTATTGGGGAACACTATATTGTTCACGTTCTGTGATACCGAGTGTAAGAACATACTTTGTTGGTCTGAGGGAAGCATATTAGTAATGAAAGCCTTCTGAGAGTCATAAGTCCAGAAAGAACTTGTAGCAGATGGGTCGAATTCTGAAGGGAATTGCGGTGTGAAGCTGGAGAGGTCCGGTTGGATGATATTCTGATGGAGAGAGATGGGGAAAGACATCGTCGGTTGATTTGAGTCGTATGAAGGCCACTGAAAAGGGACAAAATAATTTTCTTGTCGGTACTTTATGAAGTGGAGCCAACCCGGGCCGATGGCAAATGTAATTTTTTGATTTTCTCTAAAAAATAATGGATTTATGGGTCGAGTCGTGGGTTATCAAGAATTTTTTTCCTTTGTTTTACACTGTGATATATCGACTGATCAAGTCACAATTGCAACATTGAGCCAAGTTTGAGAGTTGCTATCATTTTTGAGTTAGTGGGAGACATTTCGGCTCATTGTCAGGAAAAATGGCAAGAATTATTTGTCAACACGCTTGCACTTCGTGAATATTAAGAGACCCTCTGCATAAGTTAAAAATTTTTTTACGAAGTGTTTCATAGTAAGAAGATGACTTACCGGGCGATTAACAATGTAATTGAGAGATGTCTGTGGAGCTTTTCCGTCGATAAAAGGTTGTTTCTTCATGCGTTTTCTGCAAGCATATCCATCTCCCGTTTTTACATACCTTCGTTTATAATTGCCATTCTCAAACATTTCATTGAAATTGGGGGCCAATGTCCAGTAATTTCCTTTCCGATCATTAACTGGCCCGAGGCCGTCACGAGCCTTCTTTATGAAGCAATCATTCAAGGATAGGTTGTGTCGGATGCTGTTCTGCCATCCTCTTCGTCTTTTGTGATCTGCATTCCGATAGAAGGAGAATCTTTTTTCGATGTACTACAATGCTCTTAGATCACAACGCACCTTAAACTTACATTATATATCTGACTCAGAGTCATCTTTCCTTCCGGCGAAGAGCTGATGGCCATGACGATCAAGGCCACATATGAATACGGCGGCTTTTCTTGGCCGCTCTCATCCCTGGAATGTTGTAAAATGCTTTTTGGATCGAGAGAAGCAGAAACAAACCAAAATATTTTGATTTGATATAATAACATACCCGAGTTGTTGTGTTAAATCAGCGGGCGGGCCCGTGTGTAGCGTCGAGGCAGAAGTCATGTCGAATGAAATCTTTATACAAAACATTGGGTCGGCCAAATCACAGGGCGGGACTTGGTCATCAGCAGCCTCATCATTTCAGTGCTGGGAATCAGAAGAAAGCGCCCGGCTCTTCGCTCCGTCGGCCAATCGCTTCCCTTTTGGCCTACCGTAACCTGATCGAGCCAAGTTTTTTTGGTAGCGTTTTGTACAAAGTTTGGGGGTTGTAAAGAATGATGGGTCTTTATCTGGGCATTTTAATCCTTGGATATAGATCATTTATTTCTTAAGGATAAGGACAACGCCTTGTTTTTTCCTAATAATGTCAAAGACAAAACGTTCGCGCTGTTGACCTAATTCTCAAGACATTTATTATTCGAAAACTGAAACTTTTAGGAATAATACAAGTACTAATAATTCTAAATTCATCCCATTATTTGATGAGTTTGCCTTGCTTTCTCGAAACGAGGATGCCGTTCAAATTTCGGTTAATTTTCTCTTAATGGGTTCATAAATTTAATCCATGACATTTTCTGGAACGGAATTCTCCGAATAAAGTATTTTTTTCACTTTCAAATTAGCATGCCTTCAGAAGAAAATATTATAATTAACCTCGGAACTGATTCCGTTCGATGTTAATTATTCGCTGCCATGACTCTGCTTGGCGTCGTGACACAGAAAACACATCGTTTAAGCGAAATCAGGACCTATTGTACTCTCTTCCTATCTCCAAATGCAAATTCTGATCACTTTGTCGGCTCTTTTTCTCTCAATTAAAGCGCAGGAAATACTTGTTGTAATTATTTGAAGGATGGGCACGAAGCCGAGAAGAACGCGGATAACTATGCGAAGGGGCCGGATGTTCATTTTGAAAGGAAAAGGCCCATGAATGAGATACTCGAGTTTAAAAGAGGCCAGATCCAACAAGAAGTACCAGTAGAGGGATGGATGGAGCACAAAGAATTGGTCAAGAAGTTGAATGATCGCCGGAAGGAGAAGGATGATGCGGCTAATGGTAAGTCAAGCTGCAGTTACAGTAAAAAGGGGTATCCTAAGCTTTTTTTTTGGTATTGGAATCTCGGAAGTGACCAGTCCTTTACATTCGACAAGTCATTGCGACCTCTGTTTGCATAAGAATTCTTGCGAAAGCGCCATAAATCTCGAAACGGCCTTATTAGTTTTACTTTGCAAGTATTGGTAAGGGGATCGTTCGTTTGATTTTATGGAGCGTGATGACTCCTTTTCGAATATTTATTCAATCTTCTTTTTGTTTTCGGCGCCAAACTGTCGCAAAACTGATATGATTTTAGTTGGCTATTACAGGTGAAAGTAAAATAAATTATAAGGCAATTCAAATCCGCAACAGGTTATTACGTCATAATCTTAGAGCCAGGTGTGTTTTGCCAAACCGTTTTATTTTCTCCCCTCTGTGAAGGGATTGCGTAATCTAAATTCCTCCCGAAATGTATGAAATTCTGACCAAATGAGCTGGGATTCCAGCATTTATTTTGATAAGGATCTGCGGTCACTCAAAACGGCTTTCGGCCTCGGGGGATTTTAACTCTTGGGTTTTAATTAAAGCTTGCTTGGTCATTTCAATTGTTTTTGTTTGGCCATTTTTTGACTCCAATCTTTTTTTTCAGTCGAGGACTTCAGAGAATTGGCCAAGCCCGATGGCCAGGAAGAGGATTACAAAGAAATGGTAGGTCCCTTTCTCCCACTGACCTCTCCCTCTTCTTTTCAGCATTAGCCCCGCCCTTCGCCTCGCCCCAGGGGGTATTCGTTTTTATGTAGATGAATGTGGTCGACGCCAAGTTCACATCTAACATTCAATCAGGCTAAACATTACTTTTTACGGGTCTAATTTGTTTCCAAAGTGTTGTCTTTCCGCATTGGCTTTGATTCAATTCGAATATTGGGCCTTACGTTTAGTGCTAAATAACTTTTTATATTGCTTAAGGTTGCATAATTTTACTCAGCTTTAGATTGTTTTACTGGTCACAACAACAAGGTCTACTACAAATTTTTTTGCGTAGTAAAAGCAAATGGATTGTCTTATTTTTTCACTGTCGTATTTTAGTTCTAATAACCATTCTAAATAAACGAATTTATGAGACATTTCCCTCAATTTGCGGGTTAATTAACGAAGCGGAAGGTGGGAACAATTCGGGATTAATTAGACAGATTTGCATAGAGGATGGGCGCGAGACCAAACGCTGATGACCTTTTGTGTTCTCGGAACAAGCATTTTTATAAAAACTGTTTTTCTCAGGCTTTGTAAACTTTGTTGAAAGGATCCTCAGATCGGCATTTCTTTTCAATCAATGGCCGTTTTCGCGCGATCAGCATGGCTTTGGTCTCATCGGCCTATAAAACTCCTCCCACTCTAAAGGCCAACCTTTTTCTCCAACTATAATTAAATAGTTGTTTTCCACACCTTGAGTGACCAGGTAAAGCGCCTCTCAGAGATCCGCTGCAACTTCGAGCTGGCTCTTAGCGACCCGCGAGTTCGAAGCCGGCTTCATTCAACTCAGAGAGGAGCCGCAATCCGATCCCCCAAAGGTAATTGTTTCCCACTAATGGCCTAAGGGGATGTCTGCGGACACTTTTGTTTGGGCCGGAAACAATGGCCGCGGCGAAACTGCGCATCCATTCATTTGGCCGAGATCAGAAGCCAGATGGTCTTCATAAGGCCTGAGAAATAGACATTGGGGATCAGAAGACGGGGGTCATTCATTCCGAGGGTGATTAGTCCCCGCCCCATCTCCTGGTGGGCATCAAGTCGTCTTCTCCTTGCCCTCGTCGGTGTCGGCATTCCACTCGTTTTTTCGCACCCATCACTTATTTCATAATCCCCGCAATTACTGACGGGGCGGGGTTGGAGGTGAGGAGGTACCCGGGCTCTGTTTACCGTTTAGGGAGTGTCTCCGAGCAGGGTCACAACCACGCCCTCAGGCTCTTTATGGTGGTCAAGATGATCTTCTGAGACCTGGAGATGCAATCTTGAGGGGATCAAGGGTTATATTCGATGTTGTTCATATTTCATTGCATTTTGTTGATTTGAGACGTTTTTTTCGACCTCCCCGAAGGTCAGATCCGACAGTTCCGTTCCCAAAATCCGTCATCATGATTTATTTAATCGCTTTTCAGATATGATCGCAGGATGAGAGACCGGGTTTTAATTTGTTTGGCCATTACTCAGGCCGTCCTCGCGTCGATCGATGTCAACGTGCAAGACCTGCGTCCAGGCCAGTGAGTTAATATAATAAATCTTGTCCTTTAATTGGTGCCGCCCTAAGTTTTCGACCTTTGTCCACCGCACTCTCAGAGATAAAGATCGGGATTATGGTGCATGAGGTGTCGGCCTTGATGCCGCGAACCGAGGTCTAGCCGATTAGGACTGTAAAGATCGTCTCAGAAGAGACTCTTGCAAGAGTAGGGGAGATTTAAGACTAACCAACGATGCATTCAATTCAGTTGGCATATAAGATTGTAGGATCCCTGGGATTTGCTCTTCTGACTTCCGAGACCCCACTCTCCTTCCAAAATTTCTCCAGAGGCGGCGAATCAATTTGAAATGTGACTGTCGGTAATCCCGGGGCTTTGTTTGTTTCTCAAACAGCCGCGCGGTCATTAAACGGTCATTCCGTCATTCCATTACTTTCAGGAACAACGTATGCCCCTTCGAACATATAGAGGAAGTGACAGTAAAAGAGCCATGTGTCAAAAGTTACACCAAGTACATCAGGACCCGAAAGGCCGGATGCAATGGACTCAACGCGGCATGTCAAGTCAGAGAACCCAAGTAAGATTATGACAATAAGTGTCATAGTGGACTTGACTATCAACGATTCATACTTATCTTGAGACAATGATATAGATAATTGTAACCAATTTAGGACGGTATATTATCGTACGTACAGAAATGTGACAAGGAAAAGGCGTCAGACCGAGGTAAAATGTTGTCCCGGCTGGTCTCAGATCCCTGGGCAATTGGGATGCACTAAGCGTAAGACTAAATCATGTTATGTTACACATCTTCAGCCAATTGTACATCTGATGTTTGTCACAACGGAGGAAGTTGCATTGAACATGCAAGGAGTGATGAACAATTATGCTTATGCCCTGAGGGCTTTCAAGGATCTATTTGCCAATACGGTAAGGCAAAGTACAATCCTTGTGCTTACCTTAATGATTATTTAGATGTAAATGAATGCCTGGTAAACAACGGAAACTGTCATCATGACTGTGTGAATACCATAGGAACTTTTTATTGTCGGTGTTATTCTGGATTTACATTGGATGAAGATGGCCGGCGATGTATTGGTAAGTGTCATTACTCGTGTTAGATGTCGAACCAACAACTCTTTTATTACTTTCTTAAAACAATTACGATTTATTATTACATTAGATGTGAATGAATGCGAGATCGAGAATGGCGGTTGTAATGGCTTGTGTGTGAACACTGACGGCGGATATCATTGTGATTGCCCGTCCGGGAAACAACTGGCACCTGATGGAAGGACTTGTGTCGGTATGTCCGTCCGTATTAATTAAGACGTTTTAGATGCAAACACCTGCGCGTTGGACAATGGCGGCTGCGCTCAAATATGCGAAGAAAACAATGGAATCTTCCATCGATGTCGCTGCAATCCGGGTTATGAATTGGGGCCTGACAAAAGGTCATGTCATCGTAAGTCGGTTTACAATTACTTTAGGGATTATTATTATTTATTTTATTTATATTCACTGTAATATAAAATATAAAAACAGTAAAGTAAGTGAATATGGAGGCTATTGATTCAAAAATTTGTAAAACCGATGAAAAAAATTTTTTGATCTGAGACGAGTACCACAGCGTTGTATTATAACGGATGCATAGTGTAAATGAAGGTAACACATATGTTATAGCCATTGATCCCTGTCTTCAACATAATGGGGGATGCGAACATCAATGTGTGAATAACAATGGATTCGCCGTTTGTCAGTGTTATCATGGCTTCAGACTCTCCCATGATCAGAAAAGTTGTCATGGTATGTACATGTAATTGAAAGTTAATCGAAGAATAATCAAGTTTTTGTCAAGATTAAAACCCCACCCTATTAATATAAGAAATCTCGAAATTCCTTTATCATTGCTTTCTCTCCTTCAGCCTTTGATTCCTGTCTTCACGGCGATGGCCAACGTTGTGAACAAGAATGTGTGAACCATCACGGAGGGTACAGTTGCTCATGTAGAAGAGGATATGTGCTAAATAGTGATGGATTAACTTGCTCGTTAGGAAAAGACCCTTGTGAAGACAACAACGGAGGGTGTGAACATACCTGTAATGTTACCCATGGCCATGTCAGATGCTCTTGTCAGGAAGGTTATGAGATCTCGGAGGATGGAAAAACGTGCCGAGGTGAGACCATTTCCACTTTATTTTGTGATGTCTTGTCATTTGATTTCTTTTTGTTTTGCAGAATTTCCGTTACAGACCAATACTTATTGATTATTTTTGTGGCATTTCGTCAATATTTTTTGTGTTGCGTGAATATTATTAATTTGCAGTATTATTATCATCGGTTAATCTCACGAGTGGGCACATTAATACACAGCTTAAAATTTACGCTTTAGCAAACACAGCTTTGGCTTCGGCAGCACCTACAATAACATACGAGATCAACGAGATCCCGCTACCTGCCTTAGACGGGTTAGAAAGTTGCATTAATGACACTGGTGGATGTCATCAGCTTTGTCTCGACTTTAGCCAGGGATCTACTTTTTGTAGATGCAGATCTGGATATACGTTGGATCCCGAGGATCGCTTGACTTGCTTGGGTATGGTGAATATGCATGGTTGCTTTTGCAATATCGTCTTCTAGTCTCCTCTTTTGCAAGCTTTGAATGTATTTCTCATGATTATGATATTTAGATGTAAATGAATGTGATCATGACAATGGTGCATGTGCCCAGGTCTGCATTAATACCCCTGGCTCTTATTTGTGCAGTTGTGAACAGGGATATGTTCTGATCTATGATCAAAAGACGTGCGAAGGTAAGACTAGAAGTGAATTCGATCATTTTTAGACGTGAACGAATGCGTGAATGACAATGGCGGATGTTCCCATAACTGTCGGAATACGAAGGGGGGATATCAATGTGAATGTAATCCTGGGTATATGTTGGGGGAGGACCGACATACCTGTCATGGTGAGTGTGACTTTAGTGGGTTTATGTCTCAACTTAGATGTGAATGAGTGTCTGTCAAACAACGGTGGATGTAACCAGATTTGTATAAATAATCTTGGATCTTCTCCTGAGTGCAGTTGTTTCCCGGGATATGATCTGGCAGAAGATGGGAAGACGTGCACTGGTAAGTTTAATCTAAACGTGAACCACGATTATTTTTGATTTCTAATTTGTAAAGTTTTATTTGAAATCACAAGTGTCATTAAATTACATCAGTAAAACATTCTTTTAGCCCATGCCGATAAAATTCCGATGCCTTTGAAGTCGTCCTCAAGTAAGTGCACCGATTTTAATTAAAATATCATCTACTTTTGCGGTGGATAACTGTAATGTTAGTAGTTGTAAAGTAGCTTTTGGCTTTACATTTTGATCGCTTTGTGCATTGTTGTGTGTTGTAGGCAATGGAAGATACGATGGGGTCAGACGAGTCCAAAGAGTTTTGCGAACCGAGCTGCTAGACAACAACATACTCAGCGACAACGAGAGATATTACAGAGGTTCAGAGTTTTACTTTTATTGTTGTAAATGTGCTTAAAAGTAGCCTGGCCATTTTTTATTAATGGTAATTACGAACTTCAATTTTAGTATGTGAAAGGGGAAGATTTGGAGATGAATGTCAGAACAGTTGCAATGACTGTCAGAATGGAGGTAATTTTATAATGAAGTTAATTTTGAATTGCAATTCTTCATTTCAGCCAAGTGTAATATCCTAAAAGATGGCTGCAGATGTCTGTCTGGCTTCACTGGTGAACTCTGTGAATCTAAATGCCCTGAGGGTACATATGGTTATAATTGCGAGAGTAGATGTGATTGCAATGGAGGGAAGTGTAATCCCATCGATGGGGAATGTAACTGTCCATTGAAGGGATTTTGCGAAGACGATTGTCCGGCTGGTAATCTTTTTTATTCAAGGTTACAAATACCATTCTCAGCTTTTGTTATTGCAATATGATGCAATAGTTTTTTTCAGGGTATTATGGGCAAACATGTAACCTGAAGTGTAAAAGTACATGTGAAGGGACTTGTGACCGAGTTCTGGGTGAATGCACATGCGCCTCAGGCTACTACGGCCCCAGCTGCGATCTGCCGTGCCCTTTTCTCACATATGGACCAAATTGTCGGAAGAAATGTGACTGTAAAATGGAAGGGACCGAGAGTTGTAATATCAAGGCAAGTTTATAAAAATATAATATTTAGGGCACTTTTGATCTTAAAGTATGGTGACAAAGCATTTTAGTCAGGAGAATGTAAATGCAAAGCTGGTTATTATGGTCCTCAATGTGAACGCACATGTCCTCCGGGCTTCCATGGATTGGATTGTGCCTTTTCCTGCAATTGTAAACATGGCCAAGGTTGTGATCCTTTGATCGGAGAATGCCATCGCAAATGCCCTCCGGGATTTACTGGTCAGAAGTGCAACAAAGGTATTAATTACTATAATGATTAAAATTACTGTTTAGAGTGTGAGAAAGGGACCTTTGGACCTGGTTGCAGTTATCGTTGTGAATGTCCCTCAGCCGGTCCTCAGATTTGTCATCATGTCACGGGACAGTGCAGCTGCCCCTTGGGATTAACGGGTCCTCAATGTGATCAACGTGAGTTTTCAGGTCTTATTTCGAATTTTACTTTAGCTTGCCCTCCACTTTGGTATGGTCCCAATTGTAAATGGCAGTGTAATTGTACAAACGGAGCTCTATGTAATCCTCAGGATGGAACGTGTCTCTGTCCTGATGGATATTATGGTGCAACTTGTTCGGAGAGTAAGTCCAATTATAAAACATACTTCGCGTTCCGTAATTGATGATGGCTCATCAATTAAAACATTTTTACAAGCTATTAAGGTTCCTTGCCGATGCAGCCATACTAACGGTATTTTTGGCTTGTTAGTGATTTTTACTAGATTTTCCCAATTATTTAGTACTCATTCCAATATGTGACTTTAACTTTTTTCATATTAAAAAGTTAAAGCGTCTTTAATCATCGTTTTTTCCAAACAAATAGTGGAAAGTCGTAACTTTTCGTATTTTTGCGTTAGAATAGTGTGCTATATAGTACCACCTTGTACTATACAGTACCAAGTGCTAAAAACAGATTTTTTGAGAAGTGCGGGGCTTCAAACCAACAGCATTAACGCGTTATGGCTTAATTTTTACCTCGTGCTATATAGTACCACCTCGTACTACAGGGTGTTTCAAGAAATTCCCCGGAAAGCAATCGTCGATTTCTCGGCGCTCAGCCACGATATCCAAAAAATTTTTTTTGCAGTAGAAAGAAGGTTATGGGCGGTTTTTTGCCTAAAAAGATTTTTTTCTACGCCGACGCGGAATGTAGTGTATTCGGCGAAGACTTTTGACCGCTTTTTTGGTCATCACATACATCTTAAACGCTTTTTTGTGGTTTCTGATGGCTGAAATGCGGATAATTTACTGATTTTTGTGCTTATCAAGCGTTCGGCAAAGGTATGGCAGCCGCTCGCCATATCTTAACTCAGATACGGACCAGAAATGGTCCAACACAATTTTTATTGTCTGGCAACTATTTTCTGCGGGTATCGTATACCCTCCAAAATTTTGTGGTCAAGCCTTGGCAGATGTCTAGCCATCACGGAACCACTTGGTGCACCAGAAAACAACAAAAAAAAATTTGCTTAAATTTCTCTTTGCCCTGCTGTTTCAAACATTCGCGCAGTGGGCTCGACTTTATCGATATTGCAGCGACTGCATTGCACTGTGCAGTCGCTAAATGGGATCGCATAGCGTTATACCCTGCCTCCTGATCCATTGTGCAAAAAATCTGAAGACTTTCCGGATGCTGCAGTGTCACAGTAAAGCGTTTTAGATAAGTGTGATGGTCAAAAAAGCGGTCAAAAGTCTTCGCCGAATACACTGCATTCCGCGTCGGCGAAGAAAAAAATCTTTTTAGGCAAAAAACCGCCCATAACCTTCTTTCTACTGCAAAAAAAATTTTTTGGATATCATGGCTGAGCGCCGAGAAATCGACGATTGCTTTCCGGGGAATTTCTTGAAACACCCTGTATACAGTACCAAGCGCTAAGAACATGTTGTTTGAGCAGTACTGGGCACCAAACCAACAGCATTAACATTTGAATGCATAATTTTTAATCGCACTATCCAGCCTGGGGACAAAAACGTCCTGGGGACAAAACCGGTGTGGAGACAAAAAAATAAAAAAAGTGGGGACAAAAACGTCTTGGGGACAACACCGGTCTGGGGACAAAACCGGGCCCAATCTAGTATACTATAGAAGAATAATCAAGGTAAGAACGCGGCTGTATTTATATTTCATGACCTATTTTCTGTTCGTAGACCGCAACAAAAAAAAATTTTTGTTCATGGCTACTACATAAATATGACATAACACTGTAAAAATTTGGATTTTTTTGCCATTTTATTTGTTTTTATGGGTGTCGATTTATGGGCCATCAGGAATTTAAAAAGTGGAATCTGTTTTGCGCGTCACTGTATATTTTGACAGTAATCCTAATTTTTTATTCACGTGATATTTATTAGCCAGCATTACAACATTGTCCATATTACCCAAGAAATCCTCCGCTCCAAAACGGACTTTATTTTTAAATTGCTCATGTTAGAAAACCTTTTTGGATCATAGGCGAAACCCCTAAAAATGAATTGCAAAAAGTTTCAAAATTTTTACAGGTTATGTCGTATTTAGTCAGTACAATGTTCACTTTATCACCCGAGAATTCACCCATCCCGAAAATTCATCACCCGAGTATTCAGTTACCCACGCAAAGAGTCAGTCTGTCGGGAAAATAACGGCGGATCGTCGCACCTTGGAATCGCCCATTTACGACAGCTTGCCGCGGCTGGGGATTTGGTGCGCGACTGCACCCTTTCTAGCGAAACATTTTGCTGCGAGTTGAGCACTCAAAATAAAATATAAAAATTGTTTTTACAGGATGCCCTCCGGGTCGTTTTGGCAAGATGTGCATGCAAATTTGTGAATGTCAAAACAGCGGAGATTGTGACGCTGCCACTGGTAGATGCTTATGTCCCGAGGGCTTCTTCGGAGAAGACTGTAGTCAAATGTGCCCTAAGGGTTATTATGGCAACAATTGTGAAAAGACCTGTCAATGTGGAGACGGAGAGTGTGATCCCCTGGATGGAGAATGTCTATGCCCTCCGGGTTTCAGGGGAGAAGGTTGTGGGGAAAGTAAGTGCGTTTTCTTTCGTAAAATTGTCTTAGAATGTCCTCCAAATACCTTTGGAATTGGTTGCAAAGGTAAATGTGATTGTGAGAACAATTCGACTTGTGATCCGACCAGTGGATTATGTAGGTGCAAATCTGGCTGGAGGGGACCGAGGTGCGACCGGCCATGCCCTGATGGCTTTTATGGGGAACAATGTAAATCCACGTGCTCTTGCAGCGGAGATGGTACGTAATTTACTTTTACATGAAGCATTTCAAGGGAACCCATTATACGCTGGAAAATGTGATCCGATCACGGGCCAATGTGAATGTAATCCTGGCTGGACTGGGCCTGATTGCACCGTTCCCTGCCCTCCAAATTATTGGGGCCCTGGATGTAACCGAAAATGTAATTGTGAGAACAATGGGACTTGTGATCCCTTGAACGGATTCTGTGATTGTCCTTCTGGATTCATGGGAAAGAGATGTTCCAATGGTAATTCAATTTACTGTCAAATATCATAGCTTGATTTTCAGTATGCCCTGAGGGTATGTTCGGCCCCAATTGTGTCCAGCATTGTCTTTGTATGCACGATTCTGAATGCAATCCTCTGAATGGACAATGCAAATGCAAAGCCGGATGGACTGGTCCTGCTTGCGAGTTCTGTGAGTGTCTGTTGAATACAGTAACCTGTTTACTTTACAGTATGTCCCTTTGGAAAGTATGGGGAGAATTGTGAGCGGGAATGTAATTGTTTGAATGGTGCTAGTTGTGATCGGATCAATGGAACTTGCATCTGTTTGGTTGGATATAAGGGCGAAAGGTATGAGAATGCAAATATAAAACAACCTTTAGATGTCAAGAGAAATGTCCGGAGGGCTTTTTTGGAGAAGAATGCAAAGAGAAATGCGACTGTGAGAATGGGGCGAGCTGTGATCCAATAACTGGATATTGTAAATGCACCCCTGGATGGAGAGGAAAGAAATGTCACCGATGCAAGTCTGCTTTCTTCCTGTTCAATTTGCGAATCAAATTTTAGCATGCCCTAAGGGCTTTTTCGGAAAGAATTGTGCTCAGACCTGTCAGTGTCATAATGGGAAGCCTTGTCATCACATTACCGGCCAATGTCAATGCCCCTCTGGCTATTCGGGATTGGGATGCGCTCAATTATGCCCTAAGGGTTTCTATGGGCAAAATTGTAACTCCAAGTGTAAATGCCTTGAGAGTGAAGAGTGTGATCCCTTAACGGGCGATTGTTTCTGCCAAGCTGGTACCCAGGGTCCCAATTGTCGCGAAGGCTGTGTCCAAGGACAGTTTGGCCAGAATTGTGCCCACAAATGCCAATGCGAAAATGGGGGGATCTGTGATCCAGCCACTGGAAGTTGCGAATGCCCTGCCGGCTTTATCGGGTCCAGATGTGAATTGACTTGTGAAGCCGGAAGATTCGGCAAAGACTGTGCCAAAGTTTGTGATTGCCAGAATGGTGGTGTCTGTGATCGCTCTTCTGGAGTGTGCAGGTGTTCTCCTGGCTACACGGGACCCCATTGCACTCAGATATGCCCTCCGGGAAGATACGGTTCAAATTGTAAAGAGAAATGTCAATGTGCAAATCATGCAACCTGTGAGCCGACGACGGGGGAATGCAGATGCCCATTGGGATTCACTGGCCCTGCTTGTCAGCAGTCATGTCCTAGTGGAAAGTATGGTGTTAATTGTACATTGGACTGCGAATGTCAAGGCGAAGCAACTTGTGACCCTGTTCAGGGATGCTGCAATTGCCCTCCGGGAAGATATGGAACCAGATGTCAATTTAGTAGGTTCTAAATTGCTTCTTTGAAATTATATTCTGCTACAAAAAGTATTCCTGTAATATCTATTTCAGCGTGTCCTCAAGGCTTTTACGGATGGTATTGCAGTAAAGTTTGTGATTGTAAGAATGGCGCGACCTGTGATCCGAACGATGGCCAATGCTTATGTCAGCCTGGTTTCACGGGAGACAAGGTAGTTTGATCTATAATATACGTTGTAATACAACAATTTAGTGTGAAAAACTATGCGAATTTAATCATTATGGTCCCCGTTGTTCCCTGAAATGCGATTGTGGAGAACATGGTTGTGATCCCATCACTGGAGTCTGTGAATGCCCTCCGGGGAAGCATGGAATCAAGTGTGAACAATGTAAGTTAATATAATACAGACCTAATTACGTTACAGCTTGCCGTCATGGTCGATTCGGAAAGAATTGTGAACAGAAATGTGAATGTTACAACGGAGCCAGATGTCATAAAGAAACTGGGGCTTGTAAATGTGCACCTGGGTACCTAGGACCCACTTGTCAGTTAGAACACACTGGTAGGCCTTCTAATATTTCTATAAAATCAATATTAATTTAGATCCTGAGAGTGTTGCGAAACGAGGAGATCTCCCTGACTACGACTTCTGAGTCTGATTCTGACGCCTTCTTGCCAATCCGCGTGATCTTTCCGTGAAACTCACTTACTTTATATTTAATTCCTATATTGTTAATTCCCGAGTTTTGAGCAATAAATTTAAATATGATGAGAATTATTGGTGATATCAATCAAAAAATTTTTAAAACTCAGAATTATGAACTTATTTTCTATGACATTTTATCAGGATAAATCTCAATAAGTTATTCAGGAGATTTTTGTCGTGACCGTTTTGGAGATGGTGCACCAGAAGTCTCTTCCGAAGGCTCTACACTTCCCGTATGACTTCTGGTTAGCTCCTCAGGGCATGGAGTTGAACTAAACCAAATAATCAATATGATTCTTCTTACCATTCAGACCGATTGGAGAGTCCACTTTGAGGAGTGGTCGACCTTTCTCCTCTGGCCTTCCGTTCTTCTGGCCTCATGAACCTCAATCCCGGAAATCCTGCATTTCTGACGGCACTTCTGGCCAAAGCGAACAGTCGATCTCTCATGGTTAACATCGGAGGTCGTCGAAGACAGATCTGAGAAGCCGCTTCGTTAATCAAAACTTCGTGGAACGTCAGGGCTTTCTCCGGATTTCTTTTAGAGCTCCCGTAGATGGCTGAATATTTTCTGAATTCGGGTTCTCGGGTTGGATCTGATTCTGGGATTTTCATAACTTCCATTAATCGGCGATGTCTGAAGAATAAGGTCGTGGTGAGAGCAATGTATAACGCTTACTTCTGGACTTGTCTTTTGCTTTGCTTCGGGCCAAGTTCTGGTTCGAATCTGAGCACTTCATCCACATGTCTTCTGATTTTATTGATGTCGTCTTCTGTTAAGATGGGAGTATCACTTAATCTCCAAGGCTCACTTCCAACTGATAATCGACTAGTACTTGGCTGAGGTTCTGCTTTCACTAACGATTGGATTGGCTTGATCTGACTAGAAGGAGATGGAGGACGAGGGGAAATTGCTTTGGAAGTGGAAGGTAATTGAGATGGAGAAGGTACGAAAGACAAAGAAGGCGATTGAATCACAGATCGAGGAAGCGAGATCTTGGCACTGGAAGAAGGTTCTTTAAGGGAGGCAGTGAGATAAGGAGTAATGTTGAAGGAACTGAGATCTGGTGGTAACGAGGAGGGATTGAGGTATTGGAAAGCGGTGTAGAACGTCTCTGGAGTGGAGAGAAGAGTCGGAGGGATGGGTGGGAACCCGATCAAAGGTATCTGCTCGTTTAAAAATCGAAGCCGATCTGCCGAGAATTCCTGAAAAAGATGACATAAATCATTGTCTTACAGTACTGTTAACAACATACCGCTAATGTTTTCTGGAATCTCCGCACATGCAATGGCTTCTCGGCCATCCCAACTAGACTCATTATCTCCAAGAATTCGTTCTCATCACTTGCCATTATTTGATCAATGTCATCGCCCCCGAGGGAGATAAAAGTATCATAATATTGGACTAGCTTTGCCTTGAATAATATTGCTTGAAGTTGCCATTCTGACAGATTGGTCGGACTTCTCATCCCTGTCAGTCTGAAAAGGTAATACAATTAACTTTGCTGGTTCATTCCAATCGATAAATTCTGACGTATTTTACCTTTGTATGGGATTTTCCGTTGATCCAATAGAAGAGGAGGGTGGTGGTAAGGGCGGCCGACCTTCCCCACCCTCAGGATCGGTCGATTTGGAGGTCGACGGGTTGTCCATGAGATCACTGAAACCAGTATTAGATATGACTTTATTTAACATCACATCGTTCCAAAATCCTCCCTTCTACCAGCCCCCCTCCCACTTTATCCAAAAAATAAAACTTAAAAGAAACTTGGAAGTAATTGTGAAAGACCAGAAGACTTTTTGTACGAACGGGATCAGTAGATAAAAACTGGAAGAGGACAGAAAGTGGTGGTCTTTCAATCAAAACTCCATGTACAGAAAAACTGTCAAAAAAAGTGCCAGAGGGGAAAAGTGGAAGAACGGGAACAGGTTGTTAAAAAAGACTGATAGAAGAAGGCTATTAATTAATAAGCCCTTCAGATTTAATAAGCCCTCTCGATTGTAAAAAAAGTTGAAAACGACCAAAGGATTACGGTAGTTTTATGATGACACATATTACCGTATCCCATCCCTCAACATAAAGGACACGTCATCTTGATGATGACATAATAGACCCCCTTTCCCTCTGATGACTATAAAACTTGCACTCTTCCCCAAAAAACGAGACATTCCTTACCTTGACCACTGCGACTGTGTGTAAGGTCATGCTGGGAGAGTGGACGTTCGGCTTTTTTCGACGGCTGCATACTATACTCTCGCGGATGCACTTCTGGACGAAGAACTCCGCGCATAAAAACGAAAACGGGGCGGGGTTTTTCTCGCTGGGCCGTTTTTTTGGCTGGATTGGGGCGTTTTTTGCGAGCACGGCGCGCCGGAACGGCTCCGGCTCCCGTACCTTGCCCCAGCAGGCACTCCAAAAAACTCTCGCATATATAAAAAATCAGCGCGCGTCAAGACCGAGGTCCCCGGCCCCCCAAAAAACAGCTCGGGGCGCTTGGCAGTGCTGGCTGGAGCGAGTGGGGGGCGGTCCCGGCGGCCGGCTCTCGCTCTTTTTTTTGTTTCACGTTTATAAAAAATGACCAACACATAAAAAATTTCCCTTTCCCGCACTCCAAAAGGTCCGGAAGTTCGCCCATTTGCAGGGTATTAACCACCGACCATGGTCATTCCATCAAGGTGACAAAAAAGGGATGAAAAACAGCAATTTGGGACTTTAATAGGAGTCAAGTGACCAAGGGAGATGCACTTTCTGTATAATTCGTGGTCATCCGAACATACAATTTATTAAAATAGCCTAAACAACAAAGGAAGGAACTTTGAAGATCACTTCTTTAATTTGGCCACAAATTCTTTCATTTTCTTGAATGCCAGATTGTTTTGTACTTCTTCTGGGGGCTCTTTTTTGTCTGGAATTGTAACAACAAAGGTTTTCCAATAGTAATAATGGTATCTAAACTCACTTGACAGGTAATAAAACAGATCCCATTCCATGATATCCCCGTTGATTAAGGTGTCATAATTCTCGAGTTCAACTTGTGACAGATTTTTGAGTTCCTTTTCAGCAAATCCACCTATTAGAATGTCATTCTCCAAGATTCCCCTCTTCTTGCTTTGATAATACAACCTCGCTCGGAACGTCTCCAAAGGAGATTTTTGGCTAACTTCAGTTGATAGTAGCCTGAAACTGGGTCCGACCACCAAACGAAACAGTCTGTTCATCTAAACAAACAATAACGATTAGCTTGATTAAAGTTAAGTAACAATAGCTTGTAAAAACATTTTCTAAAACCTTTCAACTTCAGAACATCTATTTATTGCAACTCTGTTTAATATGAAATTATAATGACCCGTTACTTAATGACGTAAAACTTCTGGCACTGATTGATTAGCTGATCTGTTGAGATGATAACCTTGTTGATATTAACGACAAACGAAAGGCAAGTACATACAAAAGGCCGCACTGAAGACGATAAAAAGAATGATTACTGTGATGATCCCACAGATCAAAATGCCAAATTTGAGCTGAAATTAAACGTGTTGGTAAACAATGAAATTGAGTATAAAGACAGTAACACTACATTACCATCATGTTCCTCCGCTGAGCTTGTTGCGCTTGATTCACATTGGATAAAGCTTTCTTTGAGTAATCCGTAGCATATTGGACATTCTGATCGATTCTGTCAAGAATCTCACCCTATAACACACGTCGTACAGAAGAATCTATTAACAGCCCACCTGACTTTCAACCAGCATTGCCATATCCTGGAAGATTTCGTGCAATTCCCTGATAGACGCCTCTAATTTTATTATGTCGTCATGCCTCGACTTCACATCTTCATACAAGGCCTTCTTCTCCCTGTCACCCATCAAAAGGGATACTGTATTGAAGAGTTCACCCTTCTCAATCGCCTGATCTACCTGATCTTCATCCAGCTGGACTCCAGCTAAAGATACCATAAATATCCAGTTAACAAGACTTACAGATCCTTAAAAACTTTGCAATCGTCTTCTCGCATTGTGATTTATAATGCAGTTGTTCTTCGTTAAAATCATTAAGCAGATTGTGAAAGGCTCTCGTCAAGGTTCTGCTCTGATCCTTCTTTATTCGTGATGACGCATCATTCTGATTCCCAATTCTTTTCACTTCTTCAGCCAGACCACTTAAAAAACCGGACACACTCTTTGTCAAAGCTTTGAAATTAGAGACAACTTCATTCATCTCTGCATTATATTCTAAACAGATGAAAATCCATCATATATGTTAGCCTTACTTGGATCACTTGCTGGAGATATCAAGATCGTCCGATGAATCTCAGCCAATTGTTTCAACAAGGCTTCCATCTCGTCTAATTTTGATCGTATATTCTCGATATTGGCCAGAAACTAAAATCATAAAATTAAATTAACCTCTCCTACCGTATCCATATCACTCCAGGCTTCTTGATCCAGCAAGGCGTCTGAAACGACGGGAAACCCATCTTCTAGACGGACTGAGGTGCCATTGAATATTACGCTAGAGCTCTTACCGCGGCTTTGGGAGGACAAACGCTAAAATTAGAAAATAACGTACCTCAAAATAATATGAAAAAACTAGTGATATTACCTGTAATTCGGCCAGTCGATCTTTCACCATTCCACCCTCCTCCCATCAGTTTCGTTTCGTTGATCGGACCACAAAAAAAAATATTTTTCTTTATTGTAATGCGGAACTGACACAATTGATTTTTGTTGCGAAGTGTCACATTAGGAATATCTCGAAAAAATTCGAAGAAATTTTCTTTATTCTCTGAGCTTCTGTCCTGGACCTTACAGATGGAGTGAACATAATGCTATATCTCGCTAGTGTTTTATTATGTTTTGGTCGGGTTTGAGAATTTATACTTTTACTTGATTAATTTAATTATTTTAGGTTTATCGTACAGAGAAATGGCAAGTGCAGGTGAATCTATTCTTGCGTTGAAAGGGGAAAGAACTTCCGGGAACTCGATCCGTAGTCAAAATGGTAAGTAGTTGTTTTAATAGTTATGATTTTTGTATTATAATTTTAGTTATGGCTGCCGCGACCATCGCTAATGTTGTAAAGACCTCATTGGGCCCTGTCGGTTTAGATAAAATGCTTGTTGATGATGTCGGAGATGTTACCGTTACCAATGATGGAGCCACTATCCTCAAAATGTTGGAGGTTGAGCATCCAGCGGGAAAGATCTTGGTTGAATTAGCGCAGCTTCAAGATGAGGAAGTTGGAGATGGAACCACTTCCGTTGTTATTGTCGCCGCCGAACTCTTGAAAGCTGCGGATGAATTGGTCAAGCAGAAGTTACATCCAACAACTGTAATCAATGGCTACAGATTGGCTTGTAAGGAGGCCGTGAGGTATATGACTGAGAATCTCTCGTTCACCGTTGAAGAATTGGATAGGAACAATCTGATCAAGGCCGCCAAGACTTCAATGTCTTCTAAATTGATAGGATCGTAAGTTTTTCTTTTTCGTCTCTATTTGTTGTTTACATTTTTAGTGATGCTGACTTTTTTGCCAATCTCTGCGTGGAAGCAGCTCAATTGGTTAAAGTTGTGGAGCCTTCAGGCAAGAGCATTTATCCAATCTCTGCTGTTAATGTCCTCAAAGCACATGGAAAGTCATCTCGTGAAACTCAACTCATCAAGGGATATGCTCTAAATTGCACAAGGGCCAGTGACGGTTGGTTTATCCCATTTTTATTACTTTTCATTTTTTCTTTATTGTGTAGCTATGCCTCGACGACTTGAGAACCCAAAAATTGCGTGTTTGGATTTCTCCCTCCAGAAAGCTAAGATGCATCTCGGGGTTTCTGTTGTTGTTGAAGATCCCGAAAAATTGGAGGCAATCAGAAGAGAGTAGGTGTTATAATTGATTGTTGTAATATTATTCTAGGGAGATGGATATCACCAAACGAAGAATTGAGAAGATTCTGAAGGCTGGAGCTAATGTTATCCTGACTACTGGTGGCATCGATGATTTGTGCCTAAAACAGTTTGTTGAAGCCGGGGCCATGGCTGTCAGAAGGTGCCGAAAGATTGATCTGAAAAGAATTGCCAAAGCATGCGGAGGTAAGGATTTTTATTGCGGTCCTTTGTTACTTATTTTAAGTTGGTTTATGATTGTTTGAATTTTAGCTACTCTCACCGCGTCTTTGGCAACTCTGGAAGGAGATGAACAGTTCGAATCGGCGTGGCTCGGATCAGCTGACGAGATTGTTCAAGAAAGAATCTCTGACAACGAACTTATCCTCATCAAGAACACCAAAGCCAGAACCTCAGCTTCAATCATCTTGAGGGGAGCCAACGATGTGATGTTGGATGAAATGGAACGCTCTCTCCATGATGCACTTTGTGTTGTCAAGAGAGTTCTGGAGAGCAAGAAGTTGGTGGTTGGAGGTGGGGCTGTCGAAGCTGCTCTCAATGTTTATCTGGAGAACTTTGCCACAACTTTGGTAATCCTTAGTTTTTAGAAAGATAAATGTTTCATTCATTTCAGGCTAGCCGGGAGCAATTAGCCGTTGGAGAATTCGCAAATGCTCTCCTTGTTATCCCCAAGACCTTGGCCTCGAATGCGGCCAAGGACGCCACACAATTGGTTGCCAAGCTCCGAGCTTTCCACAACAAATCCCAACAAGACAAGAACATGGTCCATCTGAAGTGGGCGGGACTTGATCTGGAGAATGGAGAGATCCTCGATAACAAAGAGGCCGGAGTTTTCGAACCTCTGATCAGCAAAGTGAAGAGTTTGAAGTTCGCCACCGAAGCTGCAATCACTATCCTCCGTATCGATGATCTGATCAAGTTGGAGAAGGAACAGCCAAGGTCTCATGGCGATGAATGCGATGCCTAAGCCCTCTCTGATGATATCTCCACGTTTGTTGCTAAATGATTTCAGTCCATACAACCGCTCGTTCTCAACCCTTTTACATTCTGTAATGTTTTTGTTGTGCTTGTCTAATTTGGATAAATGATGCTTTATGGCCTCAAGAAATGACACAATTGTTGTTATCGGTGGGTTTGGGGGTCTGTAAATGCTTCAGGATATTCTCCTGAGATTCCACCTTCTTCACCAGCTTCACATACTCCTCTTCTTTGGTCTTCAACTTGATCTTCAAGTTCTCCGACAATTTTTTCCTTTGCTCCAGATGCTTCAGAAGGATCTCCTTCAGCTTCTGAGCCGTTATAATGTTGTTGTTTATCTTCTCAATGTCATCCTTGAGCATGGCGTTTAACCCGATCAGCTCTTTGACTCTTTCTTCTCCAGTTCTTGAGCTCTGTTCGAGAACACTGCTCAGAGAAGCTGTTTCTTGGGTCTAGAAGAAGTTAAGGAATTATTCCAAAGAACTTACATTTCCGGAATCCATATTGTTCGTATTCTCGATGTTCATCAAGGTCGTGCTCAACTCTAAAGGCACGATCTGAAGCTCCTTCTGAAGACGGGCCGACTTCCATACCTGCTTCATTTCGGCCTCGGACTGAACCTGAATCGCCTGGACGATGAGCCGATGGTGGGGATTGAAACGATTGCCGACCAATTCAATGACCACCTGTAATCTTTTTGTATTCTGGCAACAACTTACATTTTGAAAGGGCTTGTCTTTGCTCAGAAGACCCGAGTTGGGATTCACGATGTATCTCGTCGGAGCATTCGTGCGGATCCTGAAGGCAACGAGGACGTTGTTGGGAACAGTCGGAGATCTGGTGATGAGAAGTTCTTGTTTGGCATCACAAGGTTGTTCCACATCGAAGCAAACGTAGGTCTGAAAGAGGGGTGGACATCAGACTCTGATGATCTACCTGGTCCAAAGAAATCAGTACTGGATGGGAGGACAGATCGCCTTCTTTATCGCTGAGACGGCGCGTTTCGCTTTTGCTTGTCATTCTCTCTGATCTGGCCCCACCGATCTTCGTCGATTTGTTTTTCAAATTACCTTCTTTTGTCCATTTCGTTATTAATTTTTCATTTTGGGAATTCATTTTTCATTTCCTTTCCGCACCTGAGGGCATAATCCGTGTTCAGCACCCGAGGGCCGACTCCGAAAGCCGCCATTGCGTTAGCAGATTGGCGCGGATCGGCGCCCTTTCTGGCGCTGCGTTGCTAGGCAACTGCCCCAATTGTTGCGCAGTATTTAAATTGTTTATTCGGAATGTAACTTGTGGGGAATGGTTTCGTGTGAGGGGAGAAGGGGAGATGTGTTTGTTCTTCCATCTTTTCGATCGTTTCCTCTCTTCCAAGCTCTTTTTTCGATCCGTACAGGCCCTTAGGGCGTCACAGTGAAGATGTTATCATTATTACCCTTTGGGGACGGGTGGTCGCTTCTTCCGTTTCCTGTAATCAGCGACGTTAGCATGCTCTCTCTGGGATTCTCATATTTGAAATTATTCGATGATTTGAATTTGTAAACCCTGAGGGCAGAAAGCGATAGTTTTCCCATTAGTCATCGCTGTATGGTCCACGGGTAACAAAGAGAGAAAAGGGGTCTCTCAGTCCGTATATTCCCCTTGGACTATGTAACTTTCCTTACCTGCAGCATTGAGTTCAGACTGGTTCGACTGGAATCACTGCCTTGTAGTTTGTTGTTGCCCTCAGAATGTTTTTGTTTTGGCCGAGTACAAGGCAAGAGTCTAATGAGGTAATTGATGAGACGGGGTCTGTTTTGCTCTCTGATCCGTCGTCTTTCCACCGATTTATCGTCGAGATACTGAGCTCTTTGATTGGCGTACTCCTCCAGCCATGAAGCGCGTCTGTAGAAGGCCACATCTGAGGGAACATTGCTTTCGGAGAACAGGGAAGACCAGAGGCTCGACCTGACAGATCCCTGAAACAGTTGAAAGTGATCAGAGAGTCAATAAAAGTGATAAATCAAGATTAATCTTGGGTTGTATGTAGTGCATTTAGATGTCTAAAAAGAGAGTTCTGACAAATCACAACCCGAATTCAACAATTTTGGAAAGAATTTGAGCTAGGAAATGTCGAGTTGAGGTGAAAAAGCACATGGTCTTTTATTCCTCACGTATCTCCCTTCAGATTTGCGACATTCGTTAGTCTTGTAAGAGTCTCAAAGGATTTAATTTCTGCTTACCCGGCTGCTGGTACTCTTGTACATCTCGGATCCGAATGCCGAATCATTTGTGCGCAATTTCATAACAAAATAAAGGAACCGAAATGTGATCTTGGAGACGCTGAGGATTTGTTATTCTGAATGAACCAGTGGAAAGAATGGCTGACAAGATGAGATGACAGTTGTCATACTCATCATCCACCCCCCTTCCTGGATTTCTTGGGAAGAGCCAATTTGTATTTGCATAAAGGTGAATCATGCTTGGTTGCTCTTTTTCCTCTCTTTCTGACCCTCCGGCGGTTCTTTGTTTGTCCTCTTCGGGCAGCGAAAGGGTTAGCAACGGTCAGTCGCGAGTCTCCGCTCTCGAGAAAAGGTAATTTGAATATTTCGAATACATTTCCAATTCCGCCTTTTGTCCTACGAGCTTCCTTTCCTCCTCTTATTAAAGCCTTATTTTGCGGCTGCTATTGTTATATTACGATAAATTCGCTATAATTTATTTATTCCCTGAATATGATACTACTTTTACTATTACTTTGTTAGCTGCCTCTAACTGGAAATGTGAGCAAAAGCAAGGCTGGTGATCGATTGAATATAATGTCCTGCAATCCATGTTGCGGATGGCGACTCAAAGAAGCCACCGCTACAATCGGGATCTGGTCATGTGTAAGTTGAAAAAAGAGCTTCTTGATGCCCCAAAGAGAGCGGTCTGCGGGTATTCTACCCTATCAGTGTTGCAGTACTTTTTATCAAATATTTCTCGCAACGTTTGTCCAAAATCAGTCCTTTGTGTCCAATACCACTCCACTTTTGTTGTACTTACATCACTTTTTGCACAGCTCTATTCGTTGGCCGCCTTAGGGCTGTTTGCCTGGCAATGGGGTGTCCTCAGTCAATGTCAGCATGTCACGATGGCGCAGTCCAATCTCCAGTGCGAATATTACTGTCCTTGTGTGGGGGCGAGCACGGCCAGGACCTCAGCTATAATCGAAGGTAAAGTCGCCGCAAAACCATCCATTTTTACCCGCACTCCGTATCTCTCTGGGGCCAGGAATCGTATAGTTTATACACGTTTATATACGTTGAGTTCGGCGATAGTTTAGTTACTATTTGAGTTGCTTTTCTTTTGTGTTGAAGCGTAAAATTGTAGATTTACAATGTATTCATGTTGTCCTTGATGGGCTGGCAGATGGCGGCTATAAAATACGAAAAAGATCGTGCCGCCAACACTCTGCTGCCCAATTACAATACGTATGGGCGGTACGACATTCCCTCTTACTACGAAAGTTATTGGCAATCACCCGAAGAGAGATATTACACAGGTAAAAATGAAATTATTTAGAATTAAATACGGAGTGCGGGGAATCGTTGCGTTAATTTAAGAGGAATTATTACGTAACGATGATGATTTTAGGTCTTTTTGTGGTGCAGATCCTGTGTTTGATTACCTCATTGTTCCATTTATTCGCATCTTTGGGTCTTATTTATGGAGTTCATACGGTAAGCGTTAAATATTTTTTTAAATAGGAAACGCCCTGCTTTATGTACAGGGCGTTTCAAGAAATATTCCGGAAAGTTTTTACAAATATGTTTTTGCTGGAACTGGGACGATTGGGGAAACCGAAAAGTACAGGGTGGTTCAGCCGAAGCTCCCATCCTTATTTCAAGTATTTCTCCGCCGATAATACACCAATTTTTATAAAATTTATATCAGATTGAAGCTGAGGTTCCCCATTTTTTGTCCACCAAATATGACAGGCCCAAGTTCAAGGATACCCCCGTACTGATCTTTGACATTTTCATTCCAAGTTTTGGAGCCCGAAATCGGTGAAACTTACAGGGGAAGTACTCCAAGTGTGACGCTCAGATTTTGATGAAACTTGGCATAAATTTAGAATAATTTTTTCTAAGATATATGCGAGAATCCTAGCTCGCGCTTTGCAGAAACAACCGAGATTTTTAGATCGAAAGTCGGCGAAAATTTAGGACTTTTTGCCGAATTTCAGCACGAAAAGTTTCATGCCTATTTCAACTGTAAAGTGTAATGTTTCCACAAAAAATCAAATTTTTCCGCACGAAACTGCCAAAGTTATGGCCAAAAAACGGTTTTCTCTCTGACCGCTCTCCACGTTGAGCGTGCTCTCTCGGCGGCAAAAATCGTTCGATATCTCGGCGGCGCCCGCAAAGCGCGAGTTAAAACTTTCAGGAATTGATATAGTCCATACCCGATGTGTGTGCAAAATTTAAAGAAAATCTGAGCGTCACACTTCAAGTACTTCCCTTGTTAGAAAATTTTTGGAATGATTTTCAATTGAATTTCTTGGACTTGGAAAATTTTTGGATTTCCGGTAAAAACAAAGTCGCAAATTCGATGAAAATTTTTAAAAAAAGTAAGGTTCACATAAGTAGCAAGTGCCTAAAAAAGCATATTTCAATCCGGCGAGGCACCAAATCGAACGATTGAAAACGAAAGCTCTTTTCTCGGGCAATTCAGGCCTTACAACTCGTTATTTATCTTCAGGGTGGATTTCGTCATCCACATAGACAGTCTCTCCCATTTGTTCGTATTTTTTAAAATTTCGATTAACAAAGCCTGTTACCCCAGAACACAAGAGCAATGCCTTCAAGATTAATTAGGAGTATTCCGTTGACTGCGGTCAATTTTTTCAGCAACTTCTGAATGTCATATTTAGCCAAAGACTCGAATATTTTCCAAGTACGAGAACTTAATTGAAAATCATTGCAAAAATTTTCTAAGTTTCACCGATTTCGGGCTCTAAAATTTGGAATGAAAATGTCAAGGATCAGTACGGGAGCCTCCATGAACTTAGGCCTGTCATATTTCGTGGACGAAAAATGGGGAACCTCAGCTTCAATTTGATATAAATTTTATAAAAATTGGTGCAGTATTGGCGGAGAAATAATTGAAATAAGGATGGAAGCTTCGGCTGAACCACCCTGTATTATTTTTCTTCCATGCAAATGTCGAAAATAGGATAATCGAGGGTGCTGATTTCGAAAATGACTTTCATTTTTTGATTGTTACTTTTTTCCTTACTTACAGGGGAAGTACTTCAAGTGTGACGCTCAGATTTTCTTTAAATTTTGCACACACATCGGGCATGGACTAAATATCAATTCCTGAAAGTTTTAGCTCGCGCTTCGCGGGCGCCGCCGAGATATCGAACGATTTTTGCCGCCGAGAGAGCACGCTAAACGTGGAGAGCGGTCAGAGAGAAAAGCGCTTTTTGGCCATAACTTTGGCAGTTTCGTGCGGACAAATTTGATTTTTTGTAGAAACATTATCCTTTACAGTTGAAATAGCCATGAAACTTTTCGTGCCGAAATTCGGCAAAAAGTCTTAAATTTTCGCCGACTTTTGATCTAAAAATCTCGGTTGTTTCTGTAAAGCGCGAGCTAGGATTCTCGCATATATCTTAGAAAAAATTATTCTAAATTTATGCCAAGTTTCATCAAAATCTGAGCGTCACACTTCAAGTACTTCCCTTGTTAGGTAGTATTACGCTTTTTCAAAAGTGCAGACACATTTTGTCGTGGGCCGCACCGTGCACAAAACTCCCTTTTGCGGGGTGCATTTCGACCTTTTGCACTGTGCAACCGGATATCGCTGCGACGCAAGCTTTTCTCAACGGAGCCGGCGCGAATTTTTTGAAATTGCACAGTGCAAAATGTTTCGAATCGGATCGCGTCGCGCGGGGAACACGAAACTTGCACTGTGCGGTGCAAAAAAGGCCGGAAAATGTGTCTGCACTTTTGAAAAAGCGTAATACTGTTAGGTAGTAATTTTTTGAAAATTTTTGAAAAATACTGGATTTAGGGGTTTTCGAAGGTGCTGGTTTCGAAAATCATGTTATCCTTTCCTCTAGTACTATCTGATACTATGTAGTACAAGGTGTTGCCCTTAGTTGTGTTGTTCTGGTGCTATTACTCATATTTCTTTTTTCAGTGGTCTAGATACCTGGTGGTACCTTGGCTGATCACGACTTTGTGTGCCATCCTCACTTCTCTAGCATATTGCATTACATGGTGGGCCGGTGACGTCCGAGATTACTGGTTGGCCTTGACCATTATTGTATTCTTCACCATTCTGGTCAATGTAAGACAAAAAAAAATTATTTCAGAATGGCACTGTTATATTTACATACATACATACGTTCCGACATTTTTTTAGTGTTATTGTTTTACCGTGGTTTGGGTATTTTACAAACGAATGGATGAGGAACTGAAATACTACGAAGGGAAGAAGATGAATAAGTACAACAAGTTCACGTCCAATCAAGGGTACCCTTATGATCCGGATGAAAATGACTTTGCTGGTGGATATCCGGAGCCACAAACAGATCCGAGATGGCCCAATGATGAGGGATTTAACTACCGAAGGGACTTCCCGGACGAAAGGTTTGATAATATTCCTGGAGATCCACTGCAAGAAGGATTTGTGGATGACAGACCAAAAAGTGTTCCGGTAAGACTGATATGAATTAAAATTAACTTTTAATTCGAAGCCGTTCCATCCAACTGTTTACGATGACTTTGCTGACGTTCCTCGACAAGCCAGCAGACATTCCCACCGAAAACATTCGTGTCATTGTAATAGACATCACAAGAAACATCGCCGAAGACATCGAAGTTTGCATCATAAGGACGATCTGTGCTCTTCTTCCTGTTCTACTGAATATACGGGGACAGAGGAGACTGTTAGTACGCATCCTGCTGGGAGAAGGCATCATTCTCGGCATGATAGACACAGAAGAAGTCATTCCAGATGTCATCATCGAACTGTTTCTCCCAAATCGAGCAAAAGGTGTGTTTTTAATCGTATTTTGTGTAAATGAGACCCCGGGTCTTATGTAATTATGTTTCAGTGCCGTTGTCCAAGTAGATCCGGATGAGCTGAGTCGGGGAGACTCGAATGTCGGCACCTTACTGAGTGGCGGGGGAGGATTCACGATCCCACAACACATTGTAATACCTCCAGAAACTAATGCCGATCCCTCACAGCCGAGGAAGTACCAGATCAACTCGGAGATTACTATTTCGTATGACCCGAAACAACTGCCAGAACAAGCGGATGGGATGCCGTACGCCAGAAGCCCCAATGTAAGTTTATATTACAACGAGTAAACGAAAGACGGTGCAAGTAATCCCAATATGATTTCAGCCAATTTCCTTTACTTCGAACGTCTGAATCTCGTTTTCTGATCACTTAAATCACCCACCAATTCAGGGATTTTGTTTTAACTCCGGTTTTCTTTATTTATTCGCATGTAATGTGTAAATAAAAGTTGTGTAAGAAGGTCGGGACAGGATAAACATAACATAAACAATTGTTGGCCTAGGTCCGAGTGACGCCAGAGGCGGCCCAACTTATGATGGGCTCATTAATCATCACTCATCAGCCATGATCAATGACCGGCACGGCCGTGGCCACGCAGACGACGGCCGCGTTCCGCCGAAACCGCCCTTTGGGCTTGTGTGGCACCTGCGGAAAAAGGAAATCAGTACAAATCAAGTTTGGCCAGTTAGCAGAAGTAAGGCCCGACGGCCGAGCCTCCGACTTCTCCGTCCCCAAACCGCTCGCGGAACGGATGGCCAAAGAAAGACCGACGCCTTAATTTGCACGCAGAACTCAAAGTTAAAGTTATGGTGGGAAAATGAGCGGCGCTTCTTCGTCGTCGACTTGGCCTCGGGTTTAGGCAGGAAAGAGGTCGTTTTCCGCCAAAAATCTGACCTTTTTTGACGGATATTGGACTGGATGGGTCGGAGATCCAAATGGGCCAAGACGAAGAGATTCTCGGCCGTCTTTCTTCTTCTGGGATGTCCTCCACCTGTAAAAAACAGCTCCATGAGAGTTCATAGGTCAATAGTTTTTATTGTTATACTTGATTGTATTCCCTTATTTTTGTTTTTATGACGCTCCGCATGTCTTAATCCACGGAATGGCATTTCCCGCCGGTTATTTCATGTATGATCTATTTTTGTTTGACCTTTAATGAGTTTGATATCTCTCTGAAAAGTACTCCATCTGAATATGATTAATGCAGACAGCTGGGGATGATACTGCTGACCGGATGTTCCCCTCCGAGTCCGAGGATTTCATTCTCATCTCTCTTAGCCACGTTTATGATGACTATAACATTGATATGGTCATCCACGTTTTTTCCAAGCCCTGGCCAATCCGTTTCCGTGCTCTTTAACTGAGAATGACGCTGATTAAAAAGAGCCGGCTTACGTGATTGCCTGTGGACATTCCGGAACCGGGAGTTGCCCAGTTTCATGTCGCGTGTTCCCGGCCTAAAAAAGATTGCGGAACGGCCTGCTGGTCCTTATGGCGGCCGTCTTTGACAGAGCGGGCCTTATCTCCGGGGCCAGCTGTGTGAGTGTGATGCGGCCCCTCTATCAAAAAAGCTGCTGATCATATAAACTTCTTCCACTCTCCAGCCAGACACACCTGAACCGGCGGGGAAATGCCGGCTTTTTCTTTTGCTATAAGTTCAAGTAGGCTTGTGGATTAGCTCGGCCGAGAGTGGTTGTTCGGAGAGATCCGGGGCCAAGAAATGCGATGTTGTTGGATGACGTTTAGATTTTGATTAACGACGGTCATGCCACCCATCCCCGGTCATTATTTAGATTATTTTATTTTTGACATGCAAGATGATTGGGACCGGGAATGCTCTGAGGATCGTTTAATTACGGGCGGACGTTTGATTTGCGAGCTTAAACATCCAGACTTCCTTTCTTTCTTGTCTTTGTTTTGCTCGAAAAGAGTTGTCCCATGTCCAAATTGGCCGACACTTCCTCCATTTCCAGAATCCCTCCCTCATCTGATGCCCAACGAGTTCGTCGTGTTCAGCGTGAGTGGCTGAAACCCCCCAAACTCGCAGAGACCGCCGTTCCGCGTGGCCGTTCCCGGCGTGCCAGCCCGTCCATGTGGAGCAGCGAAGGATGAGTGGGCCCAATTCAGTCGACGCACATCCCTCCCCATCCAAAACCGGTTCCCCGAAGCCCTGCGGCAGATTCACTTATCCCCTTATCGTGTTGTTGATCCTGCTTCTCCTGTCCACCTTCGCCTTATTAGGATATCTGTTATGGGACAAGGCCTCCCAGCCGTCAGTCTGCATGACCCCGGGATGCATACACACGGGTGAGTGGATGTTGCACTTCTCGTTTATCCATAAACAAATCAATATTTGGTTTTATTTTATGAGCTTGGGCCTCGTAGACAATATCATAAAATCAAACTGCCAAATTCATCCCATTTTATTATATTTGTACGTTCTCTGTTCTATTTTTGACATTTCAGCATCAATTATTTTGAATTCCATGAATGCCACAGCAGATCCGTGTAATGATTTCTACGAATATGCGTGTGGAAATTGGATAAAACAACATCCGATCCCCGACGACGCTCCTTCAGTCTCAAACTTCGAGAATCTAGGGCAGGATCTGGAGCTGGCGTTGAAAGGTAAAAATGATAAAATGCGGAAAACAAACTAGAATGTAACTTAATGTCACACTTGTAACGAAATGTCACAAACATTATTTTAATTCTTATACGTCGGAAAATTCAGAAAACACATGGAGAGAGCATAATCCTGCATAAATTACCATCGCTCTCCCGCTTTTTTGGCTTATATTTTTTATTTGTTCTTTTAATCGCAGAATTGAACATTTAATTTTGGAATGCCCTTAGGGCGTTTTTTGTTTCTTCGATCTTTGTTATATTGTCTTTTGGTGCCAACGATTTTTAGTCTTTCTAGGATGAGATTTTAATTTTAAGTATAGAAAGAAAACCCTTTTTCAGAGCTACTGGAAGAAGAATATGACCCGAAAATCGACGGTGAAGCCGTTCGAAAAGCCAAAAAATTCTACAAAATGTGCCTTAATGAATGTAAGTTTCATGCATGACAAAAGACACACTTTTTGTTGTGTTTTATGCTAACGATAACTTTTACAGCCGAAATTACTAGTACATGGCGAGCGATGTTCGATGAAGTTCGTCGAGAATTTGGAGGCTGGCCTTCGCTGGAACCAGTGGGTGCTCCTCATTCCATAAGCATTGAAAGGCTTTACGGAATAATGGTTGCCAAGTTCAGAGCAGATTCCCTTTTCAAAGCCACTGTCCAACCAGATGACAAGAATTCGGAGAAACACGTTCTTCTGGTAATAATGGGCCCATGGATAACATAAGCTGGATTTAGATCGACCAACCAGCACTCAATCTGTTTGCTCGTGATTTCTACATGCTGTTGGAGACGGAGGATGAGAGATTGGCCTACAGGACTCTGGTCAGGGATGTCCTTGTGCTTCTGAATGCCGACTCTCAAATCGCGGAAAGAGATTCCATCGAGATCTTAAAATTTGAGACCGAATTGGCCAATGTGAGTCAAATTAGAATTAATTTCGGTATATTTAACAAGGGAACTTTCCTACTTTTAGACGGGGCATATCTCAAAAAATACGTAAAATAATGCTGATTAAAAGAACATGTAAAAAATTGCTGCCCAATTTCGGGTTTCAGGGTTGAAAAATCAACCGCAAGTTGACATAAATCCTACACCTCTCCACCCAATTTTTCACATGTTTAAAAATTTATTTACGCTTGAAATGACGTTTCTTGAGTCTAAGATGTAATAAATAGCTCTTGGCACAACAATTTGTTTTCCGGAGTCAGGACTTTTCGGTCCCCCCTCCTTCGGGGGGCGCCTTTTCGGTCGCCTTTCTTGTCTAGAGGCTTAACAGACAAGAAATCGCGGTTTCTGGCCCCGACCCCCGATTTGATGCGACCATCCTTATATTCTTGATCAGCGCAATTTTTCGGATCTTTTGTGATGCCCCGTCTAAAAGTAGTGAAGCCCATAAAAGTACTTTCCTTGCAAAGAAAGGTTCGCGAAAGACCCGAGCACCCCTTGGAACATTTTTACCAAGTTTGTCCTACAGAGCTAAATACCAAAACACTTTGTACACTAACAAAAAAAATTTTATATTAAGCTGGCTACACGAAAATTCAAATCCAATTCTTCAAAATTTTTAGATCCGCGCCAGACGACGTATTAGGATTGTGCGAAATAACTTATTTTGCTTAATATTCAATCCTTTTATTCCCTGAAAGGGCAAAAATTGCGGCAATCTAGATTTTTGAGCGGTAATTACAGAATGCTCCCGGTATCCTTGTCATGATTTTTATATTTTGATACTTTTGCGCGTCACCAAAAAGCTTAAAACACGATTTCTGACTCGGTGAATTAGCCGTGGACATAGGAAATTTTCGATTTTGAGATTTACAGCTGGATATGACCGAACCCATCATATAAGTGTGTTACTGAAGCCTTTTGCCCTAATTCTCCCGTTAACCTAGTTTTATTTACAATTTAAGCAATTTACAGTAACGTCAAATAACTCAAAATTGAGAAGATACAGAGCCGTAAAACTGTTACCATGTATGTTTTTGGGCACTGGGAATCCAACGGAGGTGGTTTTGGGTCGAAAGGATTACTGTAACATAGCAAACTTGCGCTTCGGCCGCATAAAATCGGCCGTAAAAAAGTTGTTTCTGAAAACCCACAGCTGAATTTTTGATATGTTGATCAGCATAAAATTCTGCCCTAGAAACATTAAAAAAAAGTCCAAAAATGCGGGGGGCTATTTTCGTGGTATAGTGGATTTTGACAAAATCTACCAATCTGACGGCCCGAGTTCGAGTCCGGGTGGACGCAAATCGCTTAGAATTGGTCGGGAATGACTTTAAAGGCGCGGATATGGAAGCTTGAGTTTATTTCAGGTGAGTTTGATAACATTCTGGCAATTTTCAGATTTTTTGATGGAAAAAAGGCGAAAATACAACTTTTTGACAAATCGTATTTTATACGGCTGTTTTGCGTTCATGACAGAATAAGAACTTATATGTAGTGTTTTTAAGGTGTTTCCAACAAGTAGAAATCATTTTCTGAGTATTTAGATATTACACTAGGTACCTGTTAATTTTGCCTCTTTCAGGCATCTGTAGTAACGAAATTTGGCTAATGACAACGTAATTCACTGTTTTACGGCCATACTTCACATGTTTTTCAGAAAATGGTTCATCATCGAAGTGATTTCGCTTTATAGAAAAATCGATGAAATGCGTAGAAAATTTCATTTTCAAACTAGATTTCTTGTGGTTACTCGTCAAATAATTTAAATTTTATGCCAGTTATAACCTTTGCAGACAATTTGTCAAGTCAGAGCGAAAAAAATTACAACCTGGAAGGTCCATGCACTGCTTGCTTATCAGATGTCAAGTACAATATTAAAAAAATTCTTTTTGACGGGTTTAATTGCCGAAAAACCCTTCAAACGATTAAATATAAGTTCTTATTCTGTCATGAACGCAAAACAGCCGTGTAAAATACGATTTGTCAAAAAGTTGTATTTTCACCTTTTTTCCATCAAAAAATCTGAAAATTGCCAGAATGTTATCAAACTCACCTGAAATAAACTCAAGCTTCCATATCCGCGCCTTTAAAGTCATTCCCGACCAATTCTAAGCGATTTGCGTCCACCCGGACTCGAACTCGGGCCGTCAGATTGGTAGATTTTGTCAAAATCCACTATACCACGAAAATAGCCCCCCGCATTTTTGGACTTTTTTTTAATGTTTCTAGGGCAGAATTTTATGCTGATCAACATATCAAAAATTCAGCTGTGGGTTTTCAGAAACAACTTTTTTACGGCCGATTTTATGCGGCCGAAGCGCAAGTTTGCTATGTTACAGTAATCCTTTCGACCCAAAACCACCTCCGTTGGATTCCCAGTGCCCAAAAACATACATGGTAACAGTTTTACGGCTCTGTATCTTCTCAATTTTGAGTTATTTGACGTTACTGTAAATTGCTTAAATTGTAAATAAAACTAGGTTAACGGGAGAATTAGGGCAAAAGGCTTCAGTAACACACTTATATGATGGGTTTGGTCATATTCAGCTGTAAATCTCAAAATCGAAAATTTCCTATGTCCCGGCCTTGCACACGGCTGATTCAGTGAGTCAGAAATCGTGTTTTAATTATGTCAAAAAAAATTAACTTTTTTAGCAGGTTTTCATGTTTGGGATGGACGGTACTCAAAGTAAACAGACCCAAAAGAATTTGAATCTTTTGGCGATTTAACAGTGAACCAACTATACCAAACAAAAATACGTTATATCCACAGCGCTTTCAAATAATCGCTAGTGGGGAAGATTGTTGTTCTGGCCAGATCTGAAAATTTTGTAGAATTTGAAGCGATTTGAATTTTCGGCACCGTGACATCTCCGAAATTTGGACACTTCCGGAAGCGGGAAAAAACAAAAGATATGGCTTATGTTAGAATTACCGCCTGAATGGATTTATTGTTATTAATCACCTTTCGTTTTTTCTGTGTGTTACTCTTTTTCTTAAGCTCAGTAGTAATTTTAAAATTTTTTTTACAAATACTCGATGTAGGTTCTCGATGGTGCTGATTTCGAAAATCGTGTTCATTTTTTCTGAAATTTACGTTTTTTCTTAAGAGCTGACAATACCTTGGTTTGCAGATCACAGTGGCGGAAGATCAACGTCATGATATTTCCGAGTTGTATACGAAATGGACGATCGGAGAGATGAGAACTCAGTTCAGGAATTTTGATTGGCTCCTCTTCTTCAATACAATCTTCGAGAATATCACCGACAAGTATAACCGAACCATCAGATTCGAGGAGAGCACTGAAGTTGTCATTTATGGAGTCGATTTTGTTCATCGATTCGACAAATTACTTCCACAATTTGAAACTCGGTACGTTTTGAAAAAGATGACATACATATACATATATGTTATCATTGCTCTTGTTTTTAAGTGTAATTGTCAACTACTTGTCGTGGTGCTGGTTCTTCAAAGCGATGCTTCGAGATCTCCCAGATCCCTTTGCTCTGACCATGTTCAAGTTTTACAGAACTTTAAATCGTATGTTCCAGTTGTCTAAAATAATATCAAGCCTTCAGTAATGAGTGTTCAGAAACTCCGATGGCATGGTTGCGTCACCAGAATCAACAGTATCATGCCGATGGCCACTTCCAGCATCTATATTCGAAATCACTTTGATCATGAGGCTAAGACTCAAGTGGAGGAGATGATATCCTTGATCATGGAGGCATTTGTGGAGCTATTGGAAGAGGAGGATTGGCTGACCAAAGAGACCAAGGCGTTTGCCAAGGAGAAGGTGCACACAATGAACCAAAAAATCGGATATCCGGATTATTTGAATGACTCCAGGGCTGTCGATCTGGAATACAAAAGATATGTACTGTATTCGGGAGATTATTACCGGACCAAATTCCAATTCTACGAGATGTATCAAAAGGATATCTTGGAGAGGATACGAATGCCAGTGGACCGAGAACGATGGGTTGCTGGAGCCGCACTGGTTAACGCCTTCTACAGTCCTAATACAAACGAGATCAGTAGGTTCTGAAAGATGATTTAATTGGTTTTAGTCTTCCCTGCCGGCATCTTGCAACCAGTCTTTTATAACAAACACTTCCCAAGATCCATGAATTACGGAGGAATTGGAGTTGTAATTGGCCATGAAATCACTCACGGTATGCCTATGTTATTATCAATTCAACTGGATTATAGGGTTTGATGATCGAGGACGGTTATATGACAATCTTGGGAACATTCGGCAATGGTGGGACAATGCGACCATTGTTAAATTCGAAGAGAAAGCACAATGCATCGAAAATCAGGTAAGATTTGGACATGTTTAGATTTTAAACAGGCCTTAATTATTTTTTTGTTTATTGCAGTACTCAAATTACGTGTTGGAACAAATTTCGATGCGAATAAACGGCCGGAGCACAAAAGGAGAGAACATTGCTGACAATGGAGGTCTCAAGCAGGCATATCGAGCCTACAAAAAGTATGAACAGTACCATCCGATCCCCCAACAACTCCCTGGCGTCAATCTAACGCAAGATCAGCTCTTCTTCCTCAATTACGCCCAGGTATTTCTTTCTTTGCTTTGATCTATGGAAGACGTTATAAAATTAATTTCAAGTCATTAATTAAATCTTCAGATCTGGTGTGGAATAATGAATGACAAAGAGGCGATACGAAAACTGCGGACATCAGAGCACTCACCGGGCCCTATAAGGTAATTTGTTATAGTACGCCATCCTTACAGCGAAGGGCCTTTAATCACTTGACTCAAAGAAACACCGCCCTTATTGGCCCAATTCGGCAAATAATTTTGAATGATTTCAGAGTAAAGGGGCCCTTGTCGAATTCCCACGACTTTGCGACGGCCTACAACTGTCCGGTCGGCTCGGCGATGAATCCGTTGAAGAAGTGCCGAGTGTGGTGAAGGCGAAGATCCTCTAATGTTATTAATTAATTATTGGTCTCTTCTACTCATTTAATAGTTGCTTAGATTGTATTCCAGTAGTCATGCAGATTGTTGATGATCTAGATTCCTTTTTTTATATTGTTTATGTCATCATGGTATGTTCAGTCCATATTCCCTGTGTTATATGTAAGTAAGCTCTTCTCCAACAGAAATCAAAATCTAATTTGGTCTTTCTCTTTAACATTACGAACTAAATTTGTATTTTATCAACAAAAAATGAATGAGAAGACCAGAGGACATTGGTCGTTGGAACTCAGAATTTCCTTTTTTTTGTAATCTCTGTATTGTAATGTAAGTCTTTCTTCGATGATTCGGCGACGAAAAGATACTCTTTTTTTATTTTATTTTTTTTTGCTTCGAAATCGACATATTTCTTTTAGCCCGGAATCCCGATTATAATATTGTAATTGTAACAATTTGTTTGAGCAATAAAATCTGAAATCCCTATTGTTTTTCAAATACCTTTACGACAAAAAGAGAGCTCCGCCGAATCTGTACTTCCATCACTATTTTGCGTTGTTGTCCTTAAAATTCATTTTTCTCCATCCAAACCTGACGCCTCCACTTTACCGTAGCGGAAACCTGAAACCCTGAGGCACCCCACCCCCCTCATCAGTGGTAATTTGGCCATTCCTTTTCCTCCAGAATTGGGCTCATTTTTGTCGCGCAAAGGGACCGCGGATTCGGCGGAGGGCTTCGAAAAAATGGGGGATTTGCTGCCAGAAAGGGGGGGGGCGTTACTAATTTCTTGTTTTTGAGCTGTTAAAAGGATTTCTGGACACTTGTCTGGCCACTCCAGGTCCCGGTTCGGCTGTTCCAGAGGTCCACACTTCTCACATTCCCACAATGTCCGCCCGGATCGTTGCTTTTCTTCTATTTCTGATTTCCTTCTTGGGAATCAGTGCCGAGGTGAGTGGGAGGGTTACTGTATATCCGGATTTCAAGTCAATCAGTATCTTCTAGCACCTCGTCTACTGAATAATACTACCTGAAGATTAGTAATAGTTTAAGGTTATGTGAGCCTACCGTTAATTATCTGTGACTTTTAATGACGTCATAAAGTATTCGTCCGTAAAATTGCGCAATCTGAGACAACCCCTCTGGCAATATAGAAAATAATTAATTCAGAAGCTATCTGTTTACCGCCAGTTATCTTGCACTTGTCCTCCGTCTGTACATATAAGTCATAATTTATTCCACTTGGGTTATATTTCTGAAATAAGTGCAAGAATATCTTATTAGAAATAAGATGCTGACCATTCTACGCAGCTGTTTTAAATGTTCAAATTATTATATGAGCAACTTAGTTAATTGTAATCTAAGTCTCTTTTAATTGTAACTATGAAGAAAAATTTCAGAAACCCCGGATAACACCGTTGTATGGGATGCTGAGACCAGGTTCCCTGCGTTTCCACAGTCGCCAGTTGAGGTCGGAGAGTGTCCCCTTGGGGGCGGATCTCTCGGATCAATACCCCCCGCCCCCTCACATGATTCAGATCAAACGTGAGAAGCCGATGTTGATGGGTTATGGCTGGGAACAGTGCGAATTTAGTCCGATGAGTTGTCTGCTGCGACGACGACGCAATGCCTGAGGACAAGTTGTTTGTTCTCTGCCACCTCTCATCTCTCCTCACTCTCTCTCTCACTCTCACTTAGATGGTTGATCGGATCTCTTCAGACCCCAAGGGATTGATATTAAAAGACATGGTTTCAGATGTGTATGTATTATATATTCTAAAAATAAAACGACAAACAACTTGGAAGGCACTTAAATAGGCAGTATTGTAACAATCATGAGAAAGTAACCGGATTCGATGGCTCAGTCTTCGAAGGACGCCGTCGGAATTGAGAGCTGGATCGGGCAAGGGGAGACTCGTCCATGCCCTCAGAGCTGAGGATCTTCTTCTTGGAGGAGCGACGTTTTCTAGATGATAGACTGAAACTGATAGCATAAAAAGAATTCTTTAGCGGCGCAAAATAAGCAAGGCCAAGTACTTGCTTGTTACTTACCGTTTATCTCCGCTTCTTTTGGTGGGCTCCTTATTGTAAGGGACTTGATAGCAAGAACAAGAGCAAACAGATATGGTATCAGCATCGGCCGTCTTGGGCAGGGCCAGCCTCCTTCTTCTCGGGCTTGAATTCAAACTCTCATCCGATGAATTGGATAAACTTCCTGAGTATTTCCGCCGCCCATCTAGGCTTCGGATGCTTACCTAAAGTAATCGAATCATTTTTGCTAACAAAGTAAACCCAGTAATCGGATTTGTAGAAGCTGAACTCACAAATCCCCTTTCGGCCAGCTTCTGCTCCCTTTGATCTCTCTTTTCATCTTCTGTATTCAAAGTCAAAAACCGAAGAACTAGAAGATTCATGGCGGCAGAGATGACCGTCAACCCGGACACGATAAAAACCAGAGAAAATAAAACGTATTCTGGCTGATTCTGGAGAGCACCGTGCTTTTGGAGGGCGACAAAGTCTCCAAATCCTAAAATAAAAAGTTTTAGAACAGTCATCATTAATGAATACTTTGAGAATTCAATAAACCCACATACCAACAGTAACCAGACTAGTAAAACAATAGTAAATACTGTCGAAGTACGACCAGTTCTCGTATTTATGAAAGACCCAGGCCCCTGCGAAGATGATCATTAAGGACAAAGTCGTGCAGATCAAGATGAGGTCAATGTGGGTCACCTTTTGTTCCCTTCCAAAGCACTTCTTCATCTCCTTGAGAACTGAAGCCACGAATGTGTTCAGCCGTTCACCGATTGCTTGGAACATGACAAGTCCTAAAGGGATCCCGGCCAATGCATATAACATGCAGAAAGTTTTCCCTCCAACTGTCATCGGGGTCGAATGTCCATAGCCTTAAGAAGAGAAGACTGATAAAGCGTGAAGAACTAACCGATAGTAGTTATCACAGTCATCGCAAAGTAGAAGGCACCGCTGAACTTCCATTGATGTCCCGCTTTGTGAGGTATAGATTTGATGATGATGGATTCCAGGATATCATAGTCGGCCTTGCTGATGTTATACTTGTGAATCAGACGTTCTCTCGTCCTTTCCACTTGACTTCTCTAAATAAATCAAATTAGTTTGATATCCATTTGTTTTTATTAGAGTATTTTTCGCATTATAGTTTATTTTTTATGTACTGAGTTAGCCAAAAAAAAGATCCTCTGTCCTGTCGGAAGCCCCAAATACTTTACGATGTTATCCATTGTACTTACCAGTTTGAGTTCGTGTTCACTTTCGAGGGCATCGAAGACGGCCGCGCCGACCAGCAGATATGTTAAAGTGCAGACGATCAAAGACAGGGTCCGAACATTTTGACGTTTCATCCCCCCAGGTCATCTGGGAATCATGCACCTCGAATGTTCGCCGAAAGCTGAAAAAAACAAAGAAATCGAATTAGTGTGAGGCCGTTTAAAGACCGGCCAAGTTCCCGAAACAGAGACAAAAAATAACCGAATTTGGGGCCGTTTCAATGGACTCGGATTACCGAAGCCGCCGGATCCATTTAATGGCCGAGAACGGATAAATCGGGATAAATAGGAATAGGCCGACAAAGTCAAGTTTTTTTAATATGCGTATTTCGGTAATTTAATTATGATTACTTTCTTATGATAACAGAGATACTCTCGGATAACAATCAATTCAGAGAAAATCCCATTCATTAGGCCTCGAATGTCGGCGAGAGTGGAAATAAAATAAGGATAATGAGTGCTCAAAAGCATAATTAGAAACGCCGGAGGGTGTCGAGTCAAGAATTGGAATTCTGAAGCCCAGAGAAGGAGAAGAAGACGAGTGCATAAAGGGCCTCAGGGCCTGAGGCCTTGATTGTCCATTTCGAAGGGCCGAGCCAGTGCCTGAGGGTCTCTTCTCCGATCGCGAAGAAAGACAGCCGGTTAGATGGGATTTGTTGGGGGAGAAGAGAAGGACCTTCATTGTCTGACATTACACTTGTTTCCATCACTCAAAGTCCGCGAGTTCTATTAAACGGAAGTCCATGATATCAGTCTGTCGGGAAAATAACGGCGGGTCGGCGCAGCTAAATGTTTCGCCTCGTCGAAAAAAGGGCGCAGTCGCGCACCAGCCGCAGCTAGCCGTCGCGAAGCGAGATTTCAAGGCGCAACAACGAGTCACTATTTTCCCGGCAAACTGATACCATTCCGTTCATGTTGTAATTCTGTTAAAAATCACTGGTTTTATTTTTTTTTTTCAGTTGCAATTTTAGTCGTCATTTGAGTAAAGGGTAATATTTTTTGGAAATAATTTCATCCCGAACTTTGCTAACGTAAATACCGTCTGCCTTATGTATACATTTGCCCAATAAAACTTCCCACATTCGGTTTTATTGCCAATTCCGGGTGATCTTGAACCTGCCATCTGTTATGTGAACAGAAAAGTCGCCGTCTCCATTACCTTCCTGGACACCAGACGACTTGCAGCCGATGACATTTCCCGGATTTGTGATATTTATAACTAATTTGATGTATGGAATGCGTGTTTTGGCAATCCGAGCCCAATTTGTTACGCAATCGGTCGAGTGAGGTTAGCAGGCCAATTAAAATATCAGTCATACATACATCCGTTTGAAGAGCAAAGTAAACTTTACAAAGGTTTCATGTCAAGCACAATATTGTATACTTATTTGTACATATTTATGACATATATAAATATCGTTGCCTAACACAATCAAACTGCGCAGATGATTATTTAAAACCGATCGTTTAATTTAATCTGAAAGATAGATGTAATTTCATATTAAGCCTTATCCGAATTCAAACTTGAATGTCCTAATCTGGCTCCGAATTCAACGGATATCCACTTTTTAAATATCCAAACTCAAATCCGACAAAAGACGCCATGGCAACCGCCTTCAGGGCATTTGCTGGCCCGAAGGTCCACTAATTCGAATAATTTTATATCAGGAATGAAGTCGTGGTTCCTCTGGTTCCATTGTTTTTTGTTGCCGCGACTTCTCGACTCTCTGGTATGCTACAGCTGCACTGCCACCATGTCCTCGGCCGTCGACGAGAGTGCTCAGATAGCGATGAGAATCTTCCTGGAGTCCACTTATTATCTGCCAGCTGTTCATCGTTACTGTGCGATGGAGAATGATGTGGAATTTAAATCAATCCCCACTTCCCAATGCAATGCAAACGATAAATGTGTTAAGATATCAGCGGATGGAAATGGTAAGAGATATTTGGGCTTGGTTAGAATAGGTACAAGTAGTCATCGGCAAGTGAAACTTTGATTTTGGAGTTAAATATCTCAGCTGCAGGTCTACAGTTCGTGATCCGAGGATGCGAATCACAGATTTACAAACCGAATATCGGAGTTCATGACGTTGGGTGTCGAGCTGGAGCATCGCCATCTCTCTGTTACTGCGAGGAGAATCTCTGCAACTCGATTTACAAGTCTCTGCCCTCTGTTTTCACGTTTCTGTCTCTTACTGCCCTGTATTGCATCTTATAGATTACTATTAGATGTAATATAAAAATCCTTTAAATCAAAATTCTATTATTTTATTAACTTTTAGATTTCACAGAGTATATCCGAATATTGTACCTGTCTTTCAGAGGAGTTTGCATATTTTTTGTTGATTCTCGTGATAGCCTTACCCTCCCCATCATCTCCATGACATTTCTACCATGACTTTGAGGGCGCTGATTGGTGGAACGGGTCGTGGCGCTTTTATTTCCTTTGATTGTCGCGCTTTACGGCTCGTAAAATGGCCGTCGAAACGATCCCCGACGCACAACACAAACACTGCCCTCTTTTATATGTTAGTCGCCTCGTTTTATGGGTTTCAGAACATTCGGTTCCGGCCAATTTACAGCCCCGTTTATTTGATTCCCTGCTCGGCCCGCCTCTTGGCATTCCAGGTGTCGCGCAACATTCTCTCATTGTCCTAAAAACAAAGAATAAATTAGATACGATATTTGTTATTGGCAGCTACTTTATTTGCTTCGGTTGAACATGTGTTGAAGAGCCCGTAAAGATGCTAGGATTGCGCCTGTTGGTAATATTTAGTTGGCTGCAAAATGTCCATGGGTCAATCAGCTGGCTGTGAGTTTGGTTGGGTGTGGATAATTCATTTTCACAATAAGATTCCTTTTATTCAATATGTATGAATGATGACTTGTTTAAATGATCACAAATTGCAGTGTGGTTGGGATGGCCGGTCAATCCCCTCATATCCATCATGATCTGCCCGTCAAACCAGCGCAGATCTGCAAAGAATTACCGGGCCTGACACGAAGACAGATAAAATTTTGTAGACGTAATCTGGACACCATGGAATCGATCAGAGAAGGAGCCAAAGAGGCATACGAAGAGTGCCAATTCCAATTCCAGAAACGTCGATGGAACTGTACAATGATGACAGAAGACGGTCATCTTTTTGCCGACGCCATCCTCAAAGATGGAACCCGAGAGGCCGCCTTTGTCCACGCTATCAGTGCTGCCGGGGTTGCTTACCGGATAACAAAAGACTGCAAACGAGGACGAATATCCAAATGTGGATGTGATATTGGACTGACAACAAGGTAAGTGATCCCTTCCGCTCTAATATGGTTGAAGAACCATGATGCCGAGCAGAAAGTACTCTTATCGGGGATGTTCTGACAATGTCAACTATGGTATCGCCGTCTCGGCTGAATTTGTGGATGCCGCCGAAAAGCAAAAGAATCAGTCGATGGAAACGAGGATGATGAATCAACATAACAACAGAGCTGGGAGAGAAGTAAACGGCTTAACGATGGATATAAATTCATTTCTAGATCCTGGCCAGCAGCATTAAAACCCGGTGCAAATGTCATGGTGTAAGTGGGGCTTGTGAAGTGAAGACCTGCTGGGAGGAATTGCCAGAATTCAGGGAGATTGCAACGCTTCTAAAGGACAAATTCGATGGAGCTACCGAAGTTGAGATCACACGGGATGAACAGAATGGACTGCCGATTGTGGAGAGGAAGAATCCGCTTTTCAAAAGACACACTTCCTCTGATCTGATATATCTCCATCCTTCTCACGATTACTGTGAACCTGATTATGAAAAAGGAGTCCTGGGGACGCACGGAAGACCTTGTAATATATCGAATATGGCACTGGACAGCTGTGATTTAGTAAGTATTTATTGTATGTAATGTTACACAATCTTGACTAATAAGTGGACTGTCTGCAATGCAACGCTCAGATTTTGTTTAGAGAGCGCACGCATATTGCACATGGGACACACATCAATGCCTGAAGGTTTTAGACCGCGATTCGCACGCTCCACCAGGATATTCAACAATTTTGCTAGTATACGAAAGGCGGAGAACAATCAGATAGAAAAAATTGGCCATATTTGCCAGTTTCGCACGAAAAAATTGATTTTTTTTGCGGAAAAATTACTCTCTACAGTAGAAATAGGAAACTTTCCATGCCAAAGTTCGCAAAGAAATGTCGCATTTTTGCCCTAATAATCTCGGTCGTTTCTGCAAAACGCGAACAAGAAAGCTTGCATATGGCCTAGAAAAAAATAATCTAAATTTGTTTCATCAAACCTTGTCGCCCTTGGAGTAATTCCCCTGTAAATAAAAACTATATTTAGCTATGCTGTCATCGTGGATATAATCTTGAAGTGAAGACGGTTCAGGAAAGATGTAAATGTAAATTCCATTACTGTTGTCGAGTGGAATGTCAGACCTGCGAAAAAGTGGTAGAAACTTACACCTGCAAGTAACCAACCAACCAACCGCTGTAAAACACGAAAGAATACTCACAAAGCGAAGGTATTTAGTTTTCAATAACCACCTAGCGTCGTCTGACGTATATATTTACCTCATTAGTTTTTAAAACCATAATAACTTTTCATGATCACGTTATAAAAAGTGCAATAATGTTGTAAGTCTACGCTACCACAACTTATGTATTTGTTATGCCGAATAAATTATATTTTCATTTCGTTCAAACCTTAACCATTCCCAAATATAAATGGGTTTACAAACGCCCGAGAATTAGACTAGTCAGTGAATTTATTGGATTTCAGAGATACATTTCATCGGGAACTCCAGCCTGTCGCTTCATGAGGACACTCTTGACAGCCTTTTCGAAATCAGTCACCGAAACCATTTTTCGTTGCGCTCTCAGGGCCAGCATACCAGCCTCGGTGCAGATGGCCTGAAGACAAAGAAGGCAATTACATCACAAATTCGGTATTATTTGTTCGGCTAAGGATTTATAGGATTAAACATAGCCGTGCTTAATGTGGGTTGGCACTTGACTTGGATTTCGGTAAGAAAAGTCTCAGAGAAACACTTGAGACTTTCCGAGTCAAGTGTTTTCTTTCTTAACTATGAGTCAACTATTTCTGTCTAATAACTACTGTAAGAAACTACCTTGACATCAGCTCCCGAAAGCTCTCTCTCCTTTGCGATAATTTTTTCGAATTTGATGTTCTTTTCCAAAGTCATGCCCGCCGAATGAATCTGGAAAATCTTCATCTTGGTCTTCTCGTCCGGTTTCGGTAACTCAATTTTGCGGTCAATTCGGCCAGGTCTTATCAAAGCTGGGTCCAATGAATCGATGCGGTTGGTAGCCATGATAACCTGCAAAAATAGTTCATCTGCATTTCTCCTACTTTGACATCCCCTCTACTCTCGAATCCATCCAGCTGATTCAAGAGTTCCAACATTGTTCTCTGAACCTCTTGTTCTCCTTTACTGGAAGTGTCAAATCTCTTGGTTCCAACCGCATCTACTTCATCGATAAAGACAATACAAGGAGCACATTCTTTGGCCATTTTGAAAAGATCTCTCACTAATCTGGCCCCTTCTCCCGAGCTTTTTTGAACCAGATCGGAGCCGGTCGCTCTGAGGAAAGTGGCCGAGGTACTGTGGGCTACAGCCCTGGCCAGAAGTGTTTTCCCGGTTCCAGGCTCCCCATACAAGATGACTCCCTTCGGGGCTGTGATCCCCATCTCTTCGTAGTACTCTGGATGGGTCAGAGGAAGTTCGACCGACTCTTTTATCTCCTGTATCTGAGTATCGAGACCTCCAATGTCATCAAAAGATTCTTTCGGAGCCTTCTCCAACTTGTATGTGAGAGCTTTGGAGTCGACGTTGTCCTGGACCACTCCAACCACAGCCAGAGGAACGTTTTTGAAGGCACCACCGGCTTTTACCAGACAGAGGGCATTCAGACGGATCAATTCTTTGTCCACAATCGAGAGGATCGGGATGTACCATTCTCTCTTGCTACCTTCCACCACAACCACAGCATGCTAAAAGAAAATGTTAAAGAAAGCGAGGGTTGATGATGACATAACGGAGCAAGGTTTTTCTCTTACTTGCTCATCATTGAAGAGTTCATGGATTCTGGCCAAGGCAGTGGGAGTTCCTCTCAGGCTCTGAACCAATTTCCTCTCATTCTTGCGTTGAGAATCCATTGGTTTGAAGGCATTCTGACGTTGAATGAACTCTTGTTCCATCAACAGAAAGTCGTGAACTCTGTTCTGTTTGAGGAGACGAAGAAGGCATTGACGTCGAGGGGTTACTGTAATTTTAAGACATGTCTGTATCAAATATCCTTACTCTGAGGAAGTCTGTTAAAAGCATCCAGCCCTCGTCCTGGTTTCCCCATCTTCCTAGCGGCTTTTGGGGCGGCATGTTGGGGCATTTCCCTCTTTCCGCCATGTTTTCCCATATGATTGCCCATCTCGAATCAGTAATCTGACCAAATCTCCGAGATCACACAAGAAAAATGAATTTATTCGAGGAAAAAATAAGTGAACTGATAATAATTTGCATAAGACTGCACTCTAGGCCGAAGTAATGGAAGTCTCACCGCCCTTGGTGACCAACTGAAGAAGGGATCCAGAAATTGGACGAGAAGTCTCATTTGTAAGATATTGAAGGAAAGTCTCAGCGATGAATGTTAATGGGGTCCATCTGCAATTACAATATGACACCTGAATTCTATCTTACGTAGAGTGATCGGCCTTGGGCATCCATTTTCGATTCATTGGAGTGTCGAGGGTGACCGGCAAGATGGCGAATACTGTAGCGTTATTGGGCATGCCACTTTTGTCCTGTCCGAGACTCTTGACTAAATGATGGACTGCCGCCTTGGCCAGTCCATATCCAATCATACCAGGAGTTCCTTCCAGAGCCTACAGCAAAGGACCATTACGGCACATGGGGGTAATACACAGACGTAGTAAGACTTACAGGACTTGCTCCAGGTAACTGTAAGAGTCCGCCTTCCTTTAAGTAAAGAGAAGCGAGTCTAGCCGAGATGGTCGAGCTCCACACACTTTGTTTCCACATCAAATCCGAGTTCTTGATGAAGTCCTTATTGGCAGCATTCCCTCCTGCCCAACCCCCTGCTACGCAAAAAATGGCGTCCAACTTATTTCCAGACAGGGCTTTCTCAGTCCTACAAGAGGTTATTGTAACTACTCTGACTTACTCCGTAACAGCCTTTGCTTCTTGAGCCAACCAATCATCGTTCGGGTTGAGGATTATGTTTGCATTGGCCGAAACATTCTCGACCAGATCCACATTCACCGTCCACTGCGGATAACATCGTTATCTTAGATTAACTTACATATCCTTTATCCTTCAAAAAGTCCAAGATGACCGAGCCGAGAGCTCCCTTCCCTCCGTAGATAAGAATTCTGCCTTGAGTCATATTATATCTGCAACTAGTAAATTAAAAACAAGCGAATGCTCATAAAACAACAACAACATCAGCAGTTTCGAGATAAAGGAAAATTGATAGCATAAACATCCCAAAACAAAGTAATCTCCGCCCGATTGACAAACAAAAAGTTTTCCTTTCTTTTCAACGAAAGACTTCATCGGCACTCTCTCCTTCACCTAACTAAACCCTCTTCGCTCTCCAAAATAACCGATATGGAGAACGAAATACCTTCCGGTGGGAGAACACTTAAACAATCCCAAAAAAAAAAGAATTTACAAACGAATTATTTGGGTTGTTTCTACCATCGAACACTTATGATAAGATATGAAATCATGTTTTATTGGAGATATTGCTTAATCAGTTCATTTCATAGAGCTGAACGCCGAGATCCTTTGCTTTGAGATCGGTCGGTATCAAGATTTTGGAGAAGCGGCATTTGTCGAGAGCCATTTGAAGGTCCCATTCATTCTGCATAATAAATTCATTCAGTTCGCGAGGTGTGGGAGGGTCAACGGCTAAAATAAAGACGTAATTAAAACTTTCCGACCGACCAGGTTTCATTTTAATTAAATACTTACGTTCAATAAATATTTTTGGTTCAGGACGTTCGGGCGTTGGAGATCTTGATCTTCTGTCTCGACCTCGACCCAAGCCTCTCCTCGAACTGCCACGGTAATCTCGAGAATTATAAGAAGTCAATGGAGGACCGCCACTGAATCCGGCATAGGCACTTGGGAACTAAAACATAATAATAAATGTGGCGTGTTTCAAACGACTATTACAAAAATAGCAAACCGCAACGTACCTGAGAACCCATCTGTCCGTACGCTGGATTTACCGGACCTCCAAATCCCATTTGCACCCCCGGGCTCATCCCGAAGGGCGGGTTTCCCCGTCCACTATATCCAGGGCCTCCCCCTCGGGCTGTTCGTCCGCCTCCTACACGAGTTTTTGGTGGAGCCAACTTCAATTGCAACTCCTTTCCCTTCACTTTGACCTTATTCATCTCAACCAACGCCATTTGTTGATCAGTTTCAGACATAAACCTTATAAATCCGGTCTCTTTGGAAGACCCATCAGGGTTTCTGTACACCTTTGCTCCTCGACAACTCTTGTATTTTTCACCAAACAACTGGAATTTTTAAAGGACCCTTTATACCCTTACCTTAAATAACACTACTTCGTCGACTGATCTGTGAAGATTGCTGACAAATAAATTGAATTCGAGGTGCCTAAAATAATTAATAATAACGAAAAAAAAACTTACGGATCAGGAGAATTGGCAAAGGATAAGTGAAACCTCCGTTTTTCCTCGTCATTGGGAACATGACGGCCATTCACTTGTAGTAAAGCGGTCCTGGCATCTTCTTCAGAGCAGAATTCAACAAAACAATAAGATGCCAACTTAAAATTATATTATACTTGCTATCCACCAATTCTCACCTTTCCAGTGTTCTTGTCTGTAACAAACTTGACATTCTTCACTTTCAAGTTAAACTTCTCAAAAGCCGCTTTAATAAATTCAAATGTCCAATTTACATTCATATCGCCCATCCATAACGTGGACTCCGGGGGACATAAAGTGTTTGTCATTCCGATCCTCGGATCCATCATCGGAGGCGGTGTATTTAACGCACCTAGGGTCTGGATCTCCATGTTCTATTGTTCAAGAATACCAGACAGAGAAAAGGAAAAACAAATTTTATTTTAGAATTAGGGCGCAGTTCGCGGAACAAACGCCTTCCAATGTTATACGAAAAAAGCTGCGTGATTATGGTAACCTTGAGAAACTTGATTTGATATACACGGCGGTGTATATCAAAAATATATATGCGGGGCACAGAATTCTGTCCTTTTTTGAAATGAATTGGTTACCAATATTTTCAAAAATTTTCTTGGTGGGCGGCAAAAACGCGGATGTGGCGAGTGCATGCTACGTACATGTATCAGTCATATTAATAATATCTGACAATATGGAATCCATTCACAAGTTTTTTACTTTATTTTTGACGTTATGGGGAGTTAATAGATACAGCATTAAAATTTTATAAATAACTACGTCTTTATTACACACAGACCTCACATTATGTTACGGCATGCACTTAACCATTGTGCAAAATTTCAGCTAGATACGTTCAGTCGTTCGTTTATTTGAAAACATGAAAATAACAAATTCTTGATCAAATTTTATTACAAGACCACTGCCGTTACACAGACTCCATTTCGACCATTTCTATTACATCTCATTCCCGCAATACAATCTTCATTCCGTTTACAAGTTTTGATATACTCTGCAATTGTAGGGATCCCATGATTATTCAAGCTTACCATCATTCTGAGACGAAACGGCCAAGAAACTAAGGAAGATGATTAAGATGCGATAAAACATTGTCAGAAATCAATTGGATGTTCAAATGATACTCTTTCAGATGGGTGTGATGATTTTGAACAGATAAATTAACATAATGGCAGCCTCGAAAGGACCGCCCCCCTCCCACCCGCATCCTCCAAAACTATTACAAATTCAAAGTTTATTTAACAATGAGAACCAAAAACGTTTTCATGTCATACTGGTTACCCGCACAGACATATGACCTGGTTTTCTATCAATGGAGCTCGTACTTTGGACTTTCAAAAGACTGTAAGGTCGTCTGATACTTGAAGATCTTGAAGATGAGGAGGATTTGTTGAGATCGGTGTCAGTGGATCGACTCATCGGACTTGTCGGAGGCATCGAAGCTGATGCCGAAGCATTTGAAGTGGTGGCTGACCGCCGGAGGGCTATAGGAGGCTTTGCACTGTCTGAAAAAAACTATTATCAACAACTTATTTCGATTTACCTTTAGGCGCATACTTCTTGAGATTCAAATCTGGAGCTGGCGTAGACTCTCTGGAATTGGAATTACTTCGATATCGACCAGTCGACAGTGGCAACCTCGATTTCCTATCTTTCTCAGCTCGAGGCATTGGAGAGGGAGCTCGTTGAGTGACCACAACCTGAGGCTGAGGTCGAACGATGGCCATTTTCGGCTTCTCTTTTCGAATTGTTTTCCAAGGAACGGCACAATTAGGTGGTGCTGTTGAGGTAGATGGACTTGAATCGCTCACGACTAAAGGTGTAATTGTTTTCGACGTTTCTTCAGCAATTGGTCTAAAAGAAACAGTTAAAAGTTACAGAAGAACCAATTAAAGCAGTAACAAGTACGTCAGAAGAACTTACCTTTGTATGTTCGTAGTCTCCGAGGATGTACGTCGAATACCAACCTTGGGTTTTGGTGGGACAGGAGGCGGTGTTTTCGACCGTTTAGTAGGCGGCGGGGGTATTTCTATTGTAGGTTTAGACGTTGATGGCTTCACTTCCACTTCTTTCGGCGATGCCTCGGGCTCCTTCCATAATTTTTCTTCATCTGCTAGTCTCTTTTTGTTCTCATCGTCAGAATTTCTGGTTTCGGCGCGAGAGAGATCACACCCAAACTAAAATCATTCCATTATCAGCAAATGTAATGCCACCCACCTGCTGGACCATTTGTCGATTGTAAATGTTAATATCTTCTGTAAGCAATTCTTTGATTGCTTTTTCCATTCTATTTATTATTGGCTCATCTGTCGGATAAACAAGATTCTGCTTGACCTTGATGAAGAATTTGCAAACTTGCAGTCTAAAAGAGAACTGAAAACTTACATCAATGAGCATACCGTATATTCCAAACTGGATCTTTTGACAGTCGAATAATGGAACCAAGGAAATTTTGGACAAAAAATTCTTTGCTAAAGTTCTCGAGGACAACTTCAGCTGCATTTATCATCAACTTTCGACGCTGACAACTTTCGTGTTTTGCAATCGCTGTAAGAGGCGACAATTAGTACTTGTGAAGTGGATTCGACATAATTGTCTGTAAAGGGCTTACTTTCATTAAAGAAGTCGATTACTTCTTGTCGGTTCTTCTTCTCCGGCAGCTCCCTCATAATCAATAATAATGTCTTTACGGCAGCTACCCTACAAGGCAATGCTCTGGCTGTTAAGACTTCTTGTTTGAATAGGGGAAGGAAAGAAACGTAGAGATCATTTGTGGGCAAGATGTGCCTCATCACACTCATATTGGAGAGATACGACTCGTGTGATCTCCAGCAGCCAGTGTTTCGGATTAGGCGATTACAACCGAGCAGGATACGGTCTAATTGAACAGATGTGGTTTTCTAAAAAATATGAAAAATAGTCATAGAACAATGACATTCACAAGAAAAAAGAACAACACTCCTTACTTGATTAGGATTGTTTTGCAAACTCTGATACAAAATGGGTAAGATCTCGTTCAAATTAGCTGTCAAATGTTGGACAACTTCCACGGCTCCGCTCCGAATCAGCTCCATAAATGGAGCCAATAACAAATGACTGTGACCTCCGTATCTGACGATTTCATGAAAACCGGAAGCAATGGTACAGCGTACTTCTTCATCCTGATCCTGAGCTAGTTTCTCCACCAGAGGCATTAAACGATCTTCGAAGGCTTCTTTGGCAAAAGCTCGAACAAAACACTAAAAGGAAAAGAAAGGCATACACGCAATAGCAAGTGTCAGAACATGTCTCGAACTAGTCAATTACCGGCAGATTGTAAGCGCACATTCTTTTGCAGGCCAATGTCGTTATCGAATCATTATTCAAACACAACTCTGTGATTCTCACATAAACATCCAGAAACCATTTTAATTCTTGAGGGCTTAACAAATCTTTTAATTCTTCCAACCAAGCCCCCAATTGTCTGGATACTGTAGCCAAAGTGTTGTCTCTCATAATCAAAGCTTGTTCTGCACACCTTTTGAGAAGTGGGATAACAACTGATTTGCGACTATCTTTTGTAAAATATGGAAGACAAACGACGAGAGTGGTGAGGATTGATTCTCTGACTTGACTATCATCATCTTTGCATAACTCAATCAAGGATGGTAAAAGGAGAGAAACGGATTCAGATGAGTTGCTGAAACGGTGATAAGAATTAGAAGGATAACTGCTTACTTTAGGGCCCGGGCAATCACCGACAATCTCTTTGCCACCTCCGTGCGGACGGCAGGGGCTGGATCCTGGCACAACATCTGAATGCACGGTGCAATATCCTTCTTAACGCTAAAATTGTGAATATCACGCGGCCTTATTTTGCAAAACATGATTGACTTACTTCTCTGAGGGTATAATTTCACATAACTTTTCCAAAAGCCTGGCTGAAATGGATCTCAATTGGGCCTTTCTATTAGGCTCACAACGGCTCACAACAATAGGGAGAATCTAAAAGCAATCGAATACATTGTTTGTTCCGGCAGGAAACTTACTAAATCTACCACAGTTCGGACGGGGAAATATGGGGCAATCTCCAAAAAGTTCTCATACCAGGCTGTTCCGGAGACTGAAAGGAAAGAGAAAATATTATCTTACATAATGCACTTCACATTCGCAATATGCAAAAAAAATTCAAATCATCATGAAAATTTTTTATAGAAAAGGGGTCATAGAGATAAAATACATCTGGCAGAAAACAATGACTTACGAGATTCCGAATGAAGATCCACAAATTCAAGGATCTGAGAGAGCAATTTCGAAGGCAGCTCTCTGAAATAAAGAGATAAGGTCCAACCTCTTGGTCACAAAACACCTGTGGTCAAGCAAAAAAAAAAAGAACTCACGGATGGATGTTGACCAGTGTCCGGTCTCGGATCAAGCCCGCAAAGACAGCAATGGCCTCGGCATGAAGATCCAGCGAGGCGTCGGAGGATAACGAGTCCTAAAGACATTTAGATAACCAAAACGAATTTTTTTGCTAGAGATTTTTTTATTTCTGCTGAGAAAATGATAAAATTACCTGGATAACTGGCAATAATCGTTCCAACGCACTGCTTCCTTCTTCCTTGATTAATGATGGCAATGTCCGAATTACCGTAATCCTCCGCAACAAGTTTCCTTGTCTAGAAATAAACTTTATAAAATAATTGGTTACCGTATTTCCTGAGTAAGGTAACGTCTAAAATTTCGTTGGGAGGTCATGAGATTACGGTATCTGAGATAAGAAAACCCACTTTATGTCCTTGATTGCAATGTCCAAAGGACTTTCGTCCAATTCGAACTCGGCTTCTGCGTTGGCAATCAGCTGAGCCCATCTGTCGTTGGAGGCCTTAGATCGGGCAATAAAGTCGTCTTCCTCCTCCTCCTCGTCTTCATTGTCTTCTCCATCTTCGGCGCTTTCATCGTCAGAATCCTCTTTTTCAACCGTAAATTCCACAGATTCGTCGGCTTTGATTTTCTCAGGAGATTTTAATTCGATCACTGCATCTATGCACGGCTCATCCGAAGACATCTAAATCAGTAAAAGAACATTGAATGAAGGCAAAGAAAAGTGTTCCACAACCAATTGGGATCACGCCTGCTGACAACCTATTAATGGGACTCTTTCAAAGTCGGCGTGATCCGAAAAGAAGGAATTCGTGAGTTTAAAGTGACATCATGGGAGCTGGGGCCAACCCCGAAACAAGGGATTACAATAAATACAACTGATCGGAGAAGTAGATTACGTAAGAAGTGCGGCAAAAGAAACACAGGGAAACAGACCAAATTAACAGACGCCCTCTGGCACCCTCATCAAATCAAGGATCGGCTTGCTCATCCGGCTCGAAACTCCCGCTCTCGGGTCTCGGGATAATCACAACTCGAGAACAAAAAAGAGTGGAGGTTAGCACCGCAAGAGAGAAGAGAGTTTCGTTTCTCTGATTCTTTAATCCTATCTGTTTTCCATAGTTTTTTTGATCACTGCACCCTCTGGGTTCCGGATCAGCTCGACTTTCTTCTTCTTCAGGAGAAAAGGGGGACCTGGGCCAGCTGCCCGTTCAAAACAACTGTTAAAACTTTTTTATTCATAACAATATAACATCAGTATAACACATACCAGTCTCACCGCTTCTTTTTCTTTTGCCGAGTCGTATTTGGGACTGTGACCTCAGTCTTCAGTGCGGCATGACCTGAGTCTTTGATATGAGCGAACAATTTGGACCTGGAGGGAAACTCCAACTTGCACACTTGACATTCAGAAGGCACAGGGACTGTAGGACCGTCCTGTTTCGTACCTTCTGCTTCTTTGGGCTTACCTAAAATAAAAAATTAATGGTCATCCATCTTGATTTAACATGTGCATCATCTAAAACATACGTTTCTTTTCTTTTTTTGCCTTTTCTTCCACCTTGGCCTCCTCCAAAGGCTGTTCTTCGGGGCTTCGTTCCTCTGGTAAAGCTTCGCTCGGCTGTGGTTGTTCTTCATTCGTTGGTCTAAACGTGGATACAATGATACGAATAATGGTGGCACACACATCTTATCAGTCCAAACTTACTTCTCAGTCATTCCTCGTTTCTTCTTTTTCTTTCTTTTCCCTTGTTTCTGTTGTAATTCGTCTTCGTTTTCTTCTTCACCTTCTCCAAATAAAGTCTGATCATCTTCATTCATAAACTCTCGAAGTTCATTAACAGCTTGCTTATGTTTCTTCGATTTTTCATGATTTTGGAAAGACTTTCTAAAGACAAATTAAAAATTGCACTCATAAAATTCTGAACAAAGGATGAAAATTACTTACTTAGTTTTAAATTTCTTTTCACAAACAATACAAAAGAATTCGGCATCATCATCATCACATTCCAAGGCCCCGAACTGCTCGTCCAATTCGGTTTCCAACTTTTCCAAGTCATCCAGATGATCTTGGCTAATCTCCACGACCTCATTGTCTTTAAACCGTTCCAAATTTTCCCTAATTTGTCGCCTTCTTTCATTTTCAACTCTCTCAAATTCTTTTAATTTTCGATCCTCCAGTTCTGCCCGATACTTCTGAATTCGTTTGTCTCGTTTCCGGACATACGCCACCAGATCTCTGACTTCTTCGTTCCTTTGCTTCTTTCCAGCATCCCTGAGTTTCTTATTCTCCTTCTCCATGCATTTTAGTGTATACCTATCAGGAGCCTGCCTCAGGTCGTACTTATCAAGCCAAGCAAACGACCTGAGGGTTGAAAACGAACTCCAGAATCCATAGAAAGGTCCAACAACTTGATCGTACTCGGAATTCGCATATCCAAACGATGGAAATCCGCGATCTTCTTCATCTTCAATGTATGGATATTCCTCAGCAGCAAGCTTGTCAAATAATTGACGATAAACTGAGTAGAACCCCTGAAAAAATAACCGGGATGATCCGTGAAGAAAGACGATTTGAATAAGACAAAATTTTAGAACACTCACGTCCTCATCATCTTCGAATCCATTAAAGCATTTTTGAAAGAATGGATAAAGATTGATACCCGTGTCCTTTTTCTCTTCCGGGGAAGCTGAAAATGCAGTAGAAATGAACTTCGACTACTTACATCCCTGAATAATGTTTTCTCTATGTTTATCATAAAATGCTCGTTCTTGTGGATCACTTAGAACTTCGTAAGCAGCTTGAAGGAGAACAAAGTAAGCCGTGCATTCCTCTCGACGCTCTGGTTCCACCTTATCCGGATGATACTTCAGAGCTAATTTTCGATATGACCGCTTGATTTCATCATCTGTCGCATCTCGTGGAACTTCCAACAATTCGTAATAGCATTTTTTCTAAAAACATGAAAATAAAATAATCCGCAACCTATTATTTGGAGCAAATAAGTATTTGCCCCTAGTATTGGATTAATGTGTAGCACTGTTTTATTTATACTGCTCTTTTTGGATGGCCATTTAAAAAACACGGTGTTACGCCTACTCTTTGACACCAATTCCAACCTTTTGGCTAGCTTTTTTTGAGACTTCAAAGCCATTCTAAGATTTTGGCTAGCGAATCCAGGCTTTTGGCTAGCCCTTTAAAAAATTTGGCTGTCATTTCAATCATTGGCTAGTTGGTCTAACAATTTTGCGACATTGGCTATATCAGTCTGTCGGAAAAATAACGGCGGATCGTCGCGCCTCGGAATCGCCCATCATCGCTCTGCGACTGAAAGACGCGGCTGGGGCTTTGGTGCGCGATAGCGGCGAGGCGAGACATTCTGCTGCGACAATCCGCCGTTATTTTCCCGACAGACTGATACATGTTGGGCCAATACCCGACCTGCCGCAAATGAAAGGCCCCAAATAAAATTTTCCCCAAATGTAAGGTAGCCAAAACAAAGTAATATAAAACCTACTGTTTGCTGTGTTTCTTCCTCTTGTCCCAAAAACGATCTTGCTTTTTCAAAAAAATCGTCGAATATCCCCATCGATCCTTCCGACGGTCGCGACCAACTTCGCAAGATTTTTCAAACAAAATTCTTTCGATTGTCCAGAAAATGCGTCAGCATGACAAGCTAAATTATACTAATTTCCCGATCGGCATAACGAAATTTAGCTATTCTAAAATAGAGTAATTTATTCGTTGTTGAAATCAACCATTTTCAGACTTTGAAATCAAATCGTAATGACGGAATTTCTAGAAATTGTGAGAAGCAAAACGCCAAATAAAATAAATTCCGTATTCTTTTTTTGGACACAAAATTGCGCGCGTCTGACATCTCCATTGTTCTCCTTACTTTATAACGAGTTAATTCCACATCTGCGTATTGACAAATGAACAGGGTAAGGTAATTTATTTTTATGATTTATTTTGATTTAGAACAATGGGCAATTCAACCCGTTTTCTCAAATACAACAGCAATCGACTGATGCCAACCAGGCGATGCTTAATCAGCCGCAGCAATCTCTGCTCGGATACGGAAGCCAACTTCAATCTCTGATGCCTCAACAGTTACATCAAGCACAGAATTATGGCTTTGTGAGGTCTACGCCGTACGATCCAATGCCTTCGGTAAGCCACAATTGAAGGAATTGATAATATAATATTGTTCAGAATATGAATACAAACCAGGCGGATTTCAATAATTACCAACAGCAAGTTCCCTCACTTGACCTTCAAAATCAGAACTTTCAAAGGAATTTTTTGGCGATGCAAATGGGATCGCAAGCAGTGGTATGAATGAATGTTGCCCGATTTACATTTTTAGACATTTGATCAGGGTCAAACTTACGCCAATCGGCCCCAGGCTTTTAATTCTTATTCGACTCAACAAAATTATGTGAATCCACAATCATCTCAACAACTCTATCTCCAACAACAACAGGAGTTGTATCTTCAACAGCAGAGGCAACAGGAGCATGCTTTCTCACCTCCGAAAACTGCCCAGACACAGATGTTTCAGCCTGGCAGTATTCAACCTCATCAACCGCTCCCACCTCAACAGGCGATGACCTTTCAAAGTCAGGTTGTAGAAAAACCGTCGTGCTCAAAGCCGGCAGTTGCAGTTGATGCTGAACCTCAAATTGTGGCGATTGAAACACCGATGAGAATAGCGGAAAGAGCAGCTGCGGTTAGTTTTTTCCTCTCCCAAATCCGGACCAATTCACAAGGTCTTTAGGGAATTTATTTCGCTGATATCTCTAATTGTTACTAGTATTCTTTTAGACAGCGGCCGAAAATATGAAGAAGATAAAGGAAAGGGAGGAACAAGCTGAAAAAGAACGATTGAATAAAATGAAAGAGGAACAACATCAGATAGAAGAATCTTGGAAGAAAAGCCAAGCTACGGCGTCAGAAACAAATGCTCAAATGCAAAGTCGGATCGATGCGATTCCTGAACCTGTACATCTTGCTGGATGCCATACATTAACTAAAGGTATCTCACGTTTCCAAAGATAATATTATTCTTTAATTTAGTTGCTAAGCTGCTTCCATTCCCCAACGAATGTTCGGCGACATCTGAGGTGTTACCAATTGGGCCTCTTCCAAATCAATCTCTTCCCATTGACAATGAAACTGCCCAATATTTAGTGAAGCTGTTGAATTCAAGCATGACTGAAATAAATTTGGTTGAGCTCAGACACCAAGAAGAAGAGCGAAACGACCTGAGCTTGAATGAAATGAGTTCGGTGTGCTTGGCCATCCACAATATTGACCCGAATGCTCTTAATGTGGAGAAAGAATACGCAGAGAACTTAATCCACTTTGATCAGGATATTGAGCGAGTTGTGGAAGAAGTTACGGGTGGCGCATTCGAGAAACCGAAGCCGGCCGTTGATCCAGAACTTCAGCCTGTTCCGCACTCTTCCGTTTCTGAGGAGCCGATTCTCCCGGAACAAGTTGAAGAACAGCCGAGGAAACGAAAGCGGGAAGAAGAAGTAAGCTTGTATTTTTGTATTTAATCTTTGTTTTTAGAATCCTGTTGACAACGAAATAACATCCATATTCAAGAATCCGAAAACAAAGAGAGCAAAGCCAGCCGTTCAGGAGAGACCTCCCACTCCAGACGCCGGTAAGTTAAATAAACTTTTACATGTATGGTGTCAAGGTTTTTTGGCCATGATCCTAAAAAAATAGGTTCATGAAAACTTTCAAAACCATGAAATTGGAAAAAAACTGTAGCAGCTATCTTTTGAGATCACATTCTTGTTTTAGTGATACAAGAAAGAGAACGAGAATGGGAAGAACGATTAAGACAAAGAGAAGAAAAGATGAAACGACGTCATAATGAAGAAAGCATCGAATCTTGGAGCACAGAAGGTACCTAAAATAAGTTTTCCTATATTCGTTTAGTGATGGCAGAAAATGAGTGCCTCTCGCGGTTTATTTCCCTTGTGGACAGAGTAATCGATTCCGAAATTGAGGATGATGACTTCACGATTGATCAGAATCTGTTGGAAGAAATGCGAAGTGAAGTTCAGAAGTTGAAGGTTTACCGGAAAGTCAGCAAAGTGCCCACTGACCGACTCGTAAAGTTGTTATCGTTATTGGAAAGAGTGATAAAGGATGTTTTAACCGAGGATGGGGCTGTTCCAATCTTTTCAAATATGGTGGGTATCTTATACTTGAGTTTTGAATTATTTTTAGGCTGATGAGAATGAAGCCATGATTAGAGAAATAATTGACGAGAAGGTGATAAAATCAGTCGAGGCTACTTGCATTGCACTTGCAGTAATGACCTCTCCGAAGGTCCCGAAACAAATTTTGATGGAAGAAATAATCGAGAAGTCCATTCAAATTTGTAAAGAACTTAATCAACATATTGTATTCCCTGCTTTTGACTCTACTGCCGGCTCAGCTGATACTGCGATTAAGAAGAAAAGCAAGTGTTTGTAGTTTAAATCAATCTTGTTTTAGATGACAATAGCAAGAGAAGAAGGGGAATGGAGAGAACGAACCCTTTGGCGGTCAAATTAAATCGAAGGATTTGTGAAATGGTGGAATGTTTCTCCGAGTTGACCAGGTTCGAGAATTTGAATGAAACAATCTTGAACAACCTCTGTACCCTGGCAACACCTCCATTCTTCGTCGATGGTGTCAATGAACTTCAAATTGAATCCATCAGTCTCCTCAGTACTCTCTTTTCGACCGCCCCGAGTCTGAGGAAGTCAATTCTGCAGGATCTCTTGGACTCTCTCCATCGACTTCCATCAACCAAAAACCAACGGAATTCGTTCAGATTGGCTGAAAATGTGTGGATCAGTAACTTTTCGGTCTTGATATTGCAAATGATTCAATCAGTGGTCAAGGTACCCAGTAAAAGAAAGAACGATGCGATTGATGAGGTGGAAGAGGTTCAGTCAAATGATATTACTGTGGAAGAAAAAGTTCTATTAGAATCTTATCAAGATGCCCAGACCATGGCAACTTTATTTTTGAATGGATTTTTGGCCAAGTATGGTTTTTATTGATAACGACTGTTTTTTCGAAGTGAGCTTTTGACGTTGAGTTCTTTTCAGGTGTACTGCGAAGTCGGAAGACGATTATCGGGGCCTATTTGAAGCTTTTCTGAATGATGTACTGGCCTCTTTGTACAAGCCTTCGTACCCGGTGGCTGAGTTAGTGTTGACGATCCTGGGAAATCTTCTGGTGAAGAAGTTCAGATCCAAAGCTGAGATTACTTTACGGCAAGCCTGTCTTGATTATCTAGGGACGATCACTGCGAGACTGAGAAAAGACAGAGTCAGTGCCCGAGGAGACGATAAGAGCCGCCTGGATTTGGTGGTGAAGACTTTGATCAGTGAGGAAAGGGAAGAATCACTAGATGACGTTGACCTGTCTGGGGTGAGGAGCTTGTGTTTATATTCATAAATTGTTTTAGATGAGTATGAAAGAGAAGATACAGAAGCTGCAGCAAGCATTGATTGATTACATAATCACGAAAAGTGGGGCAGAAGATGTTTCGGTTGAATACACTGTTAAATTCTACGTCACTGAATGGTTCAAGGAAGTGTTAACTGATATGGAAGCGGCCAAGGAAAGGCATAGATTGAATATTGAAAATGGAGTTGGTGATCCGAAGAAAGAAGAGAGAAAGATGAACAAGTTGTTGGAGAAGGGCGAACAGATGAAAGCGTTCATACTCCGACTGATCGATAAAAAATATTTGAAGAAGAGAACACAGACTATCAGTCGATTGGGGAATGTAATGCTGGACTCGGATGCTCAATGGGCGGTGAAATACCTGGCTTCGAAGAGAGAATTCAGTCAATCGTTCGAGCACTTCTTGAAACAGATAACGTTTGGAATCTCTAATGAGAATTCAGTGGGAGTGAAGACAAAGGCCATGAGATGTCTGACGCAGATCATCGAAGCCGACCACAAGATCCTTCTATTTGTAAGTCTTATTTGAATTACTTTGGCAAATGTTGTCGTTTTAGCAAGATGTGCAAAGTGCTGTGCATGGTCGACTGATAGACCCCAATATATCTGTAAGAGAGGCCACAGCCGAACTGATTGGGAAATACATAATCTCCCGCCCGGATCTCCTCAACAAGTACTATCCCATGATCATTCAAAGAATTGTGGATACTGGTGTTGCTGTTAGAAAACGAATAATTCGGATTCTAAGGGATATGGTGGAAAGGCATCCTGATTCCGAGAAAGTGCCAGAGATATTGGCAAGGATAATTCGAAGAGTTGGAGATGAGGAGGGAATCCGAAAGTTGGTACTCGAGTCGATGTTCGCCTTATGGTTTCAGCCAACAAAAGATCCGGAAGCTTTGAGCGAGAAGGTAAGTGTAAATCGAAAAAGTTAATTTTCTTTTTCCAGGTGGTAGTCATTGCCGACACTGTGTCTGAAATTGTGAATATGGGTTTCCTCGACTTCTTTAAGCAATTAATTCAAGCCATCTTCAAGGATTACAATGATCGTCAGCTCCATACATCATGTGTGCAGATCATTGATGGATTGGTTGAAAGTATTCTCTCACTGGATGCGCAAATGGCATCTATAGATCTGGAAGGTGCGGATGGTCGTAATGAAGAGAAATTGGAACAGAAAAGGATTGGGCAGAGGCGGCTAGTCGCATGCCTCACGGCCTTGTCGGTCTTCTCCAATGTTAAACCGGAATATTTAATAAGACATGCCGAAGTCTTTGGGCCTTATCTCAATATTAAGCCGAATAACGCAACCGAATATCAAGTTATTGTTTCGGTGAGCTTTGATTAGTGGTGTTTATTGTCTTTCAGATTCTTCAAATGTTGGAAAGGATTATCCCATTAATGGAACATCCTGGCGACACCTTCCTGAAAACCCTTGATCAGAAACTGGATGAACTTCTCCATTCGCAAAACAATCTGGCCGTCTTGAATGCTATTGTTGCTTGTTGTGGCGCTGTTTACAAAGCATTCCCCAAGTTCTGTCCGGCCATGATTTCTAAATTCGAGAAATATTTTGGTAAGATTGATAAAAGCTTAATTTACAAGGAGGTACCTCAAGTGCGACGCACATATTTTCTTTAAATTTTGCACACACTTGAGACAAGGGACACATCAATTCCTGAAAAAAAAATTAAGACATGTTCTTGCATGTCTTATTGTTAGGGCAAATTATTCTAAATTTATGCCAAGTTTCATAAAATTTGCAACTTGAAGTACTTCATGTGTTAATTATATTTTGCTCTTTTAGAATACCTCCAGATGAAACCCATCAAAGATTCCAAGGAAATACCTCGAGAGACCCTGGGGATGATAAAGAAGGTGATGTATTCAGTGGGAGTGATCACAAGATTCTTCGATCTGGATGATCTGGTTGCGAGACATAGTGTTGAGGGCCTCAGTCACTATGGTAGGATTAGAGAATCAGCCCTCGAAATCCTTTGCTATTATGCCCAACTCGAGCACTCTTTGATCAAATTGTTTGCTATTAGTGCTCTGGGACAACTCACTGCCGAAGTACCCGAATATTTTTTGAATCCGACCGTTCAGAAGATATATTTGGCCGCATTAAAGGACAGAAAAGGCTCTATTCTGGTTCAGGCTTTGAATAATCTGGAGTTATTTTTGATTACAACTGAGCAAAAGGCGATCAAAAACAGTGAGAAATGTAAGTTTTATTGTCTTATTACTGAAAAATAAACAAAAAGACATTCGATAACATGATTTTAGTCCGTGAAACAAAAGATGGAGATCTGAAAGCGATGGAAGTTGGGAATTCTGGGCTCAGTTCCTCAGCAATTCAGAGTTATTGGCCCTCTGTTCTACAAGCCTACTTTAATAAGCCGAATAATGTTCGACAAGAAGCGGCCAAGGTCATCTTTCAGACTCAGAATCAAGGGCTTCTAACTCCTGGAACCGCCATCCCGACACTGATAGCCATGTGCACCGATAAAATAATATCGATTCGAGGAAGAATTGAGAGTTTGGTGAAGGAAATCGACAGCAAATACGCGGGAATGGTGGCCAGCAATGCGATCTCTGGAGTCCGCAAAGCCTATTTTCTACAGAATATAATCCGAACAGATCCTACCGAAATTGTACGAGGAATGAGGGCCATCGAACAGAAACCTGGTCAAGAAGCTCTTCCCACATCTAGCAACGATGTTCAGGCTTGTCTGACTGGACTCTATTCATGTCTGAGGGGAAGTCGGCATCAACGAAGGAGCTTCCTTACAGCCTATTTGAAGCTGTTTGGAGACACCAAGGGAGTATGTTTTTATTATGTTGCGGTGTTGTTCAGGTTATGTAAAGAAAAAGCGTCACTCTTCAGTTAATGTGATATTATTAAAATTGTTTAGAAGATATCCCTGGAGGAATGGATATTCTTGGCGGACAATCTAGCGCACTTCTCCTATGTCAACCTCGACGAGCCATTGTTTGTGATATTTACGATTCAAAAAATGGTCTCAATCAGCGGACAGAACATCTTGAATTCGTTCAGAAAACAACAGATCCCGTCTTCAAATCCCGAGGCTGATGACGATTTTTCTCCAGACACGATTTATGGTAAGCGTCATAAAATGCATTTACCTGGGAATTATTCAACTTTCAGCACGAATGCCGGAAGACAAATCAAAATTATACGAACTTCAAAGGGAAAGTTACGCATGTTATCTTCTACTGTCTCTAAAATCATATCTAATGAGGGTTTACAATTTCAAAGATGAGTAAGTGAAAATGTAACCGACACTTATTTTTGTTTAGCAAGATCAAGGAGTATAGCCCCTCAGAATCGGCCAAAGTTTACGAAAAGCCGGTAACTAGAAGATCCGCAGGCATTTTTAATCCCAAAAATATTTTGGATGCTTGTAAAAAGAATCCAAATGCTCAGGATACGGTGGAGAAACATATCGAACTAGCACATCATTTCAGCTATGTAAGTGGTTTGTGTATTTTTAACTGTACCGAGCTCAAAAGTTCAAACAATTTCCGCACCGTGCATTTTTCTTTCATTTTCATCCACACTTTCTCTGATTTTTCGCGTGTCGCCTAGGCATGGCTCCGGGCCGGGCCGACTAATTTCTCGGGCCGATCCCGGGCTTCGATTTTTAGGCCCGTTCCGGTTTTTTTCTAAATCTGAGTTTTGCCCGCTAAAAAGGAAAAAATAAGCCTTTTCGACGGAATTTTTCATTTTTTTCGAACACAAGGCTGATAACGAACATAAAGTGACCTTATTTACCACTCGCCCAAATAAAAAACAATTTCAAGTCAATTTGAAAGAAAAATCGAAAATTCCTAACAATAAGTCAGCTGTAATAAGTACACTGGCAAAAAAAGAAACCGGAAATTTTTTCAAAAATACGCAATAGCCTTTTTCTGATCCGATATAACCTATGTATATGTTTTGCTAAATTCATCTTTACCTTTTGTGAAAACCCGGGCTTGGAGATTTAGGCCCGGGCCAGCCAGGGTTGCAGCCATGCTTAGTGTCGCCGAAGTTTCCCGTTTTTACACTAGCGACGTGCACGTTTGCGCACCACAAACCCGAATTTAAGCTCGCGACGTCGAAAACCCGAACTTTCGGTGCGAAAATTGTACAAACTTTTAAGCGCGGGTAGTAATAGATGCTTTTCTTTATGAAAGTACACCTAACTTTAGTTCTTCAACAAATTTTTACAAATGGAAGCCGAAGATGGGAATGAAGATTCGGATCAGCCAGTCCAAGAAGAGCAGGAAGAAGAGGAAGAAGACGAATAAGCTTTATTACTCACACATACGGGCATGTATAAAGTCTCCCAGAAATCTCATTTACCTAGGTTTCTTTTCTAACTCCATTTTCACTGCCTTTATTTTGTCAATTTCTTTATATAACTAGGTAGTTGAGTATGTAAAGAAAAAGTGTTTCCATTATTTAGACAGACTACATTCGATGTAACTTATAACGTTTATTGACCATTTGCAAGATTAAACAGTGAATAATGTATGTGATTTAGCGACTTTTTGTTCAAGGCCTCAAGGTCAGCTCTACTAGCGTACTTTCAAGCTGTCGCAGATAACTCTCGAGATTAATTTTACCATTCTAAAAATAAAATTTCCCTATTAAAAGTAGCTTACATTGTTCATCTTCGAATACGCCAAAACTGGGGCTTTTTTTAGAATACGGCCACTTAATTTCTGGTTGTCGTTCCTGTTAAGAATATTGCTAATGTTGTCACCCACTTCAATTGGTCCATCAAAAACGCCGACCTAAAGTATCACACTTATCTTTATGGAAAACACTGTCAAAGTAGGTGTCAATTGTTGAAGACAAGAGCATAACTCACTCTAATCATTTCATTAACAGCCTTTGACAATATAATAGATGCTGCTCTTTTTGATGGATTCCCAACATATTTGGAGATATCTGTCCGATCCAAAAACGCGGAATCTAGAGCATCTGTGATATTGGACGTGGTGAGAACAAGGACATTCGGATATCGCCGAATTCGGTCGATCTGAGTGATTACTGCATTAACAGCTCGAATGGAATCTGAGGGATCATTCGAATGGGCTGAGGATCGACTCATCACAAGACTTTCAACCTCGTCAACTAACATTATCACCAGACTTCTAGGTTCCTCGGCGATCTCCGCTACTTGATCAAACAACTTTTGCACTAATTTGCCACTCTAAACCGAGAATTGAATAATTTTTTTTTAAATCTTACCTCACTAAACCACTTGGAGAACAAACTGTGGCTGTTAACTTCAACGAATATACTCCTTTTGTATGTTTCCTGATACCTCGAGGCGATTCGTTGAGCCAATCCTTTACACAACGACGTCTTCCCCGACCCAGGAGGCCCTAAAAAGACATAAATTTGTTGCTTTGCAGATATTACTCACCATGAAGTAATATGAGTCTATTCAAATCAATCACATTCCTATCAACACCCAAACTGGACAACTTCAGGACTCCAGAAGCATAACGAAGGAGCTGAAAGCAATCAGTTAATAATTAGGTCGCACCTACCTCGCCCTTCAAATTATTGTCAAAGAAAAGATTCTCCCAAATGCTATCGAACTCTGTGTTCGGGATCTCCCAAACCGTTGAACTAACGGCACCCTCATTACTATTTTCATCCAAGAATATCTCCTGAACGCATGGTTCGAAGTCTTTTGATGAATAAAAGACAATTTGAGATTCAGTAGTAATATGGACATCCTAAACAAACAAGTGTTCACAGATATTTCACTTACAGTATCATCATCACTATCTAGACCAACTAAAACATAATCAATGGAGGAATTTAGGTCAGGACAAGTGATCAGGACTGGAGTCCAATTGGGCAAAGAACCCTTATTTATCAAGTACTGAATGAGATCATTCCTCTTTTCACCCACTTCCTTTCGGTCTCTATAATCAAATAATGTTAGAAATAACTCAAACATTGCGGTAACTTTAGCAAAAAACACTTACTTTCCCTTGCTAACACGGGCTTCTATAGTTACTTTCATTTTATACACAACGCGACAAACAAGAGCATGCAACGATTTCTTTTCTCGAGAATCAAAAAAATTACTTCGAAATAATTTTTTCGCGGGTTCAAGAATGGACACCTTTCGGCGTATAAAAAGACTCTCTTCTTATTTTACGGAAATAATATTAGAAACATGTCATCATATAAAATGTCGCCAATTTTTCTTTGGACGTTTTTTCTCCATTTGGGCAAGCCGTGTATTATAATATAATTATAACATATGTATAAAAAAGGTTTAAAAGGGTACAATGAAGTGGTAAATTGCCGGTACCGGCCGGTCGGTGGCCACCCCTATATTTACCAAATTTTTACAGATTTTTTATTGCGGGAATGTTACAACAATTTGTACGACTACAACGTTTCCGACTTCATTCTCGATGCAGCTCTTCAAAATCCGAATTAACAGCCGAACAGAAGGTAGGGTAATTCAAATTTCCATTTGTGTTTTAGGCGAAGCTTAGATCCGCTTTACCGGCGTTCAGTGTTGGTCAAGATGTAAAGAAAGAAGATGCTTGGACCAGCTCAATGGACATTATTGACGATGATAAAGCTGCGTTTGACGAGATTAGAGCCAGAGGGTAATTCAATTTTACATTCTTTAAAACACGATTTTTGAGTCACTGAATCAGCCGCCAATTAGGCGTGGACATAGGAAAAAATCGATTTTGAGTTTTTGATTTTAAAATGACTGTAGGCATCCTATAAACATAATGCTGAAATATTTTTGCCCAATTCCTTCGTTAACCTACTGTAATTTACAATTTAATGCTTTTAGAGTAATCGACCATTACAAGAAAACTACTGATTAGAAATGGCTGAAATTGGCAATACTTATGTTTTAGGCCATGCCCGTCATAATAGACATAGAATTTTGGCAGTCGGGTTACTGTAACATACCGTAATGTGGGTTCGGCCGCACAAATTCGGCCCTAAAAAAGTTATTTCTCAAAAGCCGCAGCTGATTTTTACATATGTTAATCAGCGTAAAATTCTGCCCTATAAACATTTAAAAAAAGTGTATAAAGCCATGATCCGTTTTTCGTGGTATAGTGGATTTTGGCCAAATTTAGTAATCCAAGGGTCGCGAGTTCGATCCCCGTGGAAGCAAAATCCGTAATACCGCCCAGAACCTTAAAAAATCAAATGGGCTGAGTTGTATAGCATACACGGGAAGTATAAAAACCTTTATAAAAATTGATTTGCAATTTTGAAAGCATTTTTTGAAGATGACATCAGAATTTTGTTTTTCGTGGATTACGGTGCAAATTTAGTTTAGGAATGTTGGTAAAAAGTACTTCATAGAGGTTTTCAAGCCTTCTAAATTCAATGGGACAAATTTTTCGGGCCTAGGATTACTGTAACATGGAGAAAACAAATTTCGGCCGCTAAAAATCGGCCGTAAAAATGTTGTTTTCAAAAAAACGCCATTCATTCTACGATTTTTGGAACAGCGTGAAATTTGGCTCTAGAATCATTACATACTGTACCTTAGTTGACCGCTTGAATTTTACAGATTTTTTTTGCCGTAAAATCACAAATTTTGGGGTGAGTGAAGTCATCCGCGGAAATCGAAAAATAAAATCATGAGTTTCTAGGCTAGAAGTATGTACAACCACTAATAAAATATAGCTTCAAAATATTTTTGTTTAATTCCATTGCTAATGCAGTTTTATTTATAATTTTCAAATATGAAAATAATTCACCACAGAGAAAAAAGTATTTGACAACATGACTGTGTTTTGAGTTGATATAGTGTGGAATTGTACGCTGATTCCAAAAATCGTAGAATGAATGGCGTTTTTTTGAAAACAACATTTTTACGGCCGATTTTTAGCGGCCGAAATTTGTTTTCTCCATGTTACAGTAATCCTAGGCCCGAAAAATTTGTCCCATTGAATTTAGAAGGATTGAAAACCTATATACAGTAATTTTTACCAACATTCCTAAACTAAATTTGCACCGTAATCCACGAAAAACAAAATTCTGATGTCATCTTCAAAAAATGCTTTCAAAATTGCAAATCAATTTTTATAAAGGTTTTTATACTTCCCGTGTATGCTATACAACTCAGCCCATTTGATTTTTTAAGGTTCTGGGCGGTATTACGGATTTTGCTTCCACGGGGATCGAACTCGCGACCCTTGGATTACTAAATTTGGCCAAAATCCACTATACCACGAAAAACGGATCATGGCTTTTTACACTTTTTTTTAATGTTTATAGGGCAGAATTTTACGCTGATTAACATATGTAAAAATCAGCTGCGGCTTTTGAGAAATAACTTATTTAGGGCCGAATTTGTGCGGCCGAACCCACATTACGGTATGTTACAGTAACCCGACTGCCAAAGTTCTATGTCTATTATGACGGGCATGGCCTAAAACATAAGTATTGCCAATTTCAGCCATTTCTAATCAGTAGTTTTCTTGTAATGGTCGATTACTCTAAAAGCATTAAATTGTAAATTACAGTAGGTTAACGAAGGAATTGGGCAAAAATATTTCAGCATTATGTTTATAGGATGCCTACAGTCATTTTAAAATCAAAAACTCAAAATCGATTTTTTCCTATGTCCATGGCTGATCCAGTGACTCAGAAATCGTGTTTTAATGTTTTATATTTAGTATTTTGAAAGTAAAGAAGGCGTATCTTCCTGCCAAGGACTGTGGAGAGGTAATCAATGATTTGGCCAAAAAACACTCTTTAACTTTGGAGTCAGCAATTCCCAACTTAAAAGTTAAATATGAAGTAAGTTTTTTGATTATCTACCGGGTGGGGGGAGATTTGAATTGGCTATAACTTCTTTGTTTTTCGGCCAAGTATTAACTCTTTTTTCTCTGAATCCTCAGAATCTCCCGTTTTGGTTGATTAATCCAGAAATTCCTTCATCTGCGTGGTGAAAATTAAAAAGCTAAAGACGAAAATTTCGAAAGTTATGGCTAAAATTAGGTAAAAAAATCATTTTCTAATGAATATAAAATTAAAAAGTCAAAAGGCTTTGAATTTCGGCACCTACAGCTATGTCAAGGACGGTCCGCGATTTTTGTTCAACACTACATTTCATTTTCAGACAGATAATTTTAACAACCGAAAAAGGTAAACTAAGAATTTAGTTTTTTGTTAATTTTTATTACCATGGTCTAATGGTATCACACAAAACGGGAGATTCGGAAGATTCAGGGAAATTTTTTTAAACCTTGCCAAAAATAAAGGAGTTATAGCCAATTCAAATCGGGACAAAAAATGCTCTACTTTTATATTGCCCTCTGTTGTTTAATACTGGTCTTTATAGATATTAGCAGAAGTTGGACAAAAGTACAGCTACTTTGTTCCAAATTCACATTTACATCGAATCAATACGACAGCGGATATCCTCAATTTTTATAATACTCCCAAGGATAACATTACTACTTACGTGAAGATTGCTCGGGACGAAACAAAGCCAGAAAACTTGGAGGTTCGAGAAAATCCAGTCCGGTTCCATCCTAACGATAAGCACGCTCATCACAAAGGAGTCACCGCATTTCCAGGGGAAGGGGGTCAAGTTATTTCTTTGAGGAATAAGAGAATATACAGACAATTCAGACCGAAGAAGGAGTGGTTTGACTTTGAGGAGCAAAACTTTGATCATGAAGCAGTGGATAAAGATTGCCCATGGGATCCCGAAGTGGCAGCCAAGATGGATACATATGTGGATCGAAAACTGAAGGGAAGGCAGTTTTACAAGGCCTAGTTCTTAATTGTTAATTTGTTCTTGTTGATTATAAATTTAGGCACATTACTTCGCTTACATTATCCTTTATGACCCGTTATTCAAAGATTGCAGTTATTGAAAAGTGAAAATTTATGAAAATAAGGCATTAACGACGCCGTTCGTAGAGGCGATACTTTCCGTATGCAAGATACGATGAGGTAAAGGGAACGGCGAAGGCCCTAAATAACGGATGAGACTTCTCGGCAAGCAGAAATTCCCTTTCGTATATCACATTGAACTGTTTCTGGAATTCAACGAATATCACGGCATAACCATTCCCTACCTCTGTTTGGCTGTTGAAAGCGTCTTTTTCCGAGTACTCTCCAGTGAAAAGGTCAATGGCATAATCGCAATTCTTGATGTCAACATATCTACTTGGTTCCTCTCTGTTCAAATCATTCATTTCCGATGGCAAAGTTCTCGTTATTTCTGGTAAAGGACCATCATTATAGTGTTTGGGCAAGATCCCATCAAAATTAGACTTCAGGAAATCCATGACTACTTTTTTCTTCTTATTCCCTTTCCCTATCACATATTCTGGTAGGTAAAACGAAGACGGGAATCGATACCATTCTTTGCCTACACACAGGCGGATAGGATCCTAAACAGAATGAAAACATTAATACCGTACACTTACGTTTGACTTTCCCAATTCTATTTGCCCCTGATTGATGACAAAGTGATCGTTAAAGTACTTGAAAATGTCTGCTGAGGCCGCATAATTCCTATGCAATGCATACCCGCGAGATATGGAGAGTACCACAAATCCGAAAACAATCACGTTGGAGACGGTTATCAGTCGATGATGGACATGGGCCAAAGCTTCGAGGCCAACGGCACCAAGAACAGCGAGTAGGGGGAATATCGGGAAGAGGAACCGTTCTTCCTTATGCGGTTGGAGGAAGAAGATTGTAATCCACAAGTAAACTGACAAGAAAATAAAAAAGAATGGGATAAAACGATACCAGAATCGAAGGGAAACATCTGAAGAAGGGTTAATATAATTAATCACTTTTTGACCACTTTGCAAGTTTCGTGCGGAAAAAATGGATTTTTGATCTAAATATTATTCTTTACGGTAGAAATAGGTACGAAACTTTTCGTTCCGAAATTTGGCAAAAAGTCTCAAACTTTCGCCGACTTTCGATCTAAAAATCTCGGTTGTCTCTGCAAAGCGCGATCCAGAATTCTCGCATATATTTTAGAAAAAACTGTTCTAAATTTGTGCCAACTTTCATCGAAATCTGAGTGTCGCACTTGAGGTACTGTCACCAAAAATTTAAAAGCTGTTGACTTACCAGCTCTGGTGTCCTTATTGTGTTTAAACACGTAGACAAATAATGCTGCCGGCAATGAGAGAAGTATGGGAACCAATCCGACATTCCAATTCAAAAACAAATTCTTAAGATAAAAACTAACTGGTTCCGTGCCATAGAGGTCAGGTCCATGACCGGAGAAGACGTTGTATAACATAATATTTAACGGAGCCTAAAAAAATAATAAGTGCGTAGACAAGCTTACAATGACAGGTTTTCCATAGTAATAACTGTCAATCACATACATAGGGATGAAGATCAGTAAGCCACTGATTAGAGAGTACAACAAGAACTTCCAGATAAGATCTCTTCTTCGGATGAATAGCATCTCCAGTACAATGGGCAGCCCTAGAATCGCCGCAAAGGGCCATCCGATAAGAGCACTTAAGGCAGTGAAGAATATGGCCGCAAACCAACATTCCTGAAGATACGCGGCCATAGCGAAGGCATTCATAGACATCGAGAATGAAGATGGGAGAAATGCCGGGCTTGCATTGAACATTGCCACCGATAACATGGACAGGATTACATAGTAAGATCCGATCGAGTTCCCAAGTCGATTACACACACTCTTATAGAGACATAAGTCGGCGATCATACAAACAACAGCGATAAGGATACGGATAATGTGGAACAACATAACTTTTGACATCGTAACCGCACTCAGGAAAGGGTAGGACATCAAGTAATGCAAATAAATGTAGGCCCATGACCTAAAATTATTGTATTAGATGTTGCGTCACATCAAACTCTAAAGTTTTAAACTTTTAACCTTATTCCGTATTCTGGAGAATATTCCCATGTTTGAAAACCTCTGCCAAACAACAGCAAGTGTAATCCTTCCCAAAAATTGTATACCTCGTCACAATCAAGAATAATGCTCCAAAAAGAACTTCCAACGCGCAGTGAGAACAGCAACTAAATTATTTATAAAAATTAATTGTTAAAGCTATACCTTTAAGATGGTTGAAAAGCTGAAGAGGTAACCTTCATCTAACTTAGAATTAGTATAAAACAACTTTCCTCCAATATTCGACCACAGAAACCTGTTATTGTCTTGTTTCACAGCATTTTTCTGGACTTTAGCTTCATCTTCTCCTCGATCTGGGCTTTTATCGTGAAGAAGACGCTGAGAGCGACGATTCTCCCTCCGTCGGACAGATGCAATTGTAGACATCGTGTAGCATTGGTCCGCGGACCGGTCCGGCAATGTTGCACTCTCGGGATTATTATTTTAGTCGCAGCTCGCGCCCGAAGGTACGCATATTGGGATTAATGTAATATACAAAGCTCGGACTCACACCTTCTAGAAGGCCTTCTATTATAACGTTTATAACAAAACAATAATGACAAAAAAATCCTATTTCTAAGTCTTTCCAGTTTTGCCTTCAAGGGCAGCAACGAGTTTGGGAACTCTCTTAACAATTGGCTTATTCTGTTTCAGATAGTCTTGCAGTATCCGATGAGGTGTGTCGGCAGAAGAAATGGCCGTTCTCCAATCCGGATACATGGTCTTGTAAAGGCACACAAGGGAGGCGGCACCTTCCAGTCTAAAATAATATGATGTCCAACCATCCTGATACAGTACTTACTCTGAACGAGATCCGAAAAACTCCAATAATGGAGCAATCTTATTATTTAAAAGACTGTAGAAGACCAACGGCCCAAAGTGCCGAGTTGAATAGAGCAAGCTAAACTTATCTTTTTCGATGGCGTCATCAAACACACGTTTAGACAGCTGAAATATACTAGAAAATTATATGTGTCATACCTCCGCAAAGTCTGGACAATCCGGCTCATAAAAATAGCATCCCCAGTCCAAAATAAACTCGTGTTTATCTTTCTCCAAGGCCTTCTGAAAAGAAAATATACAGTATTATCCGGTCACATACAAAGTAAATATCCTAGTTCATTTCAGTTTGGTCAATGTAATCTATCAGATTTATAATGCTTACCGACAATTCGGGATCACTAAAAACAGCAGGCGGAACAACCGGCCTATCTGGTTGTTCATAGTAGACCCGATTCATTCTATCGTGCTCAGTTGGTAATGCTGTTCTTAATGTCCCGTCAGTTTCACGGATAACCACCAGACGATCCTAAGGAAAACACAAAATTATAGGAAATGAGTACTTACTCTATTGGTAGCATCGAATGTAATGTCAGTGAACACAAATTTTGATTGATCGAATCCAACAATCTCTGGATCCTTCGCCAATATCTCAAATTCTCTCCTTCTAGGTTCTTTGAACGGAACCATTTGAAGAAACTTCTTTCCTCTGTCTTCAAACTTATGCAATGTCTAAAGGGAGTCTACAAAAAACCTGTAACTTTCACCTGTTTCAGCATGTTATCCGTCATGAGATGATATTGCGCGCGTTGTTGTTGAGGAATTGACCGCTCCCGGAACACCTTACTCTCCATGTCCAATCCGGTAATTTTGTAGAGTAGGGATTGGACATCCGTCCTGATAAAAACTTCCTCCACATCAATATCCTTGTTCTGCGCAGTTTGTGTTCTAAAATTTAATAATAACGACTTGAAAAATACTTACGAGCTATTTATCCAAACAGACGCTGCCCTTCCTGTCCTCACTATATGTTTTAGACGGCTACGCAACATCGATAACCCGATTATAGAAAACCACAAACAATTTGATCCGTGAAAGTTCGGATTTTTGTAACAAAAAATAAAATTTGTGTAAGACTTGACAACGAAGTCAAGTGTTTTCGCTGTTTCCAAAAATTCTGTCGACTAACGCGTCATGACGACGTCGTTATAGATATTATTTTTATCTCACTGTTTCTTATATTTGCATACATTGTAATTGTAATTACAAACATTCTCAAATTCTTAAAGTCCGTAATTATATCCATTTTTTTCCATCAGATTATCGTCATTTTCTTTTGTCATAGTGACTAATTTTATATACGATACGGAACCTTTACAGATTTTTTTTTGGTTTCCCAATTCATCAGCTCTTGCTACTTGTTAGAAGAATATGTCTGTTAACGATGAACAAGTTTGTTATACGTTGTGGAGAGTTCGTCGTACTGTTTTACAGGTAATTATATGATTTCTTATTGTCACTCGGTTATTTAGATGTGCCATGATCGCGGATATTTGGTGACCCAAGAAGAATTGGAGCAGACGTTGGATCAGTTCAAGGAATTTTTTGGTGACAGACCTTCCGAAGGTAACCCTTCTCGGAGTTCCTTGACTTTATTGGTGGCTCATAACGACGATCCCACAGGTAAGATTAAAATTTATTTTAGGTATTATTTTAGATCAAATGTACGTTTTCTTCCCGGAAGATCCCAAGATTGGTATCAAGACAATCAAAGCGTTCTGTCAGCAGATGCAGGAACAAAATATCACCAGGGCGATCATTGTCGTTCAAGGCGGAATGACCCCTTCTTCCAAACAGGCCGTTAATGACATGATGCCCAAATATCAACTGGAGGTATTTTTGGAGGCCGAATTGATGGTTAATATCACTGAGCATGAACTGGTGCCCGAACATGTGGTCATGACACAAGACGAAAAGGCTGAATTGCTCGCCAGATAGTAAGCTTTGAGTCTTTTCTAATATTGTGACCTGTTTTAGCAAGCTGAAAGATACCCAGCTGCCGAGAATTCAGTTGAGTGATCCAGTTTCCCGTTACTTCGGATTGAAGAGAGGCCAAGTTGTGAAGATTATCCGGCCTTCCGAGACTGCTGGGCGTTACATTACCTACAGAATCGTCGTTTAATCCTCGTATCTCACTTCGCATCTCTTTAATTTGTTTTCGATCTGACACAAGATTAAAAGTAATTTCATTTTTATTTATTTTTCACGGAAGTATGTTAAACAGAGAGCGCATGCGACAACGGAGCATTAGTTTGGCCTTCCTCCATGTAAGTTTATCGTTTTTCAGCAAACTTTTTGGTATATTCAATGGCCCTCTGCATAAAGACGGGTTCGTTGGAAGCAAGAAGGTCTGCGATATCAGCTCGGAGGGGGCGATTCGAATCCAAATCCAGGATCGTTTGGGATGCTCGAATTAAAACTGAATAAAAATTTGGTTACTCTTTCTGTGATGTACCTACCATCTCTGATGGTCATAGTTGGCTTCCATTCTTCTGACTTTAGACCGGGGATACTCATATTTCCTGCCTCGTCGACATTGGGATGCATGATCTTAGTCATGAAGTTGATAGAAGGGGGTTTGAATGGGTAATTGAAAGGAAGGAGCACCGAAAGACGGAAAGAACCACTGTTGAAGGGGGGAAGTTCCTGGTATACGGTCAGGAAACTATAAAACGTAAGCTTACTGGATTGAAACAAAAGGACCAATTTCGGTTTTTATCATCCGCCGACAGGAATTTGAACATCGGGACACTGTTCTTGGTCATCCAGAGTAATTCCTGAGATGATTAGCGATCAGCATTTTACTGTATATATTGACGGAAAAACGTAGAGTACACATTATTACTCTTACAGATTCATAACGCATTTTGCAAACTTCTGCCATTTCCCCATCCAATTTCACGTCAACTTCCTTCTTTTTGTTATCGGGCTTCACGGCCAACATGATTTCCGAACGAATAATTGAAATGATTTTAGCTCCGCACCGTTCTCCCAACCCATCCTTCAAATGCGAAACTCTCCAAACTCTCCATTTTGTGCATGGCTATTCGATATTTAAGCATTTTGGAGTATGTTCTGGGGATGCGTTCAGAACCTCTCACGTATCTGCTCCCGTAGCCATTCAGAATCTTTGTGGTAGATGGGATTGCTCAGCCACAAGGAGGAGCGTTTATAACAGAAATAATACACAACTGATACTGTAATTATTAACAAAGTCTCATTTTGATTTGTGTTATCTTACATGTTCTTTGGGTGAGATAAACCGCGTGCAAATGTGTGGGCCAAGTGTACTTTTTAACATTCCATCGATCTTTCTGAGAGCACATAATTAAATTCTACTACCCTTACCAAGCTCAAAACATGTAGGACAATAGATGAGACCAAATAACAACTGGAAATAAGCAATGTGAACCAAAACTCTTTTGCCAAAACTTCGATGAGACCGGCTCGAAATACGAAGGTCGAAGAAAACGTTATCAGTAACACGATTACCCCCATTACCAGAAATATATCTTGGAGTCTGAAACGAGCACATCCTTGTATCTTCACGCAACTCACATAAAAATCATTAATTGGGCTGTGTTCTTATCATAGGCGATAGTTGCCGCACAATTAAACGAAATGTCCGTCAGAATAATAATCATATGCAGGGGCATCACTAGGTTGTATTTTGTAGTCATTTTGCTGTGTTCCCCCACAACAATGACGCAATCTTGCTTCTAACCGTTTATTTCTTTAAGACAAACTCAAAAACAATTTTGGTTGCCATGACAATGTGGGTTTCGACGCGAAAACATTTTTTACCGAAAATAAAAAATTGCGCAATATTTGCAATTTCGTCCATACCAACAAAAGTAAATCTTGAAACAAAAGGTAAATCTTTGAAATTATGTTGTCAGATGACCAAATCACCAAGGAATATGTTAAAAGTGTTGTCAACTCAGTGCAGGTAATATTATTCCGTATATATAAGCAGTTTCTAGAATGAATGCAAAAAGATGCCTCTTCATGATCCGTCCGAAGGTCCAAACCGAGACCTCGTTGCTCAAAATTTGAATCAAATCAAAAAATTAAAAGGGAATCATGACAAAAGGACATCTCTGGATCAAGGGTAAATTGTGCATGAGATTAACTTTATTTTTTTAGGACCTCGGATGGTCATGCCGTTTGCCAGGAATTAAGGACAAAAGAAAAAATATTGAACTCAAAGTTGAAAAAGAGTAAGTAAACAGCTGAGCCGTTTTATATTCTTAGCCTTGGCGAGACTGGAGAAGGTGAAGATGGTAAAAACGGCGATGATTGAAGAACTGTTCGCTACAGCCGGGGGATTGGATACTAGTTCTTTTATGGATTTTCAAGACAAATACGTTATCAATGAAGAAGAAGTATCCGCAAAGCTCGAAGAGACGGTTAGCCGGATCGAAGTCAAAGAAAAGGAGGTTGGTCCTTCTAGTATTGTATAGTGATTGTGGTTTACAAGGAACAGCACCAAATGCGACGGTCAGATTTTCTTGAAATTTTACAACTACTTCGGACACAAGCCGTATATCGCTTCCTATTTTAGCTCGCGCTTTGCAAAGACATCCTGGATATTCAATCATCAACGGTCTTTGCGACCGAGAGAGTACGCGGAAAGCGGTTAGTGGAAAAAACACTTTTCAATTAATTTTCGGCCGTAAAATGTCGGTTTTTTCTGCAAAGCGCGGAGTTAAGAGTTTCGCATGTCTTGGAAAAAATTACTTTAAATTTATCCCAAGTTTCATCAAAATCTAAACGTCGCATTTGGGAATAATTCCCCGTTTAGTTTGAAAGAGCCATGCAAGGAGTAAGAAAGGATTACAACATGTACGTCGAAGTCAAGAAGAAGATTGAAGGTTTACCTGAAATTGGTGAGATGTGTTTGCATTTATGTTATCGTTCAGGTGATCTCACTACCGGAATTAAGACGCTCGAGGAGAAGATTCGAAAGTTCGATGTGAATGGAGATTGGACGACTGATACTCTGATTAGCGACCATGGTGACATGAATGCTTCCCATTATGTCGAATAATTTTCTTTGTCAGGTTATTTTTTGATTACTTTGTTGTTGATGTTTACCGTATGTGTATTTTGTTCTTGTTACTGTTTTGTTAGTTTGTTAATAAAGAGCTTTTTGCAAGTATTTTCTTATTCATGTGATCTTTATTCAAAGTTGAAGAGGGAGTGGTCGGAGCAACGGAAGCGTTCCTGGTTTTGAGGTTATGACTGGAGGGTCGGCTTTATGCTGTTCAATGTAATTTCTGTTGGTTATCAGGCTAATTGCGTATAAATAGCGCGTATTTAACAGCTTCTGACTAGAGTAGTGTACTTTTTGTAGCAGGTCAAACTTACAATGTTCGTAGTAGACGCATAATGACTATTTTTTAGAGTAAACATGTTTAAGAGTACTGCAAAGGTTTCAAATACTCTGCACTTTTCTTGTGTGATGTTCAAAAGATTACTTTTCTCTTTTATCGGTGTTTTACGACTTGTATGATAACATTGTTTCTTCCGACTAGTCATTTTTTTAATTGGCAATCTCTTATGTTGTTTAAGAGGATTATAATGTTAAAAAACGATGGTTTTAGATTATCAATTTTAATACTGTTAGTTACAGAGAATGAAGGGTAATGATAATAAATTGAGTCCATTCGAGGCGTTCGCGTATTGTTTCGGAGACATTATCGGCTCGGGAATATTCGTCTCTCCCTGGTCAATTATGAAACATTCTGGGTCCATTGGTCTCTCATTTATCATATGGATTGTTGGGGCCTTCATTGCCATAATCGGGGCCTTGGTTTATGTTGAATTGGGCACCAAGATCAGGAAATCTGGATGTGATTTTGCCTATCTTACACATGGCGGATGGTGAGTGACCTTGAAATTAATAAGATCAAACTATCCCTGATTTGTCACTTGTAACAACATGATGTTTGCAGGGAGCCAGCAGCCGTTCCATTTTTATATGTTAGTTGTTTGCTGATATACCCAACCATTCTGGCCATCCAGACAATTGCCTTTGGCGGTTACATTGTGTCTGGCTTGTCCAGTATCTTCTACTTTGACGACGATGAAGTTTATATTTTGAGACACCTTATTGGGTTCTTGGCATTGTGTGAGTACTATGATTTCTAAAATACCGATTTAATTGAGTCGTTCTTGTCTTTGTGAACATGTTTTCTCTTCGAAGTTTCGCGGGAAAACTTCAAATAGCAGTAACTGCGTCGAAATTGGCAGTAATCTCAATTATTTTACTGGTCGGGTTCTATTATTTGATATTCAAAGGTATGTCTGGGAGGAAATTTAACGATCTAGATGACAGATGGTTCCAAACATTTTGAAAATTCATTTGATGGGACAACAAAGGACCCTGGAGGTATTGCTCTCGCACTCTATGCTAGTCTTTATGCCTACAATGGATGGGATATTTTGAATTTTGGAACGGACGAAGTCGAGAATCCGAGAAAGTAAGACCTTGCAAATTGTCGTGCAAAGTGCTGTAATTGATTCCTACTGTTTCTTTAAAGGAGTTTGCCGATTGCTGGACTGGGCAGTATTATTAGTGCAGCTGTTTTGTATGTGGGCATTAATGTGGCTTACATGTCCGTGCTGACTAAAGAAGAATTCTTGATTGGGGATACGGTAGCAGTGGTAGGTCGAAAGAGATAAAAATAAATGTCTTTAGCAATTTGCTCGTCGCTCCATGGGCGATTTCAGTTACGTAGTTCCATTTTTGATCGGAGTTTTATTACTGGGAAATCTGAATACTACGATCTTCGGATGCAGCCGATATGTACTTGCTGGTGCCAGGAATGGATACTTCCCATCGTATTTGAAGACCCTGAATCCGGAATCGATGAGTCCAAGGGCTGCTGTTCTGGCTGAGGTGATCTTTCGCTTACAGTACTAGTAATGTTATGACTGCCTGAAGGTAATTTACTTTTTTAGTTGGTGGTAGCCATCATAATATCATTTATTGGTGATCTGGAGCATCTACTTGGGATCATGACCTTTGCCATGTGGACACAACGAGCAATCGTCCAGATATGTTTACTTTGGATGAGGTATAAGCGATTTGAATATCCAAAAGATGCATTCGTTACTCCGATCTTCATGCCCATCTTGTTTTTCGGTATTTCCATTGCTTTGCTTGTTGCTCCAGTTGTTGAGGTACGTCGAAAGCATTAATTTTTTACGCGACATTTCTGCTTTCAGAATTATTACGTAGCCATTGCGGGTCCAGTGCTGTTGTTATGCGGCTGCTTTGTATACTTTATAATCCTCCCGCGGACGCATAAGGTGATCTTCCAGAAGATGGACTACTACCTAGTCGTATTGTCTCAACTTTTGTTGAATGTTGATATTGTTGAAGATGAAAAATTAGAATAAAAACATTTTTCGGAGACATAAAGTTTTTTGTTATCTTTTGATGGGTTAAAATTATGAGACCCAAAATGCAGGAAACGGAAGCCATAAACAGAAAGTATGGAGCTTTATAAAGGATAGGTTAAATAAAGGATAGTTAGCTTATCTATTAAAAATTCCATCATGAGCTACTCTGGGGATATCACCGAGACCAAAAAACATGCGTTGATACATCTCGTCTATCACCAGTTGCTTTATAAAAGGCAAAGGGAACCCGAGGGCTCGATTTAAAAGCGTTGGATCGCTTTTCTACCCCCTTATTCTGCAATTATAATATATTTAAAATGGCCGAATCTTCAAATAAACTTGGCCTTTGGGGTTCCTGTGCTTACTGTATGGGAGGAATGATCGGATCAGGCATTTTCCTGTCTTCTTCCTCCATCCTCAAGTTCTGTGGCTCTTACGGGATCTCTCTAATTGTTTGGGCGTTAGCCGGATTGATTACTGTAATGGCGGCGTTGGTTTATTTGGAAATGGGAACTTCAATACCCGTGAATGGAGGTGGCTATGCTTATTTGACAAGGGCTGGATGGTAAGGAGAGGTCTGCCTTAATCTTATAGTACATTCTTTTTAAAAGTGCCGTGTTTCAGGCATCCCCTGGCATCTTCCTTTTTCTGGCTGGGTACCTTCTTCACATATCCCTCAACCTTGGCCGCTTTGAGCGTGGGCGTGGCCGAGAACGTGGCCAAGGGGCTTAAAATCCTATTAGAATACGATGACTTTGTTGAAAATTTACTGCGTATGATCCTGGCGGTGGGAAGCATTTGCAAGTTTGCCTCTCCATATAGTTTATAATTACAGTATTCGTTTCCTTCTTAAATCTTGGCAAAAGCATCAGATTCCAAGCAAGTGTAACCTCTGCCAAAATAGTAGTAATTGTTTTGATCGTAATTATTGGGATTGTGTATTTATTCCAAGGGCATACGCAAGTTTTCGATGATTTTATGAATGGCTCTGCCAATGATCCGTTGGACATCGTAATGGCTGTTTACATCGGTCTGTTCTCTTATAGTGGATACGAAGTGTTGAATGTGGTGATGGGAGAGATACGAAGACGAGTGCTGTGAGCTTTTAAACAGTTGTTACAGTATTCTCTAGAACAACTTTCATAGCTGGCACCGGAACTGTGCTTGTGGTCATGTTTATTTATCTTACGGTTAATGTTTCCTACTTTACGGTTTTAAGCAAAAAAGAAATTTTGGGATCGTCTGCCGTTTCAGTGGTATGTTTGCGTGTTAATTTTAGGAATTTTGAAGGCATTCTTCGATGAATCTCTCCATTTTATTGGAAAATATGTGCCTTTTATTGTCAGTTTCCTACTTCTGAGTAACTTGAATATGGTAATTTTTGGAGCTGGACGGTAAGAATATTATCCTCTTGAAGTGCTCTTTAATTAAGGTTCATGGCAACTGGAGCCAAGAATAAAGTTATGCCGGCTGTTATCGGCTACACCCATAAGGCCTCAGGCAGTCCTCGCTTGGCTATTTTAATCCAGATGTTGATATCTATTGGACTCAGTTTTGTTAGCGAGCTCTCCACGTTGATCTCGTACATGTCTTTTGCTGAAGTGTTGGACAGATTCATCGTGCTCTCAGCTTTTTTGTACATGAGATATCACCAGTTTAAATTTGCGGAAGATGCCTTCCGTAATCCCATTCTCATCATCGTTATCTACCTTGCAATTTGTGGTGGATTGATTTGTTTACCAATCTACAGAGTTGGTCATCCTTTGACTAAAAAAACCAAACTTACTTTAGGGACTGACAGCTGCGTTGATCGCCCTTTCAATTGTATCTGCGGGCATCGTTCTGTATTTTACATTATCCTTTATCCGAAGCAAGGGATTACTTCCGCAGATATCTCAAAGTAAACAAATAATTTATTTCTCTTTTAAGTAATACTTTTCAGACCACATTCTACTGAAGATATGTTCCACATTAGATATAAGCGAAAATAAACCTGAGGAATCTAATTATAATGAGATCTCACCGTGATTTAGAGATCGCACTTTTCGAATTAATAAACTCTTCTCTTCGTGATATTGATCATTTCTTTTGATATGTTGCTCCGTTCTTATTAACAATGGGTGGTTCGAATGGGAGACCGGGATTCGGCCACAGTAATCCGCCGAGAATTTGTGAGTTGAATGGAGATCTTGACGAGAAAAGAAGGCACAGGCAAATCCGGTCATAAAAGCGTCCATCCCAGCACTGTGAGAACCTGCAACAACTTCGACATATATTAAAAATGTTAGTCCTTTACCTATCTCGTTAGCTCTCTTTCCATTTCTCCCATGAAGTTCTCCTTTCTGTGGTTTTTTCATTTTTTCATTAATGTCTTCCTGGTCATTATCGCTAATTTCTGTTTGTTTTCTCTTAGTTCCTTTTTCTCCTTGCAGAGATTTATATTCTTCCAGATCCAGTACCATTTCAACATCATGATCCAATGGACATTTATCTCTTTTTTGACAAAATCCGTGATTCTAGAATTAATCTTTAGAAGTAATAGGTCTGACACTTACAGAAAACGAAGGACATACAAACTTCAATGTAAGCGGGTCGTATTTCTTATTAATAAAGCATTCTGAAACCTTCGATTCAACGAATGTAGTGTCAACGCCATCAAAAACTTCAAAATTAATTTCAATCGATATGTCATCGTCCTTCAAGGCCGTTAGATTTTGCCGTTGCGACTTTCGATAAACATATTCGAGGAATGAAACGGAGTATCCCAGCTTGTGTTCGGCAATGAACTTAGTATCAATTATTGCGGCGGTGTATTTATCTGAGATTGGGGGTTTATCCGAGGCCTGGAAGAGATCACTGAGATTAGCCAAGAATTCAGAACAAGTAGGCGGGAGGGGAGAATAGAAGTTGTTGTAGAGAAACATCAGATCAATCAGACCATTGTGGAAGGCAAGAGTCGCGCCTGACTCCAGAATTCGTGTAAATATTCGATTGGGGATATCATCTATCTAAAATAAGGCAACAAATATACAGTAGCTGCCAAAAAACTGTCAATTTTTTTGTTTTTTGTGTAACTCTGCTCAACGTGGACGGATTTCAACGAAACAAATACCATTCTGTAGAGAGTTACTGCTGTTATCTAATGGTGTAGCGGTTGGAGCGATTTTACATCTTAGTGTGTAACAACTGTCGATGTAAAATTTTTGGAAGGACAAAAAACTGTCAATTTTTCCAAAAAATTTTACCGCTTGCATACGTCGCGGCAAATCATGGGCTTATACATTCCGATTTTTAAATAAAGTCCCACTGTACATAATTAACCATCAAAGGGAGCCAAGAAAGTTAATTTAGTAGACCTTTTGGTGGTCCAAAGTTCGATACCCCAAAACATGACGTTTAAGAAAAAATCGATTTTTTTCTTTGACTTAGCATTAACGCAACGCTTTGCAGTAGAAGCTAGACAACCTACAATTAAAATAGAACAATGATTGGGAGCCTAAATGTAAGTCTACGGACCCCACTTGACATTCAAGTTTTTCTGGCAGTAGATGTACCGTGGAACTTCAGCCCGGGTGCTTCCGCAGACACCTCTAATCGTAGTTCCAAAGCGACAGAAGGCACCCATGTTAACAGTGAACAGTTTAGAACCGCTACCGCGCCAGGCCCGTACTTTGCGCGTAAAATAACAAGCTCCTAAATGGAATTTTTGAAGAAAAATTGTTATCTCGATTTTCACTCTCCATAGGATGGAAATAACCCAGCGCAAGGACAAGCAAGATGTTGTCCCATACATTTACAGCCATTCCTGACATTTCTAACGTAATTTCACTCCCTCTAACGTGTTTCTAAAGTCTTAAGCTGACTTGCAAGTTTCCACAAAAAATTTTTTTTGTTAATGACAACGTAACCCTAGGTAATTCTTGTGTGACTTGCATCGCCGTCCTACAAATGCCCATAAAATGCTTCTAGAACATCTGCGATCATGTATTGATAAAGCATTAGCAAGTTGTTACAAAGGCGGGGGCAACAAGGCCAAGTCTCTACAGAAACTCGATTACCGGAGAAACTTGAATGTCAAGTGGGGTCCGTAGACTTACATTTAGGCTCCCAATCATTGTTCTATTTTAATTGTAGGTTGTCTAGCTTCTACTGCAAAGCGTTGCGTTAATGCTAAGTCAAAGAAAAAAATCGATTTTTTCTTAAACGTCATGTTTTGGGGTATCGAACTTTGGACCACCAAAATGTCTACTAAATTAACTTTCTTGGCTCCCTTTGATGGTTAATTATGTACAGTGGGACTTTATTTAAAAATCGGAATGTATAAGCCCATGATTTGCCGCGACGTATGCAAGCGGTAAAATTTTTTTGGAAAAATTGACAGTTTTTTGTCCTTCCAAAAATTTTACATCGACAGTTGTTACATACTAAGATGTAAAATCGCTCCAACCGCTACACCATTAGATAACAGCAGTAACTCTCTATAGAATGGTATTTGTTTCGTTGAAATCCGTCCACGTTGAGCAGAGTTACACAAAAAACAAAAAAATTGACAGTTTTTTGGCAGCTACTGTACGTGCAATCTTATCCAAAAATTACTCTTTTTCGAAACGAAACTCCATTTGAAATCAGTTGATTGAAATCCAATCCATGATTTACAAGGAACTGAAGGGATAAAGGATCAACCGTAAATGGATCCAACTCAAATAGCATAATGTCAAATACAGTAATTTTGTATTTGACCCTCTTATCTTCAACTCCGTCATATTTGAAGACGCTTAATCCTAACGAAAGGATCGACCTTGTCTCGGCAAGTGTCTTATAGGCCAGATACTTCTCTTCCATCTGAGATTTTGGGTCGATTCTGGGACCAAGGCCAGTAATCTCCTAGCAATGACAATTACTTTTTAACGTAAAGTGATCTTTGAAGCAAGTGGTAAAGGTGCTTACCAAATCGATGGCAATAAAAGAAGCGTTCTTAATGGATTGAAAAATGGTTTCCCGAAGCTCCTTCACATTGTTTTTTCTGACATTGTGAACTGGAATTGTCCTTACAGTCGGATCCATTAAACCTTGAGAATACGAAAAAAGATTAGGTCAATGAGAAGTACAATATAAACATGAATGAGAACTGAAAGGGTCTCGAAGAGTATGAGAGGTTTTCTATTTTTATTGAGATTCTTAAATATCGAGTAACAAACACTGTTCTACTCTAATTCAAGTCTGAGAAATTTACTGGTCTTTCTTGTCCGCATTTGGCACTGTTCCGTTTTCCACCTTCGCTGTTTGGAATTTTCGTTCCCGTGAAGTAACAATGGCCCTAAAATGTAATAAAAATTGTGCAAGCTCAAACTAAAAACATCATGATTTTGAAAGACCCTTACCGTGAGAGTGCATCCCATATTCCTCCCATAAAAATTGCACAGAGCAGATTCTCGAAAGGAGCCAGAGGATCGTTGACATGAAGAAGGACAGCACTCAATTTGAAGTAGACAAAGAATAGAACTAGACCGAGGTATGTGATTTCGTGTGGCAGATTTATGTAGATTGAGCTTTTATCTAGGGTGAAGATGACAGCAGCGATGACACAAGCTTTAGTAGTAAACGACGGCCTCAGAATCTCACTTTGAGATGGCACCCAGACTCCCCGTAGTAACTAAAAATGATTTTGTTATTATCTCGTAAAAAAGCGTTGTTAAATCTTAAAAAGACTTGCTTGTTCAAAAAGCCGAATAATTCCAGAACCTGCTCCCTTAGCCGTCCCGATCATAACGTGGATAATGTAAGCGTTCGGGTAGAGCTTGGCAGCATAGGCAACTCCATGATGAATCTTGTAGGTTCTTTGGGTCTCTTTCAAAATACATAAAAAGATCTTGATGGGCATGATCTTTGTCAATTTGTAAACAATATCAAAAGGCGAATAAAATACGAGATACCAAACAATCGTTGCCTAAAGAAAGCCGTTTACATTCAATTCTAAATATGAAAAATCAAACGAAACGTGCTTACCAAAAGGACATCATCATGTCTTTTGAAAGTTGCAACCACCGGCTCTCCCAGGAGAAAGTTTGCCAAGAAATTGCCAGCAAAACAAACAACCATCGATGATAACCAACAACTAAGGGGATGGCGTCTTGAAAACCCCGTCGCATTGAGTCCTAAATCATCCCGCACTGTGCAACACATCTGAATTACAATTATTAATTATAACAACTTCACATGCCGTAGCAAAGAAAAAACAACATACCAATGCATAATGCGCAAAATCAAAATAGGGATACATCTTCAACCGTTGGATGTAACTGCCCGAACTGAGCAGATAATCCTGGTCGATCTTCAACGAGGACGGCCAGTGCATGATGAAGATCTTGCAAAAACAAGGTCCAGATCTCTATAAGTGGAGATTATTAAAACAATGCGAACAAAAAACATGAAACGTCTTAATTATTTGAAAAACGAAGGGAAACGAGACTCTCCACACAAAGAGCCTCAGGGCGAGAAGAGGAAAAAGCAGAGATCTTGGCCGGCTTTTGGGGGAAAAGGCCAACGGGAGGGGATGAAGAAGGAGAAGAGAGGCCCCACTCCCGCGATCTCCCTATCCCAGACCTGCAGGATCAAAGAGAGACCATTCCGTCTTATCCCTTATTGTTTATTATGAACAGGTAATAACAATACTGTAACATTGTCGCCGCAGCCTTTCAACACTGCGGCAGAGGCGAGAATGGATGCAGCTTTAGAGTAAATCATCGCTGCATCGTCTGAATTCGTCGTAATCTCATTGACAGTAGACAATACTTTATTGATAACTTCTGTCTCCGTAAATGCTTTCCATAATCCATCACATGCCACTATCACAAACCTTTAAATAAGCTCATTTATTCGGATAACTTACTGATCATTCTCCGTAAGAGTCACTTTCTTTATAGAAGGGGTTGAAATGACTCCGCTCTTCTTTAAAGGGTCATCTCCGATGGCCCGAGATAGCTCGGATATTCCCATAACACGTCCATCTCTGCAAATTTGACTATAAAAATTTCGGCTCACTTTACAAATCCTCCAGCCTTCTGAATCCTCTGCCGTTCTTCAAAAACAATGGCCGTGTGCTCTTCTGTAAGCGAAAGGGATACCACTTTGTCTTCCTTCTTCCTTCCAACTATTGCTTTGCTGTCTCCGACATTGGCACAATAAACAACATCATCCAAAAATAGCAGAACAGTAGCTGTGCATCCATCCTTCAGTTTTGGAGTACTGTAATGGCACGACATTTAAATAAAGTATGATACGCAGAATAAAATATTACTTTGCACACCTTTTCCTAGCCAAACTCAAAAATTCATCATCCAATTGCTTGAAAGTGTCGGTGAATATCTTCCGGATGTTCTTTTGAAGCGCTTCAACTGTCTTCCCGGCTGAATCATTTAAACGTAAATTTAATTCAGAATAACTCAGCCAACAGCTATCCGTTTAATACCGTTTTTCACATGTTTTTCCAATGTCTTAACTATGTTTTTGGAACAGAATTCAGCGCATCTCGACCCGGCATGACCATCAAAGAGCGCAAAGACGGCACATTTGGAACTAAACAGAACACATCAACAAATTACATTATCTAACTTACACATTTATCAGTCCGACATCAAAACAAGATTCGAGTACGTAATAGTCCTCCATGGTTTCTCTTTCCCCCTTCAATTCAGCATGATAACATGCAACATTTGTTAATTTGCTCGCTGAAGATTTAATAAAACAAAACATGTTTTCACTTACTTGCCGTCTCGGGCTCTTCTGGCTTTAACATGGCATTTGAAGGCTTCTTCAAGCTGATTCCTTCATACAAAGGCCCGAAAAGATCTGATTCGGCAACACGTTTCATTTTTAATGTCTGAAATAAATATTCCGCCGAAAATTAAAACGCGAAAAAAGCAGATATTACACGAACTATGGAGAAATGCAATAATACCCATCCTATTATTACATTTTTTCCCCAATATTATAAAAAATCAAGCACCTCATACATATCTCAGTGTATAAAATGTGTCTTTCGTTAGACGCTAAACAGAACTACGGGCGCAGTTGGAAATAAAAGAAAAAAGGATTTCACAAAATTCAGAAGATAAGTTTGGAGATGTCGACCGAAGGAACTAGTGGTAATGATGGACTCGATGTCAAGGGGTTGTGTGATGTAAGTTTTTTTTGATTGGTGATTATGTTAGTTATTTCAGGAGATCACTAACAAAACAGCAGAAGCGATGAGATGCGCTTTAGCGCTTCCAAAACTAGGGGTTGATTATGAGTTATACAATGTGGACGATAAATTCATGAAGTTAAACAAAAATTTTCAAAGCAAGATCTTCTCCATGTTATCATGCACACTTAGTTCGAACGGGTATTTATTAAGTGGGCATACACGACTGAATGATATGAGTGAACTGGTAAACGCAAATGATCACTTTCTTCAGAGTGCTGTAAGTTTTTCTGGATTTTTTATGTCATGTTTAGTCGATGGCGTTGGAAAGGCATGAGAGTGAAGCCAATGGCGATGATAATGTTGTGATTCGATGCCTTGACGGGCAATTGAGGAAACCGACGGACGCAATCGGGAGGGATAATGGCGGTCGTTATTCTCATATTTCCGGGAAGAACACGAAATTTGATCGTAATGTGATTGTCGTAGGTACCCCTATTTACTTCCGATTTAAAATTTTTATTCTAGGTCAAACCCCAAAAAGCCTTCCAAGATGCCATCAACAACTCGAGTTCTAGGTTTATTATGAAGTTACCGGTGAAGCACAATAGCCTCGATTCTCATCCAGATGTGAAATTAGAATATGACGAATCTATTCATCCTTATTCACAAGAAATCGCATCAGTTATACCTGGAGAAGATACATTTACCCAATCTGAATTTGTAAGTTACCGTTTCTGTGGGTTCCTATCCAAATTTTTTAGGAATTGAAAAGTCTGGAAGCTACTCCTCTTGTTATTATTGACACTGAAGACAAGCTTCGGTCTCTTGTGTCCACCTTAAAGAAAGAAAAGGAGTTTGCAGTTGATGTAGAACATCACAGTTACCGAAGTTTCTTGGGATTATCGTGTTTGCTTCAAATTTCAACTCATTCTACAGATTACATTATCGATCCTTTCCCAATGTGGAAGCAAATGAATCTTCTGAACGATCCCTTCTCAGATCCTCGTATTTTAAAAGTATTCCATGGTGCCGAAAGTGATATTATTTGGTTACAAAGAGACTTTGGAATCTATGTTGTCAACATGATCGATACTTACCTTGTAATGAAGGCATTAAAGATGCCAAAGAAGAGTTACCAACATCTGGTCTTCTCGAGTTTTGGGATATTATTGGATAAGAAGCTTCAGAAGTCGGATTGGAGACAACGGTAAGATTTCCTCGAAATCATGATATCTTTTAGGCCACTTGACAACGAGCATTTGCAGTATGCTCGATGTGATACACATTTTCTACTGCCGGCCTTCAAAAAACTATGCATCAGATTGAATGAATCCGATGACTTTGATTCACTTTCATCAGAAATTTTTAATAAGAGCAAGGGAATTTGTTTGAAGGTATGGTTTGGGGAAAAATGTGCTTACTTTCTGTATTGCTTATAATTCACGCCTTACTGTTTCCAGGTATTCGAACAACCTATCTTTGATGAAGAAGGTTATCGAGCACTGGCCATCAAAGAACTGAATAACCGGCAACTTTATGTCCTCCGATGTCTTTGGGAATGGAGGGATCGAACAGCTAGGGAAGAAGACGAGAGTTTGGACTTTGTTTTACCTAATCATATGATGCTACACATTGCTGAGGTATTGCCTAGAGAGATTCAAGGGATCCTGGCTTGCTGTTCTCCGGTTCCTGTTATTGTTAAACGAGATATCTTTGTCATTCACAGGCGAGTTAATTGACTGGCTGTTTCATTTCTAACGACAAGTGTTTAGGTTTGTAACCACTGCACGAGATATGCCCTTAGAGGAGAAGGAACAATATTCAATGGCATTATCGCTTCAAGAAACTGTAAAAAACAGAAATCTTTTCAAGAACAGATACACCAGAGAGTATGCTCGGCTGGACAGTAGATTCGACCAGAGGGAATACAAGGTCGATGAAGAAAGACCTGACCGTGGAGAACGTATCTCGACCATGTTTCAGGATACAATTCGTCTATCCGTTGCCAAATCGAAGGATCACCCTCTCCTTCCATTCAAGAAAGTGAAGAGCAATGTGACCGGTAAAATGATGAAGAAAGTGGAGGAAATCAGGAAAAGGTTTAGCGATTGGAATCCCCCTTTTGAGCGATATATGAGAGTCCTTGAGGAAGTGGGTATATTTCATTTTGGTGATGATATTTCTGTGTTTTTTAGAAGAAGCGAAAACGAGAAGAGCAACAGGAAGAAGTTCCATCCAATCAGTACAGTCATCATTGCCCGGCTGCGCCCAGAGGTCAGACAACGTAAGGTTTCCCCTTTATGGCAAATTCATTTTTCAGAGAAGTGAAAGTTGAAGACATGGAGGCCGAGGCTGTTATAGCTCCAACCGAGTCTTATATTCGAAAGAAGAAACATCACAAACTTCAATTTGAGGAGCCGAGTAAGAAAATACCAAAGTTCACATAGAGAACACGTTATTATGAGTTGCATTGTTGCCATTGTTACTGTTGACTGTTGTAAGAAAATGACTATAAAATTTTTTTATTCACTAGAGTACTAAAATACCCGTTCATATCCGATTGGCTGATAAAAATGCAAAAAAAAGAATATAATATACAATTGGATTAGAAAGCACGTTGTCAAAAACATACAAATACATTCAAAAGTTATTATACATATTATATTAGCGTCTTGAAGTTAACCAAGACGAAGGGTTAGGGGGACCTCGGACGCCCATTGTCCACGGCGGTTCTTGACGGGCCGGAGGCATTAGTGAGGGGAAGGGGCCTCCTCTTCTCGGGGGTCCATTCCAGGCTTCCCTTGGTGGTCCCATTCCCATCGGGGCTCTGAATCCAGGCGAGAAGTGCATATTCGGATTCATTCCATCGTCGAAATTCGGAGACACTTGTCGCATATCCTTTAAGAAATATGTATAGATCAGACCCGCAAAAAAGTGAATATTACAAAGATTCAACTCTTTACCTCTCTGTAGTATGGCGGAGGATGGGGCGGGCGCAAAGTTGGAGGAGTGAGAGGTGGTGGAGCCAACCTCTTCCTGTCAGCATTTCTAAAATACATGGGTTCTGGAGAGACCGAAGCCTTCTGAGGCGTATTGCCTTTCTTCTTTACGTCGTTGTTCTTTTTCTTCTGGTTTTTTACTCCATTAGTTGTTGATACAGTAATCTCTGGAATATCTGCAAAAACGGGTAACCCCAAACCCGCAGATCCTACCTTTCTTTTCTCGTTTTGGAGTAACTGGTGTCGGCTTTGCCAGTTTCTTTGCCTCCTCCAACTCCTTTGTTAGTTTTTCGACCATTTTCTGCAATTCATCATTCTTATTTATTAACGCTTCCAACTGATTTTTTGTCTTTTCTTGAGCTTGTTGATACTTTTCCACGTCCTTAGTCAATATCTGATTCATTCGTTCTTGAGTTGCGACTTCTTGCTCCTTCTGAAAGAAATAATATAAGGTAATCAATGATTAAAACAATGATTTTCACCTCCTCCAGTCTCATTTTCATGACGTCAAACATTTCCTGAGGTACATGGCCAGCCTTAAACATTGGCTGACTGGAAGATTGATTGGTTTGTGGTTGTTCTGGCCTCCTGGTTTCATTGTGCCATGGGGCAGGTCCCTTCGGGGGCCCTAGATTTTCAAACGCTGCTTTGACATGCTTCTGAAGAGCAGCTCCAACTCGTTGGGCGTCTTCGAACTTTCTTTTTTCTGTGACTTCGAACTGTTTTCGCTGTTCGAGTCTCTTTAGTTCTCTCTCTTCTCGGTCCCGTCGTTGATCGTCAGATTCGTCTTGTGATGATGAACATTTCGCGCAAAGCTTAGAGTCAACTAAAAGAAAAAGTTTCATTTATAACACCGTACACTCGATGACATTTACACCAACAAAAACTTACCTAATTTACTCTTTTCTTTCAATTCTAGCTCCAGATCTTCGACTCTTTCAGCTGCTTGAAAATAATTTCTTTCGGCTACACATGCTGCTTCAATTCTTTCCTTATGTGAAGCCAACAGGAAACCAATATCAACGTCAACACCTGATAGTTGCTCCTGAAATCACGGATTATTCAGGAATCCTCCATATTTTCATATAACTCATTCAAAGAACGCACAGATAATTCAGTTATCCTTTTATTCTTCTTGTGAATGAAACTCTTGACTTCACTCCATTGCAATTGCATCTTCTCTTTTCTTGCCAAATCACTTTCAATTATTCTCCTCAACGTGTTAATAGTAGTCTTCCTCAGGAGATCTATCTCATCTTTTAGTTCGCCACTAGTTCTATCCAGGGCAACTCTAAAACGAATAAACATGTAAAAAAGAACCAACCTAAACATCTTGACCTCTCGTAATGATCGATTCAGCATATCACCCAGAGCTTGCACTCTCCAAGATAGCTCTTTATTCACATCCGTAAGCTGACTGATAGTGTAAATTGCCACGGATAATCTGTAGTCGTCGAGATCATCATTCGACTCGGGTATTCGCTCGGAAATGCTGAAAGAATGCAAAACGATAAAAAAGATCAATTAAAACAAGAGAGACGTTTAAAATATACCAATTTTAAGAGATTTAAGAATAAAGATTATTACCTTGTTATTGCTTGCAAACATTGAAGAATATGGACATTAAACTGTCCGCTTTGATCAGGATTTTCTCTGGATGTTGAGGGAATCTCAAATTTGTGAATCAGTTCCTTAGCATCCCACGTTTCCCGTATTTTCTTTTTCAATTTACAATTTCTGGCTCTTTTTTGACGCGAGATCGACAGCTGTGATAATTCTTTAGCTACGAGAGCATCGACATCGACTTCCTCGCTTTCAAGCTTTACCTCTGGGAGGACATCATTATCAGTCAGCAACTAAAAAAGAACGATAAATAATCTATATAACTAACTCACCAAATGCTTGTTCGAGACCTCAACCTTGACTTGATCACGATATGGTTGTCCCTCCTCATGCCACACGACATTACTCTCTTCCTTTTCCATCTTGCCGTTCTCGCTGTCGACTACTTTTTCAACAAGAGTGCTGACGATTTCTTTTACGACTTTCAAGTTAACCTTGCTCATTTTTAGTCGTTATGCGGAAATTCTAACATTCCCAGATTATTCTACTGTGCCACCCATATGGGGACTCCTTACACCACAGAGAAATCTTTTCAAATTCAATAAATTGATACAGAGCGGGTCAAGTGTTCCCCTACAATGTGCCAAGCCTCTCCTTCATCCAATAAAGATGTCAGTACTTCAGTTTTATTGAACTCTGCGTAAACTGGCGTAAATTTTTATTGCGAAGATTTATGTATCAGGCATGAATATTACGTTTCCCACTTTTTTAAAGACATGATTAAGGAGAAACAAGGGCCTTTTTTCCGGATTACTTTAATTATACAATTTAAACTTTTTCTTCAAAACCGCCTACAGGTATTAATTACATTACGAAGGTTTACACTATGGTGTAAATAATAGTTGGATTTCAACCTATAAGCGGCTTTGCAGAACACATTATAATTGAACCCTTCAAGAGTCTTGAGAGTAAGACATGACCCGGTAACAGTTTTTGGTCTCAACTGGAAAACAAGTAGATGTGTGACCATTAATTATTTACTGTACGATGGGTTATGCACTGATCTTGATAAAAAAGAGCCGTCAAAACCCGAGCGACTGGAATTCTTTCTATCGTTTCCTTCCGAATAAATTGTACACGACGAGTAAAATCAAAGATATTTCAGAGAATCCTTCAAACCTCCAACAACAATGTCGAATAGCGAAGTTGCGCAAAACAGCTTTAATCCCTCGTGGTAAGTTTTGTTCTCATGAAGCATACTTATTTTAAGTTTGCCTTGAGTTAATTTATATTTCTTATCTCTGATAATCGTCAATTTTACAGGATGCAAACTTCCGCTCCCAAGACTCCACGGCCGAATGGAATCAGTCGCGCGGCTGAAGAAGATACCGGAGTAAGTCAATTTCTATCTATTAGCTGAGGTTTTAGAAATGTTGTGGCAAAAGATGAAACAGCAATCAAGTTTTTTATTGCCGTTCGGAGGTAATCATTACATGGTCAATCGATATGTTTTGCGAGAAACATACAATTAGTGAATTTTGAAGCTTTAATACCTGTGAAAAATTATGTTAATGTTATTCTGTTTCAATGTTCTTGTTTTAGGAAATGATTGAGCCCGTCTTTGCCAAGTATCGCTATGGCCGCGAAGATATCCTCGCTTTGAACCCTAGAGATTCCAAGCCCCCAGATGGCCTGGAAGGCTGCCCATTCTTCATGGAAAAGGCGTTGACTCCCATCATCCTAACCGAGTTGAACGAGACTGAGCTGGTGGGACTTAATCTCTTCCGATAATTCAATTTTTGTCTTTTGCAGCGACTGCAACAGAACATTAATTCCAGTAAGGCTTTAAGTGCTGCTCATCGGGCGGATTGGCAAGGCAAGGAAGTAGAATCGCCGGGATCGGGTACGAATGCGTGGACTGTGGCTGGTAAATTTTATTTAGTTTTGTTTTACTTGATCGTTTTAGGAAGTAAAAATTCATCATTCCGCTCGAGTAATCGGTGGACAACTGTGGGAGCAAGTCCATCCACGGAGACACGAAGTGCAAAGTTCCCATTTTCGAATCGTGGTAATTACGGATCTGCGGCCAACGGGGAGAAAAAGCCGAAACCAAATCCTTGGACCGAAGGAAAACGCCTTCATCAAACAAGTGGAAGTGATGAAGGCAACGGAACACCGAATGGAGCCGAGCCGGATCTTAGCGCTGATGTTTGGGGATCTTCTTGGCGATCCGTTGAGTCCAAAAGGTAAAATACTCTTGCGCTTTTGACATTTAACTTTTTAGTGAACATAAAAGGGGTGATAGTTCGAAGAAAGAAGGTCCTGAAAGTTATGCACGAGGGTTTGGAAGAGGAGCGTCGGCGTGGAATAATGTGGAATCAGTCTGGACTGCACCAGATATTGGTTTGCTTGGCGATAATGTGGAGAATCTTTCGATCAGGACAGAACAACAGGTACATTATTATTACTACGTAAATATTTTATCTTTATTCTAACTTCATTTTTGGTCGTTTTTAGGAACAATCGCATTTAAAAGAATCGTCGGATCAATCGAGTGTGATATCCAATCCCCCTTCACAGAATACTCCACCCGATCAGTGGTACTATTTGGACCCGAATGGTGTCCAACGGGGGCCGTTCGAGACGAAAGAAATGCAGGCATGGTTCCTGAGCGGATATTTCCATGCTGATTTACAAATCATGAAGCCTGGTGATGCGGGATACACGCCGTTGGGTATGTGTCTTTTCCATTTAAAGTTAGTTCCATATTAAGGCGAACTTATTAAATCTAATGGTGCTTTAACTCCATTCGTCGAGAAGAAACGATCTCAAAAAGTGACCCAGTCTCCTCCCGCCACCAGTCAATCACAACTCAGGAATTCATGGCAACCTTCCAATTCAAGCAGTGCGACAAATGACTTTGTTTCAAAAGCGGACATGTCCATCGAACAAATTAAAGCAATTGAGGAAAAGGAACGAGCGCTTGTGGAAGAACAACGTCGCTTAAAAGAACGAGAAGATATGATAAAACGTGAAGAACAGGAACGTATGGAATGGAATAGAAAGATGGAGGAGAAGGAAATGGAACTTCGCAGAAAACAGGTTGAATTTTTATCATTATGTTGCATTTGCATTTTAGGAAGAGATTCAACGGTTTGCTGTTGAAAAAGAGCAAGAACTTGAGAAAAAGAGAAGAGAGGTGTTGGAATATGAGCAGCAAAGAAGGGAAGAGCTTCAGAAGTTTGAGGAAGAGCGTCGAATTCTCTTAATCCAAGAAGAACAAGAAAAGAGAAAGTTTGCCGAGATGGAGTTTGTTAGACAAGAACAGGAAAGGCAAAGGTCCATGATGGAGATTGAGAACAAAAAACGACTGGAAGAAGAAATGAAACGACGTCGTGAGGCCGAGCTGCTTGCCGAAGAGCAGCAACGAAGGCAACGCGAACATGAACTTCAAAGAGAACAAGCTGAAAGGATTAGAAGGCAACAAGAAGATGAAGCACAGCGACTACAGCAACAAGCAAGGGCTGCTCAAGCTGCGTCGGCTAGTGCGGCTTCGTCGAAAGGTTAGATTTACCACCCAACTTTATTTTTTTTAGCTCCTTGGTCTAATTCCACCAAAAAGCAGAAGATTGTGCCGGCTGAAGATTTGTCGAGCAAGACTCTGCTAGAGATTCAGATGGAAGAAGAGCGGCAATTACTGAAGAAACTGGAAGAAGAAGAGAAAGTGCGTCAAACTGAAGCCCTGAACAAGAAGCCAGTATGGAGCAGTCAGTCAGGAAGTGCGTGGAGTGTTCCTAAAAATGTTCCGCAACCTGTCCCCATTCCTCCGGCTAAGGAAGTTTCAAAACAAGTCAAGGCTGAGAAAAAGAAGGTATGGGTAGTCAGTCATTTTCAGTCTTTGTTTTAAATTTGGTATTTAATTTTACATTTTTTAGCCACCGGCGCAGAAGAAGGAAACTCACGCCGATAAACCCCAGGACCCATTGACCGCTTGGGTTATCCAGAGAGTCCGGCAGCTGAATCCGAGTGTTGAACCCGATATCTTCGCAACTTTCCTGTTAAGCATCGAGTCACCAAACGAGGTAGGGCAAAGATTGTTACTGTTTATTCTCTAGGTGGAAGACTATGTCCTGACCTATTTTGGTGAGAACAAGAATGCCAAGGAGTTCCACCAAGAGTTCTTAGCCAAGCGAATTGAATTACGACCTCGTCGTCGAGTTACAGACAAAGATGTAAGCATTTCGTTGGTCGCATGTTTACGTTTTTATATTGGTCAAATGTATTTATTCCAGGATCTCTCCGGCCCGGCGGCAGCAGCTACGAATATTGCGGGCAATGGCGCTTCTGCCACGGGTTTAAACGCAGGCGGAAGTGCAAAGACGAAGAAGAACAAGAAAGGAAAGAAGGTGATCGACGGACTCATCCTTGGATTCCGTCCAGCTGGCGATCCAAACCGACTGAATGTAGGGGAGATTGACACTACCCCTCCAGCTCCATTGAAACGCCGCTAAGTTATAATTGCCTTCTGAGGTTCTTGTTATTGTTGGTACCAAATGTTTATAACTGCAATTTGTCGCATAAAATATTTTAATATTATGATTGGAGGCTTTTTTTCTGCGTAATCTTGTTGTCAAACGATAAGTCATATTATAAAGTGTTTTTTACGTTTCATTATAAACGTTAGAATTCCTGCAATTAACATATAGCTTGTAGATGGCAGCGGACCGGAGGGTAACTGTTTCTTTTTTCGAAGAAAATGGAGGTTCTTTGGGCCCGACTTCACTGATTCTTCCATTGTCGGCGACTACGACGGATCTTCAATCTTTATGTAATGAATTCCTCGGCACCGAAGACGACCCCGTACCCATGCAATTCAGATCAGAAGATGGTTTTGAGATTGTCGACTCGCTGGAAGGAAGTATCCCTGTGGACTCCATTAATGACGAAAAGGTATCTATATTCCGATTCTTTGTCACATTTTTAGGGCATTAAACTGATTTATATGCCTCAAGCGTTATTTCGAGTGAATCCTGTCACCAGATGCACATCAACGCTACCAGGGCACAGCCAGCCCGTCATTTCAGTCCAGTTTTCTCCAGACGGGAAGTAAGTAAAACTGTCTTAACAATTACATCGTTATAGAACATTAGCGTCTGGATCGGGCGACACAACGGTCAGGTTATGGGATTTGAACACTGAGCTTCCCTTGAAGACATGCCAAGGACATAAACATTGGGTTCTATGCATTAGTTTCAGTCCAAACGGAAAGAAATTAGCATCGGCCTGTAAGAATGGAGAAGTAAGAGGAACACAGATTAGATATATGGGATTTGATGAGTTTGAAATCTCCGCAGCGTTATTTACAACCAAACTCCGACTCTTTATTATAACTTTTTTCAGATATTTATTTGGAATCCAGAGAACGGAGAACAGCTTGGAAGGAAACTTTGTGGTCACAAGCAGTGGGTTAATGCATTGGCTTGGCAGCCTCTCCATGAAGACAAGGACTGCAGACTATTGGCTAGTGCCGGAAAAGACAGTACTATCAGGATATGGGATACTGCAACCTATCAAACAATCAGAATGCTCTCTGGACACACTTCGTCCGTAACCTGCATTCGATGGGGAGGTGCTGGCTTTATATACACCGGATCACAGGTACGACTATATCGGTCAACCAAATGAAGATTGTTTCAGGATCGAACAGTCAAAGTTTGGAAAGCAGAGACGGGATCTCACTACCGATCCTTAACGGGTCACGCCCATTGGATAAATACCTTGGCTTTGAATGTGGATTATGTGTTGAGAACTGGATCTTTCGATAAAGGAAAAGACCAACCGTCTACAACGGATGCTGAAAGTGCCCTTCAAAGGTATAATAAGGTAACAAAAGGATGTCCAGAGAAATTGGTATCGGGCTCTGATGACTTCACCCTCTTTCTATGGGACCCAGTTAACAATAAGCAGCCTATAGGTCGCCTAACCGGACATCAACAACTTGTTAATCAGGTATTTTTTGTTCAAATGGGATAGTGTGATTGTCGTAGGTATTGTTCTCACCGGACACACGGTTAATCGCGTCTGCTTCGTTCGACAAATCCATCCGAATATGGTGTGGACAGACTGGCAGGTTTCTGAAGACCCTGAGAGGTCATGTTCAAGCTGTGTATCAAGTGGCTTGGTCTGCTGACAGTCGTTTACTTGTCTCCGGATCAGCTGATTCAACTCTTAAAGTTTGGTCGATGAAAACGAAGGCCTTGTTATTGGACTTGCCGGGCCATGGATCAGATGTGTTTGCAGTGGATTGGAGTCCTGATGGGGAAAGAGTTGTGAGTGGGGGCAAAGATTGTGTTCTCAAATTATGGAGGCAGTGAGTAATATTATTGTTGATCTGTTTTGTTATTGTTGTTTGTTATTAATAAAATGTTACACAATAACGTTAAATTACAATTAAGTTAGTCAGTCTTTACAATTGACATGTTTACTTTACATGCGCGTCCACGTAGACCTTCAAGAACATGAGAGCCGAGCAGCAGGCTAATTCCTTCGCAATTGCTATGTTCTTTCCTGTTCCAGTAAATACATTGTTACATTTATCATCACAGTAGATGTCTAAGAATACGGTAATCTCATCTAAAAAAAGTTATTTTTCTTGACTTGTATTCATACCTTTCAAGATAGGATTATGATCAATATCCTTCTGAAGTGATTCTATCATACTATCCTCAAAAGGAGTACTTTGATTCAAATCTAAAAGGAATTTGTATTTCATATTGGGCCAGATCTTTTTGAGTATCGATTGTTGGTCTTTCTCAGCGACCGAGCAGACTCGCTGGAACAGGGGATAGGCATCTTTACACCTGTCATGTACAACATGTTCAAGATCACTCCATTTCTCCAGCTTCCCTCTGAGCCATTCCGAAAATCTCCCTTCTAGCATAACTTCCTCCTTTTCTTTCACCTCGGTGAATTTACTTTCCTTGTTCTTGGGCTCATTTTGAATGATATTCAATTCGACTACTGTAAAGTAATGTAGTCTTTGTGTTCCCTTACCTCCTTGGATCTCTTCATTAATCCGATCATACATTCTCTTGGCTGCTGCTGCTTTTGCTTTTTTCTTGGATGTTCCAACTTCAGTGACGATGATGCTCTTCAAGGTGCATACACATTTGAACATCTTTAACGTTTGGTTCTGTTCTTCGATCGCTTCGATGTCGTACGTCGGCTTGGAGTTGATCCTTTTTTGGGCACACAAGAGATCACATTTGCCTGGCCAATTCTCGTTGGCCATCTGTTCATCAGTTCCGAGTTCTGGCTGCAGGCCAAGACTGAAATAAAGGAATCCAAACAAATGAGGCATCAAGGGATTAGGTTAAAAGAAAAGCCATGATGAGTATTACGAAAGCAACGTCGACATACATGTATTGTTCAGCTTCGGCTTGATTATCACCCGGGATGAAGAAATCTTTGTATCTTCCGGCTCTTACAATCTGAAGGAGAACATCGCGGGCAGCTAGATGTTGGGCCGTCTTCCTGTTTCTTGAGATCGATTGTGCTTTAAATTCTTCTATACTTAATTCAGTTCCATGTTGACCCTAATCATTTGCATGGCTTTATCATCTTCAAGACCTACATTGGCAGTTTCGAAGTTGTTTTTGACGGGCTGACAATTCTTATATCTCCGACATCCCTCTTCCAGAAGCGCGGCCAATGTCTGGCCTGGTTTATGGGACATCTATAAAACAAATAAAGAATAAATTCATGTTTTAATAGAATAAGTGACTTGGAATGCAACCCTATTAGACTATCCAGAATACTCTTTCCTAATAAAAATTTATTTAATTTCCTTTAGTTTTCGCTTGGACAATTCGATTTCTGATTAGACGACCGTATTGGGAGAAGAGAAAGAACAATATAGAAAGGGCGATGACGATCTCTATGACTTTTCTGCCGCTCATTCCTTCGACTACAGTAATTGTAATCCTATCTTGATGTCGAACCCCAAGTTCTTCTTCAACTTTTCGAACTTCAGCCTCAAAATTTGAATTCTCTCCAGTCGGATGCTTGTATTGGACCAAAACCATGGGCTGGGGCCACTAAAATTTAAATAGTTGACAGTCATTCCACAGAGTTATCATCCTCGTTTCAAATTTCGTACCGGTTTTCCTTCAATGACAGCTCCTTCGTGAAGCTGTGCCATCGCGACTCCTTGAGATGGCGAATAAATAATGTATTTAATCTAAATCACCATTAAAATCATTAAATAACCCTACCTCCCCAGCCTTCAAGAATTTCTCCACAAAATCGTTAAACGGTATTGGATCTCCTCCCACCATCGGAGAAGCAAACATCTGTTTTAACAGATAAAATGATAGAATTCCGGAGGTCACAAAGGTCAACAAACCGAATAATCGAAGTTTCTTCGCTAAAACAACCAAAAAGTTTGAGACGTTAAGGCCCTACCCGTTTCAGGGTCAATTTTCACTTCTGGTTTTTCCTTTTCACCTTCATATTCATCTTTCTTTTCATCTGTCTTCTGTTCCCTTTCCTCTTTATGTCCCTTTTCTTCTGAATGATGACCATTTGATGCCTTGAATCGAACAGTTCGATGTTCTAAACGAATTTAAGAAGACTTCTTTAAAACATACGAATTATTATGGAAGTGCATGACATAGCAGGGGGTTTAAACATGACAAATCTGGATTGGCCCAGTATTCTACGAGCCAGCATCTACAACAAATAATCTTCCAACCTCTCCAAGGTCGTTAAAGTATAGGAATGTACCACAGAAACGAACATTTAGTCATTCAAATTATTATATTTAATAAGATTATGAGTATCGATAAAAAATAATTACACAAATGAATGGAATAATTATGGTTGATTCTCGACATCAGTGGAGATCTGAGAATTCTCGTCGCCGCTTTTTTCTTCTTGGGAATCCGACTCAGTGACTTCGGGCTTTGTTTCCTTTGGTTCTTCTTCCTCCTTCTCCTCTTCCTTTTCCTTCGCCTCTTCTTTTTTTTCTGAGCCTTCTTCCATTTTTTCTTCCGACCTCTCAGATTCCTCGGAATCTCCAGATTTATGTTTTCTGAATTCGTCCCGATAATATTCTGTCCACAATTCTACATAATCTCGATATTTCTCCTCGGTGAAGTCAGGCTTCTCATCCTTCAACTTCTTCATCTCTTCGTTGAACTTGACGCTGTTCTCCTCCAACGTTTTTCTTCTCTTTTGGAAACCTTCTTCAAGTCTAGTGAGTTCATCGTTCAGTTTACTCTAGAATACAAAACATTTAAATCAAATAATCACAAACCTGATGCGCAGACAAAGACGAAGCCTGTCGTTTCAACTGATCGATTCTGGTCTGAGGAATAAGAGTTCTGGTATCAGGTAGAGCAGAAGTGGAGAACAAATCACTCATAAGTCGATTGTCTCTGTCATATCTAATCCCAGCTACGCGCTTTCGAGTCATTTCAAAAGGATCTTCATCATCCACTGGTTGAATAGCAGCGGCACTGTTACTGTTAAAGGCAGCTGCTCGACTTCTGGAGGCTGTTGTGTGCTGGGTAGTCATGGTTTGTTGGTAATTCTTTAATTGACGCTCATATTCTAGCTTATCCATCTCGTATTCTTGTTGATAAACGCCCTTCTCCGCGTCCGGCGCTTCTCTCCACATCTGGCCGATAATTTTACCGATGTCCAAAAGTTGAACTTCAGGATTGTCCGCTCTGACCTTGGCCCACATCTTCCTGCTAAACCTCATGTATGGCACCAAAGGCCTTTCTGGTGGCTTGATCGGTCTGGGGTGCATGTCCTGAAAAAGAAAATCAGGTCTTAACGCTGAAAAACCCTAAACGCCAACAAAAATATCATGAAACATACTCTGGTTGACCGGTTAGCCACCGCATTTTGTTGCCGTGGTGTGCGATGCATTTGGAAGTAGCAGCAATCAAAATCTTTTCCAAATAATTAATTACAAAATTCACTAAATTTTTCTTTCACAAAATAAAAGCTCTTGGCATAATGTTTCAATAAATGGCGAATGAATGTTTTGGCGGTCATTCAAAAAATGCGGACCTTAAAGCAGAAAGAACCCAAGGCCTCTTTTAATGGAAGGAAAAGAAAGGGTCATTTCTGTCATTGTTTTCCTCGTTTTATAGTGTTACGTTTGTTTTAAATTTGGTTTCATTTCAAACCATTATAGTCCAACGGGAGGTGGATTACAGTATAAATTAGGGAGGTTGAATTACAGTATAAATTAAAATAATTTTTTAAAGATTGAGGTAAGCCTTGTTTAAGTTTTGTGTCGATATGTTAAAGGTTTGTCAACAATAAACAAAGATTGCTTATCAAGTGGGCTTACTCTCAATTTCAATATCAGGCCATAAATCAAATTTTGCAAGAAAGGAGGAACTTTCGTCACTTCTGTTTCGAAAGCGGGGCCAAAACAAGCATGTTGGGTATTTGAACGTCCACTCGGCCACGCGGACGGAAGAAATAACGTGCATTTCTCTCAAGTACACGCGGTTTCGGAACACCCGGCTTTAGATAAGTAGGATTTGCTGACAAAAATTTTCAACCGATTCCAATATTTTTGTGTGTAACACGGACGAGACACGGCAGGGTTTTGTATGTTTATTATAACAACCGAAGGCGTTCTTTTACTCTTTCTGATCTGTTTTTTTAAACGTTTTCAAGAATTTATAAATCTTTGTCTGTGTGCCTCTAGCAAGTAAGGAATTCGTATTTCAGTTACTCGATTGATTAAATTTAATTTCTTCTTTCCCATACGAAATGAGGGTTCTACATTACGATTTAATGTTATTGTTTATAAGCAAAAAGACAGGCCTTGAAAAACCTTCGCACCTATAAATAAATGCATTACAAATCCAGGTTACCAACACCTTTTTGTTCTCGAATAACATGCCTTATGAAGTCTGATATTTGGCCGATGACATTCTCATTTGAATGTCCTTAATCATTTATTTCCCTCACTCTGATGACAACAAACTGTCAGTCACTTGGTAATCGCCTCATCTCCAGAAATAAGAGTTTTACAAGGCCTTTATCAGTCCATTCGCACTTTCCCTTCCTCTTCATTTCATCAAATCCTAACTTTCATGAGGTCAAATCTCCCGACCTCGTGGTGATGACCTCAAACTTACGACGTGCAACAAATCTGTTTCCTTTCCTGTGTCCAATGGCCTTATCATTTGAAAGGCGGGGAGAGGGGACAGCTTTGTGCCTGGGGGAGATCGGGGGTCGGGCGGAGAAAAGACCGAGAGTTCTCTCATGGATAAGTTGGAAGTGGTCGCGTCCAGTCTGTTGTGTAAAGGTCGTTGTATTTTCAAAAATTTTTTTTATTTACCTCCAATTTCGCGCACGTCATCGATATAATTACTTTTAATGGATCGGGGGATGGAAACATTTTCTGACAGCACTTATTGTTGGCAGTCTAAAGTAGCATTTTCTAGTTGAGGATGACTGACATTGAAGGGGGCAAGTTGCCCTCGGGAACGGCAGATCAAAAGCAAAAATTGCTGGATGACAAAGAGACGGCCAGTAATCTGAATCCGACGGTCGATCCCTCCAAATTAGAGGTGAGTTTATTGTAAGCATTCTACTATTGGGGATAAACTTTAATACAGTAATTGCACGTGCCGACGAGTCGCAATTTGGCGCGTATTATCAGAAATGATAAGGATGATAGCGTGCATTTGTTTTTTTGTTTTTTGGTGAAAACAAAGCGAGTGTCACTTGTTCATAGCTGGCTTTTGGCCTTTCCCTTAAATCTCTTCATTTTTCCCGTTTCCCACGTGTTTTTGGATGAAATAAAATCTGGAACGTGGATAGTTTAAAGCAAAAGAATGGCCGATGTCCGTCCCCGAAGCCGGGCGCCCAGTCCGTCTGAAAAGAGTCCACTTCTGCCGTCCAAGGAACCAAAAAGGGTGGGGTTAAAATACGCTTCAGGCAATCACCATCTTTCCGGAATTCCATTTTCTGAGAATTACCGGAAATTTTATAATTAAATGGCTGTTGTAGTCATAGGATAATGATTGCAGGGAAGACTTACCAAATCTCTATTATTTGCCGTCATCGCTGTTACAGTAGGATCATCTTTCCAATTCGGTTATCACATCGGTTGTGTCAACGCTCCAGGAGCGGTAAGTATGGCATTACAATAACCAATGCATCCTCAGCTGATCACCAACTGGTACAAACAATCTCACAAGCGCGTTTTCGGAGAACCCTTATCCAATGAAGCTGCTGATTTGCAATGGTCGATCACGGTTGGTATCTTTGCCGTTGGTGGAATGGTTGGAGGTCTGTTGTCTGGGTGGCTGGCGGATAAGATGGGCAGGAAGGGGGCTCTCCTCTTCAACAATATCTTCGCTCTTCTGGCTGCTGCTCTGATGTCTCTGGCCAAGTATGTTGACTTATATTACTTGCTGACAGCCGGTCGATTGATCATCGGTTTCTCATGCGGACTGAGTTCCGGCTTGGTCCCAATGTATCTGACCGAGGTCTCCCCCATCAACCTCCGAGGTGCTTTGGGCAGTGTCCATCAGTTGTTGGTCACCATCTCCATCCTCGTCTCCCAGATTCTTGGTCTCCCTTTCCTACTCGGAACCGCGGAACGATGGCCCTATATCTTCGGTGAGTCGATCATGTCGTCATTTACACTAAATAATAGCGTCACCCTTGACACTTGCTTAATGTAATTTTTTTCAGCGTTCACTGTGGTCCCCTGCATTTTCCAACTGATCACTCTCCCCTTGTGTCCCGAATCACCCAAACATAACCTTATCAATAAGGGTAACACCGAACAAGCCGAGAAGGATCTGAAGAAACTCCGAGACTCCAACGATGTCCATGTTGAGTTGGATCAAGTGAAAGAAGAAGCTGCCATCGCTCGCAATCAACCCAAAGTCACTATCCCCCAGTTGTTCACGGGCGTTCTGAAGTGGCCCTTGTTCATTGCCATCATGATGATGTTCTCCCAGCAGTTCTCCGGTATCAACGTGGCCATGTTTTATTCGACCAAAGTGTTCCGCGATGCTGGATTACAAGGGAATGGTCCAATTTATGCGACAATTGCCATGGGAGCGATCAATGTGGCCCAGACGATCGTGTCCTTGTGGTTGGTCGATCATCCCAAGTTCGGAAGACGGTCTCTCCATCTGATTGGATTGATTGGAATGTTCATCTCGTCTCTTTTGATCGTCCTTTCCCTTACTGTTGCCGGTACCGATGGCAAAGGTCAGCCCGAGCATCAATGGGCCTCTTATGCGTCCATTGTCTTCGTTTTGCTCTTCGTCGTAGCATTCGCAACCGGACCTGGTACGTTATTGCTAACTATCAACTACTGCATTTATTGGTTCCTTTAATCAGCTTCATTTAGGATCCATTCCTTGGTTCTTTGTCAGCGAGATCTTCCCGTCTTCAGCCAGAGGAGCGGCTGCCTCGGTCGCTACTTTAGCCAACTGGCTAGCCAATTTCTTGGTTGGAATCTCATTTTTACCACTGAACGTAAGCTCCTTAAACAATCAGCAAGTCCTCTTTCAGAATGTCCTCGGACAATATTCATTCTTGGTCTTCTCGTTCCTGGTGGCCATCTTCATCGTATTTACCTACAAGTATGTCCCTGAAACGAAGGGAAAGACCCTCGACGAAATCAACAAGCAGATGAAAAAAAGAAGTCAATAGAAAAATAGTTCTAGTTCTCATCCTCTCATACTAATAATTTTATTTCTATTTCTGTAACAAACTCGATGAATATTTAAGGTTTATTATACTGCCAGGGCTTAATCGTTAAAATAATAAACAATTATTATTCGAATTAGTTTATTTACAATGATATAAATACAACAGTATTGTTAGTAACTAAAATTACAATGACTAGCTGAGTTCGAACCCAGTTTCTGCGTGAATGGCATACCGTAATTTCTCAAGTAGAATAGATTTCTTCGCGTAGTTAGGAAGTTTTAGGAGGTTAAAGCAGGTAGAAGCCGTAGGTAATCTGTTCGGATTCTTACGCTTTATGGCCAAAAACCCTCGAATTACCGAGCCAAGGGTATCTCCTTGATCCTAAAATACGGTTTCAATGTACTGATTTATATTCTTACATTATCATCGGACGTTTCCACACATCGAATAGAAAATGGAGGCTCAAGATAAGCGAATCCGAGAAGAGGGGGTCTAGAGCAACTTGTTCCAAACTGAAATTGATCATCTTACAGCCCCTCTTGTGCGTACCTTCAAGAACAAATGCCTTTCTTCTGGTGTAAAGTCTTTCTCTAATACCTCCCATAACCATCGGATAACTCGATGATTGCTGTGGAATCCTCCAAAGTATTGCGTGTGTCTTTTCAAGTCATCCAAATCGATGTCGCTGGAAAGGATACATTTAGCCGTTCGAATGCAACACCTACTGCACTTACTCATTCTGCCCCGATACTAGATACTGCAACTCGACTGGAGTGAAGAGACTGAGGAGTTGTGGAGCGATGATGGCTCGAAACCCTTCAACAAATTTCTGACACTGCTCCTGAGTCTGATGCACAACTCGATACAAGGCCATTCGATGTATGTAAGATATCCTGAAGGATTACAACTCTTCCGCCACAGACTTACTTATTAATATTATTAACAGTAATATTCCCTCCTCCAGCAATTAATTCATGTGTTTCTACCTGCAAATCTCGTAATACTTGTAGACCGCTTACCTTTCCTAGAACTTCTTCACTGAAGGCAAACGTTAATCCGAGATCTTCAACATCTCCGTCGTAATGTTTGACAAAGGTGAGGTTCTTGTACAACTCTGGGTCTAGCGATGACAATTCGTCAAAAGCCCACAATTTTTTCTTCAACACAGCTGCCAACAGTACTGGAGCCAGATGTAAATCAATACATATCCCTTCGTATACTGCCTTTCCGAGCATCTTCCCAACAAACTCGAATAGATTCAGATGATTCTCGTGAATGTATGATGTTGATGAAGGATAGAGTACGTTGTTTGCAGTGTTCTTGAACAAATTAAGCCCGGGATCGAACACTTTCTTCAGGGTTAGCTCCAAGAATTCCTTGAAGACGCCATCTTGATCAATCCCGACTTCGGGCAATCCTTGATAATTAACGAACTTCACCCGGATGATCCCCTTCAACTCTCTTGAGCTCAGATCCGAGAGTTGAACAAACCCGTCCTCCAGAAGTCGATCACGGTGAACTTCGATAATCTTGGCTTCATGCCTTACAGACGACTTGTCCTTTTGGATTAGTTTTCTGAAGAGAAGGATTCGTTGTTTTATCGAGACGGAATGAGGAAGCATCTGCATTAAACGTTGAGATCTTGTTGTGCCTTTCTCAAATTCAGCTACAATTTGTGTAGCTTTTACATCTCTAAAACAAACAAATTAAATAAAAAATAACCGTAACTAGGACCTACTTGACAATCCAGAAGTCGTTCGTTGGAGCAAAAGATTTCCTGCTGTCTCTCATCAACAACAACGAATTTAATTGGTACACACTTTGAAAGAGGATATCAGCTGGATGCTGGTCATCGTAATCTGAGAGAAACTTTCTATGTAGATGCTCAACTTACGCAACATTTCCTCCCAGATACACCGAAAACAAAAAGTATTAAGAAAGGAAGATATCTCGCAAAGATGCTTCAAAGTAAACGGCTTCTGATTCTCATACAATTCTTTTTCGTCCAGAATTCTAAACAAATTCAAACACTAAACATACACACTCACGAAATCAGAGAATGCGCGGCTTCTGCAAATAATTCTAAAGGTGAAGAGTAGGGCAAGCTGACATTCGGATCCAATGTTAGTAGTTTCCAGTAGCTCTCGACCCCTCCTTCGTTTATAAACTCCCACAAACTTGCAAGGATCTTCTCATTCCGACATAACCCTACAAATAATTATTTGTTCAATGTACTCACTAGCAATAAGTCGCGTAAACGATTAACATACCGCTTAGAACGTCCGGTTTCTTAGCTCGGAAAGTCGTTATTAATATCTGATACAACTTGCAGACCTCCGCGATCTGAATATTGTTGGGCAAATCAACGGTTGACGGAACTCCTTTAGCCGACATTACCTTGATGACTTCTAAATCTTAACAAAATTGAAATTAAAAACTAACTTTGCACAAAATCAAAGCCGGAGCTTTCCTTTTGCTGAGTTTTCGTCGTCTTCTTCTCATCCATGGCGTTTGATTTAAGGATAACACCAAACAATTGATCCACCATATTTTTTGACCATAACAATTCGACTTGATACTGTACTCGATTCGAAGCTGCCTGGGATCTAAATGACACGTCATTTTACTTCTTTATCCCTCACCCTTCATCTAGTCGCTGACCAGTCCATCCCAGAACAGAATGGAAATACTTTTTGTTGAAGACTCTCTCCTGGCAATGTTCCAGGATATAATTAACAGCTGAAGTCCATGCCTCCACGTTTCTGTCAAATAATCCCTTTGTCGTAATTGTTAATTCTACAAAATTGCCCAGGAAATTAACGGACACGACAACATTATCCAATGCTAGCTTTCCATTAGTTGATCTCGACAAAATCCGTTTAAACACAAGCTCCGGTTCAAAGTTTTGGAGGGTCTAAATACATAAAGCCAAGGTATTCAAATTTACGTCAGGTGTCAAGGCAGAATAGAAGGCGGGGCAAACAAAGATTCGATCCAGCAGCATGTCAATTCCTTCTTCTGACCACGCATTTGATTTTAGGATTCTAAACATAACTACTTGATTAAATGGAATAATTACCTGAATACGAACAAGGCCAGATGATTCAAAGAATTATGGGGAAGCGCCGTTTTCGTTCCCTTAAGTCCATTAGAAATGACAGTCTAAAATACCCCAACAATAAACTGATACGTACTGAAAGGTTAATAAATTCGACCTTATCCATCAGCCCATGAATCATTTTTAGGCAAAGACTTTCCATAACTTTCCGAATGGCCGGTTCTTTTACTACGCCCCATTGAGAAGGATCACTATAAACATCCAAAAATTCTATCAAAGAAATCGCCATCTTCAATTGGACTATGTGCTCAACCTAAAACAGCAAAAAAACATCCCATGAAGAATTACTTCGCACTTACATTCAACCTTGAAAGGAATGTAGAAACAAAAGAAAAGGCATTCTGAATAAATTGTGATGCTGGTTGAATGTACTGAACAGAAAGGAACAAAGTGGCGAACGAATACGACTTGTTATTGCTTGTAATCGACTTGACCAGTACTTTAAAATAATGACATACCACCTGAACAATCAAAATTAGTAATATGTCATCTTACGTCGTTGTTGAGGGAGTTCTTGAATAGCCCCGAAAAGAAAAGTTTCCCATATTTGAGCAGCTTTGTGTTTCCATTTACTTTCATACCATCATTGCCAAACGCCTCATGGAACTCATTTCTAAAACATTGAAGAAGGAAATAAGAAGCGGATAATTAAAACCTACAAAACTTTTCGCCGGAGATCTTTTCGAACTAGATATCCCCTTGCAACTGCCCCAATCGCTGAGAACAGTACTTGTCGGACCCGTTCTTGTTCTCGCTCCTTGCGTTCTTGTTGAGAACGCTCAAGAAAACGTTGCTGGTCCAAGTTTATAAAGGCCATAATCAGTTACACATGTTTACGAAAAACGGACGACATCGGCACCTTCATAAATTTACCAGTCGATAAAAGTTTTGGCAAAGACAAAAAAAATAATAATTAATTTTCCGCGAATTGCGCCCGAGCTATTTAATTCTCCGCTAAATTCGCTCTTCTTATCAATCTTTTGGCATTTCGATATTGTCCTAGTTTTTTATTTTTGCATCATATTTTCCGCAAACCCGGATTTCCAGCCGAGTGAGCAACATTATTTTTCCTTATTTGTATGATTAAAATAGTGTTTTAACCATGGTTGACGTCGATGAAACAATTAAACGAATCCAATCCCAGAAAGGAGTTACTGGTGTTCTGATTATGGACATAAATGGTAATGTTGCTTTCTTTCTTATCGATATCTTTTAGGGAGGCCAATTAGATCCACATTTGATGAGGAGGCGACCGCTCAATACTCTGATCATCTTCACGAACTTTGTGATAAATCCCGTAACGTCGTCAAGGATCTCGACCAAACGAACGACCTCTCTTTCTTGAGGTTGCGTACAAAGAACAACGAGATTATTGTGGCTCCCGATCGTGATTATCTTATAGCCGTGGTTTCGAACAAACCTTGACGCGTCATCTCCAAACGAGTTGAAAATGACGTTATGTAATTATTGCCTGTACTTGTGTGTATATCTCAATAAATTGGTATTCAACCTATTCGTGCTGAGAAGCGTAGTGTGTTTTTTGCACTTCCTTATTTTTATTGTTTATCGATTTAATGGTTTAATGATTATAAATTAGATGTCTTGGTTATTCGGAGTCAAGCCACAGCCTCCCGTGCCACCTCCACAACCTGAGGGAGGGCAGCAGGGAGCTGCTCCACCTCAGGGTTCAGCGAAGGGAGATGGGTCTCAATTCAATTACTCCTTTGATTCAACTGCCTTGGAAAGAGCTGCTCGTGCTGCTAAGGAACTGGAGTCTTCTTCCAATGCGAAACAAGCGTTGGAACTGTCTAGATTACAAGAGATCACGAAGCAGAAAGAACTTGAAGTCCAACAGAAGGTAAGATGTAATACATTTCTATTAAAGTATTTGTAGCAAATTGAAGCCCAAATTGCTTCGATGAAGGCAGAAGGAGCCCGGTTAGCAGAAGAAGAACGAAGGAAAACTTTACAGAAGGAAACTGAGCATGCGAATTCGGTAAGCTGTTTTATATTGATGAGTTCTGTGTTTAGAGAGCTCAATATCAAGATCAACTGGCCAGAAAGCGGGCTGAAGATGAACTTAAGCTCAAGGCCGCGATGCAAGAAGAGGCGTTACGGAAGCAGGAGGAGTCAATTAAGAAACAGGAAGCTCTCAGAAAACAAACAATTGAACATGAACTTCAGCTTAGACATAAATTAGACCTTGAGAGAATTCAAGCCGAAGTTCAAGCTAAAGCGAAGGCGGCTAGGGAGAACCGGGATGTCAATTTGGAGATGATGAAAGCAAGTGAAGAAGAGCATAGAAAGACAATAGTCGAACAAATCAAGTGAGAATCTGTTTTTGGTCGTCTTTATTTTCGATTTTGTTTTAGAACAAGTGGAGCTGTTATTGGTGCCGGACTTCAAGAGTTTATAAATGACAAAACAAAAGTTTTAACAACTGTTGGAGGTCTCACCGCCTTGGCTGTCGGATGGTACACAGCCAAGAGAGGGACTGGAGTGGTAGCAAAATATGTTGATGCCAGGCTTGGGAAGCCTTCCTTGGTTAGAGAAACCTCCAGAATAACTCCATTCGAGTTGGCAAAACATCCTATTAAATCTGTAAAGGGGCTGATGAGAAGGTCAACCGACCCCTTGGAGGGGGTTGTGTTGAATGTAAGTTCGTGTGTTCTCTCTATAGAGCCTCACCATTATAGCCTAACCTTGAAGCCCGCCTTCGTGATGTTGCTATTACCACTATGCACACCAAAAGAAATAACGGATTATTCAGAAACGTTCTGTTTTATGGTCCGCCAGGTACTGGTAAAACCATGTTTGCCAAGGGGTTGGCCAAGCATTCTGGCTTGGATTATGCCATTATGACCGGAGGTGATGTCGCTCCTATGGGAAGAGATGGAGTTTCTGCCATTCATAAGGTGTTTGATTGGGCAGAGAGCTCGAGAAAAGGGTATGTATTAAAATGTATATTTCTGGTAGCCCAAAACCCATTTAACTTTATTCTTTTTCAGCTTGGTATTGTTTGTTGATGAAGCTGATGCTTTCCTGAGAAAACGATCGACTGAACAGATCAGCGAAGATGTCCGGGCCATGTTAAATGCATTTCTCTACAGAACCGGAGAGCAGAGTCGTCATTTTATGTTGATATTGGCCAGTAATCAGCCGGAACAATTTGATTGGGCCGTAAATGATCGGCTTGATGAACTTGTTGAATTCGACCTGCCAGGCCGTGAAGAAAGAGAACGTATCCTTCTCCAATATTTTAACGAATTCATTTCCAAACCGGCGACTGAGGGCTCCAGAAAACAACGTCTGAAGATCGGAAAGTTCGATTGGATCAAGAAGATGGAGGAGATCAGCAAAGTTACCGAAGGAATGTCTGGCCGTGAACTCTCCAAGTTGGTATTGGGATGGCAGGCAAGCGCTTATGCTTCAAAAGACGGTTTCCTAACCGAAGAAATCATCGATCGAAACACTAAGGAGACGATCAAACAGCACGAACGGAAGATGGAGTGGCTAGCCCTCGAGGGATTTAAGGCCGGTTCAAAAACTTTGACCCCACCTTCTTTCAAGCACGAAGCCATCGAAGCCAAGCTTAAGAAGGAGACTGCCTTCTAATCCGGCTTCAATTCCCATTTTATTTAGGATGTTATAGAACATTTGTTATGTTATTTTTGTTGAATAAATTTTTGTTATACGAGGAAAACTTTTATTGAAATTTTGCCAACGGGTATCATGGCTGCATCTCATCATCTACCTCGGTCACACAACATATGTTGGATACACATCGGTTGAAATGGAAGGATCCCAGGCACACACATATCAAACATCCAAACGAACAGATCAGGCCGAGAACGCAGAATAAAGAGACAAAGTAAAGGTTCTGCAAGTACGATTTAACGGATACATGCAGTCATATACCTGGGTCCAATTGTAAATCGAGTCCTCGAAGATTTCCATGTGAAAGAAACGACCCAAGAAGTCGAGATTCGGTTTTCACATTTCGAACATCCCCCAGGGGATTAGAACGGCAAGATTTAAATTCTGTTTATTCACTAAATCTTTCGAATACAAAGCATAAATCCATTAACCTAGGAGAGACCGGCGCGGGCCAAGGCGTCATTGAGAACATTCTGCTTCTCACGGTGTTTCTCGGCTTCAAGTTTGCGGGCCTTACGGTTGCTGTTCCACTTGAAGGCGAAGAAGATACCGACATAGGTCAGAAGGGCGGCGCGGCAAATGTTCTGACGGCCTGCAAAAGATATAGTAACGAAAAAACAAAATTACCAAAGTGTTCATGAGGGTTCAAGTACAAATTCTTGGTTTGTCTGAACGACTGGAGGATTCCACGAGCAGCGTCCGCCATTTTTGGTCTGAAAAATAACGTAAGACAATCAGAATGAACTCAACCCCGAAAATTCAATCTCAGTAAACTCTAAGGTATCACAACGTCAATTAACATGTTCGTATATTCTGCGTTGCGAAAAAATCATTTTATTATTAATATTTATATAAAATAAGGTAAGACGAAAAAAGTTCAGTTAAAAAAACAAATCTGAGGGACCAAGGTTTAAACGTGAAGGTGTTTCAAGGTAATACAATTTTGAAAACAAATTAACAATACACCAATACCAGCTCTCAGATTGAGCTTCAAAAGGATCAGATTTTTCAGAAAATTTAGTGTCTGGAAGACGAATATGGTGAAAAGATAAAATAAATTGACAAAAACGTTTAAATGCGCATTACTTGTGTTGCAGTAGGCATAAATCCGTCAGTAAAACATAAATCAGGAAGGCCTATGTTTGATTCTAAGCTTCAGAACTTCCGAAAGCATAAACCCGATCGAATTCTGAGGGAATTTGGCTAGTCCCTCAAACAGCTTCAGCAGATCAAATTCCACGGCCTCAATGTTAATAACTGGATACAGTATTCTTAATCGTTCCTGGGAATCCGAAGAAAGCCATTCACCGATAGGCCCGGATATTGTTTCTTCTTTGGTCAGTTCATCTCGGCCAATTAATCCAATCAAAAATGAAAGACAAAGATGTTGTGCGAACTGAAAATATCAATAATTATAATAGCTAAACAAACATACAATAGAAATGGACAAGAAGGGCTCAAATGCTTGGATTGGGAAGGTATCTCTGAACTGCTTGAACAAAGAAAGATCCATTGTCCTCAATCCATTAACAATTGCTCGATGAAGTGGTTGCACATTAGAATCTTCAGCAATCTTGCGAGTATAAACGGAAAGACTGCTGACCAGATTATTCAAAATAAGACATCTCGATTGATCGTCGGCTTGGGAAAGCAGTTGTGCAATGAGAAGACGTCCTTTTTGAATCAACATTATCGTAGGCAGTTTGTCAGGCGTCACAATCGAGTTTACTATAGCAGCAACCTTCTCGCAAATAACGCTTTTTTCCCTGTAAACATACGTCCACATATGACTTCCAAAAAAAAATGAAACATTATACAGATTTCACTTACACATCGCTCTCTCCTTTCTTTGCTTGTTTGTAAGCCATATCCCTACATTCCAACAATGCCAATGAAGCGTTCTCTATCCTCAGAAGAACAGTCCTCAGCTTTTTCTGATTATTTACTTTCCCCACTTGACTTTCGTCTTCATCTCCGTTCTCCGTGTGTAGATCAATAATCTGCCGAGGAAAGGAAGTTGTGACATGTGTGGGACGGCCGAGACTGCCGTTGAAAACGGGAGGGACATATTTGTCAGCCGGGTAAGTGTCGTGGAAAGTATAATACTTCGGTTTGATCTGCACTTTCCATTCCTCTGGAGCTTCAGCCAACACATTTTGGTCTTTCCATACCTAAATTCAGAATAAAAATTGGCAAAAACACATACAGCATAATAATAATCGTCGTCCCATGGATCTCCAGTTCCCATACATTGAATCAATTGAATTTTGATCAGCCATTCCCGCTCTTTCTTTGACATTAGACCAGCGTAAGGATCAAATGCAAAGTCGGATATGGTTTTAGTAGATGGAAGATTGGGCCTGCGCTCTCTGTACTCCCGATAAGGCCTGTTTCCATGATAATGTTGCTGGTGCTGTGGATGGGGCATATTGAAATAAGGTGGTGGGACCGGGGGCATTCCCGGAGGCGGCATCATATGAGCAGCCATCTGAGCCCATTGTTGAGGAGTCATGCCCGGAGGCAACGGAAACGGTGGAGGGGCCTTCCCCATCATAACTGCATGTAACATTGGATTCATAGGACCATTAAAGGGGGGCATCGGTGAATGAGGTGGCATACCCTGGGGCGGCATGCCGTGCGACATCATCGGCATCGGAAAAGGCATCCGATTCATTGCTGGAGGACCATGGAAACCGGGAAGAAAGGAGTTTTCTGGAGGCGGAGGAGGTTGCTGAAGTGTCGGACTTCCCACTTCTGGTTGAGAGACCTTCTGTGCCTTATTCAATAAGTCTAATACGTTCAAATTATTGTTGAGATTTGTAGATGAAGTGGGTTGTTTGTTGGTGAGGTTATTAGCTAAATTTAGAAGTCAATCAAAACCAAGATTTCTTACCTCGGGCTGATTCGAACAGCTGATTTAACAGATTCGGCCGTTCTTCTTCGCGAGTTTGTCTTAAAATGTCTTCTTCGGTCAAAAACTGAGCTTTAGGTTTAGAGGGAGGATCTGCCTTCTTTGGCGTTTGAACTCGTTGTTCTCGTTGCTCAGAATCAAAGGTTTCTAAACGCCAGTTTATTAACATTAATGGAAATGCTTACGGGGCAACGTCGCATTCGTAATAAAGGAGAAGAAATCTTCACTTGAATCGCGTTTTGAGGTAGAAGGTTCATCGCCATGATATCCCCAGATATTTTTATTAAACAAAGAGCTTGAGAGATCCATGGGAATAGGGATAGAACTTGGGTCCGGCCACACCACAGAAGAGTGCTCCTCATCATCAAAATCAAGGAGTTTTGTCTGCAAGGCAAAGAATAGAAAAGGCATGAAGTACTAAACCAACGAAAACACGACGATTCAAGGAAAACAACAACTTACCCTCTCCGCCAATGTCTCCAGATCACCAGTATCCGTGGGTTCATATCGACCGAAGGTCTCATCATTTATGGCATCATAATCTTCTGCTCCTTCAACCCTTTCTCCACCAAACCCACTCCCCGACTCTATTTCTTCTCCATCTTGATCATCATCAAATTGGAATTCCTGTAACTCCGGGGAATTGGAATGTCGAAGATGATCCATTAGTGCACTCATTCCATATTCTCCAGACACCTGATACCTTCCACAAGAAATAAAAGAAAATATTAATGCGGAAAAACTTCACAGTAAAGAGTTGACATTTCGTTGCGAGACGCAGATTTGGACTGGCATTTCGTTGCAAGTCAGATATTATTTATTATAATAAATTGGGTCTACAAGTATAAAATACGGTTACTCATGAGTCATTACAAACGCCATACCCTTGATCTTCCGACTCAGAAATTGATCCGTAAAATAAACCGGTAATCTAACAACAACTAGGCAGAAGTGTGAAGAGGAATATTGTACGTAAAAAAAACACCAATTGCTACGGAGTCATTCATTTGTCTACGCAGCATCATTAAATTGACAGTTCGGGTTTAAAATCAGGTTGGTTTACAAGCGATGGCATCAACTTGTGTAAGCTGAGGCAACGTCAAGATGACCTTTCTTCTGTATGCCGTGGGGTCTTCATGATAAATCGGATTCCTCTCCAAGTATAAAGTCCGCAAGGCTTTCACCGAACCTAATTTCTCAATTTCCTTCCAGCTGCTGATCTTATTGTCATTCAGCCACAAATCCTCAAGATTCTCCAGTTTTGAAAGTTGTGGAATAACGGAGATTGAGTTATCGCCCGCGTCCACAATGGAGAGATTAGTCTAAATAATGGATGTAAATTTCTACTCAAGACCCACAAGTTGTTCGATTCCACTGATATCTTCGATTCCTTGAGAGCTGATGTGAAGCTCTTCCAACTCTTTGAGATAAGAAATGTCTCCCAAAGAAGTCAATCTATTACCCTGAAAAAGCCTAGTGAACGCCAACAGTATAAAGTAATTTACCGGTACACTCAGAACTTTGAGGCCTTGTAGATTCTCCAGATTTTCCAATTTCGAGATCTTATTCTTTCCCAAATAAAGCTCTTTCAATTTTTTGAGATGACCAATATTCTCGATGACCTTAATCTTGTTATCTCCAGCTTCCAAGAGTTCCAGATTCACCAAATTCTCGAGACCAGCCAATGAAGTGATCTTATTACAAACCAAGTACAACTTCTTTAGACTCTTGAGATTGTCGAGACCTAAACGACTTGCATAAAAAGATGAACGATTACCCTCAATGGTTCTTATTCTGTTGTGACTCAAGTCTAATATCTCCAAATTGATGAGACAGTCGAGATTCTGGACCTTCTCGATCTGATTGTCATAAAGATCAATCTCCGTTAATTGAGTGATTCTGACGTTCTCATTAATCTCCTTGATCAGATTTGTCCGTAAAGACAAATTCTAAAAAAAATTTATATTAAAAAAATTCGTAAACTTACCTTAAGCTTGGTAAAGCGGCTGAGATCAGGAATGCGGTCGGCAACGGTGTGAGTAAGATCAATATCCTAAAATAAGACTCTCCAGTTTAAAATAAACTTACAGTTTCATCAACTGGGATTACACTGAGATCGAACTGATTGTATTCCCTCTTCTGTTTCTCCTTTCCATGTTGCTCATCTCCTTGCCCTTCTTCATCGTTCTGAAGCGGACCCTGTTCTGCTAGGTTTTGGTCTGACATGTAGCTGAAATATTTATTCCTAAAAGAAAAAATGACACACAACAAATATAAAAAACACGAAGGAATACAAACAGGTATATTATTATTTTGGAGACTTGAAGGGATCGGACCAGGGTCGGAGGCCATTCGCAAGTTTCTCCCGGTCGGCATTCATCAGCGATCTCTTGTGGGCCTGAACCCCCTTATAATAATCGTTGTAGACGTATGGTTGGACAATCATGACTAGAATTCCGAGTATTGTTAGACCGACGCATCCACCGACTGCTGCAGTTCCCATCGTTGGACGTTGGAATCTGTTGAGGAATGGAAATTTTTGTTTCCAATAAAGTAATCCGGCTACTGGTGCACCTTTAGGAACTCTCATCGTTGATAATTCTAGCTTCTTCCGAAAAATTTTCTGTTTTTCCTTCCAATTATATTTTTAGTGACATTTTATACCATGAAACATTTCCGATAAAGCTAGCGATTTTTTTTATTTCTTATTTGGGGTATTCCTTTTTACCACGCTTTTATTTTAAATGTACATAACACGTTTCTCCAATAGAAGAAATATTTCTGAAAGGCCCACAACAATGATTTGTCTGCGAAATTGTGATATGATAATTCATAGAGTAACAAGGAGCACTCATTTCGGAGACGTAAAGATCTTTCCAAGCGGAGATCGTCGTCACTGTGCCGAATAAAATAGCAAGAACTAAAAATAAACCCATCTCGATTATCGGTCTGTCGGGAAAATAATGAACACAATGTGGAAACCCCATCGCGTCGCTGAGGTGAAAAGCATTGCGACACAATTCATTCTCTCGGCTGCGATGCGAGTTTCGATGCGACAGAATACTCATTATTTTTCCGACAGATTGATGGTTGTAATTGAAATGTTACATACCAATAACAAGAAAGTTAGCTATCAGTCGAGGCCATGGAGTTAATTTGATAGCCTGGGCCAAGGAAAGGTAGCCTGCCTTGGTCACATCTCTCTCCATGGCTTTTAAAAACATGCTGAACAGGCATGGTAACACGGCAGATGTAAGAGCCACTGTGGTGCCTCCAATAACGTTGAGTAAAGGTCCAAAACTGGGTATCGATAAGGCCAAGAAGGTGACCGAAGATAAAATAAAGGCACGTACAGCGACTCTACCCACTCCAAACCCTGCAAATTACAACAGAATAAGAATGGTGTGGTCTACACATTTTTGTCTCGACTGGCAGAAAGCCCGATTTCTTGGTCTCGCAACGTTACGCAATCCGAGTCAAGAATTTCCCAGAGCTCTCCATTCAACAAATCGAGCTTTCTGCCAGTCAAGACAAAAAAAACTGTAGATTGCGCCATCCATATATGTACATATTATGTATGCTGATACGATAAGATGACCAAAACTTGCCATGAGGAAGACCAAGAGAGTTCTCGAGCTCCTGGTTGAGCGGGTTAATAGTGATTGTTAGTGTTAAAACACAATGGGCAGCGATGAAGAGGTTAGCTGCTTCTTGGATCTGTTTCGATTGGATAGATGAAATTATGGAATCGGTTAAGGAATCACCATAAACTGCATAACCGAGTACAGTAACTGGTAGATATAAGATACAGACCCCTAGAATACGATGACATATTATGTAATTAGTGTAAAGGGACGACCACAAGTTAATCATCTTACCAAGGAAGCCTAAAAACGCTGACTTAGTGAACTCTTTAGGACGTCTCATATCATTGATTATGGTAGGGAAAACGGCATGACCTCCAAAAGCGAACATGAAGATGCCCAAGGACATGATGAACTCTTCAGAATTGAACAAGGGAAAATGGGCATTGACACCGCATACGCCATGATCTTTCAGTATTCCAGCCACAATCAGAATGACTGCGATTACGGTAGTGACCATTGCCAAAACCACGGCAATCCTAAAGTAAAAAAAATATGTCCAACAAAGGTAGTGCACAAACTGTCTATCGCCAAATGAGACTTGCTGTAGAGGCGTGATCGGAAGACGCCGTGGCTTAGGGTCACTGCCCTTCACGCCCCCAAGCCAAACTTTCTTTACAAATTGCAAAAATTTGTAATTAAAAAAAAAATCTTGATTTCGGAGCTTCCGATGGTGCTCCTGGCAACATAAAAATCAGACACCTCTTACCAGAAATCTTGCGGCGATTTGAGTAGAGTAACTGGGAACAATACAACAGCCAATGCCACCAACATACGACATTCCCCGATGTTAAAACTCATCAAAGAACTGATTAAATTGTTGATGATCTTGGCGGAAAGAAGAAGGTAGACAACACTGACCCCGAACAACATGGCATGGATGGTGCCGACGGTGAGAAGGCGGGCCTTCGGTCCGATCGCTCGGAAGGCCATCTCAGGGTAGGGCTTTCGGCAATGGGACGAATACTCTGGCCACCTCTTCTTCATTATGGTCCAGTTCTCGCCAAGTAAATGAGCAGTGTAACAGAAGGCAGTCGCCACAACAAAGATGACCAGTCCACCAATTAGACCCCCTGGAATATAGAGATACGCAGTTGGGCGAAGATACCCACCCGATTTGAGTAATGCCACAGGCATGGTAACCACTCCTCCGCCGGCCATATCCGCCACTATAAAAGCGGCCGCAATCACCCAATTGATCCCTTTCTTGGGCTGTTTGAATTGCATATCACTCTTTTCATTCGAATGGAGGAGAGGAATGGAATCAGCGCATTCCAATGATCTCATTCCTGAAACACTGTTATTGGATATTCATTGTACGTTCATCTTTATAAGTACGTTTGTAAATCTTGGCAGTAAAATTAAAAATAACACAGACGAAAACGTGTAAGCATGCTATACAATTCTTATTTTTGATTGTTTGCAGAAGTTATGCATAGATGTAAATGATCTATAAAAAGCGAGAAGTAGATGCTCTTTTCTCGGGAATAAAAAGCAGGAACATGGGAAATATAACACCAGGGGGCCTAATCCTCTTCCAATTTTCATTACGATATAAAATGGGCTTAGTTTACGGTGCTGTCATGTTTATTTTAAAAATATTGAGAAAAGCCATGCAGGGGTACTGTAAAATGTTAAAAAAAACAATTCCCGAAAAATAAAATTTATTTTTGTCAGTTTTTAGGTGGGAAGTGGCCTGAATTCTAAACCATTCACAAAACAAAATGATTCGAAAGTGAAGTTTAATAATGTTATTTGATGACGTCATTTCTTTGGATACAGGTGCGGAAACCGAACAAAATAATTCTAAAATGAATTAAATGAATCGGGAACAGGGGAGGAGGATCTCTTTGAGGCGCTCAAAAAATATCCGCATTTCCACGTGTTTTCCCCTTAAGGGATTTGATTTTTAAAAGTTATTTTTCTCGCATTACCTGTTGCAATGTGGGAGGCTTTCTTTTCGCTTTAGCAAAAACAAATATCTAACGAACTTTGGATGAATTTTTTGGACACCAAATTCTAACGACGATGTGATGACAATAAGTATAAGTTTTTATAATTATATTAGTCATGTCATTCGTTTTTTGCCAAAACCACATCAACACGCAAAGTCTGGGAGTACACGAGTCGAGATGACTGAACACGAGCTGGACTCTCAACTAGTTTTCATCCATCATCTTTTGTCGATGGATTTCTCGATGTCTTCGCGGATCGGCGTCGATGAATTAAAAGATTTCATTGATCCGATTCCTTCCAACAATGCTCTCCTCCTCTCTTCTATTGCTCTTGCCTCTGGCAATGGCCAGTCTGAGTCCCGATTATTTGAAAGGGACTTGTCCCAATGACAAGGAGATCTGTTACAGTAAGGCTAGTCAAGGAGAATGCTTTGGCAATTCCTTGAAAGCTCAGGTTTTGAACAAGAATTGTCCTTGTTCGTGCAACGAGGCGCTTCATTCGAGGATTCAGAAGTGCTGTCGGACAGTGGGACCTCCGGAGATGAAGTTCTGTCTCCCTCTGTGTGGATATAACACGACGGTCGAAGAGGTGAGTAAATTTAAATTGGCATTCGCTTAATCACGTCAGAAAATAAAATGAAACAGAATTTTAAAAATTGCAGTTGTGTTACCGGTTTTCAATTTGTAGCCTTGTACTTTTATTTTATTTTCAGCTGGGCAGTTCTCTCGGAGTTAAATGCGTTTCTCAGTTGACCACCTGGGCGTATTGTGCTGCTGATAACAGTGATAATACAGCCTGTTGCAAGTCCAAAGGAGTCTCAGATGAGTGTCTCAGCTTCTGCAAAGGGGACGTCCCCACTTGTGACCTTCAAAGTATCTTCTCCTACCAGCCTTGTCTCAAAAATATGAAGTCAATAGTCCAATGTCAAGTGGAGAATCTCGCCGCCACTCCCAGATTTGATCCTGATTGGCAAGCTCCTTGTGAATGGGAGTAATAAAAGTATCATAAAAGAGCATACATAACTTATTCCAATAAATTATTTATTCAAGAAACCCGTGAACGTGAAAGTAATGGAATAGCAGCATTAATCACCCGTAGGCCTCGGAATCATGAGGTTTTGTAACTCCAGATCCCTTTTTTCCTTCTTCTGGAGTCTGAACTGATTGATCTTTCTGAACTCTCGAACTTCCTCCATCATTTTTTTGTTCTCTTCCTTCAATCTGCTGACTTTATTCTTATTTTTTTGATTCGATTCTTCCAACTTCTGATATCGTTGACTTTCTATTGCAAACTTTGTTGTCATCTCTTGAAGCTGGTACTCCAATCTTTTAACATGTTTTGAATCTTCTCGGTCTTTCTTTACGAGGTCATCTTTAAGTTGAGATACCACGTTTTCTAGAGCAAGCTTCGATCTGAGAACAAGTGATTTGAATCCTTATTTAAGTTAATACTTACTTAGCTAGCTCAGTTACAGTATCCTCGAGTCGGTTCACTTCTTGCATCAAATATGAATTCTCAACTTGCAGTCTAAACGATGATTTTTTTATATTGTTTTAGGCTATGTTAAACTTCAATTTCTGATTCCTTACCGTTTATTTTCCACCTCGATTTCTTTTCTCTTTTCAATTTCTTCTGTTTTTCTCTTTTCATTTTCTTTTATTTCATCTTCATGTTGGCTTACTTTGTTAGATAACAATTCCACTTGAGCCTCAAGTTTTCCATAACCCGGAAATCTAAAAATAATGCAGTTGACTACAAGAAATCATCGCAAGAAAAGAGAAAACAACAAAATTATACTTTAACCCTTTCCGGACGAGTCGGCACCTCCATGCAGAAATGAAAGAGGGTACCCTACTGAGTAACGGCATAATAGTGGTTCAGCCCATCGAAGCGTTATTTGGGACTTATGACAAAAAATGTCCTAAAAGTACCCCCAGTTGACATAACCCTTATAAAATTTTGCTAACGACCTGTAAATTAGAAACTACCCCTAAGTTAAAGTCTAACACTCCTACTACTGTTACATCCAAGAACTGTCCAAATCGGACCACTACGGGATTAGTTATCGACTTTTGGAAATTGAATTTTAAATTTCGACCAATTTTTGGCCCAAAATTGAGTATATCTTCCGCCGGAATCAACTTTTTCAGTCTAAATGTGGTTTTTCTGAATCTAGAGTGACGCTAGCTTCTTCCCAGAATGTTTCCAGAAAAAACCTACAGGGCACGTTTCTGTAAAAAGCGAAAAGGTTGAAAGCGTAAAGGTTTCACCGTATAAAATGTCGCCGCAAGCCGAGAAGGGTCGGGCGCAGCTCGAAAGGCGAAAATAATATACATTTTTTTGAGAAATACTATTTTAGTGTGAAACTAAAGCAAAATCCAATGAAATTGCCTGAAAACGCATTAAAAATATTAAAATGACATTGAGTTAATGTTTGCGTGCTCTGTCTGTCTGTATTTCATCTGAATTCAGCTTGTCGACACTAAAATAAGATTTTTCGAAGAAAAAATATTATTTTCGCCTTTCGAGCTGCGCCCGACCCTTTTCGGCTTGCGGCGACATTTTATACGGTGAAACCTTTACGTTTTCAACTTTTTTGCTTTTTACAGAAACGTGCTCTATAGGTTTTTTCTGGAAACATTCTGGGAAGAAGCTAGCGTCACTCTAGATTCAGAAAAACCACATTTAGACTGAAATGGTTGATTCCGGCGGAAGATATACTCAATTTTGGGCCAAAAATTGGTCGAAATTTAAAATTCAATTTCCAAAAGTCGATAACTAATCCCGTAGTGGTCCAATTTGGACAGTTCTTGGATGTAACAGTAGTAGGAGTGTTAGACTTTACCTTAGGGGTAGTTTCTAATTTACAGGTCGTTAGCTAAATTTTATAAGGGTTATGTCAACTGGGGGTACTTTTTAGGACATTTTTTGTCATAAGTCCCAAATAACGCTTCGATGGGCTGAACCACTATTATGCCGTTACTCAGTAGGGTACCCTCTTTCATTTCTGCATGGAGGTGCCGACTCGTCCGGAAAGGGTTAAATTGAGTTCTGTAAGTTTTTTGTTCATTTCGACGGCCTTTTCTGTCTTCAATTCCTCCATTTCTACTTGATGAGACGTTTGCTTGTTTCAGTTGTCTTCTGAGTTCTTCTATCTGCACATCCTGCGTGGCTATGGTATCTTTTAGGGTTGTCACTTCATGTCCATGGTATTTTTTATCTTCTAATAGCAAGCTAACCTCTTTCTCGTACATTTCCCGGATATCTGATACTGTTTTGGACTAAAGAATATTAAATTGTCCAAAGGTGTAGACTTACTTTGAACTCGTCGAAGATTTCTTCCCTGATCTTCTTCTCCAATTCGATTTCATGCAAAACTTCCCGGGTAATTTGACGTACAAATTCAATCTCCGAATCAATTTCCCTCTAAATAATGGTACAGGTTGAATGAAAATTACTTTAGCTTCTTGTCTCAGCCGCTTATTCTCTTGCAAAACCAACTGGAACTCCTTCTTCAGCTCGTTGTAGTTCTCTCGAGCCATGATCAACAATCGTCGTTCCATGACGCATCTTTACGACTATTGATGAACCATTGGCCTAATAAATCTCACCGAACCTTAGCCTCAACATGCGTAAGTCGACCTGGCCAAAGAACCCTTCCGAATGTCGTGTTTCTATGGAAACATGGTCGTATTCATTGCGCAGATTGCCCTTCATGTTTCTTATAGGGTACATTCTATTTTAATTAATCCTTCACTGATATCATAATCATCATTTCATCGTTTTTTATTTATAATTGCGCAACATTATTATCGTATAAAAAAGTATAAAAATAACATAGGGCGCAACTCACAAGGCAAAAATAAATATTTTTCGAGATTTTTTGTACATTTTTTTTGTCTGGATGTAGACTACTACACTTGGGTTGTCAACAGATCATTATCAATTTGGGGTGTTCTTAAATTTAAGTGGGATGTCATCGTCTTTATCAGTTCTGGCCGGAATTTCAGCGTCAATCGGAGCGTCGTCGTTAAAATTCCTTTCCAACGAAGATGTTTCGTTTACTGTAAGTTTATTGGCAGATATATTTGATGGCTCTTTAGTTTAAGGCCTCCCTGTTTATTGTATTCATCATTTCGAACGTTTTGGTTTGGTGGTTACAACTGAAAAATATGGCCAAGAATTCAACAGTAAATGTATGCCAATGTTGCCAGGTCTAACAATGTTTTTAGTCCATCCTCGTCTTCACTGGCAGCAATTTCATTAGTGCAGTAAGTTTGTTGTCTTTCGTTTAATACGAAATTATTCTTGACTTTTCTGGGGACGTTGATTCATGGGGAAAAGGAGATCGTCCGATCATTCGCGGGCTGTTTTTTGGTTCTGCTCGGCGTATGCATCATAAATGCGAATAATTTGAAACAGAAAGAGGAATGAAATGATCCAAACTGTACACATACAAGGCGAAATGTCATGTATAAGGTAATAAAGTATTTTATTATATTTATTGTCGGATATGAATGGTAATGAAAAGTTATATGATACGAAAAAATACCCGGAAGCCAAGCGGAATTGTAATTACAACAACATTTTCTAAAGGATAAGAAATCCAAGATTACTGCAAAAAATTTGTTAGGCAAGAAAGAAATGTCAGTAAGAAAAAAGTAAGGGATAGAAGACCGAAGAAAGAGTGGATGAGAGAAAGAGAAGGCACAGAAAAAGATATGAGGTACGAGAAAGTCGTGCGGAATGGGAATACCCGGTTGTTAGTTAAAATACGACTGAAAAAGGTAGTTTTCAACAAGAACATCTACTTCCGAGAAGGGGGATATGCCTTTATTCGACCGCCCCAATTTAGTCGATAAGTTCCTTGGCGCCAATGGATATCTGGATTGGTGAGAGCCTTCAAAAACACCGGCAGAGTACTGCATTCTCGATACAGCCAGGCCACCAGGTATTGGAGAAAGTTGAAAGGAATCGCTCCATTCTGAAAAAAAGTCATATTAGGATTACTAATACCATATTTGTAATGCAATACCCAATAGTAACCTGGTGGGTCACGAGTTTAAATTAAAGAAAGTACTGTGGCTTTGTTGCTTTAATCATTATTCAAGTCCCGACTTGTGAAACATTTATGTGACTCACCTGAACGATGTTGATTAAGATAAAATCACATATGATCCAGTATAACATGTGCAATACTGCGTATGAGAAGACGTAATAAAACGAGTTTGTTAAGTAAAACAAGGCCGTTGAGCCTAGAAGACAACACATAAAACATTCTTGAGCCGGCTCCAAGATGATAGTGTGGGGCAACATGGCTATCCTCAGCTTCATCCATCGGCACATCCGTTCGTGGAACGATGAGACTTCCGTTTTTGACCCGTTCTGAAGAGCTGGTAGATGTGAAACCACTGTTCGCCAACCTCTGCAACAATTTTAATATAACAATTTTTCTGGTCAACAGAAGAAGAAATAATTGTAACAACATACCGTCTTACAAATTCCACACCAAAAAAGTAATCTTCTGCCAGGAAAGCGCCAAAGTATGGTAGTCCACCACAATCTTCGAGTACTCCTTTCCTCATCAGACAGGACATTCCAGTTGAACAAACGATGTGCAAAGCATTCCCAGCCATGTATATCCGGGCATGGGCTCCACCGAAATACACCTAAAGAATCAGGTTATGACACGGCCATCCCATTACTTTCATGTTCATACAGATCACGCATTTACCTGCTCCACATGTGCTGCAAATCCGGGACGATCCATACTGTACGGTAGCTGAGTGACCATGCCTACATTATCCTCTAGACAAGCAACCATGTCCGCCAAGGCATCATTCCTCATGTAAATATTGGCATCACTGATCAAAACCAAAGGGTATTTGGATGCTCTGTAGCCGGGCATCATGTTATTGATCTTCGGGTTTAATCCCACGGGTTCTCCCCCTATAACCATTTATATATATTAAATGCATGTCACTTACCAAAGAATATCCTCACATCCACATCTTGATACCTTGCCCTGAGGGCTTCTACTACCTTTAAAGCCGGATCGGCTTCATCATTGAAACAAAAAAGAAGTTCATACTGAAAAGAGCCGCATTAAGCATTATAGTTATGGATACGCTTACTCTAGAGTATTGCAATTTGAAGTAAGATTCCAGATTGAAGAAGAGATTGTCATCCGTTCCCACCACCGGTTTTATTATCGACACTCCAACTTCGTCCAGTTTTCTGACCGCTTTCCGATGCAACCGTCGTTTGCTGTAAAACATAACCAGTAGCATCAAGCTTTCCAATATTTTAACTTACGCATAACTGATGGCAATGAGATGAATCAGATAGACCCCGCTCACGAAGACGAGCACACAGACGGCAAGGATGGTGCAGATATTTGTGGGATTCTGGAAGAGATCAAACATCGTCAGCATGGGATTGGTGGTCTCCGATGGGGCGGAGATGGAGGGGGAGGGCGTCGACGTCGATGGCTGAGCCGCAGGCATTATCGGCGGCCGAAATTTGGCCTCTGACATACGGCCGCCTGAACTCTGACGACCGACCGGTGTCTCCTGCAAATAGTCGGATTAAAAGTGACATTACAATACATTTAAGTCGCAGTAAACATGCGGACAAGCTTGTAGTGTATAACATAATTACATAATCGGGACACATCCACCTGTCTTTTCCCCCCGACATGTGAAAATACTAATGGGAAAAATTACGATGGAAACCATTTACAATTTCGAGGCATCCGTGAAAGAAACTGTATAAAAAAATTAATCAGGACCCCTGGACCTATATTACTCATACAAACGATGACTTAATGGAGGGAAAAAGTGGCCAGAAAGAGGACATTCACTGTCCGCAGAGAATAAAAACACCTAAAAATAACGGTTCTTGACCGCTCACGTGTCTCCTGCCGCTTCCCATCTGGCCGGGGAAAGCGGCCGAAAACTTTGGGAAAGGGAGAATACGAAGGTGTATATGATTATCGCACCATGGAATGGCGTTTCAAAACCCTGTCCCCTTGTCAATCTTTCCCGATAGGTGCCTCAAAGATAAGAAGACGAGCCTTCCGCATGACTCATGGCCATTTGGGGAACAAACCAAGCACTTTATCGAAAATTTACAGGTAGAAGGAGGGCTTGGGATTGGACTAAATTCAGACAGTTTTTTTCTTACTCTATCCCTGCTTTTCCCGCGTTTTTACCCTTCACGTTACCCTCGAGGCTCGGGTCGAGAGCGAGCCCAAGTTCCGCTCCAGAAAACCCGCAAAAGCGAAGGGAAGAGAACACAATAATATTAATACAACAACAAGTTAAGCGGGGGTTTTCCGGGACGGGAGAGGTGATGGTGGGCAAGTTTTGAATTTATGATGGGACCAGCGGGTCGGGGAGAGGGACGGGGAAGGAACGAAGGTGTTCCTTGATGCGATCTACGAATGAAGAATATAAAAGTTTATAGCATTCCCCTGGATAAAACAGTAAAGTATATTTGTTTTTAAGCTTAAAGGTGACAGTCGAGTACTTTTCCCTTTTTTCTGGGCCGAGGCTAGCCTTAACATCCGATTTTGGACCGCCGGAAACTGATTCCCAGTCCCGACCACAATCTCCTACATCAATTTTAGGTGTATTAGTCACCCCCACCTCAAAAGGTTGCTTTTTAAAACTTGCTCAACTATTCGTCCCTACCGTCACCCCTACAATAACCTTATACCGAGTGTGGATAACATTAAACCATTTAAAAATGCAAAAAAATAAGTCACCATGGCGACTGCACCTTATTTGTAGGATGAGGGTGATTCCCCCAATGTCATGCATGACCAATCTAAGAGTCAATCAAGGTATGTAACCGCCCTCACGTCAACTCCACATCCCGGCAAAAGATAAGATAACGGCTCCGAAACCGAATTGTTCCAAAAGAAACGACAATCATCAATTAAAAAATCTCTTATTCAACTCTGTTTTAGGCCACAAACATATAAATATAGATATCACAACAGGATTATTACTGTAACAATAGGGCGGAGTCCAATAAATAATGCACCCAGGGATTGATAATAAATAATTTAGGCATCTTCTTCCGGAATTGATCACGGAACCATTGTTTTAGAGAGAGCCCAAAAGTTTGGCCAAGTCATCGGAGTCGGATCTTCGGAGAGTTGAGGCCTTTTGGATGATATTCTAAAACAATACTACTTTACAATACAAATAACTACTTACATTGAACGTTTCCGTAAGTTGTTCGGCGTTGGGCGAGGGGTCGATCTGCTGGAGGGAATCCCTGATCTTATCTATCATCTTGCTGATGAGAACTCCGTCAATCTGAATTCAATTAAATTATATCCAACCATATTTGTTTCTTCTTACTGTTTCACATCCTAATTCATAGAAATATACGTAATTGGTCAAGACGAGGACATACAAGCCCAATTGGACTTGATCTTCCATACATTGAGAGGTGACCTTAAGGGCTTTTTTCAGACATTCCGAGAGTCTTTGTCCGTTTTTGATAATCTCTTCGGAATCCTTGGGTTTGGAGAACCAGAAGAGATGAGATGCCGAACACAAAGCCTTCGCCTGATCGGCTTTTTTGAGTAATTTGGACGCATACATTGCACACTGATTTCTGAGCGTATCATGATTCTCATCCTTAACATTATGTAATGCCTGGACTGTGCCAATCATCTGGAAAAGACAATGGGCTTGAACCCTGGATTCCGTGAGGTCTTCTTCGAAGATCGTAAATGCCTGAAATGATTAATGAATTTCATAATCCACGTTAATCTATTTTAGATCTAACTCACACTGGACACAAATTCATATGCAACTGTTTCCGAATCTTCAAATTCGGTTCTGTCGGCAACAAGGGCACCCTAGAATGTGATCACAATAAATATTCATAGTAATTTATGTAAATATTATAGGAAGCACGGGAGAACTCACCTGAAGAAGGAGATTCAGACAAACTTCGAAACTTTCGGTTTCTGTTTTGAGGGCATTAATTGTGTTCTGACAAAATTGGAAGATTTTGATCACTTTTTGATTTGACCCTTCCTGAAATACACATCACGTAATAGATTATTGACACAAAAGCAGACTTAAAGTCAACCGCTGATTACTCACCCCATTTTTTACGGCCTCTGTATATGTTGGAATAAGTGAAAAAGTTGTAAATATTAAAGGTGGAAGGGTGAAGACTAGCCGTTGAGGTCCTCCTTTTCCGAACACTTTTCGGATTTTGGATAAAAACTTGAGATGGATTTCTGGATTCTCATTGCGTACCGAATGGAGCAACGCGGCAACCAACTCCATTTGCTCTTCAAATTCCTCATTATTCTCGAGATCCTTAGACTCTCCCTCTTGTGGGATCAGTAATGTATCCAAGATATCGAACAACTAAAACGTAAAAATTAGCCGCATGTAAACTAGGGTTAATAGCGTCAGTCACGTTGTCAAATCGTGAACTTGTATAGCGATTAGACCGAAAAACACTTTTTGGTCATAAATTGTCATACGCCGCTTGCGGAAAAAAATTATTTTTTTGTGGAAACGTTGCCTTCTGCGGTAGAAACAGATACGATACTTTTCATGCCAAAATTCGCAAGACTGTCACATTTACGCCGACTTTCGATCTAAATATCTCTCTCGTTTCTGCAAAGCGCGAGCTAGGAACCTTGTATATATCTTAGAACAAATTTGTGCCAAGTTTCATTAAAATCCGAGCGTCTCACTTGGGGTACTTCCACTGTTAGCAAAAATGATGAAAATAACGCTAATTTGACGTCAACTTGCCGTCAGATTGAAAAAAAAAAAATCCGTCAAATTAGCAACCCCAATGTAAACCCACAAAAGAAATTTAACAGAACACATTCGTGTCATCTCCCACCTTTTCCAACTGATCTTCCTCCGTAATGAAGATTTCTCGTTCTATGATCGTCTTTATTATTGCTGAGCAAACATTAGTCCTTCCTCTAATCGACAAAATATTCAGAACACTCTTAAATGCATCCAATTCAAGGAAAGTCAGACAATTGGGGTAACATTCTACTGGCATCTTCAGCAACTTTATCAGTTCTTTTCCAACATTCTTGTTCGGAGGAACACTAAAGCCATAATCAATAAGAATTCAGACTACTTACTCATTTTCTTTCAATCTCTCAAATACCGAGGCCGTCGATAAGAACACTGTATTAGCATATTCGGTTTTTGAGGGATAGCACTTGATAGCTAGATTTACCAGAGCTCTCTAAAACAATATAATTAATCGTTTCTCTATTTTTTACCTGGATGGCCACAATGTCTTCGGGCAGCATTTCTTCTCTCTCAGAAATAATCTTCTCACAGTGTTCGGAGAAAACCTCAAACAATTTGTATTCTCTTGGAAGATCTGGATTGTCATTTTGAAGAGAAAATTCGACCAAACGTTCAATTACGGCACAGAGAACATTCTTGATCTGCACCATGGGATGAAGCGAGAGACAAGCGCCGAGGAATTCAGAGAGTGTGGCAAGATGAAATTCATCTGGGAATACCTAAACTGGAGATTTAAACAAAAAATCACCTTACTTGAATAACACATTCCATCAGATATTCCTGAGAGATTGGTTCTCTACAAGAGACCGATTGTTCCAATATACCCGGCAATAACAACGTTTTGTACATCTCGAGATCCAACAGTTCTAACTGAGAGAGTCTGACCAGATTCGTTCCTACGAGAATCCTCAGCTCACGCCGCTCACGTTCCCTCTTCTCTTTTTCCCTGCTTGGTCCCTGTAAAGCATATATAAAACATAAGATTAACGTACCTGATGCTGCATTCTAACCCACAGTTTATTCATTTCACTGAAGTTGGTCATTACGATCTCCAAACTGTCATTTATATTTCCTTCTTCGTCATTTACACCGGGTGGCCCTACTGGCAAAAGTTCTTTTGTACAAGACAACAAATAGTTCCTTAGAAATAAACCTTTGAGAGGATGCTGAACTCCGCGACACATCTCTACCATGTCCTTCAAAATGTCTTTGCAAGGAGTTTCCTTCGATTTGATGTAGGCCACTCCAACAGTGATCATTAGATACCTAAAAACAATAAAAGCGACAAATTAGAAAGCTTACAATCTTGGAACAATATGTACAGCAAATTGTACCAATTCATACAGTTCAGTGATTTTGTTTTCTCCTTCAACCATATATTCATCTAGAAGATACGCCAGGAAATGTTGCAACTCATTCGTAACATCAATATCTAAAATTGAGATAAAACAAAAAATACAGCACATACATAATCTATAATAAAACTTGGGGCTCAGGTTCGGAGTTCTCAACTCGTTGAGCATGTTGTTAACATGCCGAAGACCATCTCGGATATCCCTTTTATCCAAACTTCTTTTCATCTCAAAGGCATGGGATTTGACCAGCCGGAGCATATCCTCCAAAGCAAGTTCCTGCTCTGTCTCCATTATTGGAAATGCAGAAATACCCTGAAACTGTCAAATATGATCTTTCAGTCCGTCGGAAAATAATTCGGACTCGTCGCAAAAAATGTCGCGAGATTGGTACAGTCGATTCCGAGGCGATTCCTAATTATTTTCTGATACAAAAAAGCAACAAACAATCTGGAAAGAATTTTGTGAATCATAAGCGAAACACGTGGAGTTGGATAAACTACTGGCCAAAATGATATCATACTGTTGAGAATCTGATTCAAACGGGGTCGCCGAACACTTAATACGTCAATTTTCCGACATTTTACGGAGACGAGTCCGAATTAATTTCCCGACAGACTGATAAAAAGCAAGGACATCAAACGGAGAATAAACAAATGGCATCATGTTGCTATCCCAACTGGTCCCACCGACACAATATTATATCCGCTTCCTCGGATCGGCTACAAAAAAAATACTGCGCCCAATTTCCACGCAGCCCTCGGATCCACGAGCCAAAAATAATTTATAAAAACGGAGTCAACTCTTCCTCTCAAGGTCATTACAGTGAAATGAAAAACAGTAGCCGTAACCGTTATTTTACTACGAAGACAAGAAAGCCCGTTTATCCCAGGTGTTGTAAACTAGAGTTCCAACATTTTGTACTAGCATAGCTCATAAAAACCAAGACACATAGAGCAAGACTTGTCCAATTTATTCTCTGACACATTTTATGGAAAATGAGGAAATTTTGCAATTTACTTTTTTGGAACGAACCGGGTGAAGGCTGATTTTTATTTTGTTACTCACTGCTTTTATAAATATGTTGAGGCTTCGTATCATTATTTTTGCTGTTTTAATTTTTTGTGTTATTTCGGGGCCATTAATCCCAAAAGAGGTAGGTCACAAATGTGTGATGTCTACGATGCCAATTCAGGGAAATGAAACAGTAAAATCGAATCGTCCTGATCACTTGAAAGCGGTACCATTAGAAAGAGACGGAGAACTCAATAAAGATTTGAGGAAAGAATTACTTTTGAGCAAAGAAAATGGGGGAGATAAACATGAAGACTCGAATTTGTCAACAAAAGAACTGATAGAACTCATGTTCAGACAGTAAGTTGCGGAAGATTAATGTCTCATTTGGAGTTTAGATCAGACACAAACAAGGATGGAAAATTGAGTCAGGATGAATTGTTCAGGAAGGTCAAGAAGAATATCCGGTCTCATTTGGATGAAGGAAAAAAGGAGTCCAATAAACTTTTTCAACTGATTGACAAAAATGCAAATGGATTGGTCGACTGGGATGAATATAAGAACCATTTCATGGTCAAGAAGAACATGGCTTCTCAGGAACATGTAGAGGATCATCAAGATCACGATAATCATTTGGATTCGGATTGTACGTCCTTATATTTGCTATCGGTTTTTTTACATTGATCACTTGGACATTTCAGCGAGGTTCGCGTTGGATCAAGAGAAGTATTCGTTTAAGCAAGCAGATGCTGATGGAGATGGTTTAGATGAAATGGAATGGCTCTCTTATCAACACCCGGAGAACTCCAAATTGCAACTTAATGAACTGGCTCAAAGCATCTTGAAATCGTTAGGTAAATTTAAAAATTTTTAAATTAGATTTATCGTTTTAGATACTGATAAGAACGGATATTTGGATGCCGATGAATTTGCGCAAGTGCCTCCAGGTGTTGTGGAAGGAGAAAACACTGACCGCGACTATCAAAATGAACGACGAAAAGAGTTTGAGGACTTGATTGATCAGGACAAAGATGGAAAAGTAATGAAATTCGAATTGGTCGAGTATCTGAATCCTCTGAGCGATGCCAGACTCAGCGAAGAGGTTAAGGAGATCTTTGTTCTAGCTGATCATGATGATGACGGCTTTTTAACCTTGAAGGAGTTGATGGATAATTCCGAATCACTCGCTTTAAGTAGTTTTATCCGGCCGAAGATGAGGTTACATGATGATTTATAAATTTTTATCTCTTTATTTATTTTGTCTCATAAGGTGCCATTGTAATAAAGCATTTACATCCATCTTTTTTTTATTCTTGGAAGTGTAAAATTTGCTGAAATATTTTAGGTACGTTTATTACAGGCGTCGAAAGTTTTAAATTATAATTTTTTGTGTACTTTTCTTCGTTTTTATTTTTTTATGTTGAGAAAATAGTCTCGCTATTTTAGAAAATGGATCTAAACCCAGAACCGCCGATTAAAAACGGTGTTTTCCACTGGCAAGTTTTTTTTGACATTACTATTAATGGAACTCCAGCTGGGAGAATTGTCATTGGGGTAAGCTGAGGCCTTTAACACACATTTAGCAGTGTTTTTATAATAATATTATTACAGCCATTTAATTTTAGCTCCGTCCAGATATAGTTCCAAAAACGGCCGAGAACTTTCGAGCATTATGTACAGGAGAGAAAGGAGTGGGCAAATCGGGAAGAAGATTACACTTCAAAGGATCAGTCTTTCACAGAATCATTCCCGGATTCATGTTACAGGTATTTTTTAATTACAATTAGAATTTTGATGACTAAGAAATGATTTCGTATTATAATTTAGGGTGGAGACTTTACTCGAGGCAATGGAACGGGAGGCGAAAGTATATACGGGGAAAAGGTGGGTTTTTATTAAACCTTTTTTACCTTTCTATTATACCTCCAACAATCCTCTTTTTTTAGTTCGAGGATGAGAATTTCAACTTGATCCATACTGGTCCCGGGATATTATCGATGGCGAATGCTGGGCCTAACACAAATGGATCTCAATTTTTCATTTGTTGCGACAAGACTGACTGGCTGGACAAGAAGCACGTTGTATTTGGCGAAGTTCTCGATGGAATGGAGGTAGTCAGAGAAGTTGAGAAGAAGGTAAGTGATGTGAATTGTGTAATATCAGTCTGTCGGGAAAATAACGGCGGATCGTCGCAGAAAAATGTCTCGCCTCGCCTCTATCGCGCGACAAATCTTCAGCTTCGGCAGCCGTCGCAAAGCGATGACGGGCGATTCCTAGGCGCGATGATCCGCCGTTATTTTTCCGACAGACTGATAATAATAGATAGTGCGACATATTACATCTGTCCATTTTTTTATTTTGCAGGGTTCTCAGAGTGGGAAACCAAGTGCTGTGGTTGCTATTGCGGATTGTGGGCAGCTGATGTGATCTCCAATTTGGATTCGTTGTTCAAATTTCCATTAACTAAGTGTTTTTCTGCGCAGTTTAAATAAACAGACAGTGCAATGAACTCAGAACACAATACACATCCAAGAACACATGACTAGAAAAGTTACGAAACGCCGATGAAATTACAGTAGCTGAAGAAACCTTATGTTAATGGATGCGACTCTGGTCCTCCGGCTTCAGACATTCCCCTCCGACCGTGCTCAGGAGATTCCCACGAGCCCGCCATCACCGTGGGACCGGTCTCTTCCCGCATTCCGGGCCTTCTCTCCCGGACCGGTCCATGTCCAACATCGTCTTTCGCACGGAAAGGGGATTCGCGGAATCCTCCTGGCCTTAAAGACGCGCGGTAATCATCGGACCCGAGATTCTCCTTTTCTTTTCAACTTTCCGCAAGCTTTTCGGCCCCGACTCCGGGCCCTGCTTTTTGTGCCGGAGACAATGGAGCCGAGGGGATTTCCTGATTGGATTGTTCTTCTACCCGGGGAGCCCTCAGGCACTACAAATCCGTTTTCGAGGCGCCTCAAAAGGTCAAGAGGAGAATACCCGGTAGCCGTGTTAGGATGGGTGTGCAGGCATTTATTAGGTCTTTATCCCCTTCACCTCTCGCCTCCCGTGTTTTTGACAGCTTTTCACGCCCCGCAGAACTGATTGTAATTGGTGGGGATTTCCGTCAAGGGGCCATCCACTCACTCCAAATGGACCCGCCGAAAGTGGAGTTTCAAATAGTCACCGCCCTCGTTTCCATAATTATTTTACATATATCCATATTCGAGGACCTACCGTATCGGCAGACGAACTTGCGCCGATGCCAAGAATTGGTTCCTTGCAGGCGTTTTTTTTTTTGGTTTTAGGCTCTCAATTTGGTGTCAAATTAAGTGGTTGAGAATTGTCTGATTAAACTTATTGTACCCTGCATTAGTTCTGTTATTTATGTCTCAGTTGTTTTGCACGTGCGACAAGACCCCTTGATAAGGATCCCGGCGCTTGATTTGAGGCAATTTCCGCGTCTTTCGCCCGACCTCGACTTGTGATAAGTCCTGGCCAAACTAGTCGGGTTTATACTTGATTAGCTCTGCATAACTTCCTATCGCGGCGTAATGGGCGGGCTCAATTTTTCATTTTTTTTTGTTTTCTGCCTCACACCCTCAGGCCATGGCTCGAGTTATGACTTGCAAAAAAATTTGAATTCGCTTCGCTGAACTTTTTTTGCGTTATTCCAAAAGAGTTTTAAATATTTGACTTACCTGGGACAAGAGGGCTCGTTAGCCATTTAGATTGCTAGAGCCCTGCGGGGTTGGTGGAGGATTCCACCATCATAGTTTTAGAGTGACATCTGCACCTTATATGGTTATATTAATGTTTGTTTAGTCGGTAGTTAGCAGTGACAACTCTCTGGCAATCGTTAATTGATCCCTTAGACCCATACTTTGTAATCCAATTCACTTATTCTTCCGAAAACCACCCTCAGAGATGACAATGCTATTATGTCAGGCGGTTTTATGTATGCCGGCTCGAATTTCGTCGACCTCCTCACCTTGCACATGCCAAATGAATGGGTCCATAAACTGGCGGAATGTTTATAAAAGGGAGGAGGGCCTGGGGCCTTTGATCTGCTTTTCATTTTGTTTTATTATCTCTTTTATTTTTGGCTTTCGTTTGTTTTAACACGGCTCCTTGTCCGCCGCCGAACGTGATTTATTGATAAGAAGAAGTCTATGAGTGTGCAAAAAGAACATGCCTTGGGCATGTCCACTCAGTGTCACAAACGGCGATTCATCAATGACCGAGTCCACTTCCGAGCTGTCCCTTTATCTCGCTAGATTTGCATGTTTAGTTCGGCCAATAGTTTTTTGGGCATTGGCCGGCCTTTCGTTATAATCAAAAGTTTTAATTGTTTCGAGTGGCAGTATGCTCTCACAAAAAAAATTTTTGTAAGATTTGTTGCGCCATCTTATGTAAATCTGACTTGGAATATAAAAATCCTACTAGTACGTTATTTCCCGAAAAGCCCATATTTCAACCACTTTAAACTATGCCTCATTGGGTTTAAAAGACCATTTCGCACCTCTCTAACGGCTAAGATATCTACTTGAGGAAGGGAAGATGAACCGGCTGGTGTACTTCCTGATCACCTGGACCCTTGTCAACAACATGGTGGATGCCATAAACCATCGAGACAACATTCCGGTCGAGATCAGCACCAACCAAGGACGTCTTCTCGGCTACGAGTCCATCTTCCTCCATCGACGGGTCCGTTCCTTCCTCTCGGTTCCCTTCGCCGAACCTCCAGTTGGGGATCTCAGGTTCAAACCGCCCCGTCACAAGAAGCCCTGGAATGAGACCAGAAAGGCGAATGTCCTCTCACCAGCTTGTGCTCAAGGTCGTGACACTTACAATGAAACCTTCTGGGGATCAGAAATGTGGAATGCAAACACACCCATACAAGAAGATTGCCTTTACATGAACATCTGGCTACCAGCAGAGTCTGCCCAGTAAGTTTGAGGCTTAAAAAATATCACTAGATGTAGACAAACAAATAACAAGCTTTATTCCAGTAATCTGACGGTCATGGTCTGGCTGTTCGGTGGCGGATTCTATTCGGGAAGTCCCTCATTAATATTGTATGATGGTAAAGCACTTGCTTTAACAGCAAACGTCATCGTCGTAAACCTTAATTACCGAGTGGGGCCATTTGGGTATTTGTACTTGGACCACGACGATGCTCCTGGCAACATGGGAATGCTAGATCAGGTAAGATTTTCTGTAATATTTGCCTCGTACATGCGCATGTGTATATTTAATGCCACCAAATTTCAGCAAATGGCGTTACATTGGATCAAGGAGAATATCCATCATTTTGGAGGTAACCCCAATTCGATTTGTTTGTTCGGAGAGAGTGCTGGTGCCTCATCCATAGTGGCACATCTAATAGCCCCAGGCTCCCGATACATATTCAACAATGGCATTCTTCAGTCAGGTTCTCTAGACAACTCTTGGAGCGTGGAGACTCCAGAAAGAGCCCTCAACAAAAGCATTCAGCTGGCCAAATTGGTTGGCTGTGCTGGGCCCAGTACCCAGTACATATTGGACTGCCTCAAATCCAAGCCGTTCAATGATTTGGTGGCTCAGATGTGGAATCTCGACTTAAAGTTCCTCGAATTCCCATTTGTGATCGTCTCTAGGGATCGGAACTTCTTCAGAGAGAAGGATGCACTGATCGCCTTGCACAAAAGAGACTTCCGACAGGATGTTAATCTAATGATCGGCATCAACCATGATGAAGGGAATTACTGGAACATCTACAACCTCGCCAAGTACTTTGACGTCCAAGAACAACCCCAATTAAGCCTGAATGAATTCCAAGAATGCGTTCAGATAGCCTTCAAAAGTTTGCCGGAAGTGGTCAGAGATGCGGTGACATACGCATACCTGGGCGAAAACAGATGTGAATACCAGAATGGGAAACACAGACATCTCGCGGAGCAAGTAAATCAGATGGTCGGGGATTACTTCTTCACTTGTGACAGTATCTGGCTAGCGGATCAACTGGCACAAGGCCCTGGGAATGTCTACATTTACTACTTTGACCAACATTCCAGGTATGATTGCGAGATTTTGCGTGAATAAGATTTCAGCGCCAATCCCTGGCCTTCGTGGACGGGTGTGATGCACGGTTATGAGATCGAGTACGTGTTTGGGGTTCCCATCTACAACACCACAGCTGGCTATACGAACCGAGAGCGAATCCTGAGCCAGAAAATGATTCAATTCTGGTCATCGTTTGCACAGACCGGGTATGCAATTTGATTTGCAATTAGACGGGCGTGTCATTCGGACGCCTTCTTGCTGCAAGTACTCTTCCAGCTTTTTTTGGTCTACAATTCTTATTTCAAACATTTCACGTGCTGTTGGCACACGTCCTTTTACTTATTTAACCATATCAATCCTTGAAATGGACTAATCAAAGTCCACAAAGTTCGTCTACCGTCTTCTGAATGCATTCAAAAAACTTCGACTTCCTCTTGTTATATTATATATGTCCGTTGCAGGGTTCCGACTCTTCGAACGAACAAAGAGACAGAGGAATGGCCACGATACAACCCGATTAACAACAAGAGATGGATGCATCTCAAGGGCGGATCCCATATTAGGCCAATCCCCGCCAGCAAAGAGCGGGAGTGCAAATTGTGGAGAACGGAACGAGAACTGTCTTACCATAAATATTGTAAGTTGAGACCTCGAAACAGATCGTATTTCATGGACAACAATAGTAACATTAAATTACAGTAATCCCACTGATCTCTGGAACCGTCCACTTCTCAACTTCAAGCCCGTTCGTTGTGATTTCAACCCTGATCCTTCTGATCTTTCGAGTATGATGAGATTACAATGTAAATAATTCTCTTTTCCTACACTGCACATATCACTTTTGTGTAGTCTTACTGTATTTAGGACCATTCCCAAATTCTCACCTCGAATTTTTTGAGCTTTTCTTTCTTTTTTAGGCCTATGGTAGTTAGGTTTTAGATAGATTTTAGAATCCCTCACAGCGATCAATTTATTCGGTTAGTCAGATTTCTAGTCATTGTCATGTAAAAATGTTCGTTTTAATAAATTCGTTATTACTTTAACAACTCAGTTTTCTGTTCGTCGGGTAACATTACTGTCTCAAAGACAGGGAGAAAAGCAAGTGTCATACAAAAAAGCAATAAATTTTCTAGCTGGTTAAAAAAATTTTGCAATGGCTTTACATATTACACGTAAATATAATTCAGCGTATCGGTTTTATACCCGCACCTAAAATTTTGAGTCAAGGTGGATGGTGTTGTTCATGGTTAACCTCCTACCAAGAGGCCCGAGTGACCTTGATGAGAGTTGTAAAGGATGCTATGGGTAGTAGGTCTTGTTCGCCTAACTCTGGAAAGTCTGACTTCATTTTTACACCCCGAAACAAAGTTAAAATGCAAGTTTTAGCTTACAAATGGTGCAAATTCGAGTTCATGCCTAACAGTGTCAGCTCATTTAGTTCAAGATGGATTATGTTACTATTCAATACTCTAAAAAAGTGAGTCCCACGTTCCGATACTTATTTTTTGATAAGCAAAAAAAAAATCGGTCAAAAAATTTGCCTTGGTACCCCCGTGAGATCGATGTTCAAGGTTAAGGTGCACTATTCGCCTAGGTGCACTGTTGGTGTGAGGTTCACTGTTTGGATCCAACCGCTCATTTTAAATTCAACTTCCGACAGCCTAATTTCTCTCACTTCAGTCCAATTATGTCTGGCCCCGAACATGATTTGGATTTTTTCCCTTACATCTTCCGACTTCAGCAGCTTTCGACCTCATTGTCAGAACCAAGTTTTGAACGAAAAAAAAATTATGACAAAATGTCAACATGCATTGATTTTTTATGGTCAAATTCCACTTTTTTACATTTTGTGAATGCAAAAGTACTTCGAAAATTCCCATAAATACACGAAAATACCCGGCTTCGCGGGTATTTGGGTATATACCCCGTCCGAACCTTAGTTGCAATGCAACAATACTTCGCATAAATTTCACGAAAACATTTGCGAAGATATCGGGCGCAGCTAGTGGTAAAAATTATTTTGCAAAATTCCTCTTTATTTTATTTTGCGCAATTGCAACAGGTTTTTTCCATGGGACACTATAATGACCAAGTAGATGATGTAGCAGGGCCGTCAACCTCATTTACGTCTAATGTAAGAAAATATTAATAGCAAAAAATTTTGGCTTTAGCCGACGCAGGATGAATTACAGCAAAAGGCAGCCGAATTACGGCAAAGATTATTGGAAAAGCGCAAATTGATCCACAATGGAGAGAACAAAGCGCATAATAAAGGAGGAATTGTTAAGGAGGAGGTCATTGAAACAATATCAGAGTTTTTGGACTCAGATCATGCAAAAGAAAGAGCAGAGGAGCTGAGATTGAGGCTAATGTTGAAGCAGAAGATGGCTAGTAAAGTAAAAAAAGCAAGTCTATTCCGTTTTTTATTTAATTAATGTTTCGGAAGAAGATTTGGAGCCAGAAATAAAAAGGAAATCACTTGGAAGTAGTTTTGGTAAGTGTACTGTTACCTAAATTTTTTTGTTTAATTTTAGACCATGATGAAAGGTATTATGTGCAGCCTAGCCCATCAACTGACGATGAAGTTGATGCGAGAACGCCTGATATTGGAGACATGAGGTTTGAAGACATGACGGAAGAACAGAAGGGTCAGGTAAGTGAAAAACCTTATCTGATTTTTGTTAATTAGTTGAGTCCGGATGAGCTCCATTTAAAAGAACAGCAATATCAGCAGCGTCTAATTGCTCGTCTTCCTCCATTTTATCCCGGGATTTTTGGGTCTAGAAGTGTTAAGGAATATAAATTCATACGTCGTATCGAGGAAGGGACATTTGGAATCGTTTACGAAGCCTTGGAGTTGGACAGCGATGTCACCGTGGCTTTAAAGAGATTGAAATTAAATAATGAGAAAGAAGGATTCCCTATCACTTCTTTAAGGGAGATCAATATGCTAATGAAATGTAGATTACATAAAAATATCGTTCGACTTATCGTAAGTTTCTATCGAAAGCAGTCTTACATTTCGTTCTTATTAATGTCAATCTCGGAATAGATAATGTTACTTGTTTTATACCTAGGAGGTGGTGACCGGCTCGACAATGGACAAGTTTTATTTGGTCATGGAGTATGTTCCCCATGATGTAAGAAAGCTGATCAAGTTGATGGTTAAGAAGAACAAACACTTTACAATTGGTAATTCTTGTTTTCGCATTCTTTGACTTTAGTCTTAGCACAAACCAAGACATTGATGTTGCAATTATTAAGTGGAATATCATTCATGCATTCGGAATGGGTGATTCACAGAGATCTCAAACCCTCGAACCTTTTGTTAACTCATGACAATGTCCTGAAAGTAAGTGCACATATACAGGGTGGGGCATCTTTGTGGCTCGATTGATTTGAATTGGCTATAACATCATTTCTTTATTTTTGACAAGGAAAGTACTTCTATGGGGTGTGGAATTACCGGTCGAGATATACACTCCATTTCAAAATGATAGACACGCCTATAAAATCTGCGATTGCGGCGTCGACATGCAGTTGACGGATACGAAACCTTTACAGATTGAAAGAGGAGGTTTGAAAACCTATACCAAAAAATAATCTTTCTTATTGCACTGAAATTGCACTTTGCACAAAAGATTTTCCAAATTTTGGGTGTTTCAAAAAGATAGACACGGTTGCTATTTTTGCTAAAAACTTGCGAGTATGGGCCCCATAGGTCCTGAAATTATTAGTATGACTGTATTGCAACTGTCTGGACTTTACTGAGCTCAAAATGCCCAAATTTTTATGCAATTTTCTCGGAATTGCACATATACTTCCATTTTTTGCAATCTGACCTGCATCTGTCAGAAGTCCACTTTCCATGGGTACAGACAGTGCAGATGCGACCTATCGTATGTAATGGACTAGATCCAGTCGCTTTTCACTGGTATGCAACAAAAAAATGCGTGGAAATTGCAACGAAAACTGATTTTGCAACGATAGTCGTCACTTTTAAAGCTTCTCAAGCGGTTGCCTGTCGTTTGCACAACCCAAAAAGCCCTGAACTATCTTGACAAACCACAGAAAAACGTTATTGCATAAGCCTTATGTCCAGGTTCCGTCGGGCCAACGCCAGAAAAGGTCAAGTTTCCAAAAGGCCGTTTTTGACCCATTTTTAAGCCTACTTTGCAGAGATTTGCAAAAGAATAGTGATCTGCGGACCCGCAGAAGCAAAGCTGCACATGCTACTGACCTAAACGTTTTTATAAGACCCTAAACATTCCAGCCATGAAGTTTTTCTTCGCACCTAGCTTGTTTCGAAACGTAGGGTAGCCTTCAAAGCTGACCATGTCGCAGCGGAATCAGTTTTTGTTGCAATTTATACGCATTTCTTTGTTGCATACCACTGAAAACTGACTAGATCTAGTCCATTACATGCCATAGGTCGCCTCTGCACTGTCTGTACCCATGGAGAGTGGACTTCTGACAGATGCAGGTCAGATTGCAAAAAATGGAAGTATATGTGCAATTCCGAGAAAATTGCACAAAAATTTGGGCATTTTGAGCTCAGTAAATTCCAGACAGTTGCAATACAGTCATACTAATAATTTCAGGACCTATGGGGCCCATACTCGCAAGTTTTTAGCAAAAATAGCAACCGTGTCTATCATTTTGAAACACCCAAAATTTGGAAAATCTTTTGTGTAAAGTGCAATTACAGTGCAATAAGAAAAATGATTTGTTGGTATAGGTTTTCAAACCTCCTCTTTCAATCTGTTAAGGTTTCGTATCCGTCAACTCAACCCCGACACCGCAATTGCAGATTTTATAGGCGTGTCTATCATTTTGAAATGGAGTGTATATCAAAAAATTCGCAAAAATTTTCTGATTCAGAATATATATAAATTAGCTGCCTAATTTTGGTCTAATGACATGTTTTTGTCCTCAGAAGTTTTCTCGCGACACCATGCATCTGTCTTTTTGACCGTGTTTTTACCAGTAAAAAAATTTTGTTTTGTGCTAAACTAAATTCTGAGGCCTTGACAAGCCTTAAAATATCAAATTGGATTACAACTACACTTTAAAAGTAGTTCCAATGTAAAAAATGGGATCTAGTGTGGCAAAAAGGACCGAACCCGTTTCCCTCGGATTTCCAACCCAGCGCTCTAACCACTCGGCCACACCGCTCTCTTCCGAAGGAAGAGACCGAGCGCGCTTTTGTTGCCGCAGATTTTTTTCCTCGAGAAAAACATTTATTGAAAAAACTCGCTGATAGACCAAAATTAGGCAGCTAATTTATATATATTCTGAATCAGAAAATTTTTGCGAATTTTTTGATATATATCTCGACCGGTAATTCCACACCCCATAGAAGTACTTTCCTTGTGAGCCAAATGTGAAAAAAAAATTTCCCCTGAATCCTCAGACTCTCCCATTTTGATATCAAATATGTTATTGGAATCTATAAATAAGTCATCTTCATGGTAATAATCAAAACATCTTGAAAAATGTCGAAAATTGGTTGTGTCTGTAACGGTGGGAGATAGTGGTCCCGGGTTCAGAAGTCTTAGAATTTTGAGTAGAATAGTTTGGAACAAAAAAAACTAAAAAATGCCACTCCAAAGGGGCGAAACCCGGAGGGCATAGATATGAAAATTTTGAAAATCCGCAAAGGTGGGGAAAAGGTTTGGCCCCAGACAAAGTAAAATTTTCCATTAAGCTAGGGACAAGTCGAAAAATTTCAAACGTTATGGCTCAAATTTGGTTAAAAAATTTCGTCTTCAAACGCCCATAACTCCTGATAAGATCGAAAATTCTAAAATTTAATAACTTCATAAGACTTTGAATTTGAGCATCTACAGCCATACCGAAGGACAGGCCAAGTTTTTTTGTTCAACACAACATTCCATTTAGAGAGTTTAACAACCGAAAGCCGTGAACGAAAATTTTGCTTTTTTGTTTGTTGTGAATTTTTGCTGCAGTCTAAAAAATAGCTATAACATGCTTGGTATTAAACAAAATGGGAGAGGCTGAGGATTCATTGAAAAAAAGAATTTTGACATTCGACCCAAAAAGAAAGAAGTTAGAGCCAATTTAAATCGGGCTACATAGATGCCCCACCCTGTATTTAATTTATGGATGATATTGTTAAGATTGGTGATTTTGGATTGTGTCGAGAATACGGAGACCCATTGAAGCCCTACACTCCAGTTGTTGTCACATTGTGGTATCGATGTCCAGAATTGCTTTTGGGTGCCAAGGTAAGTAAGAATCGGTATATCCATTGTTTCTATTATAGTTATATAGCACCAAAGTGGACATGTGGTCGATTGGGTGTATTTTCGGAGAGTTCCTCAAGTTAAAACCGATGTTTCAAGGAAGTTCCGAGATAGATCAATTGAATAAAATATTTTTGGTATGTAAATGTCCCATCCAGCAGCGTTATTATTGTGCTTTAGGACACTGGAGTGCCCAACGAGACAGTTTGGCCTGGCTATAAAGATCTCCCGGGGATTCCGAGATGCATATTCCCGTCTGCTCCCTTCAATCAATTCAGATCCAAGTATCTGAAAGACGTTTGCAGTGAAAATGGGCTTGATCTCTTGCAACGGTACTATTATCTATAATTGTATACATCTTTAAGATTACTCGCTTTATGTCCGGAACGTCGAATCTCAGCGGAAGAAGCGTTGAAACATAAATTCTTCACAGAGAAGCCAGAGCCGGCTTCATTTGAGAGCTTTCCAACATGGCCCGAGAATCTCGAGAAATTCAAAAACCCTCCTGTATTCCTAGATCCGCCTTAATGTTTTCTTTGTTACTCTACGGGTACAATAAAATAAGCCGTTGTTATTGTTGGTAACCAGAGTTACCGTCTGTTAAATGCAGTATTTGTACTTTTGACAAGTTTTTTGGAATAACATTGTGTTTAGATCCTGGCTCTGAGTCAGTCCTTGAATTCAAGTCAACGGATTTTATGTCGTTGTCAAGGTATTGGATTTACACCACCAAGCCAGAAGAAGCCTTCAAAAAGGTCCTTGTTCTCTGCTCTGGGATTTTTGTGGGAGCCAAGGCGGTCACTTTTTATTACAATCCCTTGGAGGTATTTTTTTTTTATTCTTATGTTATGAGTGTTCCCTTTTTTACTTTATTCTGGATTTTTTAGGACTTCCACCGCGAGCTGGAAGAAGGAAAGCGACTTCTCCTCATCAAATACCGTAATCGCTACTTTGAAAAAGGACTCGATAAGATCGCTGAAGCCTCAAAAAAAGATGAAATCGCAACAGGGATACCAGAGTCTGATTGAGAACGATTCTTTATTCAAGCAAGCGTTTAAAAAATACAAGAAAAGGAATGGGAAGGTCGATTTGGATGATGTTATTGATGTCAAGATGACAGATTCAATAAAAGGAATAGTATGTAGACCAATTCAGACGGATTTAAAATTGGATAACGTTGGGATTGGCTTAAGGTAAGATTATTTTAAAGTTTGTTGCATTTTTGCAGGCCAATCTCTGAATGGTCCTTGGCTACTTTAACTCATCGACCCGGCCTTTATATTTTAAACAATATAATTACTGAAGAAGGACAAATAGAGCTTGCAAAAAAATGTCTTTTGGAATATTCAGAACCGCCGAATGTCACTAATCTGACGGTAGATGGCTCCTACAACCAATCAGATGTCTTCTTGAATAGATCGGAAAAGTTGAGATGGGTTACCATGGGGAATGATTACAATTGGACTGATAAAATTTACGCTGATCGCCCCAGAAACAGATTGCCCGATGAGATTGTCAAGTTTGCTGATCTTGTTTCCAGAATATTGGGTCTGGGACCCATGGCTCCGGATGCTGTTATTATGAACTTTTACCCATCAAAAGCAACACTGTCCCCGCATGTGGATAGGTAAGATAATCTGAGGTGATAAGTTTTGTTTCAGGTCCGAAAGAAGCATAGAGAAGCCATTGATATCGATAAGTCTTGGGCAGTCGGCGATTTACCTCTCTGGTGGGGCTTCCTTGGATGATCCGATTGATCCTATTCTCCTTCATTCTGGTGATGTTCTGGTCATGCATGGAGCCCAAAGACTAGTGTACCACGCTGTGCCAAGAATACTGAAGTTGAGAAGATTCTCGAAGATGGAAGGTATAAACGAGAGGGTTCTGGAGTACATCAATAATTGTCGATTGAATATAACAATCAGGCAGGTGGATGAGAGGACAGAAGATAATGGATTAAGTGAGGGGAAACACCTAGTGTCAGTAAAACAAGGGGATCAGGGAGATTCACTGCTGCGGTTGGAGAAACAAAAGATCGAAAGCGGAAGTCTGCAGATACCGCGGAATGCTGACATATCAGCATGATTGCCAAGAAAGATGTCATCTGTTACATATCGACACAGCTAGGCCCAGTTATTTGTTTTTATTGGAAATAAATTTGTGAACATACATAGTAGTTGTCGCTTCATTCTTTCTTCCGAATTTGACTTTGCTTCCCTCGCCTTCAGGTTTATTCAAAACACCGGAAGACCCCGCAAAGGACTTGTTCCCCTTCGTCCCCTCCTCTTCTTCTTCTCGGCATTCAACGATTAATGTCCTCAGGCAGAGTTGATTCGCAAGATTTCTGCGGCAAAATAAACTTATTTGTCTGCGTCCTAAACAATAGAGTTATTCCCGGTTGCGGCGGAAAGAAGGGATTCTCGAAATTAAATTTCAAAATGTTTCGGCGCAAAAGAATGAGTTAGTAGTGCCATAGAGGATTTCGATTATATGTCGAGGTTCGAGCGACGGAGAGATTCGGTTATGCGGAAAAAAGGCTGAACTCAATTTGCGGCCTTTCATTAAAGGATAGTAAGCCGAATGGCGCACTCCCAATGATGACAAATGATTTTTCACGAACATTTTGTGCCCCTTCTTCTACATCGGCGTAACCCTCTATTATTTTGACAAACCTTTGTCTTACTTTTTATTTTCGCTTGGGCAACTCGTCCCCCCGCTCATCGGCCAACAAGAAGCCCGCAGACGTTTTTGTAATCACGGCGCGGTCTTCTTTGTTATTCCGCAGTCCTCGAGGTTCTTTGTGAACATAATTGTCGGCGGTTGATTAGTCAGTCCAGTCCCATTTTTTAATCTCCTCTTTTCCAACTCGCAGCGTGAGAACGGCGGCCCATCAACAAACGTTTTTTGGCCGTTTTCTTGACTTTTCGTTACCAAACCTAGTTTAAACTGTAATCACCTTTTGTACCCGTTTCACCATCCTTATCAACGAGCTTACCGGTACGTCGTGACCAGTTCACAGAATCTGTTTATGTGTCTCTCAGTGTTCCTCGAATTTGAACAAATGCGGGTATTGTTTGCGTGTAAGTCTAATGTAAGTCTCAGCGATGACTTACATTCCATATTGTCACGCGAAATATTATGTTGAATTTTGACCACTCGATGATTAGAAAAATTTTGCTTTAGGTTGATATATAATAGAAGATCAAGATCAACAGTGATGGAATGAAAAATGTCCCATAAAAAAATCGTTAAGAGTAAGTGATAAATAGAAAATTCTGAAGAAACGTGGCCTCCTAGGATTATATGAGACTGATGTTGTGGCCTTAGGGTTTCTTCTTGTGACTAATATTTACTTTAGTTATGCTGATTTAAACTGGATGAGCTGATTTCAGCTCGTTCTCAGCCATGATGACAGACAGCATTAGTGGAACGACCTCCTCGAGCAGTTCGACCCGAAGGCGCAAGAGCGTCTTCAGAAACGAGGTCCACCTCAGCATCTGGATTCGGTTTTCACGGGTTATTTTCGGGAAGATTAGACGCCTTCCGAAGTGTATGAACACCACTTTGGTCCTGTTCACCGTACACATGTATCTGACCGTGCCTGTGATTGTCGCCGCAGGTATCACCGGGGATCTGAAGGCTCTATTGAGGCCTTTTCGAATCATTTATCAAATGGGTTTTCAATTCGAGGAACTTCAGGAAGGCTTCCGACAATTGGTTCAATAATACTTTATGTTATAGTAATAAAAATTTAATCAGTAGTGCATATGTTCGTCAAGCTCTTCGGGAGAGAAAGTGTTAGTGATGGAAAACTGTCTAAAAATGATTAATCATCTTCTTCTCTATAAAACCAAAACAGTTCAGTAATAACCGGTTATTTTGTTTAGATGGGACATTTAATCATCTTTAATTATACGCCGCGCCATAAAGTCCGTAGAATTTGCACTGTGCGGTTTTCCCCGCGCCACTGCGACTTCCCATTTTGCACGCACTTTTCTGCGAGCTCACCCCGCGACGCTGCCGAAAAAAAAATCTACCAACCTTATGGCACGACTACTTATTAGCATTTTCATAAAGTGCACGGATTTTTGCACTGTGCGTTTCGCTTTCTTTGCGATCCTTTTTACAATTCTTTTTGCACGGCGCGTTCAGTCTACCACTTTTAATTTTTGGAAGTAAAGTTCCGCGTTTCCAGCCACCGGCTAACAACAAAATTTAATTTACTAGTGCGTCATCTTATTTATCACGTAAAAAATATTGAAGATTTGCGAAAATCATATAACGAAAGCTATAAACTCTTTTACTTTGGGACGGCGTCGTTTATCGTGACAGTCTGCAGCTCAACATTGCCTTCGATCTCGAGAGTCTCGACATCATTGGGGGCTCCACGGTGAGCGAAAGTGGTGAATCGCTTGCCGTTGATGAAGATTTGGAAGCTGTAGTTTTCATTGATGATGGTCAAGTCGAAGCTGCAAATAAATCACACATTATAGTCATCACCCCAGAGTGCTTACATTTCGTTCTTGCTCAGTGGAAATCCTCCTTCTCTCTCCTCCTTGCCCCATTCATTGTTAACCATGGCATTTCTTACAATGACTCCCTCATTGTAACGGATAGACAATTGCAGGGCATACTCCATATTGGCTCTGTAGAGGTTTACGTTGAACTTCTTGCCTGTGGGCATTCCCGAAACGTCAAGTCTTTTGCCAACTCCGACCTTGGCGACAGCAGTGTAAGGATTGGGGAAAACGGTACCACCATCTGAAGCAGTAATTTATTGTATATCAATCTCAGCGATGACTTACAGTGGAAGACACGAAGAGAATCGAGATCTCCGTTGATGGAAACATGGTCGACACCTTCCAGAGTCTCTCTTTGATCGAAGGTTCCGATCTCCTTTCTGTTACCGTATACCTTGTACTTGCCTCCAATAATGCGAACACGAATGTCAAATACCTCCTCAGCTTTGTATGGAGAAGAGATTCTCTCCTCCTTCTCACTCCAGTTACCGTCTTTGAACGTGTTGTAAACAATCTTGCCGGAGAATAGACCCTCGTCGAATCTGATACTCAAATGCAGAGGCATGACGGCATCCTTAGCAGGTCCTCTGTGGAAGTTGAAGTCAATTCTGCAATTATTAGGTCAGCATATTAATGAGTTGTCACCTCTGGGGATCTTTGGAAATTCTGCCAACGGCATGGATGGTCTGGCCTTCCTTGAACGGCTCGCTGAGTCTGGTCTTGAAAGGCAGACGCTGAAAAAAAATAATGTCGCCTTAGGGTCGTCCACCTATTTCCAACTTACGTATTCCTGTTCCCCGACATAAAGTTTGTAGCTCTTTTCCTTGGCATCATCAGATTTGTTGATGTTCAACGGTTCTGTGCCCAACTCTCCAGCTAACCCACAACTCGCAGTTACAGCGAGGAAAAACACAATTGCTATAAAGGGATATTTTGGGATACGATATCATAAACGGAAAACTATATAAACGAAAAATAAATAAACTCACATCGCATCGTTAGTCCGTTCCAGTCAAAAAGATTCGGCCAACTGGTTAGGACTGATAACACGCTGAATTAAGATTGTTTAGATGAAGGCTGGCCCCGCCCGAATCGAATAAAACAAACGAAAAACAATCTGGCCGGCCGATCACGCGCCCCAGGGGCTATAATAAATCTTCGACCCACGGAAAGTGATGAGATCCATTCAGCCCAATAAATGCCGAGCGATTACGTGTTTGATGTCATCGGGATTACAGAGAACATAAAAATAGTTTGATTGAATACTTTTAGACAATTTTAAAATTAATTTCAGAACAAATTTCGTTAATTCTTCTTTCGATTCAAAAATATGACAGAGAGGTTCTTTAGCAAATTAGAAAATGCTTGAAAGTATTTATACATTTATGATGTTACGTATTGAAATTTGATGATTTCGGCACGACTTTTCATTTGTGACTTTTCAGTTGGGACAGATCGGGTATTGGCCCAATATGTTTAGCCAATGTTGCAAAATTCTTTGACCAGCAGCCAGTGAGTTGAAATTACGACTGGATTTTTAAATGACTACCCAAAAATGGATCGGCTAGCCAAATTGTTAGGATGCCTTCATAAACAATAGTGACGGCCAGAAAACATTTTTGACAGCCGTTTTGACAATAGCCGTTAAAAAAAAATTTTTATTACGCTTATTTTTTCACCTATTCCAACTAGGGTTCGGATGGGGCACATACCACAAAAGGTGGAAATTGGTCATAAAAAATCAATGAATTTTTGAAATTTTGTCATAATTTGCTTTTTGCCATTCAAAACTTGGTTTTGAGGTCGAAAACTACTTCGCCGGTTGCCGGAGTCGGAAGATGAAAGGGAAAAAATTCCAAATCCGACTGCGAAATATTGGATTTCTAAACTTTTTAATTGTTAAAGTACTAGTTTTTTTTGTTGAAGTTGGGAAAGTAAAGATGGTGACGTACGCATCAAATCGGGCGTCGTGGCCAGAAACCGCGATTTCTTGTCCGTTAGGCCTTTAGGCAAAAATGTTTTCTCATTGTGAGCAAAAAAAATCTTCCCCAGGAGAGAGCAGAAATTTGCGCGTATTGCGCAATGTTACGCATTTTGAGACAAGAATTGCGCATTTCTTGCCTGGAGGCCTAACAGACAAGAAATCGCGGTTTCTGGCCACGACACCCGATTTGATGTCACCAACGTGATAAAATTAATGAATGAGTTCGAAACGGCTTCATATTGGTACTATATTGGGCTAATTTTATAAATAACTCAATAAACCCGAGATTTTGAGAATTCAAAGGCATTCTGACACATTACTAGCCGATTCAGGTTTTTGGCTAGCCATTAAAAAAGTTGGCTGTAATTTCAACTCATTCGCCAGCTAGAATTTTGCAACATCGGCTTTACATAATGGCCAAAACTCGAGCTGCCCCAATTGAAGGGTAGCCGATTACGGCTCTTCCATACGGATTGCAAGCTTTATCTAGTAATGAACCCTCCTTGATTAAACTTCAATCATAGTACGAATATTATGGTTGGCGATGACTGAAGTACGTTGACTTAACTGCATTTTTTATCCCATCGTTTTCTGTATTCGGACTCTGTACTCTCATACGCCTTCAGCTCCGTGACATGAAGACCACTTATTGAAGTCGTTATCAACACCAAAGAACGCCAATCGACCCAAGCCCTGTGTAACGACTCGGTTTGCAAAGCTAAGAATGGTCTAGATTAATAAAACTTACCAGAAAACAACGGTGTTTAGAGCTTCCTAACGGCTTGCGAATTTCAGAATCTACGATAAACACATTTCAAAACAATAAACGAATATCCAAACAACCATTGTTTATTCGTGTTGATAAATTAGAAAACAAAAAAAAAATGGAACAGATCAAAGTCTTGCATAAGCTACGTTTTTGTTAAACAGGGATCGGGAAAGGTCTAGGCCATTACAATTGACCGCAATCAGCAATAGCACATGGCTTGGCAGTCTTTCCGGATTGAGAGCCATGAGACTCGAGCTTCTTCACGACATCAGTTCCTTCGACAACTTTGCCGAAAACGACGTGCTTGCCATCGAGCCACTCCGTCTTGACGGTGGTGATGAAGAACTGAGAACCGTTGGTATTGGGGCCGGCGTTCGCCATGGACAATAGGTATGGGCCAACGTGCTTTTCCTTGAAGTTTTCATCGGGGAACTTCTCGCCGTAGATCGATTCACCGCCAGTTCCGTTGCCACGGGTGAAGTCACCCCCCTAAAATAGTACAATTATAATGTCCACTTCGCTCGATTAGCTGAGTACCTAAAAAATAAAAATTCGCAGCTCGTCGTGACCTACCTGGATCATGAAGTTGGGGATGATACGGTGGAAGGTACTGCCTTTGTAGTGAAGAGGCTTTCCAGAACGCCCGGTTCCCTTCTCGCCAGTACAGAGAGCACGGAAGTTCTCGGCGGTTTTTGGGACGATGTCATTGTATAGCTCGAAGACAATGCGTCCGGCGGATTGGCCACCGATGGTAACATCGAAGAAGACCTTTGGTCGGGACATGTCAACTATCTTGGCTGCAAAACGATATAATGAAGAGAATTGCATTTCCTAGAGTTCGGGAACACGATCTACAATGAAAACGGGATAAATAACATGATAAGTGTAAAACAATATCAAACAGCAGGAGACGCAAAGGGCAAGATGAGTTGAAGAGAGGGACAGAGAGTTCGAAAGTGGCCTAAACATCGCAAAAAATAGAAAACTTGGGGGGAAGGGTCAACCAGGTAAACAACTCCCAGGTGTCCGATTGATAATATAAAGCAGGAACGGAGACGGCAGACAGACAAAAGCGAAGGCCAGCGTTCGGGTTCCCTCCCATAAAAAGTGAGAGGCGGCCTACTGGGCCCGCCTCCCTCTCTTCTCTTCGGGTCCCCTTCTCGAACGTTCTTCCTCTATTTGGCGCCAAATTCAAATCCTGAAGGAATTTTTTTTACATGAAAACAAGTAAAAAGAGAGCGGAATGACAAACCTTGGTATAGAGAGAGTCAGTTTTCTCGAAGAGTGTGAAGAAAAAGTAATACAAAGGCGGATATTTCAAGAAAACACATTGCCGCCATAAAGATATTAAACAAGGCATTGAAAGGAAGTGTACAATTTACGAGGCAAACACCGAATGGCCAGAATGTTTGAAAGTAAAAATCCTTCTATCAATAGCATCGCTTTTCGAGATTGGGCCGGGCGCAAAATTTTTTGGGGGATGTCTTATCGAATGTATATGGTATAATTTTTTGTCATGTTTGTCATATTAAACAACAGCGACGAGGCCTACCGTGCCACGAATAGCTGCTGTTTTGTCTCATGGATACTCTGATTGAGCCAATCGCAGAAAAACCGGTGATTTTGAACATTTTCTGGAACGTTTTGTGACTAATATTCGTTGGCGATCTTATTCTTTCATAAGTGTTTACGCTAAAATGCGATTTCAAAAAAGAGTGTGTTGGTTGAGACCGGGTTGTTTGTTGGAAGGTGTTGAGTCATTCTCCGGCCATTCGAGAGAGGAAACGTATTTGTGTCCATTAGTAACAGTTGGTTTCATGAGGCGGCATCTGTTGTTCTTTCCCCAGTTTTAAATAGAAGTTTTTCTGATCGGATTACTGTAGAGTGTGAAGCGGGGCAGATGGAGGAGCGAAACGGTTTGAGGTGGATGATTGTCGATTCGGTTCAACGGTTCGGGTCTTTGGAATGTCCGAATCGTAAAACTGCCGATTGGCGCATAAAATGGGCAGGATAGAAATGGAAAGTGCGCAACTCAACTCCCGACAGCCCCAACCATTGGGTCGCATCTTCTTCCTAACCGGAGGATCCAATTCTAGGGTGGAATGCGAATTCCCTATGGTTATCTGGGAGAGCCCTTAATTATCAACAAATCGCATGAAAATATTATATTAAAGGCGTCATAAAGGGGATGAAATTGAGCGTATTCGGGTATATATAGGCTTGTTTTGTGAGTCCATTTCAAGTTGTTTACGAGACGGCCGGGAGGGGGGGAGTGGTGGAAAGCCCTAAGGGAAAGGGAAAGCGGGCAACGAAAGTCGGGACTGAGGGTTGCATAAAGGAGGGGACGAGGAAGGGGTGCGTCCCAATCCATCTCGGCAGTGTTTCCAATCCTGTTCCCCTGCCGTTTTGTCGATGCATTTTCCACGTTCATCTAAATAAACATGTTGTCGATGACTGTCTTCGGGAGTTGTGCGTCCGTCTGTTGTTTACGCTCTGTTCTTTGTTTGTTCCTTCTCCTTCCCTTTAAATTGCGGGATGTTTACCCGATGCTTTCACCTTTAGATTCCTTTCCGCGCACCCTTTTACCCGGGCCGACCCCGCTATCTGTGACAGTGATTTGTTTTCGATATTGGTTGTTGTTTTTTTTATGTTCCCCTCTCATCCTCCCCATCCAGGGCCCCGCTCGCCAGGTTTTCAGTTGTATGTGTGGAAAAGGCGAGGGGCGAGGCTGAAAGTGGGAAGAGGGCAGAATTCCCCATTCTTCATACTTGCCCTGACTCATTCCCCCATTTCGCGTTTGTTGCCCACGGCTGGAATCAGAACCAACAATTCTTAATTCACGGGTTGTTGCAGAATCATGACTGAGGAAAAGAAAACTTACACCATCCCCTACCGTTCCCAGCTCCAGGAGAAGTTCGAGCCCGGACAGACCTTGATTGTGAAGGGATCCACCATCGACGAATCCCAGAGATTCACCGTCAACTTCCACAGCAAGTCCGCCGACTTCTCAGGTAACGATGTTCCCCTCCACATCTCGGTCCGATTCGATGAGGGAAAGGTAAGGGTTTTGTTGAATTAAACATAAGGCAAAAAATAGAACTTCGAATTTGATCTTTCGAAAGTTTAAATACACAATTTTGTCACATTTACTTGACTTGTGAGTTCTCTCGGACCTGGATAATATTGTCTTTGTTTGTTTCCAGATTGTCCTCAACTCTTTCTCAAATGGTGAATGGGGCAAAGAAGAGCGCAAGAGCAACCCCATCAAGAGGGGAGAACCCTTCGATATCCGAGTCCGAGCTCATGATGACAAGTTCCAGATCATCGTTGACCAGAAGGAGTTCAAGGAATACGAACACCGTCTCCCTTTGAGCAGCATCTCTCACTTCAGCGTTGATGGTGACTTATACTTACACACCGTTTCATGGGGAGGAAAATACTACGTAAGAAACAAGATCAAATTGTTGTAGTATGAAAAGTTGTCTCTTTATGTCAATTGTTTTTAGCCAGTCCCATATGAAAGCGGAATTGCCAGCGGGTTCCCAGTCGGAAAGAAATTGGTGATCTACGGAACACCCGAGAAGAAGGCCAGACGCTTCAATATCAACTTGTTGAGAAAGAACGGTGACATCGCCTTCCATTTCAACCCTCGTTTCGATGAGAAACATGTTGTCAGAAACGCTCTTCAAGCCAATGAATGGGGAAACGAGGAACGCGAGGGCAAGATCCCGTTCGAGAAGGGAGTCGGCTTCGATCTGGTCATCGTCAACGAGCCCACCCACTTCCAGGTGTTTGTCAACGACCAGCCCTTCACCTCCTTCGCCCATCGATCAGAGCCCAGCGACATTGCTGGTCTTCAGATTCAGGGAGATGTCGAGATCACTGGCATCCAGATCCATTAAATCCCCTCAGGGAATTTCGAGATCTTCAGCTTCCTCCATCTTTTGTATCACCTATCGATTATTTAAATCAAAAACATTCTGCCGAGTTTTTTTAAAATAAATAAGATATCTTAGCAAGGCCAGATGTTTTTATTTTTGCCCTCTTCTCGTCAACAAAAACATTACCAGTTGGAGGACATTCAAAGTTTATGGCGCCGAATGTGAGAGGCCTCTTTCGACGCGCCAGTCTCAAAGTTTTTGTCCAAAACAAGGTGACTCAATTCATTTGAATGTGATTTTGACATCGATAGTAATCTGATTGTATTATTTTACACAGGAAGTGTTTTATCGGGCATCGAAAAGCGTCAAAAAAAGTAATGAATCAGCCTGTAAAAGTAATAAAACGAGACGTCAACTAATTGTGATGCAATTTTTCCTATGCCGACCATTCGATAGTTGATCGAACATTACAAACATTATCAATCTTCTTTCTTGCCAACCTTTCGGATGAAAACAAAGAAAAAACAAGAAAAGAAAGTGTAGTATAAAGTTCACAATCTTAATTTTTAATGACTAATCGGCTGTATTCTTATCGTTGGTTACAGCGCCCATACGATGATTCAATTTTGAATAACCATCAGGGGTGGCCACCGGGCCGGGCCGGCCCGGCGAAGCCCGGCCCGATCGGGCCTAAACGGGCTGGGCCTGGCAAATTTTGAAACGGGCCGGGCCTGCTTTTTACCGGGCCGGGCCGCGGGCCTGAGCCATTTTCAGGCCCGGCCCGGCCCGGTTTTGTCAAAATGCCAAGCGTTTGGCATTCAATGTTTTCGCGCCGGAAAAATTTTTGGATAGGTTTGTATTTTTAGTATATCAAGTTCTACAATAGTTTATTACTTTATAGTACTTTTTTGCATATATGTTATAATATAAGGTCCAAATTAGAACATATAATACATATAGGATAGTTCTTAGCAGATTTTAGCACACTACAGAGGCGGTAAGATCAAAGGAAAATTTCCAGCTCGCGCCCTAACCGGGCTTTTACCGGGCCGGGCCGGGCCTGCTAAATTTTGCACCGGGCCGGGCCTGGGATTTTGCCGGGCCGGGCCCCGGGCCTGAAATTTGGAAAAAGAGGCCCGTTTGCCACCCCTGACGAATTCCAACTTTTTGGTGTTGGCAAAAACGTCACTTTTTCGACTTCGTATCCTAATGAAGACGACTTGAATTTTATCCAAAAAGAGGACCTTTACCAAGAGCAGGCTGTCCCATTCGATTCGATGTCCAGATTGCCCGTTTTCTGGTCGGATGACCCGTCAAATCTTGGAATTTTGTGGTGTTTGTTGCGTTGTGGATAATGTAAGTCGATTTTTCTATTTTATTGTGCAAACTAGCCAAAAAGGACAGACATAGATTAGGTGCAGGCCACTAGGTTAATTTTATCACGTAAACAGGGCTTATTTCATAGAACAGCGGCTTGAACCAGGGACCAAACGCGAGGACCAAGTACAATATAAAATTTTCGTGCAACTCACCGTCTCCGGTTTGAAATTGATATTAGATCGGGGCTAATAACCTACTCCATAACTAGCTGTAGCTAGGTTCGAAGAGTGCGGTTCGAAGCAATAAGAAAATGCCACTTGAATTATCCGCGTTTCAACAACTTGGATAATGCAAACTCCGTTCAATTTGATTGCCCGTTTCTGTTCGGATAATCCACCAAAAGTTTGGAATGTTGCGAGGCGACTTTGTCGAAACGTGGATAATGAAAGTGGCATTTTCTTATTGTTTCGAACCACACTCTTCGAACCTAGCTACAGCTAGTTGTGGAGTAGGTTATTAGCTCCGATCTAATATCAATTTCGAGCGGAAACGGCGAGTGTCACGAAAATTTTATATTGTACTTGGTCCTGGCGTTTGGTCCGTCGTTCAAGCCGCCGTTCTATGAAATTAGCCCTGTCTCCGTGATAAAATTAACGTAGTGGCCTGCACCTAATCTATGTCTGCACTTTTTGTCTAGTTTGCACAATAAAATAGAAAAATCGACTTACATTATCCATGGCGCAACAAGCACCACAAAATTCCCAAAATTGGTGAAAATTTCAGGTTTTCGCGCCGGGACCAAAAAAAATTTTTTTTGTTGACCTGGATTCTTTTTATATTTTTAATACAATTCCAGAAGATCAAATGACAATTTTCTAGTCATTTTTAAAGGTTTAAACCCTTTTTTCAAAATTTTCAGGTTTTCGTATCGGGACCAAAAAAAAATTTCTTTGTTGACCCGGATTTTTTTGTATTTTTTATACCATTGCACAAGTGCAAATGACAATTTTATAGTGTTTTTTCGCAGTCTAAAGCCTTTTTCAATATTTTCAGGTTTTCGTGCCGGGACCAAAAAAAATTTTTTTTTGGTTGATTTTAAACTTTTTCATTTTTTGTATGCCGTTACGCAAGTTCAAATGACACTTTTCTAGGGCTTTCTTGCAGTCTAAACCCTTTTTTCAAAATTTTCAGGTTTTCGTGGCGGGACCCAAATTTTCCTCGGAAATGTTTTCTTATAAGCAGCCATCACAGTTGTACGACCATTAAGGTTTTTTTCTTTAAATTCTTTCTTATCTTTGACTTCTACCTCCGTGTATTTTCTGCAGTTGCTCCCCAGACTCCTTTACATGACCAATTTCCATTTGAATAGCATTTGTTATTATTATATCATGTAGCTCATAAAACAAACCCTCTTTAAACCAAAAACACGTTACAAAACCGCTGATATTTATACTCAAAGGTCTGATATTTATACTCAACGAATCGGTAGTCAAATTGATGTTCTATTAATTAATAATAAATGCTGCGTTGTAGTCTGTTGTTTGCGGCTGTGTTGACTGTATGCTACGGCCAGGGCTTCGATGCCGATCTTGCCGTCAATGAGCCAGCAATGGGGCGATTTGGCGAGAATATTGGCAGGGATTTTGGTAATGGAGGCTTCGGAGAAGCCGGCCAATCAATAGGCCTGGTGGACGGTAAACAATCTACTTTTTTGTTGGTTCATTTCTGAGCCCGAAAAATAATGAAAAATAAAATTTTCAAAAAAAAAATATAATCACAGTTTTGTAGAGGAGAAAAAGCTGTATCAAACAAATATATTCCCTTTGCCAAAGAGCAAACAATCCTTGTAAAAAAAACAATGAAAGAAACGAACGAATTTCTGGACGACCTAATAATTGATGGGCGATTCCAAGGCGCAATGAATACACATTCTTTTCCCGACAGACTTATAGGTCAATTTCAGCTGATCACTCGCTTGGCCCTATGGATTTCCAGCCTGACTTTGCTGTCCATGATTTTACGGGCTTTCCAGCAGAGCCTTCAATGAACTCCATAGACAGCTCAGCTGGAAATTCCATGGGTTTCCCTTCCCAGAATCCGAAGGATTTCTCCTCAAGCTCCATGAATAACATGAACCTCGAGCTTGAAGGATCCTTCCCAAACGCTGAGATTTCCTTTCCTAAATCGGTTTTTGATGACATTGACATCTTCAATATCAGTCAGCCAAATGAGTGGATCGCCGGTTTGGACAAGATCGATGAGGAAGTCAAGCGAACACTTGAACTGGCCGCACAGGAGAGGGAAAAGTTTGACAAAGGCATGAAGGAGGAGTACAATGAGTTCTTCAAGTTTATTGGGAGGTAAGTTCATAACTCTGTACAACGAATCGCAAGGGAGCAAAAAATACATCTTTATTGGAGTATTTTGTTGTTCAAGTTGACCTGCAACAGTAGGGAATTTCTTTAGTCGCATAAAACGGACCATTTTGCATCCGGGAAGTATCAAAAATGTGGCAAAATGCTTCCCTCTCCAAGTGAAAACAAACTTGGTTTTGAAGGGTCCTCACAAAAAGAGCGGGCGCGCTTTTGAAATCTGAGTTTTTTCACGTGGAGAGGGAGGTATTTTGCCACGTTTTTTGATACTTCCTGGATGCAAAATAGTACGTTCTTTGCCACTGGATCAGGCCCCCTTTTTTTAGGCTATACCGCGAAAACTTTTTGCGGATATCTCTGAGCTCTTCGTAGCTATCCCAAAAGTTTTGGCTGTATTTAAAACTCGGAGTTGTGAGTTCGAAGAATATCCGGAAGAATTTTTTCTCGCCTCGGCGGAGGAACCATTTTTTGGCGGAGAAATTTAATGTCTTTTTTTTGAAACTGCACCTTGTTACAAAGCCCGGACGCTTTGCTACGGACGAAATTAAGATTGTTTAATCTAATATGATGACATCTGTTAGTCTCGGTAGCTTAAAAAATGCTTCAAACATTCGCAAAAGCTTTACGAACGGACTAATTATCTATTAATATATGTATATATATAATATATATAAAAAACAAATTTTTTTGCTTTTTCAGGCATACTATTTCAGTTTTAAAAACCGTTATTCATACAATTTTTCAGATACCAAAAGACCTACGAGGACCCAGAAGCCATTTTCGACCGATTTGAGAACATCCGCAACGCTATGGACCAAATAAAAACCGAAAATGAGGAATTGGGAGAGCAAGTGTTTGGGTTGACCCCGCTATCCGATCTGAGTGATGACGAATTTATTCACGACTACACTGGGCTGTTCCAACACAAACAGCCTCTAAATATTTCGTTGGCGAGCGAAGATGACCTTACAATTGTAGTGCCTCAAAGTAATCATGGGACGGCTAACGAAACAGCCCGTAAAGGGAAAAAGCAGTGAGTTTATAGGTTATTTAAAACAGCGTGAGTTTTCAGCAGACATGGCAGGGTTCGGGCTTCGAAAATTTCGAAAAGGGCCTGGAAAATCCGGGGAAATCTTACGGCTACCCGCTTCAGAAAAAAAAAAAATTTTGTCTTGAAACGAAAAATTGAAATGCCAATTTTGGGTTCTTGGCATTATGCAACAAGACGAATTTAGACTTTTATCAAGTTTTGAGACTAATTAAAGCACGGACACCGTAATGCGGAACATCTTCAATTTGATAGCTCACACAAAGCCATGAAACGCAATGCCAAAGTATTGCCAAGATGGCGGGAAAACTTCGAAATTCCAAAAGCCCGGCCCTCTAGCCATGCTTGGGTTTCAGACAAGCGGCAACAAGAACTCGGCCAAGTGCCCAAGTCCCAAAGCAATTTGACTACAGGAAGAAGGGCGCTGTTGGGCCGGTCGCTCATCAAAGAGGATGCGGGGCGTGCTACGCCTTCGCTGTTGCGGCTCAAGTGGAGGGTGAGCCAGCCAACATCTTAACAATTTTGTCGGGAAAATAATGTGGATTTCGCACATAAGTCTGCCTCGTCGCAGTCGCGCACAAAATCGCTAGCCGTCGCAAGGCGACAGGGTGCTCATTATTTTCCCGACGGATTAATATTAGTCTGCTGGGAAGATAATGTGGATTCGTCACACCTTGGAATTTTCTACAGTGGCGAACCCGATCCAGCGGCAAAAAACGTACCATTTTGCATCCGGGAAGTATGAAAAATGTGGCAAAATACCTCCCTCTCCAAGTGAAAAAACTTCGTTTTGAAGAGCACGCCCTTTTCCTCACAAAAATAGCGGGCGTGCTTTTGAAATCGGAGTTTTTTTTTCACTTGGAGAGGGAGGTATTTTGCCACATTTTTGATACTTCCTGGATGCAAAACGGCACGTTTTTTTACCACGGGATCAGGTCCGTAACTGTAGAAAATTCCAAAGTGCGACGAGTCCACATTATTTTCCCGACAGAGTGATAATTCCAGGCGCTGTGGCGGCAAAAACTGGAAAAGTTGTGCCGTTAAGTCCGCAAGAACTCATCTCCTGCACCACGAACGGCAATGACGGATGCAACGGCGGCTACTTGGACTTGGCCTTGAAATATGTGAAAGAAAAGGGGCTTTCGGCCGCGAAATCGTCGCCATTCGTCTCTTCGCGGGGCCAAATTCCTCAATGCCAAGTGGGCCGGAAAGTGGGGAAAATCAAAAATTACAAACAAATCCCAAAGAGACGCGAGGACTTGATGCAAAGGTTTCTCTACAACCAGGGACCGTTGAGTGTTAGTAAGTCGATTTTTCAGTTGTCTACGCTCGCAAAACCCCCCTTGTTTTAGCCATTGACGCTCGCCAACTCCGCCATTACAAGCATGGGGTTCTTCGGCCGAGGAAACCCGCCGGCGGCTGGCAAATCAATCATGCCGTCACGATCGTCGGCTACGGCGAGGAAAAGGTGCCGTTTTGGATTGTGAAGAACTCGTGGGGCACAGAATGGGGAGAAAACGGGTTCTTCCGACTACTCAGAGGGCAGAATTCATTGGCCATCGGGCAGGAGAGCTACGTGGCGTTTGTTTGAAACGAAAATTAAACTTTTTTTTGAATTGGAAATAAAATTTGCAAACTTTTTGAGATTTTTTCAAAAATCGAATTACTCCCATCGCAAGCTGTCAAATTTTTGGTTATTTTGGGTTACTGTAGATGGATCTATGTATTACAAGTCTGTCGGGAAAATAATGAGCACTCTGTCGTGCCAAAAATCGCATCGCCGCCGAGAAAATGCAGCTTGTGCTCATTATTTTCCCGACAGACTGATATTAGCGTTTTCATAAAGTGGACATTTTGTCACGGTCTGCACGGTGCGCAAAAACCCCCCATTTTGCACCGTGCATTTCGTTTTTTTTTTTGGTTTTCGCACCGTGCAAAATATCGCTGCGATATAAGCAAGTTTTGTCGAAGTCGCTGCGGTGGTGCCAGGAAATTGCACAGTGCAAACGGCTTTTTTCCAGGCTGCACTGTGCGAAAAAGAGAAAAATGCACTGTGCGTTGGCGACAAGCGTGGGAAGGGGTTCAAAATGCACTGTGCGGAAGAGAAAAAAAGTCCATGCACTTTATGAAAATATTAAATTTCATATTTAAAAAAAAAAATTCTTTTTTTTTGAAACTTCAAATTAAATTTTTTTTAATTTTACGATTTTCGAAAAAAAAAATTTTTTTTAAAATTTTTTATGCAAATTTCCCCAAATTTCCTCACTTCCCCACACCTCCCTTCCCCTCATACCTTCTCGACGCTCACTCGTTGATCGGTTGCTAAGCTTGCACCTCTTTTTTGTCCCACTTCCACAGTAATCTGCGGGCCGTTGTAATGGAAAAAGAGAAAGACAAAAAGGGCCACGGAGTCGCGCAGGTCGGCGGGTTCTTGCAGCGTCTCAAGAAGAAGGCGCAGAACAAGTTCCGCGGAGGCGACGATGGGAACGGCGGCGTGACAGCTGAGGAGAAATCCGTCAAGGTGAGTTCCAAGCCCAAAAACATTGGTTTTATGGGGCTTGCGCAAAGTTTTTGAAATTTTCATGTTTTCGTGGCGGTACAAAAAAAAGTTTTTTTTTTTTGAAACTTTGACTAAGCTTGGAAAATACTGAAAATCAAGAATTTCTAAGACATTTTCTGAGACATTTGTGACATTTCTCGCCGGAATCTTGCGTAAGCCACCGATTTTTTCGTCGCAAATTATTGAAAAGTGGCTGAATTTCAATTTTAACGAGTTTTTTTAGAAAAAGGATAATCAAAAGCAGACGCAGGCCCGTAGGAAGAAGAATACGGCTACGAATACTCCCAAGGAAAGCAAATCAGATGATACCGCATCCTCTATGGTCATGAAGAAGAAAGACCGAGAACGCGACAAAGATAAAGAAAAAGAGAGCGGATTGGATGCCTCCAGAAGTGTCAAAAAGAAGAAGTGAGTTTGATTATAACACTACGACAGACGTATTTTACGTTCAAACCACTTCTGAGGCTTTTGCAACCATTTTGCGCCCTTGAAACAGAATGCCAAAAAATGGCGGGAAATTCGAATTTTGAATTTCACACTATGCTTTTTTTAGTGGGAGATGGAGTGTTGCTATTTTACCTTTTTTTGAATTAATTCGATCCCTTTTGAGCCCTTGAAACACAATGCCAAATTTGGGCGGGAAATTTAAAATTTGAATTCTTTGGCATAATTATCAAACTGTGACGGTTGTATTTTACTCCACGCTCATTTCCAAAGCGATTGGATCACCTTTTGAGCCTTGCAACAGAATGCCAGAATCTGTGGGAAAGCCGGAATTCAAAACTAAAATTTCGATTTCAGCCATAAAAAGAAAGCACCGAACGCCAACGTCACCGTAATGAAGGTGGTTGAGACGGAAACCCAAATAAAGGAGGTCCCGGAGACCGTCACCGACAAATTCAACTTCATTCCGACCATGTTAAACAAGGAGTTGAGCGGGATCCGAAAAGAATTCAACGACATCAAGGCCGAAGACAAGGCAAAGGTCCATATGGCCATGGCGTGTCAAGATCCCGCGAATGCGGACAAGAATCGCTACAAGGTGAGAGAAATCGCGGTGTTTTTGTGTTTAGAGCGCGCTTTGAAATTTGCACGTTTTCGTGGTGGGACTCAAAAAAATTTTTCGAAAGTCAAAGCCTCTTGATGAAACTTTGGGGAAATTTAAAATAGAATTTTCCGAAGCATTTGTCAAGATTTGGGCTCTTACTGTGCAGGAATTTTTGATTTTTCGGTGGAAAATCAAAAAAATAAAAAAAAATTTTTTTCGCGATTTTTAGCGTGAAAAATTTGCATTCTACCCTAATTGGGGAGCACAATCTTTCTATGAAACATTGCTTTTTTCTCAGGATAATTCGAAAAGGTATAGCTGAAAACAATTTTTTTGACTCTCCTAATTTTCCATAGTCTCTCATCGGGAAAATTGTTGAATTTCTCGACTCTCCGCGAGAACTAGGTGCTCAAACTTTTAGCAACCAGTGGTTGACCCATTGAGACTTGCTGTGCAAAATTTCAAGTCATTTGAGGCGCTTGGGATGCTGTAATTTGCACTTTTTTTCAGAACATTCTCTGTCTGGACGCGTCGCGCGTCAGACTGTCGGATGGGGGCTACTATCACGCGAGTGCGGTGGATTCGCGTTTTATTCTGGCCCAGTCGCCCATGTTCAACACTACCGCGCAATTTTGGGATTTGGTTCAGAACGAAGGAGTCGAAATGGTCGGTTTTTATTGTTTTAGTCATCAAGTTTGCGATTTGTTTGAAGAATTTGAATATTTTTTAAATTTTTGCTTATTTCGTTTGGTTTTCAGATTGTGCAGTTGCATCCATGTGATGAAGGAAGAAAGTGCGCTAGATACTACCCAGGAAAAGTAGGGGAAACCAACGACTTTGGAGTGTTCAAGGTCGCGAATTGCAGAGTAAGTAGGCCACAAAAAATGTACTCCGCGAACTGCGCCCAAGCTTGGGCACTAAAGCTAGGAAAAAACGCTTCGACCTAGCTGGCACTGAATTACTATGGTAGCCCTATAGTTTTAAGGGTACCTACAAAGGCTGTGGCGACTCATTTAGTTCCATACGGAGGCAATAAGTTTAGTTCCGGACATGTTTCATCGTATAAAGTGTAAAATCACAGGCTGCAGCCGTTTTTGAAGGGTAAGGTGGTACGTAAAAAAGAAGGTACCTCACTAGCTAAATCCACTGTCCGGGCATTGACAACGATGAATTGAGCGGGCACGCTAAATTTGGGCTAATTCCGACCAGTTACCGTAAAGTTATAAGTTGTGGCCAAAATAAGGAACTTTTACCAGTTGGACCTATTATTATCAACAATTCTTGGTTTTCAGATCGACGCCAGCCCTGTGGAGGAGCCGACCCTCCATTTCAGTCATCTCAAAGTTAGCGGCCCTAAGGGCGAGCAAAAAGTCAAGCATGTTTTCTGGTCCAATTTCTTTTTTACACTCGTTTTATTTTCAGCAGTACGTGTACGTGATGCGCATCATCCTCTTCTACTTTATGAAGTACAATGCTGTGGAGATGTCGCAGAATTTGCTCATCTTCGTCGATGATTTTGATACCTATGCCAAAAAGTTCGAGAGAGAAGAGAAGGAAAGAAAAGAAAAGTGTCCCATTCCTGAGGCTACGGAACCCACCGATGAATTTCAGAATTGAATTTGAAAAATAAACTTTTATTTTCAGGGAAATTTGCGATTTTTTTGTGAAAAATTTCTGGTTTGCATGTTGAGCTTGCACAGTGCAAGAATTTCGTCGCGGTTCGGAAATCGCAGAACAAAAATCGAAATTTCTTGTCGCAATTTTGGGGATGCGGCTTCGAAAAATGTTCGTTTTCTGACCTGATTCCACACTGCGATTTCACCTTGGAGGAAAAACGCACAGTGCAGCCCGAAGTTATTTTTGAATTATCAGAGTATAACATCATCTATCAATTTACAACAATTATTGGCCTCAAATGCAGATTTGCAGTGCGCATTGCGCAATGGTTTGCGGAGCCCACCGAACTGCAAAAAATTTGGCCGGAACAAAAAAAAATTTGCAAAAAACAAATGTCGGTCGGCATTTGTGACCTTCCCAAAATCCATCTACAGCTACCTTCGGACATCCTCACCTCTCAACAACGCAAAAACTGAGAATTAATTCAAGTTCAAGGCAAACAGGTACACAAAGCTGGTTACACAGATGAATAAATTTACCGCGCCCAATTCCTTCCATTTCATACCTAAAAACCAACCAAAAACAAGGTGAAAGACTTACCTTCATAGAGATCCACTTTCTCGTTGAATTTGTACCTAAAACATGGAAAACCAATCTTCTTGCTTCCATCTTGCAGCCGTAAGCTGTGGATGCAAGATTGAAAAGCGATCGCAAGCGTTTGTCAAAGAAAGTTGCGGGTTCTCCCGGATTTACACGCAATCTGACCTATTCTTTCACGAAAAAAGGAAAGAAAGGGGTTTTCGACTTCCAAAACTTGTCAGAAATGTTAGTATAGCAAAATTTGTGGCAAACGTGCCGAACAGACCGTCTAAAACAACATTTATACTCGCATAATACCTGATAAACCTTTCCCTGCAGGGGTGGCCACCGGGCCGGCCCGGCCCGGCGAAGCCCGGCCCGATCGGGCCTAAACGGGCCGGGCCTGGCAAATTTTGAAACGGGCCGGGCCTGCTTTTTACCGGGCCGGGCCGCGGGCCTGAGCCATTTTCAGGCCCGGCCCGGCCCGGTTTTGTCGAAATGCCAAGCGTTTGGCATTCAATGTTTTCGCGCCGGAAAAATTTTTGGATAGGTTTGTATTTTTAGTATATCAAGTTCTACAATAGTTTATTACTTTATAGTACTTTTTTGCATATATGTTATAATATAAGGTCCAAATTAGAAAATATAATACATATAGGATAGTTCTTAGCAGATTTTAGCACACTACAGAGGCGGTAAGATCAAAGGAAAATTTCCAGCTCGCGCCCTAACCGGGCTTTTACCGGGCCGGGCCGGGCCTGATTTCTACCGGGCCGGGCCGGGCCTGCTAAATTTTGCACCGGGCCGGGCCGGGCCTGGGATTTTGCCGGGCCGGGCCCCGGGCCTGAAATTTGGAAAAAGAGGCCCGTTTGCCACCCCTGATAACCATCTTTTTGGATTTCTTTTTGACATTGCGCAACAATTTTGTGGCATTTCGTTAAAACGGGAAAATAATTCCAAAAAATTCCGGAGAATTAAAAAGAGGAAAACTTGATCACAACTGTTAGCAACGAGAGGCACACCATATGAGTAACAATGCCGCTGTATTCTGTCTTTTGTTGTCCGTTTTATCAGTCGTAATTTTTTCATTCGGATTCTTCCGCCAGCGAAATTCTTTAAACGGAAATGAGAGTGTTTGTGCGGAAGACAGGTCTAAAATACGAAGTAATTCAAAGTTTGTACTTGTTGTTATTGATGCATTTGCTTTTGAATTTGTCAACGAGTATCCGGAAGAGTTGAAGTTTTTGCTAAACAAAAGTGATCGATTGTTTAAAGCTCATGTTCAGGCACCTACAGTAACTCTACCAAGGTTGAAGGTAACGTTGTGTGTTAGATGTTCTATTTGTAGGCTATTGTATCAGGAACAGTGCCTACTTATCTCGATGTTATATTTAATTACGCAACTTTGGAGTTCAAGGAGGATAATTGGATCAAGAGAGCTAAGGATAATGGATATCGGTAAGATTATTTGATATATTATTGATCACGTTTCTCCATTGTGTAATATTTTAGTATTCGTTTTTATGGCGACGATACCTGGCTGAAGATGTTTCCCACCGCTTTTGATAAATATGATGGCACTGTTTCGTTTTATGTAACTGACTACACAGAGGTTGACAACAACGTAACCCGACATTTGGATTACGACTTGAGCCATCAAGACGAGTGGGAAGTCATGATTTTACATTATCTCGGGCTTGATCACATTGGCCATTCATTGGGTGGGAAATCAGAAAAGATTAGAGAGAAACTTAAGGAAATGGACGGAATTGTCGAAGATATCAGCATGAAATTGGCAAGTAATAAAGGTTCTTCTGACTTTGTTATTATAGAATGGAAATTACACGATGATAATATTGGGAGATCACGGGATGACCGAGAATGGAGGGCATGGAGGAAGTGAACCCCGGGAAAGTTATGTCCCCATCATTATGAAAACGAATGGAATGAGTGACAATCGCGGACAAGGTATCAGACTTTTTTGTTTTGACGTGGAAGAGAAGTTTTCGTTTTTTTTGGGTAATAATAACATAAACCAGAAATTAGGGGGTCCCTTCGGGCCCCCCTAATTTCTGGAACTTTTACTTGTTCTTTTACTCCTGCTTATTGATTTTTTAAAACTTTTCCAAAGGCTCGGGGTGACATGCCTGATTCAAGTACTCAAGCTCGCAATAATCTATACAGTTTCAAATGAAAGGCTCGGGGGCCTGCGGCCCCCTCGCACGTGAAAAAGTTTCCAAACTCCTAACTTTTCATCAAAACCTTTTCATCACAACCCAAATTGGGGATGATGTTTCATTACGTACTCAACCCAAGACATATAAAGGTACCCACTCTGCATAACTCAGCCTGTACTTGAACCCGACCACACTCCGCTCCTGCATTTATCTTCTACAAAAAAGCTCGGGGGCCTACGGCCCCCTCGCAAAACCAATTTTCAAATTTATAATTTTTTCGTGAAACTTTTCAAACCGAAACTTCTCCCCAAAGAAACCTAAATTTTTTGATTTATCTTCACCATACTACTTTATACTTTACTCAACCCAAAACGAATAAGTAACAACTCTGCACCACTCAACTGTAGTTGAACCCGACCGCACCCCGCACTTGCATTTTACTGACTGACTGCTCCGCAAACCAAAACTTTTAAAATGATTTTGAATTTCCCAGAGGTTTTCATTTTCTCATCAATTTTCCAAAATCAACCGACATTTTTTCCCAAATTTTTCAAAATGAATCTGATCGGCTTCATTTTGAGCGGACAGACAGACAGACGGACAGAAAATGCGACATTCTTCTGCATTTATCAGGGGGATTGTTTGTGAAATCGCAACCTTCGGGCGAAACTAAATAGACTGAAGCTAATATTAATTTGCCTATTATGATTTGAACGATTAATAAGTTTTGTTTTTAGTGAAGTTAATAGAGCAAGTGGATGTTATTCCTACCATATCCGAGATTCTTAATTTGTGTATACCCCTTAATAATCTTGGAATATCATTTAATGCGCCATCGGGTGATGATAACAAAAACGCATTTGAAATTTTGGCCAAAAATGTAAAACAATTTGTTAACCTATTCAAATATGAGATGGATTTATCAAGTAAGTATTAATCTACGTCATATACTATATCATACTTAAACAAATATTTTTGAATTTTTTGTAGATCTTGAAAGGTATTGCAAAGTGGAAAAGAATTATGAAAAATGTCGAGTTGAGATGAGGAATATCCAATTTGATGTCCTCAACTCTCTGCAGAATCTGGATTACAACTCTATTTACTTGTCTTTCCTCCTGATGATTACGGTAAGAGTTATATTTATGAATAATTCCTTTTCAGGGGTTCCTTTCCTTTATTTTCTTTGTCGATCTGCACAAACTTCGTTACATTGATCTGGGTTTTATTGTAATTCCATCATTTCTTTGGGGTTCGTCAAGTTTTATTGAAGAAGAACATGACGTTTTGTAAGTTATGATGATGAAACTAAACTGTTTATTTAGAAATTTTATTGTGCCAAGCTTCGTTCTTGCCAACCTTCTGATCACCGAGAAGCCAACCAAAGTCTTTGTAATCAATGCTTTCTTTCTCATGGTCGTCCATAGAATTGTAAGAATTCCTTATGAATTTAAAAGAAGAAGATGGTTGATGGAAGATATCCAAGAGCCGGAATATACTTATATAATGTAAGCGTGGTTACAACGATAACTGTTTTTCAGAGTGATATTATTCTTTATTACCGCATTAATTCCGGTTGTCAAAGATTGGTGGACCTTGAGAAATACACGAAAAGATTTCAAATTACTGGTTAATATTTCAATTGTAACAGTAATTACGTTGGTAAAGCATGGATTTATTGAGTAGGTCAATCAAAGGAATACTCCAATTTTCAGACTCCCCGTTTACCCACAACTACTTGTTATGGCGACATTTTTTACTGTAAATATTCACTTCGGGTTGTCCCTTTGGTATTATTTTATATGTGATTTCAAAGATCTGATCTCAGTGTTGTTGTGTCAAACAGCAGGAATTTACGTTACAAGGTTAAAGCTGGAGAGCAGCTCATTGCTTGTCCTTGTTTTGTCAGCCTCTTTCTTTTATACCGTAAGTGTGTAAGTTAAATTTATCTTAATTGTAGGGAGCAAGCAATACATTAAGTTCTGTGGATGTGAATGGTGGATATGCGGGTCTCAGAGGATACAATATTGTTATCGTTGGAGCTCAAATTGCTCTAAAAGCTTATTTAGGTCCCATTAATGTTTTCTTGGGAAGGTAAGCGACATATTATATCAATGCCTCGGATGTTCTAGTGAACTGCACAGCCAGAAGAAACATGACGATTTTCTTCCATTGATGACACTCTTCCGGTGCTTGTCGATGACTGTGATTACCGTAATCCTCTTTTGGCAACGTAACCATCTGTTTGTTTGGAGTGTTTTTGCTCCGAAATTCCTGTTCGAGAGTACCCATCTCCTTGTTTTTACTGTTTTCTCTCTGCCTAAATTAATTTGCAACAGGTAACTCAATAAATTATTTCACACTCATTTGTTAAAACTTATTTGCATTTCTCAGAATGACAGAAGAAAGCCAAATTAGATCAGTGTAATGAATATTATGTTGCCTTGGACAGATGCCAGCCATCTTAACAACGATTTATATAATCACAATTCGAGTACATAAAAAGACAAGAGAACAACAGTAGGAACTAGGTAATTAATGTGAGAAGACGCTCCAAAAGTAATTTCGTGTTTATCCAATTGGACCGAGTTTCTTTTCTGTGAGATGTAATCAGCTGGAATGAAGATACGAGAATGTAATTACAGCCCGGATAAATAGCCGCCAGGGCGTTGAATGATAATCTACGCGATGGCAATACATTATGTAAGAACGGTTCTAATGACGGCCGCGACTACAGCTTTTTAGGCCACAATGCACTTGAATGAGTTAATTCTGGATGACTTTGGAGCCATCGACCAGCTTCTTGTACTTGCTCATGTCGTGTTGGATCATGCATTGGATGGGGGTGAAGAAACAATTGCGCGATCCAGATCCGCTGAACTTCTTCAACGCCTTGTAACTCAGATTCTGTGATTTCTTTGCGTATCCCTGGCTAAAGGTTCTGTCCATGCTTGCTTCTTCCGTATCTACACTCCGTCTGACTGGATATCGAATGTATTCTGAATCGGAAAGGGGATATAGTCGTGCTGGGTCTTCCAACGTTGACCACCTGTCGATTATGTACCTGAAATACGTCACATAAGGATGGCGCATTTCACAAAGTTGAATGGTAACTTATAAGGGAAGTCAGTTAAGTCGCGATCCTTTTCAAAACATGTCGCACGGTGCGGTGCGAAAAAAGGCCGAAAGTCTACGCACTTTTGAAAAAGCGTAATACTAGCCTTCCGGGAAGTCGCCGAACTGATTATTGGCGCTTGCACTATGCGAAGAAGGTCAATGTGCGACGACACCCGAAAAAACCTATTCCACGGTGGAAAAAGCATGAAATTGCACAGTGCAAAGAAAACTTTTTTCCTCACAGTCCGTGTCGTTGATTCCAGTCGGCGACTTTCCGGAAGGGCTAGTATATTACACAGGTTTTGTTGATTGAAAAGTACTGCTTTCCTTCTTTCGTTTTTTTCAAAATCGATCCATGACTTAAGTGACTTCTCTTGTTAGGCATGTTTCATATTATCATTCAACGTATTATAGATGCCCTATCCACTTCTTGTTTCCCACGTCATATTACAGTAATCCGGGCCCTCACTTCAGACAGAAGTCACTAATGGATCCCTGATTCGCGGTTACACCTGTTTTCGACTTTTGTTCTTTGGAAACCAGTTCTCCCTGAGGCGTTTTCATGTCTGTCTGTATTTTGAGAAATTTTCTTTCAAAAACATCTTTTTGTAACAAAGTCCACTGCGAAGAGAGGATCCGCTTAAAGTGCAGATAATTTCAAACTGAAGACATTACTTCTTGAGGGTGAGTTTCTTGGAAATTAAATGTTCTGGATCATGTCATTGTGCCCCAAAATGAGTGGGAACACATCGAAATTCATGGCCATTCCAGGCTTGCAATTAGAAGCTGTACTAATTGTAAGTGAGCATTAAGGTCAACTAAAAATTACTCACATATATTACGGAGCTCAAATAATGGTAAAAGGATTAACTTCACAAAATACAGGTGGACCCATGTTTAAAAGGCACTTTTTGGGACGCTTCTAAGATTAAAGAGTTATTGCCCGCGGACATTTCCGTGTATTCCTATCATGAAACATGTTTTCTAAATAATTAACATTCAACGAAACCCCTTAGGGGTCATAAATTTTGATAAAAGTAAAACTTTTGAACTATGAAGACCAAAAACAACCTGGCCTTACAAAAATTATCTGATAAACAGAATCAACATTCGAAGAAACTAACGTGGAAATAAAACAAATAAAGGGTGCAAATAAAATGGGAGTAAAGATAGAACTCAGAGTACTGCAGAGAAATTGCAGGGAAGAAGGCAGCTGCAATAATAATCGAAAAACTTTTTGCTCGGTGTTAATTCGAGAGCGACCTACGAATATCAGGTAATTACGTAGCCAAAATGTTTTCGTATTCCGGCCAAACAACTTTTCTTAGACTCAAACGTAACATCGACAACTCATTTTCAGGTCATGACGACGTTATTTGATCTAATTTCGGAACAAGCGTTGTACACACAAGGATATAAAAAAGATGACCCTACGGATCTTGGATCAAAGAACTAATTAATGCAGTCCACACTAACATCCGAGGTAAACAAAGAAGATGATTTTTACATCAAAGAACCCACAACTCACCCGTCAACGACCAGTAGAAAGGCGGTGATCAGCTGCAAAATTATAACCGACACCGACACCATCTTGTGTTTTCTGTTGTCCCAAAGCCCTGAATGGATATAACTAGAGGTGTGTAGCACAAATAAACATCTGTGACGACACAACGCGTAATTAACGAGGATTTTAAATAAAAGATGAAACCAAAAGCAAACAGGGAATGATCTTAATTAATAAAATAAAGAGTAAAGAGCAATGTGGAGGACATGTGGATAAGATAACATTTGAGAAGTAAGACACTCAGGAGGATCTGAAAAAAGGGGATCCTCAAAAAAAACAAGGATACTGTAATCGCCGATAATTACTGAACAACTCTCTTCAAATTTCTACAAAAACAAAAAAGATTATGTCCAATATAACGTCTGCCAGGTATAATATGTAAATGCTTTCATGAAGCCCCCAGAACATCCAGAAAGTCCAATCGAGGCCCCTGAAATACTCCCTACTCCACCTTCCGCAGGATGACATAAGAACTACCAAAAAAGTACACCTGGCATCACCCAAATGGCACCTGGCTTTAATCGAAGCCATAATTATTTATAACACTTCAAAGAAACAATTTGGAAATCGTGTCGTGCTTTAGAATATAGGAATCTTCGAGGGAGAGCTGAAAAAATAATTTCGCAGCTCTCTGAATGTAAAAGTTTTGAATCTTAACCAATAAGATTACAAATAAAAGGCCTTTTTTTGGAAAAAAAGCGCCATAAAAGCCGACAATACCGTCAGATTATGATAAATGCTGAAATTGGTGGAGAATAATCTCAACGGTCAACCCGCGAACAACATTGACGATGTATAACACTTGCTGAAAGGACGATTCCCGCCAAGCCACACAACAGTTTAAACAAAGATTACAATTAACGCCGGACCACAGATGGATTGATACGGTAATGTCCCCGCCCCTCAACTCGACGTGGGTCGGTTCAACGAAACACACCGCATAACGGAGCCCGGATAGCGGTTCTTTCCTCAAAACAACCTAAACCCAGTCAGAAACGGACTCTTATCGCCCGGTGGGAAAATAAGAGCGCCATCTTCGCCAATGTATCTAATGTCCCTTGAGAAGACACGTCAAGAGTGTCATGCAAAGGTGGCAGAGTTTACTCACGGCCCAGTGTCATCTGGAACAGGGCTCCCGAGAACGACGGATCCCCCGTTTCTTCTGGCCGGATTCCGAACCCCAGACGGGAAACCGGTTTAAGGAGTCGAATTTCTGTAAAAAAGCGTAATCTCCTCAATGAAACCGGAAGATTACGTTCGCCATTCCCTTCGGTTTATTTGATAATCAAGACCAACCAAACATGCCGCCCCGCTTTACAGTAATCTAATCTGAAAGAGATAATTGTCTGTTCCATTTAATGCATTAAGAGATCCGCAATCGGATTTCAAACAATAAAAGGACAATTGCCTCCTCCTCCCCTATGTGATGTCATCATGATAGATCGGAGTTTGCTTTAACAGCAATGATCGCGTTGGGTCCAGCAACGAAAACAAACGGAAAATCTAGATTCTCACAAAATTTTTTGTTCGCCGAATCTTTGCAGATTTGGGCGCAAAAAAGGGGAAGGAAGGAATTGTTCTTTATATAAATTATCACGGTAGGTCCTGTATGATAGTGCTTAGAACCATTATATTATCCTTCAACAATTTATTTCCGATTCCATTTATTTATAGATGAAGGAATCTGAACATTGTACTTCGAAAAATACCTATAATAATATGTTATTATCACGTGTTACGCTTGAAGGTTTAATTGCATACTAGTCCGTTCGGAAAGTCGCTGGGGTGATTTCGGCGACATGCACTGTGAGAAAACAAAAGTTCGTTTTGCACCATGCAATTTCCGGCTTTTTGCACTGTGCAATAGGCTTTTTTGGACTGTCCTTCGCACCCTGAATTTCTCTGCACAATGCGTGTCCCGAAAATCACTCCAGCGACTTTGCGAACGCCATAGTATTAGCGAAGGGATTTTTTTACACCTTTATAGATAGTAACCGGTGTACTTATTATTCTTTATAGTTTTGTTGTTGCAGTTTGCAACTTTCACATAATTCCCTGTTAGTTTGCGAAATTTGCGCTAGTCGTTGGGGGCTGGATTAATTTCTTTATTTTTTAGATATTAGCCATGATCAAAAAGAAGGCCGGTGGACCTAAGAAAACCGTTGCTAAGAAAGCCCAAGTAAAACCAGTGGCAAAAGAGAGAGGAAAGTCTAGCAAACGACAGAAAAGTGCCAAGTCAGTAGAAGATGATCAACAAGAAGAGCAAGTCGTCGCTCAAAAAAAGTTAAAATTATTTGAGGAAGAAGTAAGTACATCTATTTGTTTCTTATTTAAATTTAGCAAGACTCCGATGACCTACAAGATAACTTCAGTGGAGAGAGCGATGAAGGATTGGACCATGATGATGATGATGGAAACGACTCGGAGAATTCAGACGTTTCTGACGACGACGATGGAGAAATGGAGATTGAAAAGAAGTCCAAGAAGCTGAGAGCCAAGCAAAGGAAAGACGCGTACGTACTTTGACTTTTCTTGTATTTCAAATTGAAGTGTTTGCTGATTTTTAATTTTTTAGGCAACTGGCTGAGGAAGAATTGCAACTGAATGTGGCGAACACTGCTACCTATGAGTTACCAACGGTTGAGGAAGCCGAACAAGAACTGAAATCGACTATGGATCTTCAGATGGTCAAGGAGAGAATTCAAGAAATTGTTGAGGTTCTAGGCGATTTCAATAATAGAAGACAAGAAGGCAGGAGTCGCGCTGATTATCTCAAGGTTCTGAAGATGGCACTGTTGTCTTATTATAGTGATTACAACGAATTTCTCATGGAGAAGTTTATGGAATTGTTCCCGAACCCGACTGAAGTAGGCTAGCGCGCTTTAGCGGATCTATTTTTGTTTAGTTGATGGAATTCATCGATGCCAGCGATCAACCAAGACCTGTAACCATCAGAGCGAATCCATTGAAGACTAGACGAGGGGATCTGGCCAGATCTCTTATCTCTCGAGGGATGAATGTCGATCCTGCTGCGAAATGGACAAAGGTCGGATTGGTGGTGTATGATTCGCAGGTTCCAGTGGGTGCCACCCCTGAGTACCTATCCGGTCACTACACCATCCAAGGTCTTTGTTCTTTCCTTCCGGTCATGGCATTGGCCCCACAGCCCGAGGAAAGGGTACTTGATATGTGCGCTGCTCCAGGTGGTAAAACAAGTCACATTGCGTCACTTATGAAAAACACCGGCATCTTATTTGCAAATGATTTCAATGTAAGTTCGTCTGGTTCGGGTTAACCAATGGGGTTTGCTGATACATAACAACTTATTTGATTCCAGCCTAATCGTTTGAAAGCCGTTGTGGGTAACCTTCATCGTATGGGGGTGAATAATAGTATTGTGTCCAATCTGGACGGAGCTGAATATGCAAAGATTCAACCGCAATCATTTGATCGAGTACTTTTGGACGCTCCATGCAGTGGCACTGGAGTTATATGGAAGGATCATTCCGTGAAGTCCAGCAAAGACGAAGAAGACATCAAAGCTCGGTATGTCACCCAAAGACGCTTGCTGCTGGCTGCGATTGATAGCGTTGATGCCAAGTCAAAGACTGGAGGATATGTTGTTTACTCAACTTGCTCGGTTCTTGTTGAAGAGAATGAAGCCGTGGTTCAGTATGCATTGGAGAAAAGGAATGTAAAATTGGTACCTATGGGGCTGGATGTAGGAGTTCAAGGATTCACAAAGTAAGAGCGACATTATTTTGCTTCTGCTTCCATTGGATGTGTTTCATTTAAGTTGTGGTTTTAGATATCGTCAGTATCGTTTCCATCCTTCTATGTCCGAAACAAGGAGATATTACCCACATGTTCACAACATTGATGGATTCTTCGTATCAAAACTGAAGAAGCTGTCAAATGATGTCAAAAAACCAAAAGAGAAACAGAATGGAGAAACAGAAAAAAAAGAAGAAACCAAGAAACCACAAAAGAAGTGGAAAGGAAACAACAAACAAAAGTAAATTTGTTTATCTTTTTGTTGATTTATTTGTTACATCTTTGTTATCCAGGAATATAATAAACGTTGTTTTGACAATCATTGTTACGCTATGTTGCGTTCCGGTTTTCATGGCAATATGCGACATGTCACTGCATTACCATATAGAAAGGTTCAATCGAAACTCATAATGAAACATCCCTCCATGCAGATTGAATTCACCGGAAGACGTCAAACAAAATCTTGAGGTCTTCTGTCACCACGAAGTTCAAAAGACTGCTAGTATGCTCGACCGGGGAAAACCAAAGCATTAATAAGAAACATCGCCGATTTATTGTATTCGAAGATGACATCCATTTAGTTGAATTTATTTGAGCAATAAAGAAAAAATAAAATATGAGAAAGCGTTATTCACTAACTATTTGACACCGGGCTTCGGAAAAGTGTATCCTCACTTCATGTCGTCGAGCTGCCGAACTAAAAAAATGTTGCCGACCGCCAACAAAACATACCTATCTACAAAACGGGCAGGACAGAATCTACAGCAATGTTTTCGTTCGCCTCTATGAATCCTTGAATGAACTGTAAGTGCAGATGGCTGGGAGAATTGAGCCCCGCAAACAGAACACGAAAAGGGCTTCTCTCCAGTATGAGTTCTTTCATGTAACACCTTATCTCGAGGGTATGAGAAGGCCTTGTCACAAAACGAGCAGTTATACCGTCCCCTCCTTCCCTTGTCACAGAATGCTTCGTGTTCAATCAGCTCTTCATATCGCCGATACCAGTATCCACACTTTTTGCAGTAGAAGCGATCACCAACTTCGTGAGATTTTGTATGAAGTATTAGATAATGCTTACGGGTGAATTGTTTCGCGCATAGATCACACTTATAACCCATAGTTTCTCCTAAAGACGTAGGTCTTTGATAAACGATGGCTTACCATGAACGAAACGGCAATGAATGGCCAGAGCTCGGCTAGAAACATATTGAAGATCGCATTGGGCGCATTTCCTTTTGATTATAGGTGTGTTATGAGATATCATGTGGTCTTTCAGATCTTGCACATCATCAAAGTAAGCGTCCGAACATATTTTGCAGAAATATCGTTTTTTCTCAAGGACTAAACGCTGAACGAATGAAAATGAGGGCCTTACTTGATCTATCCGCCACCCGAAGTTTGATAATGCGGTTACCAAAACGAAGTCCAAACTTCTTCAAAGGCTTTTGCCCAGATCCAAACTCTTCATCAATGTTCTGATTCTCGTAGAACGAAAAAGCAACATCACTCCACATTAAATCGTTGCTTGAAGAGCATCCCGTCTCATAGTTGACTTCTGAACTTTGTAAATCCATTACCGGATTAAGCGAAAGCTTGTTCTTCAAGAGCTCTTGATCAAGAGGCTTTGAAAAAAATAATTTATTTTATTTATTCATTATTTTCAGCCCTGCGTTTCAACACGAAAACATTCTCCTTATTTTCGAAGAATTTTCGGAAAAGAGTTATTCTCGAACCTTTGCCTCAAGTCCCATCAATTGATCCCTTATATCCGTGCCATTTGAGGAAAAAAATATTTTTTTTCTGTTATGTAGTATATGTATTATATGTATTTTAGACATGTCCGTTGGTCAAACAGCCGTTTCGGCGCCTTCGGGCCAAAGGGAATCCAACTTCAAAGACAAGGATAAGCCAATGTCTGTTCGCCAGAGTAATATTGTCGCTGCCAAAGCCGTATCCGATGCTGTCCGAACAAGTTTAGGACCCCGCGGCATGGATAAGATGATCCAGGCTGGTAATGGGGAGGTGACCATTACTAACGATGGTGCCACCATTTTAGCTCAGATGGCTGTAATTCATCCGACTGCCAAAATGGTACGCTTTATTTACAGTTAATTTTATTTTTAGTTGGTGGAGTTGTCGAAAGCTCAGGATATCGAAGCCGGAGACGGAACTACGACCGTTGTTGTTATGGCCGGTGCATTCTTGGATGCTGCTGAGAAGTTGTTGAATAAAGGGATCCATCCTACTCGTATTTCGGACTCTTTCCAAAGAGCCGCATCAAAGGCTGTGGAGATTTTGGAAGGAATGTCATATCCATTAGATATATCCAACGACGAGGAGCTCATTAAATTGGCTACCACCAGTCTTAACTCGAAAGTTGTTTCGCAACACTCATGGCTTTTGGCTCCAATGGCTGTTCAGGCCATCAAGAAGATCGTTGACGTTCAAGCCGACGACAATGCCAATTTGAACATGATTAAGATCGTTAAGAAATTGGGAGAAACTGTTGAGGAATCACAGTTGATCGAGGGAGCTTTGATTGAACAGAGAAGCATGGGACATGGCGGACCATCTCGCGTTGAAAAAGCGAAGATTGGGTTGATTCAGTTCCAGATTTCTCCCCCAAAGACCAATGTAAGGAAACATTGCACTTGACTGACATTCGTTTAGATGGAAAACCAAGTTGTCATTACTGACTACGCCCAAATGGATCGTGCCCTGAAGGAAGAACGTGCCTATATTCTCGATATCTGCAAGCAAATCAAGAAGGCGGGTTGTAATGTTGTTCTCATCCAAAAGTCGATTCTCCGGTAAGCTGTATGCATCTATAAATAAATATTTTTTAGGGATGCTGTATCTGAGACCGCCCTTCATTACTTTGCCAAGATGAAGATAATGGTTATTAAGGACATTGAAAGAGAGGACATTCCTTTCTACTCCAGTATCCTAGGATGTCGCCCGATAGCTTCCATCGATCATTTTACTGCTGATTCCCTTGGATCTGCTGATCTTGTTGAAGAGATTACTACTTCCGGATCAGAGAAGGTAGTCAAGGTCACTGGACTACACGCCGCAGGAAAAGCCGTCTCAATTTTGTTGCGAGGATCGAATAAGTTGGTGTTGGACGAAGCCGATCGTTCTCTCCATGATGCCCTTTGTGTTCTCAGATGCTTGGTCAAAAAGAGAGCTCTCCTACCTGGTGGTGGAGCCCCAGAAATGGAAGTTGCCGTCAATTTAAGAAAGGAGGCCGAAAGTAAAGAAGGAGCTGAACAATATTGCTGGAAGGTAAAAGATCACTTTCATTTCAATTCTTCTGTTGGGACCGATCTCATCTGTTGATTTGCAGGCCTTTGCTGATGCCCTTGAAGTGATTCCATACACCCTAGCTGAGAACGCGGGTCTATCTCCCATCACAACGGTCACCGAACTCCGTAAACAACACGCTGATGGAAATAAGGACTATGGTGTCAACGTTAGAAAAGGATTTGTCACTGATATTAAAGAAGAGAATGTCCTCCAACCTCTGATTGTGACTCAGTACGCGATCAAACAAGCTGCTGAGTGCGTGAGAAGTATTCTCAAGATTGATGATATTGTAAGTCAACCTATGTTTTAATTAATAATGATGTCTTTAGGTATTGGCAATCCGCTAAGCACCCGAGCATTGAATATCCATCCAAATCTCCACGCTTCTGATCTTTTTTACATCTAAAACCCGCAGTTTCCTCCGTTTATCGACGATTCTTAACTTGTTAAGTTTGGAAAGCTTGTTTAATCTGATAAATGTTGTTTTACACTAAATAAACAATTCAAAATCTCAAGTATTTACTCGTTTCAATTTAGTGTAATACGTTATTCATCCAACCGGTAATACTGTAATAACGGAGATCCCCAATGCAAACCAAGCGTGTACCCATCTTAGGTTATTCGTAATCGTCTACATCCGCTATGTTTGGCATCTCTTTGGATCGACACAACCTCGAAGGAGGAATCATTTGTTTCGGGGAGAATTCCACTGATACACACTTTTCTGAAATTATTTATATAGTATTAAAAACAATCAAGAATTGCCCAAAAGTAAGCGTGGCTCACCGAGAGCATAAAAGCCTTCATTAATGGTGGGCAAGACGTCCATGGATCTATTGACGGACCTCTTCTGCATCGAGCATTGGGATTCTGCCTTGGGTTCCCTAGATGATGTGGGATGACTGAGACTCTCCGTTGAATCACTGTACAATGTATTGTGACTTCTTCTGGTGTCCTCGTCCGATGTGCCCGAATTCTGATGCACAGGTCCATTCTTTTGTTGCTGGTACACTTCCATCCACCCATCTACAACATCCTGATCTGCGGAATCATTGTAGAATTCCATAAATTTAGTCAAGTCACTCGAAGAACTCGAACAGCCAGTGTTGAATTGAACACGATCTAATGCTGATTTTGTGTTCACATCTCGACTTGAATTAGACTGAGAATGTGTTGAGTTCTCCTTTTCGTCAACTGGAATGATCATAATTCAAAATGATTTGTTGCGCAACAAAAGATTGAGGCAGTGAGAAAACGTAAAGAATGGGTAAATAGATGAAATTCTGTAAGGAAATTCACGTTCGGTAAACAATTCCGTTGAAAAGCCTTTTATATCTTGTACTTGCCCTAATTATCACCTTTTCAAAAATAATTTTGTTAAAGCGCAGTAATTTTGAAGCAGAAAAAACAAGAACATAACTGTAAACTAATGAAAACTTACTTTCTTTCAGAATATACGGGGTAGAATGGGCCTCACGAAGATTGGAGTTCATTCTGTAATCGATATATTTAACGATGATATTACACGCAGAAAGGAGTCAGTCTCAACGAACGCTCTCTCAGATTTCTACGTTTAGAACTAGGGATTAATGAAGAAGAATGGGGAAACTGGTGGGAGAAAAATATTCTCTTCGCGGCCAAAAAAATACAACGAATGGGACATTCAAATTGAGAGGGGGAGGGAACGTGGCCATTAGCGCCCCCCCCCCCTTTTTTTTGATGTCTTTTTGTGGTGGTATAACAAGCGGTTGTTGGACACCCTAACGAGCTCTTAAAGCGCGCAAAAAAGACTCTAGAGATCGCTAAAACACCTGACTTTAAAGAGCCGAGGCCTAAAGAAATGCTGGGCTTCCTCCTCCCCCCTTGCTTTCCGGACAGCCCTTTTGACGTCCCTCTTCTCGTTTCATGGATCCCGTGCAATTCTTTTTTATTTTTCGGAAATTCTTTTTATCTCTTGTTTTTCGGTTATCAACTGATGGCCTCGCTTATCAAGTGGTGTCCTCGCCTCATGATGTCATCATGACGAAATCTTGTAAGCCGTAAAACTGGTTCTCCGTTCAAAAAAGAAAAGGTAATCTTGTCTAGATTTACTATGTAAATCAAGAATATATTGTATTCTACATGCAGCAGATTTAAACTATGAGTTTAATACAGTTTGACTAGTTGTATCATCAAAAATAAATTAACAATTCGACTGTTAACTGAACAAGCTGTCACAATCTTAAAGTTATCGCAGTCATATTACATGATCTCAAATATAATCACAAAACAGAAGACGCTGAAAGAAAGGCCTGAAAAGAGATTATTCACAGCGATGTAAATGTGCCTCCACTCGTGGGTGTAATCTACAATTGTAGTCGTCCGATCACTGTCGGGTCGATCGAAAGTGTCCTCAAGATGACGCTGATAGGAGGTACTCTGTTCTGGCTCAATACAACAGAAGAAACGATTGATTAACTTGGCACTTAAATAAAAGAAATGGGAGGGTGGCACGGTGCGACGGACTCGACACAATGCCAAACAAACAAGGGTAACCAGGATGGAGAGGAAGCTGACGAAAAAGAGGAATTCGTAAAAGGTGTCTGAAATAAGGAAGGTTAAGTCTTACAAGGGCATTTTTTTTTGATGTTATGCGTTTTTTAATCATAAAAACAATTTTTAAACTGGATTGAACTTAAATAAAAAGCAGGCGCATGAGCCAATTTCGTCACGCAACACCACGCACTAAGTCTCTTATAATTCATCAAATGACGTCTCCTTACATATCTTCGGTTTGGTCCCGCCAAAGCCATTCTCCGGTGCAATCGAGCATAAGAACAAGAAACAGATGGTCTGCAAGGTCAGGGTCAGAAGTTTGACAAAGGATTGAGTCCGCAGATCCCCGAATAATGGAGAGACCAGCATCAGCATTGTGGCGATCGTAACCGGAATACGAAGAGCGATCTTCAAGGTGCTCATCTCCTTCTTGGCATGGATACAAAGTCGGAGGAATTCGTTTCGATACCCTCCGATCTTGGCTACATCGATAACTCGGTCCTGAAAGACAGTTTTATCGAAGCAAGGAAAGATAAGAAGGCTAAGTAAATAATACCCCAATTTGCTTACTGTAACTGTCCAGATGGATGTCTCGACATTCTTGAAGATCTTGGTGTTCCCCTCAGTCTCCACTGTCGTCAATGCCACCGGTTTTTGAATAGCCGCTCTTTCTTTTGTTTTCAATTCGAATTTAACTTTCCTTTCGATCTCTTGTAGGGTCAATAATAGACAGCAATCGTTCGTTTCCTCAGGGTATTTGTAATAATTAATCCCACAAAACGCCGGGAATCTGAATGTGAACCTGGCTGTCACCGTCCCATCATATTTGATTTCTATATCGGATATCCTGGCAATACATCCATCGGCTTGACTACATTCCGAGTCTTCGTTGAAATGGGGAGTCCAGATATGATGATTATCATGCAACGCAAACTCATCAATCTTCCAATCGGTCTCGTTCCAAGAAAGGCGAGAGTCATTCCATGTCTGATATAATGTTATTATAGTTATTTCTATAGTACTTACGATGTACAGATCTCCATGAATATTAAATTGGGATGAATCTTTCTTTAGCTAAATATAAATAAAATAAAATAATTGTTTGGATACCAACCAGATCGACTTGATGGACAACATAATGATCGACGCCGATGGTCAGAGGATATTCCCAGGGGGGATCTTGGATAAACTCCATGTGACTGGGCTGAGATTGGGCCAATTTATAATACAAACAATTCTCCAGAGTTTCCATTTGAGTCAGAGACATTCCTTCAGATTCTAAAATATCATTTCGCATTGATGGAATAAGTAATGTTATTTTTTTAATTATGTTTTAAGATAATTTTACCTGAAACATTGTGCCGCCACTCACAGCCAGTGGGATTATCCAAAGAGGTCAAAATCAACGAATTTACACACCCGAAAAGCAATAGAAACCTGGCTCCAATCATGGTGGGAATAATGAATGTCTAATGTAATAAGTTTCTACCTGGCCGCACTCACTCTTCCTCGGCTCTTCGACGCCGTTGTCATGGCCACAATGCCATTCTCACCAGGAGATTCTATGGCCCAAAAACAATTGTAAGACGAATAATGAAACAAGTTTATCTCAGGGTTTTGAAAGGTGATCATAATTTTATTTCCCTAAAGAGAAAGTGTTGTTTGATCACAAACAAAATGTTCTCAACACAAAATTACAGTGTCATAATAACAATTAGAGTTTGACTTGAAACAAAATAAAATTGTTTTCAGACAATCAACAACTCAAATCAACACTCAAATTTTATTCTACAGTAATCCGGAGTCATCAAACGCTGCATGTAAAGGTGATATCAGATGGATGAATTTCTTTTCGTCGTCAATCCCGACGGTATACACGTAGATGTGTTTGTGAGAAGTCAAGGATGATAATGTGTGTCTTGATTAAAGGCCAAATCCCTCCTTTCCTTCCGCCCTCTCCCACGCGCTCATTTTTCCCTCCGGCGTTTCTCTTTACAATAAGTTCTGGGACCGGAATTTTAGTTTAGTAGTCAAGAAGGAATGGCCCACGAACTCGGCCAGAAAACCGATTAAAAACTGCTTTTCCCCTCGATTGTTTTACAGTAATCTGATTACTTTTCTCCGCGGAGATCCGTCTTCGGACCTCACTTGTTTCGGCCCCAAGTTTTCTCCCGCCTCCCAAATCAAGCCAATTGGATGCCGGCCCCAAATTTCAGCGCAATTTCCTGGAAGAAAAGTTTTATTTTTATAATCGGACATTAGAGTTGGTGTTCAGGTTATATATACGATAGGATGAAGAAGAAGAAGGAGATCAAGGTGGTGGTAGTGGGTGATGGCTCTTGTGGCAAGACCTCCTTAATCATCGCCCATTCCTCTGGCCAATTCAGCGAGCAATATATTCCTACGGCTTTCGATGACTTTTCTGTTGAAGCATTGGTTAATGGGAAGCCGGTGAGGTTTTAATACTTTTAACAAAAATTGCGTATGGAACGGTTTTGTAGCCAGGACAATTTTGCCACCACAGAAACAAATTTTTAATTGCTTCTTTTGACTATTATGTAGTCAGCGGCTCTTTGACGGTGCCACCGTTATTTTCCGTTTTTTCTTTTGTAAATCGTTAATTAATAATTAATTTTTTAAGTACTTTTTGGCAAAAATAAACTTTATTTTCGGACTCTCCACTCCAAAATCCCAAGCCCCGAAAAGGCGCTATCCGAAAAGTCTCCCACTCGAAAAGACGCGCCCGAAATGGCACCACCCGAAAGAGGGCGGACCGAAAACTTGTCGGAGCGTACCGACAAGTTTTCGGTCCATCAACCGACTCGTCGTGGGGTGGTCCTCAAGGCTTTAAGCCTAGATTGGTTACGTTTATGAACAAAATGAATTGTTAGAAAAGTGATGCTAAGATTCCGTCGGTTAACGTTAAGGTGCCGCTGACTGAATAGATAGGGAACCAATCAATTAATTGTTTCTATGTGGACAAAACCCTAAAAAATGGTGGGGCCCAATCAGAAATTGGGTTGTTTAATGCAGAAATTTATTTATTAATTTAGGACATGATAACCGTCAGTGATACAGCTGGAGAAGAAGATTTCAGCTCGATGAGGCCCCTCAGTTACCCAGATGCGGATGTGTTCCTTGTTTGTTATTCCGTCGAAAACACCGATTCTCTAAAACATATACAGGAGAAGTGGGTACCTGAGGTAATGTGCTGTAATTTTGTCTACTGAGGGTACTGTAGTAGTTGTAAGAAACTACGTTATTTTTTAAAAAAACTAATTTGAATAAGGAAGCGTTTTAAATTGGAATTTTTGTGGGAAAAACAAATTCACAAGTCGGAATTGGCCATAAGGACATTAAAGCATTTAAGCGTGGTCAAAGACCTCAGGGCATCTACTTGTTGACCTTGAGCATGTGCACGGCCGCAGGGAATTTATTCAAACTAACTTGTTGACTTCAAAAACGGCAGCAAAGACATACGGATCTGGCTGTCTAACGTTCTCACATCCCACTTAACCTTATGTATTATTATCAATATCTGAATGCCTATTTCAGATCCGCCATTTCTGTCCGAACACTCCAATTGTGATCATTGGGAACAAAAAGGACATTCGAGATGAGAATAATCGACCGGTCGTATCGATCGAAGAGGCAGAACAAGTCGCTAGAAAGGCCTCAGGCGTCTCCTTAATCGAATGTTCGGCCAAGACCAAGGAGAATGTGAAAAAAGTATTCGAAATGGCAATAAAATCGGCATTGGCGTACAGAAATCGACGGTCCAACAGAGTGGTCGAGTCCATCATGAAACTTCGGTTCGTATTCTAAGTGCTCTTGGAGAGTTGTATATTCCTTTAAATAAATTATCCAGCAAATAAATAACACGATTGCATTAGTTGCGTAATATAAAAAAAAGTCTGGAAAGTTACAAAGAAAAATATTTTTTTTTGAAAAAATTATATAAAATCAGAGAAGCCGCTTGGAGCCATTGATATGTTTATCAGTTAGCCTTGGCCGGCCATCTTTATTTCTAAACTCAATCATCCTCGGAATGGAGTCCCTTTTTCTGATTTTCTATTTATCCATTACAGTATGCCTCGGTACGTTGTGTATTACACAGGGAACTCAAAATCACTTATAGGTAATTTTTATTTTCGCCGTTTGGGAAATTCACTTATAGGTAATTATAAATACTTATAGGTAACAGAAAATTATCCACAGTGCAGGATAGATATAAATTTATTCAAACAGAGAAAAAAACAACTTGAATCTGATGTATTACCGGTTAGATATTTGGTTAGCGCATCTTCTATGCTCCGGGTTAGCTTCCATCTGTCATTTGTCCTGACGGGGCATGATTGTTTTTGTGAGGAATCTGCGATGGGTTGGATTCACTGAAAATAGTCAAGATAAAGAAAGATAACTGAACTATAAGCCCTTTTTTAACTGTTTTTTCTACGCTTTTCCATCCCAAAAAATTAATTTGAGGTTCAGCATTTGGCAATGAGATTTCGAGACATCAAGTTTTTTATGTTGTACTAGGTCCAGGTGAATACTATCAACATACCTGGGGCATCCGATAGCCATTTTTTCCAGACATTGTGCGCACGTTGTCCATTTACTTCCTCCATGAACATTTTGTGAGTATCTGAAAACTAGAGGGGTTCACCTGGACCTAGTACAACATAAGAAAACCATGTCTTGAAAAGTTTCTGGCCTTCTGAAATGTGGAAGCAGTTTAAAAAACCTACCAAAATTGAGGAAAGGGTTCTTCATCTGAATTCTTGGTTGATTATGCTTGTTCTTAGATCTTCCGAAGCTGCCTGATGCTGACATGCGTTCTATTCGAGAAGTTTCTTATGTTCCGGATTTATTATCTATCCACTTTTTATAGTTCTGAAAGACAAAATGCACTAAAAGTACCTTACCTTGTTCCATCCAAGGTATAAATACCCTTATGCACCTTCATTGACCAGTACTGCTCCGAAAAACTTAGAATTTCTAAGTCTCGCCCATGCGTTCAAAAAGCCAAAAGCGTCTTTGGCGCTCAACTGTTTTCTTTTCGGAGTCCTTATTGGTAATTATAGGTAAATAAAAGTTCTTACAAGTAAATAAAATTTCTTATAAGTAAATCAAAATAGGCTCCGCCTTTTTTTAACTTATAAGTGAATTTTTGGGAAATATTTTTACCTATAAGTAAATAAAAGTTTTTATAAGTAAATCCGAATCCCCTGTGTAAAGTGTTTGTTCTTTAGTTACAATCTTGTTAAAATTAGATTTATTTAGCTCTGCAAACCTCCCTTTCCTTGAAGAGTGCATGTCAAAACTCTGTCCACCCTGCTTTATATTATAATCACAGTTGCTTCTTATCCACCCAGACTGTGTATTCTACCGAATATAACAAGTGGCAGAAGCTTCATGCCTTTTGCAATCATCTTCCAGCTGATACAAGACATTTGGCAATCTTAAGAAATCAGAATGTAATCGACGAATTAATCAAGGCTGGAGTTGTACATGTATGTAAATTCAGAGTATTTACAACTACTATATTTAGCCGGATCTAAAATACTTTATTGGAACAAAAGCTCCGGATTTCACATGTAAACCAAGCGATCGCTGTTGTCCTGATCCAAATAATTTTTACTATTTCGATGATTCTGGTCAAGATAAGGTACAAGAATCAAATTAGGGACCTGAGAAATAAATTTAGGGTCCTGTAAATAGATCATTATGGCTTCGGACAGAGCCCGATAATTTTGGAGGACTAAATCCAGAGAGAATTGTGACCTTGGAGCCGGCATGGAGAATATACGGAGGACCTCCGGATCTGATGGGCTTCAATGATGTTGAAGGGGCCAACCAAGGGATCCCTTTGGTCTGCGAATACAGGCTTGGATTCAAATGCCCTGAGGGGTTTTTCTTTAATGATGGATCTTGCACTGGGATCATCGAGTGCGACAAAACGCCGGCTGAGTGTGAGCATGAGTGTGTATTCCTTGGAAAACAGTTCGGGACCAAAGGAATTTTACCGTCCATCCATAACGACGATTACAACTTCTTCCTGGCAGGCAAGTCCTCCTTGACGAATCGATTTAGTTGTATTTATAGCCAGATATCGGCAAGAAATTATGGAAAAAGGCTTGGGCAAGGTGTTTAAGAAAACCAAAAAATTCGGCCAATATTGGCCAGTCATGATCGGAATGAAGCACATCCACAGCCAATGGGTCAACCTTGATCAGACACCCGCAGATTACTTTAGATGGTGGTCTTTGGAAAATAAAGGCAGGATCAGGGAATCCAAACTGATTATTTTTAGTGGAGAAACTGTTCAAAAACCCGGACAAAGGTCATAAATATGTATTCCTGATGGTCCGAACCAACGGCGACAATGGGATTTCGACCTTTGGCTACTGGGCCAATGTCTTCCACTCGAAGGAAAAGGTCCCTCTCATTGGGTGTCAAGTCAAACCAAAAAAGTTGTAACAAATATAAATAACCGCTTTATCAATAAACTTACCATATCAACTTACGCAATTCTCTGACGACGCAAATCATGGGAAATAATTAGAATAAGAAAAAATAATGCCTGAGGGGATTGCACACGGATGAAGGTGCCATTTCTGCTTCAAAACTCTCGAGATGACCACTCTTCATTCGTGTACAAATCCACAAAACAAACAAACAAAGTAGTGTTTAACCTTCTAATGCGATTAGGAATACAAATATTTCGTGGTAGATCGATCGGAGGAATGTCGTGGAGGCCCCAAGATGTTTTCATGGTAAGTCGAAAATGTAGATCAAGTCTTCTCTTTACTCTGAATCACCCACTCCAAAATCCCTTGCTCTCCAACTTCACTGTAGTCGCCTGTAAAGCGCGTATCAAGCGGCAGTAAAAACTATTTTTTGTGAGTTGATCGAGTAAAATGAGGTTCGGTGAAGTGTTGCATGAGGCGAGACGAGGCGACAACTACCTGCCCCTTTCTTTCTCCCTTCTTACCTGTCCCCGCCCCCCCCTTCCCCCGCCACGTCGCCCCCCCCTTTGATTCCTCAAAATTGCTGGAATATGGATGTACTTCAAGTGGCGTGGAGTACGACGAGGTCGACGACAATGGCGGGGCGATTGGCGAGGCGGCGGTCCAGATCCCGAAAGTTTCGAGTAGAAGGACTCAAGGTCGGAAAGGCACCCCCTTTTGTGTGCAGCCTATCTTCCCTCGCCTCCACCGAGGGATGATGGAGTCTCCGGAAGCCGTGGTTCACAATGGTGTGTGCAACTCAATCAACGGGGTTGGAGGTAGTACTCCTCATAAACAATAATATTTACAGCGGATCAAATTGTTTGACTAGCGAAATTACTGAAAAGAATTGAATTTAAGAAGTTGATGTCATTCCCTTAAAAACGATGACATTAAACGCCAAAATCATTCAGAAAACAGACATTCGAGGAGACAAGGAAAGTCGTTGTATACAGATAAACGTCGCCCTTGTATAACGTTAACTATGTTCATGAAGAGACCCCCTCCCTTTACAGTCGGTCCCCCTCTCCCTCCCATATAATCGTGCACCTCATTAAACAGAGGCGGAGAGCGCCAGGTGAAAGGGAGACGGAGTAGGGGAAGGATATTAGACCTTCAATCCTTAAATTGGCCATAGTGCAAACAGAAATCGGGGATTCCAATTCAATCACCTGAACAAATGCCGACATTGTTCTGGAGCAAATGAGATCCAATACCCTGGATGAGGTCAAGGCAGGTGCCTACAATGGAGATGGAAAGTGGCTGAGTAAGTAGTTGTTTTGAGAAATCTATTCTCGACTAAATAGAGTACCCATGCACTTCCCTTTTGCAGTGCCGTCTTCATTCCCTTCAATCGACCTAATTTGCCGTCATATTACAGTAATTATTAGCGACTTTCAATCTGGAATAAACCATCCCCGATTGCCTACAATGGCCTGAACACGTTGCACAAACCACTCAGACATCCCCAACACCCATTCAAAATTCTAACTTTACCGATTACTCCATCCCTTAATTTCCAAAAATATTATACATGGAAAGGTGTTTTGGGTTGCCCGGGTAACGGTGCCGACAACGCTACCACGCTACCCGTCATGTTACTATAGCAAACACTGAACTGGGGATGGATATGATGTGGAGTTGTGCGACCGGATCAGAGGCGATTTCGAAGGGATCGGAGCGAGGGGGACGAAACAGAGTAAAACAAGAGGAATAGGTAATGCGCAAATACCTCTCCAATCTCCTCGATTTTCACCCCACTGTTTGCCTCTCATCCGGAGATTCTTTTCATAAGGCAAAAACTATGAAAATCATGTAAAACACCCAGCAAATGACCTTTTCCATTAATTGAACTGGAAATTCAAAAAAATTGACCGACTTTTTCGCCCGAGGGAACTTATAGTTTTATGCGAATCCCATTACAATTACTGTCAAGGTCAACACTGTTCTAATAATGCATTAAATCCTTCAAATACATCCTTTAACGTGTTGGATTGTACACAAAAAATCACAAAATATGACATCGGAAAAATGACAGAAAATTGCGCAATTTGGGGATGACTGTCAACTTCTGACTCATGCAGGCCCAAGATACGCAGACTTACAGACTTGTAAATACTGAGCCTTTCTTTTCTCCGGGCAAATGCAAACAAATCAAGGCCTCCATTCCGGGACGGCTTTCAATATAAAATCGTAAAAACCGTATTTATTCCCGCACGAGGGGACGGGGTTACGCAAGCGATCTATATTACGTGCATTCAGTTCGCAGAGTCCAGCCGTTTTGCTCATAATCATAATTAAAAGTTAACATGACATCACAGTACAACTGCATATAATAGAAGAGGGGTTCCGAATTCAAAATTTTCTTCGTTCATGAGGCTCAACCACGTGTTTCGCCCATATCAAATTTTTTGTTCTGCAATGTACAGAGCCAAGACTGATAAAATTGTTCTGGCGGTGCAGTGGCAATAATTATGCGCACCTTGCAAAATTTTAGCCCATTGAATTTACTTAGAACCCCTCTTATAGCGTATATCATCTAAATAATAATCATAATCGCATCCAATTCCCTTTTCAAATTAAAATACTTGTAATTACTATCAGATGCTTGGGATATTTATCATCCAAAGTAACGGAATACAGTTGACAGCTGTTCCCTTTAAGACAAGTAGCCTCGATTACAAAAAAAAAACAAATCCGATTTGGTTTAAATGTTGCGTTTCATTCACTGCAATAGATCTATTTTAACTTTGGTTTTAATTCTTCGGAGTTTTAGCATGGCTCTTGCCACAATCAGAGTTGCAAGAGCAAGTGGAACACGTTGATTTGGGTTCCGAGTCTTCTTCATCCTCATCTTCGGACTCACGAACTGCGTTGACATCAGGTGTCGGATTCTTAATCGAACGACGAGAGTGCTTCGACTTCTACAAGTTTTCAAAAGTAATGGAGGACCCCTAAACAAACCTTTTCCTCCTTCTTCTCTTCCTTCTTGTCTTCCTTGATCTCCTCTTTGCTCTTTTTATCTGTCTTGTCCTTCTTGTCATCATCTTTGTGCAATTTCTTCTTTTCGTCGATCAGTTTGATCTTTAGAACCTTCCTGACCGCCTGGTGTCTCACTTCAATGCATTGATTGTCCTTGAACGCATTCGACACACTGGTCAACTTTTTGGGAATGGGAGCCAAGACCACAGTAAAGCGGTCCTTTTCGTTAAAATTGAGTTCGGACGGATCACGGCACTTGATTGAAAGGCGTATGGAAACCTGAAACATACTGATATTGCTTGATGATTACTTACGTTTCCATGGGGCTTGAGAATTCCAAAGACGGGACGCATCTTGAGAATACCAGGCCGGGTGCTCTTCATCTTGAACATGACGGGTTTTTCCCATTCATTCTGAATCTCCAAGTCGGCTTGACTGCCATCAACATTTGGGAAGACCACCTGCAAGACTTCCTATGTCAAAAAGTAAACTTACAGTATCCTGCGGATTAACTTTGAGTCGGTGTTCCATCCTTCGTCTCAACCGACCGAAGCTCGTCTACTCGATTTCCGTGAATGGTTTGCATGTTCAAATGCCACATTATCAAAATTTTTTAATTTCTAAAAACTTCGGTAACTTCAAACTGCGAGAACGACTGAAAGTGGATAAAAAACTGGCAAAAAATTGAGTTTTTGGCTGATCCACCGGAGCTGAAGGTCTTCTTGAACAGCAATCAGACGAAGGATGGACGCGCGGGGAGGTGGAGAAAAAAGCTCGCGAGCTTGTTATCCTTTCCTCATCCCATTCATCGGATCGGGTCTGTTGTCTTCTTAGAATAATTCGTCAATGGGATTCTTATCAAATCCCTATTTCCTGGACGATGTACTCAAATTTCTGAATGCAGAGGATTTGGACAACATGATGAAAGTGAGTTCAAGGACGAGGAATGCAGTGAACAGAATGAAAGATCGGCCCAAGAAGTGCTCTATGAAATTGTTGTACATAACTAACGATGTTGTGGAAAGCTACGAACCCTTATGGTCTCTGAAGCAAAGTGAATGCAAAGGTAGGACCGATTGCTCACATAAAGTGAGTTCCCGGTAGATTCAAATTTTGTTCGCCCATGAGGCTCAACCACGGGTTTCGCTCACAACGAATTTTTTCCTCACTGTGCGAAACCCGCAAATTTTGAAAGGTGGGCATAACTCTTGCCACTGTATTGTTTAGAACAAAATTTGAATCTACAGGGGAAAAAATTGAATCTACCCACCCCCTTACATGGCTTGCTGTCTTAGGTGTCCCAAGTCTTTCATTTCCATTAAAGGCCCTCAAAATGGCTCCAAAGTTGGATTGCGCCGAAACTATTGTTCTCGATGGCCTTCGGATCAAGGGACGGGATGCTGAAGAGCTTTCGAAAGTCCTCAGGTCCCAAACCAAAGCTCAGACCATCTTCTTTACACCCCGAAATCGTCGAAGAGAAAAGGTGCCCGAATTCACCCTCTTGGATCATTTGAAACCCAAAGTAATCATTGTTAAGAACTTTTTGGAGGAGGAAAGTCATGTCAAAGAATGTTTGGAAAACCTTAAAAAACAGGTGAATGATGTCAAGGTTGCAAGGTTTGAGAAATATTATACGTGGTCTCACATGATCAAGAACGAACTTCTCTATGCATACTGGTATTATAAGAACCCCGATCCATTTACCGTACACGTTCGACTCTGGAAGCCCTTTTAATTTTAAGATCTCAAATTGTTGTGTAACATTACATATATTACCATAGGTAAAAATGCAATGTTTATTGATCACTATGTATGTGTTGCACCCGTTATGATTAGACCCGGAAATAGGAAATTTACAGAGATTAGGGAAAGATAGAATGCAAAGAAGTTAGTAAAATAATTACAATAAAAGGTTATTAAAACGTAAAGGAGTATCAGAGTTGTCTTGGAGTGCTTGTGGCAGTGAACGATCTAGCGACCGAATTCGACGTGAAGCTGTCTGGAATCTGAATCCCTGGGGAAGAACCGACTTCACAATCAGGAGGGGAGATGGACGCCGTCTTGTCCATCATTGGTATTACAATATCAACCTTAGTGCTGAAGACGGAATCCTTCTCGGTGACTCTTGAATCCTCAAGTTTCTTGACGCGTAGTCTCTGAGGAGGTATGATAACAATACTAGCAGCACACAGCTTACCGTATTGACTCTTCTCCATCCCCTAAAGACTTGAGAATAATGAATCAGTGTAACGGTTAGCCAAGAGAAATATGTCACTATCAAAATTATGGCCAGGATGAAGAACACTGAAATCATAAAGATGCGGCGTTACATTGACACAATAAACATACTCAATGCAGACCCAATTGAAACACTTGGTTCTGCGGGCTGAAAGATATACCCATAATTGAAGAATCCATACAAACACGTGACGATACTAAAGAGAGACAGTGGAGTAAGAAACAAAAAGCAAATGAGATCAGGCAAGGTTTCCTTCCTCATCGCCTTGTCTTTAAGGAAATCAAGCATAGTTGGAGGCTGCCTAAAAATTTACTTTAGACTCTGAAGCATATTTCTATGATTTAAAATAAACAATTGGACTTACTGCCTGACTTGGAACTTGAACTTGCATATTTCGCAAGAAGTCGTCTTGGAAGTCTCCAGCCATTTCTCCAGACAATATCGATGGAAAAGACCCATCCCGCCTCTGAAAGGTAGAAAAGAAAAACGTAATCAACATACTTGCATCTGCATGGTGAATATAACGGCTCTCCAGGAACGGGCCCCGACACGTCTGAGCTGTGACAAATACGGCATACGGCTGGACCGGAGGTGTTCAACATCTGCTCTACCAACCGGGATGAAGAAAAACGACCTTTAAGCTGCTGCAAAAAAAGATATGTCCCCACTGGCTTCCGACGTACCGCAGTAAAACGTGTTCAAGGCTACTTGAAAATTGCGGAAATTATTCATCATCGATCACAATTTTTGAACTGGAGATACATGGCCGTGCGCACTGCGTCCCGGCACGAAAAAGTCTCTGCCAAAAATATTTCTTTGGCAAAAGGTCGTCATCAGATTTTTTATTTTTTTTTTCTGAAAACAATTGCAATTGGAAGTTTCTGTCGCTTTGTATATTATATTCGTATTTTACTGATTAGAAAATAAAATTATCCTTCAGATTTGGAATTATGGGTGACGTAATCGAGGTAACTTTCAAGACCATCACTCAACAAAGCTTTGTTTTCTCCTTTGCTCCTGATATTACTGTTGGTGAGATCAAGAAGAAGATCGAGGAAGATAAAGGAGCGAATGATTACGAAGTTGAACGCCAGAAATTGATCTACAATGGAAAGATCTTGGAAGACACTCAAATACTGAAAGATATTAACGTTGATCCCAAGAAATATGTCGTTGTGATGGTCTCCCGGGTGCGTTTATTTTGAATTTGATGATTTTAGGTCTTGTGATTTGTGGTATTTATAACTAACTTGTTTATATTTTGAACACGATTTTAGAAAAAGCCAGTCGAACAGCCCAAGCCAGAAGAGAAAAAGGAACCAGAAAAGGAATCTACTCCAACAACTGTCAGCACAACGGCTGCTACATCGTCCACTCCTGCTGTCGTTGCGGCTCCTGATGCACCTGCCACCGAGAGTGCTTGTAAGGTAGCATTGCTTTATTATTTGTATTTTTAGTGACACCTGATCAAGAAGAACAAGTGAGTACTCTCGTTGCAATGGGATACGCTCGCGATGATGCTGTCAAGGCGTTGAGAGCCGCTTTTTTCAACGCCGACAGGGCCGTTGAATATCTTTGCACTGGAATTCCGGATGGAATTGGTAAGGTTTAGGTATTATTTGTTGTTGTTAACTTCACATTTTTTGTTTCCTGTTTTAGACGATGCTCCTTCCCATGCTCTCGATGAACCGATTGCTGAGCAAGATGAGCCTCAAGGAGATGCTCTGGCCTTCCTCAGAGACTCCCCCCAATTTGCCCAGATTTGTCAGATTGTCCGAAGCAATCCCGCGATGCTCCCTGATGTGTTAAGTCAAGTATCCCAATCGAATCCAGAATTGTTTGATGCAATCCGACAAAATCAGAATGATTTTTTGAGGATGTTGAATGATGAATCCATCGAAGGAGGTCAGGATGAAGGCGAAGGCGGCGCTTTGCCTCACGACGCAGGCCACATGACTATAGCCATCACTGAAGGAGATCGAGATGCCATTCAAAGAGTGAGATTTATAATTTTTTCAATTATTTTAATCTGATTTTTTATATTTGATGTAATTTTAGCTCCGATCGATGGGCTTTCCCGAACAGCTAGTTATTGAAGCCTACTTTGCTTGTGACAAAAACGAAGATCTGGCTGTAAATTACATCCTCAGCCGAATGGAAGAGTCCTAAATCAGCAACTGTCAATGTACCTGAATGAACTGATACTTTTTGTGTCAACAGATGTGTTTTAACTTATTATTGCCAATGTATTTTTATTGTCAATGTTTTTTGATAAAGTTTCTGTTATCTATTGGCGATTCGAGTGTAAAAGGGACCATTTTTGGTGTATATTCTCCTCAGTATTGTAAGATGTCCGACATTGAATAATTAGACCGACCGTAGATGCCGGTGGCCAAAGTCTCGGAGAATATTGAAGAAGAACAGGCCGAGAGGAGGGAATACGTGAAGAATATTGGAATCGAATATAGATACGGATGTTATGAGGTATTTTTGGGGTTAAAGGTGACTTTGTTTTAGGAGAAGAGAGCAGAGTCGTGTCATATTCTGGGAGATTACATGGAGGCGATTGAACAAAGCTTCTCCAAAGCATATCAGTTATATAAAGACAACTGTGAAGAGAGGAAATTCCCAAAAAGCTGTTATAAACTAGCGTTGTACACGTTGGTTGGGAAAGGTAAAATTACAGTATACGTGACTGTACCGTTGTAGAATGTGAACCAAGTCTGAAGAAGATGATAGAGCCTTTAAAAATAGCTTGTGATGCAAAGGTGCCCCCAGCTTGTCGATATCTCTCACTAGTCTATTGGAATGGAGAACCAGATCGAGAGCCGGATTCCAACAAGGCTGAGGAATATATGAAAAGGTAAGGAAAGGAGGCGATAACTGAAGAAAACTATTTAGGGCTTGCGAGTTAGAAGACTCCGAAGCTTGCTGGCTCTTAAGCACATGGTACATCAACAGTGATAACTTTAAAGTCGTAAAAAAAGGCGTAAGAAAGGTGCGGAGTGGTTTTATTAACAATTCATGGTTACTTACATACATATTAATGACTACTTTTGTAGGATATCAACATAAACCGAGATCGTCTTGGCCGTTTAGAAAAGGACATGACGAAAGCCTTGAAATACGCTGAACTGGCATGTGATCTGAACATTCCTCAGTCCTGTGTGAACGCAGCAAGGATACTCAAGATTGGCGATGGGGTTCCCAAGGATCTCGACAAGGCCAAACTTCTTTTGGACAAAGCTAAAGCAATTGCAGAGTCCATGAAAAAGGGCGATCTCACCTCGGATTATACCGGATGACCTCATTTTAGATACTTTAGCTTGTTGTGGTTGACAATTAGGTCGGATGTAAATTTAAATAAAACATTTGTTATGGCCAAATACGGAAAACGTGAAATTCAAATTTTCCAAGTAATTTTTTGGTTTTTTTTTGTTTGAAATATCACTTTGTTCATTTATTTTTCCACCACCAGTCCTCTTCTGCACACGCCAATGCTCTGCCTAGCCTCATTCTTGTGGAATTGGATGTCCGGCTTGATCTACGTTACTATCTTGCTCTTCCTGCACTCTTCCCTCTACATCTGCTGCTCTAAAGACCGCGTAGGTACCGTAGCTGCTAATTGAGATTTCCTTTTAACACTAGAATAGATGCCAAAAGCAAGGAAAGACTGGTCAATTGGATAGAGTGGGTCCTCACGGGGATATTGCGTGCAACAAGGGTTCTTGGAGATACGAAACTTCTCTAGCAGAAGATGAAATCAACAAGGAGAAGAGAACAGATGATACCAGAACCGCATTGGCAATTGCATCCCAGTCGAGTTTGGATGACAAGGTGGAGGAATTCGAGGAATGCGAAACTCAGCGAACTGAAAGCACAGCTAAAGGTAAGTTTAAATAAAAAAAATTACGATGGTTTAGATGTGGATGAGGAAGTTATTGCTCTCGAATTTGATCAGAAACAAAAGCAAGCGGTCATTGAGGTAGGATGACAGTCAGACTGACATCATTTTCCCATTATTTTTAGTCACTCCACCGTTTTCTTGACATCAGCAAAAACAGCAAAGGTCCTTTACAAGTCCGATGCAACACCAATGCACAGAATATCATCCTCCATGTTCGGAAAGTTAAACGTTGACTGTTCAATAAACAACAGTATTCACACATTTGATTGCGAAAGGGGATGTTTCGATGTTGCGTTATTATTTATTTTCAAAGCCTCTGACTGAGTCCCCACATCCACACTTTGGGTATTTTATCTATCCGAATGCATTTATCTCTGATGGCTCGTTGACTCAACCCAATGTCAGCTTCCTTTTGCTTCTTATACATCACATTGTAGACCTTATTTGTCAGTTTAAACAAAGACGTGGTGGGAATTGTAATGTTCAATCCGGTTATTTTAATCTTCATTTCTTCGGGAATCTTGTAGAAATCATCCTGTGGGATGTTTTTGAAAGCCAGATCTCCAAAAAACCATTTAGCGAAGGCCTCACTGAATGAATACCACGGGCCGAACTGGAGGAAGACGTTGAACACCTTCTCGTCACCCCCGTGTCTTACTGTAGCGTTAGTCATCAGCCCGACGTCGAATTCAACTTCTCCTATAAATTGATCCGCGATTACCAGGGGCTTGAAAGTGTCACAGAGATCGTCGGGCAAATGGCCGACATGCAATCCGGATGAAGCAGACTGTAAAAAAATAAGCTTAATATTCCGATGTCATAGTAGACATTAATACATAGGGAATTGGTTGCTCCACTCTTTAAAATTCTTAGTCTAGCTCAGTAGGTATACTTGTTCTCCTACTTACTGTCGGACTGGAAGGAACGAACGTAACAAATCTCCCAAGACTTTGATTCGCTTTAAACATTGAATCGAAAACATGGAGGCCACCAAATCTCATCGGGAAGTAACCATCTACAATGTTGAAAGTGTTCTGCTCCAGAAAGTGGGAGTCCAATTGTTCTTTCGGATTCGGGGTAAAGACCATTACATTCCCTTCGAATTTGAGGCTACTTATCTAATATCGTAATTTTAGGATTGCCATAGCGAAAACAAACTTTTAATGGGACATTTGAAAATCTGTAAGACTCCAGCCCGGGTTGATATTTGTGAGGACCACTTCTGTCATAGGTTCTGAAAGTAGCTGGATATTATAGTAGATACTGATAGTAAAACTGACGGGCCATCATAGAATCCGACGATGTCTCTTCCCGCAAGACACTTCCGTCCAACGCATTCCCTTCCAAATACCATTATCTCGTCTGTCAAAGTTGTCAATTCCAAATTGTACATATGCCATTCTGGTCCCACAATCAAAGTGATGACGCCAAATTCTGATTACTTAATTAATACTAATAATATATTCAAGCTACCTGACAAATATTGAGAGGGACTGTCGATTAAAGCTGCCGAAAAATGAATCAATTGGAAAAGAAGAAGATACGAAGTCATGGTTTTAGAAATTATTCTTCAAAAGGGAAAGGAGCTCTTTGTTCAGCCAAATTAAAATTAACGACATTCGAATATTTTTGAATAACAAACGGAACCTGATCATAATGAACAGGGTCCGAAGTGCCCCAAGTGACTTCCAAAACTTTAATTTTTTCATTCAAAAAGTGATTATTTTTGGAACAACCCAATCCGAAGTCATTCCGAGATTGTCGGTAGTTCCTGAAACAGTAACGAACGAGATGGATGCATTCTGGGAAGTCGTCTCCTTCTGGACTCTTCAATCGATCATCCTAATATCAATAACATTCTTTTGTGGATCAAATAAGGTATAAGGACATCTTGAATCGGATTAAATAATTATATTTTATTTTTTGCGGGAACTTTCTTGTATTTAGAAATCCAAACCTCCGGCTACTACTCCAAATGGAGGGATTCCCACTGCTCCCAATCAGCCAAATCCAAACGATCCAGGCAAAAAAAGTGAAAATGTTCCAGGCAAAGGTGAAGAGGAGAAAAAATCGAAAAAAGATGGAGACAAAAAGGAGAACGAAAAGAAAGAAGATAAGGGAAAAAAGGAAGAAATGAAAGAGCAGAAAAAAGAAAACAAAAAAGATGACAAGGACGTAAGAGCAGATCCATTTACTAAACGTAACATTCCAGAAGCCCCGATCTGCCGTCGCTGTTCCCACAGTGAGGCCAGCCCCAAACACGGACAAAGGAGGAGACAACGAAAAAAATCTGGTCTCGAATCCAATCGTCAGCAATGTCACCGAATTGGTAAACATTTTATAGTCTTCGTTTTGTTATTTATAATATTTTACAGTATCCCACAGTGGTCAAGAATGTGGAAGATCTGCCCATTGAGAAGACCCAAGCGTCCGTTCAAAATTCTGCAAAGAAATGATGGCCAGCCAAGGACAAGAAAACAAGTGTTACTGGTTACCTTTATTTCAAAAAAAAAACAGATAGTAGTAGATTAGAAACTGAGCATTCGAATAAAATTACAGACATATTGCAATAGTGTTAGGAATGAGAGAAGATGGCCGTTTAATGTTGTTGCTCACTCAAGGCCGAATGCCAGAAACATCCCTTCATCTGCTCGAAGCGATCGTAGCAAGAAGCATAGCTGAAGTCGAGCTGGGTGACGTTGCCAGGTCTCTGATCACAGAAGGTCAAGCACTTGTCTCCCGCCAAAGTTGTCTGGACTCCATTGCGGACACAACACGCACGATGGTCACGGCCTCGGGCAGCGCAGAATTGCAGTTCGGCGGCGGCTTCGATTGGACAGGCGTCGGTTTTGAAGTACATAGACATCAACTGAAAAGGTAACAAGTAAAAGATGTATGAAATAGTAACTTACAGACTCCTTGGTGTACTTGTTGTAATTGCATTTGCTCAAACAGGCATCTGGGAGTCCACGGTCTTCACAACATTCAAAGAACATCTGGTTGGGGTCCTAAGAAAAATCAAGTGATTAGAAATGAATGACGATTTCAAATAAAGGTGATTTAAAGATAATTCACCTTTGGGAGGTTGGCCTGCGCCTTTTGGAAGCGATGGGAACCAAAAAGAAGAGGTTGTTTCTCATCGACATTAACAGTGTTGGAACTATGAGCACGAGCACGACGACGGGCACAGCCATAATGTCCACAACTGTAGCCGGGAGAACATCCTCCACCACAGGAGACTGGAGGAGGGGAGTAACATCCACCACCTCCGCCACAGACTCCGGAGCCAATACACTGAAAGGTGGAAGATGTTAGGAAATGTGTGAACAGCGAAAAAATAAGTAATGTCAAAATAGATAAAATAACATTGACTCAGTGGTCAAGACCAGATGCTACAGTAACCTACAGCATCAACGTTGATTACAAGAACGGCACAGAGGGTAGCCAAGACGAAGAGACAAGGCACCAGGGAAGCCATGTTTTCTGATGGATGAGCGAATGACTTTGTGACGTTGATTCGGGCACTTCAGATGGCTTAAAAGCAGATGAGTAGAAGCCCGCCCCAATACGGATTCCAGGCGATGGTTCGTCAATCCGGAACGAGTTCAGGTGAGGGAAGGGGGGGGGGGGGGAAAGCGAAAGGGATGAGGGAATGGGTTTGGCGCTTTGAGCCGGATTTCCAGAAGAATAAGATGGTGACGATGATGCATCGCAGGTGAGGTGAGGAGCCCAACCACGAGCTGAGACCGACGACAAGACGATGCCATCTTCCCCTTCTCTCATCCGCCAATCCAATTTACGCGAACAAAAAAAACAGAAAGCAATAAACGAATCCCAGATGACATGGGGACTCCAGGAGGATCCAATCCCCCGATTTTATGACCCATTCTCAGAATTATTCAGGTAAACATGCCACAAGAAAGCCATCTTCAACACACACACACCATCCACAATCTTATCGGATGTCATGAGAACGGCCATCTGAAGCCGGTTTCTGGAACATATAGAACCCACCAGAGAGTATCATCGATGAGGTTACTGTATTTACAGAAAGACTCTACAAACTCTTTTTTCCTCTGCGAAATACAATAATTCCATAAGTTTCCATTCCCATTACCAGTACATTATTAACGTCGTGTTTTCGTTTACACGTAAGATGAAATCCTTTGATTTCGAAAACCAAAGAAGTCCCTTCTTCCATACCTTTGTTTTCCCTTACAAAAAACGCCATCGTTTTCACGGCGCTTCACTCGGCTCGCCTCAATTATTATTACCTTGAATGCGATGCACGATATTGCGCAAACCATATACAGGCACGTATTTCATAAGAGTTGCGGTTTTGAGTACAGTAAGAAGAGTAAGAAGCGCTAATAAACGAGTTGTTGAATGTGTTCTTTTTATTGGGTCCTTTGATTGACATCCGGTTGTACAACAAGAATTGAATTTGTCTTCTTTGATTTAAAGTGGTTGTAATTGGACTCCGGGATGAGTTGTATGAAAAAGCCTTGAGAAGCGTTGATCCGTTGAACGGACGCAACATCCGAGCCGGATAATCGCCAGCGACCATGTTTTACAAGGAGTCAATGCCAAGGACGCCCTTCCAAACCGGATTCCAGCTCGTTTTCTTTTTTCTGTCACAAAGTTGTATGTCAAAAAAGGATGGGCATGACTCAATAATTACCCGACCGAGTGAGAATGGACATCCCTCCGTTTGAAGACGACATTTAAAGCTGCTTATTGCATAACAGGCCGTAATTAGAGTTGCATTGCTTCAGGGGATTGTGAATGTTGACTTTGGAAAGTACGGGAAAAGGTATGTTATACCCGAATTATAGTCATGGGGTGATAATCATACAGGTCAAACATCCAATTAGAGATTCTGTATGACCAAAAAGATTGTGTAAACAAGACAGAGGTTACTAGAAGAGCACAGGGAAAACCAGTTTTGAATATTGGATTCTCAGCCTCAGACTTCTGGGTTTCGTTCCCTGCGACAACATTCAGATTTTAATTAATTCTCCGATTGTGTGCAAATTCTCAAGGATTAGCGGTAGATCACATTGCTCATGGCATGCGTCACTCATCGAGAGGCCATCGAATCCCTCAAGAAGACATTTCGTCCAAATCAAGATGACATTTATTATCCATGCGTTCAAAAAATCTCGCCTCTTTTACCGCGCAAAATGAGTGGCGGCCGAAAAGTCTTCAGGCCAGCCAGAGAAGAATAAGGAGAAGGAAAGGAGGAGATGGTGCGTGAGAAAGGCGATGCCTCCGAACGAATTCCTTACTCTGCCGGGCCGCCCTTCCGGCCGGTCGATGCCCTGAGGGCTTCTCTCTTATTCGCCTGAAGCCAACTCCCGTTTCTTTTTTTTATGAATTCAGAAGTCTTTTCCCCTCAAGACATTTAACCCCAAGAAGAATGACCTTCCGAGATTAGGCGCTTGATTTCCCGGGACAAACTCAGAACCTCAATTCTTTCTTGCCCTCAAGGCATAGTGGAAAACAAGAAGTGATATTATGCTGATACAGTACCTCATCACACTGCCATTACTACCTCTGATTCTGAGTCTGAATGAAGATCGCCTTCTAGATTCCTTGCATCAGATTAATCAAAAATGGGATCAAATATTCGAGAAGACCGCGTTTCTCGACGTTCTCCAAAAGGTATAACGTTTTTGAAATCACTAATTTTAAGTATTTTACATCCAAAAAATTTACAGAATATTGCAAATAATGTCATCGTTTCTTTATACGTTTATCGTTTAGGGGATTGAAAATGAAGTAAATGGAAAATTGACCCGGACGAATGTTGATTTCGGCTCCTACACAAAACAAATCTCAGAAAACTTGAACGATTTCTTCGAAAAAAAGATCAGTTCACTGAGGGTAAGTAACAAATTCCATGTTTTATAGGTTTAGAAAATTATAAAAGTAACGGAGAAAGCAACAACAGGCGTGGACTACAACCAAAGATGGATCCAGGTAAACCCTTTTAATAATAACGGTTTCTTTTCACCTAAACGTTTGCACTTACAAAGAATTCCATTGACAAATTTTATGGCCTAAGGTTTTATTAATTTTATTAATTGATTTTTGGCAGGATGAATACGAATGTTACAATTTTATGAAAAGAATAAACAATTCGGACCTCTATTTCATGGATGTTAGTTCCCAGAAATCAGGAGTTCATGTGAATGTGGAATCATTCAAATGTGGTAAGAGTACCGTTACTTTCAATAACATTATTATTCATCAGATGAGACGGTGATTAGAGATTTCGAATGGACGGGGAAGGAAGAGATTGAACGGGTTTTACAGGAGAATTTAAATGGAGATCCGACCATCCAGCGACAATATATTGGGACTTATAGCGGACTGACCCGAGTCTACCCATCATTTCGATGGGAATCCGAGCCCAGTTTGGTGACTATAGATCTCTTCGATCCTAGATTTCGTCCTTGGTTTGTTGCCGCCGAATCAGCGCCTAAGGACATATTGTTCTTGCTGGATTAGTATGTTGTAAATTGATGTGAAACTTTTAAAATAATTTTCGAAACTAGTGGTTTTAGACTCGTTTTGCTTTTTTGTTAACAGGGGAAGTACTCCAAGTGCGACGCTCAGATTTTCTTTAAATTTTGCACACACGTCGGGTATGGACAAAATATCAATTCCTGAAAGTTTTAGCTCGCGCTTTGCGGGCGCCGCCGAGATATCGAACGATTTTTGTCGCCGAGAGAGCACGCTAAACGCGGAGTGCGGTCAGAGAGAAAAGCGCTTTTTGGCCATAACTTTGGCAGTTTCGTGCGGAAAAATGCGATTTTTTGTAGAAACATTTTCCTTTACAGTTGAAATAGGCATGAAACTTTTCGTGCCGGAATTCGGCAAAAAGTCCTAAATTTTCGCCGACTTTCGATCTAAAAATCTCGGGTGTTTCTGCAAAGCGCGAGCTAGGATTCTCGCATATATCTTAGAAAAAATTATTCTAAATTTGTGCCAAGTTTCATCAAAATCTGAGCGTCGCACTTGGAGTACTTCCCCTAAGATTACTATTATAATAGATCGCAATTCTATTTGCTTTTCAGTAGCGGCTCTGTGAAAGGACAAACCCTTCATTTGAACAAGATGATCATCATGTATATCCTCACAACTCTGACCCCTAATGATTACTTCAATGCCGTTTGGTACAACAGTAAAAGGGAGATGTTATTGTCTTCTTGTTCGGGCGATAGTTTCATACCGGCTACAACCCGAAACAAGCGGATCTTTCAACACATGCTGGATAAGATTGAAGAGAAAGACCAAGCCACATTGCCTCCGGCTGTTAATATGAGCTTAAACCAGTTTGTCTCGGTAAGTAAAAGTTTGGAGGATTTGTGACCTACTTGTTACGCAGGCTTACATAATTTTGTTTAAGGAATCCTACAGAAAAGCGTATAAGAAAAGGCAAACAAGTGGAGGACACAAGGCGATCATGTTATTCACCGATGGGGTCGAGTTCTGGCCAATCCAAGAGATCAAATCATTTAGGAAAAATTATCCGAAAGAAAAGGTAAGCGATCTATTAAAGTATAATCGAATCCGTTTCTAGGTCCGAATTTTCGGCTATTCCATGGGTTACGGTACCGGGCACATCCCTGCCCTAGATTGGATCTCCTGTGAAACCGATGGGACGTATTCCATCGTCGATTCCATCTCTGATGTTCGAATGCAATCCCGGGCATACCTGACCAAATTAGTGAAGCCTTTGGCCGATGAATTGGGCACCATCAGTCCGGAAGATCGTCCTCCAGTCTTCTCGTATCCTTATATGGACACCCAAGGTGAGGGAGGAGTCATCAGTATATCTTCACCTGTTCTCAACTTCATGGATAATGTAACTGCGGAGACCAACAGTCTTCTGGGCGTTGCTTCCATTGATATTACATTGGAAAGTCTAAGATTACTGGCCAAAGGGAATGAAGGAATGTATGCATTCATAATAGACAACAACGGAATTGTTTTCTATCATCCCAAACTGAAACTACCTCCAAGGGAAGTGTATTCAGTAAGAAGAACGGCCTGTCATAATGTGAAGGGGAACATTAGACACGGAACTCGAGTCCAATATGGGCCGGCTGATGAGAGAGTGAAGAAAATCATGGGATTAATTGATTCAATATTCACTTTGGACGTCGTAAGTACTAACGGATAACGTTGCAAGGTGTTGTAGTTGGAACTAGAGACAGATCACACCGAGAGATTCAAGAAATTCAGAGACAAGATGATCAAAGGAGATTGCAATGAGGTCGTGGATGACGTAAGATTATATAATTATTATGCAATCACTAATTTGCAGGGTAACAAGCAATACAAATGCGCCAAGATTAAGGATACACCGTTAACGATTGGATTTGTCTGGAATAAAAAGACAAGTATTGTTGATTTGGATGAAGAGAGCAAAGAAATTTTGTTCGAAGAAAATGATCTGGTCGCCGATTGGGTTAGACAACCGTAAGGGAACACTTAAGTCGTCTGAATATATACCTTTAGATCCCTATGTTCTGAATTCCTGAGCGTGAACCCTCTTTTTTCCCAATACGAAAGTCTGATGGATTTGGCCGAGAAAGAGGCTGAATGCATGTCCTTAAGGGATCGGAAACTGTTATCCACATTCCATCGAGGAGTTAGCGAATGGCGTCAACAGTGGCCATATCTCGATTTGAATCAGACTTGTGAAGTTCACACTAGTATCACTGATGAGGCAAGACATCCACACTTTCACTCAGCGTTTGTGGAGACCCTACCGGGCGTGGTCACGTTCTATCCAGCATGGTAAGTAAAGCTTAGCATAATATGTTTATTGGACCTGGTTATAGTCATAACAAGAGTATTCAACACTTTTACGAGGACCAACCCCAACTTCTAAGTCGGCCCACAGACACTACATCAACCAAAGTACGGATGGATCCGTTCTCGCAGTTAGTCACCACATATCGTGAGATCACCGACAAGGACACGCAGTCTGTCATTGCTGTGATCGGAGCACAATGGGACAAGACAATCTTCTCGGAACTCTTCAACGATGCTTTAGAGAATGATGATGGGCTGGCCGACTGCAGAAACAATGGAGTCAAATGCATATTAGTAACAAATGATCTGTTTATATTAGGGAGTAAACTTCCTTTGAATAACATACACTTGTCTACAACAGAACCAGAACTTTTACATCATCTAATTGGACAGAAAGTTGTTGAGATGTGAGTCTTATTCCCGACGATGACAGCCGAATCCAATATTTTCAGAGGTCGACGACAAGATTACCAAGCTGAATGTGGGATCAGTGACCGGAGATACGACAAGGTCCGGGGAAATACCAGCCTTTCATTCCGACCTCTCACAATTTTCAGCAATTTAATAAACATACTGATCAGTCTTATGTAAGTATAAATTTGATGTCTGAAATTAATCCGTATGATTTTAGATACTCTTTCATATCAGTCGAAAGTAAGCCGTATTATCAGAACCAGACTTGTCATTTCCAACGGCGAGATTTTATTGAACAATGTGTTGTGGAGGAAAATTACTTTACACTTAAGTCGATGCAGAAGGTGACAGTCCGATACAAAGTAAAGAAGAATTGTTATCACACAGGAACCATTCTACCAAGTCCAGATAAGAGGCTGAATCTCATCGTTATCGAAGGATTTTGTGAGTCCGATCCATCGCTGGCAAAGAAACTGTCTATTCAATACGAGTACCGGCCTTACAGAGGTAAAAAATGATTAGATGTCACCCTTCCCCATTTTCAGTAGATGATTGTACCCTTTCTAATCTTACTTACCGAGCCCGGCCAACAATTATCTTCAATGAAAAGAACGAAGTAAGTCTCCGAAACGAGTACAGGGTGTGGCAATTTTGTAGCCCAATTTTTTCTAAGTAATCAGTCTGCATTTTTGTTTGGTACCGTTGTAAAAATCCGGAGATTTCGTCACTTTCATGGTGAATATAAAAAATCGCGAAATCCTACCTCATTTTGTCTATAACTCTTGACACCTTTCTTTGGAGACAGGGCTACAAAATTGCCGCACCCTCTCTATCTTACTGTAGGTGCCACATCCCGACAAATGCTCAGACACGGCTGGATTGAAGATCTCAATACTTCTTATGATAGCTGCGGTGCTAATCGTACACTAGGAAGTCGTCACTGAATACATTAATTTATTTTAATGACAGGATAAACGAGTAACTTTCAGAAATATGCGACACAACCATGGTGAATAATACACAACATATAAAAAATATTCAACAATGACACCGAGCCAGAGAATGGAAAGTGAGATAATAGGTAGAAAGTAATAACAATCACAACAACAATATTCCTAAAAATAAGATTTAACAATCTCCAAGGCCATCTTCAACAAGGAGATGCCGCCAATCGCCGCAAGTCCACCAATCAGCGCTTGTCTGAGGCTAACCCGGTTTGATTTGGGAGCGAGATCACGTCGAGTGGAGGTGGAGGAATGCGTGCTGATACTGGCTGGTCTCAATCGGTTGTTATACTCTGGTGCTGATAGGACGGAGAACGCAGAAGGCCGATTTGTTTGGCTGGCCAAGGTTCCAAAGTCGAGTCGTTTACGAGGAATACCGTATGCGCCGGGCTGAGTTGGAGGACAGAACACCGACTGAGCTTTGTTTGGACTCCCAAATATTGACTTTGGAGGACTCGGAAAGGCGTTGCTGTTCCTTGTGGGACTGGCCATAGTAGTTGGCCAAGTCTAAAAGATAATGAATCATTTCTCAGACTTCTAACTTTCCCCCTTTTCAGAAATATACTTACCGGTTTCTGAATGTTACCAAACGATTTGAATGGACTTCCATCATGCCTTTGCATCTTCGATGGCGTCAACGCTCCTTTTGTTAACATCGAGGACGGGTTCTCCCTCACCAAATCTTTATTGGTCCCAAAGCCAAACCCCAGGCTTAAACTGTCCAACTTCCCACTCAGTTCTGAACAAGGGGTCATTTCCCTGCCATTCAGCAGATTCCTCTCCGTAATGGGACTTGTATCCATCATCGATTCGTTGAAGATATTATCGTTGGAAATATTAATCTGGCTCCCATTCATCGTCGAGAGTCTTGAATTGGAAAGGAAAGCTGAGCTGCATTGAGATGCTGGAGTCGAGGCCACCGAGAATGCACTGTTTATGGAGTTCGGCTTCTTCTTGTGGAGTCTTTTCCGTTTCGTGATCAAATTGAATGTGATCAATGGGAAGAGAAAACAACTAAGCATGAATTCAAGGAGAATGGTGTCGGCGATTGAAAAGAATACGGAGATGGGAAGGAGAAGAAGCCATCCACCGAAGGCCAAGATCTCAGGGAATGTGATTCTAGTCTGAAAGTTTACAATCATTCTGAAGCGCTCATTTAGACACTTACCACTCGTTTATTCACTCCGCAAATGTGAAAACCAAATGAAATTAACGCTATGAGATTTGAATGATGAGAAATAAAGGGTAATGATTGCATGCAAAAAGATGGCAGATAGCTCTCCAGCATGATGACGTATTCATCTGAAGATTGTTGAAGATGATCCAGTTTAGAGATGAGTATCATTGAAATCAAGATCCATTCGAAAAAATAACAGGCCAACGTGAAGTTTCCTGGCCGAATTTTTCGAGATTTTGAGTCGTGAACATGACTTCGACGTTGAAAGGGTCTATGAACTGAACCCGAAAGGACTGACGCCGATCTCAGGCCCATGCCCAAGCAACTAAATTAAAATTCAAATCTAATAGTACACAGTGCTGCATTACAACAATTGAAGGTAATTACGGATTTAACCATGGACGCGAAGATAAAAATAAAACCAATTAAAAATTTATTAACAAGGGAAGTACTTGAAGTGTGACGCTCAGATTTTGATGAAACTTGGCACAAATTTAGAATATTTTTTTCTAAGATATATGCGGGAATCCTAGCTCGCGCTTTGCAGAAACAACCGAGATTTTTAGGTCGAAAGTCGGCGAAAATTTGGGACTTTTTGCCGAATTTCGGCACGAAAAGTTTCATGCCTATTTCAACCGTAAAGAATAATGTTTCTACAAAAAATCAAATTTTTCCGCACGAAACTGCCAAAGTTATGGCCAAAAAGCGGTTTTCTCTCTGACCGCTCTCCACGTTGAGCGTGCTCTCTCGGCGGCAAAAATCGTTCAATATCTCGGCGGCGCCCGCAAAGCGCGAGCTAAAACTTTCAGGAATTGATATTTAGTCCATACCCGATGTGTGTGCAAAATTTAAAGAAAATCTGAGCGTCACACTTGAAGTACTTCCCCTGTAAGTTAAAAAAAGAAATCTGAATATACAATTTACAAGTTCTCTCCATTTACTTGCAATCCAGTTTGTCGAATAGCTTCCGTGCACTGCGAATGTTGATCATGGTGGCTGTAGTAGATATATTTCCGTCCGGCAAGACCAACATAATATAAGTGTTGTTGGTGAAACTGTCGATAAACGCCGAGAAGTTTTTGTTTCGTATTTCGATCGAATCAAACTGAGAGCCCATTCGGCTGAAACAAAACCAAATAAATCTATAAAACAAGACAAAACAAATGTTAGCGGATTGTGCATCGAGAGATCATAACAGTAACCGCCCGAGAATAGTCCGTTTCTTTCAGTCTACGACGGACATATGGAGACGAAGCAATTGAATGGCCCCGCCTTTCTTTCGTCCTCGAACTCGCCTCTTTTTTCCCGATAAACGAGCGCCCTACCACTAGACTATGCGAGCAAGCCCCTCCACTAACCTGCAAGAGAGTTTGAATTGTTTTATGATATTAGAGACCTTCTCGAATCGATGGATGTCATCATGACTGGTCCTCTGAGTCTGCGCAATCACCAAAAACGTTGCCTTCTCGAACAATAATACCTGAAATCATAAAATATTTTATAAATAAAAAATATTAACTTTTTATAATACCGAAACAGAAAAAGTAAACTCACTTCATCAGCATCGACAATCTCGGCAAAGGATTTGAGTTTGGCTTCCATCGAGGAAACATTTGGGACCAGTTGATAAACAATTGCCGACCACGCCTTGTACAGCGTCTCGTCCCAGATGGACGACCTAAAACATTCCAATGCATTCGGATCCCATCCCACCGCGGTGCTGATCTTCAGAATATCAGCACTCTTCTCCTTAAACACTTTCTCTCGACTTTCTTCTTGGATTAGATCCATTTTGTGGATGAGACAAAACACCCTGGCATTAGAGCTATTTTGAAGCAAGGCTTCTAAACAGGACTGATAGTTCCGACAATCCTTGTCCACTTCCCGACTTTCCACATCAAACACATAGATGAGGACTTGGACATTCTTGAAAATCTGGTCTCTCTGCGCTCTCATATAGTTCTCCATGAACGTTTCCTGGCCTCCGCAGTCCCACAAATGAAGCACCATATTCCCCAGGAACCTAAAAATTACAAAAATATTAATTGAAGAAAGAATCGAATCATGCTTACTTGACGTGAGCATGTTCAACTTCCATTGTCGGCCCCAATCTGCTTGTGTCTCGTGCAATGTAATTGGCAAATATGATGGATCTCATGCTGGTTTTACCGGCACCGCTTTTACCCATTAACAACACTTTCCTCTTCGACATCTTCGCTATTCTACTGAAATCTTTTCTGAAAAGGTACGTCATGAGAAAAACAAAATAAAAATAGTTCAGGTACGTCAACGCAAAAAACATTTAGTGAGATTACGAATTTAAAGGCATCAAGGATTACTTTATTATAATTATACCAGTACAAACAAGAGTTCATGAATAAATTAACCGCGTTAGAACTTAGCCCAGCCAGTGCTCTGAGAAGGAGAAGAATGGTCTGGAGAGGTGGGCCAGGCATTATTCGGTGCTGAGGTGACCGGGGAAGTTGGCCAATCATCGGGCTGAGAAATTTGAGCATCAGTTTTCGTATTAGAAGTCGAGGAGGAAGACGTGGGAGGTTCTTCCCCTTGATCGGCTTCTTCCTTCGGAGATACATGAAGAGATATCGACCAGTCATCCGAGGCATCCAACAGAGACTTCGAATTCTCACGGGAATCATCTGTAAATTCAGGGAACAGCGAATCGTCGGCGGTGACCACTAAAGTATGAACAATTTAGAAGAATATGGACTTTCAAACTTACCATAGGCATCTCTGTTGGCATTTCGAGTCGTCTTTGGGGTTTCTGAGGCGTCGGGTTCGAAACGAGAAGATGGAGGAGAGGAAAAAGCGGGGTTAAACCTTGAGCTGGTAGGGGTTCCTAAAAAACAATTGCAATAATATTTCATTACATACTCTTTCCTGAATCAAGTCTTTCCAAAACAACTCCAGGCGATTCGAACTTTTCCGTTTTATTATCAATGCGGTTCTCTTGAACTACTTCTTTGGCATGTGGACTATTGCAAATGGGAGGGAAGTCATCAGCGATTGCAGAATCGTCTCCCCACTCATCTCCGGCGTCCGCGATCTTGTTCAACTCTTCCTTCAATTCGCCTAGGACTTCTTCGACTGCTTCTTTATCGTCATCGTCTCTTTTGGTTGAGGTGTCACCACAAAAACCCCTTTTAAATCCTCCAGCGTCCATGTCAGCCCAATAATTCTCACAGTATTCACGATCATCTGACCTCGGGCCGTCGAAGTTGATGACATGGGTTTCAGGCCACTTAATCTCCCGTTCAATAACATTAAAAGAGCGCTCTTTAGTAGAACTGAGGTCAACCAGTGAAAACTCTTCGTTGTCTCGGTTTCCCTCGAGCTCATCCACGACCACAGATCGATCAGTAGTGTTGGCAATGTTGCCCGATTGCGTATTGTCGATGAAACTTTTGAGAGTAGTATTGGACAACTCGTTCCAAGCAGCCGCGGAATTAGTATCTAAACATAATAAATAGCGGAGATAATACTACCGTACCTCCGACCAGCATTGACACATATCTCCCAACCAGCGTCTCGTTATTTTCGGCTTCCTTCAAGTGCAAGCCCAACTGAACAAAGGCGGCCAATTCACATCTCTGAGAGAACGTCAACTTGTCTTTAGGAGGAAAGCTGTTTATCTTTTCTGGAATCATCTGGTAAAGTCCTTCATAACCTAAGATGAGATCCACCAAGGGGAAGGATTCCATGTTTGGATTGGAAAACAACATGTAACCAAAAAGGTTGACAATTCTCGTCGTAAGAACACTGGCTTCAGGATGGGCGTGGATCACTTCAATCAGTTTCCGCCAAGAAGTTTCCTCTTTACTTAAAACTTTTCTCAATGCATCGTGGGTAGAGAAAAACCGAGAATTCACAAGTCCTTGCAGCACAGCTACACAACTGATTTCGGCTTGTATACAATCATCATCATTCGTCTAAAAACAGAATTAAGAAACAACGACCAATGCATACCTCAAGGCAATATAGCAAACAATTCATTATGTCATTCGCCTTAATAGCAATCATTGTTTCCAATTCACATGCTCCATGATACACTTCGTCCTGTGGCTCCTTCATATATAACTCAGGGTTTATCATAAAAGCAGGTTCATCTGGAGAATGGTTTAGATCCAAAAACATTAACAGCATTACACATGCAGCAATGGTAACCCGAGGACAAAAACTACCAAGATCCTGTGGAAAAGCTGCTTCCATAAGAATAGCCAGAGCTTCAGAGCCAAACAAAAGATCAGAGAAAGGCTGCGCTGAGAAACAATTCTTTAGTTGCATCTCATCCAATTCGGAGAACACAAAGACTAGGTTCTCCAGGACGTCATCAGAAGTCTCGCGGTTCAGCAATCTCATTAATTTGAGGGGAAGCTCATGCTTAACATACATCTAAAACAGGAGAACAATGTAATTAACAAAACGCGTACTTTAAATATAGCACCTTGAACAACTTCGCACACTCCGTGCATCGGAAATCTAACCATAAGCTCAGCAACGGCACCATACTTCATATTTTGAATCATATCATCGACAAACCCGGATTGATCCAAATGCTCGTAAAGCTAAAGAAACCATTTTAAGTAACATTAAAAAAAATATTTTCAAAGCGCGGTTAAAAGTCAAAACCTACTGTGAGATCAAATTCACTTGTGCCGACAACAAGATTCAACATGAGTCTCTTGTAAAATCCAACGGTCACGTGATTTATATAGGGTTTTCTGTCCGAATCCTTGAGATAGTCACGTATCAATGGCCACAAATCAGCATCATCCATCAGCGCTTGGTTGATGATAGGACTTGCCATTGATAATATGGAAATTGAAAACGGGGAACTCCTTAAAAATAAAATATGCAATTCAAGAAACTACTTACTTGAATTGATCCACCGGGTCGACATTTGGATCTGGCACTCTGAATATCGAGTTGTCCAAAAGCCTTTTCAAATTCGCTCCTTGAGTTAAATAATTTAGTAAAACCTCTGAATTTTGTCGAATCTCCTGGAAACAGAGTGGATGAGTGACCACTTCATCAAAACGATCTTTTTCCACTAAGAATTTGAGATCGGCGACAACTTCATCATCTGGCTTCTCTTCCCAAAACATTCCCTGAAAAATTTTTTGAATTATTTGATAACATTGTCTTTGATCGAAACTGATAGATAAGCCGTCAACGTCCAAAATTCCTCATGATAAAATTTTTTGCCAAAATCGGCGGGACAAAGAATACGAAGAAAGACTTGACCGGGAGGAACACTTGACACAAACTGTAACCGACAAAACTTGACCCGAGTTGAGACACTTGACGCGAAATCTTCATTTTTCCTTTTGGATCATGTACTGACCTTGTTACAAACCGATCTGTCAACGAGAAATGGGACGAAGAAAGGGTGGTAAAAGGTAAACTCGATGCATATTTAGTTGTAGTTTCTATATTTTTAAAGCATTTTCTGCTTTTTTTAGACAGCAACGTCATAGCGGCCCTGCTGAAAATGAAAGGGATAACGACGATGTCTTTGATGAGGTAGACACTTTTCACAATGAAAGAAGCAAAGATTTGGGAATATCAAAAAAGACGTGGAAGGATAAAGAAGTAGAGGTTTTGAGTGTGCTTCCTGATGGCTTGGACGATTTATACGACGAAGACGACTTGGATAAGCCGGCTGAAGATCCGTTGCTAAAGACAAAGAGTAAGTGAATAAGTTGTCTTCAGTCTTTTGTTTTAGTTGCTTCGGCCAATCAATGGGGGAAGAATCGGAGAGAATATTATGTGAATAATAAGACCAGAACAAAGGAGGATGGATATCTGAACGATGAAGAGCAGGAGATATTAGACTTAGAGGAAGAGGATGCTACTGAGCGTCAGAAGAAGTTGGACGGGAAAAATGCAGTTCTGAATTTTGATCAATTCTTTGAGGACGATGATGATGAGGTGGAAGAAAAGAAGCCCTTCCAAAACATGACTTTAAGGGAGAGAATGAAATTAGCAGCGACAGAAAGGCGGAAAGAAGAAGAAGCCAAAGCACAGAAAATAGCGAGTGTAATTGAAACGCAAAAGAAGGTTGAGCATGAAGTTAATGAAGAAGACGACGAAGAGAAAGAAGTATTCGTTGAAGGATGGGACGATTATGAAAATGGTGCAGAGCAAGAAGTGGAGAAGAGGGGAATTAATTATCAGGTTTGTCTCTGCTGCTGATACTTATATATTTAGATTGAGAAAAACAAAGGATTAATACAGAAGAGGAAGAAAGGAACAGAACATTCGAGGATCAAGAGACGACTGCAATATAAGAAGGCCCTTGTTAGAAGAAGATCTCAGATTCCAGATGTCAAAAGAGAGTTGCAGAAATACACGGGAGAAGCCCGTGGAATCAGGGCATCGACGGTTAAATCGATTAAGATTAAGGCTTGAAGCGGTAACCTTCTTGTTGAGTTTTTTTTGTTATGATTAAAGTTTTATCTTCCTATGTGCTGTTTGCATGATTACGTGTCTGATAACACATTGATACATTTATTGTGGCTCTCTTATTGGTTAAGAATTCTTTTTCTCTAGAAATGGCGACAACTGCTGCGCTTTCTTCAGATACACCGGCTTCAGGTATTGTTTACACTTTTGCATAACCAACTTCTTTAGATTCGCTCCAAAAAAGAGCTCGTGAGAAGCGTCAAGTCCACCATCATCATCACAGTCTTCCTCATACACGCCCTACCCAACGACATGTGGACAATCGTCAGCGAAAGTTGAGAGAGAAAAGAAGGCCGGCCAATTTTATCTCAACGGACGGAACAGTAAAGAAATACTTTGTTTTGTGATCTCTTTCTTTAGACCAGTGGTGACGATCAGGAACTCGTGAATGGCGACGAAGAAAATAGTCACAAGTTGGAGCAGATGCTCAAGAAGACCGATCAATTGCCTTCTGATCTAGATGCTGATTGTGAGGACAACAACAGCACTGATGTGGATACTGTCAGTGTGAGTGGAAGTGTCAAAGTAAGTTGCTCTTTTTTATTGTATTGGTTTAGTCGAAAGACACACCTGAAAACAGAGCTCCGCGAGATGACATTGCTGTATTAAATGCAAAAGTAAATGCACTGGAGAAGGTAAGTAAAGCCCATCAAAACCAATGGTTAACCTTATTTCAGCAATTGGCAACAGTCCTTCAAGTCAACGGGAAGCTTAAGGAGGAGAACGAACAGCTGAAGAGAATTGTCAAGAAGGGCCCGTAATGTAAATACCACCACTTTTATAACCCTCACGCTTTAATAACAACAACATTTATTTAAAGCTCTATTTATATATATATATAAAGGATGTAATGTTTATATAGATACGTAAAATGTGTTGTAGTTTTAAGCTATAACTTCTACTGTGCTCTTTTCACTGCTTGTCTTACTCGTCTTGAGATCAAAGCCCTGAAATGAAGAGATGTAAACTATTGTCCTAGTCTTGTAACTTACTTCCGAATGTCTATATAAACAGTAATGTTGGACTATGAACAATACGTCGAAGATCATGGACACAAGGCCAAGGCCAAACTTGACCGCGTTCCCAGTAAATGGACTCCAGTCTTCTAAAATATTAAATTAAACGTGACAAACATTCCACGTAAGACAATAAACCACCCTTCTTACCAGTATTTAATGCTGACAGAATCATCTGCATGATATCCATTGACCCTCCGGTAAAATCGAGCAAGATATTCCCAATCGACCAGCCTACAGTGCTCTTCCGACGGAAGTTGAGGATCGCCTGGGGGATGTATTTACTGCAAGTAACAGCCAGCTTGATGTAAGATAATCCAGTGATGAATTGAAGCCAATTGAGGGCATTGAAGAAGGTGGCCACCAGACACCCTACGGCCGTTAACACCAACAGTGAACCCCATCCCCAGCAGATGTGCGAGATTCTTTGACCTCCTCTCTGAAGATACGGTAAGGTATGTATTAGATATGAGTGCAAAGTCCTAGAAGTTTTTTTTTTTCAGTTACACCTTTGGTTACCTTGGGTATGAGGCAGGTGTTCCGTAATTTAAAATTATTCCCACCCGTTTCTTTTCTGTAGAGTTTAAATCCGAGCCTCCATTTCTGCATAAACTACATGGGTAACGTCCTACTCATTAAATATTTTGTTCTTTGCTCGGCCCTCGAATAAACAAAGTGCAGGTAAACCGGATTGGAAAAGCAAGTTCCGTTTTCTTCGTATTCTCTGAGTCATGACGCAGCTCATTTTAAATACAGCTGGCCTCAGCGATCAGAACTCTATCTTTGCCCAACACTTTTGTCATCGTTAACATAATCTTATAAACGGAACCTTACCTCATAAATGAAACATTGGAATCCAGTAATCAGACATGCGACCAAAGCGTGGATAGCGAACACAACGTCGTTCGGCAACACTGGAATCCCGCCTCGAGGGTTCTCAATGATATATAAATCTTGCACTTCGGGATCAAAGAATAACAACACATTGTAGATAGTGTAACAGGTAAAGCCGATTATGTTCAAAACCAGAAAATCAAAATTTAATCCTTCGACGCTCTTCCGTGAGAAATTCAACCAGATCTGTGGGTAGAAGGAAATGCTCCAGGCGACGAAATACACCCAGCCAGTGGCTTGGACCATGAAGTTGAGGACGTAACTGTACATGACCCTGACCATGACAAATACCTTTTTGCCTCTGAAAAATCATTTTGATTAATGACCATTATTAGTAATATAAGACAACGATCGACATACTCCAAGGGACACTGCGATCCATCTTTTGTTTTGCAGCTGGCAATGTCAACGTAAGTCCTACTGGTAACAGACAACCCAGTAACGTTCACCTGCACTACGTCATTCTGTGAAGATAGGTCGAGCGATTCGTCAGATAATGAAAAGTAAGGCTGAGTATTAAGTACAACGTGAAGTGAATCGTTTGGATTTAAGTTGTAACTGAAAGTAAAAAGGCTACCGTAACGCTCAAATGTTACATTTTTAGAAATTGTGAAAGTAACCGCTTACTTTAAGGTAAATGTGATTGTTTTGGTCTCATGGATAATCAGATCAAGACTGTTGGGTTCGGTGAGAAGACGGTCATCGTGCTCTCTCACCTTTCTTATCGTCTCATTTGCATAAACGGAGACGAAACCAATCACTGCGAACAAAAGGATCACTCGGGACATGGAGAACTCTTTCCGTATCAATCCAATTAATCCATCGGTCTGAACAACAGGCCTAGGAATAAAGGATGTTCCTTCTGAAAAAAGAAAAACATAAAAAAAACGTGAAGAAAATAAATAAATCTTTAAAAGACAGTGATCCGACACTTTGAGGGAGAGGAGAAATGTCTCCAATCTGATTGTTTATGCAAAATCAGCAGGAAAACAAAGAATTCGTACAGTCGCAGGGTCCAATCTTGTAACAAGATACTAAACTAAAGTCAGTGATAAGATGACGACTAATGAATAAACAAAGGAAAGGTTAGGACCAAACTACGCTGATTCCATTCTACCTGATAAAGACGAAGTTATAATAAAAATTTAAGAAAGTTCTACTGTAAGGCTGAGAAAACAACTGATTCATCGAGAGAGATCCATCAAGACCGAGACATCACCTATGCGGACATTAATCATCCAGATCCTCCTCCCGGACTGGTTTCTGGCGACTCTCCCCAAACTGACCTTCAGCAGCCACACTCGTCGCCATACTTAATATATTATAGAGCCCGTTATGATCGTGAATCCGCTCGTTTTTAATAGGCAATGATGCAATTTATTCCGGGATTTTCATTAGGCAAACAAATAAATTTCCGCTCTTTAAAGAAACAAAAAAGTTCTGCTCGCCGGAGGGTATATAAATCCGTTCGTTGCTACGCGAAGAAGTAATGTCCCCAGAATTAAATGAGACAAAGCACAAGGTAGAGAAGCGTGGCCTGCGCTTGAGGGCAGTCCTTAGGACACAACGAGCATAGACTAGAGGAACGCCCCAGGGTACAAAGCACAAACCGGGTGAGATAGTCATCATACGGCAATTTTCGATGAACTTCGTTGCGTAATATTGCTCTTATTATAACCTTTATTATTAAACCCAACAGTTCTTTTATGTCATCAGGAAATTTAAAGTTGTTCGAAGCAATAAAATATAAATCACCACAACCACCCGATAACAGAAAATAATATTTAACTTGTCAAAACGGAGCCCAAACACCCTGGGAATCCGGTAAAGATCACAAAAACACTCACTTCAAAGGGGTATTACGGGAACAGCGGCATAGAATCGATACATTTTATACAGAGACCGCTCTTTTTGTTATTGGTGAATGGAAATGTTATCAGCATCCGGCTGAAAAAAGAGGACGATTATATTAATGAGATCACTGCGGATTGCATCACAGAAACAAAATACAATCCCATTGTCATCGTGACATTTTAAAAGAGCCTTCGCGAAAGAAAATGAAGCTGAAGGTAAGGTTGATATACGGTAGCATTTTAGCACATTGTTTTTTGGCTTATTCTAAATGATCTTACACCAATGTCTTACAAACCAAGTCATGATGACGGATTTTATGACACACTTAAATTTTGGGTCTAGATTGGAACTAACCGAGAGGGCAAAAACCGCACAATTGATACAATGTCCAAAAAACCGTCGCAGTAACATTCGTATGCGTGGAATAACTCTTTTGGGCAATGCTTTGTTCTTCCTAACTGGTCTTACATACAAATTGGAAAAAAATCATTTAAGCGGGCCAAACTGCGGCCCAAATTAAGATTTGTTTGGAAAAATTTACACAATGACCTTTGTTTTTGTTGTTTTACAGTAATCCTGGAGGTTGAGATGCATTCACTAAAATTTTTGCGAGTGCCAAAACGTATAAATACAAGTTTACAAAACTATCTATTCTTTCATGCTCCTTTATGTCACATTTTTCAAAAAATTGAAGACATATTTGAAATTATTTCTATTCCACAGATTTGGCACATAGAAAACTTCTTGGCATTTTGTTTTAAGTTGAAAAATAATTTTCGATCCTATTGCCTACCTTTTAGAACTTTTTGGCCGGAAAGCGCGTAAACAGGTTGCTGGCGCTTGAAAAATGAGCGAGGACTATGAGATCACATTGAAGCCCACGTCAGTCACATCCAGTCTTGGCACATTTGCAATAAACGAACGATATCAGGCTTCCAAAGCCGAGGTTCACAAGTCGTTAGCGGGTAGGTATACATTTAAGTGCTTTTTATCTTTTATCCATTCCATTTTACAACAGAATTTTCAGAGAACAAACCCTTTCCTCATTTTTATTTCGAAGATTTTCTTAGCGATTCCTTAGGTGTTAGCCTTTTGGCCCAGGAACTGAAAGCTATCAAAACATGGAGCAGGAAGGCCAACGATCTGTACTCTCTACAACAAACTCAGGATCTCAATTTCTTTGATTGGGAGAAATACCCGAATTTATGCTTATTTCGTCGATTCTTGAAGAAACAGCTCAAAGATTACTTGAAGGAAGTCACTAATCTCGATCTCAACGACCACATTGCTTGCACCGGTAGCCGTTACTTTCAGACAGACACTCTTCTTCCACATGATGACAGTCTGGATGAAAGGGCAATTGCATTTATATTTTACTTGAGCGAAGACTTTACTCCAGAAGATGGTGGAGAACTTATTGTGTACGATGCTGATCTCAATACTAACAGACCAACTGCAGAAGCCAAACGATTCTCTCCTAAGCAAAATTCTCTCTTTATATTTCCAGTCCAAACCAATACCTGGCATTCAGTCGCCGAGGTGTTAACGGATAAAGTGAGATTGACATTGAATGGCTGGTTTCATGTTACTGGAAAGAAATCGGCGGCTGATCCTGCGCCTGAAGCTCCACTCATTAAGACATCTCCTGAATTGAACGTCACAGTAAGGCCCTGTTTTTATGTAACGACCTTGCAGCTGAATGATATCAGAACGTGGATTAATCCAACCTATGTCAATGTGGGAGCACATAAGGCCATCAAGAAAGAGTTCTCTTTGCGATCTCAGCTTACTTTAGACAACTTCTTCAATGAGGACTATTACTTTGAAGTCCTCAAGGAATTGGAAGCGTCCAGTTTCAAAGTTCTTGGAACTATTGATAGAAGGTAAGGAGAGACTTGGTTACCTCATATTACGTTGCAGAAACATTGAACGTTTAGATGAAAAGGAGATTCCAAAAGACGGAGCGTTGAGGAAGATGCTTGACCTCTTCCGATCCGAGGCCACAGCCCTCTTCCTGACTCAATGGACTGGACTCAAACTTTATAAAGTCGAGGATATGGATGACCCACGTGAGTTATTTAATAGTTACAATAAGTATATATTTATTTTCTTAGGCCCTAAAAAGCCCCGAATAGAAGAAAGAGTGAATGATGGTAAGTGAGGCTTGCAGTAGTCGAAAATGTTTGAAGATGTCAAAATCCTTTCTTCCTTGAGTCGTGTTAAGCATCGTTATTATTCTTTGATCGACAATCAAATGGCAGCAGATGCAGAGCACAATGGCTATGCCTTGGACTTGGTCATGTTCTTCATGAAAGACAAAGTGTGGCCAGCCGATGGTGGTGGATTTATCAGCTATGCCGCAGAGAATGATCCCGATGAGGTGTGTTTCTGCAAATGAATGTCGTTTTACACTTTTTTCAGATATTAAGGATACCACCTCGTAAGAATTCTCTGGCGATCGTGTTCAGAGAACCAGGAGTGATGCAATTTACAAAGTACGCCAATTGCTTAGTCCAGGATCAAGAATATTACGTTTTTAATCTCACGTATTTTGGTATAAACTATGAGGCGGATTCAGAATTGGAGTCGAATGCGGCTGAAGACGAGGTGAGATAACCATTTTTATAATTTATTGGTTTAGGACTCTTTTGATGACGAGGAATTGGAAGATGATGAGACAGAAGAACCGGGTCCTTCAAAATAATCTCCATTGTTAAGAATTCACATTTTTGTTGATTTTGTGGTTGTTAAAAATATTATTAAATTCCGTGTATTTTATTTCGTAAGCCGTTTGTTGCCTCGTTTACTGTAATGCTCATCAGATGGAAACAAATATCAGCGAAACGAAATGCCAAGAAATTTTTTTGTGCGCCGACTTTTTATGTTTATCGCCTCGAATTCGAAGTTTGTGGGTGGGGGAAGGAGACAACAATGGGGGTCAAAGACTCATTGGTTACTAATTGACCGTTCCTTATCAGATATGGCTCTGTTTTCCTGATAGTAGCCGCTTTTCCCCTATTTTTAGTCGGTTTCATTTTTTTGTGGCCCCGAAGGTTGTTTACGCTGTCCGATCTCGGCTGATTCATAATCTCATCCGATTCTGTTGTTATAATGTTCTATTTCCGGATTCGAGAAGATTTTTTAATGCAATTACATGTTTGTCATATCCTAACTTATTAAGGTTTCAGATCTCTTTTGACAAAATGGAGAGGGCTCAGCTGGTTACACTCTCCATTGCCATTTTAATGGTCACTACAGGGTCTCTCAACACGATAGCCGCGAAGTAGGTTGTCTTAAGTTTATTGTTATTGGTGTTTAGATGGGCTGACAGTATTGTTGTCGACGGACAGAAGTTTGATCATCCATTCTTCCAAGCAACTTGCATGTTTATTGGAGAATTCAGTTGCCTTATTGTTTTCTTTTTGCTATATTACATTCAGAAACGTCGTTATAACAGCCGAAATCAGATCGGAAATGACGGAGCTGTGTTTGACTTGGACGACATTGACATTGAGGAGCCGAAGTTTCCTAACATTAATCCATTCATCTTTTTGCCTCCTGCTTGTTGCGATGTGTTGGCGACTTCTTTGATGTACATTGGATTGAATCTTACTACGGCTTCATCTTTTCAGATGCTGAGAGGTGGGTATTTTAATGTAATTCTTATTACTTTCTTTAGGAGCCGTTATCATCTTCACTGGTTTGTTGTCTGTCGCCTTTTTGAGGGCCCATTTACAACAATTTAAATGGCTCGGTATGATCTTTGTTACTCTTGGACTCGTCGTTGTTGGTTTATGTGATATTTATGATAGCAGTCCCTCTGAAGATACGAATGCTGTAATCACCGGTAAGGGTAATTTTGGTTTATTTGATTTTTAGGCGATCTTCTCATCATTATGGCTCAAATCATCGTCGCCATTCAAATGGTTACCGAGCAGGTGTTCCTTGAGCAATACGATGTTCCCCCTCTTCTGGCTGTCGGTTTGGAAGGTCTCTTCGGAATGGTGATCCTCTCCTTGTTGATGATTCCAATGTACTTTATCCATGTTCCTCATACCTTCTCACACAACCCATTTGACCGTTTAGAAGACGTTATTAATGCTTTCCATGACATCAAAGCCCAGCCGATGATTGCGTTGGCTTTGACTTGTACTATTGTCAGCATTGCTTTCTTCAACTTTGCTGGTGTCAGTGTTACGAAGAGACTCTCCGCAACTTCTCGGATGGTTTTGGACAGCGTGAGAACTCTGGTTATTTGGATTCTGTCGATTCCTCTGTTTGGAGAAAAGTTTATTCCGTTGCAAGTAAGGTTTTCATATTTTTTTTGCGTTGTGAGGGGGGTACCTAAAATAAATTTTTACATAATGACCCCTCACCCGAGAATTTTTGGTCAGCTACGCCCCGGGTTGTGATTTAATAAACACTGGTCTTTTTAGCTGATTGGATTTGGGTTTCTGATTCTGGGAATGTTCATCTACAACGATCTCTTGTTTGGTCCATATATTCGGCAGCACTTTATCCCCCGTCTCAGTGGTGGCCCCGGTCTTTTCTGTTCTCGTTTCTGGGGAATCGAGGTTGAAGATACGAATGAGACATCTCTTCTCGAAGCTGATCTGGAAGAGAACCTGGAAGAACAAGATTAATTTACAGATTTCTCAAACTTACAACGATTCAGATTATTTATTTTTTTTGCAAATTTCAACGGGCTTTTAAGAATACGGTATCGTACAGTTGTAAAAACAACAATAAATTGTGATTGACTGTATCTGGAATGTTTGTAAAGATTAGCTGTTGTTGAATTCAGATAGATTTATTGGAAAACGGGCCAGGTGTTGGGGTGCAGCATGATGGTCCATTTATAGATGTTACTCTACTTGAGGCGATTGCAAAATAGGAATTCGGTTTTTAAGCAGATATTCGAGAGTAAGAATATCAAGAACAGAAAGATTGTGGTTGATTATTCATCTCCTAATATCGCAAAGCAATTTCATGTTGGAAATCTAAGGTACGATGACATAGTTTTTGTGAGGACATATTTTTTTTTCAGGTCGACCTTGGTAGGTAGCTTCTTTTGTCGGATCAATCGACTAGCTGGGAATCAAGTGGTATCAATTAATTACCTTGGGGACTGGGGTGCCCAATTCGGTCTCCTGGCCGCTCATTGGCCGGAGAGTGAATTACGAGTCAAATTCAACGAACTTCCACCAGAAGCCACGCTCTCCGCCAGATTAGAACTTCTTCAGAAGGCCTATGTTGAAGCCGTTCAGCGAGCCAAACAGGACCGTAATTTCCAACGAGAAACAGCCGCCGTCTTACTGGGCGAGATGGAAAAGGCACTGATCGACAACGATCGTCAGTCCCCCTCTTTAGCTCTGTGGTTTGCTATTAGAAAACTTTCCCTCCAATATCTGGAAGAATTTTACAACAAGTTGGGAATCTCCTTCGACGTTTATGATGCCGAATCAGAGCATGTCGCTGCAGCCACGAAGCTGGTGGACCGACTAATTACTGAAGGAATTGTCACGCACACCGCGGATGGACTCTGGGTGATTCGAGAAAGCGGCGGACATGGGTATTCTGTGCTTAGGAAGTCAGATGGGTCGACTTTGTATTTGTCCAGGTGAATCATCTTCAGGGGTTATTAACCTAATTGTTTAGGGAACTAGCCGCAACATTACATCGAGATGAAGTTCATCAAGCCGATGAATATGTCTACGTTGTCGATCGGGCACAGTCCGGTCACTTCCATCATCTTCAGCATCTTCTTGAAGTGGTTAAACGTGAAGACCTGGCCAAAAGGATCACTCATTTGGGATTTGGAAGGGTTGTTGGAATGTCAACAAGGTATTTTGTAATCGTTTCCCGTGGTAGTTATTTGTTGTAGGCTTGGTAAATGCGAGACTGTGGAACAAATTCTGGTCGATGGGGATCACCAGGCTGTAAAATTCTTACAGAAATCACCTACTATGAAAATCTCTGAAGAAGAATTGCCAAAAGTGGCCAGAGAGTTGGCAGAAACGGCATTGTTTATAAATGACATGAAAAGAAACAAGGCTCAAGAGTACACATTCAACTTCAAAGAGATCTTCAAGCAGAAAGGCATGTTCGCGATTCAGGTACTGTCACTTTTATTTGAATGATTACGGAAGATCGTAGGAGAAATACTCACGTCTTACGTCATTGATCGAGAACAACGCAGATCTGATGATTGAACTGGAAAGAGCGAAGGAATCGGAAAGTTTGTGGAATCAGACCAAATTAGATCCGGAGCAAAATATCCGTTTGTTGTGTCAATGCCTCTACGAATTGGATGCTTCTCTCTTCTCGTGTTTCTCCAGCTCCGAGACCGCTCCATTACTTGCTTATTTGTCTAGACTAGCCAGTCGCATTGGTCCGGCCATGACAACAGCCCGAGTCATGGACGAACAAGATCGAAAGCTTGCCCTGGGGCGATTAATCGCCTTCGTGGCTTCTCGGAATGTTCTCGAAGAAGGTCTAGAGTTATTAGGACTGAAACCTCTGCCTCGTTTATGAAATGTTTATTGTTATCGAATAAAGGAGGTAGTTGATATCATATATGAGCTGCATTACACATTCCATTGGCCCGATTGAAATCCTGCATTGCCACTTGTAAAACGACCCGGTCAAAGCCTGTCCCCACAACAAACTTGGGCTCATTCCGCCGATTTTCGTTGTTACACAACACAAATCCATCTCCCGTGTTCAGATATCTGAAACTTACAGTAAGCTTTTGTGGAAATTTACTCTTAAAAAAATTATTCTTTCTCTTCCTCGGAAAAAGGAGAGCAGAGTCGAGTGATTCGGTAGGACGAATGGATAGAACAACCTTTTGGAGGTTGGTTAGGTTTCTGGCCGTAATAAGCCCTTGATGAGCAAGGTCAAACTCAACCAAAAAAATTATTTTGCCATTTTGGTACGTTTTATAGGGGTTAAAAGATATTTGAAAACACAGGGTATGCCTATCTTTAAAAACGGATTGTATCCTAAATCCTGTCATCTTCGTATCATTTACTAATTCTTACGGTTTTGTTCACAAAACATACCTTATGGTGGTCAGCCGGCTTTTCCTCGAGAATCCTTCAATCTTCTCGGGCTCACATCCACAAAACCGTAGTAGCGTTTCGTTTACTTCTCTCCGGAGTCGTCTCTAAAATGGATTGCTTAAGGCAATTAACAACTCACGTTACAAAAATAATAAATTGGAAGACGAATCGAACAAGCGACTACTGTAAGAATCGAGACCAGATCTGTTGCGTAAGTATAGAATGGACGCAATTGGCTGGTATACAATGATTCCTGAAGAAGATTAAAAAATAATCTCGACCTTACCTTATCAATAAATTCCCAAGCTGCGATCACAACGGAGAGAGAGTTGCACACAATGTAAGTACTTGTAATCAACACCAGCATTCTTGTCGCAGCACGAATATTCCTCTGTAATGGATTACCTCATGAATTTGTTAACTTTGGTGAGGGTTCGTAAAAAGTTTAAAAAAAGTGGTAATGCTAATTACCCGATGTTCGGAAGTTGCGAATCTAAAAAGCCTAGCTCCAGTGTGTTGTTGCCTCAGACGGGCTACAATCCGGATGTTAAAATGAAGCGATAGGAAGAATGGGAGAAAAGTGCCGACAATATTTCTGAACCAGAACTTGTAGACGGTTTGATAAGGCTCTTCATTACTCCACTCAGCCATGTAAGCTGAATAACCAGTGACTCCAGTACAGTTCGGATTCTCGACTACCTGAAAAATATTACTAACGATACTAAATAAAACAGAAAGTCCATCACTATTTTTTGGAACTAGTTCACTTACAATTAATTCAAAATACATAGGAGCCTTTGCAGCAACTGCAAAAATTACCGTAACCGATACAATAAACAACCTGATGGTTGTCGAGAACTGGTTCCGAATCTTGGAAATGGTCAGAAATCGTTCAAAGGTGGCTGCCGTCAACAGCAACGCTGAACTGGTTATGGCCACATGGCATATGGCCAGCATCGGTTTTACGTAATTAAACCAAGCCCAAGCCAAAAACTCGCTCTCAAAGTAGTCCATAAACAAGTTTACCGGGAAGATCATGATGTAAGAGGCTAAAAAATATTGTTATTGGGAGTTGATCTCTAATTTTGTCTCAGTTTTATTTACTCTTCCAAGATCAGTAATTTAGTTTTAAAAAAATGGCGGTCAGATTGATTTTCAATCCTCGCCTACGTACAAAAGGTTAGAATGAAAAGTAAAACTTTGACCAAAAACATCTAACTTTTTTAGAGTAAAATTAACATACCTGACAAGAATGTGTCAATGAGAGCTAGAAAAGCAAGGAATAGAAGATGAGTTCGACGATATTGGGAGTTGGAGATGAGGATGAAGAAGAGGAAGGCGTTGAAAATAACGGATACCAGCGCGATGACGGTTCCTGCCATAGCTACCATAGCCATTCGAAGGCCTTCTGGAGGGATAACAGAACACAAATCTTCGTCTTCCGATTCGGACATTGTAATTGGAAGCTGATGACGGTTGAATTTTAGGATGGAAGATGATTATATTTGGAAGAAAAGGTCGGAACAAATTGCCTCCGAAAGTACCGTAATCCAGTTTTCAAACCAATCACCTGACCACAAGGACGCGCCCTCTGCAACGACACATCACAGATGAGGACGTATTTGCATGTGGGTCAGCGGGCCGGGACTGGCCGCCAAAACAAAGCCGGCGGGCCGAGTAAAAGCCAAAACGAAATCCGAGGAAGATCCTCAGAACGGCAGTAAGAGTATCCCCCTCGAAAGAAGAACTCAAAAACTGGTGCTAACGAGTTCCGACACGCCATCCCTTCTTGCCGCCACTTCTGAACTCGGATTCGCGTCAAGAAAACGGCTCGATTAAGTGTCATATCAGACTCATCCCCCGCTTATGATAACCAGATATTCAGTCCTACAATAAGAAATAATTCTTTTTGACAAAACAGGGGAATGTTTTTTTGATGATTTGACAGTAATCCTTGACTTTTTGATCTCAAACCTTTTTTGATGGACAACGTGTTTCAAGGACCCTTCAAATCTCCATGCATAAGATTTTCGACGAATCGAGGCCAACTTTTTGGAAAAGGGCCAACCAATATTCGTATCCTGTCATCATCAATTTATATTATAATCACAAAAGTTATATTTCGGAAGATGATGCCGAGTATGACTTAAGCAAAAAATATGGCGAAATATCGTCCTTCTTGCACGACATCATAGCAGTTATTTAAAACTTTTGGGTAGAAAATCCATGTGATATTTGAGTAACGAAATGATGATAAAAGGATAGATCCCCGCCTCCGTAAGACAAACAACTATTTTTGGAAGGGAAACAGGTAAATCCCACCTTATCTTCTATGATACCCTAAGAACGCAGTCATCCTTGTTTTAATCCAATTTCTCGTCAGATCTCAAGATACTGCCTCGAAGGCCTGTTTGAATAATTAATGGGGCCGACCCCTTTGATAGCACAATGCTTATAATACCCATCAAAAGTATTTAAATCCCAAGCCCAGGCAATCTGGCAAAGCCCTGAGGGGATGTTTCGGCTAATTTGAGTGGGATTCGATTTCCTTTGAGGGGTCGAGGAGGGTGTGCGAAGAATCTCTGAAGCAGATGATACTAGTACAAAGTAATTTCATATTGGTTTATGTCATAAAAAAGCTGAATCGACCTTATTGTAAGACTGAAATAAAAGGATAAATCTACAAACTCATTCTAATATCACCTCGGGTTTCTCTCATTTTTAAAGGAGTTGCGGCGCGAACAAAAAAATGATGAATGGATCTACTAGTTCATGCATGTACATTATGGTATTGTCAGCATGACAACAAAGAAAGGAATGGGCAAATGGAGCTGTAAATAGGTCCTTTTTATACCGGTTATTACAAATTCCAAAGATTAAAATGTTTTCATGTGAACTCCCAGGACAACCAATCTAATTCCAAGGGGTCTTCCAGACGCTTTCTTTCCCTTAATTGGACCAAAGATTGGCCCATTAAACTCATATTTTTGACCATTAATAATTGAAAGAAAAGAACAAAATAATTACAATATTCATTTTTATGTAAACCATATCTATAAAAAACGAAGGCAACTCTGTTCTCGCAGTGTCTCCCGTCAGAATATAAGAGTTTTTCTTGGCTTGTGCGAATCTTAAGCCACTTTCTTGAACCCCCAGAGATTCTAAAGCCTCTAAACTCTCCTTGATCTTACAAGTCGTCTTCCAAAAGCATAAACAAACCCCCAAAGATGTCCAAAAAAATATGGAAATGCTATTTGTAAGTACTATATAGTTAGTTGAACTAAAGTAATTTCACACAGACTTCTGTATTAGACAAGGGAAAACATATTTGTGAGCTATATTAGTTCGCATTGTACCATAAAACTCAAAAATAATAATTCAAATTAACCCTATAAAAGATTCAAATTGTGTGTAATTACCGGGATTAAATTTAATTGAAAACGGATGCACGAGAGAATCGTTGTGAATCGATTGAAACATAAAACCTCAATCTTGTAGTTTTCAGTTTTAGTTTTTACAACTTAAAGTCATCATATTTTGTATTACGGTAATTTTTAAATGGCATAATTTAATAGAACTTTTATTTCAATAAATTAGATTTTGTTACGTTGTGGGGTTTTTTCCTGATAACTGTCTTCCCACTTGATTAATGGACACTTCGAACACCTTTCCATTATTGCATAACTTGTTGATAAGAACCAAAGCCAATTTATTTATTGTTTTCCCTTGAAAAGCAACCCTTCGCTTCATTCCGCAGTCCGCAGAAAAGCCTGGGACACATTCGGAATGGCCAGAGAATATATTTTTTTTTCCAGAAAGAAACACAAAATATTTTATTATCCGCAAGTTTAAAGCCGAATTAAATCCGAAAAAGATCACTGTTAAAAATGGTAGACGTTAATTTGTGAACAATTACTCCATTCCGTTTCCCGGGAGGCGCGTCTGTTTAATTCTAATTAAAATCGAAGACAAAACTCTCGTTTTCCGTTCAGATGTGATTATGTTTCCCTTCAATACCCCCTACAATCATCTTTTACATTGGGCTTTTCTCTTCTTCGCAGCGCCATGGTTATACAGCTACTTCAACGAACAGAATCGTCTGGATTCGATGACTGTAGAACAGGCAATTGTCAAGTCCTGGGATCGCCTTATTACTCAGCCAAGTATCAAGTTCAGGAAAGTTGTTGTAGGGTGGGTTTTTTTGGATTTAGTTTTCTTCGATATTTAGTGATACTTAAAGTTGTATACTAACTAATTAGCACAAAAAAATGCAAACAAAAAAGTACAAAGACTTGTTCAGCATCAATTGTAACGTGGATGTCATCGTTTCGGGTGTTGGAATGGTTAATAAACTGAATTTATCATCGGCTGAAGTCAGTGATCATGAAGTTTTGAACAGCTTAAGGGATCTCTACGAAACTTTCATCTACTTCTTCTCCCGAGGAGCACCTGCTGAGCGTTATATGGGGGACGAAGAGGCGTTTGAGAAGCTCGTTAACACCGCTGAACAGAAAAGTCAGCGAGCCCATTACTCCATCGGTGGGAACGCGGCTTTGATGGCTCAGAAGATCGCGTCTTCTTTCCCTCTGGCTACTGTAAGATGAAAATAGGCTTTGTTTTAATTTTATATCTAGTCGTATCTCGTTGGACCGATTGGACCGAGATCTCAAGCACTTTTGCATCCATCTATCCAAAGGAATAACTCCACCCGAATCCTTCAAGATGAACTTCACGTTATTCTCGAGTATAAACAAGGAGAAATCCTGGGAGAATATGTCTCACCATCTTCTTCCCGGTTTATTACTTCCCATGATCAATACAGGTACGTTAAACCATGCACCTTTGTATTGTTTTACGTTTCTTTTTAGTGGCAGCTCAGTCGTGATTGAGATGTTCTTTAAGGCCATTGCCCAATACCGTCCTGACCTGGTTGTTTTCTCAGGAATTCATTTATTAGAAGCTCAGGTCAGCTGAATTTTTTTATTTAGAAGTTTTATAGTAATGTAATCTAACGCCAAGTCATCAAAATTCCGTATACAACTTTTTAGCCCCGTCAAGTTCGCCTAGAGAAACTCCGACTGATAAAGAGATCTCTGATGCAAGTAAACCCACTGATTCCTATGCATATGGAGTTGGGAAGTATGGGTGATGCCTCTCATGTTCATGAAGTTTTGTATAGGGTAAGTCATAACCTTGTGATTAGCGTATTCGATTAGATTATTCCTTATGTCGACTCCCTATCCATAAACGAACAAGAATTGGCATTCATCTCGAAAGTTGGGAATGGTCCTTATCAAGAACAATACCCAGTCAGAGCTGGGGCTCTTCACGCTTACAAGGTACGGTTTATTATACTAGACACCAGTTTCTTCCAGGTCGTCGAGATGTTGTACTGGCTCTTGACTACATTGGGCCATGATAAAACTAACCCAGCTGCCAAAAACTACAATTATCGCCTGCAGAGAATCCATTTCCAATGCCTAACTTATCATATTATGGTAGGTAACAACTTTTGTAAGGGTAATATAACTGTCATGTATTTTTTTTGTTTATTGTGTACTTCAGGTGAGTCGCGGAACAGACTGGTCAAATTTGGCTGCTGGACTTGCCGCAGGCGCCAGATTAGCTGGCCGCCAATCTTGTAACCTCGGGAATGATAAATACGGACATGACAAACTGGAAATACGATCGGGAAGTAGTGTTCTTTTGGACAAACAAGTCGACAAAGTCTATCAATTCAACCAACACAAGTATGTGACAACAGAATTATAATGCATATATGGTATTTTAGCCCTCTCGCTTCGTGGATGAGGAATGAAGTTGTGTTCATCTACACCCCCGTCCTTGTCTGTAAATATCCGCAACAAACTGTGGGTGTTAGCGACGCCATCTCAGCCACATCGCTGCTCTATTCTCAGTTTTATAAACTGGAGAAGTTATAATTCTGCAAACTACGAGTATTCCTAGACTTTACAGCGTGTATAATATACTTAAAAAAAGTGAATTATAAATGGTTAATCCGTATGGCCGTGTTAAACTCGTTTTATCAGAAGTCAAACGACTTAATAATCCGTCGTCCACGTGGAAGAGAACCAGTTATTCCACAAAATGCAGTAACAACGGCATCTAAACATTTCCAAACATCCAGAAAAGCATTTCTTCAACAAAAGCGATCGTGTGATTGTTTTTTTTTTTGAAGGTATTTGATAACAAAAACAACATGGAGGCCCTACTGTTGTGGGTGAGTTGGGTAGATAGAGGTTCGCCCAAGAGACTTTCCCGAACGAGAATTACGGAGGTTTCACGTTGGCGTGGTCTTGCACGGAAGAGACAAGTCTTCTGCTGTCGTGTTGTTTCTTTATTCTTTGTTGGATTGACGAATTGGTCAACGACGTTATGAGGATCCTGGTCGTGTCCGTTTGCCTTTTGGCACTAGGTAAGTGTGTTTTATTTTTAAGACTTTTTCGTCCTGAGATTGTATAATCCATGAGTAAACCTAATTAAATTTATTTTCATGAACAAATTTAGGTAGTGCGCAGGATCCAAATGCTGCCCAAGCCAATCCGAATGGTCAGGGTAGGTTTAATTCTGAGAGTCATCTTATGGATATGAGACTTGTTTAATCGCGGAAGCATTTTAAATAATTTGTGTCAAATTTCAGCACCAGCCCCGAATGCAAATCAACAGAACCTCGGAAATACTCCTCAATTGGCCCATAGAGCCGAATGTAGAAGCGATTTAGAGAAGTACTGTAAGAAAGCTGTTGCTCAACTCCCTCCTGGTGAAATTCTTAGTGATATGGCAGCACTCGAATGTCTTCAGGAAGCTGGATACAGCGAGACCGAAAAACTGACTCCCGAATGTTCACAAGCTGTTTGGGAATTCAAGGTTCGCTTTATGAATGGATGCGTTTATTTCAAATTTAGATTGTTCTCACTCAAGACAAGAGATTTATCACGGCCATAAAGCATTTCTGTGACGCCGAGATGAAGGCCAATCCAGGAATCGCTGCTTGTGCGAACGATGAGAGGCCGGGATACGCTTTGTCTTGTGTTATGGATTTCGGACATACCATGGACCAGAACACCCGTTGTTTCCAGTTTTTGCGTAGGTTAAATCCATCACGGTCCATTTTTTCAAGTTCTGTCCTTATGTTGAAAATTTTATAGTGAGAACTGAGCGTTTGGCGTTTTCTGATTTCCGTTTGGTGGCCCCATTTGTTGATAAATGTGGCAAAACTGTGGCGGACCTTGGTTGTGGTACCTTGACAAAACCATCTGCCCATCAAGGGGCGCGGTATCCTCATTCTCAAGGATCTGTTCTTGAATGTTTAATCGACAAGATGGTGAATATCCCTAAGGACGCAGCTAAGGCTCAGATTATCCAGAACTTGCCCACTGAATGCCGAAAGGAGGTTATGAGAATAGCTGAGCTCCAATCCGAAGATTGGCATATGGATCGTCCTCTATACTTTGCATGTCGAGAGGACCGAGAACGATTCTGTTCGGAAGTTCAAGCCGGCGAAGGACGTGTGTTCCAATGTCTTATGGATCATAAAGATGACAAAACTATGGAGCCAGGAGTATGTTGTTGTAATTTATGCCCATGTTTTTACTTTAGTGTGCCAAAATTATTGCCGAGCGCGCTGGACTGATGGGCCAGGACTACAGACTGGCCCATCCTCTTCTCAAAGGATGTAAAAATGAAATGAAGGCTTATCAATGTACTCCTCAAGTTGGGTTTGAACGATCTCAAAACTTCCATCTGAGTTGGGTTCTTCTTTGTCTCGAGAATGGTCAACATCAATATAATAAGCAACAGCATGAGAAGCAACAGGCTGAGAAAGAGAACAAACAGCCCCAAGCTACTCCTGATCTAATGCCTTTCACACAGGAATGTAATCACGAAATGCAACAACACCGTTCGATGATGGTATCCGAATTCAGAATGAGTCCAGAATTGGTGATGACTTGCGCTCAAGTAAGTTGCATTATTATATCTATTTGGTGTTTAGGAAATCGACAAATATTGTAGTCCTAAGGGAGATCTGGAATCTGGAGGTAAAACTATTCATTGTCTGATGTCCCATGCTGAAGCTAGGGATGAAAAGAAAGTTCTTGGTCCCCAATGTGTGAACGCACTTCAACAGTTAATGAAAGTAGCGGATGTCGGATCGAATTATCGTGTGGACAAGGTCCTTTGGCAATCTTGTCGCCCTCTGATCGAAGGCAAATGTAAGATGGACGCTGTTTCCGAGGCCCAGACCTTAAGTTGTCTTATGGCAAATTTGGATGGACCGGATATGACTGATGATTGTGAGGACAGACTTCTGGAAGTGCAATACTTTATGGCCAGAGATTGGAGTTTGGATCCCCAGCTTTATGACTCTTGCCACAAAGATGCCATACAAAGGTGCGGTATTTTCTAGGGTTTTGTCTAGTTATGCTTAACTTATTAACGGATTTTTTTAGATGTTCCGCCGTTGACAACTGGCATCAGCCAAAAACGGACGAGGCTCGTGTCGACCCGGGGCCGCAAGTTCTTGCCTGTTTATACCGGAACTCTTATGACGAACAGCAACCTCTTTCCAAAGAATGTCAAGTCCAGGTCCACCGAGTGCTCAGGGAAAGAGCTCAACGGGTTAATTTGATCCCTGACATCGAGGAGAGCTGTCGGGATGCTCTTTCCGAATATTGTTCCCAAAATGTGAAACCTCAGGAGGTATGAACACGGAACTTTTTGATATTGTTTGTATTTTAACTGCGAACCTTACTGTTTTAGGAAATGAATTGTCTCCAAAAACAATTCGAGATCCCCCAGTTCAAGGAGAAACATCCAAAATGTCATGGAGAGATCTACAAGTTCACGCAAATGGAATCTAAGGACACAAAACTGAACAGACTTTTGACTGCTGCTTGTCGTCCCGTAATTGATGTCTATTGTAAGCAGCTGATGAATGAAGACATCGATCATGGAGATGTGATGATGTGCTTGTCACAGCACAAGGGTGCCCGCGAGATGAATAACAAGTGTAGATCTTATGTTCAGCATTTTGAGTTGATCTCTTTGAGGGATTACCATTTCAACTACAAGTTCACGCAAGCTTGCAAACCTGACATTGATCAATATTGTGCCGCATTTGGAAACGATGAGTAAGAGATTTGTTTTTTATTTTTATTCTTTTAGGGGAGCGATCATACGTTGTCTCTCTAATATCATGTTCGAACACAAGGTGTTGGGAGAAAGCAAAGATCTGCACAAGGAATGCAAGAAACAACTTCGAACGGCCTTCCTTCAACAAGAACAGGTGGATGTGAGTTTAGCTTATAGCCATAGGTAACGTAGGATTAGAGCCGGAGTATATTTCATTCTTTTTTGGGCGGTTTAAGAATAGGGGACTTGGTGAAAGATTAAGATGCTTGGTGGCGTTTTGTGGGTGATGTATTGGCATGTCGAGTTTCTGCTTACTTTCCTTTTAACCATCTTTGTTTTGACCGTTGTTAATACGAGCTGTTTCAGTTTGACGATAAAGAACATATGGGTGATGTCGATCCAGTCATGATGCAAGCTTGTGATGCCGATCTCTCCAGATACCAGTGTAAAAACAAAAAGAACTTTGAAGAGGTGGTCCAGTGTCTCAGGGAACATTTCGATGACTTGGCTGTTCAGTGTAAGCGCTTTGTATTCCAAAGACAAGAAGTGGAAGCAGCGGATAACAGTTTTGACACGGAATTACAAGTAAGTCTTCGTTAAACTATTTTTTGTTGTCCTCAAATGAGAATCTTTTTGTGGATAACGCAATGTTTAGCAGCAAACTTGGTGTGAAAATTTCGGATATTACTCTTAAACGTCTAGTAGTGTGTTTTACTCTTGCTTCTTCATTATCGTTTTGCTTGTAATACGACTTCTGTTGATCATGTATTTTTTAAGAGGACATGCAGTTTTGACATCAACAAGTATTGCCGATCCCAGAGTGACGATAAGGTTCTGGATTGTTTGAGTAACACCAAAATCATCAGACTGCTCCAAAAAGGATGCCAGAAGTTGGTAAAAGAGAGGATGTTGGAGAGATTTGAAGACGATCGGCTCAATCCTGGTCTCTTGGCTGCTTGCAAAGACGAAGCAGAAACGCAGTAGGTTATCATAACTGCGCTTCCGAAGATTTATAAAATGAATATTCAATTTTTTTTAGCTGCCCGGAAGAATATCGCCGTTTGAACAGCCCTCAGAGGTCTCAGGATGCTCTTGGCCCAGCCATTGCCAATTGTTTGAGAGCTAAATACTCCCAATTCAACAGTAAAGTACATCTAGGACCCCAATGCAAAGACGAGGTAGAAGAAAATATGTTTCTTTCATCTCTTTTAGGTATCAAAAATAATTTTGGAAAGTGAATTTGACGTTACTTTGGATCCCCAACTGTATCAGGCTTGCAAGGGAATCATCAACAGACATTGTTCTAACACCATCATCACAAAAGGAGGAAACTTTGACTCTGTCTTGGAATGTCTGAAGGCTGATCTTTACACAAATCAGATCTCGGATAGAAATTGTGCGGCTCAATTGATCAGGAGGACCCAGGAATCGTTGGTCGATATCCATATGGATCCATCTCTGCATGAAGCTTGCTCTGTGGATATTCAGAGGATCTGTCGTGAAGTACCGCCAGGACAAGGAAGAAGTAAGTTGTTATGTTTTAAATTCGTATAGTTGCCATACTTCTGGATTAAACATTTGCCTGAAATCTTTTAGTCATCACCTGTCTTATCGATGCTTTGGATGTCCCCCAAACTCCGATGTCGTCGGGATGCCGAACCAAGTTGGTGGAGAGGAAGAAGTTGTGGAATATGGCTCATGATGATTACAAGATGGAGCTCCCCGAAACCTGGGCAGAGGCCTATTCCGTGATTGCCAACCATCCTCAACGGACCTCCATCCTGACTGTCACGGGAGTTGTATTACTTGTACTTTTGTTGATCGGATGCTGCTGTGGACGCCTCACAAAACGCCAATATTCGGAATTGAAAAACCGTTAGGGAAAACACATATTTAATAATATATTCTAATTTTCCGTTATCCTTCCTAGCATTTCTAAGCGCGCCTTACCTTAGCTAATTCTTATATCTGGTTGCATCTAATATTCCATTTCACACTTATTTTTGGATCGGGTATTTAACCTCTCATCTGGCATAATTCTCTGTGATCGGTTCGAAAATTATTTTGTTAAATAAAAGTCTAATGTATTGTACTTGTTTTTTTTCCAAGAAATGTGACTCTCGCGCCCTAAGATTACAAAATCTTTTGTTTTGGTTTTTTGTAGACAAACCCGGGGTACAATATAATTAGTTACTGATACTTACTTTGCAGTGTAAAGATTAGTCTGACTCAGACTTCCGATTACATTCCTACAGTAATTTGATCACAATCGATGCCCTGAACGCGTGGACTTCAGAAGCCATGGCCTTTATGATTGGTGTGTTGTGGAAAGGAATTCGGTATTGAATAAACATTAACAACGTTCCTTGTTGTTTGCTCGGAAATTACTGCTCCGGAAAGCGCGAAATTAACCGTTAAGAGGGGGAAGGGTACCTCTTTCCTCTCGATTGAATTGCGCAATCTCAGGCTCCATTCCCCGAGTCGCCCCTTACTCTCAAAACAGTCTAACCACCAACATGATGTCTACACATTTGATGAATGGGGCTCAGGATGTCCCCGACTTCTATTCGGCCCCAGGCAAAACAGATATGTTCAAGGATTCCTCCCATCGAGAAGTGATTACGTACACGGAAGATGGCCGCGCTCTCATTGCCGGGAAGCCATTGGACAAGCGAGACCCCGAGGACATGTGGAGTCAATTGATTCTGCAGATGATGTGCCAACGTTTGGCCATCAACAGCAATAGTGAGTGAGAGTTTAAAAAGTAGTTTCGATTGTTCATCGAATGCTCTCGCGGGGAAGATTAAATTATTTGTTCAAAATACTGTAGTTTGTTACATTCAGGTAAGAGATCGCCAATACAGTAATTCAACCACTGAATTCATAACGGAGTTATTAGTTTTTTGTTTAATTCACCTCATTGAACGGCAAGCTCTGTTCTGCTTTAATGTTGTCTCAACACATTACTCTACTCATTTTACATAGTTTTTACGTTTAGATTTTTTATTTTTAAGGCAACATTACGGGAGAAGAATTAAATACTTTAAATTTTCAGGCCGAGAAAGCAAAATCAAACGGTTCTTCGGCCGAAATAGCAAGGTGGAGAAGAAAGAATCGACCGGTCGGATCTATGTGACCAATATCTCAATCAGCAATTAGCGCCCACACCCATCCCGTATTTGGAAGATCTCCTCTGCTTGTGTGATAATTAAATCAATAAAGACTGATGGCGTTTTTTGGAGAAGAAAAGATACAGTTTTTGTAGTGCTAGATAACTCTCCCACATGGGCTGGGGTCATTCACTCGGGTCTTGTTATTGTGCGTTCAGTTGGTACAGAAATTCTACCATTCGGAGGGTTTCATTCTTGCAAGTTTATATTCCAAACCGTTCTGATTACTGTAATTGAGCTGGGATAAAAGTTAATTTTTTAAGGCTTTTCTAGAGCTTAAAGTTCAACTTTTGCAATTTACGCATGCAAAGTTTATATTCTTTTTTAAATTTCGAACCTCCTTTTCCTTCCCGAAATTACAATTAAGACGTGAATTTTGAAAGGATTGCATAGAGCGGTTGTTGCTTTAAAGTCTTATCTTTTTTGTGCCTTGAAGCGTGCGTTGAAACGATGGCAAACAACAAGAAGACTGCCGAAAATCAGCTGGAGGAGTACCGTAAGAAGAACCGTCCCGAAGAAATGCGGACTTCTTACGGAGCCCCAATCTCCTCACGAACAGCGTCCATCACCGCCGGTCCTCGAGGTCCTCTCTTGATCCAAGATGCCGTCTTTCTCGATGAACTGGCCCATTTCGATCGGGAGAGAATCCCCGAGAGAGTGGTGCATGCCAAGGGAGTTGGGGCTCATGGATACTTTGAGGTGACACATGACATAACCAAGTACACCAAGGCCTGTATCTTCGCCGAAATCGGAAAGAAAACCCCCATGTTCTTGAGATTCTCGACTGTCGGCAAGTTACCTGTCCTTTATTTTTTGTCATCCCTACCATATTATTCTAAATAAATTTTGTTTTCAGGTGGCGAAAGTGGAAGTGCGGATACTGCCCGTGATCCCCGTGGATTTGCCATGAAGTTCTACACGGAGGAAGGAAACTGGGATCTGGTGGGAAACAACACCCCGATCTTCTTCATCAGAGACCCCATCCTCTTCCCCAGCTTCATTCACACCCAGAAAAGAAATCCGGCGACCCATCTGAAAGACCCCAATATGGTCTGGGACTTCTTTTCTCTCCGCCCCGAGGCTATGCATCAGTTCATGTTCTTGTTCGGAGATAGGGGAACTCCCGATGGCGTCAGATTTATGAATGGATATGGATCTCACACTTTCAAATTGGTCAACGCAAAGGGAGAAGCTGTCTGGTGTAAATTCCATGCTAAGGTGAGACCATAACCACACACTTAATTTTGCTTCAGACTGCCCAAGGAATCAAGAATTTGTCATCCGCGGAGGCCGAAAAACTCACCGGAACAGATCCGGATTATTCCATCAGAGATTTGTACAATGCCATCGAGCGCGGAGACTATCCTCAATGGAACTTCTTCATCCAGGTGATCAATTTTCTATTTTCTTTGCAATTTTTATTACTCACTGCTTTTAACTCTACCGTATCTTAGGTGATGACATTTGAACAAGCGGATAAGTTCCGTTGGAATCCCTTCGATTTGACCAAGGTCTGGCCCCATTCCGAGTTCCCGTTGATCCCGGTCGGAAAGTTTGTCCTCAATAGAAACCCGGCCAATTATTTTGCCGAGGTTGAGCAAGCCGCGTTTTCTCCGGCTCATGTCATCCCTGGAATTGATTTCTCTCCGGACAAGATGTTGCAAGGACGTCTCTTCTCTTACACCGACACCCATTATCATCGTCTTGGACCCAATTACAACCAGTTGCCAATCAATTGCCCTTATAAGACTCGAGTGCGGAATATCCAAAGGTGAGTTGTGGAAACATTCTGGACTGATTCCTTTTTGATTTTGAAAATCAATTAAAAATTCTTCAGGGATGGTTTAATGGCCTATTCGACCAACCAGGGGTCTGCCCCCAACTTCCATCCGACTTCTTTCAACGGAACTGTGACTCGAGGACCTCCCGAACACAAATGGACTGTATCTGGAGAGGTGGGAAGATACGAGACTGGAGGCGAGGACAACTACAGTCAGCCCAAGATCTTCTGGGAAAAGGTATGTTTAAACACATGGCTGTATGAGTCACAATCACCATATTGTTTGAGTTTCCGGGGTTGCTGATAAGAGAATAGCATTAGCATTTGTACAACATGTTTTTTAGGTGCTCGATGAAGGCGCTCGCGCTCGCTTGGTCCAGAATATCGTGGATTCTCTGAGCGGCGCAACTGATGCTGTCCAGGATCGTTGTGTGGTTCATTTTAATCGTGTCCATGAGGACTTTGGTCGCGCCGTCTCTGATGGATTAAAGGCCAAGAAGGTCAAGGCCCATTTGTAAATTACTATTCCAAAATAAACGTATTTTAGACCTTTTATGCTTTTCTTTTCACTCGTTACAAGTGTTAAATAAGTCACGTTCTTTATAATCCATTTATAGATGTAAACTAACGTATTATTTAACCGGTCATTTGCGAAGAAGCTTGAGTCCTGAAAAACAGCTTTAGTAAGAAAAAATATTCTTCACTTTTCGACAGAACCGTGCCCTCTTTTTGTCGATTTTTGGGATTGGCGGCTCTTTCCAGACTTGTTTTTGTACGATTTTCCAGATCCGGCCGAACGGCTCGAGTCGGAACGAATTGAGACCAGCTGTAAGTAGAGTTAACGTAAATGTAAATAGGGAATAAAATGATTCATCGCTACTCTCTTCAACCCAAGGCTACAGTATCTCACTTACGTCATCTTGTTTAAGGAGGCGTCTTCTGTTGGGTGGATGTCTCTCCAAGATCTTATGGGTACCCGCAGAGAATTCAAACTTGGCTGGAAAATAATAGGCGGGAGGTAACTTTTCGAGAATCATCTTGACCTCTTTCGTGGTCACTGCCAGAATCTCTCGAGGAATCTTTTTGCCAATGGCTTGGGTAATATCAGTCAGGGAATTGGCAATGAGGCTGACAGATGCCCTAAACATTTGAACTTGAACTCATGCTAGTTCTATACATCCTACTATGCATAGCTATGTATAATAAAAATACTTACCTGTAGTAATTGATCTTGGCCTCGAGGATCTTTACTTCTTCTTTAACATGCTGTTTCAGAGTCAATGGAATTTCTCTTTTTCTGTTTTCCTCTCCTTTGTAAGGATCTTCCATGACAATATAATTCCGACAATCTTCTCTGACCTTATCTCTTTCCACTGGATTCAAGGAGAATATGTCGGCTTGACAACAAACAGCCTCAAAGCAGATTAAAGTGTAATCCAGGACCTCTCCGCATTCCTTTCCGTATTGACTAAAGATCTTCCGATGTTTCTCCAACCAAGACCTGATCTTGGTCATGAAAATGAGAAGCGATCCACACATCTGGATCAAGGTCCGAAGTCGATACATGACTGAGATCTCGGCCAGGGAGGTCCATTTCTCCTTCTTCACAGGGATATAATCTCCGCTTTCTTCGGTGTTCCCATCCTTTGGCACTTCGTATTCATTCCGAAGACGTCGTTGGAGATTCTTCAGTTCGTCTTGGCCAGCTTCAACTTTAACTCCTTGTTCCAACTTTCTGCCGGCTTCGATTGTTTTAGCCGACTTTCCGCTGTCATCACCGCTCACTGTAATAAGAAATAGTTACGGTAAAAATGTTCTGGCAAACCCTAAAAAAAATTTTTTTAATCATTGACTTGGCACTTATTTTGTGATAGGAATTACAGTAACACTTACGAGTGTCATCGATCATGACTTTCTTTCTCAGACAATGTTCAGTTAGGGGGACCAGGTATAATTCCTTCACATTATGGGTGTATGCTTCCAGAATCGATTTCTAAGCACATTCGTTTACTATAATATATACTCACATTCCAATCCAAGAAGTACATGCTGGCGACGATGTAGTCCAATTGAGATTTACTTGGTTTCTGAGCGACCAGATTGGTGGAGTCGGACTAAAAGCAGATAAAAAACTGCAATAGATCACGCTGATTCTCACCTCTGGCGTCGGCCGTTGACTCTTCCTACTTTTTTGACTTTTTTTGCTCTTTTTCGACATCAGCAATATTCGAAATCAACCGTCCAACAACGAAAAATGCGTGAAATAAATTGCAAAGAGAATTTAATTTTTTTTCGGGTCAGCGACAGTTCGGGTGTGAATGCATACAACGATGAGGAAGGGATGTGATGCAAGGTGGCACGGAGATTTGACATGGAAATGAAGTTTACTTTTGCGAAAGAGTATTTGAACAAAAATTAATTATTAATTCCACCTGTAAAAGAAAACACGGAAAATAACAGTGATGCCTAGGGTCGTTATTACTATAATTTGACATGATTTTTCAAAACGGCTTCGACTTGCGCCAAAGTTGCCGTCATTTTTACCATTTTGGGCAATTGTAAATTAAAAGTTTTGATATACGAAGTTTTCACACTCGAGTATGACATATACTGTGATAAATTAATATTAGTCGTAACTATATTTTTACCGTTACGGTCGTTTTGACAAGAAGGAGCAATTTTATTCGCTGTATTAATAGTGGTTAGTAATCCGTCAAAGCATGGGCAACGTCCAGATTGGCAACGGCTTCTTTCTGGACTTCTTGAGGTTTTCTATTGTCGGATGTAAATTACTGCTTTTGAAGCAATGGTGTAGATTATTCAGATTCCTGCACTTATCAGCACCAGGGATAAATTTAACATTTACGGTAGAAAAAGCCGTTTTTGTGTAGCACCTGTTGACGGTAATTTTCATCCAAGAAACTCAAAATAGTTTTTTTTTTAAATGTCGACGCCTAACTGATGGCTGATGCACTGAAAAAAATCATCTTTTAGACGATGGCGTCCATAATTATGTAATATACAGTAAAAATATTTATTCATATGTGTTTGGCGGTAGCATTTGGCGTCTTAAGTGCAGTATAGTGGAGCTTCCATTTTTCTGTCGGCGTAAGGTTTTTCGCGAAAATTTGTAAGTATGTCGAATCACCTGAATTTATTTCGATAGAATAAATTTTTAATTTTGAATTCGAAAGTGCTAATTAGGTATAAATAAAGGAACTGATGAAATAATCGACAAACTTACCGTTTCCTGGTTCCAAGTGCAAGTATCCAAACGTTTTCGATTTATAAAGTTTCAAAAAAAGAGCCGTTTGTTTCACGTGGCCATCGTATTTTTTGTTTATATCACACTTCGCCTCAGGCTATGAGTCAAATGATCCGTCAAATTTTATTTTTCTATCTCCTGAGGTTAAAATCTGATATCTTTTCCGAAAACGTTACAGGGAATGTAACTAACAGGTACCTTCTCTGTAGAATAAAATTAATTTTCTTATAGCGATTGTAATGAAGAATGGGGAGTTTTATGTGCAGATGGATTGCAATGCATTCAAAAAACATACATGTGTGACGGGAAAAGAGATTGCAAAGATTGGTCGGACGAGTCCAAGGCATACTGTATTGGGGAGAACGAAAAGGATATGGTAAATAAAATAATATTACTTGAGGTGGGTTAAGTTTGAGGTCCTTTCGGACCGCGACAATCGGGGAAAATTTAGAAGGCACCGCGACATTTCCAGAATTTGGACGTGGTTGAATTCTTTTTTTAGGATGACTTATCTCGATCATTTGTGCAAAATTTTGATAAAAGCTGGCCATTTCCTAGATTATTTGTAATATTACACTTAAAATTACACTTGATTCTCTCCTTCGTTTATTCCGTGGGTTCAGATGTTTATTATTTATACAGGGTGTACCAAAAAAATGGAAACTTGTTTTCATAGTTATATTTTTTCGGAGAATCAAAATTCAGCAAAAGTAACGGTCATGATTGGTAACATAGAGCATTGTTTATAACATGTTCAACCTGTTTTACAGTGGCTGCCTTTGGTGGCGATATAGAGCTCCAAACGTGACGTAAAATTTTGGGGTCCGGGCCGCAGCTTTTTAAGGGGGAAATCGGTCCCGCTCTTGGGGCATCATTTACTTTGCGACTCCAAACTTTTGTGGAGAATAGTACAGGTGCCGGCCTTCTATTTAAAAAAATATATAGTCCATTGGATTCAGATCTGGCGAGCAGGCGGTCATTTCGCAGGCGGGATAAAATCGGGAAAATCGGTCCCATTTCGGGTCCTGAGTCGATTTTGCCTTGTGAGCCGGCGCTGAGTCCTGCTGAAACGCCAATTTTGCATTGCCAAGGTTCTGCTGAGCTCACGGAAGCACGACAAAATAAAAATTAACGCGGCGCTAGTATTTTGTCCCATTTATTCACGAAAAACATGGAATTCTTGCCGCTGGCACAAATTCCGCCTAAAGCAATGACGACCCGGATTTTGGTGGTATTCGACGATGGCCAATAGGCTAGGAACCTCATTGAAGCAGATTCTATCGTTCTGGTGGTTGTGTATCCGCTAAATATTGAACCGCGAACTGAATGCGCTCATGTCTCGGAGCTGCGGCCCACCCCTTTGACTTTCCGACATTTTTGCGCTGTACGCACTTTCTCTCGACTTTAAAGATATGAATTTTTTAGAGCTTGTGTGGGATGAGGTTAAGCTCGCCTTTGACTATTCGGCCGAGCGATCGGTCGCTGATGTCAGTCTCAAGGGCAAGTTTTTCTTGAAAATCGCGGATTTTGCTGTGGGGGATCTTTCGGTTGAAAGATGCGCTGGCGGTGCGTTTTCTTTCACTTCCTGGGCGCTTACTATCCGTATCAATCTCCTTGGGCCTCGTGATTACTTTCGACACAACGTTCTTTCTATACCGAGCAAATTAACTGTTCGAACAGCTCCAAAAACAAGTCAAAAATCGAGGTCCCTTTGTTTGAAGTTCAAAAAGACAGGTCGATTAATCGATATGGGCCTAAAAATCAAACCACTAGGACAGAAAAACACAGAGAATGGCTACACCTAACCATTTTTGCTTCAGGACAAATGAAAAAAAGTTTCCATTTTTTTGGTACCCCCTGTAATATGGGATATCAAGTTTATTTTTTGCTTTACTCATTCTTTCTAAATTTGTCCATACGTGCAAATGCATTCATCATTTACATGAATCTTATCCAAACAGAAACTTGGCAATGTTTCGAATAAAACGGATCCTTGGCCTCCCTCCTAATAAATATAATATCCGCGACGTTTAATAATTCAAAACACAATACTACAAACCTTTGTTTACAAGTGTAACATTTAATTGTTTTTGATCCAGGTCAGCTGAGAATTCAAAGTCTTTGTACTAAAAATAATTGAAATGCTTTTACGATCAGAGTTTCTTTATGTGTAAAGCCTCACAAAATGAGATGTTTGTTATAACTGCTTAAAAAGTTTGACATAAACGAATACGAATACGATACGCCTGTCAACGAATGAAAGTACGTGAGAAAAGAAGACATCGCATAATATATAGAAGGGATGCCCGTTACGTGTAGATGTCCATGCGATATTATCCTTGTCTCTCAATTGTAGTTTTTGATTAAAAATTATGCAAAATTGAGTGTGCAGAAAACATTGTTGCATTTTACTTGACAATTCGTATTTTAGGATCTGGTTAGATCGATGGATTCTTGTGAAGATCACTGGTTTTCGTGTCGAGACGCCCGTTTCTGTCTTCATCCTCTTCTTGTTTGCGATGGAATTCGTCAATGCAAGTAAGTACTTTCTGATCAACATGTAAGCTTGTTTTAAGCCTACTAATTAGTGGATACTATCCTTGCAAAGGGTTGTTTTCGTCGATAAACCATAACATCTTGCCATTTAGATGGATGCAAATGCCAAGTAGTCTTATTCGATAAAAAAACTAATGACACAGAATTGAAGGGCAGGATAGATTATAATATTTATTTAAATACACCGGATGGGCAATATGTGTTCCTTAGGGCATCGAGACATTCGATGGGAAGCAGAGGTTACGTTATTTTCAGAACAAAAAAATTTGAATATTTAAATATCAAAACACTTGAGTTTGTACTTGGAACGAGTTATACAAGTCCAACAAGCAGCGAGGAGGAGGACATACGGCCACATCCATAAATTATATTATTATTACATTAACACAGCTACATTCAGAGACGGCTCCGATGAAGCGGCGCATTGTTTTTATCTCAACTTTATCCGATTCAACGCCACCAATTAACGTCAAAACCGAAGATCTGCGCACAATCTGGCCACTAGCGAGTCGACCAGTCGGTCCGTGGACATGGTCTTGGCACACAGTGTCATCATCTTCTCTATCACCACATCCGGATCGTCTTCTATCCCTGTAAAGAATTTGTAATGTGGGAAAATAAAGTATATAGCCTCAGGGAATTTTCGTTTTTTGAAGATTATGGACGCATAGATAATAGTTTTGGTACTCAGAAGTTCTCATGTCTGAATTTGCAGAGAAGTTATTGTTGTTTTAAAGTGAAAAGAAATAAAAAAACATAATCCAAATACCATTCTTGCTAAAAACTAACAAAAGTTGCGTGTTTTGAGAGCAAAAGTACTGCATGTTCTCATAAATTACGTCAAATTCATTTCAATTCTCGGTTTCCCTCAAATAAAATCCTCTTACAATTTGTTAAACCTCGTGTATAACTAAGTGTGCGACACTTTGGAACTAATCCGATAATTAAAAACACTGTAACAACCCTAAACGCGATTCTGACGTGGTAAGCCGTCGAAAATGATCTAAATATAAGAGAAGATATCGAAAAGTTGAGAGATCATCTCGGCCTAACACTCCCTCAAAGATATCACGGTTAAGCCGACAAAACGCTTGTTGGTACGTCAATATCACTTTTAATCCGTGACTGGTTAGCCAGCGGCGGTGTTCCCATCACTAATCCGTTCCGTTCACATTACAGTAATCCTGATGTGAACCATAATGTCCAGGGAATATAATAATTAATAGGATGCACTTCCGATGGTGTCAGAGACAGATGCAAATAGTTCTCTGTCTTCCAAAACTATGCACAAAGAGCGAAAATTAGAACGGCATGACGTTGGAAAGCCCGATCCCAGTGGGGGAGTATAATATCATGCGAAATGAGGACATTACCCATGCAAAATGGAATGGGATTTGTATCCGAATGAACGTAGCTTGAGATAATTCGAGTTGCAAACAGAATGATTAGAGAGATTGTAGTCGATAACAAAGATATTACACTTGAGATTGAATTTGGAAATTGCAAAATAAAGGGTACTTTGGTGCAAAAAGAAGAACAAAGGACCGGACAATAACATTATTTTGATATATAATCTGCATAGTTTGAGTCTAACATCAAAAATCGGACTGAATAACATTCAAATTTTAAAAATTTTAATTTTAAATCAGTTCAAACTCCAAAAAAAGAAAATTTTAAAATAAAATTAAAAAAACATACTCTGTAATTTGTATGCACTGGGTAGAACAGCTGCTGAGATTGTGTTTAATGTCATCCATATAACCCATAACATCCAATTCGAACGCATCTCTGCAATTCTCATATTCAATGTGATACTCGGGGTTTAACAATATTCATGCGTAAGGCGGTCTCACGGATCGTATATCACATAAAAAAAAAGAGTTTCACGCAATGTAGAAGAACAGAACATCACTTGGCAGATGGATGAAATTGAAAATGTAACCCGGATAAATTGGGATATTGAGGAAGAAAAAAAAAACATTTAATCAGAATAGAGAAGTGAAGACGGGTAACTTTAATATTCGAGAAGTTAAAAATAAAATGACATAGAACAGAGAATGAGGAGAAAGTCTGACAACCTGGATTCGGAAGCAGGAAAGGTAGTCCGGGATGAAGAAAATTACATTCAGAAATGTGAGTCTAATGATTTAAAGAAACTTTTGCAACCTTGCATTAGTCAAAAAGTGCAGAGAATCCTTTTCTTTTTTTTGAATATCACAAACTCACGGTCTGCCGATGACAGAACAGGCCCTCAGGGCATCTCATATTAATTTCGAGGTCATTGAACGGAGAATTTATTCATTAAAATTCGTATACTGACGGCAGACATACGCGGAAGAATAATATGGGCGGGAGATTGTACTAGTACCCCCAGTCTTGCTCTTATTACTACTTTCATTACATTATTTGTAATCTTTATTAGAGAAAGTGACGGGAATTGGGATGCCAACTGTATAATCACGTATTTTATATTGCTTGCGAGGACAGAAATCTTAATTTATTTTTACGGAGGAATAAATAGACGATATTGTTATTGCTGAGATATTATTACAAATATTCTAGGGATCATCAAGAGGGACATTAAAGCACCAAGTACTCAGCCAAGCCCTCCAAATCGGTTTAGCCCTAATACTCGGAGGATGGTGCGAGTATGTGTAAAAACTTGTGTTAAAAGGTAGTAAATGACATCGCAAAATAATTTCAGGATGAAAAAAGTACAAAATCATCGATTAAATTGATTAAATACAAATTTAACAACATAAGTCATCATTTTTGATGCTATCTTAACCACAACCCAAATCCCTCCCTCATCTACATCCGCATCTAATAATATCATGTTCTAAGTCATAATGCAACAAACCCCTTATCCTTTTACGTTTACTTATATATAGACATAATTCGAACACACGAACACTAATTTATTGGACTAGGATTAATTATTCCAGTACTTATGTCCACCGTCCCCCTATTTTTAGGCTTAATTTTGCACGTCCATCCAGTGCCAAGCCCCGCCCCTTTTTTGATGTTAATACGAAAAAATATAAAGAAAGACATGCCCTCAGGTCCTAAATATTAATTACTCAGTTTTCCCAATAGAAGCAACATTAAGATTTGGGATGGATAATGTCAATTACGCTTGAGATCACAAACACTGCAAATAAATGGATAATAAGGTAGATCATATGTAATCAACAGCTAGGAAGTGTAGTTAAATACACGATGAAGCCCCTTAATTGAACAGTTACTTCTTTAGTGGGCAAACGTTCTTCGTTACGTTTACCTTTGGGAAGCTGCCACAAATTACTGTATATTACATTGGAAATACCAAAGGAGACATGTCCCAGGAGTGGGACAAAAAATTCAGTTTATGTATGAATTGTAAGACGAAGCAAAAAAAAATTCTCGACTCTCCGACAAATTGTCCTATAGTGTGTAGGCAAGGACCGCTTATTATATCGATTTCACTTGCAAATCATCAGCCAAAATTTTCCGAAATCTATGTAAGAATGAATAAATAAAACCGATTATGGTGGGATTTTGAAAAAAACGCTAAATTTGCTTTCCCGTGCTATTTTCCCATATCGGCCTCATTTTTGTGACCTTAAAAAAATTTAAAAAGTCACAGCATGAAATTTTTTTGTCGTAACTATCGGTTACAGTATCAAAAGACGAAATTTATACTTTAGCTGCAAAATGGAAGATTAAATGAGACGAAGGGAATAAAGAAGCCATATTAGAGGAGGAAGGTCGCTAACCAGTAATTATTATTTTAAGGCTACTGATCATAACACAGAGTTCAGAGATAAGCATGCGGAAAACGTTTGGAGTTGGAGATGGGAGTAATAAACAAGGTTTGGGGGAAAAACGTAAATTCGTGCAAGAAATGATTAGAAATCCGTAAATTCTCTTTCAAAAAAGCACTAGTCAAACCCTGTGTTAGCAACTTTCGGACCGATCTTTAGAAAATGACCAAATTTCTTCCTTCACCTCCGAAAGCCAATCCAACAGTTCATGTAGACCTAGACCACGTGATTAGAAAGCTAAAAGATATGCCCTATTCATTCCCCTTCTAATATAACGGCCTTTACAATCTCTAAATTCCTTACAATTAGGCTCCTACTCCACCTTATAATTAAATCTCCCTCTATAAATTGTCATTTCGAATTAATTCAGCGGATTATTTAAATTCACCGTGCCTACGGTAAATGATATGTCACTTCCGATGATGTTGGTTTTCCTCTTTCGAGAAACATTAATGCACCACTCAAGATGGGAAAAGCAGTAATTGCAGGAAAGAACAACTAACCCCACGACGAGATTCTATATTCTGGAACATATAAATTTTAAATAGTGCACGATTTATGGTTCAAACAGCTCGTGGTGGCGCCAAATGTTCTTCCTTATAAGAAAAGAAAGAGTATAGAAATCCGGATAAAAATTTATATAACTTTAGTCTGAAGTGCAATATAAAATATACAAACTGAGAAAAGAAAGAAATAACAGGAAAGTATCACAGTTTTCGAATCCCAAGAAACTTAATTAATGAACAATATCTTCCAGGAAGTGCTCGTCCTCGTCATCAATGACTTGGTTCGAATTGAAAAACATCCTCGAGGACTGGAGATTGTAACTCAAATAATCAAATTCAGCCTCGATTTCTTGGAACCGGGCTAGCCGAATTGCCAGAGTCTGAGCGAAGAAGTTGTCCTTGTTCCTCTGAGCTGTTTGTTCTTCCTTCTGAGTTACTTTCAACAAATTATTTAAATTGATTTGAACTGATTCAAACCAATTCACGGAATCGAAAAAGTAATCCTGATTGAGAACAGAGAGAATAAACGCTACACCCATGGGGAAACCATCTTCCACAAATATTAGTTCATGATCGGCCGAACTGGTCTTCAAAGACTTGGCTTTGGACGCAAACAGATATTCAACATAATTGATGGACAGAGGCGGGATCAGGATGAAGAAGTTCCTGAGATGAGCAAACCTTTCCAGATTCCTCAACTCCTTCGAGAATACCTGCAGCATCAACTGAAACGAATATATTATACCTTACAATTCACCAATATCATTCCTAGTATAATAAACGACCTACTTGTATGTAATCATTGTCTTTCTGAAACGGCGTCAACGAATTGTTGAGACAATCGATGAATGTCCCCATCGGATTGGCCTTAATCGCATTGTCTTCAATGGACTCCATCTCGGCCGTAAAACAATTCACATTCAGAATGGCGGACTGTAGCATCCGAACAAAGCCGAGGGTGTTGCCGATCTCCACAATTACTTGTCTAAATGCTTCTAGAAGAGTTTGGCCTTTGGCTGTTGTGCCCAGCTTCACAATCGAGGCGTTGAACTTCTCGGCTCGACGAACGGGATACTGCAATTTAAAAAACAATCACCAAAGTTAACCACAAATGACATGTCTATTCCTGTTTTCTCACCATTTGATCGAGTTCATCAATGTTATCTCGGTAATATCGGATATCCTTCATCAGCTGCAACTTGATCTGCTCGTTGAACATCATTTTGGAAAACAGTTTTAATTTCTTTTTCAACACATTGTAGGCAACATTCAACTGCAAACAACAGACATTAATTTAATCTTCTTAATCCTACCGTATTATGAACAATACCCATCCCCCGGGTTTTAATGGAAGACACGACGTTCTTTACCCGCATTACATTCAGCATCTTCGTGGCCGACTTTTTCTCGTAGAAAGCCTCAAATTAGTAATTAGATGATGACAACAGAAGGCGATGACATTATTCGCAAACGCTTCTATAGATCTTACCTGCTCCTTCAGGTCATAACAATAACTCTCAACGAAGCTATCCAAACTGGCTGTTACTTTCAGGATGTCCAATCCCTGATCGATGGCCATATGTGGAAGATTGCTGTCCAATAAATCCAGATTGAACCTCTTTTTGGCCAATAATCTCATCTGTGAATATGTCTCCGAGTCATGCAAAGCGACTACAGTCAGCTCGTAGAACACCTTCTGGATGTTTTTTTCAATTTTCTCCTTCAAACTCAATTGATATCCCATAAGAGTTAACGGTCCTAATTCGATCAATTCGCGAATTCTTTGGAAATTTTCTTGATTTTCATACAAGTACGGAGTCTTGCCTTTTTTGGTCTTGAAGATCTCGGTCTCAATGAAATCCTCGTCAATGTTCTGATGGGAATGTGCAAGGACCCGCAGGTCGTTCTCAATATTCGTACAGAGTTTGTCTATTAGATTCTGCAAGATATGATGTAGAATCTGTGAGATAATAAGATACAGCAAGAAAAATAAAACAATAATTTACCTCCTCAACTGATGCAAAAATATCCTCTCTGAAGTCATCAACAATTTTATCGACTGGCTTATGTCTGCAATGTTGAATGATGGCACTTGAATCGTCCAACGCATTAAAGAACTTCTAAAATAGATCAACATAAAAAACACTACTTACTTTTACCCCGTCTGCATTAGATTCCATTGTAATCAACGATTCAAAATAAATATTGGCAATACTCCGGTGGAAATAAAGGAAAGAACAGTCGGTTACTCGATTGATTATATCGCCAATCATAGATATTGAATCCAATCGAACCAAGATTTCATCGATCTCTAGTATCTCCGAAGTCCGCAGATTCTTCTAAAAGGACAGTGAAAAGTTATCGTGATCGTACCAGGTAATTGGCCATATCCAATGCAAATCCTACAGCCATGAGTCCCTGTTTAGAAGAAGAATTGCTCAAATATAAGCAAGAAAGATGAATGGCCGAGAGAACATCGAGATTGTAAGGGTCGGGTTTGCTGTTATTACTCATTGCCTGTCGGATTCCTTCGATTAACCGGACGAAACATTTACTCCAGTATTGTCTGGCCTGCAATGTCCATTCGATCACATTATTCCAATAGTAGGTGATAGTATCTTTGACAATCTGAAAATATGAAATGTAAAAATAATGTTACCAAATGCAATGAAGCCATGATCACAAACCTGCATAACCTCAATCAGCCGGAATAAATGAAGAGCATTTGATCTGGAGATAGCCCTGTCCTTGAAGAGATGTGCATTAAGGATACATTTGACCAATCGTCCCACTCTATCAGCTAATCTGGCTCCCTTTAGAAGAACATTGAACCTGAGAACGGTGGTCTGATTGGCCGTTCCATTCCCCAACCCATTGGTCGTATCCTTGATTACATTTATCATCTCCGCTTTCCATTCGTTGACAATCTCTTGTGCCAGTTGAGTCTCCCGTTGTAATTGCTCGGTCTGTTGAGTCAGCATTAAATTAATGGATTCATCCAAAGTCTGGCCATTCAAACATTTCACCGAAGCCTCATGCAGATTCCCCTTTAGAAACATTAAGGGAAGAAAGAGAAGATCGCCCGTTAAATGAAATCCGGTCAATCTCTTCTGCGTCGCCGAAATCTGCTTGATCAGCCTTTTATCAGCATTGATGCCCACTAAATAACTATGAAGAACGGTCAAATTACAAAGGACTAATAGACGTTGTCGATCGGGAATATCATTTTGTGCAACTTGGTCCCATTTATATAAAGAATCGCTTATAATTGTGCGGAATCTCTCCAAAAATGGCTTATTCTTCGTGATTGTCTCGAACCCTGATGACGCACAGAACCCCTAAGCATTTTTAAAAATAACAAAAGTACCACTTACCTTAACTAGAGACTGCGAAAACAATTCTCTATCCACAGAGTTAACGGTATTCATCAGTAATACAAGCTGATCTCGTTCGGAATTTAACCCAAATTGTCCAGGATTCTGAGCAACCAACATGATCGAGTTCTTATAGGTATGGAAGTGAGCTTTGATAAAGGGCCGGTGAACAAAGATCTCCTCGACTGTCGCTAGTATTACCAAAGCATCTCCTAGACATCTCCACAACCGCCAAAGAGGGCGTTCTTTTGCTTTTGCCAGTAAGTTTTCTCTAAAAATAAAAAAAAATAAATGAAGCTACTGTATACAGTATTTTGTACCCACTTTAGTTCAAAAAATCTGTAAAGCTGTTGGAGGATGGAGCCCGCCACTTCCTTTACTCTGAGAACAAACGAGGAAAGATTGTGTAAGAAGGGAAAGAAGTTGGACATAGTCTCAATGACTTCCCCTTGGCTTTTATCTTCACCTAAATAAAAAGGTTAATCATGATAACGGAGACCTACCATCTTCACCATAAAGTAAAAGCACATTATATATCCTTTCTCTCGCTTCTGAGGCTAGTTTATCAACTTCGATAGCGAGATTAAGAAATGCGTACACACATTTATCAACCATGTCGTTCCCACTGTTCAGAGCACCACAAATCGGCGGAGAGTCGGGTATTGCACATCTTACATAGGTTTTGGTATCATCGGGTGTAAAAACTTGGGCGCCAAACGCCTTTTCATTCTCCAAGACTTCCTTAATTCTATTAATTTCGTGGTTCCCTGCTCGTTCATCGACTTTTAGATCCATTATTATTACATAAATAAAAATATTTATATACCGACTGGTCTATACATACAATGTATTTCGCATAGAAACAATCTATATTTTTTATAATATTTATTCAATTTGTTTGGCTTATCGTCAAGAAAAAACGTTTTCGTGGCGAAATGAAAGATTTAGCGCAGCCAAATTCGTTTTCAACGGTCCTGGCAACTACATACTACCTGGAGGGGGTTCCGACGGTTCAAAAACTTGGTTCTGAGGTCGAAAACTATTACCATGACCCCACTTGATAACAACAGTTTATCTTCATAACAAGTAACAAAACAAACAGTACATGATATAAATCCATGCCTACTCCATTTCGACATCTTTTGAAAACCCAGTAGGTAGTTCTACAATTGGTGATACTGACTTCTTCTGAATAAAATGAGGGGTGAATGTCCATCGAGGGAAGACTCTCTTGAATAAGTTCATCTTTACGGCGTCTTGCTTGCCCAAGGGTAAATTGAAGACACATTTCATTAGACCATGGGTACCGATGGAGTCTTTGATATGACCTCTGTGACCGTTATCTGTGTAGAGTTCAACCGGCTTGAACCAATCAATATCTTCTGAAAACAGCGTTACAGTAAACAATATAATTGGCTAATGACTCACCCTTGTTGAAGAACATAAATCTGACAACGGCGGACCTCTTGTTGATCTTATAAGGGTGTCCCGTTAGAACGATTCTCTTCAAGACAATACGATCTGGGTTCGCATTCAGAACGGACCCATATGCGACAAAGCTCTCGTTTCCATCCACATCTCGTTTGAAGACCAACACTGGGCAGGGACCGAATGTCACCGGGCCGTAGAAACTGGCGACGAATGGAGTCCCTTCAGGCATGAATCTCTCCATTTTGAACTTATCTCCCGTGGAGTGTTCTGAGAAGATAGGATCCACCACAAATCTCCTTGATCCCACATGGAATACCAAACTTTCCTTGTTCTTTATGGGGATTTTACATCCATTATATTTTCTAAGGACCACATTCATCACAGAGAACTTGTTTTCATGCTTCAAAAGTCCATACAAAGCCAGTGGATATCTGGGGTCAATCTCGTCTAAAACAAAAATAATCGTTAACAATTTAACTTACTCAAGATATGTGAGGGGACATTCTTCAAATATACTGTAACATAAGAGCCCGTCTTTGCCACCTGATTCGCATTTTGATCAGAGTAATCGGATTCCTGAGTCTTGACAACAAGTCTTTTTGTTCTCGAGAAACATGCGAATTTGAATATACGGGCATAATCAATGGGCAAATTCTCCTTAACATCCCACGGAGAAGTTCTAAAAAATAAACAACCATGGAGGGGACGACCTACCGGAAACTCTTGAGACCTCTATATTTCTGGAACCTGACCCGAGCTTGCTGATCCATGGGGCATTCCATCTGATCCGGCCACTTTCTGTCTTCATTCTCTTCTCTGAATTTCCTAACTTCATCTTCATCAGCTGGTCGATCCTCTATCCCAGCCATGGAGATAGTTTCATTCATAGCTGATCCGACACTGGCTGCATCCATCTCATCATCCTCTTCTAATGGATTCATATCTTTATCCAACCGATCTCCGTCATTATCATCACTCTCGTCTTCTTCATCCAGGTCCTCATCGTCATCGTCTTCTCCCTCCTCGTCATCGTCATAATCTTCGTTGTCGATAATCCAAGACGCTTGGTACTCTGACATTCCAGCTGGCACTTTTCTCTTCAATTTAGGCACTTTAACTGAAGAAAAAATAATTATTATAATTGCAATGCGACTTACAAACTCCATCGAATTGTGGATTCTCATCAATCTCGGGCTGTTCCGATTCCATTGGATCTGGAACAACTTCTGACTGTAACGATTCTTGTAGGGCCTGATCCGCTACCGCTATTACATCGGGCTTGCTGTTAGGATCGTACTAAAGCAATATCACTATTACCAAAATAGGTATGAAGCAACAAAAATTCGTTAAAAATTTACCACTTTTCTTTTCAAGGGCCTTGGATCTCTCCCATCCACAATCTTTTCGATTTGAAAATCTCCCCAGCCCTGGATATGGACTAGTCTGTTGACATTCAATGGAGGCCCTCTTACATAACCGGTTACCTTCAAGGTTCCAATTCCACTTTCATCATCTACAAGCTCAGCTTGCTCCACCAGCAAAAATGGTCTTCTAATCTGATGCGTCTTTTTCTTGAGAGTTGAAAGGTGTCTCAAGAGATTCAACGAATTGGAATCCGAATCCAAAAAGGAAATGCCACGTTTCGATGACATCCTAAACATAAAAAATAACTCAAAAAAAACGAAAGCTACCATTTATTTATCTTCTTTTCCAACTGCTTCCGTAACTGCTCCCTTTGTTTTCCGTTTGGCGGCAATCCTGCAACTACATGAACTGGAGAAGCTGTACCGTGAGCAAGGAGAATATCGAGCAATTCCATTTGTTCCGGAGTCATCTCCCCATCTGTAGGCCAAACAATTAACAAGGCATCTGAGACCTTAACGGCGTCTAATAAACTTTCCAACATCTTCGGATTAGGACACAAAAAGCCAAAACGCGATTTGAATCTGGGCAAGTTCAAAAAAGTAATCCCAGCTCTGTCGCTCGTAGTAATAACTGCACTCTCGTCGACTTTGAGCAACTTATCCACAACCTCAGTAGCAAGCAACTCATCGTCCAAACATAAAACTGTGACCATTTGCGGCGCTCTATTCGGGCCTCCTTCTAGTCTGGCTCTTTCTTGAATAAGATGATTCTTAAATTCTCTCCAATGCTTCCTTTGATTCTTTCTGTCCACATTCGAAATAATTCTCGCTAACTTTGCACCCGCACCGTTAACCTTCTTCGTTATCTTTTTACCTAAAAAAATAAAACAAAAAAAAATCTATCTTACCCTTTACATCTCGATGGATCTCTCTTTTGGTCCGATGCCTACCAACACGATGAGATTTATGCACTTGTTTAAAGACTCCTGCCCTATGAGCCTGCATGGTGTCTACAAAATAGTGTAATTACGTAAAACATTTGACAAAATAATAAAATTCTTGGCATTCTGTCTCAACCAAGACGTTTTCGTTTGAGGGCAAACGAAACCACGCAACAAAATGCAAATTTGAAAAAGAAAAATTGACTTTCATGAAACGTGAAGGAAAGCTTTCCTTCGCTGCCTTGGCTAGCCAATCCAAGTTTTTGGCTAGCCGTTTAAAAAATTTGACTGTAATTCCTATTCTTTCAACCTTCCTACCAGTTTTTTGCGACTTCAAAGCCGTTCTGACATTTTGGCTAGCCGATCCAGGTTCCCCAAATCCCAATGAAAAGACCCAAATGAAATCTGCCCCAAATGAAGGTTAGACGATTTTTTTCATTATTTGCAACGTCTTGGCAATTTCCGCACAATTCATTTTTTATTGTGAGTTCTCCATAAATAAATTTTGAAAAGTAATTTGTATTTTAAAACCCACAGTTTTCCTAGTTGTGATCCAATTTCATTATAACGATTTTGCATTAGTGGTCTTCTCCAGCCATGCTGGTTTTCTTCTTCCTTACTTTCGCACCGTACTCTGCAGGTACTTGCAGTTTTATTATTATTGTTATTGTTATTATTGTAAGTACGTACTAGGCGGGCCAAAAAGTTCTTCTTAAGTATTACTGTTTAATATTAATTTTGAAAAATTTTCTACCGTGCTGATTTCGAAAATCGATTCGGTCCGAACGGTGCACCTGACGAATTGTGCACCTGGCTGAACGGGGCACCTGGCTGAATTGTGCACCTGGCTGAACGGGGCACCTGGCTGAATTGTGCACCTGGCTGAACGGTGCACCTGACATTTTCTTGTTTGAACAGTGCACCTAGGCGAATAGTGCACCTTGAAAAAAAGTTTTTTGTGCATTATTGAAGAAAATTTGAAAGGTTTTCGTGTCGGGACAAGGAGAAACGATTTTTTTGGAAAATTTTAATAAATTTTGAAAGGTTTTCGCTTCGGGACAGGGAAAAAGGATTTTTTTTTTGGAAAATTTTAATAAATTTTGAAAGGTTTTCGCTTCGGGACAGGGAAAAAGGATTTTTTTGGAAAATTTTAATAAAATTTGAAAGGTTTTCGCTTCGGGACTGGGAAAAAGGATTTTTTTGTAAAATTTTTAAAAATTTTGAAGGGTTTTCGCTTCGGGACAGGGAAAAAGGATTTTTTTTGGAAAATTTTTGGAAAAATTTAATAAGCTTTTCACTAACAAAGAAATCAGTTAAAACGGCTTACCTTGATCCCCATTTGTCATATAAAAAAATCCGTCAAGGAAATTGAGGAATTTGCCTTGATCTACCCTTGCCATATTTATCTTTTCACAACCAAAAAAATCCTTTTTCTCTGTCTCGAAGCGAAAACCTTTCAACTTTTATTAAAATTTTCCAAAAAAAATCCTTTTTCCCTGTCCCGAAGCGAAAACCCTTCAAAATTTTTAAAAATTTTACAAAAAAATCCTTTTTCCCAGTCCCAAAGCGAAAACCTTTCAAATTTTATTAAAATTTTCCAAAAAAATCCTTTTTCCCTGTCCCGAAGCGAAAACCTTTCAAAATTTATTAAAATTTTCCAAAAAAAATCCTTTTTCCCTGTCCCGAAGCGAAAACCTTTCAAAATTTATTAAAATTTTCCAAAAAAAATCCTTTTTCCCTGTCCCGAAGCGAAAACCTTTCAACTTTTATTAAAATTTTCCAAGAAAAATCCTTTTTCCCTGTCCCGAAGCGAAAACCTTTCAAATTTTATTGAAATTTTCCAAAAACATCCTTTTTCCCTGTCCCGAAGCGAAAACCTTTCAAATTTTATTAAAATTTTCCAAAAAAGATCCTTTTTCCCTGTCTCGAAGCGAAAACATTTCAAATTTTGTTCAATTGTTCATGAAAAATCTCTTTTTCAAGGTGCGCTGTCGCCCAGGTGCACTGTTCGCCCAGGTACAACGTTCGCCCAGGTGCACAGTTCAAAACGTGTCAGGTGCACCGTTCGCTCAGGTGCCCCGTTCAGCCAGGTGCACTGTTTGTTTCAGGTGCACCGTTCGGACACAACCCGAAAATCATGTTTTTTTTGAAATTTACATTTTTTTCTCAAGTATTGCGGAAATGTCTTGACGCGGAATGCATGCGTCCTCGCAGTGCGAAGACGTTTTAAGACTTTTTGGCCCGCCTATCACATTTAGGGCAACCTACAGCTGCTGCGGGTCAAGATGCAACAGCTCTTCGAATCGAGGCATCAACTCTGCCAAACCCGCAACCCGTCGAGTATGTTGATATTACATACATATCGAATTACATACGTATAGAATTCTTTGACTCTCAATATTTCAGCTGTGATAGAGGCAAATACGCGGTTGGAAACAAGTGCCATTTGTGCTATTCCGCATGCATTTCGTAGGTTATCCAAAGTCGTTATTTATTGTCATTACCACCCATTACACTATGAATTTTTTAAAGTGTTACAACACAAAACGATTTAAGATGCACTGGAGGCGGAAAGACGTACGATCTGGGCAACGATTGCAATCGATGTCATCTCCTCTATTCCGATGTAAAAGTTGCGATCAGTGATGGGTATAATACTCAGAATGGAGACGTTGCGGAGCAAGCAGCCAAGGCAAGTTAAATACCTACAATCAGGACTACGAACTCAGGTATCTTGTTTCAAACTGACAGAACTCAAAGAAGAAACCAAGAGAATTGATCTCTACAGTCGCGTCTATGGCCGTCTTGTCCCTTCCAAAGACAATGAGAATGATCAGTACGGTGCATATGAGCGGCGTGTGCAGGACACGGCGGGTCTTGAAGATATCTGATCCGTTTTACAAGCACTTTTATTTAATGTAAAAATATAATAACTGTAAATTAATTGAATTTATTGTATTTTATGCTGTACAGGATGGGTTCAGCCGGAGCTTACCATCTTATTTCAATTATTACACCGGCAATAGCCCACCAATTTATATAAGACTTGTATCAGATTGAAGCAGAGGTTGTTTTCGGATATTTATGGAAATTTTCAAAGTACTATACTTTTGCATTCAAAATATGTTTAAAAAGTAGAATTTGCTCATAAAACATCAACGAATGTTGACATTTTGCCATAATTTGTTTTTTTTCGTCCAAAACTTGGTTTTGAGGTAGAAAACTAGTTGGCCAGTGGATTGAAATAATAACTGAAGCAAGTTTGGAAACTCCCAGTGAACCACCCCGTACTATACAGGGTGGGCCACTAAAACCTTTCGTCCTCTTTTTTTAGATTTCTCCACGGAGACTCCGCCGATTTTCATGAAATTTAGGGTTTTCTGGAGCTGAGATTCGCCATTTTCAACCCATTGAATTTCAGGAAAAAATATTCTGAATTGACTTTACTATGCCTTCCCAAAGTGTTTGAAAATTATTTTCGAGCCGAAACCGCTAAAACTTAGAAAATTTTTGGAATGATTTTCAATTGACTTTCTCGGACTTGGAAAATTTCGAGTTTTTTTTTAGTACAGGGTGGGCCACTCGAAACTGACAAGTTGTTTCTTTGAATTTCTCCGCGGAGGCTCTGCCGATTTTTCTAAAATTTAGATTTTTCTGGAGCTGAGACCCGCCATTTTCAACCGACTTACTTTCAAGAAAATATATTTTGAATTGACCTTTCCATGCCTTCTCAAAGTTTTGAAAAATTATTTTCAGGCCGAAACCGCTAAAACTTGGAAAATTTTTGGAATGATTTTGAAAAATTGGTCATTTTTCCGAGTTCTTGGGTGAAATTTTCTTTGTTTTACCTCAGATAGTTATCAAATATTGTTCCAAAAACAATTTTATTTAACAATCTGATTATTAATGTTTCTAACTGAGTTATTATGCCCACCTCCTCTCGCATCACAAACTTGTAGTGGCTTTGAGAGTCATGAGGAGTTAAAATTACGTATCGTGGATACGTAATTTTAATTACGTATCTGAGCTTCAAGATACCCCAAGCCTGACTCGATAACGATTGACGTCGATTTTTTCAATCTTTTTTGAATTTTTTTTTTTTTTTTTGAGCGTTCGTGCCCTAATGGTAATACAAACAACCCTCTTGTGGCTTTCAATTTGCTTTAAACAAGTTTAAGGCGAGCACTAGCAACTTTTTACTCCACGATTTCCCCAAAAAAAAAACCAAAAATTTTCCAAGTCTGAGAAAGTCAATTGAAAATCATTCCAAAAATTTTATAAGATTTAGCGGTTTCGGCCCGAAAATATTTTTTCAAAACTTTGAAAAGGCATGGAAAGGTTAATTCAAAATATGTTTTTTTGAAATTCAGTCGGTTGAAAATGGCGGGTCTCAGCTCCAGAAAAATCTAAATTTTAGAAAAATCGGCAGAGCCTCCGCGGAGAAATTCAAAGAAACAACTTGTCAGTTTCGAGTGGCCCACCCTGTAAAATAGTGGAGTAAAAAGTTCCGTACGCTTTCTCTAAACTTTGTTTAAAGCAAGTTAAAAGCAAAAAAAGTGTTGTCTGTATTACCGTTAGGGCATGAATGTCGAAAAAATATTTTTTTTCAACAAGAGTGAAAAAGTCCACATTAAGGCTACAAGCCATGGCTTGGCGCATTGAGGCTTGGAGCTAGGCTCGATTGAAGTTAAACCATGCTCACGATCCGCAATTCGAGCTGTTCTTAACTTTCAAAGCCCCTACAAGTTCGTGCTGCAAGAGTAGGTGGACACGTCGAACTCAGATAGAAATAATAATAATCAAATTGTTAAATAAATTAGTTTTAACAACAGTATTTTGCAAATATATGAGGCAAAACGAGTAAGATTTCACCCAAAAAGCCCGAAAAAATGACCAAGTTTTCAAAATCATTCCAAAAATTTTCTAAGTTTTAGCGGTTTCGGCTCGAAAATAATTTTCAAAAACTTTGGAAAGGCATAGAAAGGTCAATTCAGGATATATTTTTTTTCAAATTCAACCGGTTGAAAATGGCGCATCTCAGCTCCAGAAAACCCTAAATTTCATGAAAATCGGCGGAGTCTCCGTGGAGAAATCTAAAAAAAGAGGACGGAAGGTTTTAGTGGCCCACCCTGTACCACGATTACAATATTTGACCAGTATATAAGTTGTATCAATCAGAAAGATCATTTTCTGATTGATGAGACATTTTTCGCCTAAGCGCATGACTGTATTCGATGGTGTCATCAATTTCATCCACCTTTTCATCCACTGTTTTGAATCTCGGGGCATCATTATGGTCACAAATCTCATCCAGAATTGGCATGCTCAGATAGTCGGTGATATCCCTGCTTGTCTTCTTGGACTGATATTGTTGGACCAGTTGATATGCCTGTAATTTTTACAAGATCTTCATTTTAATACAAACTTTTTTCCAATTCTCCCGTTTGACGTTATGTGCAATTAAAAGAGCATAGATGTCACCCAATCTGACATCTCCATCGATCTCTGGTTGTTCGGACATCTCGGTTAATCGCCTTAGGGCTTCTCCGGGGTCTTTTTCATAAGTTCTAAAATTTCAATCATAACCGTTTTACTTGTGCCTAATATAAGATAACGATATCCATGCCAAACTTACTCTTTTGTCTCAATGAAAGTCTTAATCCTTGTGATCTTTTTCTTGATCCTATCTCTCATTTTAGTTTCTTTTTCATCCAGATCTCCATCCTTGTCACCTTTCCGATTCCAGCATCTAACTGCTTCGTTGTAAGCAGTAATCGCTTTATCGTAATCTCTATAGTCGTCAATTTCCAGCTGGCCACATGATTCGTAAAACGCGGCCAATGAATCCATCGCATTCGCTTTGATATAAAAATTCTCGATCTGCCTCATTAATGTGGCGTCCTCCTTCCAATCCAAACTCTGCAAGAAATTGCCGACCATTCTGTAAATGTCCTTATTCTTGGCCGTATTCGCATATAAGATGATTTTGGGGGTGTCACCTGATCGGAGAAGTGCCTTCATTGCCTGAATGAGGAGATGGTATATAAATTTTAATAAATTTTTTACTTACTTCCAGCTTCTTCCCAGCCTGTGTGTATTTTTTGGCGGCATAATGATAATTCCCTTGCTGCATACAGACCTTGGCCAATTCAATCAACAAATTTTGTCGATTTGGATCTAAATTAGTAAATGATAGTAAGATAAAAATTGCTGTCCGAAAAAGATTTGAATATGCACTTACCGGTTTTCGGTGGTGTCAAGATTTCGGCCAAGTTTTCATCGATGATGACATTAGTTTGCAAACATAAATCGACTGCCTCCTGAAATTTCTTGGCGTAAACAAGCAGCTGAACGGCCTCGTTTTCTCGTTGGTTCTGCGCAAAGAAATGGGCGGCTCGTTCGAGCACATTTGGGTCTGAATTGGGTCCCAAATCTCGAATTATCGGATCCAAGGCGCTGATTTGTTCGGTTCGGAAGGCCAAATCCAACGCTTTCCCCACTTGGCCTGCCTGTAATAGCAATTACACTATCCTTTTCGTTGCCATACCTTATGGTACAACATGACAGCCTTATCCACATGACCTGGTTGTTGTTCATAATACTTGGCGGTTTCTATTTGCTCATTCTCCCCGGCATGTAAAGCAAAGTTTGCCAATTGATCGTTGAGTCCGTGCTCTTTGGCCAATCTGATGGCACTACTGTAACTAGAGGCCTTTCCAAAATATTTCACAGCTTTCTCTACATCTCCTTTGCTCTCAAAATAGCGAGCCAAATGGAAGGCGGCAGCTCTGTCATCAGTTTTGTTTACAGTATCAACGGCCTCGTCAATACGATCATGATAACAGTATATTCGGACAACCGAGAGGTGATCATTTGCGTACTTGTAGTAATTCCTTGCTCCTTCCAGATCGCTGACACTCTCTAAGTACCTGGCCCACCACAAATACAGTTCCCTGCAACACTCAACGTTATAATTAATTAAAATGTCTACTACAACATGTCTTGACCCTACCTCTCTCTTTTCCTTTTAATATACAAATCCACTGCTTTTGGCTCCTCACTCAGCATTCGCGGGACTTCAGAGTGATGGGTTTGGGCTTTTTCATAACTAAAAAAATGATTGTAAAATTAAGACAAGTTACTTCTCAATGGCTTGCTCAATCTCTCCGATACTCTCCAAATAACTGGCGTAATTGAAATGAGTGTTCCTCAAATGGATTCGATCATGCTTTTTTGCAATCTCAAAGGCTTCATTCCACTTGTTTTGGCATTGATACAATTTGTTCAAAAGATCGTATCGACCTTGGTTTATGTAGATGCTGACCGCCTCGTCCTAAAATAAAAATGTATTTAAAATGTGACTAAATCTCTTGTCTTCTAAACTAACATCTGCCTTTCAAACTTACAATCATGTCCAGTTCCATGGCCAGGACGGCCGCTTGTAATTCCGTGCTGTCCCCTCGGGCAATGGATTCCTTTAACGCTCTCACACTCCTCGCTCTTTTCATGTGTCCCAAACATACGATGGCCACATCCATTCTTCTTGTTTTCACACACATTCGGGCCATGTGATCCCAGACCGAGTCATTCTTGATGAACTTGATCGCTTTAAAGGCATTATCCATTTGCTCTGCACACAAATAGTAACTAAAGTTGAGCATGGCTTCAATCGCCTCGTTATCCGTGGCCTCGATTCCCACAAATTCTCGGAGAGAACGGCGGATTATTAATCGGGAAAGACTTCTTTCTATGCCGATGTCATCCTCCTCATCCACTTCAATCTGCATTTTGCAATATTACAGTAATCGGCTGCTAGTCAATGAGGTCAAACTACAGTAACCCATCATTTTAAACGTACATTCTTAAGGAAAAAAATGTAAGGGACTTGTAGATAGATCATCTGATCGGCTTTTATAGACTTGGATTGGATGTCGTTAACTTGGATTCCGTTCTCGGAGGTCACGAATAACGACAAAAGCACATTGTTTGACTGCAACGAAATGTGTAACTTCCCTTTATCACTTACGTCATCCGAATCAATCCGAACGGCTTCACAGACCAAGAAACGGCCCTCAGTTTGATCCCAGTAATGGTTACCCGGTAAGTAATCGGGCATTCGATATCTGCTCTGATATCTTTCTATTCGTCTAAAAATTACAAAATACTACTGCAAACAGACTAGAACTGACTTGGCGGCAGCAGTTTTGGGCCGATCGTCTTGGTTATTCTCCTCCAATTTGCTCTCATACTGTTGGGCATCAGTTAGACCGTCGACGAAAGAAAAATAACCCAACAAATCAGCTTCGGCGTCCCAGATAAAGAGCCTCTCGTCGACGGAATCCTTCCTTTTCATTGTAATGCTGACTCGATTTCCGAGGCTGTTTATTCGAATATTCACAAATCTCTCAAAGTCCTCAATATTCATGCTCAACTGATTTGATTGATAAATTTGTTTCAGGTTACTGTAAACAAAGTACTACTGTAAATTAAAACAGGAGAAACCGACCTATCATCCATGTTATATATTCGAATATAGGCCTGACTGGATCCCACACAGAGCCATTTAGAGTTCATATCAATGATCTGCACCTCCCCTTCAACTTCTCTAAAAGTCAGCGTCTTCTTCAACGTCCCTTGCAACGTCCGGACACACAATTGACCACTCTCAACAGAATACAATTGTTGATTGTAACATAAAGCATCATTTACAGATGCCTTGAACAGAGAAGTCTGTTTGATTTCAATGGGCGCGCTTTCAGAGTTGATTATTTGATTCACGTACACCTATTAATAAGATGGAGATCCATATAAGCAACTACCTGACTGTCATCCCATGTGATCAAATTTCCCCCGCCCAGTCTTAATCCCCTAAGGGCATAAGAAAATTGAACTTCTTGACTTTCGATGGGCTCGGTGATTTTGACCAAAGATACGATTTGAGGACTCGTTTGGACAACGGCAAACTACAAACAGATGAATTATGCAAGCGGTTTGCAATCATATATTCAAAATAGAGCCTATAATAGGTTTTAACACTCACATCTTTGTTGACGTGATATTCCACACCTTGAGTCCGAAATATTTGAACCGAATCACCAGAATTGACAGCCAATGTGGGAGATGAGTTCGACCAGGCCATGGAGACCACCTAAAACGTAATTATCATGATGCTGACCATACCTTAGTTCCAACTGATAGAGAAGGTTGTAATCTCCACTGCTGATCCACTGAGATCTCGTAGGTTTCCTTGTGCCTCTTCCAGGTTGCCACTTTCCCATTTAAAGTTCCCCCGGAGATGCAGTCTACATTTTAAAATGACGCACAGGAGTAAAGACTTACTCTTTTTGTTACAGTAGCTTAACGAGACCACATTCTCTGTTCCCTGATATCCCTTTTCCTGATCGATTCTGTAAACGGCACTGTCTTCTGATTGTAAATTCCAGATTCTGATTTCTCGGTCACCGTAACAGATGGCTACAGTGTCCGAATCCACTTGGATGGCATCAAAAAACTCCCGACGGCCTGACAATTTAACCTAGAAAGCCATAAATGTAAATATTACAAAGGTATCGCCTTACTTTAATCTTGTCTTTTACAGTCTCATTTTCAAAGACTAGTTGATAAAACATCAATCCTTCGGTCAAGATGATCACATAAGGTCTGTTCTTCATGGACAACACTCTTTTCGCAGCACTGTCCGTCTATGAAGGGTTACTGTAACATAACTATTCTGACCTACGGTATACACAACAGCAGGTTCTTTGTTTTCTTTGATCAAATAAACACGGTATTTACTGGTAGTTACGATCAAAACTGTCTCCATATCTTCATTCCGAACGGAATTCATTTCCTCTTCTTCCACTTTATATATCTCCTAAACTTGTATTAATACAGTAGGAATCCTAATCTTACTTTCATGCGTCTCCTGTTTACATTGAGGATTTCGGTTAATTCATCGGTGGAATGGTTGTTATCCAAGCGTTCCTTTTGTCTGAAATTGATTACTTTGACATTCGCAATACTGAAGTTAGACTTTCTAAACATAATAGTAGCATACCTTTTGAGTTGTTTCACCGAAATAGAAGTGATCCCTTGTCCCAGCTCAATCTTTTTTGTCACGTTTACCTTTTCGTTTCGGTTGGTCCCGGTATGATAAAATATTTTCCCATCCTAAATTTTGTCTGAACTGTTTGCTTCTAACCTACTTCATCTCCTGAGATCAACGTCTGTCCGTCGGTATGCCAGCTCAGAACTCTGATAGCACTTGCCCTTTCTGCACTCTCGATTTCTTTCTCTAAAAATTTTAAAATTAATACAAAATATCGGTTATGAAACGATCTGAGAATGCTTCATAAAACGATTACCATGTTGATCGAATGGCTCGATTATAGAAATACGCCCAGAATCCCATCCCACAGCTACTTTGGGATCCGTTAGATGCCATAATAACTTCAGCGGCCTCTCGTTCTGTCTTGCTGGCAATGTGTAAAAGGCATCTCCACCCTACAATTACGCAATCTTAACCTTAACGTCGGCTCACCTTATGTGTAACAAAGCTGACATATCCGCCTGTGGAAGGAGAATGTGAGGCCACAGCCATCACATCGCGTATGGGATGCCAACTCAAATCAACATGGGTTGGGGATGCGGCGGTCGACGGATCATCGACTGCCTTGCTGACCAACATTATTTAATCAGCGACAATTTCCTTTTCCCATCCATATTTATATTTTGTTTTCTACTCAGAAAACCATTTCGTTGTCATAGGAACGGGATTACTCAAACTATATTGAAAACTGCAAAGATTTTTTTAATTTATGGGAAGTGTATTCTGGAGAAAATTGTGAAATACAAATTTTCTCCCATTACTGTCAAAACTGAATACATATTCAGGTACCGTGACAATTCCGGAACGATGACTAAAATACTGAATAAACTAGGTCATGGAAATTCTCGGATTTATTTTCCAAAATCACAATTTTCGGTGCATACTGAATCTGATACTGAATTGTAGAACTCAGTGTCGGCTTAATTTTTTGTTTTTGATGTGAACAACGAATTCCGTAAGAGTTTAGAAATCTTCCCATTAGGGTCTGTCAATTGTGGTTTCAACCCTTTCTGAACCGTTGCCATCGTCCCGTTCTTTTCTGAATGTTTCTTTTGCTACTGCATACCACCTCGTTCACTGCATCAAGGCCACTCGGTACTCATTATAAGACGTTTACCATGATGAACATCATCGACTTTGATCGAAAACTTCAAGTCCGAGTGTAAAAAAGTTTCATAATTGCGTACTGATCGCAGAACAACTGCCATATTTGATAAATGTGGGTCGTTGTAACGACATTTATCTCTGTGCACGAGACTTTGTTCAGAGTACAAACGTAAACAAGGAACCTTTTCGTTCAGTTTTATGTGCCCTGCAGTGACTGCAGAGCGTCCCAACATTTCCTCTTATCAGCCCCTAAGAATTCGGAGCCGTAACATGGGCTAACCTCAAACTTGGGTTAATAAATACTTGTTATCCAATGTCAATAATTTCTTCCGTTCCTTTGGAAACTCCCGATAAATGGATTTTAATTATCGGTCTGTCGGGAAAATAACGGCGGATCGTCGCGCCTCGGAATCGCTCATCATCGCTTTGCGACTGCAAGCCGCGACTTGGGATTTGATGCGCGATAGCGGCGAGGCGAGACATTTTTCTGCGACGATCCGCCGTTATTTTTCCGACAGACTGATAGTTCTCTCGCTTCCTCCATTTATTCCAAGAAAGAATCGCGACCTTCTTCGCCCGTCTCTGCTTCTTCAACCCTCTCTCAGTTTATCGGACTCTCTCATCTTTGGCACCCTTTAAGTTCGAACGCTGCGTTCGGATCATGACGTTCGAACGTTCCCTTCATGCCGTCGACGCAGCTGCTTTTTAAATCTTTTTTTCTTATAATCGAGCACCCTGTGTGGTTCTAAGTTACAGAAAAAATAACTGTAGCAACAAATAACAAAATGCCAAATATCATATCTGATATTCCATTTAATGACTCATAATATATATTAAAGTTTACAACAATATAAAAATGTGAAAGCTATAAAATTAAAAGTTGGCTAAAAAATTAAAAAGTAACCGTAGATGTCCATTTATTTCACAGGGACCCGAATGATGGCTAAACGTTTCGTAAATTAGACTGAATATGAATATTAAATACACACAGATAATAAAATAAAATATTAGAATATAAGACTAGACTTTGGGTGAGGGCTCAGAGATGATAGGAGGATACAACTGGTTAATCAAGAAGGCCGTGACGTCATAGTTAGTCCAGTAGCCAAAATGAGACTTTAGTACCGACCAATAACTCTTGTCAGTGAGAGATGTTTGGAGTTGAAAATCTATTCTGTAGGGAACGCGTTTTTCTTCTGAAAAAAAAACTATTACAATAATCGCCAAAAATATCATATTGAAAATAGATTGAGACATACGTGGAATTCCGTCGATCAACTGTTCAGCCGGTGATAGAACAATTTTATCTTCTTTCCTTTCTATTTCCAATGTGAATTCGGGTTTCTCTTCCTTCTCTTTTACACCATCTTCTTTGGGCTTCTTTTCTCCAGTAGTGCTTCCGAATCTCCACCATCTACTTTGTGTTTCTACTTTTAATGGGGTATTTGTATTTCCATTTCCCATATTCTCTTGGATATCTTCAGGACCGATGGGACTCTCGGATCGGGGAGAAGGACCCGAATAAATGTCTGAAACCCCAAAGTTAAAAAATGATTTAGACTATTATAAATTATGATATAAAGCTGCTTATTACCCGGGGAGTGGATTGAAGAGCAATCTCCAGAATCCGAGTCCTCATCTTCTTCTTCTTCCCCTTTTCGTTTTTCGTCTGAATCCCCAGTTTTCTCTCCTGAAGCGGCAGCTTCTTTCTTCTGGGCTTTCTTTATCTTCTTTAAGTAACTTCGATGACAATCGTATCCTAATTTGTTATAATCCCGATTCACTTCATTGTAAGCAAACAATTTGATGGGCCTGATGTTCTTGTAGTTTTCATGATACATGGGTTCCAGTCGGTAAGCAACCGGATCATAAGGATGGAATATATTGTAAATTCTTTCGCATTGCTCTTTCTTTGGGAGTAATTGTTCCGCATTCGCACCTCTCATAATAATGAACACTCCTAACGGGGATCCAATGCAAAACAAGTTTTTGACCTTAAACTTGAGATCTTCATCTCGTCTCAGCAGGATTTCCTGCATGTGTCCATCTTGTTCCAGAATTTTCCGTCGACATTCGTAAAAGTCAGTGAACAGTTTTCGTTGTTCATCGTCTTCCGCTTCGTTTTTCCTATGTTCTATAGCATTTGTGACAAATTCGTCGTATAAAAGCAGGGGAGACCAGTTGGTTATTATGTCATAAGCAATCACCGAGCCCAACGAATGGGCGAATATGGACACGGCACCATTAAAGTTGGGGTTGTTCTTTACAAACTTTGTGTAGGTGACATTTAGGCATCGGATAACTCCATTAACTATCTAAAAGCAACAAATAAACAAAACTGGCGCACCACTCACTTCTGTTCTGTACAAAGGCGATTGGTAATACATAATGTCCATGGCAATCGAATTCAGCGCGCTTCTGACCTGAGGCATTCGTGGCAATGTAATTGTATCGGTAACACCTTCATCTAATACAAGTGAGGATCTCCATTCGATGGGCAGAATCATTGGGCGACGTTTTTCATGACTGTGATACTTGTCCATGAGATGGTCCATAACCTCTCGTATTCTGAAAATTTTAAGTTTAATAATAGTAATTAATTTTTGTGAATAAGTCATTCTTTTTCCTCTTACTGAGTTGTATTTTTGGCAATAAGATTTTCGTATCCCTTTTGTCCGATTCCATGAACAACAAGGATAAGATCAGAAAAGTTTGGCATCCCCTCGTCAATCGAGGCTTCAGAACTGAATCCCCGTTTCAATGGGAACACGCCCTTGCCTCGAGTGACAAAACGGAATAAACGATTGGCCTTGGTGTTGTTGTAGAAGGAAACGTCAATCACCGAATTCCATCGAACCTCATCATGTTCCTCCCATTTCAGCATTGTCAAAACTGTAACCATCCAATACTATTATTGGCAATAACATACCTGGCTTCTTGTTGACTTCATTTTCATTGAAAACTGGTGAATCCGGGATCATTTGGTTTCGGAATTTCTCTAAATGATGTTTCTCAATCGCCTCTGCCAATTCCTCAGCCACCGGTTGCATCGTATCAGCATAGAACCAAGATCCTCGCCTTATTTTCATGCTTTCATCCTTCCAATAAACTGAAGTTACATGATCCGTCTTTTCCTCTAAATTCCATTCAAAGAGGTTGTCCAAAACAATTACATTCTTTGTCTGAGGGAGCTGTTCTCCAAGGGCGATTGTCCTTTTGTCCAAGGGGATTCCTTTGGAAGCCCTATATGCCACTTCTAGCACCATGGAGTCATAACCTCTGAACGGGGTCCATTTACTTTCACCCGGTTTCTTGTAATGCCATCTAATTTCCGGACATTCCAATTCCACAACTTTCTTCTTCACTGGTCGTAACATAGCAGCCCCACCAACACTTCCAATCGTTGTCGGAGTAGCCAGATTGAGAGAGGCAGCAGTTGCCGAGGTGATGGTCATATTAGCCTTCGAGTTGTTTTTCTTTGGTGTATAGGTGACGGGGGTGGCAGTTTGATGACTAAGGCTTGTCCTTAACGAAGTGGAGGACCCGTTTGAAGATATGCTAGGGACTAAACATAAAGATTTTTAATTTTGTAACGGGGTCCCACCTTTTTTCGTTTCTGTTTTTTCTGGAGGGTTTTCTGTTGCTGAATCAGGCCGAGATCCGGGCATATTCGGATCAGCCTCGACCGCCATTTCGACTGAAGAGTTGTCCTTCTCTGATTTGTCACTCATCGTCTGAAAGGAAATCCCATTGAAACAATATTTTTTATAAAAGTCTAATGCCGCAAGATTTATTGTGTAAAAAAGAGCAATTATTTCCGAAAATATTTGAAATCCCGATTAAAAGTGCGAGTAAAAAACGACTCACTACTTATAAAACTTGTAATGCGCAAAACCCTTCTTTCGTCGATGCAAACAAACTTTTTTGCATTCAGTATAAACGAATCCGATCCGAAAAGGGAAGAGCTCACACTCACTTTTTCTTTTTCACTGAAAATCCATCGAAACGGAACTAAGCGATCCAAAAACTGTCGAGAGTGAACTTGTTTCAAAGGCTGTCCTTGGGTGATTTCTTCCTCTTGGAACTCTTCGACGTCCTGACTTAAACGAAAATCTCCAGAAGCCTCGTTAACCTTAGTTGTGTCTTCTTCCTCTCCTTCTTCGACAGTAGGACAGAATTGTTTTATGAAGCTTGGGGTTAGAGATTGGGCAGTTTCACAATCCGAAAAATCTTTGGGCGGCGATTCCGGCAAGGGACCAACAGAGGAGTCCTGAACTTGATTATGAACCGAAAACCTGGCGTGTATGGAAGAAGATTGCGCACCTAGAAAAATACTATCATCATTCGTAGAATGTTATGTTAATACACCACAAATAAAAAGGAAATAACTGGTTTCAAAATCGTCTTTAATGCCTAAAAGCAAAGTGTATTTTTAAAGATAACAACATCCTAGAAAAAAATGAAAACATGGAAACCCCTTGAATTATTTATCAGAATACCTACTTCCTTTACTTACAAGACAATGATACGATCAAAAGAAGATGTTCCAAATCAAATATGAGACTGAAACAGTGACAAATAGTATTTGAAACAAGCTCTTTGCTAAACAAACATAAGTACCATTAAACGTTGCAGTGTAAAGTCCACTATAAAAATGATTTGACCACCTTAAGGACTCTGATCACTCAAAGAAAATAAATGACAACTCAAAATTCGAATCGAACTCTCAAAAAACTTTAAACTCTACTGATAACAGTAACAGATGAGGTGCACAGAAAAGTCTCACCCTTTCAAACTTCCTCAACCTTCTCTTATCAACTTTGCAGATCTTTTTTTCGTTTTCGGATCTTAGAAATCCTTCCAATCCCTCGGAAACATCGTCAGAGGAAAAGGACAATCACAAAAAAATATAGCCTTTGAAAAAACAATAAAGACATGTGTTAACTAAACTTTAAGCCCTGAATAATTAATTCACTAATCGTCCTCTTACTAATCATGACCTAAAAATTCATGGAAAGTATCCTTAATTAGAAACGATAGAGAATTACACAAGAAAAAGGGAGAAATGGACTCGAAAACGACTACTCGGTTATTTAGAACATGTTTTTCACAAGTTCGGCGAAAAAATATTAAAATCGAACTTTCTATCAAAAATTGCGGAATGCCAAACCTCCAATGTGTTCTTGGCAAAAACGCATTGTGCGCTCTGATGATAATAGAGTGATAAATCGACGAAGATTAATGAGATCATGATCCGAAAGAAAATATCGTAAAGGAAAAGAGAATCAAATAAGGATAAAAAACAGAAAACGAGAAGACGGGGTGCATTGCACTCGGACAGGCCAGAGGAAGAAAGAGTCAAAAACGAGAGAATCCCCTTTCCCTTCCTCAACCAGACGACTTTCTGCACCTTTCCGCTGCTTCTTAAAAATTGGCTGTTTTGACGTGAGCTTTGTGCGAATTTTACCGTTAATTGAGGTTGCTTTGTACTTTTCTGACCATCGCCGGAAACGAATTTACTCGAATATTTTTATGGTCCCTTGAAGAAATAAAATAACAAATCTATTTTCCTAATCATAAATTTCATCAGCAAACGCTAACGGCTATAAAATATCAGACGCTAGAATACGGTGAGTTTGCCAAATCAAGGACAAGTCAGAATTTTGATTAATATTACCTCCAGATCGGTTATTTTCGAGAAAAACCTACATTTCTTCTTCTTTTTCTTAAGTAATGACTCTTTCAAGATAGACAACATAATCAGAGTGGCTACTCTTTGCGCGATCACTTCGCCGTTCTGAGAGTTTCAGAAGATTAAAGCCTAATCGAGCTTGCAATCAACCCTTTATAGTCCTTTAAAGGAAGTTGTAAAAATTCCGATTGTACGTTCCGAAAAAAGTAAGCTTGGGAATCGAAATTTACGGTCAATGAATCTCCAAGAAAACCTCTGAGGCTAGCTGAAGACGAACAGTTTAACAACGGCTACATCGGATTACTGTGCCGGTGTAGCAAGGTTAGAGAAGTAATTAGATTCAGGAGTAAATTTAGCCCAAAATCACTGTAGGACCACGTTTTCTGAAGACACGTTGTAAACAAGACGGGGAGTAAACGTTCAAGAATTAACAGATAACATCGATATTAGTATAAACTTGCGCAAGAAATATTAAACGGCTTTATGTTGGACTTCGTATACGAAGTTGAGAAACGAGGCACTTATATTATAATAAATAAAAATTACGAAACTTTCGTTTGGTAAACAACTTCCTGTTCAAACAAAAGGAAAGATCAGAAATTAGATCTACCGTCGGTCCGACAGGAACGAGAAATTCTGATTCAGAATCCTGGAAATAATCGGACTCTGACTGATTCTTTGGAATTTGGAGGAATTTTGAAATTGGAATAACAGATACCCCCTCCTCGAATAACCTCCAAAAGGCCATTAAATCTATTTATTTGTTTTCACCGCACCTTTGCCCTCACATTTCTCCAACATGGAGAAGAAAATAAGAGGGCTTGGCGTAGATTTTTGACGTGCCAAATGTTGGGAGAATGAGTCAGGCCAATAAAGATGCAGTAATCCGGGTGATTCCACACTATTTCTTGCAATCATTATAGTAAAACCGCCAATCCCATACTTTTTCTGTCGATCCCAAAGCAATGTCAAGAGTAACCTTTCAGGAACAAACAGACATCTGAAGTATGGGCCCGAACGCTGGCGGCTCGGAGTCATACCATATACAATTCAAAACGATCACGAATTGTATGAATTTGAGGGCTTTGTCAACACCAAGTTTAATAGGATCTTGACTAAGACTTTTGTGTTTTTGGGGGCCCATTCAGAATTTAAATTCGTTCAGGAATTGGAATAACAATAACATCATTTATACTATGACCTCGTATTATAATATAAAAATTATCATGAGACTTAACGTAAAACGCAGACAGATCCATACCGTTTTGTTTCTCAGCTTATCAACTCACCCATCTCATCACTCATCTACAACCAAACCGTTTCAATAGATGATATCGCGGAGACTCCAAAAATTCTTTTGTAATATCCAAACCGAAGTCTCTCTGACCGTCATCCGACGTTTGCCTAGTCTTTCACAGGACCTAATTTAAACAAAAGACTAGCTATTTCAGACCAGGCCTTTTTCAAGCGGATAAAAAACTGGGGATCTCATGACAGCATCCCTAATTATACTGCGCTGGAACACTTTTTTGAAGGAAACTCAGAAAATAAACCGAAGAGCGACCGGAAAGTAATTTGTAAGACACCTAGTTACTCTATGAAACGCCTATTTATCAAGAAAGAATTTATAGTAAGCAAATACTAAAAATTATTAGCAGAGAAACAAACAAATAGCTTGAATGTATTTGTAACCTATTTATTACACAATACTATTCATCGAGGAAGGACAACAAAAAAATATAAATTATGATAGATGGAATGGATAAACAAACCGTGGAATAATGTATTCAAAGTTCTCCCTTTGCCTTCTTTGAGATGTAGTCAAAATAATGGTACCCATGTCTGGTGAGACTGTCAACAGTTAGCTTTCCGTAGACATAAAGCTGTTTCAGACCAGCAAATGGATCTCCAGTAGCCAGAGAACCGGAGAGCGACCAAACGGAGGAAGCGGGAATAAAGCCGCGGCCATAGCAAGCGACGGTAGTCTGGTCCTTCAGAATGTAGACGAAGGATTCAAATTGACCATGACGAAAGTTCTGACCTTGTTTGTACGACTCTTTCACAGGGGAACTGAAGGAATCTGGGACTCTGGTAACCTCTCCGGTTAGGACTGTGCAAGAGTGGTTCGACCAATGAATGCCTAAAAAGGAAAGTAAATGAAAAAGCAATCAAAGTTTTATTACACCAAACAAAAATTTTACTCACCCGATCTTCCAGTAGAGTCGCCAATCGCGGTGAAAACTGCAATGTACTCAGTAAGATCTCCATACAAAAACTGAGCTTTCAAATGAAGTCCGCCAGCTGAGAATGGAATCCATTTTGGCGAAGCGTCAATGTCGTGAGAATACTTTCGGCGAAGTTCGGCGACAAATTTGGAGACAGAGTTTATAGAGTTCGCATCTAAACCAATGTACACATACATAAAAAATAAACTTACCGGCTGATTTCACACTGAAAGCCTTGAAATCTTTGGCCTGTATGTTGTAACTCTTCCATTTCAGGAACATCTGGATACCATTCAGGACCAACAGCAACAAAATGATATTTCGGACGACTTTCGTGAAGAAGAACGCCATCTTCTGAAGAGGAAGCAGATAATAGTAAAAAACAAATAATTAAATCGGATTATTAAAACAACACGATCTAAAATAAGACAGAATAAAACAGACAGCCCGAGAAAGTATTCGGAGTAGGGGAATCGCCACTAGTGGGAGCAGCCCCTTTCTGCCAAGTCAGCATTCCGTTTTCTCTTCACAAAAATTCCGCCGAGTTATCTCCTAAAGGTAACCTTGAAGGGATCCATGAACGTATTATTGCGAGAAACGGTTTCGTCGCCTCAGGCAATGAATTCCCCTTTCCTGTACTTGGAAATATTTTCTTTCCAAACAAAAACGGAAATCGTGACTATACACAAAACTCTCCCCGTTTTTTATATTATTCATTCCAAATACGACCTCATAAAGTTATCATGGCCAGAAGAAGATACAAACGCTTAACAATTCACGTATATAACATTGTTATATAACACAATATTTACCGAGAGGCAGACTACGGTTAGATGGATTCACATCTAAAAATAGAAAAAAAGGATCCCATTTACCTAAAATATGAAACAGACTCAAGTCTTTGGAAAAAGACTCTCGAATTCGCGAAGGTCATCTTGGCACACGCCTTGCCGCCGGGAGGTCCTAGAACGAATGGACATGCCAATCGCGCGCGTCGAAAGCCCAAAGGTAAGCCGGCAGCATGCGTCCACCGTTTTGTTTACTGCGATGCACGATGTCAACTTATACGATGAAAGATGAATAATAAAAAACAGAAAAAAAATTTTTCGACAAAATTGTTGACTGATTTTCTCAATATTTCTGTTTCTTGGTGTGAAACTGATAACCCTGATGAATTCCCTTGTCAATAACTAGTCAAATGCACGTCTAGACGCTGGTTGCAAGATGATTTCTGGTTTTACTTGTTTTCTCTGTAGAGTTCGTACTTTATAAATGTAGTCCACAGAAAAAATATTTGCTTTTTTTGAAAAAAAAAAGTGGATAAGAAGCCTTGCTTTAAATAGAAGTGCCCTGACCAGTTGTATTTGTATGTACCCTGGCTGACGAACCAAATCAAGGTAAGATTCTTTGAGAGTATTGTGGGTTTTGTGACTGTGGGAAAAGGCCGTCTTATCTAAGACGATACCGAAATTACGGAGATAAAATCATATATCCATTTATGTTTTTGTTACCAACACTATAGTATAGGTTTGCTTTTTCTTTTGCCACCGGCTAAAGCCTTAATTTAACAAATATTCGGTTCGTTTCAGTTCCATGTGGCCCGTGAGACATGGCCAAAGAGTGGCTGGGCTGTTTTGACGCCCCGAAGGCGCTCGGGTCGGAACACTTGAATGGGTTTCTCCCCTTCGACTTCACGTTTTGCGCTGTTTGTTTTTAATCCAACTGACTCGATTTATAGTTTAGACCTGGTTGAGGGTCAAATCTCATCCGATCCCTCAGCGTAGACTAGGTCCTTTTCCTCTTCTAGACGTTGCTTTTCTGTCTTGTTGTTGATGAGGAGCTGTGCGAACGTCTGATGTATTTTTTTTACTCTCCTTTGCTCGGATTAAGACTGGTAAACAAGTGCCTATTATCGAAAAAACGAACAAGTTGATAAAACGGAAGGTGAATCCGTCGGTTAAGTGAACTGAAAGTGACCTTATGTCAGAAAAAATTGCGGCTGCTTTCCCATCCATACTTTTCTTTTCATGTTTTTTTCTCTTCATACGTTATGTAAATAGAGAATTTCTCGGGTTTGGTTGTAATTACTCACGTACGCTCGAATAGAATAATTGTTTCAATTATTCCTAGGGTTTATTCATCGTGCTGGCCGTGTTTGAAAAGGTATTGGAACAGTGGGATGAGCACTTTACGTCATCTCTGAACTCTTTATAAAGTCATTGGTAAAATTTTTAGGATGAAACCTTCGTCGTTCCGCATTTTATCCGAATGTGGATTGCAAGGCCATGTTCAACGTCGTTCCTTGTCATTCTGTACCGTCCTGGCTAAACAGAAGAAGGAATGGGATCTATCCGATCCCAAGCAATTGGAGTTGTACAAATTGTATCGACCGGAGAGAGTGACCCCCAAACAAAGAGGAGTAGATCTTCTCAAAACTCCTGGCTTGAATAAGGTGGGATTATTTTCAAAATATTTTAATAAATTCATCAATTTTTACAGGGAATGGCCTTCAGTCTCTATGAGCGGCAATATCTCGGCGTCCACGGTCTTCTTCCTCCAGCCTTTATGACCGAGGAACAGCAAGCGTATCGTGTCATAACCAAGTTGAGACAACAACCAAATGATTTGGCTCGTTACATCCAGCTTGATGGGTTACAAGTAAATTAGATTTAAGCATGAATTACTGTTCAGGATCGGAATGAGAAGCTCTTTTATCGAGTATTGGTTGAGAACATCAAGGAGCTGATGCCCATTGTTTACACGCCTACTGTAGGACAGGCTTGTCAACATTTCGGATTCATCTACCGTAATCCGAAGTAAGAACGATTGCGTCGAAATTATCTTTTAGGGGACTTTACATCACCGTGAACGATTACTCAATCTCCAAGATTTACCATATCCTGTCTAACTGGCCACACGAAGATATTAGAGTAGGTTATACTCGTATCACTGTTACGCATGATTTCAGGCTATCGTCGTCACCGATGGCGAACGTATTCTTGGACTTGGCGATCTTGGAGCTTATGGAATCGGAATCCCCGTCGGAAAGCTAGCGTTGTACGTAGCTTTGGCTGGAATACAACCACGTTGGTGTCTGCCCATCCTTTTGGATGTTGGCACTGATAATAATGCAAGTAAAACTGAAAATTCTGTGACTGCTTTATAGGAACTTTTGAATGATCCCTTCTATATTGGTCTAAGACGCAATCGCGTTCGAGGAGAGCAATACGATAAGTTCCTGGACAACTTTATGAAGGCTTGCACTAAGAAGTAAGTCGTTTTTTAAATGTAGTGAACTCATCTTATGATTGATCGATTTTTAGGTTTGGTGCAAACACGCTTATCCAATTTGAAGACTTTGGAAATGCAAACGCCTACAGATTATTGGACAGATACCAAGATCAATACTGTATGTTCAATGATGACATCCAAGGAACCGCTTCGGTTGTTGTTGCCGGTTTACTCGCAGCTACTAGAGTGACCAAGCGCAAGATGAGAGATACGAAGTACGTTTTTTTGGGTGCCGGCGGTGCCGCAACAGGAGTCGCAGAGATGTGTGTAAGACAAATGGAAAGCGAAGGGCTCAGTTATAAAGACGCCTGTGAAAACATCTTCCTCATCGATATCGATGGGCTGATTACAAAGACCAGGTAAATATAATTACTTTTTTTCTACTTGAATTTAGGAGCAATATAAACCCTCGTCACGAACCTTTCGCCAAAGCTATGGCCGACACCAAGGATCTTCTCCAAGTGGTCCAGGAAGTTAAGCCCCATGCCTTGATCGGAGCTTCGACTTGCCGTGGTGCCTTTACTGAAGAGATTGTAAAGACTATGGCTAAGAATAACCCTCGTCCAATCGTCTTTGCTTTGTCGAATCCCACCAGCAAGGCTGAATGTACTGCTGACGAAGCTTACAAATGGACTAATGTAAGGATTAAAGAGTAATCAGATGTTCTTGTTTTAGGGTGCCGTTTTGTTTGCCTCAGGCTCTCCATTCCCCAACGTAGAGCTGAATGGACGATTGTTCAAACCCGGCCAAGGAAACAATGCCTACATCTTCCCTGGTGTAGCTTTGGGCGTAATCCTATTCCAAATCAACCATGTTGATAATAAGCATTTCTTATTGGCCGCCAGAACTGTTGCCCAAAATGTGACCGAAAAGAATCTGAGCGAAGGGAGAATTTACCCAAGATTGAAGGAGATTCGGGAACTTTCAATCCAGATTGCTACCCTCATCGCCGAAGAATGTTACAAGGTAAGGCACGCTTAATTTTACAGTAATACTCTGCAATGATACGTATTTCAGGATGGTACTGCTTGCCTCTATCCCGAACCATTAGATAAGGAGATGTATATCCGATCCCAGATCTATAATGTCGAATACGATGACCTGATCAACAAAACCTATCAATGGCCCGAGAAGGATATGAAACACGGGTTCCCGGTCCCAGTCGTGCGAAGAGACAGCATGGACGACTGATGTCTGCAACAATATTAGGAGCACCTATTTCCCATCCAACCCGTTTATATTTCGTTAACTGTGATCTCATACACCTTCACTACAATTATTTAGTGCGTATTTACATATATTTCGGGAAAAGGAAGTAAAATTTAATTGTAACAAGAAACAAGGTTTATAACAATAATCAACAAAAAAATTTAAGAGATATCAAGTTTGACAAACCTGTCGATCGCTTGTTTTACAATCTTTCCATTCTCCATACATTGCGCATGAGCCAAATCCAGCAACTTATCCATTAATTCCATGGACAGATTTCCGCCAGTCGAAAAAAGAGCAATAACTTCATCCCGATGGTTTACTCCGACTGTAATTTGATATTCAGATACTTTGTATTCTCTTAGGGAGGCGTCTTTTATCGGTTCCGAACTGAAAACACAGCGTTTCCTCGAAGGCAAAACAAAACATTAATAATGAACTGGATAAGAACTTACTCTTTTCTGAGGAAAGTGAAGGTGGTTGTCAATGCCAAGAAACTCATGGGAATATTTGAAGGGACACTCTCTTCTTTACTCAACTAAAAATGAACATCATAATTAGAGTTCTTACTTACGAAACGTATAAGACCAGAGTTAGGGTCGTATTCTACAGCTCTTCTCTTCACAACTCCCAAAGAAGCAGCAACCGCAGCAGAGGCACAGTCAATAAGATTCCCATCTTCTTGTACAACATTCACCTGAACTCGCACTTCGTAGACACAATGGAAGACTTCAATGCAAAGGGCATCCAGTTCGATAGCTTTCGCATCTCGATAAAGCCGATTTAGAATTGGCTGAACTCGATCCAATTCCTTCGGTGGATCTCTCGTTTTGATCGGCTGGGCGTATCGGGATGTTATTGTTTTTCGGACATCAAAATAGAGAAATCCAGAAGTTGGACGACCTACTGTTCGAGCTGCCACTGGTTTTATGCTTATCACCACGTCAATTCTAAATAAATTAGCATAAGGAGTTAGTAAGTAGGATTAAAAAATAGCATACCTAGTATCTCCGAGAGATGCGCTCATGCATTTTCCTTCCGCAACAGGTTCAATCTGCAACTTTCTTTGTTCGTCAAGTTTTCGTCCATCAACTCTCTAAAACGATAAAAATGAAATTTTAATACGCATACCACTCCCTGAGACAGACTGTCCTCTAAAAAAGCTCGTTCCTGGTCTGAGAATACATGCCGTATCTTCATTGCAATTAGCACAAAAAAAATTGAGAAACAAAAACAAAAAAAGAAACAAAAAAATAAAATAAAAAACACGGAATGCCACACTTTTGCCATTGAAAGCCGGTCGCTTTGAGAGACCAACAACGTCCATTCAATCATGAACGAAAAAAACTAATAAAAGAAAACCCGGAAGTGTACATTACACTGCAGGATGAGCCAAGTCTTTCTCCTTGGGTGGTCAACTCTTCCTCTCAAAATTCTTTTTTGTCAAGAATAATATAAATTTCTTTATGTTTTAATCTACATACATCGACAGGACAATAACTCTAAAAGTAAGTTAAATTAACCCTCTTTCTAAATATGCAATGATTTTTTGCATTACATAAGTTTATCCTTGCACATTTAGCCATTGTTGCAGGTATACAAATTTAGCTGAATGCTGTTCGTTCTTGCGATTCCATGAACGAAATTTGAAAGTCTTCCCCACAAAAGAACCGGCGTCGAGACTTCTACGTGCCAGAATTGTGTCAGCATGAAAGGACTTACAGTTTTTTTGTTGATTCGATTTTAGATATTACACTAGGTACTTTCGTAAGTTTAAGGCGAGATTAGGTCACATTTTACGTCATATATGGTCTAAATGGACAATAAAACTTTCTTTTAACATTCTTAACGTTGTAACAGGGATGTCCCCCCTTTTATTGTCGTTTTTGATTTTTCTTCAGATTTTAGGTATGGAACAACTTTGATGTATCCGCGGCCATAGATGCGTATTAATGCTTCGCAAACCATATTTCAATGGTCCCTAGTCGATCTAAAACATGTTTAGAACAGTATGAGAGGTATTTGAGACTTTTTTAGATCCACGTTGTACTTGATCACTTAGACCCTAAAACGTCTCAAACCCGGGTTTGAAAGAACATTTATGTTGGGGACGGTTTAGTAATGGCTCACCTTTGTAGATTCCCGGGTTTAAACTTCAAAAACGTTAGATTTTGCCTGCAATTTGACAAAAGTACCTAGTGTAATATCTAAAATCGAATCAACAAAAAAACTGTAAGTCCTTTCATGCTGACACAATTCTGGCACGTAGAAGGCTCGACGCCGGTTCTTTTGTGGGGAAGACTTTCAAATTTCGTTCATGGAATCGCAAGAACGAACAGCATTCAGCTAAATTTGTATACCTGCAACAATGGCTAAATGTGCAAGGATAAACTTATGTAATGCAAAAAATCATTGCATATTTAGAAAGAGGGTTAATTTAACTTACTTTTAGAGTTATTGTCCTGTCGATGTATGTAGATTAAAACATAAAGAAATTTATATTATTCTTGACAAAAAAGAATTTTGAGAGGAAGAGTTGACCATCCAAGGAGAAAGACTTGGCTCATCCTGCAGTGCATTATGTCACCGGCATATTTATTCTTCAATTTAAACGATAGCACTTTCTGGTTGCGATGATTTTCCCGCATGTGGGAAATGTTGAACCTCAGTGATTGTACAGACATTCGGGGGAATTGCAAAGGCATGAGGAATAGGAAGGATACTGTATGCCAAATTTGTAATCATCGCCTTCCAGTGTGGCATTATAGACTACACTATCTACTGAGCCCGCCGTTGCCAATCTAAAAATGAAAAATGTGACACTAGTGAAATATATATAAGTCGGTGACGAAAAATTGAGCTACACTCCGTTTCAAAATCTTATAGCCATCTTTTAGGTGTTTTTCTCAGCTATCATGAGTCTAACCAAACTAATTTTAGGTATGCCACCTAAAATTATTACTAATCCTACGCAAAAATTTCTTGCAGAAAATTTGACATCCTCTATACCAAGGCGACGTCAGTAATATGCCAACCCATCAGGCCCGTCTAGCTTCATATTTTTTCGTCCCGGTATATACGGTAGGAAATATCAATGGCTCTATCATTTTGAAACGAGGAGTAGTGTTCGCCCAGGCAAACATAGCGGTAATTCCTCTTCCTACTTTGCAGTAAAAGTTGTTCTGTCCGGGATGCCTTTCAAGATTTTCTGATAATTGCAGTGTTGACTATGTGCCTTTACCATTACAATCAAGTACAACAAGGTGATTACTATCGTATACAAGAACGTCTGATATCCCTCGGTTTTAAACCATTCGGTTGGCAGGTCCTCAAAACTATTCTTTATTGTGTCGTAACCCACTTCAACATATTCGCATCGATATAATGCAGTAGAATTGACACAAAACTCGTTCACATCTCCCGAAAGAAAAACACAAAAATTAGTGCTCTTCTACAATATGTAAATAACGTTAGGATCAGAGATTGCCACGGCTCCGGAGCCGGCTCTTGGCTCCGGCTCTGAGCGGCTCCGGCTCCCGAGCCCAAAGACGGAGCCAGGCTTCCCAGCGGTCGGAAAAGTAAAAATTTCGTGATCTTGGTAAACCAAATTGCTTGAAAAAACACTGCGGAGGATGTGACTTGATTGCAAAAATGTTGGCTGTATGATCTCTGGCACTAATAACTTTTATTTTTGCAAAAATATTTTTAAAAAAACATTTTGCATAGGAGCCGGGATTCGGAGCCGGAGGCCTTTTTAAATTTTGCACGGAGCCAAGAGCCGGAGCCGAAATTTTGACCGTGGCAATCTCTGGTTAGGATTCATCATTAGACTTACGTTAACATCACCAATAACAGTCCTATCCATTGATAAGTTCATAGAGCATAATTCAAATTTCTGGATCCTATCGAGCAACGTCTGATCCCATTCAGAAATGTCTCTAGAGTCATGTTTGATCGAACCGACAAATACAACTAGTCCCGCAGTTATCAAATTGATTAACATGACAACTAGTATTAGTTTCAACACAAATCCAGGACCCAGAAACCTCTGTTTTGGCCATCTCAAGGCCAAACAACTGGGGATTAGGACATTCAGCGGGAACAACGGAAAGCTCAAAATCCATGGTATCCTGGAATGGTCGGCTAGATCCTTGTACGCCTTCAGAATTTCCGTGGTTTCATAATGCATTGAATGGGAAGTTTCAAATTTCGAAGCATCGGATTGGAAGTAATCATAAATTGTAAGGACATGAAAAAGAAGATAATCCTTGTAATGCAACGATTCAAGCATGTTTTTGTTCAGCGAAAGGAGCATGATGGGTAAAAAGAGTAAAGTAAGGATAACAATTACATCAAAGATAATCTGTTCAGTGGTGAAAGTAACACCCGATAATTTCTGCAAGAAACATAAAACCGGTACTAGTAAAACTTGCATTCCTGCCAATTCTTGAATAATGTTTGACATCACTGTAATACTTAATTGTCTCCCAAGGATATTTCGTTGCATTCTTTATAAAATTGAGATCCTCCAATTTGAATAATCTAATTTTTTCACCCGCCCGACCTCGGGACCCATGGATCCTGTTGTTGAGATAATTCTGCAGCCTCTCTCTTCTTTTTTCCTCGACTCCTTTTGGGGGATCGGCTGGGATCTTGTTGGGAAAGATGACATTACGGCCCCTTTTCTACAAGAAGTATGACTACATGGATCATGAAAAGTAATTACCTTCGATTTTATAAATGGCATAAGAGAACGACCGCAGATTTTAGTGGACAAAATGATTTTGAAACGGAATTCTATAGTTTTTTCCGGAGTTGGACGATTGGGGAAGCCGAAAACTTTTTTTCCTTGAGTAGTACTGTAAAGTAGTAATTTTTTGAATTTTTTTCATAAATACTCGATTTAGGGGTTTTCGATGGTGCTGATTTCAAAAATGAGATTCATTTTTTATCTTTACTTTTTGCTTTATTTCGGGAGTGCTAATCGTAAGTAAATATCAAAAAAATTAATGTCATTTTCGATAAGGAACCGTGAACGGATAATTTATATTTCTTCCAACTAAATAGTAGCTAGATCATTGTCTTCTGTTATAAAGCTGACAATAAACAACAATAACCTATATTTCTTCTTTCAATTCTTCCAGATCCTCTGTGAAGTCATCAAAATTTGGGAAGAATCCAGCTGGGAATCCGCCTCTCATCTCGAGGATGGGCTTTAAAGTCGTTGGGAACAATGAGAACATGTGAAACTTGATCCCCATCCCATCTTCGGAGTCGTCGATCAGACTTTTGTAGGCCGTCCTGAGATGACTTTGAACAGTTTCATCTTTACACTGTTGTAGTAACCTTTCGGTCCTCAGTCGGAGTCCCATTTGTGCTAGGAATTCGCTAAAATCATCCATATATTATACGAATTTAAGGGTTGACACACCGCTGAGTGATCGGACCAAAGGGCAAACAAATTCCTTCGAGGATCTTCTTCAAATATCCGAAATCCACATCAGCCGTGATATCTATGAGACCAGGTTTGGAGAGGACATCCACTATTTTGTGGTTGTGATATGCCCTGAGTGACCTTGTCCTTCTTCCTCCATCGTGACCATAGTCGATAAACAATCCGAACCCACCAAATGCGGTGATCCTAAAAAAAATCCGAGAGAAAACTTATTGCCTACCTCTGTGCGATCTCGGTCACCGTTTTTCCAGCTTCGGGACACAATTCCCACTTATCCCGGGTGGGATCCTCCCTAATATACTTTGGAATCAATCCTTTCGAATGTAAATTCTCTGATTTGGACAACATCAGACACAAGTCGCTTGTCTCATTGATGCTAACCTGCACTTCTTTCCAATCTCCATCTGACTTTTCAAATAAATGAACAGGGAGGACATCCAAGAATTCATTTCCCAAGAAGACAGAGAACTTCTCTTTAGGAACAGAGTCCAAATCACGATACCAGCAGACCGGGACCCCATCTTTTGTTTTGTTTCGCCTTATCACATCAGAATCTTGTAGACTCTTTGTCAATCTCCCACATAACAATTGCTCTTGTTGATCTATTAAATGGTCGGATATCTCAACAAGATTGATTGAAAGTCGCTCAGTCTGAAAACAAACTAGCTTATCAATAACCGACTAATTTCGTAAACTATATATACTCATTAGCATTTCTAACCTACATGAACAATATCAACTTTGCCGACCTTAAGAACATTCAGTGTTCGGAGAACATCGGCCATCAGTGTGCCAGTTCCTGGGCCCAACTCCACCAGTTGCCAATCGCCTCGTTCTCCGGTGTTATACAACTCATTGTAAATCCAAATCCCAATCAATTCCCCAAATATCTGGCTGATCTCTGGTGCCGTTGTGAAATCTCCCGAGGCTCCCAATATGTCAGCCTATAAAAAAGAGTCACGCCGACGAATGTTCACGCAGTACCTTTTTCGTGTAGAAACCCGCTGCCGATCCTGAGGCCAATTTCATATATTCGTGTACGGTAATGGGACCACTGACTTTAATCTTGTCCTTTATGAATCTCTTCAACAACTCGGATCTGTTCTCGATTGTTACCGGATTCTCCGTGCTTAAAAATCCAACAGCCCTCAAATTGACAGTCCTTGACAGCCGTCGAAGCATCCTGCCTCTTGAGAAAAATTAATCTCATGAATCACCAATATAACTTGAACAATTACAATATACTATCTCCAAATACTTGAAATTTAAATAATTTATATTTCAAACAATTTTAGATATTACAATAAACATGAGATCGATCCTTAAAATAGAAACTATGATAGAATGAAAAGAAAAAACGTTAATTGGGGGTCCCAAGTGATAACGAGAATACAAGTATAATCAGTTGTAAGTCTGTTCGTCAGTAACGAAGTCGTACGCTTGTTCCTTGGTAGTCGGGTCGATGTAAGATACCTTGTTTCTGAATCTAACACCATAGAAGTTCTCAGCATGTTCCAGTAACTCGGGCCGGAAGGTGGTTGTAATGAATTGTGCATTCTCTGAGAGTTCGTGGATCATCGCAGCCACTGATTGCCGATGCTGTCGATCCAAAGCGGCGTCAATTTCATCAAACAAGTAGAAAGGGGCCGGATCACATTTCTGGATGGAGAAGATGAGAGCGAGGGCGACTAGACTCTTCTGCCCTCCGGACAAATGATTCATTTCTTTTGTTTCTTCGGCCCCAGTGAAGCTGACCCTCATAGCAACACCGATGAAATCATGTTCGTCATCGTCCTGCGATCCCTGAGTTTCTGGCAGCTAAAACAATATTATATCCAGAAAACGAACAAAACTCACATCTGGTTTCTGAATAATTAATTGAGCACTTCCATCTGGGATAAGTTGCTTGAAAACTTCCTGGAAGTTCTTAGAAATCTGTCGGAATGTTAGAGTAAGAGTCTCCTGCTTTCTGTTGTTCAGAGCGACGATCAGATTGTTGATGGACTAAAAGAGCTCGTATTAAAACTTTATAACACACCTCTTCATTTTTGGCCAGTTCCTCTAAACTCTTGGTCAGACTCTCCTTCTGATTATTGGCTCGAACAAACTGATCCAGGGCCTTTTTGTTTACATTCTGATACTTCTTCAATTCATTCATGCATTGCGTCAACTTCTTATCTAGATCTTTCAGAGAAGAATTTCGGTACTTTCCAAGTGCATCAGCAGGTACTATTCCTATTTCATTCATCTAAATTAAACAGTGTAATAAGAAGGAAATAATAATTACCTTTTTCAAGAACTCCTCCCTCTTCGCCTGATAATCGGCAATCTTGGTGCAATATGTGTCGGTTTGTTTAGCAATGGACTCAATTTGAGCATCAAACCTGGCCTTCTTTTCTAAGTTTTCTTCTAACTCCTTTTCATAATCATCCTTGTCTTTGTTATAGTCGGCGATAGTCTCGTTCAATTCTAAAATCATATAATAAAATCAGTAAAAACAAACCGTTAATCCGTTTCATGATATCGTTCAGACGCTCATTCAATTGTTTCATCTGCGAGTTCTCCGTGTTCAATTTGTACTTCTTCTCCTCAATTCCAATGTCCTGAATCCTGCTCTCTATGTCATCCCTTCTGCGGATCAAATTCGTTCTCAGCTGATTTTCCAGTTGATGTTTCCGGTTTTCTTTCTCCGACCTATTCTTGGAGATATTCGACAGTTCCTTCCTCATTTCTTTTATCTCTTTCTAAAAAACAAAAGTATCTTTTATATCTTTTGACTAAAACATACCTCAAGCCTTTTCACCTCATCCCGTTCTTCATTACTCAGTTGACTTTCCAATGCCGTTCCAAGCTGTTGTGACAACATATCCTTCCTAGCATTCATTCTTCTTACTCTTTCTTTCAATTGAACAATCTGAGCTGCTTTCGGTTCTCTTCCCATAGCCTTTTTGTTTATTTGTTCGGAGATATTGTGCTTCCTTTCGTTTACAGTCTGGTGCTCATCCTTCAATTGTTTTACTTGCTCTTCTAAACCATTATATTCAATTGTCAGACGCTCGTATTCCTCCAAAACTTTCTTCGCCTCCTCATGTTTTTCATGAACCTTTTTCTAAAATAACAGTAAAAGAAAGGCCTCTTATTTTACCTCTGCCATTTCAAGAAGACGTTTGCTTTCGCGAAGTTTGGCAGATGCTTCCATCTTTGATCTCTTTCTGTCCAAATATCCGCCAGTCATTGGTCCTCTTCGGTCAATCTGCTCGCCTAAAAACGAAAATAAAAAACATGACTAACTTACCATTAATGGTTACACAGTTCATTTGATAACTTCTGGAGATTCGCGCACCTGACTGAAGGTCTCGAACAACAGCAATAGACGCAAATATTTGTCTATACACTGGTTCGAACTGCTCTGGGTATCTGAGAACATTTAATAAGGAAGTGGCCTCTCCCGTTTGAGCTTCCCGGTTCTGCTTTCGAGTCAATCTATTCAGTGGCATGAATTCAAATGTACCAGGTAACTCCCGAGCATTAAGTTGATCCAGGATTTTCATCGCTACTCGATCATCTTTCACAATATGATGAAACAGACGATTCTGTGCAGTAACATCAGCGGCCAAAAAGTATTCGGGATCGGTTTCAATGTGGTCGAGAACCTTTCCTAAAAGTGCAGTAGAAGGGCGTCCAAAAACAAAAAGTACCGTAATATCCTTTTAAGACCTCTGTATATCTTCCGTCATGATTGTTGTCTTTCATCCATTTCAATACCAAATTGATACTTCTGATCCCGTTCATCATATTCTTGGGAGCCAATGACATCAAGGACTCTTCGTAGTTATCAATTTCGTTTCTGACTCGATTCAAGTCATCAATCGCCAGATTTTCTTGAACTTGGGCGTCCTTTAACTTGCCGCTCAACCGATCAACAGCTCTTCGTTTTTCAGTCAACTGGCTGCTTACTTTATCGATCTGCGACACTTTCTCACGGAGTTCCTTCTCACATTCCTAAAATTTAAACAAATAATTCATAAAGCATATAACTCACAATAGACATTTCGTTCAAAGCATTGGTCTCATTCTCATCTTCTTCTAAAGCTTCTTGAATATTCCTAATCTGCTCGTTGATTAAACTTATTTGAGCTGAGGTTTTATTTATATCAGTCTTCAAGAACTTGTCTCTTTCTGCAGTGCTTTTGAACACATCCTTTTGTCCCAACTTGGAATTCAATTCTGATACTTGCTGTTCATTGATCTTAATATCAGTCATCAGTCTGGTTTCTTCTTCAACCAGTCTTTTGTATTCAGGCTCTAATCCCTCCAATTCATCTTGTTTCTTCTGAATCTCGGCCTTCAACTTCTTCAAATCCTGTTCTGATGAGTTTCGACCGTTCCGTTCACGATCAATCTCTTCTTGAAGATCCTTTATAGTCAACTCCAATCTGGCTTTTTTCGAGAGAAGATCCTGTTGTTCAGCCATAAGAGAATCCCTCTGATCTTTCACTCCTTTAAACTGGCTGTCAAGTCGCTTGATCAAAGTCTGGGTATTAAGAATTGCTTGTTGAACCACCATCATCTCGGTCTCAATGCTATTCTGTTTAGAATTGAGCTCTTCTCTTTTGGCGGAGAGTTTATCCGACTTCAGACGACATTCATTACTCTCCAGATCGTTGATTGTATACTCAATGGCTCTAAATCAAGTAAAGAAAACAAAATAATAAATTACCTTTTCATTTTATCGTATTTTTGGTATTCTTTCAAATCCTCCTTCTCTTCTTCCAACTTCTTTAAACGATCTTCCATCAAGTTCAATAACGTTTTGCATTTATCCAACTTTTCTTGAGTATCTTTTAACAACTTTAAACTCTGTTCCTTTCTCTCATCAAACACTCTTGTTCCAGCCACCTCACGAATAAGCTTCAATCGTTGGGCATCTGTCTGAGTGGCCAACTCCATGACTTTCCCTTGCTTGACAATAAAATAAGGGTTCGATCGGGAAATTCCAGCCGATTCTAGGAGATTCATGATCTAAACAATAGAAAATGTTTCTGATATACTTACATCTGTTCTGTTAGCAGTTTTATTGTCTATATAATATTGATCTTTCTTCGTACTGACTTGACGGGCAATACGGACTTCATTACTTTCCTAAAAGCGAATATAACAAGCAGGAGTCGCTTACAGAGGGCAAACGATGGAAGCTGTTGTCAAAAACAATCTCAACACGAGCATAAGGAGCTCTCTGGCCAGTTCCTTCGTGTAAAAGATTATTTCTTTGCTCTTGATTCAAATTGTTAAATTCATTGCTCAATACGAACTGAATAGCATAGAAGAAATTACTCTTTCCACTTCCATTTCGACCAACGACGACATTGTGTTTTGGAGAAAAATCTTTAATTGTGGTCAGCTCTTTGTAGGATCGAAACCCAGTGATATTAATCTAAAAACTCAATAGGTAAAGAGAAAAATTAAGACTCACTTCTTTGATGTGCATTGTGCTTCACAGCCGAGATTATTTACTACGGATCTCGACTGTAATAAACATGTATTTAGTTACTTATGCCGGTTCAAAAAGTGGATGCAATTATTATTCGCGCCAATTTTCTGAAAGCGAAATGTCCAAACTCGATAAACGGGGACGAAACGACACAATTGACTACTTAAAAAAATATATTTTTTAGGGGAAGAGCTCCGAATTTCGATAAAGCCATCTAAAAACCGGGTAGTCTTATTTATTATACACAGGCGTGGCAAACGGGCCTCTATTTGAAAATTTCAGGCTCAGCCCTAAACGGGCCGGCCCGGTGGCCACCTATTTGAATTTTTTCCATTTAAATAAATATTTTTTTCTTGCAGGTTTAAACTGTTGAAAGCATGGGTATGCACAGCAAAAGTAAGTTCTGTCGTTGGATTATGACGAAATTTCCTGTTCAGAGAGAAAGGAAAAGTCCTTTAGGACAAAGGCCAAACAGATCTTGGACAACAGAGTGGATAAGAAGAAGAATGACAGTCACATGAATGCTTCCGACTTCTTAATGGAGGTGGATCAACAAATGAATGCGTCCAAAAGTATGCATGCTGGCTTTGGTGGTAAGAGGATGATGAATGGAGCAGTTAATGTTGCCATTGCTGCTAAAGGAGTACAAGTAAGACATTTTTCCAGATTGTTTTTATTTTCAGAGCTTAGATTACATACCATGTAGCATGAAAGAGGTCAATGCAGAGTTCCAACTTGATTCTGGGGACCGCTCGACCCGTGTATTTGCCGCTGAAGTGAAGAAAACCATTTCTTCTGCTGATATCGTGATCGAGGTGCTGGATGCTCGTGATCCATATGGAAGTCGAAGCAAACAAATTGAGGAACAGGCTTTGAACAGTGGGAAAAGACTTGTTCTTTTGTTGAATAAGATTGACTTAGTTCCGAATGATAACGTTAAGAAATGGCTCGGAGTTTTGAGGAAGCAGTTACCGACTATTGCCTTCAAAGCTTCTACCCAGGAGCAACAAAACAGACTAGTAAGTCATGCTTTTCATTATAGTGCGCATGTTTAGGGGCGCTTGGTTTCTTCGAATTTGCACACTGATTCATCAAAGTGCATTGGAGCCGACTTGTTGATGAAATTGTTGAAGAATTATTGTCGTAACAAAGATATAAAGACATCAATTAGAGTGGGGATTGTGGGTAAGTTATATTTTGTAATTGATTTGAGCCACAAACAGCTGATTTTTGAGATTTATTTTAGGTTATCCGAATGTTGGAAAGAGTAGCATTATTAACAGTCTAAAGAGACAAAGGACTTGCCAAACTGGAGGAGTTCCGGGTGTCACTAAACAATTTCAAGAGGTTGAGTTAGACAAAAATATAAGGTTAATTGACTCGCCCGGTGTTGTTCTTGCATCACGGGGTCAATTCGATGCAACGGAGGTGGCCTTGAAAAATGCTCTGAGGGTGGATTCGTTGAAAGATCCTATCAGTCCGATCCAAGGAATTCTTAGAAGATGTTCTGTTGCTGTGGTAGGTTCGGAATAAGCCGTCATTTATTTCATTTTAGCTCTGCGAACATTTCCAAATCCTTCCCTTTGACAATCACGAAGTTTTTCTGGCGTTGGTTGCGAAGAAGCTAGGTCGTTTGAAGAAAGGGGGACGACCTGATATTCATGCAGCTGCGAAACATGTAAGAGGGGTCACTTGTAAATAAAAAAAAATTTTTGCCAGCCACTGGCTGGAAAACGTGGATAACAAAGGAAGTACCATAAGTGCAACGCTCAGATTATTTTTAAATTTTGCGCAAACTTCGGGCTTATGCCACATATTAATCTATAAAACTTTTAGCTCGCGCTTTGCAGGCGTAGCAAAATATTCACAGACTGGGACAGACTGATAGACCATGAATACCTCAGATATATGATATACATTTTCAACTCTAAATAGAAATAACATAATTTTCTTCAGAAAGTAGCTAACACAGGAAGTACACAAAGTGCGACGCTCAGATTTTCTTTAAATTTGGCATACACGCCGGGCATCAACTAAATTTCAATTCCTGAAAGTTTTAGCTCGCGCTTTGCATGCGCCATCGAGATATTGAACCATTTTTGCCGCGGAGAGAGTACGCCAAACGCGGATAGCGGTCAGAGAGAAAGACGCTTTTTAGCCATAACTTTGGCAGTTTCGTGCGGAAAAAATTGATTTTTTGTGGAAACATTGCCGTTTGCGGTAGAAATAGGTATGCAACTTTTCGTGCCGAAACCGGGCAAAAAGTCCTAAATTTTCGCCGACTTTCGATCTAAAAATCTCGGCTGTTTCTGCAAAGCGCGAGCTAGGATTCTCGCATAAATTTCAGAAAAAATTACTCTAAATCTGTGCCAAGTTTCATAAAAATCTGAGCGTCGCACTTGGGGTACTTCCCCTGTAAGCCACATTTTTCCGCCAGTGGCTGAAAGAAACTGAGTTAACAATACGTCGCCTTATGTAAGCCCACACTTAAGATACAGCTATGCGAAATTTTTTCAGGTTCTGAACGAATGGAATTCTGGGAAATTGAAATACTTCACTGAGCCCTCAAAAGAAACGGAGGTAATACCTGCGGTAACAACGGAATTGCTTACAACATTGTCAAAGGAGTTCGACTTGGATGCGCTGGAAGAAGATGTGAAGGTTGTATTGGCAGGCAAGTAATGCTCGGGCGGGTGATATTTTTTATTTTAAGAAACCGCTCAAATGGAAGGCTCCTCTGTCGAAGAAGATCCTGAATTAAAGTATGTTGTAACAGCAGAACCAAAGAAAGCCAAGGACAAGACTGAAGGATTCGAGCACACCGACATGATCCCAAAATCGCTAAAATATGAAGGAAACGTTCGAATCGACAGTGCCATCAAAAACGCCGTCAAAAGAAATAAGAAAAAGATGAGACGACTGGGTAATAATTGAATTCTACTTTTTTAGACCCGTTTTATTTCAGAAAAGCGGCAGGACAACCTGACTGACATGTTCACCAACTTGGGAGGGGACCAACTCGACGTTAAGATGGAGGACTGACCCATCGTCGTTATATATTGTTTCTTGTTGTTAATTGTTATAAAACTGAAGTTTATAAAAAAGAGAAACAATATAACATCGGGTTAAATTATAAAGATTGTTAACGCGGCAGATCTTTTTTGATGAATTGACATGCCCTCTGATGAAGCTCGTCAAAGTCGATTCGCAATTCCTCCTGATCTTTGACTTGGGGTTTTCTAATCGTCTGGTGTGTGAAACATTTACAGTCCAGGCGACTTTGGATGACACAAGAAATATATATTTGTCCCACCTCCAAATTTGGGACTCCTGCGTCAAAGCCAAGTTTAACCAAAGGCATCTCTTCATAACGATGGCTGAAGAAGAACCCCCCACCAAGATAAACCAGGTAAGTTTTGGGCTGTAAAAATAAAGAGTTAAGTCAGATTATTTGAACGTACAATGAAGCTGAGGGGCTCGTACTTCCTGTTGTAATCGGGCTGAGTTTGGTAGGTGATAACGCCGTGAATTGGCCAAGGCTGCAAATCTAGATAAAAATTTTAAGGCAAACGCTTACAATTCCATCGAAAAGGATGGACTCGAATGAAATTCTTTCGACACTTTCCACATAGAACTCGATCAGGCTCGGCCCTGTGGCCTTGGGGATAAGATTGTAACCAATTGTTAGGTGGAAACTGACCCCAGGAGGAGCAAACCCACCATTCCCTCGTAAAGGCAGAATCATCTCAAGAAGGTCCACAAAACAGTGATTCGAATTGTCGCCAATCCCTCGGACTGCGCGACAAAATGCCTGAAAAGGAGACTGTAAAAACGTAAAACGATTTAGCAAATAAATGCAATCTACTTACAAAATTGAATGTCCCCATTACGTCAAAACGAATAATTTTACGTCCAGCTCTCTGGTAAAGAAGTCTCGTTCCAATGGGAAAGTAAGTCGCGCATGGCGGCCAGAGTTCGGCCGATACTTGAGGAAGACGATTTTTTTTTTCAATTCCCGGATTATGTTATACTAAGAGGTGGTACCGCCGAATATCAGATAAATAAGATTATTAGTATTGTTGACGCTCCTTAAATATATATTCATGTGTTTTTTGTTAAATATGACGTTACTTGTGCTGTTACACATCACTTTACGCATGTGGCACGCCAATTTATTTTCTTCTATAAAAAATCAAAAAAATAATTCGTGCCAAGTGTCTCCCTGGCCCGTTTGGTCAAGTGTTTCCCTCAGTAAAACACCTACCGTATCTTGGCAGAAAAAAAGTCAATCATCGCAAAAATTGCACAAAGTAAAGAAGAATAACAGACAAATCGAAAAATGTACACTCAAGACAGATACAAAATAAATCTCTGCCATATTTGGCGGCATCTTTAATGTTTACCCCTGGAGTAAGGTAATTTATGCCTTCTTTGTATAAAATGGCAACCAACATTCTCACAAACTCGGGCGCTGCTCACAAAAATAGTTTTTGAAGAAAATAAATTGGCGTGCATGTGGTCACAACAAAAGGAAAATTCTAAAAAATGCACAATGCCACATTTTTTTTGGCAAAAAATGTTTTTGTGGTGCAACCGGCAAAAATTTTTAGCTTCGCAAGCCAAAAAATTTTTTAAAGAATTACGCCAAAAGCTTGTTTTTCGTGGCGAAATACACCTATTAGCAGAAAAAAACCACGAAGGACGGAAAGGTCCGCTGTGCGGAAAGGTCCGCTGGACGGAAAGGTCCGCTGTGCGGAATGGTCCGCTGCGGAATGGTCCGCTAAAAAAAGGAAAAAGGGGGGGGGGGAGGTTTTCGATGGCGCGGGTTTCAAAAATCGTATCCATTTTTTCTGAATTTTACAATTTTGCTTAGGCAGTAGTGTTATACTCCGCGCATTTAATTTGGATCAACCTGGATCTCAAAAACTAAGCAAGGTCTGGACTTGATTATTTTTGTATAATAATCTATTGTCATAAAGAACATGTTTGAGCAACAAACAATCACATTTCAGGTAAGTGTAAAATTTTAAATTGCAATTTAAGATTTCGGGTGCGCAGAAAATTTGGATCAACCTTGCAAAAAATTATTTTGCTCGCTGAGTTGGTCGATTTTATTGTTGTAAATGGTGAATACGGATACTACGGAGAACTAATATTCTGAGGGTATCAATTTTGTGCAATATTTCTTATGATACGGCCTATTTAGGGAGATACCAAGGAATACGGTAAGAAAACTCAAACAAAGCCCAAAAATTGATAATTGTAACTCCTCAAATTGCTTGCAAAGTGCACTAATATTTACTTGTAGGCCATGCAAAGTATTTTAGTAAGGCATCTACTGGAGTTCACGGCATCTACGACTTCTACGGGACATAAATCAGAATTTTTCTGAAAAAAGTTTCTAACGGAAAGTTTACGGTACTTTTTAAAAATTTTCTGATGGGTTGTTCGATGCGCCGGCAAAAAGACAACAACATTGCTGAAATTTCTACGTAAAAAGATTTGTCAATTTTTACCGTTTGAAGTCGCCTGACGGAGCGGGGATCAAAAATTACACCGTGCATCACACGCGTTCGGTTGGAAATTCCCTCCCTGAACTAAAACCACCATTGTATTTGGTTTTATAGCAGCCTACAAGGTGCATATTTAATAAGCAAACAAAAGATGAAATTCTCGGATGCACTGTAGCTTCTCAACGAGTCTTCCATATTTTGAATTTTCGCGGATTCAAAATATTGCTAAAGTTTTGTGCCCTACGGAATTCATACCAACGAATCGTATGAACTAATTAAATCAAAAGCTGCCACATCATGTCCTGTATATGCTGAACCCTCAAAACAGGCACTAGAAAATTTTTAAAAAGTACCGTAAACTTTCCGTTAGAAGCTTTTTTCAGAAAAATTCTGATTTATGTCTCGCAGAAGTCGTAGATGCCGTGAACTCCACTAGATGCCTTACTAAAATACTTTGCATGGCCTACAAGTAAATATTAGTACACTTTGCAAGCAATTTGAGGAGTTACAATTATCAGTTTTTGGGCTTTGTTTGAGTTTTCTTACCGTATTCCTTGGTATCTCCCTAAATGGGCCGTATCATAAGAAATATTGCACAAAATTGATACCCTCAGAATATTATTTCTCCGTAGTATCCGTATTCACTATTTACAACAATAAAATCGACCAACTCAGCGAGCAAAATAATTTTTTGCAAGGTTGATCCAAATTTTCTGCGCACCCGAAATCTTAAATTGCAATTTAAAATTTTACACTTACCTGAAATGTGATTGTTTGTTGCTCAAACATGTTCTTTATGACAATAGATTAAAACCCGCGCCATCGAAAACCTCCCCCCCCCCTTTTCCTTTTTTTAGCGGACCATTCCGCAGCGGACCATTCCGCACAGCGGACCTTTCCGTCCAGCGGACCTTTCCGCACGGCGGACCTTTCCGTACTCAATCGAAAAAAACGACGTGCCCGGCCACATCGTTCTTTCGTAATTGGAAAATGTTTTTTTAACGGGGCGGCGCTATTATTGATTGAAAAAAGAGGGAAGAAGCGCCGAAAATTCTAATTTACCACAACCTAATTTACGCAAAAACCATCGACACACATACTCATTGAATGATATTTTCTGAAATTTCGAAGGACTAAGCTCCTTTAAGAATCAACATGACATCTGTTATCATCTTAGCCTTTCCATATTCATCTAAAACATCATGGGTGTTTCTGTTATAGATTCGGTCATATCTCGCAGTTCCAATACGTGATTTCTTTGATAACAACCATGCGTGATTTCTTTGATAACAACCCCTGCTTTATACGTCAATTACTCTTCCGTCAATCGGCGGTCGTCCGATTGTCTCGAGTCTAAAGTAATATAATTGATTGGACAGCGGAAACCGAGCGCCCAAAAGCGATTACTGATTACAATTTTGAAGTGATGTTGTAATATAATAGAATGATGACTGTAAAAAGGATGGTGTCTGTTTGTTTAATGAGTTTGTAACTTCTGTTTTCCAGAAGTGAACACCTTTCGTTTTACAGGATCCCTCGAAAATACAGTACTCTTTGGGATTAGGCCTTTACGTAAATAAAATTCTAAATTAATTTCTTATCATCTCAGGCATTAATATTCATGGCATTCATTATTCCTAATCTTGGATTTGCACGGAAAAGCCCCTCAGGGCCCAAACAAAACCAAAATTTGAGGGGGAATTGGAGGCTCGCATACCCATCTCTTAAAATGGAACCAGAAAAAAGGAGATTAGGAAATTATTTTAAAATTTGAAAAAGTTTCATTGTCCAAAGAGCAGATGAAAATATAAAGCGGGAGATAAAAGCTTTTCTGAAAAATTTTTGAAATTTTTCTGTTTTTACTTTTTTTTAAAAAAAAAAGTAAATTTTCAGTTTACTTCAAGGAAAATGCAAAAAAAAGTCAATTTTGTTTCTGGCTTTCCGACTTCAAGGTCGGGAGTAGGACCGGATCTTACTCCCCTCTCGGAGTCGCCGAAAGTCAGAGCTTGTTTTTACTTTATTCCTCTTTTTGGCCCCGCACTGCAGGTTGCAAGGTTGATGCCAAGTCTTTCCCTGATGTGTCAAGTTTTTCTCTTCCGAAAAAATTATTTTTACGTTTGTGCGACGTTGTGAAGCTATGTTCTCCACGAAGATGGGCTGGAAAGTGGTCAAGTAAGTTAGCATTGGCAAGAGGAGATGTACGTTTTTCATTTGACATCAAAAGTTTCCATTTTATTTCAGAGAAAGGTACAAAATTTTTCCAATTCGTAAAGCTTCATGACCATGGATAATGTAAGTGAGATTATCTCCTTTTTTGCTACGACGTCAAGATTCTAAGTCGGGAAACGTTTAGAGGAGACCCCACTCTCATGTATATTCTCCATGTATGAAACCCCATAAATTTTGAGGAATAACGACGTAAAAGTTTCAAATACTATACTAACTTTCCAAAAGTATGTTATACTAAAGTAAAACCTATGCAAACTATCTTCAAGTTGTTGTAACAACGTTATTTGAGCCTTATTACGTTATTACCTCAGTTTAGAACGCATTCGTGGCAAAAATCCGGCAGATCTGAGCGGATTTCGATATTGTACATGACACCTAGAAATCGAAATTGGTGGCGTTTGATAGATAGAGTATATAACAAAACTAAAGTGAGGTGTCCTCTAGAACTCGCCAGCCTAGAACTGTTAACTCCAATAACGGAACAAAAAACGCGATAAGCGCACTTACATTATCCATGGTCATGAAGCTTTACGAATTGGAAAAAATTTGTACCTTTCTCTGAAATAAAAGGAAAATTTTTGGTGTCAAATGAAAAAAGTACATCTCCTCTTGCTAATGCTAACTTACTTGATCACTTTTCAGCCCATCTTCGTGGAGAAAATAGGTTCACAACTTCAAAAAAAATCAAAACGTTTCTTCCGGGAGAGAGAAATTTGACACATCTGGAATTCCCGGGCGCAGCTCGCAAAAATAGTTTTGAAGAAAATAAATTGGCGTGCAGGTGAGTAAAAACGGCATCCTACTCACCAGCCAAAATGGGCGAGCCATTTTTGTTTCAACTTTGCGGATCGACCTTTTGGCGAGCCATTTTTGATCCAACTTTCCAAAAATTTGTCGTTCGGAGTAAGAATGTTTTTTGACTCTCCGAAATCGAAAATTTCCGGAAATTTTTCAAAATTTACTTTTTTTTTAAAAAAAAAGTAAAAACAGAAAAATTAAAAAAATTTTCAGAAAATCTTTTATCTCCCGCTTTATATTTTTGACAACACGAGATACTAGTCCAGCAAAAAAGTCCGCGGAATGGCTGCACTGTGCTGTTCGCGGATGCACTGTGCATTTTTCGGCGCGCACAGTGCAAATTATAGGGTGCGCGCGACGGAATTGGGGGCACAGTGCGAAAAGACGTTTCAAAGTCATTGCACAGTGCAAAAAGTCCCCTTTTTTTGGGTTTGCACGGTGCGCTCGGTTTCGGCCGGATTTCGGCGACGGCGCACGGTGCAGTTGGCTCCCCGGTTGGATGCACAGTGCGGACTTCAAATTACGCTTAGGAGGTTAATAACTGTAGTAAATTAGGACATTGCTTGACTAAAATGCATGATAATTATAAAATGATGGCTGTAGAAAGGATTGCGTATTCACTGGCGTTTTCTAGGGTTGTTTTAGACCAAAAATGTTGTCATACAGTAATTTTTGCACTTTTTGAGTGCATTTTTTGCGAAAAAAGATCATATTTTGACTCTACAAAGGTGTTGACAACTTTATTGACTCAATAATATATTTTGAGTCTTTGAGGTGTAAATTTACTATCATTAATTCAAGATTACACAGTAAAAAGCTCAATCTCCGGAGCGCCGCACAGTGCAAACCGAAGGAAACTTTGGGCTGCACTGTGCGCACATGTGCTTTTTTCCCCCCAAAATCATTCCGCACTGTGCAATCAAATCAAAAAACGAACGATTTCCCAAGCGGCAGCCCCAATTTCGGCGACATGTCGCAAGAAATTTCGATTTTTCTTCAAAAATCGCTGCGATTTCCAAGGCGAAACAGAAATCCAACTTGCACTGTGCGAAAAGCCCAGAAATGGCCGCACGGTGCCGATTTTGGCATTTGCACTGTGCAAAATCCAAATGCACAGTGCGAAAAGTCGATCGCGGGGTCTGCACTGTTCTGATTCGAAACTGCACTGTGCGGGGTGCGAAATCCATTCCGCGGACTTTTTTGCTGGACTAGTATACTAGTCGGCGCAAAAAGTCTTTGGAATTTTTCGCGGCCTCCAAATTCCGTCGCACCCCGAAATGTCGATTTGTCGCTGAGAAAAACGGGAATCGCGCGCGACAATAAGGCAAAATCAACAAAATTGCACAGTGCAAAAGCACTTTTCGGGCCGGATGCACTGTGCAAAATGTGTTTTCGGGTTCATGCACAGTGCAGAGTCGCAGAAAATTCTAAGGACTTTTTTCCGCGACTAGTATAGTAATTGGAAGCGAGCAAAATCCAGATTTACTCGCCGCCATTCGATTTCTCGGCCCCGGCACATCGTTCTTTCGTAATTGGAAAATGTTTTTTTAACGGGGCGGCGCTACTAGTCGCGGAAAAAAGTCCTTAGAATTTTTCGCGGCCCCCAAATCTTGTCGCACCCCGAAATGTTGATTTGTCGCGGGAATCGAGCGCGACAATAAGGCAAAATCAACAAAATTGCACAGTGCAAAATGTGTTTTCGGGTGAATGCACAGTGCGGAGTCGCAGAAAATTCTAAGGACTTTTTTCCGCGACTAGTATTATTGATTGAAAAAAGAGGGAAGAAGCGCCGAAAATTCTAATTTACCACAACCTAATTTACGCAAAAACCATCGGCACACATACTCATTGAATGATATTTTCTGAAATTTCGAAGGACTAAGCTCCTTTAAGAATCAACATGACATCTGTTATCATCTTAGCCTTTCCATATTCATCTAAAACATCATGGGTGTTTCTGTTATAGATTCGGTCATATCTCGCAGTTCCAACGAAACTTGGGTATACCCGATATGCCAGTTGATGCAGAAGAATCCAGAGAAAATATGTGTTCAGTTTCAGAATTTTCTGTACGCGATTTTTTTTCAATTCCCGGATTATGTTATACTAAGAGGTGGTATCGCCGAATATCAGATTAATAAGATTATTAGTATTGTTGACGCTCCTTAAACATATATTCATGTATTTTTTGTTAAACATGACGCTATTTATGCTGTTACACATCACTTTATGCATGTGGCCACAACAAAACGAAAATTATAAAAAATGCACAATGCCACATTTTTTTGGCAAAAAATGTTTTTGTGATGCAACCGGCAAAAATTTTTAGCTTCGCAAGCCAAAAAGAATTTTAAAGCATTACGCCAAAAGCTTGTTTTTCGTGCCGATACAACCATAATTAGCAGAAAAAAACGACGTGCCCGGCGCGTTTCAAAGTTTGTCAGGCCCGGCCCGTTTAGGCCCGGTCGGGCCGGGCTTCGCCGGGCTGGCCCGGTGGCCACCACTGAACTGCTTGTTGCAGTTGGTAGTCCGCTACCACCTCTCAATTCAATATTGACATTTCGTTACACCAGTATATTTTGTTCCGTTTTTTACATTGTTTGTTTTCAAATTATCCTCAGTATTGTCATTTGTAAAAACTAGTTTTTTCCAAGTAATAAAAGATCTAAGATACAAGTTGTGGCATAACAAATTAAAAAACTTCTGTTTTTTGGTATTGACTCCTGCGACTTGCATTACTTTATCTCAATTAATTAAACATAAATTCAGTGACGAATTTAATATTCAGAGAAATCAAAATGGTCAACGATAAGCATCCAAAAGATAAAGTTGTCTCTGCAGATGAAAGCAAAGTCATCTATGGAAACATTCCCCCGAATTTGGTAAATTTATAATTATTTTATTTATAACTAAAAGTATTTAGGTATTGCCATACCCTTGTGGACCTATTTTCCCTGGTGCGTTGGCTGCTGACTTCGTTGATTGCGAAGAAGAAACGTTGGAGCCATTATCTAACCTTTTTAATGTTGAACATCTTTCTGAATGCACAAATCCTGAACTGTTTAAATACCCGGTAACTCAAATACTTTATCAATTTTTTTATCTTAAATATGTGGTTTTCATATAATACGTTCCATTCTTTAGATAACAGGAATTGTGGACGGAGTCGGCGGTCGCTTTGTGATACCACTCAAAGTCCGAGCTGTTAACAATTCGCAAAACTTCGTTGTCTACTTCGTTCTTGATTCCGGAGCACCTTTGATAAGTTTCAGCAAAAGGACGGCTGATAAGATATTTGGAGACAAAATGTGTAATAGGGCAATTGTTCAAGGTTTGTTATTCAAGAGGTGAAAAATTATAAAAACTGATTTATTTTAGACATACATGTTACTTGCCGTTTATCCGGAAGCTTTAATGACGCGATGAAGAATGTCAATCTGCTCGGAAGCCAATTTTTGCTGAAGTCTAACACTTCTATAATCATCTCTCCAAATGAATTCGATTATCTTTCTTATAAGATGAGAATTTTCTATTTAACAACATTTTCCACGATTGGTCAAGTTCAAACAATGGCCGCTTCCCGCCACCAAGATCCGGATATAACCAAAAAATTGGAGGTTCATTCCGTCAGTAAACTTTCGAGTTCAGACCCAGATCATTCTCATAAGGACAAAGTCGAAAAAGGTCGCCAAAAGAAATAAGAAAAAGATGAGACGACTGGGTAATAATTGAATTCTACTTTTTTAGACCCGTTTTATTTCAGAAAAGCGGCAGGACAACCTGACTGACATGTTCACCAACTTGGGAGGGGACCAACTCGACGTTAAGATGGAGGACTGACCCATCGTCGTTATACAGGGTCTTTCAAGAAATGTGCAGGAAAGTAGGAGGCTATAACTTTCGGCGGAGGCGGCGCAGAGAGTTCGTTTTTGGAATATGTATTTTTCAGTGACATTATTTTTTGCCTACGAAATAACAAGCTTTTCGAGTGCAAACTGAGGTCGCTACGACCTTCTGAAGTAAAGGCATCTCTACCCCGAAAACCAGGTTTTTTCGGTTGAAAATGATCGAGAAATTTCAGTCTTTTTCGGTTGAAAATCACCAAGAAATGTCGGATTTTTTCAGGGGTTCCGATAGAGTTGACGTTGAAAAAAGGGAAGGATGTTGCCAACACGTTGAAAATTAAGCAAATAAAAAAAATAATGTCACTGAAAAATACATATTCCAAAAACGAACTCTCTGCGCCGCCTCCGCCGAAAGTTATAGCCTCCTACTTTCCTGCACATTTCTTGAAAGACCCTGTATATATTGTTTGTTGTTGTTAATTGTTATAAAACTGAAGTTTATAAAAAAGAGAAACAATATAACATCGGGTTAAATTATAAAGATTGTTAACGCGGCAGATCTTTTTTGATGAATTGACATGCCCTCTGATGAAGCTCGTCAAAGTCGATTCGCAATTCCTCCTGATCTTTGACTTGGGGTTTTCTAATCGTCTGGTGTGTGAAACATTTACAGTCCAGGCGACTTTGGATGACACAAGAAATATATATTTGTCCCACCTCCAAATTTGGGACTGCGTCAAAGCCAAGTTTAACCAAAGGCATCTCTTCATAACGATGGCTGAAGAAGAACCCCCCACCAAGATAAACCAGGTAAGTTTTGGGCTGTAAAAATAAAGAGTTAAGTCAGATTATTTGAACGTACAATGAAGCTGAGGGGCTCGTACTTCCTGTTGTAATCGGGCTGAGTTTGGTAGGTGATAACGCCGTGAATTGGCCAAGGCTGCAAATCTAGATAAAAATTTTAAGGCAAACGCTTACAATTCCATCGAAAAGGATGGACTCGAATGAAATTCTTTCGACACTTTCCACATAGAACTCGATCAGGCTCGGCCCTGTGGCCTTGGGGATAAGATTGTAACCAATTGTTAGGTGGAAACTGACCCCAGGAGGAGCAAACCCACCATTCCCTCGTAAAGGCAGAATCATCTCAAGAAGGTCCACAAAACAGTGATTCGAATTGTCGCCAATCCCTCGGACTGCACGACAAAATGCCTGAAAAGGAGACTGTAAAAACGTAAAACGATTTAGCAAATAAATGCAATCTACTTACAAAATTGAATGTCCCCATTACGTCAAAACGAATAATGTTACGTCCAGCTCTCTGGTAAAGAAGTCTCGTTCCAATGGGAAAGTAAGTCGCGCATCGATGGCGGCCAGAGTTCGGCCGATACTTGAGGAAGACGGCTGGGGAAAGTCGGACCGTCAGCGGCACTTTATTGTAATGGCCAAACTCATAAACCTCGTTCACGACTTCAGGAGACTGCTGATCGTTGATTACGACGCCTTGCACCCATCGGACATCACTGTAGCCGTGAACTTCCAGACCCGCCATCCCTAAATATAATGAAGTATAACATGATAATTAATAAAGAGCACGGAAAACAAGTTCGGTATCAGTACTCTACAAGGTCCAGAAAAATCGACCGCTGGAAAGTTGTTCGGCATACTCAATCAATAGTAGCGATCCGATTTTTTGCATTTCGTCTTTTCTGAAATTCTTTTTTTTAATTAGCGATCGTACAGGGAACTGTGCAAACTTTTGCAGGATGTTTCGCTGGCAGACCCTTGGGCGTTTAAGCAACATCTACAAAGTATGTTTTTGTTTGTAGCTTGACGTATTTTTTAGAATGTGTTTAGTTCTTCGCGGCTGAGCTCCGCAGCTGCAGAAGCAGTTGAAATAGGGAAGATTAGACCAAACAATAAAATCAGAAATATCGGAATATCTGCACACATTGATTCCGGGAAGACGACAGTGACCGAGAGGATATTGTTCTATGCCGGACGTATAAATTCGATGCACGAGGTCAGAGGGAAGGACGATGTTGGTGCAACCATGGACTTTATGGAGTTGGAGAAACAACGGGGAATCACAATCCAATCAGCGGCGACGTATGTGGATTGGCATGGTACTAATATTAATATCATTGATACTCCCGGTACGTTTATCCCCGTTATTTTTTTATTTGTCGTTCAGGTCACGTTGACTTCACAGTCGAGGTTGAACGAGCTTTGAGAGTATTAGATGGGGCTGTTCTGGTGTTATGTGGCGTTGGTGGGGTTCAATCACAGACTTTCACCGTCAATCGACAATTAAATAGGTATAACGTTCCGTTCTTGACCTTTGTAAATAAGTTGGACCGAACCGGAGCGGATCCAAGGAGGGCCAGAGAAGGTCTTCGACATAAGTTACACCATAATGCGGCTTTTATCCAAATGCCAATAGGAATGGAAGGTGATTTCAAAGGAGTTATCGATCTCGTCGAGGAAAATGCGATCTATTATGAAGGACAGGATGGCCTGATTGTACGAAAAGACGTAATTCCAAAAGAACTTAGAGCGGAAGCGCATGACTTGCGGCAAGAAATGATTGGTATGGGTTGAAATGCGTTACTAATATAATTTTAGAATACCTGGCAAATTCTGATGAAACTATTGGTGATCAATTTCTGAACGAAATAAACCCCACTGCGGATGATATTCATGCGGCCATCAGAAGGACAACTATTGCTCGCACGTTTGTTCCAATCATGATGGGAACTGCTTTGAAGAATAAAGGCGTCCAAACAATGATTAATAATGTTGTTCGATATCTTCCCGATCCTTCTGAAGTTGTAAATAAGGGGAACGTGGCTTTGTAAGTTTATTGTTTACGTTAATCGCTTTTTTAGAAGTGATGACAAAGTCGAGCCGATTATTTTTGATCCTAAAAGGGCGAATGAGGACATCAAACCGTTCGTTGGACTGGCATTCAAACTCGAGGTTTGTGTTTTTCTTTCTTTCCATTCTATTGTTTAGGCAGGGGCTTACGGTCAATTGACCTACTTCCGTGTATATCAAGGGAAGCTTTCACGAGGCGACATTGTTTATGCCACCAGAGATGGAAGAAAAGTTCGGGTGCAGAGGTTGGTTCGAATGCACGCCAATTCCATGGAGGACATCGAAACGGCATACGCTGGAGATATTTGTGCTACTTTTGGGTTAGATTGCCATTCTGGAGAAACTTTCTGCGGTGATGAAAATTTGAGTGTCCATTGCGTAAGTTTGGTATCGAGATTGTGAGCTTAACCAGATAGTTTTTAGGAATCAATGCATGTCCCGGAACCTGTGATCTCCATGTCACTAAAACCAGTGAACAGAAAGGACGCGGACAATTTTGTTAAGGCTCTTACTCGATTTACCAAAGAAGACCCCACTTTTCGAAGAGAATATAACGCGGAACACAAAGAAACCGTGGTCAGAGGAATGGGCGAATTACATCTAGAGATCTACGCCCAGCGAATGAAAAACGAATACAACTGTCCGGTGGAATTGGGGAAACCAAGTGTGGCTTACAGAGAGTGTCTGGCCCAGCCTTACGAATTCCATTTCCGACATAAGAAACAAACCGGAGGTCAAGGTCAATTTGGTGAGATTCATGGAGTCATCGAACAACTACCGCCTGAGAAATTTACCCAAGTTGAATTCACGGATGAAACTTTTGGCAGCGGAATCCCAAAGAATCTTCTGCCGGCCTTGAAGAAAGGTCTTGATCAGATCACCACCGAAGGACCTCTCATTAAAGCTCGGGTCGCTGGAATCAATGTTCGCCTACAAGAAGGAGCAACTCATGCTGTCGATTCGACGGAAATCGCCATGATCAACACCATGATGAACATGATGAGAGAGGCGTACGAAAAGGGACATTGGATGCTGTTGGAGCCAATAATGAAGATCGATGTCACCACCCCAGGAGAGTATCAAGGAGCAGTTACGACATCACTCACTCAGAGAAAAGCAATCATTTCAGCGACAGATTCGAATGATGGCTTCACAACAATCACAGCAGAGGCACCCTTGAGTGACATGTTCGGATACATGACAGCATTACGCTCAATTACCCAAGGAAAAGGAGAGTTCACTATGGAATATTCAAAATATGCCCCGACCACCGAAGAAGACCAAGAGAGAGTGGTGTATGAATACAAAGTAGCAACTGGACAGATTGATCCCAATGAAAAGGCCAAGAAGAAAAGGCGTTAGGATAGACAGGCTTCGCAAACAATTAGGATTTGTACCGTTGTTTTTTGTTTAATCGGTTATTAAAAATAAAATATACAGGAAATTCATGGCGAAAAAATCGTATCCGGACATTGGGGGCCCTGGACCGTCGGGGCCCATTAGACTAAGCTTGTAATGGAGTACAAAGTGATTTTTTAAAACCACTTTGTACTAAAAAACGTATTAATTGTAAAGTGTAAAATGTTATAGATTTCAGATAGGTCATAAGACGTTTCGCAGTTGTTTCACACGCACGTCTTTAACGTAAAATGGATAACTTTCCCAGAACCGATGAATAATTTCATAGTTTATCTCAACGTCCATGGTCCCGCATACCCAGAGTCGAGAATGTCTGTGCGCCGGATGAATACAAAAAGTAACAAAAACAATTTATCCTAACAAATAACTCAACAACTAACTTGATTGTAATGTTTGTGCGCCTTCTTGCTGATGTAATACAATATAACGCCCAATTGTTTCCCGGGTCCGATCTCGAAGAATTCCGGAAACTCGTAGTCCTAAATAAAAAAAACCAGATGATTCTTCCATCCGCACGCCGTCCCACTGTTTTGGCTTGTTGCAAAGGTCGCAAAAGATCTTCCTAAGCGCGAATTAAGGATTGCGACAAGGCCCAAGCTTAAACAGCCTACGCCTAAACTGGGGCTCTGCAAGCTTTAATACGCTAAGAACCAAAAAATCATAACCTGAAATCCGCTGGGACGGCGTACCGAAGTAAAGCCAAAACCAGTAAAATATGTGTAGACATTCTACAGTAAAAACGGCATACCTTATGCTTCCTGTAGAGGAGCTGCATTATCTGCTCCCACTTTACCGTCGAGCTGACCTGTTTAATGATATTTTCTCGTATTTTAGAAGGCTTGTGAGGGTATACCTTTCCGGTATAATTTGAGTACACATTCATCCTTGCCGGGCATAGTTCAATGTCTTTAAGAACATCCTTCAAGGCTTGCTCAGCCGGGCTCATCAGGACTGTGTGGAAGGCTCCAGACACTTCCAAGTCTTTGACAACCTGAAAGACAAATATAATAAAATGTTTGCAAAAACGGTTACCTGATAATTGAATCGTTCTGCGTTTTGTTTTAAGAATTCTATGCAAAGTTTGGAAGCACCAACAACTTTAACTCCACTATAAAGGTAATTGGCTACTTCACAGATTGGGAGTTCCCCTTCTTCTCTGAAATAACAAGTTTAATTGGTCAGATAAAAACCTACAAAGCTTGCTCCCTCGCTTCTTTGATTGCCTTTTCTAATTCCGAGGATGCGTTCACCTTTACAGTAACCATTCCAGAGTAAACCTTCTGATTGCATTCGTGCATTGCTCTTGCTCTGACGTCAATGATTTTTAGTGCTAAAACAATATCTGAATCGTGATGATTCACTTGCCATCTTCGAATTTAAGGATTCCGGCCAAAACCAAAGCCGCGAACTCTCCCACGCTGAACCCAGCGGATTCCGTGAACCGTTCATCTAATTCAGGCGCATCCAATCTTAGTTTTTGTAACGCCGCCATTGAGGAAACGAAGATGGCGGGCTGACAGTAAATAGTTTGATCCAACTTGGTCTTCGGCCCCTCCAGACAAATCTTGGCCAGATCATAGCCGAGGATCTGGTTGGCTTGTTCATATATTTCTTGACATTGCTTAATCTTCATCAATTCCTTTCCCATTCCAACGAATTGGGCTCCTTGGCCCGGGAACAAGGCCACGCATTGTTCTTGGATGGGGATGTGATCGAAATTTAGAACGTGTCGCTTGGGTCGAAGAACCTTCTGCTTCTTCCTCAATTTCTCTTCAACCTCCGTTTTATGGAGATAAGATCGAAGTTGCTTGAAACAAACAGCCATAAATAAAAAGTATAACTTACTTCTGTTGGGTACGGCAAGGGTGAATGTGGATCTGTAAGGACAGTATGAGCATCTTTGAAAGTTGTAGCCGACTCCAGCCACTCTGGTGGGGCTGAATACTTTGGTTTTCTCACAAATCTTTTGGAGTAACACCATCTAGATTGCGACGTTAAGTTGCGCAACATCTATACCATTTACAACTGCTCTTGCTTATAAAATCTGGTATACTTCAGTCATAAAAACTGTTATGCAATAAAACCGGTTTAGAAGTTAATAAATTTATTGTTAAGATGACAATTATGGCTGGAATGTGTATATAATAACTGCTTAGAATTCCTATCACAAACAATAAAGCTACCTAGTAATAAATTATAACGCGTTAATTGACGAAACTTTTTGGGAATTCAATGTCATCGATGCTCTGAATGAGGTTAGCTCGAGCAGATTCGTGAGAGTTGAGCCATTCCACATGTTCTTTAAGGAGGTCTTTGATCAGGGCATTGGTGTTGTCATCGCTCTCCTTGGGTTTATAGAGAACCGCACTCAATTCTTGGGCATTCTTATTTCTGAACATGGACAAGATCTCTCGACTTTTCTCTTGATCTTTCTTGGTTTCTTCGGAACAATCCGGTTCTGTATTGACAATACTTCTTAGCTGTTCAAACGTTACTTCATCCTGATCTTCTAACGTCTCTGCAATATTAATATTAGACACTACAAAAAAGACCAAAGATAACTTACTTTGACACCAGCTAAGGTTGTCTGGCCGATCGTCATCCGTGTCTGGTGGGGTCCAGTCAAAACTATCAAGGGACAAACTCCGGTCATCATCATCGTTATCGATGGTCATGGTCCTCTCCAAATTCCTCTCCGAATCTCTTCCATGTTCTTCTGAAGCTCGTTTCTTATGGACCCTCTGATTTTCACTCTCTTTTTTGTTGACTTCAAAAGTGTTAAACAGCATGTCCACATTCTTGTTTGATGACTAAAACAACAAAGTTTAGAAATATAATATGCAATATAACTAAGTTCGATCTGTAACTTGCCTTCAGAGCTTCAGCAACATCATTAACATGGAATAAAAAGTTAGAATCCGTCTCTAGACCCAATGGTCTGGCTGTGTAATCATCTTCCGAATCCATTTGAGCAATTGGAGCCTTCGGAGTTGAGCTTCCGACGTCCAGCGGGTCAGATATTGGAGCTTTGTCATTAAGAATGTTAAGTAAATGGTGACCCTTCTGAGCTCTTAATTGAATTACCTAAAAAAACTTAATAATGAATAGATCACATACCCCTTGAACATGTTGGCATAACATGGGAATTGCCAAAAGTTGCGAGCTTAGATTCATATATTTTGCGACAACGTTATGAAGGCCGGCTCTTTTCTTCAACGAAAACGGCTCTTCCGGATCCAATGCCAAATGTTGGAGACCAAAACAGAGACGATACAATTCGATGACCTCCATATCATGACCAATCTCAACACAAATCAAGCACATTGTACACAAGAGAGCGTCCAGATGGCGTTGAAGATGCTCACCTGACTCAGCCATCTTCGCGAATCTGCAAGAAAAAACTATATTACAATATCAAATTTGGAACAGACATACGTATAAAGCGCGGATAAAATTAAGTGAATATTCTTATTCATGAACAGCTGATCTTGGCGGACACATTTCTCGATTGATAACTGAAGATCGGATACATCTTCGACGTATTGGAGGTGCTCCAGTTTCGGAAGATTACCGTGCCTACAAGTAATATAAAAAAGACAAAATTTAACACTTACCTATCGAATAATGTGTGAAGAATCTTCTGGGAGATTACTCTGACTTCTGGATTCTGCGTAACAGAAAGTTGAAGAAGAGTTTGGAGGAAAGAATCGCTGAACACCGTCGACAAATAAAACGTTCGATATTTTGTGGCAATCTAAAATAATTAACCATCGATATGACGAATATAATTACCTTCAACAACGTCTTCATCAAAACTCGTTGAACGTATGCATCACATGCTTTCAATGGACGATCCTCATGTTGAATGGTTGGAATATTCCCGACAGTGAACATCATAATCTCAACCTTCTGATAGTCGGGCAAAGTACTTGCAAACACTCCCATGGTGTTGATTAAGGCGTCTTGGAACTGACTTTCTGCTGTAAGATTCACACATTCCACGGAGTTTTCATATTCAACTGACGCTCTGAGCTGCTTAAGAAGAGAATTGAAGATGGATAATAAAAGAGGGCCAATTGTAGCAACAGCAATGGTGACGATGTTCTCGAGGACTGTTGTAATTCCTATTCGAACATAGACTTCCGAATTTGGAGTGTTTTCCAGATGATAAATCAATTCCTAAAAATAAAATAGGATATAAAGACACATCATAAAAAAACATACTTGAAGGACTGCAAAGGAATTTGAGCTTTGGATACTGTAGAGAATGGCCTTGAAAACATGAGTTGCAAATTGAGCTGGGGGTTCCCATTTACGATGAAGATCACAATGTTTCAATATTGGGTCCAGAACAGTCCTAAAAATGCAAATACTCTGCGCAACAAAAACAAATTACAAAAAATCGACATACTTCATCATGCTAAAGTTGCACTTTCCAAATAATTCCCGAAGACATTGCAACGCCAGAAGATGTGGCTCTTCATTTACAGCCTCTTCGTCTGGATAAGGATACTCTACTTGCTCGACGCATTCTTCAATATTATCCTCCGACTCTTGCATATTAAACAGGATCGACGGAATTACTTTGGTCAAATGTTGCTTCTCCCATATACTTGTTTGCAATTCATCGGCAACAGATTTCCAAATGACACCTAAACAATCATTAGGATTCGAAAAGGAACTAACTGCAAAAACTTACCTCTCAATCCTCTAAGTCCATTATACCGCTGTTGTTTTAAGCGATCCCCTCGACTTGCATGACACATGGCGGAGAATTTGGATATAAAGAAATCGTATTCACGGTGATAAGACGGAGAATTCTCTTCAATCGTGGAAAACCGTACAAACAAATTTGTCGCTAGTTTCTAAACGGCAAACATAAGAAAAGTAATGCGGCATTACTTCCATATCCGGGTCATTGGTTTCCAACAGCTTCTGAACCATCTTCAAATAACTCTCAATAAACTGATTAAGAGACGGGGAGCTGTGACAACTTTTTAGCAATTGATCCATAGCATCGACGGCAACCTAGATGATCTACCTCAGAATTATGATTGACTTACAGACACCTGAGTTATCCGTTGTCTGGAGAGATCTCGAGATAAACGTTCAACTAAGTACACAGCTATTCTATTCAGCTTCTCTGGATGGGATATTGCAAAATAAGTCAACTTCTGCATGTTCGAGCTAACTAAGCCATCGGTAAGATTTCTGGGATAAATGGCGTCTACGAGACGCCTGTACCTTGGCTTACATGAGGAACAAAAACAACAGAATAAAGAATCTAACGGGACACTCATAGTCAATAACTTGTATGGCAGCGTTTCCAAGCAAACTCGTCTAAGTTTATGTACATCCGTGCAGGCAGTTCATTCTCGGTCCAAAAATATCGAAAATAGAAAACACAGGAAGAAAGTTGACCCGAAAGGGAAAACTGGTCAAGTGTTTTCTTTTGGAGGGTTCATGGAGAAGAAGGAATTCTTTCGTATTACTTGCCTCTGCAAGACGGGAACTCAGTTGCCCTACCCAAGGAATATTTCAAATTTTTCGTGGCTTCTTTGTTTCAATGTTCGCGGGTTATCGGATTTATCTTTTTACTCCTCAATTAAGATATTTTAGTTGATATCAGCCGCATACGAACTTGGAAATGCCCTTATACAAGGGTGTAGAGCCGTTTAAGCGTGCTCCATCGATCAGACATCGAAAAAGTTCAAAGGTCTATTTCTGCGAAGAAACCGGTGAAGCTTTTGAGAGCTATGAGTAAGTTCATATTTGAATAAACCAATTGCTTCTTCCTTTAGGAAACTTTTTGATCGAATGCTCACATTGAACACATCGCTTTGGACGTGTGCGGTTACGCTAAAGTCTGGGTTGACGTTTGAAGAAGCGATGAAGTCAGAGAAGGTGGGAAGTTTTAGGTAGTTCTAGTATTTTCCTTCAGAGTGCCCATCAAGGATTCCCAATTTATGGACAGAAACCATTATATTTCTTCGTCAAAAAGTATTTTCGTGAAGATTCGATTGAAAATGTGGTCAGCGAGCTTACTGACTGGATGAGGAACCGTTTCTTCAAAGGAGAATGGGTCCGAACTTACAATGGAGACAAATTCACAATGGCAAAGGTTGTCGATGTGGAATATTGCCGAAAGTGAGTGGATTAACAATGTTCACACTTGGTTTTTTAGTTCGAAAGACCTAAAGAGTATCGAGAATTACACCTACAGTGTCGAAACTTTCGATGAAGTAGATGGAGAGAATGTAATCTACGAGTGTGGACATGAAAACTTGGAAAGATTGGAGAGTTACAGTACGGAAGAGTTTTTGTTGACCGAATTTAATTCGAATCTAATCAAGGAGGGAAACCATTACATCGTTTCGGTAAGAAATTACATTGTAAATTGGTTTTTATTCCATATTGTTTTTGCGAATATGGTTTTAGGAAAGCAAAGATATGGAGTTGTCCCTCGCTGGCTATTCCTTTGCAGACTTTTTTGTCGGCCCTGAACCTAATAGTAAGGAAGAAGAAAGTAGCAAAGCGGGACACTCGTCGGACACCAAGCCGTCTTTAAGCGCCTATGCAATCAAGGAAAGAGTAAGTTAGGTCTTGTGTTCAATCATAGTTTAGAATGCCAAGATAATGAGAAGGAAGATGTTGATGGAGAGGGCAAACAAGGGAACCGATGCTGTTGAAGATACCAGTTTGGATTTGTCCGAAGTAGGTTGACTTTATATAGCTTTACTTTTAATTTAGAAACTCCCCGATTTCACATCACTCTCTCTTCCCAACTTTGTTCCAACATCTGATTTTGGACACATGCTGTCCATTTACGCATTCCTCAGAGCATTTGGCAAAGAATTGGATATCAACGGAGCCTTTTCTTTTCGGACTCTGATCAAATCCATTTACTCTGATGACTCTTATGAATTCGAGAGGTTTGTTTTCATATTTCTCCAAGCCAGAAATGCTTGCGTGGCCACTGAAGACTTTGATGAAGCCGACGTTGATGATCCCAGTGATATCCCGGATGAGTATCGAAATGAATTGGCTGGAAAGAATGGGGCTGAGATCAAGAAGAGGTGCAAATTGTTGGAGAGCATCAGACTGAGATACGGAAGTTCTCTTCAATCCATCCCGCTAAATCAGCAAAGTCTTTCTGAAGTCCTGAATTTGACTTTGAGAACGGCCGGATATTGCCCAAGAAGTGTGGCCATGGGTGTAAGGAAGGAGAAGAGAGGTGTCATCAGTTGTGCCAGTGATGAATTGTTTCTCTATTCGTTGGAGAACCCTCAGGTCTTGGAGAAACTTAGCGAGGTACCATATTTGTGATGAGGTTTTTAAGTTTGAATGGGAAGGCCTTTAATTTACTTTGTTTTAGTCCCACATTGCTGCTCTTTCTGCCACTGAGCGCATCTATCTCCTCAGGGCATTCGTTCAAACTCTCCTTTCTTATGGCAAATTCAGAACTGTCCATGAAAATTCGTACGCACAGTTGGAAAACATTCTGGAGCAGATGAGGAAGCTCTCTATTATTGAGCTCCAATACAAAGGGGAATATGAGGACACAGAGAAGTTGTTGTCGATGTTCGAGGGATTCAAGTTTAAGAGAAATGGCCATTCAAAGAAGATCGAAGGGTACCTTCAAGAATTTCGAGAGAAACCGAGCGTTTACAAGTGCTTGAAGATTGCCCAGATGAAGTTCCGTTTCGATTACTTTGTTCAAGAAGACCGCGAATTGTTGTATGACATCCACAAAAAAGCCATTGTCATTAAGACCAAAGAATTGATTCAGAATGCTCAGAGGTTGTTCAGTAAGTTTGGAAGTTCTGTGTTGTCCAGTTTTGTGGCTGCCTAAATTATAATTTTCTTTCAGAGGAAATGGGCGGGGTCTTGTTGGGAAATGATCGGCACCAAAGGAATTACTTCTACGTGTTTGATCTGTCCGTGGTTTTCATCGAGACCAGCGAAGATTGGAAGATCCTCAGTTCTCAAAACGATATCTACAAGCTTATGACTACTCTCCAACCATACGGAAGAAGAGAAGGACGACTTCTGTCCGCCCTAAAACTTTGTATTGAACGAGTTGGACGAACCACTGAAGCCTTCGGCTTCACCGAATCCAGTCTTTTCCAATTTCCAACTCCTGGAATCAAGGAGTATAAAATGGATCTCTTCGCGTCTGATAATGCCATCAGAACTAGTCTGTTGCAGCTGGGAGAAAAGGTAGGCGAAACCACGACGGTGTTTGATATCGTTTTAGTTGTACGAGAAAGCGTTTATTAACCAACCGCTTCTCTCCAAATTCCCTGAATGGAAGGGATGTTTATCGTCTACCCAAGATACCACGAACGTGTTTGGCGAAAGTGACGTTGTAATTGAATACAATGATGAAGTTGTTTTACCCATCGATCAGATGTCCGGTCTCACCAGGATTCAGAAGTTGGCCATTGGTCTTTTCCAACTTGTCAATAATATTCAACTGGAGTGTCTGAAGGTCCCATTTATTGATAACTCTGATGGCGGTAAGTAGACGTTTACGAGTTTGGCAATTGGAAAAAACAGAAAAATACTTTTTTTCTGTATGTAAGCGGTTAAGGCATATCATTTTTTTGTGGAAACATTTCTCTGAACTGTAAAAAATGTCATCATTCGTGCAAAGGTTCGCCAAACAGTGTTACAAAATGGGTTTTGTAAAATTTTTTTGTAAGTTTCATCAAAATCTTGTTTTAGCCACTTATGCAGGAAAAAAGTTTTTCAGTTTCCCCAATTGACGACGTTCCGTTTTATTTGCACATGGTTATGTAATATTTTATTGTAGAAGTGAAGCCGACCATTACTCTGGTCGAATTTATGAGGTCTCTGTTGACCATTACCTCCGACAGCCAGTTCTTTGTTCATCTGTCTGTGTTTGAGAGCATGATCAGATGGGCTCATCGCAGTCCTCATCAAGCAAAATGCACTGTGTGTAATGTCAGAGGACCCTTATTTATTATGGTCAAGTGTGTGTATTGTAATGATAAGGCTCACAAGGATTGCCTGGATGAGACGGAAAGGGAGGAATGGACTTGTTATTCTTGTGTAAAGAGAGCTGCCTCTCTTTCGAACAGAGTCAGGAAGACGCAGGAGAAGATCCCGAAGACCGACGAAAGCATCAATGACAAGGAAAATGGCTTTCTTGACAGTCCTCAATCTACTGTAAGTTTAGTCAAACGGGCCCGAATCCTTTCGTTTTAGAGTTCTCGCCCAGCTTCTACCAGAAAACGTGTAGCACCAAGAAGTGATGATTATGTATACAATCAGGTGAACGGGTCCATAAAGAAAGAAGACAGTGAAAGTCAGGAATCAGGCCGGTCCAAGAGATCTCGAAGAAATATCACCACTACTCCAAAACTGGAGGATTCTGGACTGACTTTCAGGAACACAAAAAATGTGAGAGAGATGTTTGAGAAGATGGTCAAGGTCATCTCCACTGCCAGAAACCAGGAATTTGGATTTGCTTTTGCGGATCCGGTCGGGAAACAGGTAAGCAATATAGATATGACTAGTATAGCTTTCAGTTACCTGGTTATTCTGACGTCATCTCCCACCCAATGGACATGCATACCATGTTGAACAAGATCAATTGGCATGAGTACGATCATCCGAGCGAGATCTGGCAGGATTTCCATGTCATGTTCTCCAATTGCGAGCAATACCATGAAGATGGCTCCTATTCAGAGGAAGCCAAGGAACTCGAAGCCTTCGTCCGACCTCAGTTCGAGCAGATTCTCGATGAGAAGCTTGAACCGTATCCCTTCAGATCATAATCTTTTTTGTTGTCTTCTATATTGTTGATGTTCGAAACTGATCTCAAATCGCTTTATTTTCCTATTCTGCAACGGGCATTTCTTTGTTGTTATTTTCTCTTCCCATTTATCTCATTTCGAACTCCTGTTTCAAATTAAACTCGATGACATGGTAATAATAAAGTTCTGATTTAATCCTAGATGGTGTATCCAATTTTTATATACACTAAATTCTGCAAATCAGATTTTTATAAAAATCTGTCATGTACTTCATGAGTTATTTCACGCTCTTCCGCACTCTTGCGCCATTCTGTATAAGGTCGTCGAAAGGCATTGTAGTTTATTATAAGATTCCTGATAATTACAAATAATTTCTTTTACGGACAAGATAATCTCCGCCAAGTGAATCCATCACGATCTTTTCCCTTTTTACAGCACGTTTGGAGATTGTATTATCCGGAAGAAACGGCACGACGTCGTCCGACAAGTCGACTATATAATACACCTGAGATTCGTAGGGTCGGGCCTGTAATTAGTGATCTAATATATCCGTCAACCAGATTCAAAAACCTTTATAAATGTGGAAAGTTTGTCCTCATGACGAAGTTATTTCCATTCCAACCTATTTGGGGATGATTTAATTACAAAATGGTGTAATTCTTTTTTTATCTCCTTTCTAAAAATAACTTGAGTCAACCCAAAATATAAAGAGCTGTACGATAGGGAATTCTTGAGGTGGATAACCAATTAGATTAGGACGGAAAACCATCCTCTTATCGGAAATGAGTCAGACTCTTGACGGAGGAGCTTGTCTTCCAAAAGAAATCCATCCCGTAAAAGTACTTCCCAGAAAAACGAGTAAATATTACGTACCGTTACAAGGAGTAAGGCGGATAGTACAGATAGTAGCAATGGAACCGAGAGGAATTTCATCACTGGAAATATTGGGTTAAAACAAATTTATAATGCAGGAATAAAGCGCGAAATGGACAGTAAAAAATATTTGAGTCACATTTAGAGCACAGTCGTAGCCAAAAATCGTCTTTTGCACCTAGGTGCAAAAACTGAGGCCTCAGTTTTTCTCCAAAGGCCATGAAATTGCGCACGCCGAAATTTGAACATGCTTTACCAAATTGGACATGGTGCATCTTTTTGGCTACCTTCGTCTGAATGCCAAAGTTCATTGCCATCGCGCAAAAACTGGGGTAGTCGCCGCGGGGAGTCGACAGAAACTAAAATTTGCCGAAGCGAATAAAAAGTAGTCAAAAATTGTTGGGTTTTAAATTATGATGACATGGATTGAAAAAGCGGATTTTTGTTTCTAAAACTTTCGACCATAAAGTGCGCATAAAATCGGCAAACCATCCGTTAAATTGACGCAAGCGTTGGATTAATGTGGGAGGTGCACCAAAATTGGATCACATATTAAATTAACTGTAAACAAAGACAGTCTGAGACACGTCAGTAAATCTGTTTTTCGCTCATTACTAACGACATTACAATTTTTTACAGGCTTTCAAATATAAAGATGGTCACAGAAGTTATCGGCTTTTATTTTTGCGTTTGCACGAAAAGCTTGAAAATTTGGGGAAATCAGTGCAGGTTTTGGAGAATCGCTTCAGGAAGAAAATTAAAGTGTGCAATGCATGATTTTTCAAAATCAATGTCAACCCAAGTTCGAACCAGCAGCAGAAATAAAAGCCGAGAACTTATGCGACCATCTTTATATCAAAAATTACCAGATTCAATTTTAAAAAGTGATGATGAAAAATGCAAAGCGCTGTTTTTAGACGCACAAAAACGTAAGTAACTCGTAAACAAACTTGAGTTTAGCAGCCATTCCCTCGCAAATGTCCTCGAATCTGCAGAATATCCACTCAAAACACATCGCGTTGCCGCCTCTTTTATATCACTATGTCATCGTATTTTGTCTATAAAAAAAGTTGAGGGAAATGACGCAACATTGACGAAGACCAAATTGCCACCCTCTGACCAAGTTTTATTGGATGCATCTTTTCTGGGCTTCTCTAAACCATTTCTTTCGTAAGAGATCCGCCCACTTTTGTTAATTTTATTTCCACGAGTTTCCTGATTTATTCATTTTATGGGTTAACACTGGAATTACTCCAAGTGGGGCGCTTAGATTTTGATGACACTCGGCACAAATTTAATTAAAGGCGAGAATCCTAACGCGGGCTTTGCAGATACGACCGAGATTTTTAGCTCGAAAGTGGCAAAAATATGACACTTTTGCGAATTTTAGCCTGAAAAGTTTCATGTGAATTTTAACGCAAAGATCGTTGAATATCTCGCCGGTCAGTAAAAAAATTTATGAATTGATATCTGTGGCATAAATTGATACCCACATGTGTGGAAAATTTTTTAATTTTAAAATCAGAATCTGAGCGTCGCACTTGGAAGCGTTCTCTTGGAAATTGTAATTAAGTTCACCTTTTTATTAGTATGATGTCATCTTGAGGAGGATATAAAAAAATATTATAAGTATGATCGGAAATGAAAAGTTGCGAGTTAGGTCTCCATTTTGTTGTTCTGGAGCTGACTTAAAAGTCTAAGCACTTCAGTCACGGACACAGTCATTTGGGGATCGAATACGGAGAAGTGTCTGACAATCATCTCTGGGTCAACGATTATCACTGTTCTGAAAGATTACGGTAATAAAATTCCATTCATAACGGGCAGATTGGGCAGATCACATAATGGGCGGATTTCTAAAACACCTTCCAATGTCATTGTTGCTCTTATATATCTTTATAAAAAAGTGTCGATTGTAAGTGTAAATTCAAAAAAACGTGCAAGTAAAAATACCCGAAGAGCTCTCAAAAAATTGAAGAAAATTTTTTATCGTATAACATGTCACCTCTAATTTTGAAAATTTGTAGCAAGTTTTCCATTGTCTAACATGTCAGAATGGTGTGCAACATACGTTCACATTTACATTTTTACAGTCACAACAAATTCGTTAATATTTAACATTTTTTTTTACAAAGGTGTAAGGGCACCAATGATAGCCGAAACGGGTTTTGAAATCTGCGCATTATGGACCATTGCCGGTAATGAGATTAATTGAAAAGGAGCGTCTGAGAAGTGAGGAATATGTGACGGACTAGTTATTTTAATTGAATTGTGACCGAGACAGTACAAGTAAACCAAATTTAAAGAAAGTCTGGAAATTGAGAGACCAGGAACTTCAGTTTTATCATCTGACCTGTAATCCTTCCCGGCCTCAGCATCGAGAATCCCATACTGACGTCCGATCTGATGTGCGTGATCGGTGACCATGGGGAATTCCATTAATCCCAGGTCTCCTTGCTGGATCCAGGAAATATGCGTGTATTTGGAATCCGTTGAAAATGCCAGAATCTGCGTATTCAGGGAGTCAAACTCAGATTTCCTTGATGAAAATTCTTGAAGTTCACCTTCGGCTGGTTTTTGACTTGAAATATGTTTAATTCAGAGCTTAGTTCCGGTTAAATAACTATTATTTTCACATCCTAAAAGTGACTTACAAGTCATGAGGATAGAAGAAGAGCACAATATACTTTCCTTTGTAATCAGATAACTTTATGTTCGAGAACTCGTCATCAAAGAAGCATTCGGTTTCAAAGTCCTCGATAGGGCTTCCAACTACCAATCTCACCATCTCACAGCAAATAAAGCATTAAGAGTAATAAGTTCCTGGGGTTTTAGTTACTTACGGGTAATTGCTATGGTAACGAAAGGCAACGACCGTAGTTTTTGGTCTTTCCTATTATGGCCTACATTTACGTCACACCCGACAACGTTTGTTAGCGTTTTGAGCCGTTGGCAAACCGATCGACACTTCGTAGAGAAATGACCGTCTTATTAAGCTGTGGGATGACGTTCCTGCACTAGTTCGCGGGCTAGGAACGTTCATGTCCAGAGTAAAGAAATAAATGCATGTTCACTGCACAACAATAGCATCTGACCCCACGCTCATAATTTCTCTAAATTTTGTGCACATGTCAGGCATAGGCTATATATCAATGCCTGAAAGTTTTATCTAACGCTTTGCAGCCGACATATTGAACAATCCTTGCGGTCGAGAGAGTATGCGAAAGGTGGAGTGCGGTCAGATGAGGAACGGTCTATCCGGCAGAAAGAAGTGTGAAACGTTTCCTGCCAAAATTCGCAAAAAGTGTCAAATTTTTGCCAACTGGCGACCGAAACATCTAACTCGTTTCTGCAAAGCGCGATCTAGGAGTCTTCCGTATGTCTTATTGTTAGAAAAAATTATTTTAAATTTGTCCCATGCTTTATCAAAATCTCAGCGCTGACTTGGGGTACTTCCCCTGTCAGATAGAGAATAAGCATTTTGGCATTGCAAAACAGTTTCGTTCCCTAGATAACAGTTGTTCGCTCGGCGTCCATCTGGTTCCTTTCATTAGAATAACTTTTTTATATTAACCTCGTGGAATAATGAGTGGAGTCAGCGAAGGTCTGGATGTTTTACTGGCCAGGTCCTCACTTGAAGATGAAGACCAGATATTCAAATATTTGTATGGAAAGAGATTGCCGTAAGTGTTACAAATCTCTGTTACCACATGACTTGCAGTAAGTTGGAATTCTCAGCAGAGGCCAAAGAATTGGCCGAAAAAGAGAACTTTGAATTGACCGGATATAAATTCGAGGTCTCAAATGAACAACTCAGGAGGCCACGGGTTGTGAGGGTGGCGGGGATTCAGAATCAGATCGTTGAAGCGACCGATGCCCCGATTTCTACCCAAAGGGATTCCCTCCATCAACGGGTGGGGAAGATGATCGAGGCCGCAGCTTTGGCCGGGGCCAAGATAATTGGTCTTCAAGAGGCGTGGAGTAGGTGAAACATTGTCACTGTATTCTTTTTATTATCGGTATTTACCCCTTATTTCAGCAATGCCTTTTGCCTTTTGCACCCGGGAGCGTCTTCCATGGACGGAATTTGCAGAATTGGCCGAGAATGGAGTGACAACTCAATTCTTGAAGAAGGTGCGGTACTCTGATTTAATCATTTATGTCTTTAGTTGGCCGCCGAACTCGGAGTTGTCATTATTTCCCCAATTCTGGAAAGAGATGACAAGGATGACGTCATCTGGAACACGGCAGTGGTCATCTCACATACTGGAAATGTCATCGGAAAAACGAGAAAGAATCACATCCCCAGGGTCGGAGACTTTAACGAGGTAAACTTAATATTTTTGATTCTTCAGACTTGGATTTTTGTATACAGTTAGTATGTTGATTTCAGTCAACCTATTACATGGAAAGTGAACTTGGACATCCAGTGTTTGAAACGGCGTTTGGCCGCGTCGGGATTAATATCTGTTATGGCCGTCATCACCCCCAGAATTGGCTGATGTACGCGTTAAATGGGGCTGAAATTATTTTCAATCCCTCGGCCACCGTGGACGGACTCAGCGAGGCTTTATGGCCGATTGAGGCCCGAAATGCGGCCATTGCCAATCACGTTTTCACAGTCGCAATCAATCGTGTCGGGACCGAGGTGTTTCCTAACGAATTTACCAGTGGAAATGGGAAACCGGGTGGGTTTAATTCCGAACGTGGAGGGTATCTTCTACTTGCTTCTTTTTTCATCCATTGAGTTTCAGCTCATCGAGACTTTGGCCATTTCTACGGCAGCAGTTTCATAGCCGGCCCAGATGGCTCCAGAACTCCAGGAGCCTCCAGAGTCCGTGAAGGCGTTATCATCGCTGAAATCGACTTGAATCTGAATCGACAGACAAAAGATTCATGGGGATTTAAGGTAATTTAGGGAGTTTTATATTAAGTTTTCCAGATGACTCAGCGTCTTGCTTTGTATGGTGAGAAGTTTTCTGAGGCAGCCAAGGCCGACTACAAACCGCAGATCATCAAAGAGGCCTAGATCGGGCAAATTACATATTAACTTTGACGCAATAAACATGATTCTTTATTCAAAGGATAATTTTAATCCCCACGGACCAATTAAAATTATGCTTTTAAGGCGCTACTTGTGTCCGCACAATGACTTTCCTCAGAAAAGACCTTATATGAGTTTCCGAGGAGGCCTAATTGGACATTTCCGGCAGCCATAAAATCGGGCCGAAACCAAATAATGTCAAAAAAGGGAAAGGTCGAGTTCCCCGAGGGCATTTCGTTTCTGATTTTGTTCATTAATAGTTGAGTTCGCACTCGTGTCACCTGCTTCTCGCGACCGAATTAATTGCAACGAAAAGACGATTTGACCCTGAGGCCATGGATGGACCTGATGTCCTTTTATGGGATGAAAAGTGAAGAGAGCTGCGGAATGGGAAACAGGCGTGAATGAGTGGCTTGAGAGTGGCGTTTCCTTCTGTTTTTTCATTATTCCGACTTCAGATGAGAGACATTCTTTGCGGCCGGATGTAGCAGACGTTGTGCAGGTTGAATGGGAGGATGGATTGGTTGGTATTGTGGGATTTAATCATTTAAAAGTGATGATAAACTTCCCTGTGACCAATTCCAATTGTTTACAAGTAATTTATTGGTTTAACGAAAATTATTTCTGTTAATTTGATTGTCCCATGTATCACAAGAACAATTTTTATTTTATTTTATTTTAAATCGCAACTCTTGGATCTGTTCTGTTCTTGCGCAGCACGAATCCATGCGAGTGAATTCGGCCTGATGTTTTCCCTCCTAATTCTGTTTTTGCAAATTAATTCGCGGCTTTTTAATTTTCGGCCGAACTCCTCGGTTATTGGCCGAATTATTTTTTTATGAATTTTATCTTTTTCCTCGGCGCCTTCCTCCTCGAATATGTCAACCCGAGTTTCAATTTCAGGCCCTCTTGAAAGGGGAAATGGCTTCTGAAGTCGGTAACTCAAACCCGTAAGACCGGGCTTAAGCCTTCTTGCCCCGAGGCTGATAGATGCGCCAGAGATTAGAATGTCCAGCGGTGGGTCTACAGCTTTTTGAGGACCTTCGAATGTGATTCTGACATTAATCTAAAGGTTTTCTTTCAGATCTGTTCAGAATGAGAACTTTATGGTGGCTTATGGTTACTGTAATGACGGCATTGGCCGAATATCCTTGGACTTTTGACAACGATCTATTCGGAGGTGAGTTTACAGTTTGGGAAGTCTCGTTTCGAATCTAAACATACAAAATGAACCGAGATTTCTTGTACAGGAGATCATGGTCAGGGAAAGTAGAAAATTGTCATCGAAACAATTGTCCTAAAGCGTGTACAATTAAAAACCCAAAATTCTGGAACAAGAACGAGATTCGAAGGTCTGCTCGGTGCGCAAATTGCCTGCAGAGATCGACAAGACATACAGAAAAATTGGGTAAACCTTGAGAGTTTTTCTACGGGTTTTGGTTCAAATTATTTTTCATTGATTAACCAGGTACAAAAAGTTTGTACACAAAATAACCTTTCCAGGCAAAATCAGAGAGTTTTCGCCTAAAAGTTTTCGATTTTTCATCTTACCTACATATATGTATTCTACAGGAAAAAGCTGACCAAAAATTTAACTTTTTTAGCTGTTTTGCTTTTTATGGTAGATTCTGAAAGTGACTCAAAAGTTTTAAGGAAATCTCTGTAACTTGCGTGTGTAAAACAATATCGTCACCCTCTTACCTCTTTCGCTGCTTCCATGTCAGTGTGAAAACAGCATTCATTCCGTTTATTCACACGAACGCCCCTGTTCCTGGATGGCCTGAAAAAGGAACACTAATGGGCTCATTCAAATTGTTACAATAACTATCCTAATCAGGGGAACCCTAGAAAAAACAAAAAGTTTTTGGCCTCTCGTTCGGCCGCGTGTCCAAAACAGGCATCGCGCAGTTAGACTAGTCCACATTATGCTAATCAACGGGACTCTCTTCGCGGCCGACTACTTTAAGAAATGAGAATTCCTAGAGAATGGGCGGCCGACGAAGAGATTCGGCCGCCTTCCAGGTTTCCGAATCTCCGGCCCGGTGTGAGCCTGGGAAACTCTCAAGATCTGCGCAATTAGAGAGTTAAGTGCCGCGGATGGGGACACATCCGGCCTTGTTTTCGATGGACTATCTCCAATAAACGGGAGTCACAGAAAACCCCCTTCGGTGCGAGCGGCTGGTTTACTGTCACTCATTTTGTCTCACCTAGAATACTGTATCTTCTGGAAAATAAAATATTTTCCATATTTTCCCCTTACTTTGTTTTATATAGCGTGCATTGCGAATGAACCCGGTAAAATTGAAATATTCTTCCTTTCTGAAAGGGTGTTTTATGGAATATTATCCTAGAATATTCAAGTATTTTGAAAGAAAACACCTCCCAGCCCTTACAGACCCTGGTTTCGTTCTCGTTCACATTGTTTTAGCCCTCGTTTTATAAACGCCAATTTCCTCCGATGCTTCGGTCAAGCGGAGAAATGCTTGCGCTTTCTCTTAACCTTGTTGCGCAACTTTATTCAATTTCGTTTTTTTTTCTTCGATCCGACGTTAAGGCCATCTATTCGGCCATGGAATTTGTCCCCGGAGGACGAGTCGGTTGCCCTAACGACCTTCGGATAAATGTCTTCTAATTAACCGGGTATTACCTGCCAGAGTTTCCGCCCTTTCTTTTAGAGGACCATGATTTCCTGGCTGATGGCAGCCTGTTTCTATCCTTGTATTGTAGGACCCGATTTCTGGGGATTGATGAATAAGCACTGGAGAATGTGCACCTTGGGACAGCTGCAAAGTCCGGTCAATATTGATCCCTCGAGGCTTCTATTTGATCCGGCGCTAACTCCTCTGAAGTATCAGGAAGTTCAGGTGAGCTATGAAGATTCAGAATGTTTCCACTACATTCTCTTTCTTATGTGCTACCCCTGTCTTTATTAATCACATGTTACTTTTTTTTAATGATGCCATTTACGACTCTAATGAAAAGTACAACCAGAAAAAAATTGAAGTGTGTTGTTATAGATTGATGCAGAAATCCAAAACACTGGTCAGATGCCTTTACTTCAGTTCAACAACTCTGAAATCAAGATGAACATATCTGGGGGACCAGTGTCGCCATATTCCTTTACCCTCCATCATATTGCATTCCATTTTGGGAGAACAAAAGACAATGAAAGGGGTTCCGAGCACACCGTGGATCGAGTCAGATTTCCCGCAGAGATCCAGTTAATGGGCTATAACTCAGATCTCTACCACAATTTCACCGAAGCCATGAGTCAGCCCAAGGGTTTAATTGGCATTGCTGTGATTGTGGATGTGAGTACATTACTTTAGTAGATTACTGTATAGCAATCCCGCTGACTCACTGATAATAAGGACCCATTATCGTGGGCGAAAAGAAAACTTCAATTTACTCCCGACCTTTCTCACATGTAAGGTGATGACAAAATATATATTTTTGACTACTCACTGCATGATTACTATATTCATGAACTACATTCATAAATAAATATAACTTGTAGTTAATTATAATCTTCATTTCAGATCGGGGAATATCCAAACGCTGAACTCCGTCGATTAACGGTCGCATCTCAAAGTATCGTATATAAAGGCAAGCATTTATGTGCTATAATATTGTATAATTCCCCTCGATGTATTTATGCTTGGCTGTTTCAGACTCAAAAGCTCAAATTCAAAGGTTTCGGCCATTCAGTTTACTGCCCAAAAGTGAGACCTATATAACTTATGACGGGTCGCTGACTCATCCGGGATGTCATGAAACAGTGACATGGGTGGTTATGAACCATCCCATCTACATCACACAGGACGACGCAAGCGTTTTTGACAAACCAGTTTTATAATTATGAAATATTTATTTTTTACAAAACAAATTTCAGCTTGCCATTTGGGATGACCTCCAACAGACTGACCAAAAACAGTTGAGTCCAGTTTATATGGGTCCAAATTATCGACCGCTCAAACCGGTGAATGGCCGTCTCTTTAGGACCAATATCAATGTCAAGTATAAGGTAACCAAATGCGCATCAGATTATCATAATTTCTTTCGTCTTTAAGAGTCGAACCGACGGCTCATGTCCAAGTAATATTTACGTCGACATGGGATATCGCTCCAACCCTAAACGCTCCATAAACAACACCAGTCTGAACGCATTGCAACGCCGACATGCGAATTTCTGGTCGGATGTCGATTCGAATCTGGGGTTCTAGAACCATGACATTCTACTTTATTAGTTGTTTTTGTTTGTATATAAATGAAATTATGACATTTTTTTGAGGTACCCGTAATCTTCAGTTGTTACTAGCAGCATTAGAATATAGTATGTGTGAGCTGGAATGCTATTGTCCGACCTAGTCTTCTCTAATTACACTAGGAGTCCATTATCTGAATTCATAAACTTCTGCAGACTGGAGTCCAATTCCAATGGCGGGGGCAGTTGGTCATCAGAAACGGGACGTGTCCGGCTTTTTCCCTGAGGTCTTAACAATGGCAACTGCGTAGCCAAACTGGTGTCCACCAGTTGTCTTTTTGGCTTCACCGGGAATGACGTCACCAAATGCTCCGTGGTGTCGAATGAAGTGGACTCGGGGATAGAGGAGGGATAATGTTCAGAAGTGACGACATTCAGTGTTAGTGGAGGCATCTCTTGATTCGAGAGTACAGTCATCTTATTGTCTGGCATCGATCTCCGTAATCTCTTTTGATTTTGACTTGGAATTACATTCAGCCTTGGATTGGCTTGATTTGAAAGACGTCTATATTCCGACGAGTCCTGCAATAACACCAATAAAAATAATAACATAAAATCAATTTACTCGAACATTCATCTACTCGCTACGTAACCGAAATTAAATTTAACCTCGTCTAGACACAACCATAAGCCATACTGTTATAAAAACAAACCTTTGTGAAGTCACTCAGTGGAGAGATGAAGTGTTTTTGTTCATCCAGGGAAAATTTCATCATCGGTGGCGGCGACGAAACGGAGAATTCGGTGGTCCAATCACTCGGCGATGACGATGGATGCCCCGAATCTGGGTCTGGGCGATGAAAAGGTGACAAAACTGGAGCTTGGATGGATGGGGTTGAACTCTGGAATGGCGATAGAAATTAATCAAGTCATCATTTCCGATACTAATCTTGCTTTATCAATTTACCTGGCTCTCATTTCGATTTCTAAAACTTGAATATTTTCCGAAATCAGCCTCGTCCTCCGAATCGTTCTGATGCTCGCTGACCTTGAGGATGTCCTTACTTTTGGGGTCGAAGCTAATGAGGGCGGTTAAGTTTCCATTGGAGAGTGGTTTCGGCATCTTTTTGATCTCCAGGTTATTCGAATGATTCGCCAATCTTTCAGCTTGATTATTAATAAAATCATTGTTCAGATTCTCTGGAGTTAAGTATTCTGAACGAGACTTTGACTTCCGGCCCATATCCATCCTGGCATATTCATCCTGGAATTTTGAAATCTGATCCTCGAGGCTTCCAGTCTCAATTTTGTCCACGGCTCTCTTCTTCTGGATGGCTTCCTGAATTGGTAATTAATTTAGTTTTTAAACTTTAAAGTTACAAGTAAAACCCTTAAATAAAGCATACTTTTTTGGTATCAGAAGGCTTCGGACTGTCATACGACGTGTTCATATAACTGTAACCGATCTCCTTGGTATCCAACTTGTTGATCTTCCTATCTTCATTCGTCTTTTGCCTTGGATTTATCTTTCTTTCGACCATTAAGACAATTGAGAACAGAAATGTCATTATTGCCAACAAAATGTGGATAACTGCTTGGAAACTTTCCGCATTGTAATACGGAACACTACAGGGCCTCTGATTCCATTGGGATGTAGTCAAATTGAAAAAAGTCTCGCAGCCAGGAGTATGCCTTACAAAGAAACTCTGGCCAAAAGGCAATCCAGCTGATAGGAGACGGGGAAATCCCTTGATGATATCATAATACCATAGAATAAGAAGGACGTTGTATCCTGATGAAAGAATCGATGAAAGTGACAGTAATAAGAGAAGGGTCATTCGGCGTGATGAAATGGCAAACATCCCTGATATACATGACAGAATCTGAAACGACATAAGTTCTTTTTTGCAAAAACATCGTTGCTTATTTTACAGTAAGATTTTTACTTATATTCAAACTTTATTAAAAATAGAGGTCAACAACCACCCCTTCTTATTACAAAATTCCAGTTCCCACCCGTCAATCATCTAATTCCCAATATTTTGAACAAAAGAAATTAAATTACCTGGAACAAATTGAAGGCCACCGGTACCCACAGACGTCCGATCAAGTCGAAAACCTCCCGAATCACCGACAGGACCAGCCAGATGATCAACGTCGTGCAGAGCCATACCTGGGTGGGCGAGGAGCACATCTTCACCTTCTTTCTCGCATTCCTTCAACGAATCTGTTGAATAAAGTGCCGCCTTATAATGAATGTAAGCGCCTGGCGCTTATATCTCTGGACAAAAACAAGTAAAAGGAATGGCGCGACAAAGGAGTGCAAATATCTTCGGACAATGCCACACGGCGGAATATAATTACCGCGCGCGTTTTAAATAGAATAGGAGTTGACAAAAAGCGAAAGCAATCGATGCCCTCCGGGCGGAAAGAGAGCTTTGGAGCGGTAAATTGATGGCCGCGGTGATAAGCGCCTCAGGGTCAGGGCCACTTCCTTTTCCGTCAGCTCTCGAACCTGGGACCCTCGCTGAAGGAGAATGACCTCGAGGCGCGGGAAAAGAGAGAGCTGGGCGGTTGGAATCGCATCACTGGGCAAACAGTCAGCGCACTCGCACCTCACCTTCCCCTTCTCTTCTCCATCTCTGCTCTGTAGCTTGCTTTTCGGGGTTTCGCTTGCGTTGTCGCCCTCGCCGCCACTCTCGGACTTACGGGTTTGACGGACGAGAAAAGCTTAACCGGGCCGCCAGCACAGTTGGAGATTGCTAAGCAACAAGGTCGGGTCACTCGCGGTCTTCATTTGGAAGGCACAGAGTTTATTTGATTTCATTTATTTATTCTACGAAAAAGGGAAGAGCCTAGAGTCTTATTACAATCACTCAAAGATGTCCTCGTGTTCGCACACGTACTTCTGAATGTCCCGGGGAGTCTTCAGTTTGTCCACATCACCTTCGGGGATTTCAAATCCAAATTCATCTTCCAGTGCCATTGTAATCTCCACCAGATCAAGCGAGTCAAATCCAAGATCTTCAACAAAACGAGCTTCTAGTGTAAGTTTGTCAACACGGTCTTGAGGAAATCTGTCCCAAGCTTTGATGGCCTTGATCACTTTCTCTTCTACCTGCAAAAATCGATGCATCATAAAGAAAATGGTCACGTTCAAACTTCTGGAGCAAAGACCTGGTTAATAAAAGAACTAATCTACAAGAGATTCCCACGCTTTCAAGATTTATAAACGCCTAAAGAGATAACAATGAAATAATGACCTACTTCTTTGATAGTCAACTGTTTTGGAGGCTCTGCTGTTCCTCCAAATGTGGATACGGTAGAATAATGTTTACTGGTGAAATTGGAGTGTAAAGGAGTCGAAAGCATCGCCGGAATATGCGAGAAACCGGGTTGACTGATGGCCACGCATCTTTTGGGTAAAGATAGTAATGTCCTTGAACGGGGGATCAACCGAAACATCTAAAAATAGGAAGATCAACATTACAAGAATGAAACTGGTAAAATGCACAATTAAACTGCACATAAAAACACGAAACGTAAACAAAATCCTGCTCTCGCGGCCGAGCTCGCGGGGAAATTTTATTTTTTCCAAAAAATATCTTTCTTGAAACTGTATGCCAAATGTTTGTTTTCGTTGCGGGGCGCGATCATTCTGGGGATCAAAGCAAAATTCAAATCGACTATTTTTTTGCTCTGTTGTAGCTACAATTGCGGTGTATTTATGTGTAATTGTAACAATGCGTGATTTTTTTCACCTCACTGATCCCGTGTTGTTGTTATAAGTTTATTGTAAACGATTAAAGATTTGCGAACCACTCGGCATTTTCCCGAATACAACAAGGATCCCTGATGGGAGCCCAAGAAGACAAAGACGGATAAACAAGGAAAAAGAACAAGCAGAAGAGAACGAATCCGAAGAAGAACAGCATCTGGGTTATCCAATGGAATCGACGCATCGTTTGGGCCGAGAAGTTGATATGGCCAAAACTCTCACAGAACTCCACAAACCCCTTCCTCTTTCGACGTCTGGTAGATCGTATCTCCGGACTTCCATCTATGTCCAAATATATGTCTCCATTGAAACGTCTTTTCTCTGTTTCCATTCGCCGATCAACGCCTATGGCCATCTGAGTTGGAGGGGAATATCTGGAATTTTTAGTTTATATTACTAGTACTGCTGCTTTAAAATTTTAGTTATATCGGCTAAACAAGACTTACGGACAGTGTGTGGCTCGAATTGGCGAAGATGGTGGCGAAGTCATGACTATGTTGCTGTTAGAAGCATCATTGTTGTTGTTGTTGATGGTGCTATGACAACTATTGGTAATTTGGCTCATTTGAAGTAAGGGTATCATCCCCGCTGCTAATGAAGTGTCTCTGTAAGCCAAATTGTTTACGAATAATTAAAAAATTTTTATCTTTATCTTAAGCTGCTTACTGTGCAATCTTCAGCCTTTGTTTCATATATTTGATGATGGCCAACTTGATAAGGGAAAGGAAGACTATCATGAAACATACGGCTAACCAGATGTCCAATGCCTAAATAAGGTTGCTATAACACCTATTCTTTACCCACCTTCAAATAGCTGACCCGCGGCATGACTTCGTTGTAAGAAAATAACAAAAAAGTAATGGTAAGTATGATGGATATCATATCTTGGAAAGAACTTTCGTTCTCCATCCACAAGGACACCCATGACGTTATAACGACAGCCGTTGAGGGGATAATCAGCTGGAGAAAACAGAAGCCAGCAGATCGATTGAACACGAAACAGATGTATAAACGGCTGTAATTCCCTGCAATTCATAAAAAAAATGATGTTATTTTAGGGGCACGCTACCTGTTGCATAACTCTCCACCATTTGTGTAACAAACGCCTCTTTGATCTTAAAGTCGGGTAGTCTAATTTGATTTAATTGTAAGGCCTTTCGATGGCTATGAGACCAGAGATAAGTGACCTGATCTGCGGTGTAACCGTAACTCTCAATGCCCAGTTTGCAAATTTGCTGATCGAACGGGAACTGCAAACATGAATATTAATCATTGGATTTGAAGCTAGCTCAGCTTAAGTTGCAGATTTTTTACGTACTAAACTCAGATCCATAGAGCACTCAGCCAGGACTGAAATTCTTCGACTGTACAAAACTTGGCCATCTGCTTGCAATCGAAGCAACGATCGATGCGAAATTGATTGTTTCCGAGGGTTCTTGGAGGCCAGAGCATTCGGAATAAAAGTGTCGGGATGCCATAAAAAGTTGGCATAACTCTCATGTAAGGCGAGCTCCGATTTGTTATGGAATTTGGATCGGTCGTAATTGAGACGCGGGTCTGTCCAGAACTCCCGATAGAACATCTCCAGATTGTAATCCTTCAAAATGTTACAAGATTTATACATTTTTGTGGGAATGTAACATCCATGACGGTATTTGCGCCTCTCAAGGGCACATATTCCCTCAGAGGGCGGATATAAATCATGAAAACGTTTTCTTTCTTACCATGGTAACTTCGGACACTGCGCGAATATTGCTCACAACGACTGATACGAACACTTTGACAGGATCTTAAAGTAATAAATAGTATCTTTATGTCATATACACGTACCATGGACGGTCTCTCCAGGTGGAAGCTGGCTATGATCGTATTTTATTCGCCGAAGGAAGTGGAGAAAATCCCTGGTCTCTCTGAAATGTTAAAATATAGGACTGAAATAGGGAAGATCTAACCCTTGTTCAAAGATCCGATCCTTGCTGAAATGCGTGGAAGTGGAGAGTCCCTCGACTGTGTAGGCCTCGTCGTCATCTTCCTCATCCTCTTCTTCCTCCTCTTCTAAATGCTCTTCCATTTCCTTCAGACTACTTTTGTGCTGTTTTCTGATTCGATGATGGCCATGGAAAGCATTTGTCTAAAATTTTTGCTTAAAGGATGCTAAAGTTTACTGTAGCAAAAAATATTATGAATAATGAAAATATATCAGTCTGTCGTGAAAATAGTGAGCGCAATGCCGCTGCGCCAAACGCGTCGCTGAAGGGAAACGCAATTGGTTTTGCCATAATTCATTTTTGCGGAGACGACGCGGTTTTCGATGCGACAGAGCGCTCACTATTTTACCGACAAACTGATTACATAAAAATTAATTTGTAATAAGTCTAGTGACTAACACAGTCTATAAACTCACACATTGGAGGCCGAAGAGGAAGCCGAACACCAGAAGCCGCCAATTCATGTCTCAACTCCTTCCCCAAACCCAAAACCGTTGAGCCGGAGGAGATTGGCTCGTTAAGTCGGCCTTAATGCCCTACAGATGGCCGGAATAAAAAAGATCTGGGCAGGGATAGTGATTCTGGAGATCAGCGGGAATCAGTGCCGGTCATGACCCCCACTGTCGCCACCAAAATGGGCACGAATCCGGAGGTTGGACCCAAGTCCCCGAGGAATAGTGCCCGTTCCGCATCCGCCCGATTCGTCCACGCCCTGAAGGCATCCCCATTCGGCGGACGTGTAAAACATATCCGATGGGATTTTATTTTCAATATCATTCGAATTTAACGGCTTTGTGAACTGTCGGAGGTGGAACAAAGAAAAGTTTGGGATGATACAGCATTTTCTGACGTCTGGGGAGCTGGAAAATAAGAGGAATAACAATGAAATTGCGTTATATTACACATGGGATGACATTTTAAAAACAATTTTTAATGACATTTACGCGTATCGAGTGAACATACGAACATATTGTATGTATCTGCTGTTCCATAAATAAATTTAACTCGAAAACGGGCATAAACCTGCACTTTTTGTAATTCCAGATTAATTAAGGCAGTATAACACAAAAATTTAGATTAAAATCTAATAAAATGGTATTTGCACAGTGGTGATGATCAAGATGATTACAAAAGTTTATTCGAATTTAACTACTTTCTCTTTCCACACCCCGTTTTATTTATCTGTTGTTTATGGTTCGATGGATTTGAAACAAAATTGTTATCAGAGCAGGTCGGGGATTATAAAAGACACCACTGATTCATCTTGCTTTTTTTATTCTCGCACTCGGCTGTTCCAAAAATATGATTTCTCCGAGGTTTCGGCCGCCCTCTGATTCGCGAGATTTATTGGCCTGAGGGGAAATGTTGGGGGCTTCTGAAGGCGTCCCATTTTTTCTTAATAGGACACCTATTTTTAGCCTCGGGGGAAGTATTGTACAACTCCATTCATAACTTGAAACTTTGTCTTTTTTGGATCAATTCTTGAACCCATATCACGCTATCTTTCGAAATCGCACTTCCTTCCACAACAAACGTACTTTAATTGTTTTTCTCTTTAGACGTGTCGTGACGTCATGTTTTGGGTGTTGTACTTGTTCTGCTGGATGGTCGCCTTCTTCGCTTACCATGTTTGGAATCTCTTCGACGATCCACCCAATCGTATGTTCCCAATACAAGACGCTTTCTGAATAGGACCACTTACTGTCATTTCTACTAATTCATCTGTATACATATCACCATCTCATATCAGCCATATTTTGATATCAAGTATAATATCGGATGTACATACAAATGTCTGTATTATATTCTCAGATTATTATTTATAAAATTACAGAGTTTGTTTGCTTTCTTTTGTTATGTAAATAAATTGTTGCTGCTCTTTACAACTTGGATTTGGTGGCTCCAGAAAGGACTCCCTGGAGTTTCTGGAGGACAATCACGTTGCCTTTGGCCTTCAATTTGCCCGTCATAAAAGCCTTCATTCCACCTAACCCTCCAGTTACGATTTTCAGAAAGTCTTGATCATCGACGGTTACTGTAACAATGGGTTTGTCGCTTGATTGTCCTTTAAAGGCTTTCCCAACTGGGCCATTCTTTAGATCGAGAGCTGAAAAGCAATCATATTAGTAATAAATCCGACGACTCCATTAATCAAGTTCTCTTACTGTAATAAGCGGCATGTTTTCCATTTTTGGTGATATCATACAACACCACCCCATTGATCTTCTTTATAATATCCTTTTGATTTGGCAATTGCTCATTGATTTGCTCGAAGATGGCATCCGAAACCAACTCTTCGGTGGTTTCAGAAGGCTGAGCGGGTTTTACGTCGAGCAAGTCGACGTAAGCATTGGCAATCACGGTCTTGCCGCTTTCCTTGGCCTAAACGTTGGGGTTACGTTAAGAAAAAGAATTTTAAGTACAATAAAAGTCATCAATAACATGCTTTAGTCTGGAAATGGATTCTATTCCCTTCCTTCCACATTTCCACCACCAGAGTTTGACCAGGGATTACTGGAGCCGAGAATCTGACCTTAACGGCCTTCAGATTATGGCCATCATTCCCTCCATATTCCTTTATTACTGCCTTAGTCGACACTCCTAACGAGCAAAGTCCGTGAAGAATAGGTGTTGGGAATCCAGAGGCTTTGGCGAAGTCAGGGTCGATGTGGAGAGGATTCATGTCTCCCGAGCCATAGCGATATAAGGCAGCCTTAAATTAATTTTTTTAGACTAAAGTTCTCATGAACATTGGTGAGACAAGATTAAATTAAAATAAATTTCTCACCTGATCCTTTGTAGTTTGTACCTCAACAACCCTGTCCGGCTTTCGTTGTGGAACTGGCAAGGCTTTCTTTTCCCTTGGATTTGTCCTGGGCCCTCCAAATTTTCCGGATCCAACCTGGAAAGTGGCCATCTGTTGGAAAGACAACTTCTTGTTTGTCTTGTTGTCATAAGTGGTGACTGAAAACAAGGGATAAGTAAAGGAACATTGATCTAAATCAATTTAATCATAAAATCTCACCATTTGTAAGGATGACAGCAGCAGATCCCTTATCCAAAATATCCACGACTTCACACTCCGTTCTGAATTCACCATCTTCGGGGATGGGGTTCAGAATCTCGATGTACTGTTCACCATGCAAGATCCGCTGCAGGTCATATGCGATCCCTAAATATGCGGTAATTTTTGAATGTTTTAAAGTGCAAAGGGGGATATAAAATCTGACCGGGAGTTCCATCCAAAGACACCGAAGTAAGGCCAGGCTTGACGACGAACGTCGGAAACACTTGGAAATCTTGATGAGCCTCGTATAGGAAATGGAGATCTTCTTTGACATTACATCCGACTGCAAGACGGTTATTATTAGTCTAATCCATTTTAACAATGCAAGTTTTTAATAAGATTACAACGAGGAAACCAAATAAAACTCATCGATCATTAGTATCATCAAATGAGATCGCAACTTTTTCAATAACAATACCGTTTTCATCAGTTATTAATTCAAGAGTTAACTTACTCCCCAACGCATAGATGATGGCATCACGGGTGTTGTACTGCTGGACAACGGGAGCTGGTCTCCATTGCTTGGCCTTCTCGGGATCCATACCTCAATTAATTACAACTGAAACCAAAATGATTCTGATCGAATGCAACGAACTCCTTCACCTTTATAGCAACTACAACAATTGTGGTCAGCGCTGTTTTCGGGGGGTCAATGGGGGGGCAAAAGCCCACAAAACACGATGGAGGCTCGATGATAATGAACAATCCATACGAAATGGGAGTAAAGCATCTGGCAACCCTCTTTATAAACAAGTTGTCATCTACACCAACATAAGACTAAAGTGTAAAAAACGCATGCAAATGAAACTTTCTTCTAGTTTATTTGTGTAGTCAAACGACAATGGCAACTCAAATAATTGCCCCGATCGTTTAAATTAGGCTTCAAAAAATCGATCAACTTGGTTTAGGTTAAATTTATTCCCGTATATATCTCATTTACAGATCTACGTAGCCACACACATGACCTTCTAGACATCGATGATGTGCTTATGGACAAGACCTTCGTTGTCGGTGACTTGTTTTGCAATGGTTGAAATGAGATTCAATTCATTGGAACCGACCGAACTCGCTTCCTTGAGGTTCTTCTGGATTCGTCTCGAGGCATTCTGGGAGTATAGTTGGGCTATCTTCAGGTCATGGGTAGCATCCTTATCTTGATTCAGAACATACGAAGCCCTAGAGAGGACCGCCATATTACTGTAGATGTCAATGGCGGCGTCGGCAAGGCGGATTAATTCGTATTGCCTGTCTGAAAGTGCACGGTACAGAATACAGAACATAAAGAGCGACACGAATGAAACCTTTGTAGTTAAACATGGACCTACCGATGATTCCCCTTTTGTGTTTAAGAAGCAGTTGTTCTACAGTCTTCCCAAAGAGAGAGATGCTGGTCGAAAGACCTTTGGCCTCATTCTGGAGAGAGGAATGAACAGAAGATGAAAAATCGAGATCACCACTAAACAAATCAAAAATTATCCCGATACTGTAGATCTCACATCAACATATATTACAACATTACTCACCCAACGGTTCTCCTCTTCAATTCTCCGAATAAAGTACCGATTCCTCCCTTCTTGATCTCCTTGGCTGTTTGTTGGAGATGTTTCCCAGCATGCTAAATTGTCACTCGTTACAAGGAGTAAATAAATACACAATCATAATCGAAATTTACCTGAATCCCAGTCAAGGCCACAAAAAGTCTCATGACGTCATTGGCTCCTTCAAAGATCCTGAAAATTCTGATGTCTCTGAGGACTCTCTCCAATCCAGTCTCTCTCATGAATCCCATTCCACCATACAACTGGATAGCATCATCACAAACATGCCACGCATTCTCCTAAACATCAATAAACTTAATCTGATGTTCAACTTACTGATGACATAACTTTTCCAATTGCTGCTTCCAACTGGTAATCAGAAACTCCTCTGTCCATGTTAGACGCCAGCATATAGACAACACTCTCGGTTGCGTACACTCTCTGCACCATGTCAACCAACTTCTCTTGAACATTGCCAAATTCTTTAATTGTTTTCCCGAACTGAACTCGACTGTTAACATGATCGACAGTCTTCTGAATACACCATCTCATGCATCCTGTCATGGCTGCAGGAATGCCGAAGCGACCATTGTTGAGGATGTTCATGGCTACTTTGAAACCTTCTCCCTCTTGGCCAAGCAAATTCTCCACCGGAATCTTAGTGTTATCAAAGTGGACTTCAGCGGTATTAGATCCCTTTATTCCCATCTTCTTCTCTGGGGGACTGTTAGTAACTCCTCCAAATCCACGTTCCACAATAAAAGCCGACACCTTATCCTTCACCGATCCATCGGCTTGTTTGACTGGAGTCTGAAAAATAAAAAAAAATAAAAAAGTAAACCTTGCGTAAAAACATTATAAAACTAACCTGCGCAAAAACAGTGAAAACATCGGCAAATCCACCATTACTGATCCAAATCTTTCCGCCATTCAAAATGTAATGTTTTCCATCATCCGACTTGACAGCCTTTGTCTTAATCGACTAAACATCAACATTGCATCAACCAGGTTTAACTCACGTTAGCATCAGACCCAGAAGAGGGCTCTGTCAGACAGAAAGCGGCAAACTTCCTTGCTGTGGCCACATCTGGAAGATATTTTTTCTTTTGTTCGGGGGTTCCGAATAACAATATTCCCTTGTATCCAATGGATTGATGGGCGCCCATAACCACTCCCAGTCCAAGATCGTTCCCTCCAACGATCTCGGCCAGTCTGGCCATTTGTGCGTTCACCAGGCCGGCTCCTTCATACTCTTCGGGAACCACTGCCCCAAAAGCACCAAGCTCAGCAAATTTTTTGAGCTGTTCCATGGGAATCTCCGCCTTCTCATCGTTCCTGAAAATATTAATGTATAATAAATATAAATAAAAAAAAGCTTAAATTGAGCTATTTGTGCGATCATGTAAACAAAACATTTAAAAAAGCAAAAAACTTACTTGAAAGGATCGTTAACACCCTCCAAAAATTGTTGCGTAGGCCCCAAAATCAAATTTAATGTTTCCCTCCGATCAGCATCCAAATTAAGCGGATACGGGAAGACGTGCTCGGTGACAGTCCGACCTCGGAAGAGATTCATCACAAAACTTTTCGAATCCTCCACTTTCTTCGAAGCCGATCGAAATTGCGATTTGGCGACATACTTGGAGCCATTTCGAAGGAATCGCGAGGCCAACATCGCTGATTAATCGACACGAACGCGCCAAATGTCTAGAAAAATTGGGGAATGACCGCAATGACGTCGAGCGGACTGAACAAATGAAAACGGCTGAAAATAAAAGAAGAAATGGACTTTGAACCGTATGATAGATAAAAAAATAAAAGTCTTGGCTTTTAGAAAAAACAAAACCAGGATGGGGCACACGTGAGGCTGGTTAAAAGTTTATTTAAAAGTGGAACAGCTAAATACAAAAAACATATGTCACAAAATCATAATTACATGGGCATTAAAACACTGGAACTACGACTTTCGAAGCCGTTTTGGAAGGGGTTCCACTGAAATTAAACCATGTTAAAAATAAACAAGATAAAAACTACATAATATATACAAATATCAATGACTTACTCCGACTAGAGTCATTCATTTTCACGATCACATCAGTCAGCAGCCGGGAATGATTCTTGAGCATTGATTGCCAACCCTCCGTCTGTAAGTACAAAGTTCATTCATTCAGACTTGAAGTCGGAGAGGGTCTTATCAAAATTTTTTAAAACTTTTCCTACCTTGACCACTTCCGTTGAGTTATCCGCAATAAAATTCAAGGCTTCATCCTTCAATTCGTTGGCACTGTACAAATCAGCCATGGTCAGAGTGGCACAAACATTCTTCACGGACATCATCTTCTTCATTGATTTCTCGGCAATCTTCTTGAGGACATTGACTTGAAAACGATCAGCTAATGCAAGCAGATCAGATGCCATCTTATCAGCATTAGGTGCTCTACCCGTATACAAAAACCGAAGAAGCTCGTATAAAACCGTGTAATCAATGTCGTCGAACACAACTTGGCCTTCCTTCGACTCCCTCGTATGATCTGACAACATAGCTTTAAAGAAAGCTGACCGGGATGAGATGATTGAACGATGGACATCCAAACTTTTCGTCGTATTCCCGTTTTTACATTTGATTTTGAAATCCGTAAACTTGGGGTTGTTAAATAGGTCTTCGAGGTCTTTCCCAACCTAAAACACCAACACATTTATAAAAAACGCACACTTACATCGTCGACAATAACCTCGTCTTTAACGTTCGAATAGAAGCCAGTTCGTGTGACGGGCTCCGTAAATACGGTCAGCTTTATATTTAGATAGACCTCGTCTTCTGGAGCGATGTGTTGCAGCAAATAGTCTCTCCTCACATATTCGAAGTAACCATTTAGCTAAACAATCAATAAATAATTAATCTCTTCCTTACTTGCTGATTGCCTTGATACACAGTAAGCGATAACTCTTCGCCCTTGTTGTTATATACATGAAATTTGACTTTATAGTTGTTCACATGTGTTATTGGGAAGACCTGGAAGAAGCAGAAGTCTTTGTTGGAGTCCTTATTTCCCTGCGGATGAAATCGAATTCTGAAAACTTGAGCTGGAGCCCGTTCATAAGGCACATCTTCTGTCGTTACAGCTGGCTCGTCGTCGTCTTTAACCGTAATTGAAGTCTCAAGGAATCGTTTGTCGCAACTGCTCACACAATTCACCATCCAGTCATGTGAATGATGGATTTTTTTGAAGTTAGTTATAGTCCAAGTCCTAGATTCTGATTGAGCCGGTCTTCTTCTCGAGTTGGAAGGTATTGCTGGCAAATTACCAAGGCCGCTAAGGTCCAGCAACCCGGTACCGGTACTCTTCCCGACTGATTCCAGCTTTGCGGACTACAACAACCAAAATAAATTAAAAAAAAAGAATGAAGGGCAGAACAAGTTCAAGTAAAACTAAAAGATGCACTAACTGGAAGGATACACCTTTCCATTTACTTGAACATCAAAAAAAGAAACAAAGAAGAGAGAGAAAACCAGTCAGCACGACGCATTTTGTCATAATGCCAAAAATTTGGCGTTCTGCACCAAAAAAAAAATTTTTTTTGCAAAAAGTTTTTTGCAATCTATAGATTTTTAGGGTGAAATTCTACTGGAAGGAGTAGGACAGAGAAATTGGACAATGAAATTCGACTGCAAGAAGTTGAAAAGTAAATTCAACTGATTTCTTGTATCTGTCTGTTCTTTTGCCATGCGTAAATTTGGACATCCTTGATTGCCGAGGAAAAACAACTTCTATTAAAAAAAAACTTTGTAACTTTAATATATTATATGTAATTTACTTTCAGATGCCCGAGGATCATGATATTCTGGGTGCAGCACAGAGCGCCGTCCTTGTTCCGTCAGAAGAACCAACCGAAGATGCCATTCCAGTAAAAGGATACGATTTTAACCATGGAATCGACTACAACAAGATCCTGGAGTCATATTTATATACGGGATTTCAAGCTACTCATTTTGGAAAGTCAGTTGAGGTATTTGCACGTCTTTATAAAATTTTGTTTGTTTAGGTAATAAACAAGATGATTGCATGCCGACGTAAAGATTTTTCCGGATTTGAGTCATCGTTCGCATATCCAGAAGGACGAAAGAAGACGGGTTGTACCATTTTCCTGGGTTATACTTCAAATCTGGTGACTTCAGGGTTGAGAGAAGTAAGGACAGCTTTTTTTGCAAAAATTTTTTGCTTTAATTGCATTTAGAGTAATTTGGATGTCCAGACTTTCAGGTATCTTGCAGAGCATAATCTGGTTGATTGTATTGTGACAAGTGCTGGCGGAATCGAAGAAGACTTCATAAAATGCCTAAAGGATACCTATATCGGTAAGTGTAACGTGCAATGTACGAAAAATTTTCAGGAGACTTCAGATTAGATGGTGCAGAACTTCGAAAGAAGGGCCTGAATCGTGCTGGAAATCTCTTGATCCCAAATAAAAATTACTGTGAATTCGAAAATTGGATTACCCCGATTCTGGAGAAGATGACGCAAGAACAAGTCAACTGGACCCCATCAAAGGTAATTCCCCCGACTAATTATTGTACCCTTTGTTAGATCATTAGAAGATTGGGATTAGAGATAAACAACAAAGAGTCCATCTACTACTGGGCAGCGGTCAACAATATCCCCGTCTTCTGTCCTGCACTCACAGATGGATCGTTGGGCGATATGATATACTTCTTCAACATCAAGGCCGAGAAACCGTTGAGGATTGATATTGCGGAAGATGTTGGACATATAAACACCATGGCGGTCAAATCAGAAAATACGGGAGTCGTCATTCTAGGAGGCGGCTTTGTGAAACATCACATCAACAACGCGAATCTGATGAGGAACGGGTCCAATTACGCCGTCTACATCAATACCGGTCAAGTGAGTTGTGGGCTAATCATTGGGAATGCCATTTTTTCTTTCATGACTTCGTTGGCGCTGATACGAACAAGAAAAAAAGCCAGCTAATTATGTTTTATGAGCGCATGTTTAATGACACCGCTCCCTTTCCAGGAATTCGATGGTAGTGACTCGGGAGCCACGCCGGACGAGGCCGTCAGCTGGGGCAAGCTCAGGCACGGCATTGAGCCCGTGAAATTGCACTCGGATGCGACCCTGGTCTTTCCTCTGATCGTCGCGCAGACCTTCGCCCGATCCAATTAATTTGTTGTTTGTTTGTTTGAGAAAATGAATTGTTTTAATCATAGCTTCTCACTTTCCTTTGCTCTTCTCTTCCGCCAGCTATCTATTAGCCAATCCCAAGGTCGATTCGTTTTCTCTTCGCGCCTTTCTCACCGTTTATCTCCGCCCGAAACTTTCGCCCCGATTTATGAAATTATCCCCAAATTGATTGCGATTTGGAGCCCGCGCGACCTTGCCTCGAGGGCATCTTCACCTTATCCACGCTCAATCGGGATAAGAGCCCCCAGAACGAGGTCTCTCTCTCCTTTCCCCTCTCGCCGCCACAGCTGGCGATCGCCAGATGCGTCGCGAATTATGCAAATTAACGAGGCCAATGGAGGGTTGCGAAACGGTCAAAAAGAGGGCGGGCGATCGGGTCAAGAGGCGATGGCCAGGAGTCTCCAGAAGAGGGGCAGCTGTCGCGCACTGTCGAGACTGTCCTCTTTTCATAAATAATATTAGAAATGGCCTTGAAAGGCCCCCGACTCACTTTCCCCGGATCGCCGAGTCTGGCCGGCTTTCGCTCTCGCCGAGAGCGTGATTTACGGGCCTCAAATGGCGGTGGGATGGGATCGTAAATTGTTTTAGGTGCAGGTTGGGATACGGTTGTTTTTTGAGGGGCATGGGCCATTATGTTCTCAATTACTCATTCAAGACGTATGGATGTGTGGTTGAGGATAGTTGATGTTCTGGGTGGCACCATATAGAGGAGTCCTTGATCTTTGTTTCGTCTGTCCCATTTGAGTAAGCTTTGAAGAACGTCTTTTTTGTAACTGTTCGTATGAGATCTCTCCGCAAACTGGTGCAGTTTACAATGCGGTAAGCGGAAATTACCTCGGGGTGTGTCCATGCGACCAGAAATCCGTTTTCCTTTTTTGTTCTGAATTCCTGGTCATTTTCATTGCGTGGATCCGCGAGCCCATAATTTGCAGGCAGGGTAATGGTCAGAAACCGATGGCTGCGCTCGCCTGAGGAGGTTTCTTTATTTGGATGATCCATTTATTATACCTCTTCATTTCCTCCTCCACCTCATATTCGCGCAACTCTTCACACGAAAGGAATGGTCCCCGGTTGTTGACACAAGTTTTGATTGAGCGATGGATGGGAAGAGAAGGGGGAATGGGGAGGTGGAGCGGCGATTTCCCCACCTCTCGACCCGATTTCCGGTCCAATCCCGGTGTTCACCGATCCCTAATCCACTCATGTCCAGATGTTTGCCATTCAGACATGGGGGCTTTTGTTTCCAATGCGAATTGCGGGTTTTCACGAAATCCATTTGCTATCAGAATGAGGTTGAGAAAAAAGGGATGACTCTGAATTGGCAGTCATTTTTCCGTATTGTGAGGCCGTTTGCTTGATAGGAATTGGCCGTTATCATATCGTTTATACCATAAATTTGCCAGTTCGGCACTCTTTGTTTGATGCATTAGATAACACTGCTTATTGTAAGGGCCAGATGACATTACGCAACTTTTTTTATCTCAAATTGACGATGGCTCTGGTCGTCATTTCCGACATATTTCACCATCACCTTTGCAATAGAAGCCAGTTCACACCACATATTATTAGGTTGGGTGCCGTGTGTTGCGTTCACACTTGATCTTCTTATCCTCAGGTAATAGGGGTATTTTTCGTGGAACCTCCCCCCTCCCCTTCCCACACATGCTTTTGACAGATGCCAATTCTAATCCGAACATAATTTTCGGATCATCTTCAGAATATGTTTTCCTCGCCGTTATTCCGCGATCCTGGAAGGCATTTCCCTCGCGGATGGAAAGCGGAGACAGGCGATTTATATGGTTATGTTCAAGTAGATTAATTCTTTTTTTTCGAATTTTAATTACATCTCCTTACGGTTACTTTCCAATCGGTTTTATTTCATTTTTTTTTCGTTTTCTGGGGTAATCCGAGACCGTTCTTCTCTCATTTCTCCCTTTTTGAGGTGGAATGTAATAAACTGCTGATGGCTGATGACATTACAAATAGGTTGGGGGTCTCTAAATACGTTTTCCTCCACTTTTTTAATAGAGAGAGGATCTCAAACATTATCTATTATATTTTAATTTATGAAGAAAATTTTAAAAACACTTCCTACTTATTAGCTGTTATAAAAATGCTAATTTGAGTCTTGAATTTGCCATACGCTTGTATTTTCTTTGTTTGTCTGACCCATGGGCGGCAATTACAAGAGATTTTTTGTTTGAATTTGTGCTCGGCAGGCCTTCCGATTGCGTAATAATCCGAGGTTTTCTCGGTCTTAAGTAAGCAAATGTTTACTGTTCAAGTGTCACTCGATCCGTCGTATCTTGTGCTGTTATATATCCGTTTCACACTTGGTATCCTTTCTGTGTATATTATCCATGAATTATTCCAATATCAATTTCAATTCGATTTTGGACATTTAGCCGTACATTTCAGACCCTCTGGTATTATATTTTTTATGACTTCAATGACTTTAGATAGCTCTTATCATTCATTTTGGACAAAAATTTTTGTCGTATATACCGTCAATGTTTATGGTGTTTTTTGTGGCGGGTTCAAAGATTAATCCACACTGAATTCCTTATACCACGAACCCTTTTTACTAACTTTATTTATGGTGAGAGAACTTGCAAGACGTCTTCGTTTTTCGACAATATTGTTGTTTACAGCCCTCCCCTTGACAACTCCGATCTTTTGATTACTTTTACTTTCAAAGTGATCAAAAAATTGTTCGCAAAATATTTTAATTGAAACAATGCCTGAATTGTAAACTCTGAGGGAACCGGTTCACGACAAGAGAACCCATTCCTTCACGTCAGTCCAGTCCATCCTCGCGCACTTAGTTCGTCTTTTTTTTTAATTGGAGTCTTATTTTAATTCGATGAGGGAACTGTCTTCATTTGTCCTTTAACCTCTTCAGCAAGACTTGTGATAAAACAATTGCAGACACAACAGACGGGAATTTGGTTCCAGAATATGGGTTTAGTGGAAAAAAAGTGGATTATTGAGGGGTCTTTTATATCTCGAATATTAAGGAATGGGAGCATACGTCTTCGATAATTTAGTGACCAAATCTCATATTTTTTCAGTTGATTTTTCATAATTTTGATGACATTAAATAAAAAAAAATCAAATGCCCTTGGCCTAAGCAACATTATGGTGTCAGTTGTCAAAGCTCAAGAAGTTCTCCTTTTTTGATTTTTTTATTTATCAAAGTAATTCTGTTTACAGTTCTTATAAGTTTTTGCAATAAAATATCCTATTTTTCCCCATTTTTGTAATTTTGGTTCTATTTTTGTCTTGTTGATTATCAGAATCTGTCATAAAATGATGTTTTTATTTACCACGAATGAGAACCTCAACCCGCATGTTTATGGTCTTCCCATTTTCTTATGATCTGAACACAACATGTACATTTATAAATTTATCCTTATCGAATTAGTGACTCTCTCGGGTGGCCTTGATCATTTCCTGGTCCCAACATTACTCCGCTTCCTTTGCGCGCCCCCATCTTTTCATAGAAATGTCATCCTTTGTGGGTGAAACCTCGGAAACCAGCAGTTTTTGGTGGTGGGGAGAGGAATTTTAATCGATGAAGACGTCCGCCCAAATGATAAGGGAGATCTTCTCCATGGAATTCGATCAACCCAGCCTTCCGGATGTTTCCCATTTCTTCTTTTTTTGTTGTTGTTTTTGGGGCGTTGCGGTTCCCTTGAAGGTTATCAAAATGTTTTGATGTTATTGTAATGCGTAAGGGCTTTTCTTTGGTTGAGGCCGGGACTAAATCAATTACCAATGAGTTCGAATTGTTTTGAATTATTTCTAAAGCTTTTAAAACAAGATTTACATTCACGTGTGATGATTTAGACGACCGATTGCTCAATTAATTGAAGTCTAATCAAAAAAAAAAATTTCCAGAAATGCGGGATGACATTGTGCCAAGATACCAACGTAATTCCCATCCAGATAACTTCAGTACGTATCGAAAATTGTGCGAAAATCGAGTGAGGAGATTGGAAAGATACAAGAAATCAAAGTCTTTTTGCTCATTGGACGATATTTCATCGAGTAATCTGGAAACGGAGGGTGAGGAAGAGACAACCACATCTGCGGAACCAATTGCGTCATCGTCAACAGCCAGTACATCTGCTGAAAACAGTAATTCAAATGCATTTCAAGTCCTCAAGGAGAAGATGGTGAGTGTTTGAATATTCATATTTTTAAACTAATTTTTGTAATCTTTATTTTTTCTACAAAAGGAATTTACATTTCAGATTTCGTTGATGGAAAACGACGTCCAACTCCTTCAGAAGCTGCTCACCTTAGGAGATACGATCCAGGAACTCCGTGAGAAGCAGGGTCTTCAGCATCGTTCATCCAGCGAGACTTCCCTTTCCTCGAATGCTGAAGAAGATGATGAATGGCGGCCCATGGTCTCTCAGCCCTTCAGTGCTTCCATGTCGGCGATCACGCGTCTTTATGTTGATGATGTTGATGATGATGATCCCGATGTCCTGAAGCCGAATGTTCAATACTTTTCGAGGAAGAATTCGATTCTTCGAATCCCGATCCCTCCTAGAGCAAGTAATCGATATCTGGGAAGGAGATTGATTAACCGGGACAAGACCACACTCTGCGAGAAGGCGAAGGTGATGTTGGAAAAGGGAGGAGAGAGTGATAAGAGCTCCACTTTGAACAGCCAGTCGAGTCAGTCCAGTCAGGAGAGTGTGGGCACCACCAGAAATGGAGTCGGCAACTCTTCCCGGAATTCTGATGCCAGTCTGGACTCGGGAATTGCTTCGGCTTCGATTGATGCGGTTTGAAAAAACAGCTTTCGCAAGGAAATATGATTAACATTGAGTTTGAAAAGCATCTTTGCATTGGAATGTGTCTTCATTACCGTTACAATTTGTATCATCCCTTCTTCAAGCGGACGTTGCACGTCAAACTGAGATAAGCTAAAACAGTCCGGTGAATGGATTGGCAATTTGCCAAAAAAAGACGCGAAAAAACGTTTTGTCGGGGGAGAAATGGGGAATTTTTGGGGCGAGAGAGTACGCTTTTGCGTGTCTTTTTCTCTCTTTCTCTGCGAAATCAAGACGAAGTGTAAAAAACCGATAGCGAAGAGTCTATTCCGGTCACCGGACTCCTCAGTTTGACGTGCGTTGTGCCTTCCGGGTACCCCGTATTTATTCCCTCCTCATATCAAGATCTCAGTTTTCTGTCACAATTTTATTTAAATAAATCTTAAGTGAATTGGCGTTGAACAAGATAGAAATTTGCATATTCCTCTAATAGAATTCTTAAAAACCAGTAGAATGAGGTCAGTTTACATGAGAACACAACGACGACGAGTCCCGTTCTTGGCGTCCTCGTCGTTCGCCGTTAAGGCCAAATGTCTCTTCTTCTCCATGGACAACAACTTTTGGAACAACCTGCAATTACAACCCCTCTTTAATTGGGTTACAAAATTCGAAAAGAGAGGTTTTTACAAAGTAATTACTTTAATGACATTACTTTTGACAAGACTTTCCGAACCGGATTCAAGGACACAAATGTTCTGGAATGTACGGAGAGGGAAGGGACAGTATTTCGCGTCAAACCGACGTTTATGGAATTTATGGCCTTCAAAAAAGTGACAGTAATTGAGGGTTCCGGGGGAAACACAGAATTCGGCGGTAAAAGTCTGAGAAAAGAAAGAAAGTTCAAGATAAACTCTACAAAATTCACAAAATATCAAAACTTACTCGGTGATATTCTCGTTACTCTTGGCACTGGTCTCGATGAATCCAACACCCCAGAGCTGAGCTTGTTCCTGTCCAACTGTCGCTTTGATTTGCCGTTTCTGCAATAAGTCAAAGCGGATTTTAATAGTTTACAAAGCAAACTGCAATGAGTAATATTAATTTATTGTAACTCACCGAGTCTTCATCTTTCTTATTCCCAACCAACATGACGGGGAAGTCGTGGAGTTGATCCCCTTTCACCTCCTTTATCATCTCCCAAATCGGCCTCAATTCGACAAAGCTTTGAATGGAAGTAATCGAATAAACCAGAAGGAACGCATGCCCCTTGCTGATGCTCAATCTCTGCATAGCAGGGAACTGATGACTGCCCGTTGTGTCGGTGACTTGCAGGGTGCATACACTCTTCTGATTGCACGTGATCACTTGATCGTACTTATCCTCGATGGTCGGCACATAATTGTCGGAGAAGGTACCCTTTACAAAGCGCAACACGATCGACGACTTTCCCACACCACCAGCTCCAAAGACGGCGACCCGATAATCGGCACTGGCGTCGGCCGCCGCAGCGGCCAATGCAGCAGATGCCGTGCTGTTGGAGGCGGTGGTGACCTTGCGGACGTTCTCCTCACCACTCATCATGGCCGGCGATGGATCAGCGATGGCCATGATTGGGGAACGTCGCTCACGGGGAGGGGGGTTTCATCTGAAGGAAACGGTTAAATAAGAAGAAATCCATATATAATATTAAACGTTTCACGATGAGTGCTTTAAATGAAAGTTTCGAAAATTATTATTTCCTCACCTTATGACTACAAACAGAGGCCAGCAAAGAATTGGACAAATAAGCGTTAAACGCGATCCCGTTCCTTACACTTTTTGTAATTAAAACCCGTGAATTTTGGCCTAAAACGCCTGAGGCAATTTGCCCTCGCTCTCCGATCTCTGACGCCCTCTCTGACACTCCTCTATACTATTACAAATTAACTGTCAAGACGTCCCCTTCATCCTCAAAAAAGGATTCCGTTTCCACGCCTACACCTGAGGGTCTCCGGATCCAAGGACAATTGAAATACTCCACTTTGAATAATTATAATAACCTTTTAAATTGCTAATTAGGATAAAGATATAAATGAGGCAAGGAGGGAATCCGATTCGCTGCGAATAATCCAATTTGTTACCGTAATCCGCAAAGTGTCATGAAATTAAAAATCCAATTTCCCGTGTCCAATTGGCTTCAGCCTGCCAGCCGTGTACCATAAGACAATTTTCAACATTATGGCATCATTAAAAAATATAAAGGAAAAGGAGAAAATTCTGTGCAAAAGATAACAGTCGAAAGTTTTTGTAGCCATGCAGTACCGTAACTCCGAGATCTGAATTGGTTTTAGCCACTTGTAAAATGACAAATTGTGGCCGAGGCAACAAAACGTAAAAAAGTAGGGCCAAAAACGGCGTAGCCAGAAGAATCCGGGGATCAATCTGGGAGTTTGGGTCCTGGAGGAATAAAAAAATCCATGGCCTCCTTTTCGACTTATGGCCATCCCCGAGAGTTTAAAAAGACAGACAAAAAAAGTAGAAGAAGAGGGTGAAAGGAGGTGGGCCAAGCGTTGAAGTCGCGCTTCGGCATCTTTTTTTTGCGGAAGACGACGAAGAAGCCCTCAGGGCAAAATTGTTTTTCGATAAAAAGCAGCCGGCACTCCACCTCTTGGCCTTTCGCGAAGCGTGTGATTCCGGCACAAAAACCAGGTCCTTCTCCATCTCCTTTCTCCTCTCGTCCTTGTTTTAAAAAATGCAAATAGAGCCCCCGTTCCGGCCACTGGTGCTTAGGAATCTGTCCCCGGTGTTATTCCCAGCCCTTCCCGTTTAGAGAAGGGTTTCAATTCCGAAACGTGAATGCTTCGGTATCCATCGCTACAAGCATTGCCGCATCTTCCTTTTGTCACACTTAATGTTCAACAGGAAAAGTTGAACGTTAAGTTGAGAATCAATGAATCCCACTGAAATATGGAATGCATAGAAAAATAAAGCACATCCCTGTTACAAAAATATAACGAAAAAATTTACGGGAACGTTTCTTATAATTAGATCTGGCATAGGTGTTATCAATTTCAACTAGTTTGAAGCCGCTTTAATATTCACGCACAGAGTCTAAAGTCACGTTATTTTGTCCGGAAAATAATGCGGATTCGGATTTTTATAGCCTATCTTCGCTTGGGGATGAGTAGCCGTGGCTGGAGATTTGGTGCGCGACTGCGGATATAACATCTGTTTTGATCTCAAATCCAGGTAGCATTAATACATACTAGGGTTGTTAATTCGTCTACTTGACGCATCAGTTACGTTGTCAAATTGTCGTCATTTTATGTCAAATTATTCTGTCGTTTTACATAATTGTCAACTTAGTTTTTTCATGGAAAATTTTTGTAGAATTTTACTAAAAACCGTAGGAATTAAAAAATTTTTTAGGAACTAACAATAATGGTCTTCTTGTCAAAACGACCGATGAAATAAGCAGTAAAACTGGTTATGACTAATATAAACGGTATTCTTCATAGTCTATGTTTAACTTGCGTTCGAAGGCTTCGTAGATCAGAATTTTCAATTTTGCCAAGATGACGAGAATGGCGCAATCTGACGTCAGGTCAGATTTAGGCAAATTATATGTCCTTAGATCACAATTTTACGTAAGTACAAACCTCTATAAAATTCTGGAGGATTTTTAATTTGAAAAATATACGGTCGATTTTTATCGACTGAAGTCTAGAAAAAGTATGTTACAGTAATCCCATCAATTAGAAATTTTTGAAATCATAGTCCCCCAAAAGCTTTAAGCAGCTGGTTTTGTGAAGTTAACATCTGGCTAGACAGATCTTTTTAGTGGAGACGAATATTTTGCCCTTTACGATAGAAATAGGCATGAAACTTTTCATGCCAAGATTCGCAAAAAAGTGTCACATTTAAAAAAATTTTGACCTAAAAACTATGGTCGTTTCTGGAAAGCATGAGTCTTGTCTTAATAATATTCTAAATTTGTGCCAAGCCGCATAAAAATCGGAACGTCTCGCTTGGAGTCCTTCCCCTGTCAGTTTGACTTTCATTCCTGTAATCAGTATCAACATTTTTAAACTCATTAGGAAACATATAAATACATACATACATAAATATTATGAGAGTGGAGTGTACATAAAGATAAAAAATAACGAGTTAGAACCATGGAAGCTGTTGAGGAGGATTATTTCGACCTTTGGCCGCTTCCGTGACAGCCTTCAACGCTGTGAATTGACCCGCTTTGAACTGAGCTGCTTCTGAAATCACATTGTAGTACACAAAAAAGAATAATCCTAAACTCTTACTTGACAATCGATCCACGATTTCAACAGGCTTATCAGTGCAGAATTTCAACGCTTCTAACTGAATCCGTTCGGAATTCCATTGATCTCCGCTGATATCTTCCAGTTGATCCCATAAAAGAACCCTCAAGATCAATGGGACTGCCTTGGATGAGGCTATACTACGACACGCTGAGACAAAAGATCCACTTAGATGGCCAGAGAGGAAGACAGCTTCATTCAGATGATCTGTTTGGAAGAACTCGGAAATATTCGGGGATAAACGTATACTATTTTCTTCGAGGTCGAGGGCGACTAAAAATAATTTAATTCAAACTTACATACCAACCGCATTTAAATGGTGACATTACTCTTACTTACATTTTCCATCATCCATTTTCACTTTCATTTCCGCTTCTGTAACATACAACTGGGCCGTGTATAATCCAATAAAAACTTTATCCAAATCCATTTGATCCAATCCAAAAGCGAATCCCATGGCCATGAAGAGTCCCCATTGTTGAGTTAGCTTCTTCCTGACAGTCCAGAAGGTGGCTGTGTCGGGATAATGATCCCTCATAAATTCAGTCAGCTCTGTCCTGGGGACATCCAAGTTTTCTTCCCACATATTCGAATCTGGGTGATGTCTTTGGAGACAAGCCTGGGCCAATGTGGAAATTGGCCAAAGAGTGTTCACGGAACGGTCGATCTCAGTTTGGGGGAAAGAAGCGGCAGATGAAAGAGGATAAGTCTCTGTCATCACTCTTCTGGAGCCCGTCTGGATTCGAAACGCGACTGGAAGATGGAGTTGGCGACGGCACATCTCCTGTAATAATTAAATCAGTACCCCTCTGTGAAGATCAATATGCAGGAAGTGAGTAAACTCACTCTAGTCTTTTGAAGTTCCGCGTTGATCATAATCAGCAGCTGACTCCACCGATTCATGGATCTGTTCGGCTTCTGGCGTTGGATTAGATAGGAAAAGATCTTCCCATTCTGTGACAGTACTGATATGATATAAGCAATTCTATTGGCTCTCCACACTCGATGGCAAGTGGGTAAGAAGTGGGCGATCTGCGAACTATGAAGACAATTTCTGGTCGGAATCCACATAGACGGAATGTCAACTTGTGCCAACTTCCCGTTAAACATCGCCAAAAATTGACTCAGATCTTTAAGGAATACCATGCTGAAATAAAAACATAAAAAAAATATATTCGTTAACGACGATTATTTGTATTATCTTACCCTTCTAGTGACTTGAGATACTTTTCCAAGACCTTTAACCACTGGGTCAACGTTCCTTTGGCCTGATTATAATTGAGATCCCATCCATTACTCGATAAGTTGCTTAATTCAGTGAATATCATCCTCTTGAGTTCCCTCTCAATTGAGCTCATCTCAGTTTTTAATGGAATAATGTTTTCAAAATCATCTTTAAAACGTTTGAAGACGTCCTTAACATCATCTGAGATCTTCTCCTCTTCGATCTGAGCGTCACTCTTTTGTTGATGAAGCATTGTTCTGGAAATATTGCTTATGAACAAAAGAAAGCGGTAAAGTTTTAAAAGGATATAAATTCTTACTGATTGATCACATCAACAATCCCCAAGAGCTTCTCAAACGTTTGTTCAGCCCAGGTCTCCGGGAACCCGTCTAATTCATTGAGGATATGATTCAACGCTTTGATATCTGCATATCTATCCACACAGACCGAATCAATCACACTCAACAACATTGTGAAAGCGTCTTCTTTGATCTCTGACCGGTCGTTTGAATCAACTGTAAGTTCAGGGACGTCCCCGTTCCCTGCTTCCTCACAAAGTTCAATCTGGATGTCATAATTATTTCTCGCCAACTTCTGTGTGTCAACAAGAATATCGATGGGATCAGATGCTTTCCTTCGTGGGATCTTGAGCTAAAGTTTCGGAAATTACAAGTAAAATTAAACTGAAGGCTTCCCCACCTTGACAAATCCGTCTTCTTCCTTTTCGCTTTCCGAATCTTCCAATTCCATTACATCAAATTCTTTCTCAACAGTCGATTCTAGCTTAAATTCCCTCAATTTGGTTACATCCTTCACTTTCGGGATCAAATTCTTCTTCTGCAGGTACTGCAATAAACAAACTCGACGATTGAGGACTTGTCTGATCTCTTTCATCTTCTCCTTTTTCTGTGAATCCCTCTCAGACTCCAAATTTTTTTCTAATCTGAGTAAAGTCTTCACAGCGATCTTCAAAGCTTCATCTCTTTTTCTTTGGATGTATTCTTCATCGGCCGTTGGTTCATTTGACACTTCCACGAAATCATCCGACTCTTTCTTGGTGCTCTCAACTACAAGTGGGGTCTTATTGTCGCGTTCATCCAAGGGTGGTGCACATCTCATCCAATCACTTATCAAGGGGAGACGAAGCTGTACTGCAATATAATAATAATAAAAACCAAGAATAAAAGTTCTTACAATCTTCGATTTTCTGAGTAATCAAATCAGATGGGAGTACAGTTCTCATCCGGAGGAGAGTCTGTTGGGGATAGGCATCCGCGATCTTCCGCAGCAATGCAGTCATCCCCTTGCTGGCTCTGTTCGCGACTTCAGCGATGATTTGATCCAACCTAAAATGAGATCAATGTAAACCAATTACAATCTCAGTAAGCACAAACAGCAACGACATACCAGAACAACCACATGGCCACCGGGACATTAGATGCTTGATTCTCAATGACCTCATCCAACGAGACCAGCACTAGCTTCTCTTCATCCGATGCCTCATCCCTCATTTCGTTCAGTCGTTTGTCCCCAATCTGAGCATCCAACGCAATCAATGACTTGTAAATGTGGAAGAATCGGGCCATGTACTTCCTAACCTTGGTTTCAGTCACCGTTCTAAGCATTTCCAGTAACGAAGTCAAAGTCTCTATTCCAATTCCCCTTGCTTCTTTGAACAATTCGTCATTGATACCTTCTGATATAATTTTTCTGATTCTCGCGGAGAACTTTTGTTCCAAATGAATGGCCCAATATTTCCAGACAGTCTGACCATTCAGGGCGACTGGAAGGACTGGCGAATCCTCGGCCAGTTGGGCAGAGATCGAGAACATTCGATCGGCTTCGGCTTCTTTTCCGAGAGTTGAGAGGAGTTGCGCCCTGAGGGTAAATAAACGAGCAGCCAGTTCCTTGGGGAAAAACGCCGGGTTCACTTCATCCACCAAATCGAGAGCTCTCTCGACAAGCCCTGAGGGGTTTTGAGAGTTAAGAAGAGGAAGATAGGACATGATTCCATAAGAGACATGAACCTTCCCCTCATCCACACATCTCTCTCCATACTTAATCACTCGATTCATTCGATCAGCTAGGCTAAAACAAATTAAATTGCGTCAAATAATGTAAACCGTACCTCAGCAAACACTTGGCTTCCTCGATTATCTTCATGCATCCATCGATCCTGTACAGTTTTGCCATTGAATGGAGTTGAGCGAGTTGTTGAAGGGATTCTTCATACAATTCAGCCTTTCTGTACATCCTGGCAAACGTGATCTGGGTCTGAGCGATCGAATGCAGAGGCTGCATTTGGCCTTGATGAGGGACTGAGGTCTGATCTGCACCATCAAATATCTTCATCACATTAAAATACTGCTGAATCCTCCATGAAAAAGCGGCCGACCAATGGGAGAGCGGGTCCACGGCAACCGAAGCAGCTCGACATCTCCAGGTCTTGATGAATTGTTTGATCTCATTAACCATCGAATTGTCCACATGGAATTGTGTGGAAGAGGAGACCCCAGTCTGGGCAGGAAAGACCGGTTCCACCGATCTGGTCGTAATCATCTTTTCACAGGCTGCTTGTCCAACTGACGCACTCTCCGTGATCTCCTGGATGCGCTGTGCTTTCCTCAAGACTTCCATATGAGCTTCACTTGTTATTGGTGGGAGTTGTCTCCATTCCGAAATCATAATATTGGACACTTCACTTGGGATGTATTCCAGTAATTTCTTGTTCTGATTCAGTTGGAATTCGGTGATGTTGCACATGGTCTTGTACAAAGATGCCTTGGCAACTTGTTCCTTCTGTCCGGTCGCTTCAATCTGAGAAGTTATCTCCCGAACCAGCTTCCACTCTCCTTGATGCCACGCAGCTTCGGCCAAGACTTCAGTGTTCGCGACGTCGGGATTATTTACGAATTGAAGCAAAGTCCTCCAATCTCCCATCTCGGCGCAACTCTGCAACCACATCTCTTCCAGTTTCCGCAATTCGATATCGACAACTCTGATATCGTAGAATGGGGCTGAAGAGGTGACTGTTTGCTGTTGGGTGGGATCGGTGAGGGAGTCTTGAGCAAAAAGTTCTCGGCCTTTTTTAATGGCCAGACGACTCTAAAAGCAATAAATTTACTTCAAACGCAGTAATTAGATCCTTCCTTATAGTCACTCCGTACCTGAATTCGTGCTTCTCTGTACATTCCCTGATAAAACAGTTGAATCGCCTCGATAGTTCCATTGAGACAAGCGCGTTTTCTCCACATAGCCGCCAAGAGATCGTGCTCTCCCAATCTCTCGTACAAGACAGCCAGTGAATCCATCAGTCTAATGTCATCATGATAGAGACGTGTCGAGTTCATCAGATGTCGCGCCAACTGACTCTTCCTGAAGTTTGTTTCCATTCGATCCAGAACAGAGTACCATCCCTTGTGATTTATAGCGAGATATCTGAAATAGAATGAAGTATTGCCATGAGAGAAAAAAATAAATATTTAAAACAATTTCTTACTCCAATGTCTGAGCGTCTATGTTAATGTCAGGTTGGCACCTCATGAAGGCTTCGTAGAAGCAATTCAATGGAGTAATGGGAAGATCCGCCGTCGATATTGTGACCCCACTTTTCAGGAAGAAGCTGGCTGTTTTAGTACGCTTCTCCCGATCTTCTGGACGCATCTGATTCCAAATCGAGATGAAGAAATCGATGAATACCCGCTTACACAACCTCGGGTCAACATAACACATTTCCATCAACGACAAAAAGAACTCGTCAAGTTGTGTGGGAGGATCGGAATGAAGTCTGAAGAAGATACAGAAAGTTAAAACTCAATCGTGGCACTTACAGTGTTTCATACTCCATAAGTTGTTCTGGAGTCACTTTGGTATCTGGAGCAACAGGAGAATCTCTCCAGAGGATGGGGTTGGACACATGGGAGTCTCTGATCTCCTCCTTTGTCGCTCCATCTACATCCATGGGTTCCGAGGATCTCCCAGACAATGGAAATTCGATTCCAGGTTCATTATCTGACTCGAAAGTCGAGCCATTTATCAATAATATAGATGTCCTGTGATTTGATGGGGCAATTGTCGCTCTAAAAATATGAATTGCAATCCATTCAAAAACAAACAAATTGTGAACCATACTTCATCATCACGTTGAGGCAATGGTTCACCCAAAAAGTGCTGGACAACGGGATCCAGTTCTGTTCTCCGATGATAAACATGACTCTCTCGAAGAGTGACCGAGGGAATTGGCACTCGAATAGTTGGAAGAAGGATCTCCTGGTGTGTTCATCTGAATTACCGAGGCCCCAGAAGAAGGCTGCCTGTAATTTCTGGCCACTCTCCGTTTTCCTGAGATCCTTATCACTGAAGACAGTGTGAACAGTGCTCAGGAAACGGAGAACGATAGAATTGGATCCGTGATATTGTTTTTGAAGATGCGGGATTAGTCGGCATAACAATTGGACTCCGTAATGGGGAGCAATCTCCTTGTCATACTAAAGAAATGCATTTATTTTAAAGTTCTCTTACCTGAATAATCTCTCCAGTAATTATAATCATCCTGTCCATTAATCTTTCTGGCAACAATCTCTCGCTCAAAGGGAACATCGACTGAGCTAGATTCCTTCTTGATTCAACGTCCAGATGACCAACACGAGGTCTAAGGATGTCCATGCAGATCACCAGGCATTCCATCGGTCTGTCCGGTTGTTGGGAAGGGACCGGAATGTATTCCTTGGCCAGTTTGGCAAACAATTTTAAGAAATTGTTGATGTGAGAATCAACGAATGACGGGTTTGCCTTGCAGAATATTCTCATCAAACTCAAAACCACAGTAATCTGGGCGCTTGTGCTTCCGGAAGTCGGGACATTGGGGTTAATCACCATCATCATGTTGTTGTTCAGGTATCTGATCATGGCGTTATTGAGAATTTCAAACTGTTCAATTCCATAAGAAGTAACTTCGGTGCTTTCAACCAACTTGGTGAGCAATTTTATGACAGCTTGGTTGATTTGGAGATAAGGGTATGAAAAACATTCAGCCAGGTATTTCTCAAGTCTTCCGAGGATGTTCCGGAGGGCGTCGCCAGTCTGAAAATTTTTACATAACAGTACCGGATTAAACCTACTAATCCATTTATAATCGTGGAGATGACCTCGATTGTGCCGACCACCATGCTTATTCTATTACTTTGTTGTTGCATTTCTGGCGGAGATTGAGCAAAGTCAATAAAGGGCTTTTCCAATAACGCCAGTTTCGGTCTTAGCTCTCCAAATATGTGGGGTTTCACTGCTAATCGAAGCAATACCAGAGCTCTTCTCACAATCTGATCGGTTGTCTGATTAACGGGCTGTTCCAAGGAAGTGGCCAGTTTCAGGAGGATATTGAAGATGGAATCAATGACATTTTGGTCGAACGACTCGTGGAGATTATCCACAGTTACATCTATGAATGGCTTGGGTTGATTAAATACACGTGGGACCGGGTTACCGCTTTGTTCTGCAGCCTTCACCGTCTAAAATACTAATCAAACAAAATAACTCCACTTTACCTCAAGCATCTTTTGCCTATGTTGTTCCCACTTGATACAAGTCTCGCACATATCCAAGGCAACTTTCTTATTTTCGTTTGAATTATTCGTTAGGATTCGATGAACGGCAGAGTTCATCATTTTGGCGACGGTGCATCTCAGATTGAAAAGAACCTTGTAATGTCTCGCGGCGATAGTGATGCAGTGTACAATCTAAACAAAAATAATATCTTTAACTTCCTTCCGCACCTGTGACGTTGTAGGTTCATCGATACTTTTCTTGAGTACCGTAACCACTTGCTGATCTCCATCTTCCATTCTGGTTGGCATTGAAGGGATAATAATTTCCAAGGATTTCTTGACAACTTCCCTCAACTCTTGTTGATGTGCACTGACCAAAGCAGTCAACGCCTGAAGGACAATTCTCTTGGCAATAGAGAATTCTTCCATCAGATTGGCTATCAGATATTGTCCAGCATATTTTTCGATGAGATCTCCTTGATGCTGAGCTTGAAGGCACGGCCAACCGAACAGCATGAATAGACGCAGGCATTCTCCTTGCTTCCTAAATTTAACTTTCATGAAAATAATGCGACGCTCACTTTTGCTTCTTGTTATCATGGATGTGCACAGGGCACTTCTGAACGAGAAGAGCACAAAATTGATATAAAGTAATCTTGAGGAGGTCAGGGACAGGGAATTGTTTGTTATATGGTTCAATGACATTCAGACAGAACTGCCAGACAATACTTTTTTTGTTTTTCTGTTCTGGGTTCGGCTCGCATCCCACAACTTCATCCACTGGGTACTTGTTAAAGGCATACACAAAGGATGGAGTAACAACATATTGTATAAAACGGGCCAGAACTTCAGACTCGGTTACACCGAATTGTTTCTTCCTCTCCTTCTCTTCGGGGTTAAAAAATTCGATCACTTTGGCAAAGGCTCTGTGACGCCATTGCATATCCATTGCCTAAAAAAGACATACATAGTATCTATTTGAACTAAGACATAATGCGCAATATTATGCAACCTACAGGAATGATGTTTTCATCAATATGCCTCTTGAAGAAGGTAAAGTCGGTGATAAATTTATGGGAAAACGCGTAGCAACACGAGTACAGCACATCGATTCTTTCGGGATGAGCCCTAAAATACTCAGCCTCAACGATAACTCCGATATAAAAATAAAAATTAAGCATTTTTCTTACGTTGTAAATTCCATAAAGATCCTGACGATTAGCTCTGGAACCTTGATCATACTCCCACTCGAGGAGAATAAATGTCTCGTTTCGACGTGCAACTGATTAGTGAGAACTTGAGATCCCACTGTAGGGGCGTGTCCTTCTCTAATGATATACCGTCTCTTCATATCATCGGACTTCCAGAATTCCATCAAGACGGTGATCAACTCTGTGGCATCAGCGAAGTGCTCTTTTGATTTTTGTGAGATGGTGTGGATAAAAGTGAAGATGGCATTGTCCATAGCAAGACGCTGGCGCCCGTCCAGTTCGGGGAAATAGTGAACAAAGTCTGAAACAACTTTCAAGTAACCATTCATTTGTCTTACCATCACTCTCATCTTCGATGGACTCTCCCTTCAATAAGGTTCTAATTCTTTCACTTTCCTTCAGAATTCTTATTCTCAGTACCTCCGCTTCGTCCACTTTCACAATCTCATTCACAAACAGACCGACAGCCCTTTGAGAAAGAATTGTATAACTCAAAAGAGTGTTAACAATCTTCTCGGGGATCCTGTTCAGACATTGGACCAGTTTGGAAATCGTGTTCTGAAGCAGTTCCTCATCGCTAACGTTCAGAAATTCAATTGTCCCGGCCAAGAAAGAAATGGAATTCATCAAGAATGAGAACAATTGTTCCACTACTGACGAATCACATGAGGAGGCAAGATTCAAACCGTAAAATAAGAGGAGAATATCATCTTCGGTCAATTTTTGGATATCCTTTTGGAAAATCTGGGTTCCAATCTCACCACAAACATGGAAAATGAGCCTGGTGGGGATCTCGGAGTTGACCATTTCCCTGAGATCAGACATCACCTTCAGCTTATTCACAGTCAGAAATCCTTCTTTCGGATCAAGTTCTTCAAGCTCATCATCGCTATCAGGTTCTTCATGGTCAAAATCAAAGAGGTCCTTGCGCAATAATTTGGATTTGAGATCTTCAATTACTTCTTTGTTCAGCCGATCGAAGTCCTAAAAAATCTGCATTGACCACAAAAGCCAGTCACCTTGCCTTAATTTCCTCAAAGACTTCATTGGAAAGATAATTGAAGATGGTCCTGGGTAAAGTTTGGATAGCAGTTCCATCGGAAAGAAGGAGAGATTCGGCTGCAAACTGAATCCTCAAGACCCCATCTGAATCCACGGGTAACGTGGGCATGTATTCTTCTCTGATGGCAGCAGTAAGCCTCCTAGTATAATAATTCAAATATTTCTTGGCTTTTTGTGGAGATGTTTTATGAAGATTGTTCAGAAAACGAGCCAGTTTGGTATCGGTAATATAGTCATAAGGTCCACTAGACTTTGATTCGCCCTACAAATAAAAATTAATGATTGCATGAGTGTAATCGACTGCATAAATAAAAATATTCTTACATCATCACCGTCTTTTTCACTATTCGGATTTGAGCCTTCAATGCCAATAACCATCGACTCTTCTTCAATATTATCCATAATATCCCCAAGCAAATGGACCTTCTTCACATCGATGTTCCCGGTCCCTTCGATCCTTAATTTGATCTTCTTTTTCTTATTCAAGTCATTAGAGTCGTCTTCATTCAACCCATCAGCCCTTTCCGTTTCATCCAATAATCGTTCAAAGTCCGAATCAGACAGCGCTTTCTCATCCAATGAGACTCTTTTTCGTCCGGGAATTCTTTTTTGTTTTTCGTTTTGAGGTCCAATAAATACGGGATCAAAGGTTTCGCTAGGATGTTGAGCCAGCGGATTGTCATCGAACTGGCCGGCAAGTTGATCATCGACAGTTTCAGATGATTCTCCATTCAATCTCAACGATTCATCTATTGCAATATGCGCCTTTTCAAAGTTGGCTTTGTGTTCTCGATCCACGGGGATATGACAAACAACAGGTTTTGCCCATTTCTCATCTGTTCTAAGCACCACGAAGTTTTCCGTCTTGGGTTCATTGGCCTTTTCCTCAACGGCCGGCTTCTCTTCTTCTTCCTCTTGACTATCCGCTTCCATGGGCTCATCTGCTTTCTCACCAGATTCAGTTTTCTCTGAACTTCCCGGCTGTTCATCTTCATTCCTTACTTCTCGATTTTCATTTTCAGGAGATTGCCTTTCTTCCACTTGTCTTATATATCCAGCATCCAGTCCGTCTTTAGGATCGATATCAGTTTGAATTGGTGTCTCAGAAGGGTCATCTGGAATTTCACCCGATTCGTTGTGAAACTCCCGTGGTTGTGACTGTTGGGGTTGTGCATTTGAGGGGTGAGGATGTTCTCCTCCAGCTGCATTCTCATCAAAGAAAGCGGTTTCAGGCATATCCTTCAAAATGGCGTTGCCAATATCCTGAAAAAAAACATTACTACTTTGTCCAAGAAGCTCGCATCATCCTATTGTTTACTTGCCTGTAAAGCTTGATCGTCAATGTCCTCAAACATGGCCATTTCATTGAGTCCTTGTTCTTCCATCTCTTCTGCATTCTCGTTTTCTCTAGGGACACTTCTTAGGGTTACTGTATATGATGGTTTATCGAGGCCGAGACTCTGTGCTTCCAACATCAACATATTGGCAACTTCTGTGAGATGAGCGGCGGTTGTTTCATCGATTTCATCAAAGATCATGGAACAAGCAGAGTTTCCAAATTGTCTTTCTAGTTCAGTTTCCGCCAGATAGTCGATTCGTTGATCAATTTTTGTCTAAAAAATTGTTGTTATAAACGAGGGTTGTTAAGTTCTTGGCACTTCAGCCAGGTTGCCAAATTGCCGTCATTTTCAAAATTTTCTGTTATTTTGGTTTTAAAAATTAATTTTTTTGGCGCTACGACTTTTCATGTCAGCGACAGTACGGGTCAACGATACTATGGATCGCATCGGTTCTTCGTGACTAAGTAAGTAGAAATAATAAGATTGATCGAGTCGTAGGATAGCTTATCGCCTATTCTGACCGTTTGACGGCTTCATATATCAGAATTTTTCAATGACGAAAATGACGCCAATTTTGAAGTAAAAATTAACCGAAGTTTTCTTACTTGTCCATAGTTCCTGATGGATCTAAGGAGTTCCCCGGATGGCAATCTCGTGAAGGTCACAAACGTTCCACCGAACTTTGGTGGCATTTCTCCAGTATACCTTTTAAACACAAAATCCTGTTCTTTTCTGTCGACAACTACAAAAACCACCTGATTAAGGGTATCTTCCTTCGGTTCTGGAAGGATTTCCTCTTGATTTATATCCTCGACAACCTTTTCAATTTTCTCTTCGTCCACATATTCATATCCTGTTCTTCCGATTTCAATTGGTCTCAGTTTCTTTACAGATTCTAGACTGTTGGAATCCAATGGCTTCAATCCATTTGCAGCTTCGAGTTCTTCTTGGTTCAAACCCTCTGATTTCCCATCACGACTGATTAATGGGGCGTGTCCAACAATTCGACCAGTGGCCAATATCTTCCCGCCTTCATTTCTCATCTTGAAGGAGATGGGGCCTTTGAGTAACGACTCTACTGACTCTTCTCCATCAAGATCAATGCACAGTTTGGTTCGTTTTTTCAATTCTTTGCGAGACGTTATGTGGGAATCCTTCCGATTAGTGTCCGAGAAGTGTCTTGCCAACTTGAAACGGTCCGAAGTGTCCAGAAATTTGAGCTTCTCACCAGCCTCCTTTAGATGGCCAACAGATTCATTAAGTGTTACGATGGGTCTGATCAGCTCAAACTGATGACTCAACTCGGCATGAACGTAAATGGAAAAGGTTGGCTCTTGGGCAAAAACTTCTTTCAAAATCTCCATGGATCGTTCTTGAAATGGATGAGTGGGATTTGTAGCCAACTTGAAGAAGAATTTGACAATTTCGTCCAAGAAGCTGACAATTAAAATGCATTCCTGCTCTTCTTTTGAAGTTTGCTCGCTTCTGAACCTGTCCAATTTATCTCGAAGTTCCTGAACATGGTCCTCAACCTTGTCGTCTTCCAATTCCATGTCTGGAAGATCAACATCAGCCAATTTCATCGCCATTCTTATCAAGTTTTCTACAACTTTTCCATCTGAAATACAAATTAAGATCGCCATTAACTTGTAGAATAAGCCTAAAAATCGAAAGTTTACCTCCACCTTCAACACGTTTCATATCGATTGACTGCAGAACAACAGCAAGCTTCTCTAATTTCAGTTTGTCATCATCTTGGTGATATTCCCGTTTCAATTTAAGAAGAATATTTGTATGTGAAATCATTACTTTAAACGACTCATCCTTAACATTCTTTAGTTGGGCTTCCAACGAGTGAGCCCCTCTGTTCATATTTGAGGTCGTATATCGACATGATGGCATAGCATTCAGAGCGACGTCGGTGTTGCCCACAATCAATTGGAGATTGGAAACAAATTGAACAGTCTGTTTGGGATAGTCTTTGTCATACAATTTGGCTTCCACAAGCAAGTGGTTTACAAAGTCCTGAAAATTATATAAGGATTAAGATATCTACCTACCAAAAATGCAATTTGAGAGAATGACGTCATCGTTGAAAATTCGTTGAATCCTTTTATTAGCGACTGAATTAACTCCGCCTTTCTTCCAGCTAATAAATCTTCGATTGACAAGTTCGTAACACCGGAGAGTCTTTCGAGTAATCGGAAGGCCTCACTCCTCAGAGATGGTTCTGGATCAAGAAAACGGAGGACCAGATGAGAGAGGATGATCTCGAGAAGATCATTTTCATCTTTTGAATTTGGAAAACAAACATTAATAAACAGGTCAAGGCATTTGGATGCAACATCAATAGCGCCACATGAGACCTCATCAGCCACACCTAAAGCAATATTAAATCAGCGATTAGCTTTGTAAACTCACAGGAAATGGTCGTAAACAACGCATCCAACAGCCCACTGGCTAGCGGAACAACAAACTCTCTCGGGAAATTCTCAATGAAGAACCTGAGGGCTGTACACCCACCCAGTTTTGCATACCATTCTCTTCTGTAACATAATAAACGAATTTGTTCCAACAATTCGCTGAAGAAAGTAAGACGCGATGCCTTTGAAAGATCAGCAGAGTCGAAAAGATAGGAGACCGTCAACTTGATGTAAGACAACGCAATCAGTCCAGCATAAGCAAATTCCTTGCAGGAATCCGAAAGGACTTTGACAATGACGTCGATGAGGATGAACCCGTCCATTCCCGAATGGTTTTTCTTTTCATTCATGGAATCCAGAAGAGCTTGAGTTGTCAGATGAACCACAATAGCACTGAAGAAAGGGAGTGCTTGTTCTCGAGATTCACTGGCCACAATTCCATAGAAGATTCCGGTTAATCCAGACCCAAAGATGCTCCGAGATCTTATATCGGGGCATCTGTAGGCGGGGTATCTTCTGAAACAAGATCAATAAAAGTTAATTGATAAATATCTCTCAGATTCTGAAAGTACACTTACATCTCGCTTTGACTCCACTCTTTGAATACTTTTTGGCACAATTCCCTCTTATGCTCTTTGTTCAGTGCATGAATTGGATTCTTTTGGACTACCGTATACAAAACTGTCCGACAAACTTCTAGAGCATGTCCCTTCGGATACCTCTGATTACTCGGAACAGTCCATCCGCTCTGCCAATGGGCCCAATTCACACTCAATGGAGGCTGATGCTCATTTATCTGTGCTGATTTTATCATGGCCACAGCCGCTTCGATAATGGATGCAGCAGGGATGTCGGCTGTCAATTCCTTCAGTTCTTTGGGACCAGTTTCTTCGTCATGTTTTCTTTTCAAAGTCTGTTCCCTCGGCATTAAATTCAAATCACTCCCACCGACATCGACCATCGTGTTGATCCTCAACTTAATTGGTTCCTTGCCTTCCATTGGGTAAGAAGCCACCTTCAGCGAATTCAGAGACAGAGCGTGATCACTTTCGTCGATAAATTCATAGACTTGGGCATCCAAAAAGGCCCTTCGACTACTTCCTCCAAGTTTTGCCATAATTCTCAATGCTGATGTAGCTGAAGAGTTGTCTTGAGTATAAAGACTCCTCCAGAGGCCTTGCATTAACGAAGCTCGAACTGTCTCCATATGATCAAAGAAGTAGTCAGGTTGCAGGTTATCCACACACAATTCTAAAGTTCTCAATCCTTGTTGAACCAGTGACGTCGATCCGTGAAGAGCGCAAACCAGGGGATCCATTAGAAGAGCCAGATATGGTAAAAGAGAGGATAGTCTGACTGGAACAGTTAGGCAAAGTTCGACAAAAAGGTCGTGGATGGGTTGACGGTGAGATCCGTTTTGGAAACGATTCAATTGTTGTAAAATGGAGGGCAATAGGGGCAAGAACTCTCGATACAATTGATCGTGAGCTCCGGTTCCAATAGACCTAAAGAGAAAACGCAGAAGCTGGAAGTAATTCCATGGCTCTCGACTTCTCATGGCCACTTGCAAAGCCTCGGCAATAATCTCGTGAAGAAAAGGCTAAAACATTCATAGTTAAAAGACGATCAAACAACTGATAATTTTTAAAGAAACCCTCTTACCATTAGCATATTCTCCTGACTGATTGATTGGTCAGTGGAGACAGTTCTGAAGACTTGATTGAATAAAGCCAAATACACTTTGGACCGATCTGATGTCTGACCAATCTCGTTCATCCGACCAATCAGATACTTTATCAAGATTGATCCCATAATAGTGGAAGTTCGTTGTTGTGCCAAGAAATGATTAGCAATATCCTGAAGGGGTTTGCTCGTGATGATGGCTTCAATAAAGAATTCTATATTCTTGCTCAGAACATATTCAAACACTTGGGGATGACCGTCAGTGAACTAAAAGCAGCCATTAATTCCAGTAATGCGATAAAATACTCACAATAGACGAGAACATTTCAATGCACTCCTTCTCGTCCTTCTTGAACGTCTTAATATGAGAAGCATACTGATTACTCTGTGCAATTTGATTGACCAGAAGGACAAATTGCTGGAGACTTTTGATGCCATGGATAAAATACTCCCGAAACAGCTCTCTCTCGTCGGCAAAACTCGAAGAATCTAAATAAAAACGTGTATTTATCCTTTACTAAAACCAATAAATGATAACGATAAAGGCACATCCACTCACTTTCAGTTAAATGACAACTGCTCAAAGCCGAGCCCAATGTCCTCACTGGATGGATAGTAAATCGAATCATATTCCTGCATTCAAGTGGAGACAAAGGAAGAGTCTGTTCTTGCCAATGAACCGATGAGGCGCCGGATTGGAATGATTGCTGAGGCTGTTTCCGAGGAGATCCTGGATTTTGAAGGTCATGACTTTGATCTTGCTGTTCTCTTTGACTCAATTGGGCAGCATCTCTTTTGGAAATCTCAACTTGGATTGATTGGGGGATTATATTCTCCGCCAGATTTTTTGCTTTTCTCACGAATGCCTCCAGTGCATAAAGGAATGTCTCTCTTGCCTTAAACCAGAAAATTAAAGAATTAAAAGGAGAGATACCGCTAAATAAATCAGTATTTTTTCAAACCCTTACCGGCATTTTCTTCTCCTTCTCTTGGTTAATTAGAGGATCACACAAATTCATCAATAATTTCATGTACATGGTCTGATTATGGGCGACCAATTGGGAATCGTGAATACAACGAACACACAAATTGAAGAGGCTAAAATTGACATTGTAACTCCAAAAACCTAACAAGAAAATAACAAAGAAATAAACCCAACTGAACAAGAACTGGATAATTTAAATCGCTTCTAACATGATGGAGAATGTCAGCCAGTTGTGAATAAACCATATTCCTTAACGAATCTTGGGACGAAAAGCTCTCTCCCAAAACAAAGCGTTCACACGTTAATGTCGGGACGATTCCAACGAAGTAGCTCTTGTACTCACTCATCAACAATATCTTCACAGCCCCGATGAATTCTCTTCTCGCTGCGGTGACATAAGGATTCAATGACTCGAGCAGCTTGCACATCGCTTTTGTCAATTGAAAAGCCATTGGTTTGGTGAGTGAGAGTTGCTGTTGCTAAACATAAAATATTATATTTCTGTTCTAGCGAATGTATGTATATAAAATATAACCCATTCTTACCCTCTGTTGTTTGACTGTCCACGCCAAGAAGTACATGGCTCTGACTTGAGAGTTGTGGAACTCATCAATCAGCGGGGCATTTAGTGCTGGAGGTTCCTCATTTCCCCTTACATCCATTGCAATATCATCCACGTTCCTTGGGACACTCACCGACATATAATCAACTAAAACATTGAATATCCCGTCCTGCATCTGTCGTGTTATCTGCGAAAGTTGAATGAACAACGGAGGGATCTCCGAGAATACTTTTACACTCATCGATGCCTTGGGAATTAGCGTGTATTGGAATGAATTCTAAAGTTTGACAATGAAAACCAAAACATTTAAATATTACTTACACCATCATTTTCAGATCGTCGCAGATGCAAAGCCTTTGTGTAATACAGTCTCGGCAGTGATCTTTCCACTTCCTCATCAATGTTCGTAACTTCCGAGACCGGCCTAGCTAAGAACATCTCTTTATTCTCCTCAGCTGCCCGTAAGAACTTGCTGTACGCGTCTTTAAAATGTTCGAAGAAGCCGGGTAAATCCTGTGGATTGGGTCTGTTGACCTTTAGCTGCTCGTTGAGCACTTTCAAAGCAAGCCCGGCATTCTCTTCGTTGTCTTTGCACACAATGCTCAACAGTTCTTTTATCAAACCATTTTTGTGACTGACTCGTTTCACGGTGTCCGTCATTGGAAGCCTCAGAAATAACTGGATAATGGCCTTGCGGAGTTGCTAAAATTAAATAACTTAAATTGGGACCTAAAATAATATCCTACCTGTGTCTCATTCTCGGCAATAAAATGTGGATGAGTTTTCTGCAAATCCAAAATCAAGGCTTCGTAGATTTCAGCCTGATGAGACGCATAACCTTGTGTGTTTATCATTTCTTCCAGATTCTCGATGAATTTCTAAACTTAAATAACGAAATAAACGTAATAAACTTACAGTTAAAACAGCAACTTTATGGCCGTGGCGACCTCCATCTTTCAAGCATGCTAGAAGGTCTTCTACTTTGCTCGACGAAGATTGCTGTTGTGGCAACGATATCCGCTGTCCCGATGGTGGAGCTTGTCTTTGAGAGGAACCTTGATCCATCTGAAAATTTCAAACGTACTTTCCGGATTTTAATATAATATTTTTTATTTTATAATACAATATAATATACGGTATTGTGATGCGGAAAGGTGTATTTTATACGAAAACAAGAAGAGACAGTATTCTGCCAAAAAACTTGGCTTGAAAAAAAAGATTTTCAGAAAAATGCGGAAGGCCAAAGCGCGAAAGGAAACTGACTCTCGCTATGGGATCGAACTCATTAATGATGAACTCATTACCCTGCAGTGGAAATCAGTGTTGTTTTGTATTATAATCGGATTAATAATTTATGACTTTAATTTTACGATCCATATGACATTTACTTTACTTTCAGATCGTTGGATCACCTTTGACATCCCTAGATGCCCCGAGGTTGAGACACAAGCCAACCGTCTCCCTTTGCTCTCTGAATTTCGATTGTATTCTGATGTTAAGAACTACGGTAGAGTCATGACATTTGTCGGGTCCCAGATGACATCGTCTTTCCCGAAATGAAGTTTGTTCGCGTTAGTCATTGCTGTTGAATAAAGCAAAATAAGAGTCGTAGCCTGATAGAAGAGGGAAATAAGTTGCTTTTAAGTTTGTTGTTGCTTGAGTACTTGCTCGCGAGGCAACTGTCTAAATCCATCTTTGGTGGTTTTCTTGAAATTTGTATACATACATATGTATTTATTAAAGCGCAATCGAAAACTCGATTTTGCGAACAAAGAAGAAGCCGAAATTGACAAAAAAGGATCTTTCGATTACAGTATCTCTTCGAGTTAATATTGATTGTACTAGTTCACAACCAAGGAAAAGTGTCCGTAACGGCTTACGGACACTTGAAGCCCTGAAGATGCTCAGACTTTGCGCTTAATAACATACTGATTGATGCAAAAAATGTACATTTTTATTATGAAGTATAAATTGTAATTTGGGGAGCTTTAGGCCACAGGTTTACCACCCTGGTTACTGTAGATTTACGTTTTCGAAGACTATTGACATGATTAAACGGTTAATTGGATACACGTTTCTTCTCTGAAATGAGAGAGCTTCACACTTCGGCTACCAATGGGACTTGACTGTCGTTAAAACTTTTTGGCAAGCCGTGTGTAAAATTTATCTGCCTTTCCAGCTCACCGACTAACTAGTCATACAACTTAACCGTTGGCTGTGGATTTCCGCTCTGTGCCAAGTTTACGGTAGCCGTGTTGTCTTAGTTCTGGAATGGTTGCTATTCCGGCGGTCCGAAATTGTTCCGAGCTGACTCAATTTCTTTGTTCAAATATAAGTCAAAAGCCAAATTGGCTTTAATTGAATTCCAATATCGTTTGAGAAATCCGTTGTCGGCAGAGATGTAAACGCGCTTTAAAAAGAACTGGTTGCGCAAGGCAATTACTAATCTGGGAAATACTGGTTTCTAGAAAGGGAGATCAAGCTGAGAAAGCACAGCTGACTTGTCAGTTGTTTTTTGTTATTTTACGTACACAAAATTAAAAACTTTTCTCAAATTTAAATTTCATCCTCCGATCTTTATTTTTATATGAACTTCAATTTCTGCAAATTACGTAATCATAAGGTGAACATCATTTGATTAAATTCCATTTCAGAAGCATGGTTTCCGCATTACACAGCTTGTTCCGTATATGGAGACCCAAGAAAATGATGGCAAGGCCAGAGAAGGTATGATTAACCAAGTCAACTCTTCTATGTTCAAATTAGTCACATAGCCAGCTAGTCACTTTTGTTTCCTCACCATTTTTTGTGACATTCTGTTTCGGTCGATCTCAGGTCAACGAAGTGTCAAAATTATCCGGATTTCTATTTTCTTTGGTGTTCGTTGGAAAGACTGGACGAATTGTCTTTTCTCCAACTATTCATCTCTCGAGTCAAGACCAGGTGGCAATTTTTTATATCTTGTTATACATATATTCCATCTCTTGAAGTAGATTATGTTTCTTTTGCTGAAAAAAAAATCTTTTTTTCTCCACTTTCGATGAAGCAGGCCGGTGGCTTCTATTTCCCAATTATTTCGTACTGATCTTTTAATTTTGCTTGTTTTAGGTAAATATGAATGCGTTGTCAAAACCCGAGCTACTAACAGATTCCAAGGACAGCATTGGTGACTTTCAAATTCGTATGTTTTTTAAATGTTATGCTTTTAAGAACGTTGGAATACATTGTTTGGATACAAATTTACAAAGTGTTTTAGTTCCTTTGGCCAGATCTGGGCATAGATGTTTCTGTACGGGAGATCATTTTTACGTGGTCGGTGGTTACAATCCATCCTACAGAGGCAAGATGATCAATGACGTCTGGTGCCTAAATTTGTTGACACGTCGTTGGAAACGAGTAAAACTGGATAAAGAATTACCTCACACGCTGGCCTCATTCTCGTGTAAGTCACATTTAGTTTTATCTGAAATTTATGGATTTAGTGAGTTATGTCGATGAATTGGGGACTTTTTACCTGTATGGCGGTACCGGGTTTCCCTTTGGACAAACTATATCCACGGACCTTTATGCATGTACGCTTGTAAAGCCAGATGAGTGTTCTGTTAGAAAGATTCCCATCGACAATCCGAAGTCCGCTCCTGTGGTTTATGGTCACTCGGCTGTTCATCGTTATATAAATGGAAACTTCACAGTAAGGTTGAAATCAGAATATAACTACTTTTTTGTAACGGGTTTATGTGTCCGCTTTTTAGGAGGTTTACATTGTTGGCGGAACAGAAGGCGCACATTACGACATGACTGTTACCAAACTGACGATTTTCGAGGATCATGCAAGATTCGAACGAGTCAGTACTCCAGAGAACGAACCCAATGGTCGCTATCGACATGAATCTGTTTTTATTGGGAATACGATCGTTTCCTTGGGAGGTTCCAATCAACTTGTTGCCATTCCTATGAAAAGAGTAAGATATTATTTTAAGTTACCTAAACTTGATTTTGCTATGAATGGAACGCAATAATTCATTGTTTTTTACAGCTGGACGCTTTCGACATAAGGACGTTGGAATATAGCAAGATAACCACCAAACCTGACCCTCGGTGGCGTTTTCCAAGAGCTCGAAAAGGCCATTCGGTTGTTCAGTCTGGAAACTTTGCCATTCTTTTCGGCGGGTTTGATCCTCCTGCCACTGTAAGTTGATTTAATTTATTTCGAGAATATCCCCATTGTTTCAGGAACACAGTGATGGAGAATTACTCAGTGATGTTTGGTGTCTCGATTTGAGGAGCTTAGAATGGAAACGTTCCAACTTCCAATTGCCTTGGGGCGTCTTCTTCCATTCTGCTGCTGTCAATCAGGTAAAACTTTAGTTTGAGGGCAGATTACTTCGCTTTTAAATCAATTTGACTTCATTGTCCTTTTAGTTGAATCAAGTCGTTTCATTTGGTGGCTGCGCCCAAGTTGCATCTAAGCGGGTAGATGACACAATTGGCTTTCACATTGCACCTCCACCTTTATCTTATCTGGCGGCCCGGGTGTATCTCAACTTCCTTCCGACAACTTCTGACCAGAGTAATGTCAGTTATTCGACTATCATACGTCTCGCCCAGGATGCATTATCACCGAAGCTTACTGCAGCGTAAGAGGACTAGAACTGAAGAATAGAGTTAATTCATATTTTATCGAGAGAAGGAAACGGGTTCTTCTAAATTATATGTACATAAAAGACGGTTAATTATAGTCTATGATGTAGAATAAAAACAGCGATCCGGTAATAGGTTATCGTTTATCCACATTAATAAGTTATATCACAACATTCGAACATATTACACGTTGACAGTAGGCACCAAATGGAATACTTGAAGGATGGTATCTACCGTAGCCTCAAAGATCTTCGGGCCCAACGTCTCCGGCACTCCAAATATAATATTGTAATGCATAGAGCGTTCGTTGAATGCGGCACAATTTGCATTCGAAGCCCCGGTTGAGCAAACTTCGATCAGAAATCCTTTAATGCACTTGAGAAGAAGATCGGCCCTGCCTTGGTAGAATGCTAATGGTTGGCTCTGAAAGGAATCATTCATGATGGCCGAAAAAGATTTTAACCACTTACCTCAGTTACATCCTTATTCAAGAACAACGGTAGAGCCAATGTTCTGACCGCATTCTTGGATGCCAACCGAATGCAATTCCGGAGGCCATTTATATAAGGATGCCGAGATGTCAAGTCGATCTTGTCCCAATGCTGATCTGTCACCAAATGGAAAACAACCTGAACACTGTTCAAATTGGAATGACAAGTGATATAGACATCACCAGGGCGGAAAAGATCGTGATCTCCGTGAAGTCGAGTATCCATCGAATCAAAACATCGCTGATTCGAAGGTGGATGACGTTGAGATTTATTGAGTGTGGATATCTAAAACAATACAATAATATAACAAACCTTACGGTGCCCGCAATCTTCTGAAGTTGGACATCTATAGGATCAAAATGTAATTCGACTGATTTCTCGCACAACTTGAAGAACTCTGTTTGTGTGTGCATATGGTATAAAGGGTCACGATCCACCAACATCACAGCGGCCTTCAAATCCCGTCGATAAAGATTGATCAACGAGTTGAGTCGACTGGATTCATAAACCGTTCTGTCCATGGATTCCATTGACCGATCGTGACAAAATTCATCCAAAGATCGGTACTGAAGAAGACGGGCATTATGCATTGACTTGAGTTGATTTCCTATATAAATTGTAAAGCTTTCGTCCAAGACCGGGGGATGTTCAACAAATTTTGGTTTATTGAGGGGTACGGACTTTTTGTTGCAGTTCTCGTTGGGCAGATTCCCATTTTCTTTGAGGATTCCAACTGCCCGGATAAACTCGGATCTATTTCGCTCGGTTAACGCTTTGATTTGGTTGCAGTAATTGGCCTCTGTCAGCTAAAATAAATATGTAATCTTCCGCTAGTTCTATTGAGAGGATTAAAAATAATACAGGACGTACTTGCAATTTGTCATTTAGAACACTGAGGTTATAGGAGTGTTCTTCTAGATCAGATGTTTCCTTCGTCCTCTCCACAGCATCTTCACATTCAGCCCTCAGTTTCTTCAGTTCGGCATCTCTCTGTTCCAACTTTTGAGCTAAACTAAAATTCATCTCGGATTCTAGCCGAATCAACTTCAAAAGTTCTTCCGTCCGTCCAACCTTCATTAATTCCTTGAAATCTTCGTCGAAATGGGGAGTGACATCGGGGGTCATACCAGAATCCTACACAAATCTATGAGATTAACTTCAAAGAACGTTGAATTTCGCGCAAAACGGTAATTTACCATTCGGAATTTTTGATCATAGTCGAATTCCGACGATGGGCCATCTTCATGAAGAAAATCCAGAACCGAAGAATCGGCAATATCATCCTCATAACTCCTGGTTTCCTTCAAAATGAATTCTTGTAATTGTGAACGGGCAGCTAAAACATTAATACAATAAAAAAAGGGAACTTACCGTCAAAGCAAGCATACGGAAGATTTGTTTTGTGAACTAGATTTCCGAATAACGTTGTAAAATCTGTGAAGGGAGGGATCGGGATCTCAATGTCAAACGCAATTTCCGGGGAATTCGGGTATCCAAGAGTAAATATAAACTTCCTTTTTCGAAGTATTCGAGCTGGGATTTCCGTCTGTGGCATAATTTATAAAGGATCTAACTTGCACGCATAAGTTTTCCAACCGGATTTTTTTTATTTATTTTCCCGTAAGCCAAGTCTTTCTCTGCGTCTCGGTGAAAGTTGACACATTTCTTATCGGCTAATTTTATCCATAAACTCGGATTGTTTACTCGTATTTATTTACACGTAACCAGCACTATTAGAACAAGTGGAATGGGAGTTTTGCAAGATCGTGAGCCATCTCAGATGATATTATGTTAGTTGTTTGAGGAATTTGAGGTCCAAAGAAAAGAACAGGTCTCAGCGGCAGGGCGACTCCGCGATACAGTATACGGTAGTTTAAAGACAATGGCAATAAAACCTGGAAGTCGAACGCATTATAATAATCTATAGAATATTTGGCAAAGTGATAGAATTTGCAGTATTTTAAACCATTTACCTGATAGTACAAGAAATGTTTGTCGTTGTTATTGTTAATCTTTACATTGAACTCATTCTCATTGTATTCCAATATCCATGGATTTCCCTCACTGCCTTCGAACACTTTGATTTCGAATTCAATCTCTGTGTACTTCTCATAGATCTTTCTGAGTTCATCCAGAAAAGCTTCGTCTTCTCCACTTGTCCTCAGGGTATATAAATTTCTTGTGGGATAAGGCGCGACAATAGTTTTTAGAATATCCTCTCCTTCATATCTTGTTTCAAATCCCTTAAGGGCGTTTATGAACACCAAAGTTGCCTTACCTCAATTTCCGAGTCACCTTTCAATCGCCTGATCTGATTAATGGATTGAAAAAGATTTGGATTCCAGATCTCAAGCAACGGGCCAAAATATCTATTCTCCAAGCCAAACTTGACTGTTGGTACTGTCTGAACGTATTGTTTATTACTATACATTACGCAATGATGTATACCTGAGATTTGAGGGCTTTTATCGCATGAACAGCAGCGTGACCGATGATGCGAAGGAAATAGCCCCCTTCAAGGATTAAGGCCAATGGAATACCTTGAGATGCCAATAACCCGGTCATGTACTCGTAACCCAACGGCGTAATCTTCATGCCACCATCCCGATCGCCCAAGGCCGCATCAAATCTATAATTGCAAAAAAATGAAAGTTGCTCAACAATGTTTTATCAACGTACCCACAAGACACAAGAATTAGTTCCGGCTTCCATTCCCCAATCAGTGGCAACACGACCGAATGCATAATGGAAATATAAGCGGAATCCCCGTATCCAGTCCGATCCAACGGAATGTTGATTGTATTATTGTCTAAGCCACAATAAACAAAAAATCTTGCTTACATTTATGATTTACGGCGCTCTCCGGCAGATGAGGCCAAAATTTTCCGTTCTGATACCGATGAATTGAGACGAGTTTAATGTTTGGATCATCATCGATAACGTATTGAGTCCCTTGACCAGCATGAACATCCCAATCCACAATCAGAACGCGTTCCACGCCCAAAGACCGAGCCTAAATAATAGCAATGGCTCAATTATGCAGTAAACTATTTTAATCAAATAGTTGTGTAACATACATATTTGGCACAAATCGCTATATTATTGAAGATGCAGAAGCCACAAGCCCTGTCCTTCCACGCATGATGGCCTGGAGGTCTTATGGCAGCGAATCCATTGTCCAATTCCTTTTTGATCAGCTTATCTGTTAGTTCCAACGCCGAGCCAGCACTTAACAAAGAACATTTCCAGGTATCCGAATTCAAGAAAACATCTTCATATTGACTCGAGAAAGTCTCTAATTCTTCCTGAATGAACCCATAACAACCACGTTACCGTAACCTTACCAAATTCATATCTTTGGTAGTCTCAATCTTGTTGATGTATTCGATGTCATGGACAATTTGCAATTCTTCTTTGGTTGCAACTCTAGGCTCAAGATGAATACAATCCGAGAGAATATTTGAATCTTCCAGTGTGTCCAATGTGACCGACAACCGTTCGGGCACCTCCATGTGGGCGGGCTCCCATTCACAACGATGTTTTAACATAAAACGGTCGGTGATGAAACCGGTCTTGACCATCTTCCAAAGCGCCGGGCTGGAAAACGACCCTCGTCAAGTAGTCCTGGTCGACAAAAAAGACCCCAAGTTATGAGTGGTATTGTAAGCTTAGTTTAAAAAATCTCGAGGAAAGTCAGATATCTCCAAAAATACACTGCTTTTCAAAGAAAGGAACTAAACTTTATGAAACCGTCAATTAAACGCAGTGATCACTTTCCCTTTCTTGACAACGGATGATTTAAAGTTACCTTAGCCTGCGTTTTAAAATGGGATAAAAACAAAACGAATTGCCAAAAACGCATGGGTTAAATTTCGTGGAGGAATTGATAAGATAAAAAAACAAAACTGACAGACCCAGCAAACACGCTACACCCCCAGGATTAAAATCTATTTAAAATCATATAATTCAATGATTTCGCGGATGTAAACACCCAACAAATAGGAATACAAAACGTTTTAAATTGCATGTTGTTAAAATTTATTGCATTATACATAAAACTACAGATATGATACAAGACAAAACAATCCTTCAATTAATTTAGCAATCTCACAATAATAAAGAATGTATCATCGGTCCTAAAGAGATCAATTACGAAGAGAAAAAGCAAAATTTTACTTCCATTTTTTCCCGCCCTCTAATATCTTCATTTCATTCTTAAATTTCAAAGGTTTTCGTATCTTAGAAAACCAACTTGTCATTTACAATTGGGAGATAGTAGCTGGTGGCACTGTAAAAACAATATTCGATGGAGTCAGGATCCAGTTGGTCGACGTCCTCAATGGCCGGTTCCAACATTTTGAGGCATCTACTCAGTATTCGTTCTATTTGAGTCACGTTGAAGCGTGTTACAGGCTGTTCGACCTCTTCGTAGATCTTGTTGCTCAACAAGAGAAGGCCGTTGATCCCAGTATTGATCCATTTATTTCGGGACGACATCTCCAAACTGTTTTCCCATTGCGTTACCGCACCTTCCAGAGTCTCCAAATCGGTTGCCCGTAGAACATGATTCACGGCGTTCTCCATTAAAACAGTAAACTAAATCATAACTAATCTTCAAGAGTAAACGTACAAAGTTTAGCGCCATATCCTTCAGTTCCTGGATAAGATCATTTAAAATCGTGATCAAAAACTGCTTTCGTCTGACTACAACCACATCACGGGTCAAAGGATCAGTTTTAAAAAGAAAGTGAATTGAAATCATGGCACAGATGGTACTGCAATATTGTAAAAGTGTTATCAATTGGAGCGCTTTGTTCAGTTTTTGGAAGAGACCATCGCTGAAAATGGCATTCATGGGCCATGCAAGCTGCAATTGTTTTATTATTTCAAAAAGTTACTAAAATTCTACCTTGGGGGTTACATGGAACCGTATGTAATCGAGATCCTCTGTCCATGCAATTCTATATCTCTTCCCATTATCAGGTCTTGGCAGCTTATTTAAACATTTTGTTAGCGCTGCCAGTCTAGTCGAACGAGGACTTTCAACAAAGTCGAGATTAACAAACTTACTGACAGCTTCTGCGAAGATCTCGAAGAGGTAAATATCCTAAAAATATAATAGCTCGCTATAAACAAAATTACCTTTATCTCATTCAGCCAAGACTTCAAGTCTTTCTTCCGAAGTTCACCAAATATAATAGCCGAGAACTGAGCTGCATAAACTTCACAGGATTCTTCTAACAACTTTGCAAATTGATGAGCTTTCAATCTAAAAATTAATAAAAACTTTTTGGAAACTTACGTTAGCAAATTGTCATTTGTAATTTTGGAGAATTGAATTTTGATGAAATGGGACCATGGTTTTGTGTCCGCCATAAGAGATAATGCTCCTGTTTCCACCCGCAATCGGTTCTTAATGGCTCTTTTGAAAGTTACAACAAGTTTGTCAGTCCAGAGCATTGTGAAATTCACCGCTTGAGAGCGGTTGTCCCCACCGTTTGTAGTGATAATCCTAAAAAACATTATTTTACACAAGTTATAACATACGTATCACTTCCACGTCTCTCGATGTCCATAGATCCATTGCAGAGAATATCCAAGTAGTTTGGTAACAACGTTATAAAGGCGCTTTGCAGCTCCCGTACAAAAGGCTTCAAACATATATTTAGGGTTACAAAACTTACCAGTTCCGTTTCAGGGTTAACATAGCTCATGTGGATTTTAAAGAAGAAGGTCCATGCGCTCTCAACATCATGATAAGATGGTATCCCATGGAATAATGGTGCCAAGAATTTGTGAACCTTCGATGTCTTGAATACCCAATTCTCGACTGTGGAACAGAGCCCGTCCAAGCCTAAATATACTCGTTTGTCATCCAAAGTCCACTTGCTTTTTGTAGATTGGAGTTTTTGTTCAATTTCACTGATCATTTCATTGTAAAAATTCGTTGCCACAGTGACAATTGGAGCTACTGGAAAGAACTTGGCCTTCATGCTTGCGTTTTCCCGCACAAAACTGTGGATCTGTGCCAACTTCTCCTTCATTCTACCAGAGTCGTCGAGAAGAGCTTTTTGCTAAATCTGAATTAAACGAAAACATAAACTCAGATACTTACATAACTCAAGTTGTATAGATTTGATTTGAATTCATATTTCGGATCCAAGAAATATCCAACGTTGGGCGAATATCGAACAATCTCCGAAGTACTAGTTGGTAGCAAATTTCTTAAAACACAGTCACAAAATAGGTACGCTACTTACATTAAGATTTCCCTGACAACTTCTTGCTCTGTAATCGGTTGTTTATTCACATTACGGTCCTTCATGGGTTCCATTTTATAAAATATAAGAAACTCGTCCAAGCTCAGCAAAGTTTTTGACAAAACAATCGAAATTTGACAAAACAATTTTCGAAAATAATTTTGTCATCTTTTGGCGTTACGGCGGAATGCCAGCAATGCCAAAATTGCGCAATTGCCCATCAATTCAAATGGAAATACTGTGCGTACATGTAATTTACAGATATCTTTAAATTTATTTTATGTTTTTCTTCCACAGAAATCTCTTATTTACGAGTTGAAAGAACTGTTCATTGAAATTTTTGAAATTCTTGCGTAGCATCTTCTGCACCCGTGGCTCCACGAACACTTGAGGTCGTCCTTTCCTTTCTCCAAGACATTTTTCATGCCGATTTCCATCCACAAAGCAGTAGAATCCTTTATTGGTGTTGAATCTTATGTTTTCCGCTGTGATTTCGGGTCGAAGACCAAGGAACTTCTCCACTTTTTTTATCTAAGATATTCTGTTACATCTAGATAGGGTTCGGACGGAACATATACCCGGAGTTTATTGGGAATTTTTCGGGTATTTATAGGAATTTTCAAAATGAGAAATTGGTCGAACCAAGGTAAAATTTTCACGGTATAATACGCAGCGAACATTTTTGGATTTTTGCCTGGCAAACCTGTGGAACTCGGTCCTCCGGCTGCGCACGCCCCTTGTTCATTTTTGATGAAATAAATGAAATTGCAAAAAATTTCGATTTTAGAAATTGCTAGGCTCATTCGAACCGCAATGATCTCCAGGTGGAGAACCCAGGCAAAAGTCATTGGAAATTTACACAAAGTTTTCTAATTTGATGACGAAAATCATGAGTATTCAAATTTTTCCTGTCCTTGGCCTAGTTCACAAACAATGGTTTCCGGGCACGGCAAACTCGGTGATGCAGTCCGCCCTAGCTTATAATACAGCCGGTTACGGTAACTTTTCTTATTTTTTTACGGCAAATTACTTATTGTGTGCTATTGACTAATGTTTTTGGTTGGATTTTTTAGAACCGATTTTTTATAACCATACCTCTGGCAGTGGATTAATTCTGAATTTATCGCCATCGACTACAAGGATCTGCTTCAAGGAAAAGAATTTGAGCCAGTTTTGGAGATGAAAACTGTACAGAGAATTGAACACCGGTTTGAACTTGAGGTTGATAATAGATGAATTGGGCAAGAAAACGGAGGATTCAAAGTCCAGAAGAGTCAGATTCTTTGATCTCCTGGTTGCTTGCACCTAAAACGCCAATATTTTAGATGGTTATTACGACTTACTTGCGAAAAATCACTGATGATACGGGCTATGGGATGTCTGATGATGAGAATTAATTTGATGTGCGGATTCATTTCGAATACCCGTCTAGGGGTATCGGATGAAGGGAAATAAGCCGGTGTCTTTTCGATAGTCAACTGAGAAGAAAAGTTATTAAAAGTTATACATGTATCGGCAAAAAGTCCTTCGAATTTTTTGTGGCCCCCAAACGCCGTCGCACTCCGAAAAGTTGATTTGTCGCTGCGAAATATGGGAATCGCGCGCGACGTTGGGCAAAAAAACAAAATTTCACTGTGCAAAAGCTCTTTTTGGGCCGCATGCACGGTGCAAAATGTGTTTTCCGGTTCATGCACAGTGCAGAGGCGCAGAAAATTTCAAGGACATTTTGCAGCGACGTATTGTCCAGTTCTTTCTTACTTGGCTTTTGGTAGTCCTGGGCATCTGCGCGCGATACCAGTCCAGTCCCAGTTGATAGAGACTGTCATCATCAAAGAAGTGGACTTCTTTCTTGGCTGGCTTTATTTGGGAATGCAGTGCTAGCGAATTAATGAGAGCTCTGGTTCCTCCCTTCCTCACCCCAATTATCAGCACCTGAGGTAACCTTCTGATGGGAGCATCCAACAAAGCTTCATCTGTGATGTTCAGCGGTGTTTTGATGTGATATAACCACCAACATAAGATCACAATAGAAATAATAACGTAGTATTTGGCTTTTCTCATAAGGCAATGCCATCAGAATAGAAAAAAGTTTAATAGATGTTCAACAATCTCAATTACATAATAATAAGAGAAACTCCGAATATTCGGCCAACACACAACCTTTTTCAAGAGTTTCCGGTTAATTGGAAGGACCGGAAAGATTAAAATCTTACAGAACACCGTGGTTTCTGGCCGCCTTCCTGCCCGATTAGGGGAGTAGAAATTTTATGAAGCGCGAAGAAACGCGGAATTTAATGGCCAGGAAATGCCCGCGGGCCAAGAAATAATATGCGGATATTAAGTCGAGTGTTTGTTCAGGAATCGGATCATAAACTTGGGCGTCTCATTGTTTCGGGGATTTGAAAGGCGCCAGCTGCGGTTTAAACAATTTCCGATAAGTGAGTGAGGCCAAAGTCACAAATCGGAGGCGCCGAAGGTTCGACTGCTCATAAACTTGGTGATTTATGGCCAAATCGGATCAAAGAAAAACAAATTAAGGAGGCCACTGAAAAGCAGGAACTATAATCACCAGAAGATTGCATAACATGACAAATGTGGTCAAGAGAAGCTTGATGGCAATGAAACTTCGTACATTATCCTAGTAACAATATGTCTGAATAATTTATTAGTTGAGCGATATGTGCAAATACTCGATTTAAGTGTAAAATAATATAAAACAATTGGGAAACTAGGTAAAGAAAGCGCGTAATGGATCACAGTGATGAATGGAGAAGCCCGGTTACGAACAAAGTGCGCAATTATATAGATATCTATCTTACATAAAACAGGATTGTATAACAAAATACAAATGTTAGTCGGTTGCCTCATCTTCCTTGGGAAGGGGGTAAATCGAGACGATCGGGAGGTGAAGTTCCACATTGAAATCTCCAGTATTACTTGCCAAGATCTGGTACAAAATAGGCAAAACCTGCAAGTAAACGAGTGTTAACAGATTGTAGAATAATTACCTTTTCAGAGAGAAGTCCAATATATTCTGAGTGAGCTTCTTCTAATCCAGTCCAGTTAGCCAATTCAAATCCCACGTTATCCTGCGATGCATGCAATCGTATCTCTATAGATCGTATATCAATGCCAATCAGAAGAGGGATGTAATCTTCTAGAGTCGACCGTAACCACATCGTCAATTGCTCACAGGCATCGAAGAAATGAGATTGCAATTGAACGTCAAGCTTTTTTGTGACCAATCGGATCACCGAACCCAGCCTGAGGGCATGATTTCGGCTATTCTGGAAGAGATTATTCGAATGCAGTGCTCGCTCCAACGTCAGCCCATATTGAATGTAGCCCTGTAATATTCATAATATAACATAATACTCGACCATAAACACAAAAAATAGAAAGCGTCTCCTTGCCCTAAGGTCAATTCCATCAATCGGGGACTTTATTGGCCCCATTATGCTGAGAAGAGTGTTCTCCACCCATTCGATTTTCAATTTCATTCCATTCGACTCCAATTCGAATCCATCTCCATTCTGAAGTTTCTTTTGGACAAATTCCAAAGTATCCCCAGTAAATCGAATAACAACTCCATCTTCTACTAGGGTCTGAGAGAAGTCGTTGTCTCCTCCTTTGTGACCAGTAGAGAAGGCAACAAAAGACACACCAATAGAATTCCGATCTGATTCTTTCATGAATATTCTCGTTTGGAAAGAAGATCCAAGATGTTCACAAGTCAGGATAGAGTCACATTCTTCGTTTATATCGCATGCCCAAGCCAAGAGATTCATCTGGGAGTTGAGGATAGCCTTCATCTGTTCCTTTGCCCAGACAGGCAGCAATACCGTAGTGGTTTTTTCGTTTATCATCACACAACTTGTGGCGATGTAAGGCATTTGATACGAATTTAAGCGGAAATCATGGAACATGGTGAGTATTGTCGAAGAAGATAGCTGTGTGAGATCCGACAATCCATCGAATACTGGAGCCCTCTTCATGTCATTCACAATAGGAAATGGGTAAACTAAAATAAACATAATCATATGGACGTAATCTAACACAACAAAAGATAATAAAATTAGAACTCACCGTCATTAATCATTCCCAAACGAGTCAATATCCGCATGGGTAACGCTTTCATCAGAGGCAATTCGACTTCCTTTATCAAAACCCCAACTCTGAATGGGCCATTCGGGGATACAATTCTTTTAATCTCTTGGTCCATGTAAGGTGCAAAAAACGCAGATTTGAACCCTTCTAGTCCCTCTACCTCTTCCTCTTTGATCTCAATACTATTTGCCATTCTGACGCCGCAGTGTCTGATTCCATTAACATCATCCAATTGATCCGTTCTTGGTTTCAGACATTCTCCGGAGAATCGGGAGAGTAATCGACAAAGCCCAAATGGAAACTGGGGATGGACATCGGAAGTATAGGCGATCAGTACTTCTTCAATGCCAAGGGTATTGAGTCCAGAAGTATAAAGAGAAACTATTCCATCATCTTCTTCTGTAAGAACAGTGCATCAAGCGAAAAGATTATTGCAAAGCCAAAAATATGCAAACAAACATACCATTGTTATAGCTAATGACTAAATGGACATTCCGTTTTATAACCAACCGAACGACAAACCCATTTTTAAATCGCTCGGTTATCTCCTCGATTTGTATTCGCTTTAATTCCCCAGTAAACGTATCACAAATAGTATAAAACCTATCGCCATCCGAGAGCAACTTCCCTTCATCTTGAGCCATCAACTCTCTTAACTTGCGCGAGCTGATCCTCTAAATAAACACTATTGCACTAGCCTTGACATTATATAAAAAACATCCGAATGTTACCTTACTTTAGGTTTAGTCGGTCTTGTGGAGCCTTGTTGGCCTTCAGCGCTTTCGTTTCTCGTATTCTCAGTTCCTGGGGCAATACCGTCAAGGAAGCGAACGGACCGTTTTCTCTGCAGATCCCCATTATCAGGAGGAGATTGACCACTCTCTGAATCGCCTCTTTTCTGTTTGAGAACTGATTTTCTTCTGACCAAAGCGGAACTTTCGGTAGATGTAGATGGCAAAGACGGAAGATTGGTAGGTACCTCATTTTCGACAGACTCAAGTTGTTGCGGTCTATAAATAATAAAATTCAAGATTATACTCTTCGCTTTCTTTCAAATAATACAAGAAACTTACTGTATATTCTCCTGCGTCTTTTCGTATACTTCAATCCTGTCCAAGGTCAGATTACAGGGCTGACAAACTCTTTGTGCTTTCTCATTCTCCTCCATATAATCCAGCTTTCGTCGTATAGAACAACATTCCGAACATAAGACTCGCCCGCAACACCGGCAATGATGTCTTCTATTTACAATTGTAAACTTGGATAGACAAATCATACACTTCTTATATTCTTCATCCTTTATCCAATTGGGTTTCACTTTGCCGAGTTGTAACTCACTTTCGGTTAGCCTCAGATCCGTGCCGACATTACCTACAGTATGCGTAGAGGCAATTACCGATAAGGGTTTGGGTTGTTCCGGCAGAATATGCATTCCCGAAGTACCCGGATCTTCGTGAACTTCTAGAGCCAGAGTTTGTGAATCTGGATCTAATTCCTCCACGCTCTTAACAGGTAGATGTGGTCGTTCTTCTTGTCCTTGGGTAACTTCAGACGTTGAATCATTATGTGTTGACGTCTCGTCGTCATAAAAATTACTTCTTCCTACTCCCAGAACACCCTCTTCATGTTCTATCTTCTCTTCCATTTGCACTTCAAGTTCATCAGTTCTAAGAGTAACCTCCGAATCTTGTACTTGACAGTCAAACGCCTCATCTGACGGTTTATCCAAAGGTTCAACTTCATTAACTTCTTCTTGCTCGACTTCTCTCGACATAACCTCACCTTCTCCCTTCACTTCTTTGACGTTTTGCGTTTCTTCCTTCTGAATCGACTCTCCACGTTCAATTTCTTCTTTAACAAACTCTTTTATCCCTTCTATTTCATCCTCCAACAATCCCTCAGATCTTAATTCTTTCTCTAAGTCCTCCAATTCGGCTTCCATTTCCGGGGTCAGCCCTTCATTGTCATCTTCCACACCTGTTAGAAGAGAAACCGAAGCCGCATCCGTCGAGCTTTGAAGACCCACGTTTCCAGAAATTCCACCAGTTTTGCTATCCACCGAAATGGAAGAATTTTTCCCGTCTTCTTCATGTAGATCAAGACGCCGTTCTACTTGCTGATCACTCTCCTCCTCCTGAGTCAAGTGCCTTTTGGCGGTGTTCTCCACTAACTCATCAACGAGGAATTTAACAACGCTTGTATCATTTTCAACGGCCGTATTCGGAACCGCGTCCCCTGCATCCGCGGGTTCAGTTATGTCTTTTTCTTCATCGTATGATTCAACAGGTTGCTTTAAATTGATTTCAGCACATTCGTTGCATGAAGTTGATAAAACACCGGAGACATCGCCAACAGACAACCGTGGTAAATGAAGATCGACATCCTTATTTACACAAGCCCTCAAATCAGTATTCTCTTCAACCATGCACATCCGATCATCTTGAGCCGGCGCTGTAAAATCATTTCCAACAGCTTCTAATTGGGCTTCTTTCTCTTCGTCCGCTACGTCATCCAGCTTCTCCACACTAACATTTTTCATCACAATTCCATCGTCGCTTTCCATACTTTGCTCTCGACTTTCCCGTCTATCCAGCATTTCTAATGCCTTCAACATCTCATCTTCGTCATCTTCTCCTTCATCCAAAACAGATCTACTTGATCCACTTCGTTTTAATGTATCGTCCACGACAAGGTTATTTCCAAGTGGAATGTTCGAGGTTTGCTCCAAAGAGTTGAAGGAAAAATCCTTGGAAAAATCACTAAACTTGTGAATGTCTGGATCATGACTTTCTTCTTCTCGAAGTGAAGTGGTAGAAGCTTCTCTGCGAAAGTCAAGATGGGTTCCGAAGTGAATTTTATCGTCAGGCCTTTCTTCATGTAAAGGAGAAGGTTGGATAATATTTATCATTGGAGACGTTAAAAGAGTAGGTTCGACGTTTACCGATAAAGCTTCATCTAGGTCGACCAAGGCAACTTCTTCGTTTACCTAAAGAAGTAAGAATAAAAGAAATGTAAACTGACATTTATATCGTTTTGCTTCTTTTCCAAGTCTTCATGCTTATCTTCATGACTACTGTTCTGCTTTTCTACGTTACTGTTCGTCTGTTGGTTTCTTTCGGAAAACGGGTGACTAGGAACTTTCCTTGATTTCATTTTATCTTCCGAGATCTCTTTTTGGACAGATTGTTCCAATTCTTGTAACAAATTATCCATATCTCCCATGATTAAATTTTGGCTAGAAATTAAAACAAATATGTGTTAGGACTAAGATACAAACCCAAATTTGGACAAATAATACTGCTAATCAACCATCAATCTCTCCTTGAATCACAAAGTTGATCTAAAAAATTATCATTAAAAATAAGCTTGAAACCTACAGAGAAGTAAAACGCACGTAAGTCGATCAACTATAAACTCTTCTTACGTTATTCACTGCAAGACAATCGTGAAATCACTTTGACTTTATCCATTTCCGCAAAATTGTTTATTTTTCTTTTTTTTAAAACCAATAGTTTTTGAGGCGAAGTGTCACTGCTTTTCAACATTTCGTATTCAGGGGTGGTCAGCGGACCCTATTTTTCCGATTTTCGGCCCGCGGCCCGGCCCGTCTAATTACCGGCCCGGCCCGTCTAGTCTTTTTCCAGGCCCGGCCCGGCCCGGCCCGTGCAGGCCCGTTTATAGAGGGTTCTGCGAACTGCGCCCAAGCTTGGGATCTAAACTTAGGCAAAAAAGGCGTTGATATAGCTAGTAAAGGATCAATGTGATAGTTTTGTGGTTTTATAATAGGACTATAGACTTGTAAACGTTTTAGAACTTCAGAAACAGCAACTATAACAACATCAATTAATTTTCCCGGCGCGAAAACAATGAATGCCAACGATTTGGCATTGTAATTTAGACGGGCCGGGCCGGGCCGGAAAAAACCCCAGGCCCGCGGCCCGGCCCGTGACGGGCCCGGCCCGTTTGTAATTTTCCATTTTTGAGCCCGGCCGGCCCGTTTGGGCCGGGCCGGCCCACTGACCACCCCTGTTCGTATTCGCCATTTGGAAGAGCGCACAAAAATTTTCCTGTCGAATTTCCGCACTCTGTCTGTCCAATTTATTTCTGTCGAATTTCACTCTGCAGCTCTGTCCAATTTCCATGAAGCCAAATTTTCCAACTGGAAAACTTGCACATGAAACGCCTGCATGTGATCAAATGATACGGACAGAAGCTGCCTAACCGCGGAGAACAACAGAACCCTTGTTCAACCCAACAAATCATTACTATGAACTCCCCGATTTACTCCACCTCCGAGAACCATTACAAGTTTCTTCAAATAAGTTTAATTAGAAGTACAGGTTGAAAAATATGCATAATAACAGTCAAAGTTAATGTTTGTTGAAATATTCGTGAGATTTCTTGACATCAGGCTTGATGGTGTCATGACCTGGTTGCCAGCCAGCTGGGCAGACTTCTCCGTGCTTGTCGGTGTACTGGAAGGCTTGGACCAAACGAAGAGTCTCTTCAACAGAGCGGCCAACTGGAAGATCATTGATGGTAATCTGACGGAGGGTTCCGTGCCCGTCAATGATGAACAAACCACTGAAATGAAACAAAATTTGACATCCTTTTCTCCACACATGAGAATAGTAGAAAATCTTCGTTGTACTGAAATTCCTCCAACTCACCGGAAAGCGATTCCCTCATCTTCTTTGAGAACTCCGTAGTCGCGTGAGATCTTGTGGTTGGTGTCGGCAATCACTGGGATCTTCATTTCACCCAATCCACCGTGTTTGCGAGGCTGGTTGATCCAAGCCAAATGGGAGAACTTCGAATCGGTGCTGGCGGCCAAGACCTCAACGCCGAGCTTGCGGAACTGATCAGCGGCCTCGGAGAAAGCGATGATCTCGGTGGGGCAGACAAAGGTGAAGTCGAGTGGGTAGAAGAAGAGTACCACATATTTGCCTCGGTAATCCTTCAAGCTTACGGTCTTGAAGTCTCCATCGACGACGGCCTCGGCGGTGAATTCAGGGGCGGGTTTGCCAATGAAAGCCTTGGACATGTTTGCAGCCTGAAAATACTCTAATATTGTACGCACAAAACAATAAACCAGTGAAATCACGACAGAACCGAAGGGGATTTAACAACCACTTGCAATAAAATAAAAAGTATACAAGAGAAGCCGCAATTATGCACCGATCCGTTCCATGCAGTCAGTGGTGGTTAGACAGCTGTAAAATAATTCTCACAGTCCAAACAGACCAACATCAACTAAATTAACTATCTACAAGTACATAAATGATGGAAGAGACCTTCGAATCGGAGATAAAAACCCAAGAAACAAAAAAAATGTTGACTGAATGAAAGGACGAAAAGAATATTCGAGAAAAAGAACGCTAAAACTGTTCGGAACCCAAAAGTCACGATTTCCGTCGATGAACCAAAAAAAAAGCGGGGGAATGTACTGGCCATACAAAAGAGCAGCTATTTCGCCGTCGGCGAAAATCTGTGAGAACATCCACATTTTTAAAAAGAGGCATTTTTCACATGCGCCCGCGAGCGGAAATAAAGTTTTCCTTCGGCCTGATACTATTTATACTGATCTTCGTTGGAACATTCGTTAAAAATCATCGTTTTCTGTTTGTAGTTTGAGGCCATGGCAAGACCTTCTTTCCCTCTAAGAACAAAAAGAGGCGTGAACTCTGCTCCCACATTACACTAGATATCGGCGAAAGGCCGCTCCTAAACCATGATAAACTCAGAAAACGCATAAACTGATACGGTTCTCGTTCTATGAAGGACGGTCCAACGCGTTGGACGTCAGTTTCCCTCAAAAAATTTTTTTCTAGCTAAAGAAAGGTCCGCAAAAGAGTGCGTCTCTCCAATTCACGGGCCGTTCCGTTGTTTGCAAGGATAAAAAATGTTTTGAGGAAAGAGTGAAGGTCATTTTACAAAAACAATCATCAAAATAAATATTCTTACCATCTGTCTAAACATGGGCGAACTTCTCAATTAGACATGAATAATGAAAGATAAACTGGTAAGTGTCAAAAAGCCCGGTAGAAACTTGAATGACCCACATGAGATGGGAAAACGTTAATGTTTTGGCCAAAAAGTTGGCCAAGAAAGGGAATTAAGACACGAAGGATAAATAATAAAACACCGGGAAAGTAGTGCAAGGCTGGGCATGTAAAAAATGGAGGATTTGTGAGGATCCAGACAAAAAACACGCATGATTCAGTCGACGAAAGAGGGATAGGACTTACAATTGATGCTTCAAATTCTTCCCCGTCAATGCGAAGTTTTTTCTAAACAGAGTAAATGGATTATAAGTAAATACACTTACAAGAGGAATCAGATCGGATTGAGACTCTGGATTGTTAGGAAGATTGTGACGACGAGACATTTTTGGAATTAGAGGAGTTACGTGGAAAAAAGTGAGAGACAAAAAAATGGAAGATTTTTTTTATTTTCTTTTGAAATGAAACATTCGCGCCAAAAGTTTGGTATGCAAAGGCCAAATTCCAAATTCCGTCGGAACATTATTACTAATCTTCCGCGGAACACAGTTAGCTGACACATAAAATAAATAGTCATTGCGACAACGTTTCGAGGAAAGGAAGTTGTTCTTTCTCGAAGTTCGTAACGTAATATAAGTAATATGATGCAAACAAAGCCCTGCGGACAATCGTTTACAAAATGACAAACAAAATGATAAGTATAACTTGAGTCGAATGTCCATCCTCTAAAAAAAAAACTGGAGTTGCATCATTATGACGTAATTTGTTTACCTGTAGCCACATTTGCTATTTGTTCCATTTGTAACCATCCAAATAAAAATAGCTACAATGTTGATAACATTCTTACAGTATGCTAATTTTCTTTTAATGCAAAAATAAGAGTAACCATCGACAAGACTGCAATGTTGTTGTTTATTGATCGCCTCATAGGCAAATTTATTTGTTGTTCTAGATAGAAGATGTCCCAAATATTGATATCACACGCAGTTTGTGTTTCTGTTCTCGTTAATGTGCTTTTTCGTTCTGTGGAAGCTGATCTGCTATTTCGACGAGGACGCTCTCGATGAGCGAACGATGAAGTCCAAGTTTGTTTTCTGGACCGGGGTCTTCCCCGTTCTCAGCGCAATGTTGAGTATCTTAGCGGCTGTGGCGGGGTATGTGTTTATTCTATAGGATCTTCCTTTACCCAACTCCATCTTACTTTAGATACGTGATGGCGGTGTACTATGGCCATGAAGATCCTTACGTTTCCTTTATAACGGATAGTGGAAGTCTAAGTCCGGAGAGTTGCATCTTCGGGATTCTCTTGAATCTGGCGGCCTTCTTCTTCTTCCTCACCACCATTTTCATCCACGTCCAATTGAAGACGTTCTTGCATGACAACGAACTGATGAATGAGACTGTCCGACAGATCACCCGTGTCATGGTGTTGTTGGGATTACTGAGTGCTATGGGTTATATGATGGTTGCTAACTTTCAGGTAAATTTTATGTCATTGCGGGCATTTTAAAGGTGTGATATTGAGATCATCATATCAAAATAAGATGTTTTGATCATTATTTTAGGAGACGAACGATCTTTATGCACACTGGATGGGAGGACTAATTGCGTATGTGGCCGCTCTTTGTTATTCGATTATGTGGACGATTGCATGCTATATCCGGCGACCTTGCTTAACTCCCAAATCCCTGACTTTGTTCCGCGGCTGTCTGATCCTGCTGAGTTTGGCGGCCATTTCGGTGTGTAAGTTGAGGCAGGCAGGGAGTAATGTGTAATTATAGTCAACATAACCTTCTACTGGGCGCCTTTTGTCTATTTTCGGGATTCGAATGGTTTGAAACCCGGACCGCCGCTCTATCCCATGCAAGGATTAATGCGCGTTTCCGAAACACATCCGGTAAGGTTGTGATGGGGTTGTAAGGGAAAAGAGAGGGCTGGGAAACTGGAGGGATTATTCAGTTCCCGATAGGGATTTGAAGGCAACTAGTCATTACTCTCTGAATCTAATAGTCATGTTGTTTTGTTTTTCTCACGACAAATAACCCAAAAATTAATGTTACAGCACTCTAACCTTTGCAGTATTACACCAACGAAGTTGTGGCGGCGATCTCCGAATGGCTTGGCGTATTTGCTCTTCAGGCTTTGATCGTAACTTTTGCCTACGAAATGGGACGAATTGATATCCGATATCAAACCGCATAGACTCTTATCTTGTAATTTATTACTCTAGATTTCATTGAGCTTTTTACATCAGAAGTGAGAAGACGGTGAGAATAAATGTGATTGATAAAACTGATAACCGGCGGACTGAGGAGACTGTCCATAGCTTTGATTCCACCTGAAAACGAGATATAAATGTCATTTTAAAGGATTGCAAACAATTACAAGAACATTACTTACAAATTCTAATTTGAGACTGGGTTCTTTCTTGGTCAATCGAACAGAGACACGAGCTGTTTTTTGAGTCCCATAATCATCAAAATAGACTTGTTTCGAGGGGCATTTGTAGAATCGCTGAAGTCCAGTTGAAGCCGAAAAGAGAGAGTAGTTACCCGTTTGTTCAACGATAACCAAAAGACCATCAAGTGGGGCAGAAAAACCTGAAACCAGATATAGTATAACAAAAATTGTCTTTGCGTGATCTCTAATACACACACACATAGTACATATAATACTTCATTTTAAATTCCTTACTGTGTGAATTTTGAGCTGTCAAGAAAAGGCCAGGAACAATGGCCAACTCCACCTCACATCCGGCCACATTCAGAAAGAGTCTAAAAACGTTAATTAAATTACTTTGTGAGCACTTACTTACTTTGTAACATTCGTGAAAGTACTTTCTGATTTTTCTCCTGGATTAATTCGAACTGCTACTCGGTTCTTCTCCACGGTCGTTTGAAAGGTAACTTCGTGCTCGCCACATTCCCCACTTACTGTCCTGGAAATGATCGTAAATCATAGTAAATAATAGAGAGTAATTATATAGAAGATGACATCGTAAATGATCGTTTAATGCCTCTTCTGGGTATTGTAATACTAAGTCATAAAAGTTTAAATGCAATAAAGAATGACTGACAGTTCTCAAAACTTTACACAAGTCCTCCAATATTGCCCAGAGGCAAAACAAAATTATAAAACGGAGTTGCGCAATCTCAAAACTTACAATGGAGTAGTCGTCAGGCATTTCTTGGCATTCCCACCCACAGCCAGAATTCCCAGACAGCCCACCCAATGCAGCAGTGATCTCATTGTGGTGTTCAATAGCTAGATCCGCGGTCTAATTCGAATACTCGTTTCCTCGGTCGAATATCGAAGCCAATTAATTGAAATGTGATGTACAAAAGAGTAGTCGAAATGACCTGAAAAAGGCGCAAAATCTTCTGGAGAAAAACAATCGCGCGGCTGGGTTAAGCCGGGGTTGTATGGCGGAGAATCGCGGGGATAAGTGCCGGTATATCCGATGAATAACATTATATCAATCTATTATTCATGGAGGCTCGAGAGTTTGGGGGTGGTTAGAGGACATTCAGAAAAGATATAAGCAAGGTTTTATACATGATACGGACTAGGAAAAGATAAAAATAAATTTATGATGACTTAAGGAATCTATAATGAAACGGTCACATATTCGCTATTCCCCCGAGCAAGTAACACGCAAAATCTACGGAAGCATCTATGGAGAAAGATCCACACTTCAGTTATCTGAAGGTACGCACAAAGGAAAAACCCGAGCAACTTAAAGCGAGTAAATCGAGCCAATAACAGTAATAGCCCCCTTCCCTAACATAACCTCCCCTGCTCTCGAACAGTCCCCGTTCACAGTTCGCAGCATCTCCGTGTCAAACTCATCAAAATAAGCTGTCATCGTATCTTGTTAGAAGGCGCGGGAAATAATTATAAACGCAACAATGAGTTTCGATGTTGGGATGGGCGTTAATGATAGGGTGCGGAAGGGAGGGCGACTTATTCAAATTCGATGAAAGAAATCGAGAATTCAGTCTTGACATGGATGATATATCCTCGCATATATCTTTGCACATAATCCGGAAATATGATTAAGCCCGGAGCTTGCCCTCGAGACAAATGGGAAGGCAATTACAAATGCCCGAAATAGAAACATCAGAAACATAGCGCGGCGAAAGAGATAAGGATAATCGACGAGCCAATGAATGGTCAGTGCTAATTCGAATTGACGGGCCCAACTTTATGGACAATGGCCACAGAAAAAACGGCCCAGAAGGCCGCCCTCTACAAAAGACTTGGCCAAACGTGCAAATATACAAATCCCGCAAAGTCATCCCCATTCTATTGTAGAACAGACCCACAATCATAACAGATGTTGTGCCTGGAATCTCGGTCTCGAATGTCAACAATGTCATAGTAATTATTACGCATAATTAATGTGCATGGAAAGGGCGGAGCGCGCGGATAATTATGGGGTACCGGGAGGGTGGGCAAGGTGACTGACCAAACATATTCGAGACAATTGGGGGGACCCTCGGATCCTCGGTCTTTCAGATGCCGCCGAACACAAAAGACGGAAACCAACGGCCAAGAATTCATAATTTCTTTAATTTCGAATACCCGCATAAGAGTGATGGATGACTCTGGCCAACCGTATTGCCTTTTACATAACCACGGGATCCAATTTTAAGGAAAATTATAATTCAACTGATTTAAGAAATGCTGGTGACATTGCGTTAGAAAAATAAATAAACCATCAGATTTCAAAAAACACGAGTAGCCTTAGCAACACCTCTCAAATGAATTGAGCAGCCGTGGTCACCATAATTTAGACTTTGAATGGACCGCCAATGTTTCCGGCAAGATTTTATTGCCCGATTAGACCAAAGGCCACATGTCCGAGATGTTTATTGCGCAAAAAATAATAGGACACTCGTTTGGCATTAAGACACGTTGGTATATGTTGTGTTTGGGTGGGGAAAGTGCAAACACCAGGCCTTTCGGAGATATTAAAGTCGTATAGTATAAGATTTATAGATTAATGGGAGAGACGTTGATTGCGAAGATTGGAATCAGAAATAATATCTGAAGCGGTAGCAGACAACTTCCCAGCCCCATAAGCTGATTCCTTTGTCCCAATTCCACCTTCCTGCCCTTCCTTTGTCCGGCCATTTTCTGGATCTTCGTTGATTCTGGATCCGTATGTTAATTAGTTTGCGTTACAAAAATAATTGGAGCGGCATGCGAAAAAGGGGTGGGGTAAGAAGAGACAAAGGTTTTATAATTAGCAAAAAAATAATTAAACACAGTTTGAATACACATGAAGTAGATGATTTTACGCCTATTACACAGATATCTGAAAGCGCGGCTAAATCTGATCCTCATTAAAAAAATTTTTTTGAAATTTAAAACAAAAAGCAACGTTGTTTACTGGTCAATATCACAGCATAATAAGCCCGTCAGACGCGTCGAATAATTCCGACCGACCGGCCACAATCGACTGACCACTGGACCGTCAAACCTGGCCCAAATGCCCGGACATCCGTTTAATGGCCGTCCATTAAAGTGACGGTTGTTGCCGCGGCTACTCCGAAGACAAAGTCCAAATGCCTTCAGGGTCCGTAAACCGACAATCTTCACGTGGTTTTATTCGAATAGCCACTGCAAAAAGCTCTCTGTCCAACCTGTGAACAAAACTAAACACTATGCCTAAGGGTATGGTCGGCACAAAATTTGAGACCAGTTATTGAATAAACAGGAAAAATAAAAAATGATACACTTCCTATGGCCATAATTGATGACCGCGGAGAGTACGAACAACGTCAGAGAGCACCGACATACGAAAAAAAAACTATTTCCTTGAGGCCACTCTTCCAAGTGCACTCAAACAAAGTTGAGCATGTTATTGGCAGGAGGCCAGGCCCTTAGGCAAGACGAAAAAACATTAGTCGAATTAAGCCTGTACAAAGAGGTTGGCGTAAGGCAAATTGAAGACAAAAAGGCCACTTCAATAATACAAATTGAACACTGAAGCGCTTGTTGCATCGGGTTTTAGAGGGCGTTTCCCCTGGATTCAAGCATTGGCACTTTATGACGTCATAAATATAAAAATAGAAGAAACAAAAATTCACGAGAAGATTAAAATCATTGTCAAACAACGAGTTATGTAGCAAGGAATAAAGTTGTGTATAATTGAAAAGCATGAGAAACCTTCTCGTTCACGTGTTCATGCAGCTGTACATGGTTCAGTGAAGTCGGCCGTTAATTCCGTTTCCTTTGTTCTCATTTTCACACGCTGAAACTCACCTTTACCCCAGAGTAATATATCTTGTCATCACGCATTCAACAATATACTAGACCCAAAAACAATTGTTTATTAACAAAGTACTGAGTATTCAACGTTTAGCAGTGACCTTTAAGTTGCTTGGATTACCCGAATAACCAAAGAAAGACATGTATAAGATAACAGGCAGTATTTACAGGAAGGTGTCGTTTTGAGCGGAGAATTTGGAGTTTCTCTCGGACCTGACCAATCTCTTCAGTTTCCTTAACGAAAAACTCGAAGCTCCTTGACTTTGAGTTGGATGTAAGCGGGAAATTGGAGGCGGAACACCTTGAGATACACTGTGATGGAGACGTTTGGGAGAGGGATACAGCTGGTGGGTGGGGGAACAATTTGCGGATGGGGCTCTGCAAATGATCAAAATAAAATTAAAAAACGAATTGATTTTACTTACAGTTTATGTGCTGACGAAGATTCTGTTGGTGTCTCGGGCTCATTAACTCGATCGAAATCTTGAGATCCGGATGGCTGAGTTCTCGCGGAATCCTTGTTACTGGACGAGAAATGCTTGTTGATCACCAATTTCTTCAGCCAGGTGACATCCACCCCCAGGGTGTGACGCAACGTTGATCCGCGGCTATGTTTTCGGCGCTGAATAGTAAATGCAATATTACGAAACCACTTTCTTACGCAATATTATAATGCAATCTTCCACTTACTTCTTTATTGTCCCTCATTTTCGGGGTTTTGGTACTATCTTCTCCTTGATTTAGAATAGGAATCTCTTCGTAAGGCGATTTGCCTCGAGTCCTCTGAATCGGCGCTTCTTCGCTTCGAAGTTCTGGAGGTATATCTAGATGCAAAACCAGTTCGCTTTCGGCAGTTTGTTTCTTTTGGACAATAACTTTTGTTGAGTTTACGTTCTGGATTGGTTTGTTCATACGGACCAGACAATTGATTTGAGAATTGGTCGAATTATGTTCTGGAATGGGTGGAGGGAGATCCGTGGGGCGAGGGCAGAGGGTTGGGGCTAGAAATTAATGCGTAGAAACAGAAAATAACTTTAATATCTTCTTGTAATGATTAAAGTTTCTTTCTACCTACTTCCTTTGCTCTCATGATGAATATTCCTTTGCTTCTTCTCCCGACTTTCCCAGAATCCCACTCGATAAGCAACCACAGATGCGTGGTCGAGTTTCCCGGGCATCTCCATGATCATATTCCTGATCATTTTCCTCCTCAGCCTTTCTTCTGTCTTCGAATGTGTCCGTGTTCTGTATAATTCTGGATCTTCCAATGTCTTTCTTTTCGCTGATGACAGATTAAATGCAAAATCCACTAAATTATGACATAAAGAAGATGCCGTCGTTTCATTTTCCGGTTTGATATCTTCGATCCCGGCAGAAGCTTCTTGCAAATTGTTGATCCCATTGGAGATGACATCGGCCATTCGCAACAACATAAGTTCTTGACGTTCGGCTGCGTCCACCGATGGAAGAACGGAAAGGCAGCGCTTTTTGGGGACAGGGACACCATTGTTAATAGACTTGGTCTTATGAAGCGACTGAAAAATGACCGTAAGACCACCAAAATATGTCGTGAAACATCTAATGCAAGCGAAATTACCTTGTTTGGAGAGGGAATCTCAAGAATACCAACATCATTCTCCTTCTCCATCTCTGATTTTTTGATGACACAAAACTTTCCGACCACGGGGTCAAAGTTGTCACTGACACCATCCGACGTTATGAAGACTAGATCATCTAAAATTAAAAAAATTTTTATCATTCAATACGTAATTTATAATAGATTTCATATTTTGTTCTTACTCTCTTCAACGAATGTCATACTGCAAGTCAAGTTGTGAAGTTGGGGATTCCTCCCGTCCACAGGCCCTAAGGCACCCCCAGCATCCCTCATATTCCGATGTTCCACTTCGTGCGAGGCGAGAGTAACTTCTCTAACTCCATGATCATTATGAACGAAGCACAAGGAGTCGCCGACATTACAAACACATAAAACATAAGAGTCCGAGTTCCTGACTGGGGCGATTAGAGCCACACAAAGTGTTGTGAGAGCTCCGCCTTCCTGTAAAATCAAAGCATGGGCTGAATGAAAGGCTCCCAATAAGGAATGGAAGACATCCGTGGTTGTTCTGAGACTACTCTCCTCGATGGCTTGATTTAAATGATCAAAGGCTCCTCTGATGGCGCAACGAGCGGCCAAACGGGCACCTAAATAAAAAAATTGATTAGGAAAAAATAACCGGCTTGATTAAACTGGAAAGCCGAACATTTACTGCATTTTCTATTTTGACATTTTCTGTCAGTCTCCGAAATCTAGACTCGATGTAATTCATGTGTCTTGAGATGACTGACAGCTGTCTGGGAAAGGGCGATGTAGGTCTTGGTCAGTGTTCAAAACGACTTTTAAAAGACGGTAAGAATTTTTCTTTAAAGTGATTACTCAACGACGACTATAACTTTTAATTTGAAAATCCTACCTTCTCCCCAATTTACTCCATCGGCCAGTGCCAAAATGGCATTATTTTTTCTGGCCAGGACTCCGAAAACGTCCGCAATTGGAGTGCCCGCTTGAATTCCACTGATCGGATTCCTCTCGTATAAAGAACAACTCTTCCCGAAGGCCCTCTCTTCACAAAACGCATCCCATTCAATACGATCCATCGAAGAGCCAGGGATAAGATCGTCGGAACAAAAGCCGAGGGACTCCAGAGATCCGCCTTTCATTTGATTGGGGTCGAAAGCGTTTACAGGGCAGTCGGTTAGAAGGATATCCTCATCATCTGAGCAACTGGACAGACTCAATTCATCGTCAAGATTGGCTAGCTTGGCGATGGGCTTTTGTTTTACTTGTTGGACCTAGAATATATAATAATATTATTTTTAAGTTAGACATGATGACAAATAAATTAATAAAATTTTCTTAATACTTCAGATCTTACATTGGTTAGACCACCGTCAGGGCCTGTGAAAGCAGCTCTCAATCCTCTTTCAAATTTGTCCAGATTGATTACTGGCAGATCCAGCCCCGTTTTCCCAGAATATATCTCCGGCAGCACCATCTTCCTCCCATTTCTCCCATTCATTATTCTTTCATAGATCAGTTCTGAGCCTGAATGTCCTTGTTCGTGTTGATGTTCATCTTCGTAGTCCTCGGAATTGGCAGAATCTGATTCCGTGGACCCGTTCTTATTAAACGTCTGCTTCAAAAGTCCACGAACATGTTTACGGAAGAAGGACATAACGATCTGATGGTGATGATCGTAATAAAGAGGTGAGTACGTGGTCGTTTTAATCACCCAATTTGGGCTGAAAGATAGATATTACACTCCAAACAGACAATGAAAAAGTACTCACGGTAAATGTAAAATGACAAAAATTGAGTATGCATGAAAAGTTGAGAACAAAGCTTGCACTTTAAGGACATAAATTTGTGGCCAAACATGTCAACACAAAGGGTCATAAACCGTAAGGCATCTTTCTGCCTTGCGTAGCCTTAGGGGTTATAATTTTTTTTTGTATAAAAGGCCCAAATTTAATTCCGGAGAATTATTTTCAAGACGGAATTATGAAAGAACGGCCGAAACGTCGGCCGTTCCGTCCCTCACAAGTTAGTTTTTGGTCAAAGACTCCTGAAAATGGACACAGATGGATAAAAAACAAAGGAATGCCCAAATAAAACCCCGGAAAAAAAGGTCTACATCCGAAATAAGCCCATTCAGTGGACAGACATTCCGATTTGAGGGGAAACAACCATTTATGGGTACTCTGAGGGTATAAAACGGGTTGTACAAGGGGTAACAACAAATGGGGATGTCAAAAAATACTATTTATGGCAAAGTCACATGGCCAAGCATGGGTAATATTATATAAATAGATGTAAGAACCTGTCACGGGATGACACTCCCCCACAACTTCTTTACAAACAATTTATTCGAAATGCGATTTTATTTCAATTTGGCCCAAAAAACGTGATAAGAATGATAAATGGCCAGAGGGAGAAAAGGATTAGGCCGACCAGAAATTACTTTTTTTTCGTTCCAAATAATGTATTCAAAGCGTTGCTGAGGAGAGAAGCTCATAAACATTCGAGCGGAATGTGAACCAATGGCTAAATTACGAAATAAATTAGCCAGATTTTCGTGGTAAAAATTACAATCAAAGAAATAACAAGATAAAGTCAAGTGAGTGGAAGAACTTGACTGGGTAGGAGACTCAAAGAATGTCATTCCGAAGTCAGAACCCGAGCTTCCGCCCTTCGAAACGTCCATTCCAAGGTAATTTCCCCCTTAAATTATTCCCCGAGATAACCTTTTGCGGTAAATCTCTAAAATGAGACGATCAAACGAAACAAATTATAATAAATTACTCGGCTCTCTCCTACTTTTATATTATTGCACTCCTTAGACAAAAGAAAAACAATCGAGGGGCCAAAAAAAGCGTTATCAACTGGAGGAATCTCCCGATTCCCCGAGGGCCTAATCCGCTGATATCGATTATCGCTTTGTTTTGGCGCTCAACACACTGCCGCTTGTCCTTGAGCTTTTATTTTTATCGCCCGAAAGTGCTGGGAAACGTCCATTCGGCGGGCTTTTTGAAACTTTCCCTCCCCCTGACCAGTTATTTTTGGGCGTTCAAAAAATGTCTTAAGCCATCCTTCTTGGACGCTTCACAAGCCCTAAGGGCATGACAGAAATTTGGCCTTGTAATGGGTCCGGTTTATGGCCAAAGGGAAAATACGAATATCAAGGAAATAGAATCAAAAAAAAAACATCCGAATGGACATGTTTGGAGCATAAATCAACATCAACAAGAGCTATCAATCACATTCACGTGTTATTCGATGTGACAAAACCGAAATTAAAAGGGTTTGTAGACAAAACAAGGTTAAGTATGCAGTCTTTTGACCAAAAGGAAAAAATATGATATCTTGATCCAGAAAAAAAGGCAAAACTAAGGAAAATATATCCGGGATGAGATCTGAAAACCAAAATACATATGCCCAAACCACCCTCTCCTAATGTTTTGGGCGTCCCAAATAATTTCTCTTCATTTCCACCACTTTCTCGCCCAAAAGCCCTTAAAATTCAAGCGATAAAATACAGGAAAGCGGAAATTTTTGGGGAAATCGTCATCCCATGACATTTCTGGGGACTTTCAGTACTCCGGACAAAGTACAAACCCATTCTTCAGACAACTCACTTGTTTATCAAAAAACATCGAAACCCCTCCTACCTTTGGAAATGGCCAGAACTCTGCCAAAGCTTGTTCAATCCTAATATGGCCTGAGGGCATATCCTCACCCTAGCCCGGAGGGTACGGCTCGCTTTTTTTGAAACGACTTTTTTGGCTTCCAATGTTTCGGCCGCCTTTTTTTGAATTCATTCGTTTGGGGATGGGCTCTAAGACGGGTCCATAAACATCTAAATCAGATCCCAAGAAATTAAATTACTTCGAGTACTACATTCCAAAGTGGGACAAGCAATATAATAGTCACGTTTTAGAATGGATTACAGTAACAATTAGGAATTGGTAAAAACTTGTTTTAGAATTCTTTTAAAATTGTAATCCAATTTTAAGAGCAATCATATTAAGACAATTGCAACAAAAAATAAGTTCGAAACACTTTTAAATGGAAAGAAAAAATACTGCTAGCTAATTTTTATAATGGTAAAAAGCCTATAATACAGAAAAGTTGAAAAGTAAAGTTTTTTATCCAAAATCGTACAAAGCGGCTATAAATCTCCCAAAATCTCCCAACTATTACTAAAATCCCCATTTTCCCTCCAATTCCACCTCCATAAACAAAAACAAACCTTTTGTCTAAAAAGTACTCTCAGAGTAATCACATTAGGGAGCAAGTAATGGACAAGTCAAGTTGGAAGACAGTTCTCTTCTTGTCTCGAGGTAAAAAGAAATAAAAAAACTTTTCTGAATAATAAATATCTTCTATGACCTTCGAGAAGTCATGGATTAGAAGGAAATCGCATTACGTACAGGATACTTTGCAACGCAATAAAAGGAAAATGGTGATGGAAAGTGAGGAGAGGGATGACGTTACTCACAAAGAAACGGAGAGACGGGTTAGGACAGCAGAAATGTTTACTGAGTTGTTTTGGAGAGTAGTTGCAGGTACAAAAATTAAATTTTGGACAGGGTGCAAAAAAGTCATAGTGCATTTTTGTATTATACATGAGTAGAACAAAATTTTTTCATTCAATTTTGGCGACGAATTATAAATACACTACAGATAAAGCCTAGAAAGTTTTGCCTCGTGCTTTTCCCGCTATGTTCCACAATCTTTCTCAGAGAACACGGAAAATGAGGAGGGTCGGCCAGACAAAAATCACTTTTTGGATGGAAAATTTTGTTTTTTGTAGAAATTTTATAAGCCGTATCTAACCCTAATATTTCCAAATCAGAAAACGCAAAAAAAAATTTTTTGCAACCACTAATAAAAAATCTCGCGGGTTTCTGCAAAGCTAAACGTCACAAAATTAACAACTCTTTAAATTCTAGTTTTATAGAAAGATTATAAACACCTATAACTTATTTATCACCCATCCCATGGCCTCTTGAACCGTTTTCAATACTAATAAATCACAAAATAAAAATACAACTCAAGAGTTCCCTCACCCAGCACCTGCCACAGTTGTATTTGACAAAAAAAAAGTCATAAACAAGAGCGTTACATTACTTTCCGGTGGCTGAACTCCAAAAGAGATTAACCGGGAGATCACTTTACTTTAGTTTTGCACAAATTATTTTGGAAATGAATTTGTCGATTTTTGGAACGGAAACGAATGGAAAAGGGGATGATATGGATGGCTGGGTTTGGCAAGGGTGACATTTGTCATACGATATTACATAATAAAAAAATATGATAAAAAATAAATCGTGATACAAATCTCTTCCTGAATGCTCTATTAGAATGGATTGCCTCGAGCGAAGGAACATCCGTAAGATCGGAGAGGCAATCCGGGGTGTTAAACAAATATCCGATATGAGAGATCGCTCAAACACAGCCAAAAGTAATCGAAATCTAATTTATTTGAGTAATTTCGGTTATAATTAGCTGCAAATAACCAGTTCTGGACCCAAAAAACGGGGCATTGTCGGCTGAATTTGCATGGAATTGGTTGCTTAGGAACGGGGAAATGCGTTAATTAGGAGCGGGGAATTAGTTTGGAGATGAATGAATCTAAAGTTATGAGCTGGGAGACTCAATAAATTTGGGTTAAAAAGTGCATTTCAGATACTTGATGCAACTAAAATAAGGTAAAGAATGGGTAAAGTGCGATGCCCTTTTCCCATTTTCGATCACAAGTGTTCGCAAAAAGAGATCGGTGGCCAAAGACGCGAGAAAAGGCCCAAAAGATCCGCTTCTCTCTTCTCCACAGGTTTTTGAGGTCATTCGAGTTGAGGACGGTAAAAGTAATTGAATATAAAGCAGTCAATGGGATGGAAAACACGTTACTTTCGAGGTGGTTTTACTCTTACAATAGTTTTTTGAAGGTCTTTTTGAACTACAATACTATCACAAACACGTATTTAAAGTTTCTGATGACCCCAAAAAAGGCCTTCCTTTGACTCTAGACTTTTTTTCAGATCCCCGTGACCGCCAATTGTTGGTATTCGAATCGCCTCGAAACAGAGGTTAATCCTCTCCCTTGTAGAAGCCCATAATCGACGAATGACCGCAGTAAAATAAAGTAACGCGGCTGGAGACATCTCACAGCAGGCATCGGAAGCTGGGGAAATCCTTTACAAATACTTACAAATACCCCCATAAATATTGCATAATTGGTGGCCCAAAGCAAAATAAAAGCTCCTCAAGTATTCTTTCCCATTTTTCGGAGGGTTTGAGAGGGAGAGAGGGCGCGTATTTGCATAATTTAATGAAAAAAGTCTTGTCCCGGCTCCGTTTTAGGGCTTGGGATTAATTCGGGTGCGAAGTTTTGACCCTTGAGATTCGGAAAAAGGGCATCTTCAAGTTGAACTCACTCCATTGACACGACGGCTTTGGCACAAACTCAAAAAAAAGCATAAATACAATAAAAAATTAAGAAAAAATTTCAAAAAATTATTATAATTTATTAAATGAATATAAAACTTTGTTTGAATGTACATGCCCTGCCTTACAATTGTCACAGTAATAGCACCTTTTTCGTCGGCATTTCGATCGGTTTTAGTGCCCTGAATCCACCTCCCCGACTTTGGCATTTGGCCGCCCGGTGGGCCAGATCTTGTTGGGCATCGAAAAGTTGTTGGGAAAGGGGATTCTGGTCAGTCACTTGCCGACATCGCTTCAAGGAATCACAACATTTACCCAACCGAACACAATGATCTCTGATCTGGGCAGTTCTTTGTGTACAAGTTGACTCTGCAGGGAATTCCGGGAGGGTTGGCCAATCTGCTGAGCAGCCAAACTAAAAATATTAATAAGTCATAACTTAATATTATTGCTCTTACCGGACTTCCCGCCCTTCCGGTCGCAATATCTTCGACCAAACAGCTCTCGAAGATCGAAACCAATTGTAATCTCAGCTTATCCGTGTCCTAAAACAGCTCGTCTGGTATAATATTGATTGCTTTACCTGATATTGAGTCCACAATTTTGCATTACAACTTCCAAATTTACGTCTAGCCAGTTCCGGAGGGAATCTAAGTTCATCTCCGCGACACTCTCTCTCCGCTGATTTGAGAAGATCAGAGCAAGTTGAATATAATTCGCAATATCCGGTTCTCTTTCCGATTATTTCGAATTCACTCCGGGACCTCCGAAGAGATTGCAAAAGCTCGGATTCCGAGTGTTGAACCCGATCCTTGACCGCTTCTTCGTACACTTTCCGATTCACGAATTCCTCAAGATTTCGGATCAAATCTTTCTGTGCTTGATTGAAATCACCTGGCCTAAAATACGACCCTTTTTAATGGAATTATCAGAATCTCATCGTCATCAAAAATAATCTTACAATTCCTCGGCTGCTGCTGGCTTTACAGGTGTTCCATTTTGAGCGGGAGCTCTGCGGATATCTGGCATTTTAGTCCTCTGAAGCCTGAGCAGCGCTTCTTCTTCCGTCATCTGTTGTTCTGGCTGACTTAACAGTAACTTTTGAGCGCTGTAAACCTTATTCCTATAGCCAACATCCTCTTCAATTTTTTCGTTTCTATTCGTAAATGGCTTGGCGACATTTGTCAGCATGGGTTTATGATCCAAACGAACGATCTTCTGTCTTCTGAGAATGTCTCGATTCTTTCCAAAATTGGACTTAACAATGGTCGGCCGAGTCGTTGCTTCCATCGGAACAGTGGTTGGCCACTCTGGAATCTCGGCCATAGTTCTCATCGCATTCAAAGCGTTTCCTTCGGGAATAACTGTGGTGTCTTCTGAGGTCATCGTGGTTGTTGTTTCCGGCTCTTTCAGTTCTTCCGGGTTGACTGTTGGAGTTACAGTCTGCGGTTTAAGCCTTGCTCCAAGCAGGTCTTGATCGTTTTCGAAGGTCACAAATCCATCCACCATCTTGGGTCTCATGGTGGGAGTGACAGTTCTGTCCATAATATTAATATTAGGTACAGTTGTTGTCTCAGCAATAGGCAGAGTGGCTAGTTTTGAGGTTCTAACTTGTTTTAGCCTGTCTGGAAGGGTATGTCTGTTTGGGTTTCGAAGCCTCTTCAAAAATTCCATCACCGGATCGAATGGTGGTTTAGTTTTCGGCCTGACTGTGAATACTCCCGTCTCAAATTCCACAGGAGTTGTATTCGCATTTTGGAGGGGCTCTAAGTCTCTCCTTAATCCCACATCTTCTGGCTCCAAGGGTTTTAGTGTCACGGTCTTTGAAGTCAAATGAATTTTTGCTCCATTTTGCCTAAGGGGATATCTCGTAAATCCAGATTCATTCCCAAACACATCATCCTCTTCTGGGACCCCATCTGATGTTGTAGTAGCCTGTTGATCATTCATTTCTTGAATCCTTTTCACGCCCCTTTCTCTCATCATCTGATCCACATTATTTTTTCGATGTTCATGTCGAGTGAGAGTGTCCTCGTGTAGCACACTTACTTTATGTTTATGGTCAGACATGCCGTCGATTGGATGAGAATCAATTTTTGTGACAGTATCCTCATGAACACTTATTTTATCTCCATTTATGGACGGCTCTTCCTTAATTTGGTGGGTTAAGACTGCCGTTTGATTGGTCTCAGCGTCCTCGATTATTCGAATATTCTGTTCTCCATGGGTCAGGGTTGCTGTAGTCTCCATTCGACGCACTTCAAATGGTATTTGAGTGGTTGTTTCCATTGATTTTGCAGTAGTTTTATGCAAAATCTCATCCGAATCTTCGCTTTCTCCCATTCTTTCCAATTTCTCGACCTTATTCTCCGGCCACACCCTCCTTTTATCTGCATCTTTCATTAGATGAGGTCTTGCTGAGAGTAATCTTAATCGTCTTAGATCCAGATTCTGAGGAAGGGCGAACGAAACATGTGGTTTCTGTGGCTCCAGATCAGTGACAAGTCCCGTGCTAAAGTTCTTTTTGTGTTTCCGATGCTTCTTGTGTTTTCTCCGCGACCTTTCTGTTACTAATGCTGTTGTAGATGAAATGATTGTAGTGGTAGAGGCAGTTTCAGTTGTGGTAGTTACCTCAGTGGTCGTGGTGATCGGTCTCAAGGTGGGGAGGACAGTATTTGGCAAAGGAGAAGATCCTTCAGAATACCGACTTCTCCCTTCATGAATCGGTTTACTGCCTGCCTGGGGGAGGAAACTCTTGACAGCGTGGAGAATCGGCTTCTTCTTGAGTCTAGAGTTCATTTCCACTCTAGCCAAAGCCTGTTCAAATCTGCTGAGTCTTTCATTTGCTCTTATTTTAACTTCCGAATCGTCCTTTGGCAACAAAAGTGTTGATAATTGCTTCAGAATCCCTCTTCGTTCATCATTAACCGGCCTCCGTTCAGTTTGGATGGGTCGGAGAGGTTGGCTGGGGTTCATATTGGATTTGAGATCAGTTGGGAATTCCTAAACTTACTTTTTTGAATATAATATTTAGTAATAGGATGACTTAATAATGGTATAACTTACCGTTTCTTTGGCTCTGAATTTGTCCACAAATTTGATTCCTTGCGAAGTTAGGACTGCTCGAGCTTTGGCCACCATTGGACTGCAATATGGATAAGGATCAGAGGTTGCCACGGTCAAAATTTTGGCTCCGGCTCCGGCTCTTAGCTCCCAGAGCCGGAGCCGAGGCCAAATTTGCAGCTCCGGCTCCGGCTCTTGGCTCCGTGCAAAATTTAAAAAGGCCTCCGGCTCCGAACCCCGGCTCCCATGCAAAATGTTTTTTAAAAATATTTTTCCAAAAATAAAAGTTGTTAGTGCCAGAGATCATACAGCCAACGTTTTTGCAGCCAAGTCACATCCTCCGCGGTGTTTTTCAAGCAATTTGGTTTAACAAGATCACGAAATTTTTACTTCGCTGACCACTGAGAAGCCTGGCTCCGACTTTGGGCTCGGGAGCCGGAGCCGACCCCAAAATTTCCGGCTCCGGCTCTGGCTCCCGGCTCGGAGCCGGAGCCGCTCAGAGCCGGAGCCAAGAGCCGGCTCCGGAGCCGTGGCAATCTCTGATAAGGATTCCAGCCTTTTACTTACTCATTATGATCAGAACGTGTTCTCAGAATCCATCTCATTTTCTCCCGACAATCCAAGGTTTTGTGATTAATAATTACATGTTTCTCCCTCACGGCTCGAGTTACCTGACTGTTCTTGCCACTTTTTACGCAACTAAAACCATCATCATATAACATTATCGAATAAAAAAAAATTTTTTCTATGGCTTACACTTTAGCCGCAGGGCAACATCTCTGGAATTTCTGGCACTTCCTTTTGATCTGCGCCACTGACTTCCAACAACTTGAGGGGGGTTCCGCAAATTCTTCAGGGTCCAATTCACACTGCTTCTCCTAAAAATCCTGATTTAAAAAAATTTTAATCAAAAATTCAGGTTTAACATAATGCTTACATCAATTTCGATCTCTTCGGATCGCTGACTCTGCATAAAACTCTCGGCTGAAACACAGGCCCCAAATTCGTTGACCCGAGCCCTCATTAACTTGGACAATTCGCTAAAATACTGTTGAGAAGCGGCTTAATCGACTTACCTAAAGTCTTGAACCAGATCACAGGCTTCAGCCGTGGCATTCCTTGATCCATCTGTGCACCTTTTGTGAGTGTCCATCATATCATTTTCACAGTCCAAAAACTTTTTGCAATACTCAACTTGAGATAGCGCCTAAAATCAAAGTAATTTGAAAAATAATAACATAAATAACATGTACATCAAGGCTGCAAATCGAACTCACATGACTGCAAGGAAGGTACAGTAACACGAAGATTACCGCAACCCGCTTCATAACCCGAACTCAGTGCAAAAAACCGCCTTCAAATTGGTTATAACCTGAAAACGATGACCTAAAATAACATAAAAAGTAAAGCGAAAAGACAATTTTATGACAAGTTTTGATTCGAATTATTTTAATTGGAAAACCGTTGAGAATTTGAATTAAGCCAATTCCCCTGCGGGGGTTTACTTTACTCTCTCGAATCGACCGAAAATCATAACAAACAAGGTGGTTGGTTTTCTGCGACGTTTCCCAAGGCAATAAAAGAGTAAAGTGAAAAAATGGAAATTCGAAGACTCCAATTCCATCGACGATTTCACTTTTCTGCATGCCCTCAAGGGAAGGACGTGAATTGAAAAAAAAGAAAGCGCCGACAGAACACCTGTAAACCTCAATTAACAAGTATTGTAAACCCTCGGGGATCGATGGCAGAGCCCTCTTCTTCTTACCTCACTCCCGCGAAGCTGCTCCAGAATCAGAGGCGCCGAATCCGCCCGCATTAATGGCTTTATTTTCTCGGATTTCCGTTTATCTGCTGATCCTTATCTGCCTTCTCACTTTCACATTCTTTCCGGATAAACAACGCATTTCACTCTCCAAATTATTGAAATTTCCTTTTCTTTTTTTTTACCTCTAATCCGGATGACAAATCGCGCTTCTGGGTGGGATTCGGAATGGGAATTAACTGGAATTAACACATGGAGACGACATAGACACGACAACGCCATAATCGCAAAAGTTCAATTTCAAAAACCTCCATCTGAAACTTTCAAAATACAAGATCAACGAAAGCCAGGTTTCATAGACAACCTTGCGCATGACATAATATGTAAATGCCTTCTTTCTCGAAAACAATGCATTTGATATTTTTGAAATTTTCATGTTTTATTAGTCGAGGGTTGAAGTTTACCTTAGCGGTTTTAAAAGTGACGTTTCAATAGTATAACATCGTTTAGATGTAATTCTAAGCTTTCTGTCTTATTACAGAAATGTTCTTCGTTCTTGAAAACATGCACTGATGGCTAGGCTAAAAATACGGTTTAACTTTCACAATTCATTCAAGAATTTTTTAGAAGTAAATTGACACTATTCTTCAAACAGGAAATCGTGATTATTCCAAGCCAAATAAAGATTCGGTTAATCAATTTTCGTTTTACTAAACTTCTATTCCAATTTTCGTATTTCTTTTTCTGCTAAGCTCTCCTAAGCTCTAGACCATTACGAGCTGTCAGCGGACATTCCAAAGCAACGATGACGTCTTAAAATATCAGAAATCGATTTATGATCTGTAAATGTATGAACGTTTCCCCCTCTCCTAGATGTGCCAATTATTTTTTAATGTGTTTGTAAACCTTTCCCCAGCGTGTTCCCTAATCCCCATTACTCTGACTGTTATATTCTTCATATTATAAATATGAGATTTAATGTTGATGTTTTCGAATAAAATTATGTTTTGGATTGCCTTGCTTCAAAATCTCGAGATTTTTTGGTCCTCAAAGTTGAGATAACAAACAAATCGGCCATATTTTCTTCCCGATTCAACTTTTTATTGTCCGAGAAAACAATCGAAGGTCATAAAAAGGCTAAAGATTATAAAGTTATGCCTCTAATGTCTAAGCGTTGTCTTCTATTGGACACTGTAAGAAATATTAAACACCAGTCTCCACCATACTATTATACTATATATTTATGTAAACTTTTTGCAGTAATCATGGCGTGATGCAACCCCACTTTAAGTATTATAATTATGATGTCTTATCCAAATTCGTGGCAAAGGATTTAAAAAATAATTCGCGATAAGTTGAATCCGCCGGCAACGGTTGTGTGCGGTAGAATTTTACTATATCATCTTTCGACTTAAGAAGTCGCTTGAAATGGCGATTGAAATTTTTCATGTTCACAGTTTCAAACTCACCATGTTACAGTAACCCTGACCAAACAATATGACGAGCATGGTCCAAAACATACTTGTTTCGCGTCTCGACTGCAAAAGTATGGACATTGTAGCCTGCTTTCATCGCGACAGTAAATTTGTCGTAAACCCGTCATCATGACATTTTTTCAAAAACATTTCGTAGAGTGCTTTAGGATGGCCGGTATTGTTTGAAGTTAAAAGAATTATAGAGTAAAATTCCACCGCCGCATTTGATTCAAATTCTGGCAGCTCGTCTTATATCCAATTTTTACCTTTTTATCAATTCTACACTTATTTGTATTTTTTTTTTGCTTCAATCTAGTATAAATACATGAAAATAAAGGTCTCTTCTCTCCCCGTTCGTACAGTTCCTAGTAAAAAAAGAACATGTATAAATATGGGGATGGTCACTTTGTTACGCAGTCGCTCTCGTTTCGGTCTATTTATTGTTCTATTTGATATAAAATTATGCTAGGAATCCATTTTTATTACCTCAAGATATTGCTGCTTTACATCATTTAAATGTCCACTCTCTCGGATAATCCAATCTCATTTTACTCCGTAATTTTTTTTCTCAAATTTTCCGATGAAAATTTTTTTCGAAGTGAATTTTGAGGGGAAAAAATTTTTTTTGAATGGAAGGCCTTGGTTTTATGGAACGACGAAGATTCGAGGCTCCCTTTTACATTTTTCACGAATTATTGTTTCTTACTGTCTTCCCATCACATTTATTCAACAAGCTTGTTTTTGTTGTAATTGTTGGTCTGTCCAAATATTTGAATTCATTATTGAGGCCGCTGATTTTTAAAATTGTCTGCGCCCTCCCCTTTCTCCATACACTCTCGTTTTGTACTTTTATTTTTTTTTTTAATAATTTCCCTCTGGCAATTGCGTAATTCTTTTTTTGGATTTCATCATAAACCAGTTATGGAGTAATCAGAATTAAATATTTTTTCGAAGTCCTTAGTAACCGAAAATTGATTTTGTTACTGTAAGATTTGATTCTAGTATTTTTGAAAAAACTGATAAATATTTTATATTATTTTGAATAATTTTAGAACCCCTGCGAATTTTACTGCCTATTTTCGACTTCTCGGATTTCGGTTTTTTTCTCTGCTCTCTCTCTCTCTCTCCCGGTTCCCTTACATCTTTCTTTACAGAATTTAACAAAAAGAGGAACACGATCCTTGGCGTTTTTGTTTGAACAGCTCCAATTAATGCCTTTAAAATTAGCATAAGATTTCGAAACGAAAACCGAGAGGGGAAATTCCCAACAAAGAGGGAACGATCTCAACGGACGGTTATCAATTCAACAAATTTCAACGAATTCGAAGGTCAAAGTGACGATTGTTCGAGTTCTAGAAGGGTCTCGTTCCCGTGAGTTATCAAACTTGGGCCCAGTACTACCTTTGACAACTAGACCTACTAGATCTGTGAGGTCTGCTGTCGATTTAAGTTAGAAATTGGATTTCTCAATAAAAACGGTGTTTTATTGTGCCGTTTATTGTCTACAACACACTCCCAGAACCCCGAAGTTATCTACAACGAGATCGCTGACCAACCGAACACATTTTCGACCAAAAACTCGTCGATTTTCCCTCCGTTTTTGCATAAACCCCCAGCTTCTTGGGGACATTTGCCGGCCGTCTTCTGGCCACCAGAGCAAGCCCTGAGGCCAGTGGAAAAGAGGGGCCGAGGCTCCCCCAAATAGTCCCCTCAAAGACCCAAAACGCGGAGAGTTGGGCCGTTTTTGGAATAAACGGCCGTTGTTCTCGCCTTTACAAAACGCCTGAACGAAAATTGGAACGGCGGCTACAAATTCCACAGCTCAGCTAAATCGACCTGAACACTTTGACTCTGTACTCCAACGGGTTTTCAACAAGATTCAACAAGATCTCCAAGGGAAATCGACGAAAATTTGTAGCACTTATTGTGAAACTCGACCAAAATTAGAAGGAATCGACCATTCTCAACAAAATTCGACGGGTTTCAACGGGTTTTTGGTGGATCCCAAAGCTTTCGGAGTTCTCTGGGCTGTGTGAGAGATCTCGGATCAGTGGATGATGTTCTTCTTCGACGAGGAGCAAATCGGTAAGTGTTTTGGAGGTGGCATAGTCATTGTCAAAATTATTTGCATATCTGTTTTACGTCATTAGGATTCATATTCCCGTCTGGATGTCTAAAAATGCGTGATTTCTTTGATAACAACCCCTGCTTTATACGTCAATTACTCTTCCGTCAATCGGCGGTCGTCCGATTGTCTCGAGTCTAAAGCAATATAATTGATTGGACAGCGGAAATCGAGCGCCCAAAAGCGATTACTGATTACAATTTTGAAGTGATGTTGTAATAGAATGATGACTGTAAAAAGGATGATGTCTGTTTGTTTAATGAGTTTGTAACTTCTGTTTTCCAGAAGTGAACACCTTTCGTTTTACAGGATCCCTCGAAAATACAGTACTCTTTGGGATTAGGCCTTTACGTAAATAAAATTCTAAATTAATTTCTTATCATCTCAGGCATTAATATTCATGGCATTCATTATTCCTAATCTTGGATTTGCACGGAAAAGCCCCTCAGGGCCCAAACAAAACCAAAATTTGAGGGGGAATTGGAGGCTCGCATACCCATCTCTTAAAATGGAACCAGAAAAAAGGGGATTAGGAAATTATTTTAAAATTTGAAAAAGTTTCATTGTCCAAAGAGCAGATGAAAATATTTTTGACAACACGAGATATGTTGCATATCGCTTGTTGAAGCCTTTATCAAAATTGACTCAATTCCCGTGCTCTTCACGTTTTTTGCATATTAAATGTGCATTTTTTTCATAATTCACCTGCCATTCCAATCCCCTTTCGAACTTACACTGTAAATCGAGTTTGATTGAACGGAATGCCATGGAGAATGATTAAATTCAATCTTGTGGGCCGTTTTATTTATAAATGCCCTGAGGGGAAATAACTAATCGGCATGTTTTTACATTACTTTACGTGATAAACAGATTAAATGACTGGGAGAATGTCCTTAAAGAGGGGACCAAAAATAAAAAAAGTGCTGGTTGTTTTGGTTATCTTAATTAGGATGGGCCGTGCTAATT